CGAAATGACTGGATGAACTCGTTTATCGAGGATTGACTTTCCGCCCCCCTCCTCTCCCCCCCTTTCCCCCGAAGCCCAGGCCAGAAACAACCCAAAGTCAAGCAGGTCCCGGCACGAACGCATGACGCGAGATAGTAGGTTTGTCTGTTGTTGACCAGCTTGGGATGGATGATAGTAGCCGACGTAGGTGATCGGCATACATCTCTTGTTTCTGAGGCGTACAGCTGGGCGAAAGATTACATATCGGCCAATCAATTGAACCACTGTAGAGGTTATTCGTTGATGCAAATTACAATATAGAGAAATGACAATGCGGTGGCCTCTGCTTCATGCTGCATATCGATCGGTATGCCTGCGGTTCTCAATTGTAGGGTATCGGCATCCCCAGACTTACCCACGTCTTGTAGGATTCCAGGTAAGCTTTCTGCAACGGTTGAAGTCGACTTGACCCAACCTGAGAACATTATAGGCGATAGGAAGCACTTGCTCATGCCAGCGCCGCTCAGCAGATAAAGCTCTTACCATCGCGAACACCGGCGGTCCTGTGCTTTATTTGTAGCTCCGCGGGTTGGCTAGACATGAGTCAGGAAGCTGAGGTCCAACATGAGTTGAGGTTGTCACGTTCATCTAGAATGTGGCACGTGCCTTTCAAGCAGACTTTTTCGAGGCCTCCATCCGATGTTGCAACCGTGAACCCTCCCATACTGACGCATGATCACTCTTCGGTTTCCAAGACACGTCAGTCGAGGCTCGGCTTCGCCTCCGCGGCTTTGGTTACTGATCCTGATCGGGCTTGTTATAGTCCCAGCATCATGCTATCCACCACATCCCGCACAGGGTGAAGCCTTGGAGGCCAAAACAACAACAAGGACAGCGAGAGTCTGCTCCCGAAAGCCAATCCGGCTTCCGAACCCAACAACATCAGCAAACTTCGGTTAACGGTCATAGCATTGAGTTGCGGGAAGCCCTTATCCCCAGGGTGTCGATCACACCCACGAGCAATATCCCTTTTTGTTACAAAAGGTCCGCTGAAGTGGAGGCTCCAAACAAGAAGTGAGAAAGACGGTGTGAGAAGGTGAGGATCCTGCCAGGGCTGAGGATCGTGGAGTTGGCAAACTTCCACCAACCAGCGCCACCGCTTAAAGTGCTCCAGCCACTCTGCTGCGATGGCCTTGCCGATAAAATCTCGATTCTGCCCTTTGCCGACCCGCTGTGCTGTGGCCGAGGCAGATGTCCGTAATTACGCAGAAAAGGGAAAAAACAAAAAAACAAAGAAAAAACAAGAGGGGCAAGACGAGATTTTGCAGACGGAGCCGAGTGCCAGGAACCCGCTGGGGAACATACTCCGACGTATCGAGTGACCACAAAAGGGAGTCCTTCTTCCTCAGCGCCCGAACGCTGGTGGAGAAAATCGACGGCAGCGCAAGAGATGAACGCGGCGGAGGCTTCTCTCGGGCGTCGTTCCAAGGCTGAAAATCCATCACCTTGAGTCTGCGGTCGGGAAAGTGACCGAGCTGGATCCGGGCCGCAGAGGATGAATGGCAGTCCGAGTCAGCTCCCTCACCATCGGTTCTGGAGGACCCGGTCGCCGCCCCTCCGGAACATGCAAGCTGGGGACAAACCAGTGTTGCTGAGCTAATTGATAGGACAGACCGGACAGCAAAGGTACTGGGACCCTGCCTTTTCAATCTTCGTGCATGTGTACAGTCAGCGCTTGCAAAGGTACATACATACATGTATGTGCCTAGAAAGTACTACCTATGTAAGCTGTAGAACGGCACCTGGGGCTGACGGCTTATGGCTTATGGCTGAAGACGAACTCCGGAACTGGCCGCGACCACGAAGAGAGGCGAGGTGGTGGCAGGCGTTACTGACTTAAGACGAGCTTCTTTGTCTCATCACGGTTGAGTGCTAGCGCCAATCAAGGCTTTTGATTTGCAGATACTTGGCATCTTGTCTCTCACAAGGCGAAGATGCTTTTGCTGTACGGAGTCCTGCACCGCACCATTCGATATGAGGCAGAGGCTCGGCTAGGTGGAGCACCGCCTCAGCCCCCGTCTATCAGCCCCAACCCAATCTTACTATTTTTGGCTTTTTGGTGGGCGAATCGCAGAAGCTAGCCTCCGTATCCGTAAAAAAAAAAAAAACAGTAGGCAGGCAACGAACGGCAGCGGCAGCGGCAAAGAAGGGGAAGTGGGAAGGGGGAAAAAAAAACCAAACCCGAATCTCGGATCATACGGGGAAGTACGTACGCACGCAACGAAAGCTCGGATGGAATCCAGTCCTGTTGTTGCCGCTGCGACGCATTATGTGGCGGATGAAGAGAAAACGGGGTGTCGTTGCCGGGCGAGGCAGCAAAAGGAAGTAGGAGAAACAGGAGAGGATCAGGCATTACAATGATGAACAAGTTCGAGACATGGGGCTGAACGAATGGGGAATCTAGGCCGGCTGGTGGAAACAGCCTCCTGGAAGACTGTCAGAGCTGCTGTTGGATGGCGGGTTCCAGTTAGTGAACCAGCAATGGTTGAAATTAGTGCACCAGGCAGAATATTTCAACATGCAACAAGCGGGTAGGTTCTCAGATAAGGGCCATCTGGGGGAAGAGAGAAAATGATCAAGGGAGTCTGTAGCTTGCTGGTGCTGATGGAAGCCTAAGGTCGACTTGACGATGATCACTAGTGGGACACTGGAAAGGAAGGAACAAGCCAGCTGGAAAAGCCAAGTCTCTGGCTAGGGCGAAGAGGCGTTTCAGAGTGTTTGTGGAAACTACAAGATCCTGGAACAGAAGTGGAGTGTTAGTAAGTACACGCGTCTCACTTAGATGTTGGAGGGTCCCGGCAGCATTGGTGTTAACATCGCAATGTCCCTTCTTAAATGCGTCCGCCTTGTTCAGGGTCTGCATTTTTGTGAAGCCTGGCTTTCTTGATGGTGCTCACCAATTTCGCAACCAGGGGACCATTTCCTGCCATCCTGGCGGGTGGTTCCTCAGGAACGGGACACCCTCGGGAATGCTTGTCAGTCAGCGTGCATATTGCTTGCTGGGCTTGGTCTCCCGTCAGCTTCCTGATGACAAGGTAGCCGCAGTAAGATGGGTACTCTGCTCTGTGCGGATGCCTGCTTGCCAGGTGCTGAGTGCGAGTTCTCCCGTAAAATAAGCCAAAGATGAGATGAAAGGGGACACATTAAAAAAAAAAAAAAAAAAAAAAAAAGAGCTGAATACACAGCAAAATCGATGCTTCCGAAGCAGAAGCCAAGCCACCGGCCGGTACCCATCCGAACCGCGAACTGCCACCGCACTGCACAGGCTCTCGGGCGGTCAACCTCAATGACAGCCAAGGATTACGGCTGATGCTCGTAGTGGCACGACACATGCCGATTTGAGGAATGGCGTCTTTTTAGCTTTACTCTCTCCTTTTTCAGCAGCAAGAGAGCCATGACACTTTCGAGTGACTGGTGCTGGCTTCTGGCCGAGTATCGTAGCTAGTCGCTGGGCTGCCTCGCCTTCTGTGATCGCTGTTACATCCCCCTATTGAAGGGCATTAGGTGGGTGACTGAGCATTAATTGCCAGGTGTTTCTGGAGTCGATCCTATCCCTAATGGACCGATTGAAGGTGCGAGCTCAAGGGGTACGCGAGATGCAAGGGCCAAGGGAGCAACGACCGGGGGTTTCGGTTGGAGGAGACGTGACGTAGTTGGGTCAAGACCCGGTTTTATTTTTTCGACTGCCGTTGTTATGGCGATGTGACTGGCTGGATTGACCGCTCGTGATGGACATCTTGCAGGTGGAGTTCTTTTTTCATCCCCAGCAAGTTGCTTGTTATTTCTGCCGTTATTCATCCAGGCTTGGTTGGAAGGCGATGGAGTGGGTAGCAACCCACGGCATTGGCTTCTGGCTGCCAGCTACGAACAAAAAAAATAATAAAAAAAAGGGGACACACAACACGGGACGGACCACCCGCTGGCCTGGGGACGAGACTTGTACCAGCCATTCCCAGCCAGCCCATCTGTTGTCTGTCACTAATTAGGTAGGCTGATCTCAGTGCACTGACATTCTCTGATGTGTACATCAAAGGCTGTGGACAGGGTGGGCTGGTCCGAATTTCTTGTTCCGCTCGAGCTTGTTGACCAAGGTCAATGGTCCCTGTTTGATAGTTGTGTGCATCCTCGGGTTGTATTGTCTTGTTCATCGTGCAGCACCACGGCCAGCGCGATGCCTGGTACTAGGCAGCGCTAAGCCACAGCTTCCCCAGTTTGTGTTGACGTGAGGTGAGCATTATGGGGCGGGCTACAGGGTCAGGTACTTCTTCGCATGTACCTACAGCTCTGCAATGGGGGTTGCAGCAGCTACTTCGTGGTATAGCCAAACCCGCCAGCGCAGAGGAAGGAGGACTGGGGGAGGGGATTCAAAAGTGACTTCTCCTATTCCACTTCATGTACCTCCTTGGACAGACACAAGGCAGGAGCTCACCGTCACCGCGGCTTAGGCTGTCCACACTCAGCCCAGTTGGGCCAATCCCAATGCTATTCTGATCCATCCAAGCCATCCTCCACTGGGCACCGCTCCCACACCCAAATCTTCCCATCCCATCCCCATCAGCAAGGCCGCCAGCCCGTAAGACCCTTTTTTAACCATTTGCTGCCCCGTCCTACATCACCACCTTCTCCCCTTCTCCTCCTCTTGCCCCCCTAGCCCTCTCATCAATTTTCATCCTTCTTTAACCCTTCGGTTTACCTTTCGTTACCGGGGTTGTGGCTTTCACGCCCACACATCACCTACCTACAGGGTCTTTGTTTGCGACAAACCGAGACACCTCAAAACTCCTCCCCTATCCCGTCATACCTGACCTGGGTCTTGTTTACTTTCCGAGTGTTTTTTTTTCTGGGAGACGAACATCATCGACCCTGCCTAATCCGCCCACCACCATTCTGGGAAAAGCCTTTCCGACTGTTGCCAGTATCACTATCAGCATTCGCTATTTCTGTGCTCACCGGCAGCAATCATGGCGTATCGCGGGGGGAACGGGAACGAGTACGAAGGCGGCCATAATATGCAGGACCTTCCTCCTGGCTCTGGTAGAGTAAGCTTTAGACCTTTTATCAACGACTTGACTGTCTTTTTTTCTCAACCCGCTAACCTGCCTGCCTTTTTTTCCAGTACCACATGCCGCCCCAAGATGAGGGAGTTGACGATGCCGGCCAGTCTCTGTTGAGAGACCCTCACCCAGTAGCTCCCTATGAGAGCCACCTAGGCCCTGCCGAAACGCCTGGCCGCCCAGTTTCCGCATACAGTTTGTCAGAATCATACGCTCCTGGCGCCGGCGCGCGAACACCAGTTCCCGGTGAAGCCTTCGCTAGCGGCTACCGTTCCGAGCTTGACACTGGAGATGGCGGGTTTGGCTATGGCCGTCCTGCTTCCACTGTCGACGCCGACGAAAGTTGGGTCCGAAGACAGCAGCCCGGTGGCCAGTCTGGCGGTCTGAAGCGTTACGCGACCCGTAAGATCAAGCTTACTCAGGGCTCCGTCCTGAGTATTGACTACCCCGTCCCCAGTGCCATCAAGAACGCTGTTCAGCCCCAGTACCGCGATGTTGAGGGCGGCAGCGAGGAATTCCACAAGATGCGCTACACCGCCGCTACTTGCGACCCTAATGACTTTACCCTTAAGAATGGTTACGACTTGCGGCCTAGAATGTATAACCGGCACACTGAGCTCCTTATCGCCGTTACCTACTACAACGAAGACAAGGTTCTCTTGTCCCGTACACTTCACGGTGTTATGCAAAATATCCGCGATATCGTCAACCTCAAGAAGTCCACCTTCTGGAACAAGGGTGGCCCCGCCTGGCAGAAAATCGTCGTCTGTCTTGTTTTCGACGGTATTGACAAGACTGACAAGAACGTACTGGACGTTCTGGCCACCATTGGTGTGTACCAAGATGGTGTTGTGAAGAAGGACGTTGATGGCAAGGAGACTGTTGCTCACGTCTTCGAATACACCACCCAACTGTCCGTCACTCCTAATCAGCAGCTCATTCGCCCCGTCGACGATGGCCCGTCAACTCTTCCCCCCGTCCAGTTCATTTTCTGTCTGAAGCAGAAGAACACCAAGAAGATCAACTCCCACAGATGGCTCTTCAACGCGTTCGGTCGCATCCTGAACCCCGAGGTCTGCATTCTCCTCGATGCTGGTACCAAGCCCAGCCCCCGATCGCTGCTTGCTCTCTGGGAAGGCTTCTACAACGACAAGGACCTCGGTGGTGCTTGTGGTGAAATTCACGCCATGTTGGGCAAGGGCGGCAAGAAGCTGCTCAACCCCCTCGTTGCTGTCCAGAACTTCGAGTACAAGATTTCCAACATTCTGGACAAGCCTCTGGAGTCATCCTTCGGATACGTCTCTGTGTTGCCCGGTGCCTTCTCTGCCTACCGATTCCGCGCAATTATGGGTCGCCCATTGGAGCAGTACTTCCACGGTGACCACACACTGTCTAAGATTCTGGGTAAGAAGGGTATCGACGGAATGAACATTTTCAAGAAGAACATGTTCTTGGCCGAAGATCGTATTCTTTGCTTCGAACTGGTCGCCAAGGCTGGCCAGAAGTGGCATTTGTCCTACATCAAGGCTGCCAAGGGTGAGACTGATGTGCCCGAAGGTGCTGCGGAGTTCATCTCCCAGCGTCGTCGTTGGCTCAACGGTTCTTTCGCTGCCTCTCTCTACTCTCTCATGCACTTCGGCCGCATGTACAAGTCCGGCCACAACATCATCCGCATGATCTTCTTCCATGTTCAGCTCATCTACAATATCCTCCAGGTTCTCTTCACGTGGTTCAGTTTGGGTTCTTACTACCTGACAACAACGGTTATTATGGATCTTGTCGGAAATCCTGTTGTCTCAGACGATCCGGGTGTGGCACGTCACGGTTGGCCTTTCGGTGACACTGCGACGCCTATGGTCAACGCCCTCCTCAAGTACTTGTATCTCGCCTTTGTTATCCTGCAGTTCATTCTTGCTCTGGGTAACAGACCGAAGGGCTCCAAGTACACGTACATCGCTTCGTTCATCGTCTTTGGTCTCATCCAGTCATACATCCTGATTCTTTCCATGTACTTGGTTGTCAAGGCTTTCGAGACACCTATTGGAGAGCAGATCAGTCTCGATTCTGGCGAGGACTTTGTCAGGAGTTTCTTCGGTGGTACCAACGCTGCTGGTGTTATTCTTGTCGCCTTGGTCACTATCTACGGTCTCAACTTCCTCGCCTCATTCATGTACCTCGACCCCTGGCACATGTTCACTTCGTTCCCCCACTACCTGGTGCTCATGTCGACTTACATCAACATTCTCATGGTTTACGCCTTCAACAACTGGCACGATGTGTCCTGGGGTACCAAGGGTTCAGACAAGGCCGAGGCACTTCCCTCTGCTCAAGTTAGCAAGGGTGAGAAGGACGAAGCCGTCGTCGAAGAAATCGACAAACCGCAAGAGGATATCGACAGTCAGTTCGAATCCACTGTTAAACGTGCCCTGGAGCCCTTCAAGGAGGTTGAGGAGGTTGAGAAGCCTGATCTTGAGGACTCGTACAAGTCTTTCCGTACCGGTCTGGTCGTGTCTTGGCTCTTCTCTAACACGTTCTTGATCATCGTCATTACGAGCGATAACTTCGACTCGTTTGGCATTGGCGTAAGTTATCTTATCAATCCTCACGGAATCTCTGGACTAACAGATTTTAGAAAAACGCATCATCTCGTACCGCCTCCTTCTTTGCATTCCTGCTGTACTCCACTGCCGTGCTGTCCTTGATCCGTTTCTTCGGCTTCTTGTGGTTCTTGGGCAGGACTGGTATCATGTGCTGCTTCGCCAGAAGGTAACCAGACCAAACAGAGGTGTTCAGGCAGGCTTTGGACGTCTCGACGTCGTTGTATGGTATACCAGAGGGAAGACTGTACTCTCACTGTCTTTGGCTCATTTCTAGGAATCTGTCGGTGTTTGAATTCAGGGTATGTGTTTGATAATAAAGGGCACGGGACGTGGCAGATCCTTCATGAAGTGGCCGAAAAGGTCAGTAAAAGTAGTATTCGACTAGTAGCATTCCGGGCGTTTTTACATGACTCGATTATCCTATTCCACGAAATGAAAATGATTTCTACAATGCAAAACTGGACTTATTTGATTGATGAGGAAGTGTAATGTCCAGACTTTGGATCACCTGATCAGTGAGCCGAATTGATAGACGCTCAGGCAAAAGCACCTTGTTGGTTGGTTCCATTATTGGTAGGAAAACTGGGGCCGGTAGATCCCCGGCAGAACCAGGCTCTGACCCTATCTTATCGCGAAGTGATGTGACCGCATTGACTGGTGCCCAGTCGGCCCGCCCAAGGCTGCCTTTCGCTGTGGCAAGAATCGCAACATCACAACAGGCACAGCTTTTCCTTCCGGCTGACATATCATAGCCTGCAAGATCTAATCGGGGCTGCCAGGAGCTTCTTTTCAGGTTGCGCACCTCCTTTTGACGTTTTCCCGCCTTCATCTTTCTTGCGACTGCCCCGCCCAAAACACCCCATCTGCATTTCCCCTCCTCCGCCAGAGATCCGTCAAGATGTTAAAGATTTGGTCTATGGTGCGTTGGCTGTCGAAAAGTACTGGGGAAAAACATATCACTAACTCTCCTGACAGAAGAAGGAGCAGCAGAAGGCCGAAAATGCCGACGCTGCTGGTGGTAAGAAGAAGAAGGTGACAGCAGCGCAGCTGCGGGTGCAGAAAGGTAAGACGGCCCCATGACTGAAGTCTGACGACTAGTTCGCTCACGAGTGGTGTTGCTAGACTTGTCGGAACTTTCTCTTGGCTCTACAATGAAGACAGACTTCCCTGATCCTGACGACATCCTCCATTTCACCCTTACGATCGAGCCCGACGAGGGCATGTACCGCACCGGACGCTTTACATTCAGCTTTGACATTAACCAAAATTTCCCCCACGAGCCGCCAAAAGTCCGCTGCAAGGAGAAGATCTACCACCCCAATATCGACCTGGAAGGCAAGGTGTGCCTAAATATCCTGCGTGAGGACTGGAAGCCGGTGCTGAACTTGAATGCCGTTATCGTCGGATTGCAGGTAAGCTGAGACAGTCATGCATGTATCAGAGATCAAGAATTTGACTGACTGATGTTTTACTGCAGTTCCTCTTCCTCGAGCCGAACGCGTCTGACCCTCTAAACAAGGAAGCGGCCGAAGACCTGAGACTGAACCGCGAGGGCTTCAAGCGCAACGTCCGGACGGCAATGGGAGGTGGTACCGTAAAGGGCGTGAACTACGACCGCGTGCTCAAATAAGAATATTTAGACACGTTTGCGGCTTCCTCACCTGTAGCTTGAGCCCTGGACGCTAGGCCCTTGAGACAAGGCCGGGGAGGCCAAGGTCTATTGAATACCAGTGGCCGGTAGACAGTTTGTGGCCGGGGGACGGCACGTGCGCATTCGGAGGGCCGGTGGGCATTGCAGCAAAGCATCATCGTCCGGCGTTCATGGATATACAGATTTACGAATTACAGAAGGCGAATATTGGGCAAAGGCATCCATTCAATCTGGCTAGAAGAGATAAGATCTGCAGCGGGGGGTTGAGTATGGAATTCGAGCTGGGTGCTCGGTCAGCGGAGGAAAATGGAGCAAGTAGAGCAAACAGACAGATGATATGCGGGAGCGTGTGAAACACAATTGAGAATCAATGAGCAGTGTCTGGAATGCAAAAAACGTTACTGTGTTGACACGAAGGAACCGATCAAACCAATCATAGGACCATGTTTTTCCTGGCAAAAGGCAAGTAACCAAGCAACCAAGCAGCCAAGCAAGCACGCAAAGAGTCACAGCTTCAACGAGAGAGGAGTCATCAGGGTCCGACAGCCTAAAGTGTTGGACGCAGGCCGTTACCGCAGGCACAGCTAGAGGCCGTAGCCGGCGAGGTGGCTGTCGGTGAGAGCCCGCAGCGGTCCATCGTGTATGACTCCCAGCTGGAGATTGGACTACGAAGTCGGCGTGGTGGGCTTCGCTGCCCCACAGCACCCGCGCTCGCCGGCAATAACGTTGATTGCTCCGCGAGGTCTTAGGTAAGGTCGCTGTCAAATAGGAATCGGCTCAAGTACAGGCTACCCCGTGGTGGCAGCAAAGGCCCTGCTTTCTCCAATGTCCCCAGTACCCGCCCTCCCACTTGACGGCCCCTTGCCGCCCCCTACCGAACCCCGGACGCTTCTGAAGGTTTCCCCACCACAGGCATAGGCCAGACGACGCTGGCCAGCCCACCAACGAGGCAAGCTGGGCCGAAGTCGGGGGTCAGCTCGCCCGTCACTGTCCAGTAAAAAATTTCCCAATTCCAAACGCCTTTTCCCATCAGTGAACTCTGTCTTTTCTCATCAATTCCAATCTCTCCTCCTCTTCTTCTTCTTCTTCCTTACAAACGACTTGTACGGATACCCTCTCCACTCCCCTCTCCCCCCAAAACACCACAGTTCAGAATGGCCTCCCGCGGTTTCTCCAAGGCGCTTCGCCCTATGGCTCGCCAATTGGCGACCAAGCCTGCTACCCAGCAGCGCACCTTCGTTGCTGCCCGCAGCCTCGTCCGCGCCTCTGCCCAGGTTTCCAAGGCCTTCGCCGGCTCTGCCCAGCAGCAGACTCGCGGTGTCAAGACCATTGACTTCGCTGGCCACAAGGAGGATGTCTACGGTATGGAATAGACGACCCAGCGAGTCCCTGAAAAATGACTGGCGAGAGATTAATTGCTAACTGTTTTGTCACAGAGCGTGCCGACTGGCCCCAGGAGAAGCTCTTGGTGAGTCACAATCGAGCAACTTGAGCAAAAAAATGGTCAATTGGAGCTAACAATCCCTCTAGGAGTACTTCAAGAACGACACCCTCGCCCTTATCGGCTACGGCTCCCAGGGCCACGGCCAGGGTCTTAACCTCCGTGACAACGGCCTCAACGTCATCGTTGGTGTCCGCAAGAACGGTCAGTCCTGGAAGGACGCCCAGCAGGATGGCTGGGTTCCCGGCAAGAACCTGTTCGATGTCGATGAGGCCATCTCCCGCGGTACCATCGTCATGAACCTGCTCTCCGACGCCGCTCAGAGCGAGACCTGGCCCGCCATCAAGCCCCAGCTCGTCAAGGGCAAGGTACGTTAATCTAGCTCGCAATTGGCAAGCTAATTCAGTGAAATTGACACCTCCAACAGACCCTCTACTTCTCCCACGGCTTCTCCCCCGTCTTCAAGGACGTCACCAACGTCGACGTCCCCAAGGACATCGACGTCATCCTCGTCGCCCCCAAGGGCTCTGGCCGCACTGTCCGCTCCCTCTTCCGTGAGGGTCGTGGCATCAACTCTTCCTTCGCCGTCTTCCAGGACGTCACTGGCAAGGCCAAGGAGAAGGCCCAGGCCCTCGGTGTCGCCATCGGCTCCGGCTACCTCTACGAGACCACCTTCGAGAAGGAGGTCTACTCTGACCTCTACGGTGAGCGTGGCTGCCTTATGGGCGGTATCCACGGTATGTTCCTCGCCCAGTACGAGGTTCTCCGTGAGCGTGGCCACTCCCCCAGCGAGGCCTTCAACGAGACCGTTGAGGAGGCTACCCAGTCCCTGTACCCCCTGATCGGTGCCAACGGCATGGACTGGATGTACGAGGCCTGCTCCACCACCGCCCGCCGTGGTGCCATCGACTGGACTCCCAAGTTCAAGGACGCCCTGAAGCCCGTCTTCAACTCCCTCTACGACGCCGTCAAGGATGGTTCCGAGACCAGGCGTTCTCTCGAGTACAACGGCCAGAAGGACTACCGCCAGAAGTTCGAGGCTGAGATGGAGGAGATCCGCAACCTGGAGATCTGGAGAGCCGGCAGAGCCGTCCGGTACGTCTACATCCACATACCCCACCTCAACCACTTGAAGACACCTAGCTAACAATTCTTTCTCACAGCTCTCTGCGTCCCGAGAACCAGAAGTAAACGGTTCGACCTTGTTTTTTAGATGATGAGCGGGGAAAAAATTTTACTCGGAACGGCTATTTCCTAACCACTGTGCTGGGGAGACGGGGAACTTTTGTACTTATAAACCGGATTCTTGGGGATCTGGGAGCCCGGTTCAAAAGTTTGCATCTTGGACTTTTGGGATCCTTCAATACCATTTCATTTTACGTCAAAGTCACTCGACGATTCATTTTTCTGCTTCGAATGTGCTCTTCGCATTCTGTTCCGTGTGCGTGTGTGATTGTGTGCGTGTGTGTCTATGCATTGGCCTGCCTCAGGAGAAACGAAAGAAGGTTGGTCCCTGCATGAAGGAAATGACTCGATAATTGTAGCTAGCGTTATCTTGCCCATTGCGACCCGATTTGATGGCCCCATGTTTGTCTGTAAACTTTGGCAACTGGCGGGGACGAAAATGGAGTTTCCTGGTGTTGCGAGGATTTAACATGTGCATCGGAGGCCGCCGCTGCCGCCAATTGTCGGGAGGCTTCGCAACTTGTAAAATGTGCATCAATCGCCCTCTTTCATAGCTGTCCCATTACGTCTCGTTTAAATTTGTAGAGATGATGACAGACCGTTGTTAGTTCGACTTTTTAAAACTGAATTGATAGCGTGGGAACTGTGTGTGGTGGGACAGGTGACGCTTGTGGTTTGTGATTCTAGCAGAAAACATCACCACTCTGGTACTGGTGGTGAGCGTAGAGGCCTGTACTTGTTCCCTGCCCGCCCTTAGCGCGCGAGTGATTGTTTTTTCTGGTGCTCGGGTGTATCCGATGTGTCCAGAATTCAAGACACCAGAGACACTGCCGAAAGATCGACATGGGTAGCGCCACTACGGCGTTTTTAACTCATTCGGTGGGCGTGGATTGAGCAATAATGGCTGCTACAGACATTGGGGCCGGGCCATTGATATGTTTGTTTGGGTGTTTGAAGAGTGAAAGTTCAATCAAAATCAGCCATGGAGGCCGGATGCTTACCAGCTTCATCCGTGATAGTCTCACCGTGACAGCGGGCTCACCTTGAGTCCAATTCGGTGGCCTCGGTGAGTCGGTGTATGATTTTGCCGTAGCGACGAAAAGCCCCCACCCCCTTTGTCTGTGCATCCCTCCGGCAGTCGTTGCTGCGTCAACAGCAAACAAGCCAGGGCCCCTTCCCACCCCCTTCATCTCACAAGCGAGCCCAAAATGGCTTTTGTTCGGTATTCAATCGAAATATCAATCAATTGACGATTCACTAGTCTCTTTAAACATTCCACGCGCTTGCGAAAAAAAAGAAGCCTACCACACTCGAACTCTTCTGGAGTCGCGCACAATGACGCCGCTGTCACCAGCAAAGGAATCTAGACTGAACATTGCCACATCCCCTACTGAAGAAACAACCCGCGGTTCCTTTGAGCAGCACCAACGCTACTACGAGGTCCACACCGACACTGAGACAACCACGAGTGGTGATGGTAGTAGCGACAACACCAACACCAGCAGCACGAACACTACTTTAACTTCCCCCACAAACGACACCGAGAATATGCCACCGTCTCCGCCGAATTCTTCGCCGTCGCCGCCTTCCGCGCCGCCTACGGCAATCAAGCCGCAGCGCCATTCTCGCGTGATGTCTGGCACCGCGCCCTCACCGCTCAAAATACTCGCGGGTTCCGAGACAACGGAAAAGCAAGCGCGGAGCCCTCTGCGCAAGACACTCCTCTCTCCCGACAAACGCTTTCCCATCAGGGTGAGCAACTCGACCATCGAGTCTCCTCGTTCTTCCTCTGTCACATCCTCTTCTCCCCAAGAGCGTAGCATCAGCTTGGACGAAGCCATGAACGACAACGAGGGACTCAAGCACGCTATCGAGATTTTCGAGGACGACGATGTAACTGGCCTCGAGAACGATGATCAAATTACAAATGACACAAGCATTATGACTGTTGCCGAGACTGGCGACCATCAGCCAGAGGCCGATATTGGCTACGAGGACCAGAGCAGTCTCAATGCCCCCGACGAGACCATGATGAGCGCTTTTAGCACCTTCTCCGCCGTTCCTAACCTGACCACTTTCGCGAAGCTTGGCCTGACACCCCAAAAGTATTCCAGCATGAGCGGCACGACCCCGCGAGGGAGATCCGAGACCATGCACGAGCAGACTCCGCGAGAGGGTGGAAATACCACAAATCTTTTGGATTTTACCGGCAGCCAACGGTTTCCCCACAAGTCGCCCTCCAGGCGGGGAAACACGTCGCCTTCCAGAGCAAACCCTAATGCCACTCCCGCGCGTCAAATGTCAAACCTACTTGACTTTGACATCCCCCCTCTGCCTACACCTCGCAGTATCCCGACCATCACACCGCGAGAGCTCGAGAGCCTGAAGTCGAACTTCCTCTCGGAGATTAGCAGCCTGAAGGCGTCGCTGAGCGGCAAGGAGGCCGAGGTCCTCTCCCTCAAGGCCGCTATCGGCGATGCTGAGAAGCGGGTCGGGCAGAGCCAGGAGGAGGCTCGTGAGGAGCGGTCGCTGCGCGAACAAATCGCCGAGGAGAAAGATGCCTGGGAGAACAGTAGCCGCGAGATGGAAGCAGTCCTCCGCAGCGTAAAGGAAGAAATTGTTCAGAGCACCCGCGAACGCGAGGAGCTCGAGTCCAAGCTGGCCGAGAGTGAAGCCCGTCGCGAGGCCGCTGAGACCATGGCTCAAGAGGCCGAAAGCAAGCTGGCCAGCATGCGCGCGGGCAAGCCCGAGAAGGAGGGTTCGTCCGATAAGAAGGCCGGCGCCGCTGCGACGTCTAAGGAAGTCGAAATCGCCGTCGAGCGTGTCGCCCGCGAGCTACACGCCCTCTACAAGGGCAAGCACGAGACCAAGGTCGCCGCCCTCAAGAAGAGTTATGAGACTCGCTGGGAGAAGAAGGTGCACGAGCTCGAGGTCAAGATCGAGGAGCTCACCCAAGACAACGAGAAGATCCGCGTCAGCCGCGACGCGGCGCCTCGCGTCGACCCTGCTCAGCAGGCCATGCTGGAGGAGCTCAAGGCCAACGCCATCACCGACTCAGCTCACATCAAGGAGCTTAGCGCCGAGGTTGAGAAGCTCGAGGCTGTAATTATGACGGTGAAGGAGGACAACTCTGAGTTGCGCCACCTGCTCGCTCAGGAGCGTGTCGAGAAGGGTGAGCTCGTCCAGCTTGCTGAGGAGATGATGCAGATGCAGAGCAGCCACGCCCAAGAAGCCGAACGCGAACGCGAACGTGAACGCGATCGTCAGCGTGAACGGGAGTGGGAGCGTGAGCGGGAACGTGAGCGTGAAAGAGATCGCGAGCGTGAGCGTGAGCGCGAGAGGGAGAGGGAGCGTGAGAGAGAGTATTCCCAGCCCCTGCCGCAGCGCAAGACGGCGACCACGCCTGCGCGTACTCCCGGCGGAGCCCCCGTCAGGAGCCACACGGACACCAACAACTTCCGCAGCAGCATTGGCCGCGGCTCGGGCCTCAAGGCGCCCGGTTCCATCGCTGGCCATGGACGCACCGGCAGCGCTGGCCCTGCGACCAAGGGTCTCCCTCGTCCCAGGCCCATGAGCGAATTCGGACCGCGAAGCGGCATCATGAGCTCCATCGAGAAGATGGGCAACCACCGGGCACGCGGAGATTAAGCAATCCCAGCATGAATTTTTCTCCTCTCTTTTCTTTTCCCCCCCGCAAAGACTTCTTACGACGGCAACGACATGAAATGGACGAAGCATTTACCCCCAGGTGGAGAGGAAGAAAGAGAGCATTGACGTAACGAACTGGCGTCACGGTCCTGTTTCGGCTTTTGTTTGATACCAAAAGGGACACAAAATGTCTGATTAAGGACTTCCAAATGGAAGATGGTTGTGGCGTTTTTTTTATAATGTCTTTTTTTTTATGGAGTGTATTACTGTTGATGTTGAACGGGGGCGGCTGTCTGTGTTGTTTTTTAGCTGTCCCGTTTGTTTGCGGAGTGAGAGGGGGGTGGGTTTTGGATTCAACAAGCCTCTTCTGTCCGCGGCGACACGTACATACTCCTCCTTGAAAATGGTAATGTTCAGTCCATCGCATTGATTTATTTTTTATTCACTATTCTTCATGTTGTTGTTGTTGTTGTGTATTGTCTAATCTCGGGCCCGGTGGTTTCGTGATGCATGTTTGTTGGATTTTGTCTAGTTGTGTTTTTGTGCTGTGTCGTGTGTCTTTTCGTCACCGGCATCATCATTTATCAACTTTTCCCTTCATCATCATCATCATCTTGCTACGCACCGGCTGGCCGGCTCCCAATGTCTGCTGAGAAACCTTTGCTCTGCGAGGTCGCGGTCGTTAGACAGTATTCAACTTTTATCAAATTTCTGAAAATGAATTGTGTCGTTACTTGTGTTGTGATGTGTGTCGCATGTCTTTTGTGTGTAGGTTGTTGTCCCTGTGTTATATAGGACTCGTCTGGTTCGATATACGCGAAGATCTTATCCGTATACTATACCTTAGTTTGTGGTTTCATGTGGTACCCGATATGAAGTCTGGCTGGCGGGTAAATTTTGTCACGAGACTTAGTATATCATACGAAAGGTAATTCTAACCCAACCCTGTTAGACACGGCCAACTTGATCATCAGTTTCCTGTTTTCAACTGCCAATGGGTAGATCCTGCTAAACAAACCGAAAAGCCATTATTCATCTTCGAAATGATAACATTGATAAATTTACTCAAGGACACTCTAGTCGTTTCTGGCAGTTGTCATCGAGGTATTCTCGAGGGCCCAGGCGAGCACACTCGTTCATGATCCAACCGGTCTCTATTATCCCTATTCTCCAGGAGAAAAAAAGCCGAACCCTGAATTTCATCAAATCACAGTTTCTACTCCTGGCGATTACCATGTGCTACATATGCAGGGGGAGGCACCCGAGGTATCAGCTCCCCATCCAGCTCTTCAAACTCAAGCCCGTCGAGCGCCGGTGTACGCCGATGTTGCACCACAGGCCAAACTCTGACGCGGGCCGCCGCGAACACGATAGCTACGCAGCCAACTATCAGAACAGTAAATTGATGACGGGAGGCGGGGTCCCTTCGACTGATGATGTTCATGATGGGCAGGACTATCAAAGTAGTAGCGCACTGCAGCGTATAAATCACACCAGCGACTCGACCTGCGAACTTGGCCCGGATACGAGAACCGACGAAAGAAAAAAGCAGAGCGGTGCCGTATGGCACGACGCCCACGCCAAGTGCCGCAAAAACCATGCCTGCGATCACGCAGCCTTTCGATGGCAGTGGGATGAGTAGCGACCCCAGGCCAAGGGAGAAAGCCGAGGTAAGAAGAATGATGTGGTCGCGGCGCTGTGGAGTTCGGTTGGGGTTTCGTGACAGGAGGCAATTGAAGATGGATAGCACGCTTCCCAATGTCATTGCTGAGAGGCAAGGAATGAAGTAATCTTTGGTCAAATGATCGGTGGCTCCAGAGTTGTCGTCGAAGCGCGCGGGTATGAATCGCTTGAGAGATGCCATCGAGGCGAACGCCAGTGGAGTTGCGGTAACCGTAATGATTAGCAGAGATTTTCCAGGCGAACGGAAGACAGCGGATAGGGCTTCTTTCACGGGCGATCGAAATTCGGTGTCCACGATGTCTTCCTCCTCCCTGTCCTGATCGCTTGCCTGTTGCTTGTGTCGCGAGTTGGCATATGCCCACAACAGAAGCAGCGTCAAGCTGCATAGAATGCATAAGATGGCCGGGAACATTACACTCTTATAATGGTCCTCTTGGCTATTTTCAGCAAAGAGCAGGCTGGTTAGGTAGCCTAGGATAGCGGCGCAGATGATGTTCGTGAGGTTTGTAGATCTGCATGAAAGTAGTTAATAGGGGGAAGTCTATGAGATAAACCATGCAGTGTGACTAATCGAGGCAAAGCCGAAAAGTTGAGACTTACAGAGTTTTACTGTCAGAAACTTCAGTAACCATGGCTAAGGCAGTTCCCTCGATGACCGCCCCAGACATGGCGGCAACGATTGTAAAGCACCAACACCACCACATACTCCAACTAACCAGGCTTACAATCAAGAGTGCTTGGAAAAACAGCCAAAACACCATACCGACAAATGATATAGAACCGCGTCCGTATCTGTCAGAAAGACCGCAGAAATATTGTGTAAAGAGGAGGCCTGTAGACAAGTTAGGATCTCACGCCGTGCGCAAGAAGAAGCGCCAGAAGAAGCAGGCATGTACTTACCACCTACGGCCTGGAGAACTCCCGTGATAAGATCGTTATGCCCCATCATCTTATTTACATCATCCATGTTGCATCCCAAGTCATAATTCGGCATGGAACGGTCCTTTGGCAGGCCATAGTAGTCGTAACAAATGGCTCTGCGGGTAAGAGAAACGACAGGCCGTTCGAGCAGAGAGGCCCCCATGTAAAAGCAGTAGGCCATGGGAATCATGAGCAACGAGCGGCTATCATAAGCCCCAAGGGCACCAGACCGATTATGGGCGGTGATGCTGGCAGACATCCTGGCTGGCTCTCCGTGATCGGATTGTTGAATGAAAAATGTCGTAAGGGTCGCTGTCAATTTGAAGATTGATCCGCAGCGCGTACAGAGAAATGAGTTACCCTGGTAGGTGCCAAAAAAAATATAAAGCGATCCGTGTTCTATTGCCGTTTTGTCTACTTATTCTTTTGTATCTCCGTTATCTGCTCCTGAAGCCAATGCAAGAGTGAATTTTAGCTCTTGGTGGTTCAAGGGCCCCAATCTACTGGACATATGTGAACCAATCTTTGAGTTTATTTCTGAATGGGCCTTCCCATTTTATAATATCCCCTGACCTTGGGCTTTCTCTGTGTTAAAGTTCCCAAGCGAAGCGGCTCTTCGTATCTTGTTAATCATAAGCGCGTGAGTAAACTTGCTTTCCGCCAACCCAGGTCTCCTTAACCTTGAGGTCCCGCAGGTCATCAATATCCATGGACTCTAGAGGCTCGTCTAGGACAACCCAATCGGCCAAAGCACCTTCCTTAATGATGCCAGCGCGCCCTTCCATAAAAGCGCCGAAAGCGGGGGCCTTGGTGAACCCAAGCAAGGCCTCATCAAGGCTTAAGGCTTCCTCGGTGTGCCACCCACTAGGGCTTCCATTTGGTCCATAGCCCGTGCTGGGATCCTTTCTGGTCACGGCAGCGTAAATGCCCTGGAAAGGGTTGGGAGGCTCAACAGGGAAGTCACTACCTAGGATGGGGTGGACGTCAAGGAGTGAGCGCATACGATAGGCCTCGTTCTTGGTTCGCTCAGGACCGAGTCGCAGCTCAGCGTACTTCATGTCGGAAGTTGCGTGAGTTGGCTGAATAGAGGGAAGAATACCGATGGCATGGATTCTCTTCTGGTCGTCTTCGTGAATGATTTGTGAATGCTCGATACGGAAGCGGCGCTGGGCCTGGCATTCTGCCAGATCTCCTTCAGGGCACGCAACCTTTAACCCAGCCTCCAATGCATCAACGGCAAGACGGTTTGCTAGGTCTCCAATGGCATGGATATTCACTTGATAACCAACAGATGCCCATGATTTGCCAAGTTGGAGCAATGTTGAAGCGTTGACAAGCAGAGATCCAGAAGTGTCGGGGCGATCGCTGTAGGGTTCTATCATAGCACTTCCCCAGCTTCCAAGAGCGCCATCTGGAATGTATCAGTATTTAATCATGGGCATAAAGAAACTAAGCAGCTGGGAGGACAGACCTGCAAAGAGCTTCACAGACTTGACACTAAACCGATCGTTCTCCTGGAAGACGCGCGCGGCATCATCCGGACAAAATGTGTTCCGCTGCGCACATTCCAGCATGGCATAAACCCGGACAGTCCAGTCGTCCGTGTGAGACATATCTGCATACACGTCGAGCTGGTCCGGGAAGACTCCGGCATCGTGAATGCCAACCAAGCCGACTTCGTTCAATTTCGCCATAGCTGCGGCGACAAATGCTCGCTTCTTCTCCGGGCCAGGCTTAGGCCAAATATTGGTGATCAAATCCATGGCATTATCGCAGAAGACACCCATACCCGGTTCCCTGACGATCTCGCCACCAGGGACATCGGAAATGTCTGCCGGCAGAAGATCCAGAACCGCTTTAGACACCCACGTACAATGAACATCAATGCGATCAAGCATGAAGTATTTGCCCTTCAAGAGCTCGTCTGCTTCAATGTCCGCCTTTCAGAATCTTAGCACAGTCACTCAACGAAGAGAGATGAGGTCCAACTCACAGCAGTTGGCATTCTGCCATACACATTCTGGTCCCACCCGATTCCTCGGATCCATTCGTCCTTGGTGCCGGCCTCAGGATTGCTATCAACATAGTTTCTCAGACGCCCTCTAACGTCGTCCAGTGTGGCCGCGCCGAAAAGATCGGCCGAGGAGAGAAACTCGCCGTACTGAATGAGATGGCCATGACCATCCCACAGGCCGGGAATCACGTAGCCGACATTCGTTGTCAAGCTCGCGTCGTCCCAGGGAAAAACTCGGGTGAATTTCCCATCAGAAACCGTGAAACATTGGGCAGATGGCTGGTCTTCATCGTGTGTGCGAACGCCCTGGTAGCAATAAGTGGCTTCTGAGATATCACCATGTAGAGGTTGTTGGAGACGCACGACTGCCAGTGCAACCACGGCAACGGCAGCTGAGAGACCGAGACCCCACCTCAGGATTGGAGTTGAAGCCATGATGGTGAAATCTTAGTTGAGCATCAAGATAGCGTCATGGACTGTATGATGGCAGGCCTCGAAATTCAATGTGGAAGGTTGATATTCTTATCGCCGATGTGATAAGGATCTGCGTTATCTTATCGCTGGCTTCGGGGACGGACCAGGGATCATGGTTTGTGTCTACTGTACTGATCAATTCACATCCGACGATGGAATTAAAGGTTGTCCTAATCATGGCCAAATGTTCAATTGGCTTAACGGCCAAGCTATGAATAAGGTTTAGCGAAGGAAGTAAGAGCAGGAAAGCTTTCTGGAGCCGAAATTAGCACCATTTCCCCCACAGTGGGCTGCTACGTATGAGCTGAGGAATATGACCGGTACTCGTGACAACCTCACCTACATTTTTTATCACCGGCGGCCTGGCCTGGTACCTGACCAGCAGCATACGAAGCTTTACATGTCAGATTCCGCCAAGACGGCATAACCCTTTGGGGGATTTCTTGGATGAAGACTGTACAGGACTCTTCATTCGCAGCCTGCCTAATGCTTTCAGGCTGCAGTTGGCTTAATCAGTCCACACACTGCGAGCACGTAAAACAAAGATTACTGTACCGTAGGCTAATGCAGGTCATACTTCACGTAGAAGAGGAACCCGAGTATTCTGTGTCATCCTTATAGAGTATCTTGGCCCCAGCCTTACAGATTCAACTCTTCATTCTTTCGTTGTTCATATACCAGCTAGTATTTGATAGATGTCGCCAAAATGAGAGTGTCCAAAGAACAGCTCGAGAGTCTCACGGAGACAGACGTCCGAGATCCTATTCCCAAAGAATCCCTCCTTCCGGCCCTCACTTCACCGCCATTCATACTCTCCGCATCGCTCATCAATGTCCGAGACCTAGGTGCCGTTCCGGGCTCCGCCATCCGCCCAGGTCTCGTCTACCGCTGTGGCACTCTTGAGGTCGCAGCCCAGGACCCTCACGCTTTGTCCTGGATTGCTGCCAACGTAAAACATATCTTCGACATCCGTTCTCCTCGGGAACGTGAGAAGGCTCCGGACCCTGATGTCGAGGGTGTCCAAAACACTTGGTTCGACAGTACAGGCATTGACACACAGCCTATTTTGGATGAGTTCGTCGAGGGCGGTGGCGAGGCCGGGGTCAGAAAGGAGTACCTCAAGGTACTGGACATCTACCAGCCAAGCTTCCGCGCCGTACTGGAGCACGTACGCGATGGGCCTGGTGAGGGGTTTCTATTCCATTGCACAGGTACGTGAGCCATATTAAACGAACGCCTCAGTTGCCTGGTGGGCGAAAGGCAATCCAAAGTGTCGCTCACAGTCACCCAGCCGGTCGAGACCGCACAGGCGTGTTGGCAGGCATTCTACAGTCTCTTGCCGGCACAAAGCCTGATGACGTTCGCTTCGATTATATGCTCTCGCGCATTGGTACCGAACCAGCCCGTGAGAGGCTGCTTAAGTATGCACTTTTGGGCACCGCGCTTGCCGCCGAGGATGATCACCCCGGGTTCTACAATATGTGCAGCCTGCGTAGGTCCTGCTGGGATGCCTTTGTCGCTGGCGTTGAGGAGGAGTATGGAGGGTGGGAAAGCTATGTGACCAAGACACTGGGGTTTTCAAATGAGGATCTTGAGAAGATTAAGGATCACCTTCGCGGGACACAAGCGCTGCCCAACTGACATGACTGTGTTTCAAAGCCCGATTGCGGCGTACATATGCCGCAATAGAACGCACACCTCTTTGCTACTGGCTAAATTATAAAGCCAAAGTAATCACTCCAGAAGCTGGTAGTAGTCTACTCAAGTTGTGACCGAAAAGGCAACTTCCACCTCAAGTAAGAAAAATTGAGTATCGCTAGGCTTGCTTGAACCCTCCTGAATAGTCTGCTAGCTTCTCTGAACCACAATCTCGACCACAGAGGTTATGAATCTTGAATTGATTAAGATTGCACATGTAAAGACATATGACCTTCCACATAGAACTCGAACCTAAGTAGGAAACTGTAATGAACCGTTAGCAGCGTCAGCCGGTCAGAGCTCCAATATCAACATATTGGCTGCAGTTTCAACACAATCATCATTGATCTTCTCAGCAACCAGAAACTGCAGCACAGCAAGCTCTAACATCTTGCGGACTGAATCCGTAGATACATCAGAGTAGGGAACAGTGTTTCACAGGTTTAAGACAAAGGGCAGCTGGTGTTTCTCTCCTCTGAAATTTCAGACCAGTAAAATCCAGCACTCTCAATGAGGAAAAATTATGCGCCTCTCAAACTGTGGCATTAAGTGATTCCGCCAGGAGCCTGAATATTTCTGGCATATCTTCTTCATATCATAGTAAACTGGCGGGATGATTTCCTGGTATCATCTGAGCAAGAACACGCACGTAATCGAGGCTGGCTTGCTTGTGCGCTTCACCTATGCCTATGCCGACTTTTCCCCGTCCGATCGACATGGCACAAGACGAACAGCAGATGAGAGCAACGCCGCGCAATTGTAAGCAAGATAACAATGATAACAGCCGCGGACGGCGATGAGAAACAGGGGGAAGCTGAGGATGAGAGGCAAAGTGCAACAATGCGCATCCTTGGTGCCTTCGTCGGTTGTCTCATCAGAGGATTCACTTACGCTTTACGGCCCAAGTTAGAAGTGTGAACGCATGAAGACCCCTCAACCACGATCCGAAAAGGTGTGATAGGCTTCAAACAAAACGGGGGATGGCCCTTCCCCTCAGCGATCCTCCGTTCTATCACAGGCTGGACTCCAGCGTAACAGCTTCCGCGACCACTCGACGGCCTTGAGCCCGCAAAACTGACGTCGATTCCTAGGCAAACCTTCGTGTACCGTAAATTGCCTATCGTTCAACCGCACCGTCATTCCGACGGATGGACCTTGGCGAGCACCTTGAAAACCGTTTTGGTATAGATGGACTTACACATCTACGCGTACCGTTGCGCATGACATCATATCCCTTCAGCCACATCACCACACAACTGTCGTGTTACTCACTCTAATTGGCTGGATCATTATCTAGCGCCAACGTCTGATCCGAGCGGGACAGGGGTATGAGGCGCAATCCAATAGACGCCCTTCCCTTACCACACCCACTACGTCACCAGCCACAGGACCCTTAAACTTGTTTTTGGTCTTACAGATTGTTCTGGACCTCTCTTTACCACACACACTCAGGCTGACCTCAATTCCATCGAAGGAGCACTCACCTGCCTGCTATCCAGTCCGGTTTTTGCTTGTGGCTTCACACCCAAAATAGGTCTTCCTACGTAAGATGTAGCACACCAGGCTCCCCCATCGAACTCACGCCTTCAACTGCAAGGGACGTCACATTCAGGGTCCAACCCCCTCTCGTCATCCGCCAACAGAGAAGCTAGTAAAGAGACATGGGCTAAGATGCAGGTTTTGGACCCTTTGCACATCATTCCCGCCTTTAACCCCCCATGCTGAGGACTTTAGAGAAGTGAATAGTTCGTTCACAATGTCGTAGCCCCTCCCTCCCCTCGCTTTGAAACGCACATTGGTTCCCGTAGATCTCCCAGGTTTGACATCATCCCTTTGGACCCCGATCTCGAGACCCCTGTTCGGGCTGCGAACTCTGTACTCTGATGATGCCATCCCCAACATACTACCGCTCATCTGACCAACCATCGAATACAACTTGTAAACGAAGCCAGCCTTACAACGTCCATCCTCAAAAAAGCATATAAACATTCATCCTTTCCCACCATCTGCTCCATTTCTTTCTACATCAGCATCAAGCATCAAACAAACAACCAAACAACTATTCTACAAAGCCTCAGACTTACAGTCTACCCAAAGCAAATCAAACCAAACCAAACTACTTTACCAAACTTTTACAACCAAAAAAACCACCCAACATGCCTCTTAGATCCACCCGCCACACCACCACCACCACCGCCCCCCGCCGCGGCCTCTTCTCCCGCCGTCGCGCTCCGGCCACCACCACTCGTCGCCACCACCATACCACCACCACCAGAACCACCCGCCCCAAGCGCGGTGGTCTCTTCTCCCGCCGCCACGGCGCTGTGACCACGGCCCCCGTCGTCCACCACCAGCGCCGCAAGCCCTCCATGGGCGACAAGATCTCGGGCGCCATGCTCAAGCTCAAGGGCACCTTGACCCGCCGCCCCGGCCAGAAGGCCGCCGGAACTCGCCGCATGCACGGCACCGACGGCCGTGGCTCCCACCGCCGCTATCGCTACTAGATGAGCGGCTGTACCAACACGAGCAATTCTTGCAATCAATCAGCGTCTCTTTTGTAACGGTTCATGATGATGAGAAGTCGTCAGCTCTCGGGTAGAGCTGAGCGAGGATAAAGATGGATACCACTTTTGTACCACTATTGTTTTTGAGAAGAGCGAGTTGGTTTGAAGATACCACGTCTGTATATGACTCTACAAATGCAAGCACATGGCACTTTAGACATTGTACAATATCACCGATGATATAATTGAAAGAGAACTTGTTTGTGATCTGATCTGGTCTGATTTGAAGTACAATTGTTCCTAGGTAAACTTATCTGCCTACTACAGTGACAGTTTAGTGATTCCCATGACCGGTTACTTCCCAGACGAACCCAAGTTAACAAACAATCTCATGCTGTTGGTTAGTGTGTCTTTCCTAGCTGATCTAATCGTATGCGACGTCTCATTTATAGGAAGAACCTTTCTTCCAAGGCTTCCGTATGTAATCGCCCGTTTCTGGGCTAAGAGAGACAGACCGATTGAAAAGGACTTCTTATACCTTGGTATATCCGGCAGAGTTCTTAACCACGTCGAGAGTTGGCAAAAGTCGGATGCCTGAGCCAATAAGGCTCCAGGACTTGTATTATGACCATGTTGCCTCAGTTAATCTTGTCGACGGCGAAAATCCTTTTGTCGTGCTGTGATGAAGTAGGAAATGGCGCATGAGCTGCGCAGGGCGGACTGCCCCTTATACTCTGCTAATTTGTATTAGTACCTCAGATGGGATTTAGGTTAAGCAATAAATTGTATTATCTCACTTACACAAATTGGTCAAGGGGGAAAATCGACTCATAGCTTGGCGTTTCGGTTGGTAATCCACTCTGGTACTGGACAGGAAACGCAGCCGCAATGAAATGCGAATTAGTCGACCCAAAAACCGAGGCGGTGGATTATGATTGGTGAACCAAGGCAGTCGTTAAACAGAAAGTTATAGTCCACGTCGCGTGTGGTGCTGCTTCAAGGACGAAACAAGTGCCTGCCTTGAGTGGCAGCAAACAAGTGAAGGCGGTCGAAGAAAGCAACAAAGAACTCGAGAATTCCTGCTAAATGGACCGAAAAGTGTACGGCCATCGTCCCTTTGTTCTCTAAAGAGCCTCAAATATGACCCAAGAATCGGCGAGGAGCGCACTTGGTCGCATCCTATTGCAACTCATCGATCTCTAGCGCATCCGAGTTTGTGGGCTGGTATTGAGGCCCAAAGCGACGGGTCGGAAGGGACGTGACAGGCTCGATTGGGCGAGGGATGCGAGACTGCCTGGAAGAAATAACAGAAGACTCCCTATGGTGCTTGCGTTCATTGACGAGGCCAAGGTCGTCAGTTATATTCTCCTTTGCCGAGCAAGCCTTCATCGGAAGGTTCTTGTCACGCAGAGTAAGCGCATTAGTACCAATCAAGCCAGCGAATTTGGTTGTCAAAGCATCGCGTTCGTTGGCTGGGGCATTTTGAATTTGGAGAATGGCATAGGCGCGGAATTGCGTCTCTAGATCATCCAGATCATCCTTGCTGGGCGAAGGGTGCTTCTTAGTTCCAAGGTCATATTTATCGTGGAAAAGGCGGACACCCTCCAAATCGAGCTTAAGTTTGCGCTGATTTATGCCACTAGAAACGCCCTCTTCCTGGGCCAGAGTTGTCAAATGGCGATCATCGATCTTTGCATATCTTCGGGAAGGGCTCTCCAAGGGGACAGCCTTCTTGTCGCTCCGAACACGGGGAGTCGAAGCGCAAAGGGGTTTCTCAGAAAGGAATCCCTCGAGGTCATCGTCAAAACCCTTCTCGGAATCGAAAGGGTTCAGTGAAGGAATCGGTGGGATGTTAGTTGAGTCGAGGCTGCTCTTGAGACGATACTCGAAGGGAGTAGGTGTTCGAACAAGCTCATGTGGCCCAGAGAAGGGATCGTCAGACGAACTGGAACCACCGCTAAGGAGCGACCGCCCATCGTCAGAGACCGGCTTTCGCAATATGCGACCACCGACGATACTCCGTACCTTTTGGTTGTTCAGATTGTTTCCTTCGTTGAGCCGAATTTCGATAGAGCTGACCGGAGACGCTTGGCCGACTTCCTCAATGTGGAAGTGTGCCGCAGGGTTAGGGAGGTCGCATGTGGTCAGAGCAATCGGTGCAGAAATCTTGCCACGAATCTTCGACTTAGGGGTGGCTGTGTTCGGCTGAAAGACATCTAAAACCTTGCGGACTTTGGATATGACCTTCATGGTCCGAAACCGTGAAGATTTAGAGGAGTTGGCAGGGGTGCTATTTTGAGAGCCACGAGGCTTAAGTGCCTCGGTGGCAGCAAGCATTGCGGCAACTTTGTCATTAATCATGATGTGGTTGTCAATTGGGGGAGCAGGTGTCAGCATCCCGCTATCCATCTCTTTTGCAAGCCCGCCAAGTGGCGCCGTCGTGGACCCTGTGAGAGGGACATCGTACTTTTTGCCAGTGTCGAGAATGCTGGTCTTTGATTGTGGGAATGGCTGCTTGGAAAGCTGTACCTCAGAGCCTTCAGATATGTCATGGCGAGTGTTACGCTTGGCTCTGCGGCGTGAAGACTTTCGAGGAATAGCTGGAGCCAGATCAACAGTCTCTGACGTCTGAGTTCGGGACTGTTCTGAGGCAACACCTTCCTCAAATGGAACAACAACGACGTGATCATGCGAATCGACGGCCATGTTGGTGTTCGCAGGAGAATGTGCAGAGGCAGCGCTGATTGGTCCGATACCGCAGAGGAGAACAGATGGATGGCTGGCCAGCCCGTTGGGATGGTTGTAAATAGTGCTCTCCAGGAGAGCACTTGCCAGACGGTCAATCGTTTGATCTTGGCTGCCTTGAGTCATAGGGTGCTGACCGTGACCAGCACCCGTATTCAAGACAGGCACCGAGAGGTTTGTGGTCTCTGAACGGAGTGTCAGTTGAGCCTATACAACATGATCATATGATTCTTTCTCACCTCGGGGCTCGGGGGCTCGGGGATTGTTGCTTCTATCCCGGCGTCGAGACGCCAGGGAAGCGAGAGTACTCATCGACTTCTTTTTCATCGTGCATGAGTGCCGTGTTAACAAGGGGTTGAAATGGAAAGAATAACAAGAGTAAAAGGGAAAAATGAAGGAGCAGAACAAATCAAGTTGAGGTGCTGATGATGTTAGAGAGAGTGAAGAAGGAAGCAGAGCAACGAGGAGACCGGTGCTTTACTCCTCTGATGTCAAACCACAATATACTTAGCTGTTGAATGGCAAGTAAATAATCTGAAGGCAGAGCTGCCTGGAGATTTACCCGCCTGATGATGGAGTCGAAGACCGAGCGTTCGAAGCCAGCAGCCGCCAACCTGATGACAGGCTGACGTTGTTGCGATCTATGGTATGGCAGAAAGAAAGGTTGTTGCGCAGAAACCCGTCGCGTTTTTCCTATGCGGAGGAGGGCGGTGCGGCGTTGAAAAAAGGAAGCGAAGCGGCCACGAGGGGGATGGGGCACCTGATCTCTCGTCCGAGTTATTCTTTGGGCAGGTTCGGTCTTGCCTCTGGTAAACATCAAGCTTGATATCGTGGCTTCCCGTTTGTAGCTTGGAGCCCTCTGTTTCAGTTCATGTTTGGTTGGCTCTCAGGGGAGGAGCAGAGAGCGGAGACTGGGAACAGCCTATCACATTCGCCAGGGGGTGTCGTTCGTGATTCTTCAGCAGGTTGCGGCTTGACAGTATCCAAGCCGCAGCTCACTCTGAAGAACGTGGACGAGGCGTCGGGGCTTTGTCCGGCGTGACGAAGCTTACTCCGAAAGTCAGAGGCGTCAGGGCTTTGCTCACTCAAGAGTGCTCGCTGGAGAAAATCCAAGTATTCCATCATGGAAGCACCGCAAAGGGCCGAGAAGACAAGTAAATCCAGCACCAGGAAAGGTCCGATCACTTCTGGGCAGAACTCTGGGGAAGCCATTTCAAACGTTTCGGAGAGACTAGCGAGAAATCGTGGCTGATATTGACACTCGATCCAAGACAGACACGCCGTGGCTGTTGACCAATGAATAAAACCAAGAAAATAGAATTAATGAGACTCATCCTGCGAACTCGTCGGGCCGGCAGACGGCTCGCTTACCATAAAAAGCCGAAGTTGGGTCTCAGTTGTGGTGGACGAGTACATCGAGATCACATCTTGGTATTTGTCAAGGGCGTTTCGCCAAAACCTGTTATTGTAAGGCGGATGCAATGGGAACTACTCTGGGCATCTCTCAGATGATGAACAAATGAAAGTTCAAATCCCTGCTGGGGGCCACACTGCTACCTACAGAACGTTATTATTGAATAGAGGATTTCTTTGTTGAGAAACACTATTGACGAGCTATAGCTAGTACGAGACCAATGCAGAACATGCGAGGAGGAAAAAGAAGAAAATAGGAAAGGGAAAAGAAAGAAAAAAATAAAATAAAAGACCCGACAGGCACTTCCGGCATCACCGGCCATCATTATCATCAGTGACGGGTCGTTCGGCTGCCGTTTTGACCGGTGAACGTTAGTTGCGGCCGGAGGAGAAACGGAGTGGCAACGGGCCCGCGGGTGACCGCGGAGATCCTCGGCCTTTCCGAGATAGGGATCTAGATCCTTCAAAGGCTTGTTTGGTGTGTGTAAACGCATGAGGCAACAGACAGGGAAGCGAAATCTCTGACAGACTGTGCATCGGAAAGGGCCCATCACGATACAATGGGCGTATTGATTGTTGCTGACAATGACAATTACTGAGCTGCATTACTTGCCGAGGCTCAGCTTCCATCCCCAAAATGTTAGTCAGCCACAGCCAAGGTAAAATGCGATGTCGCTTTCGCTCACGTTCCCACCGTTGGGAGCTTGGGGATTTCAGAAAGGCGAAAAAGCACCGCCGGAAGGGGGCCTTCGGGGGCGGAGAAGCCGCCACCGGAGATGGCCAATTAGCATTGCTCAGCCTGTGATTGGCCAGCTGGCGGTGGCATCGTGCATTTCCATTTGCTGATTCATTAGAAGAGTTGGTGAGTGGACCCACGGTCACCTCCGTCTCCTGCCGAGTTCAGCCAAAGCGGGAAGGATAGCTGGTCTGTTTCAAATCCCGTCATCCTCTTGGTGTGCGCGACCCTTTACCACTATTTTTCCTCGTGCCATTTCCACCGTCTGTATTTTCCTTCATCTTCAGCCCCAAACATCTCCGACCGCGCCCTTTCTACGACTTTGGCCTCACCGCCCATTCCTCCCTTGGAATTCGACATCCTCGAACATTATCGGTCGCGACAACACAAATAATCACTCCGCACTCCTTTCGCGAGTTTGAACGGCGCCACCGCCCCGACTCCTTGATATTTCCCAACCACTTCCTGGCGACCATTGCCACCTTACGACTATCCAACTCCAAAACTTGCGATTGAACCATCTACATCGACAAACTATCACCATGTCCTTCTCCAGCCTTGTTCAGGACCTCACTTTGAGGGATTCCGGTGTTCCGCGCCGCTCTCGCGGTGATGCCTCTGTCTCCACCATTGACGACAGTCGTTCGCAAATCTCGCGTGCCATGTCCTATGCCAGCACTGCTGCGACCAGCGTCAGCATCTCGGGAGACATTTCTAGCCAGCTGCACGGCGGTTACTTTCATCCCCTTGCCCGCTCATGGCAGGCGGAGAGGCAATTGACCAAGGTATGTCACACAACGCGGGGTTTTCGCGATGAATCACTGCTGACTTGTTGTACAGTCGATGCTGATCTATCCCCTTTTCATTTCCGACCAAGACGATGAAGAAGTCCTCATTCCCTCGCTCCCCGGCCAATACCGCCGAGGCATTAACAAAACAATGGCTTGGTTGGAGGTGCTGGTGCGCAAGGGCCTGCGCTCCGTGATGCTCTTCGGTGTGCCCGTGCGCCCCGGTAGCAAGGACGCTCTTGGCACCTCCGCCGACGACCCGGAGGGCCCTGTTATCAGAAGCATCCGCGCCATCCGTCAGCGCTTCCCCCAGCTCTTCATTTGTGCCGACGTCTGCCTGTGCGAGTACACTTCTCACGGTCACTGCGGTATCCTCCGGGACGACGGCAGCTTGAACAACCAGCTGTCAGTTGACCGCATCTCCGATGTTGCCATCGCCTACGCCTTGGCTGGTGCACACTGTGTCGCTCCCTCAGACATGAACGATGGCCGTATTCGTGCCATCAAGCTCAAGCTTATCGAGGAAGGAATTGCCCACAAGACGGTACTGATGTCATACTCTGCCAAATTCTCCGGCTGCCTTTATGGACCCTTCCGGGACGCGGCCGGTTCTGCGCCATCCTTCGGAGACCGCAAGTGCTACCAGCTGCCTCCAGGTGGTCGTGGTCTGGCTCGCCGCGCAATCGTTCGTGACATTAACGAGGGTGCGGATATTATCATGGTCAAGCCTGCCAGCCAGTACCTCGACATCATCAGTGATGCCAAAGACTTGGGCAAGGATCTGCCTGTCGCAGCGTACCAGGTCAGCGGCGAGTTTGCCATGATTCACGCAGCGGCCAAGTCAGGCGTGTTCGACCTCAAGACAATGGCGTTCGAGTCAACTGAGGGTATCCTCAGAGCTGGTGCGACGATTGTTATCAGCTACTTTACCCCCGAGTTCCTTGACTGGCTTTCCACCTAAATGACCATGATGATGAATTAGTAACCTGGACTGTATGATAGAGGCATGGTGTTAAGCGGCGTTGTTATTTTTATGTCTTTTTTTAACGGATGGATGAATGGACCGAGTGTAAATCGGTTCTGGTAATGGGTAGGGCAAGGCATCAGTTTCGTGCATACATTCCCTTAACTTAGAAAGGATACCAAAACCAAGCTAATGGGACGGCGGGTATTATTGACACATGAGTCGATTTTGGCCATAAACCTGACATGTTTGCAACAGACTGGTGGCACCTTTTTTTTCACGTCCCAAACCTTTAAGACGGTATGGCATGCATTACTAAGAAACGACATGGTTAAGAAACAGTTTTGTGCAAAATTAGACACGACACTCAACGTTCTACTGACGGCGGGTGTTACCCGAGGGAACATGGGAAGGGGTTAGTAAGTACAGACACGGGAAGCCTTGTTTTTGTCTTGGCGGCCGAGGATGACGGTTGGTCTGCCAGGTGAATTGCAATGTGTGTGTGTGTGTGGTAGCATTCCGCGAGAAAGGCCTTGTTCAGGGCGTGCCCATGATTGCGTGGCCTCACTCGGCTTTCGGAAGTTGATCGTCAGGTCGACTTGATTTAAACTGGGACCCAGGAGATACAGGTCCCAAAACAAAATCTGGCTGGCCATGAGGTTAATTGGGTTACCCTAGGAGGCATTGCCAGGTATGCGTCCCGTAAGTGGAGGGGCGGTGGAAGCAGTCATGGAAGGTTCTGAGCCTCTCATCCTTCGAGGATGAAGGCCGACACAGGCGGTAACCGGAGCACGACTGGGAAAACACATAGTAATGGCCGAAGCGAAGGCTCTGCTGTAACGGCTAAGAAGGTGGCGGACTACGGTGCCATGCACTCGACGTGACGGATTGCCAATCTGGAACATGGCTAAGGGGTTTGACTGCCGGGAAACATGCTGCACCCCCTGGCAGTAGGGGGGCTACCCACCTTTTGTCCCAGTCCGCCAGTAAATGTTCTAGTTGGTAATGGCTGGCCTCAACACTCGGGGACCATCAAGAGGCAAGTGTTCGTAGTTGTGTCTGTTCATCCAGTGACAGATGCCATACAACACTGAGAGCAGGCCAAAAAAGAGAGAAGGGGAATAAAAAAAATAGAGGGTGGACCCACCTAACCCAGCAAATGACGGACAGTTGGCTCACGCAGTGTCTCGACTCTCAGACCCCGGCCCCGGCCCCCCGAGCACGGCAGCGTGGATCCAAGCGCCGATCTCAACCTTGACTACTGTGCCGCAGCTGCAGAGGCCCCCCCACCCTTCCCCAAGCCAAAACAAAAAAATTACTGCGTTGAGAGGTCAAACAAGAAAGCTGATTCTCGACTAATTCCAGCAATTGCTGAATTTCGGAACTCCATCATCTAACCCCCGTCGTGTCCCCAGGCCGCTGACGACGGCACTTTACAAAAAGTGGCCCATATTCTCATGCGCCGAGAGTTTTCATCGGACATGCTGTGCCGGAGTCGCACTTCAAGGCGGCCATGACATTTCTGGGCAACAATCGTTAAACGTCCTCCCACGCAATCCTTTTGGACCCTTTCCCTATCGGACTCCATGCGCACTGCCCACCTGTCCCCATACTCTTTCCTTTCCCTCCCATGTTACCTTGGCTAGTCCTCCAAGTGCCGTCGCGTACCTGATCTATGGCGCAGAATGACGAGGCGGAAAGCGAGAAACGACGGGCGGGAAGATGTTGTGATGGGTGGAGGGCCCCGCGGCGGACTGGGTCTCATTCCTTGGAGGAGCTGGGAGGAAGCCGGGGTGTTCACTCTAGGATGGGGAAAGAGGAGGCGAACTCCCGGGCCCCGGGCCATTCAGAGGTAAAAGGAATCGAATATTGATTGATTTGACTCCGCGTACATTGCGTGGCTTCGTATCTCACACCTTCCATTTCGTCCCATTCTCCATCCTACTTTGTCACCTCCTGTCATGCAATTCTTTTATGCCTTATTATTATTATTATTATTTTTATGTTTTCACTTTTATTAATAAGGAAGTTTGGCGTTTTGCATATGCCAGAGCACTGGCGGAGTCCACGCCAACGTTGGGGGAGTTTCGCTTCGACCCTTCTTTGTCAAGTCCATCGTCCTTCTTATTGTCCAGGTCTCTGACCTTGCTTCTTCCCAGTTCGAGTTTAAGCCTTCCTTGCTTTTCTATGCCACTCCTCATGTGCCCATCTTGACTATCATTTCCCGTGTAAAGCTTGAAACCCCTATTGTTCATCTCCTGCAATCCCCCTGCGAATCCTAGTTTGATGTTTTTTGGAACTGCAACAAGACCCAAGACCTGGTGGTAGCTAAGCTGAGCCGTCTTGATCATCCCTCTCTCTTTCTCTCTCTCTCTCTCTCTCTCTCTCTCTCTCTTCTCTTATTACTCCTCTTCCAATCCATTCTTCGTACCTGTCCCGAGAGCCGACTTCCATCGTTTCATCCCTTCTTTTGTATCTGCCCCATCAGACCCATCTCGGTTGTGCGGTTACTTCATTACATGCTACGCTATCCGAACGGATAGTCATTACCGCAGGAGCCAAGCCGACAGGAATGCACCGTGACCTGATCTGAGGTCACAAACCCATGGAAGAGAGTGTGCACAGGCACCTTTTTCTTGACATCTGCGCCTCGACTTCCTGTTCCGTGTGGCACTGTTCCTGTCATCCACCGACCTTACAATTTTTGGTTTGGCCCGGTCCCTGTCCCTTACAACTTTTGCCTTCTGCTATTCGTCTTTAAGAAAACAATAAAATCCCCGAGAAACGAGACTGCACTGGATAAACCAAGCCAAGAATCGGGCTTGGACCAACAAACGGACTATCCGAATTGGTGTGGACGGACTATCTAGACTTTACTCTTTGTCACCTGTCCCCCTGGGCCTAGAACACAAGCAGCGGGAAGTATATCTGCATTTCTGGCTTCCTCTTCACATATACGCTATTTTTGAGGCAACAACCCACCGCATTCTACTCCAAACCTACCCATTATGCAAGGTGCCTTCCCGCCTCATTGACGACATCTCTGCGCATACTCCATGGTACATCCTTTCCTAAACCCGTCATAGCTGCCACACCTAAACCTTTCTACACGCTGAAACGTTGTCTCCCCTTCTACCCACACACGCTTCCCTCTGCTGCAGTATTCTGCTGCCTCACGTCCCTTACACGCCTTACATCCATGCTTGACACTCCGCCCGTGTGGTCTAACTCTCTCGGTCTGTCCCTCTCTCACGCTACTTAATTATATCCGGTAAAAACGTTAGGCAGGTCCTGTTTCCCAAGCCTGCTTACCCGCGCTCTTTTTATGGGAATATCCATTTCCCATCTCAGCCCAGCCGGAAATCTCGTCTCTTTGCATCTGGGGCCTGTTTACCGTCTACCCACCTCTGGAACATTGTCCAGAGATTCCCCACAACTCTCTTGTTAGAGCCCACGGCTTTGCTCATAGAAAGGCCCGAGATACAAGGTCTTCCTGCTTAAGCTGCAAGGTTAAAGTCCAGGTCACGGGCTTGTTTGACGAGACGAGGACAAGACGGGATACAACCAGACTGTCCCTCCGGAAACATCCATCCATTCTTCTTCTCCATAGACCCGGGGGCCTGTTCTCTATTACAATTACCTATTCTCGCCTACACCTACACTCTCCCCGTCCCTTTCCTATTCTACTCCACCCCTACCTATTGCAGATCCAGATCGTCTGAATTACAGGGGGCCACTGGATCAAAACCACCACACCTCGCCCTCTCCTTCCTTTTCCTTTTTCGACTCTAGTCCCTCGTCTGGTTCAAGCCGCGCTTGCTATTTGTCTACGCCGGCTTCGAAGAGTCTATCGTATCCCCCAGTATCCAACCGACACATTGCTGGACAATGAACGGACACGCTGCTTCGAAAGTGTCCCTTTCACACGAGGAGGGAATGGGGCTCCTAGACGAGAAGACCATGTCAGATGTCGAGAGCGAAAGCGGTAGAGCCGACCTTGAAGTCCGCTTCGGTTTACCACGATGGTCCACAGTCGCTCGGAATGTCGTTGGCTACGCGCGGGCGGTACCATGGAGGGTCACACTGATTCGCGGCGCCATCTTTCTGCTTCCTAGTTTCGTCCAGAGTCGCTTCACGAGAGAACGAACACGCCCCGAGAAGCTATTCCCGACATCCTACCTCGACGGCATGCGTGGCCTTGCCGCGTTATTCGTTTTCTTTTGTCACTACTTCTACCAGGCTTTCATCATCGCCGAGGGCTGGGGTTCGTCTGAGAAGAACTATCACATTCTCAAGCTACCATTCTTCCGACTCTTCTACCAGGGCCCGCCTGCCGTCTGCCTGTTCTTCGTCATCTCAGGATACGCCCTCTCGCTGAAGCCGATCAAGCTCATTCGAAGCCGCAGCTGGGATGAATTCTCCGCAACCACGACGTCTCTGATCTTTCGACGATTTATCAGACTGTACTTGCCCACGGCAATTTCAACCTTTGGCATCATGCTCATGTTGCAGATGGGCATCTACGAGCGTACTAGAGACTTTGCCATTGACCGAAAGTGGCACAAGAACGTGATGGAGCCTCACCCCAAGCCGTTGGACTCGTTCTATGAGCAGTTCACGGATTGGGTATGGAGCATGTTCAACTTTGTCCACGTCTTCAGCTGGGAGCGATTTGGTGGAAGCACATGTAAGTTGGTTTCTGAAAGAGCTCGTTTCTTGGCGTTGCTAATACACTCCACCAGCCTACGATGTCCATCTCTGGACCATCCCCGTTGAATTCCGCTGCTCAATGTATCTCTTTATCACTCTCATCGGTCTGGCCCGTGTAAGAACAGGACTTCGCTTCCTTTTCCTGTGGGGCATCATCGCCTTCACCTACCGCAATAACCGCTGGGAACTGCTCCTTTTCTATTTTGGAATGATGCTCGCCGAGTACGACCTCATCCAGGGCAACCACAACAACAACCAGCCGCCTCCTGCTCTGCCATTGAACGAGGCGCCCCCGCGCAGGAGCTGGTTCAAAGGCTTTTGCTGGGCGATGCTCAGCATCCTCGCTCTTTACTTCATGTGCCAGCCTGATATCAACTACGAAATCACCCCTGGCTGGGTCTGGCTTTGCTCTTTTATTCCCAAGTGGTGGGAGGAGGAAGGATACCGCTTCTGGCAGTCCATCGGGTCCGTCCTGTTCGTTCTGTCCGTCGGCCACTCCCCGAGATGGAAGGCCTTCTTCAACATGGCTCCCATCCAGTACTTTGGCAAAATCAGCTACGCCCTCTACCTTATGCACGGCCCGGTGATGCACACCGTCGGCTACACCATTGAGAAGTTCGTCTACAGCTACACGGGCGACGAGGGCTGGTGGTACAACACGGGCTTCGTGATTGGGTCCTTGGGGTGCATCCCCGCCGTTATCTGGGCTGCCGACATTTTCTGGAGACTGTTTGATATCCCAACTGTGCGACTAGCGAAGTGGTTTGAGACAAAGTGCTCCATCAAGCAACAGTAAGAAGAGCAAAATAGAGGAGGCGCTTGTGCGTCTGCGTATATGTCTGCGACAATCGCTCAATAAACGAGCTGGGTCTGGAATGCCGGTATGGAAAACCGGCTAATAATAGCATGACAACGGCGTTTTACATCACGACATTATTACTATACCTGGCGTTGGGAAACTTGTTTTTTACGGGGGTGGGAAACGGGCCTGGCCAAACTTTTTGGGCATGTTTTAGATAAGCATTAGCAGAAATGCACCCTTTCAGAGCCACATTATACTCGACTGGAACATATATGTACTATATAGTAGTACACACAAGAATAACAAGATATTGAAACGTGGCAAACGCGACAGAAATGCAGTAGATACGGCCGGGCCAAACTCATTTGGTTTTTTTTAAACTTCTGGTCGAGTAGGGGTATCAAATTCATTCCTTTTATTTCATTTTTCTTTTGATTTGTCCTAAGACAACTTTGCTGTATCCTTTATAAATCCGTGACAACAACCGGCGCCGTCTCGCCTCAACCGATCATGCTCCTCTTGCGGCCCCGCATCCTCACGTCCTCGAGCTTCTTGAGCGTCACGGGCGCCTGCTTGTAGGACTTGCCGTACGCTTCCAGGACGTCCTGGAAGAACTCCTCGGCGCGCGGGTGCGTGCTGCCAAAGGCGCGCTCCAGCACGTACAAGTCGACGGCGCGGTCTTCGTCCGAGGTGCTCTGGCTCGCGAGGCCGAAGTCGATGACGAAGATGTCGCCGTCCAGGTTGGAGCTTTCGTGAGCGGCAGCGGCGGCGGCGGCGGCGGCCGACCGCGGAGGGGGCCGCAGCATCATATTGGACGTCGTCAGGTCGCCGTGCACGATGCCGATCTTGTGCATCTTGCCTATCGCCGCCCCCATCCTGCGCATCAGGTCCCGCAGGTCCGTTGCGTCCCGTCTTGTCCCGACCACCTTTTCACCGTCTGCCTGTCCTGCTGATGCTGCTGCTGATGCTGCTGCTGATGCTGCTGCTGATGCTGCTGCTTTTGCCTCCTCCGTGCCCTCCATGACCACTTCCTTGTCTCCTGCTGCTGCCGCCGCTGCCGCATCCTCCGGTATCTCCGCGAGTCCTTGTCCCGGGACGGGGACTACGCCGTCCAGCCACTCGTTGATTCGCACTCTCACCGGCGCGCCAGGGATCCATTCGAGCATGATCCAGCCCGCTGACTCATCGAGTCCGTAGAGGGCGGGCACGGGGCATCCTTCGCGGCGGCATTTGGCGAGGACGCGGGCCTCGGCGAGGATGCGGGAGCGGGTGAGGCGGGCGTCGAGGGTGGGGTGGCGGTAGGGTTTCGGGGGCCGGTATTTGAGCGCGGACGGGAGGTTAGGGGAGAGGAAGGTCGTTTTGTAGAGGCGGGCTTCGGCGCCTTGGGTGATTAGAGTCGGGGCGGATGACGAGGGGTGAGTTAGGAGTTTTGGGAGGGGGAATTGTGTCGTTTCTGTTGTCGTCGCCGTCGCCATTGTGTCTGTTGGGAAGGGAGCGCGGATGAGCCCTTATCGATCTGGGGAGAGAGAGAGAGGGGTTCTCTTGGCGGCTACTAGTGTGGACGGGAAGGTTGCGTGTGTGATGTTGGGAATATCTTCACTTTTTTTTTTTTATTTTTACTTTTTTTTTTGGGCTGGCTTTACTAACACCAGACGTCAATCGAGGGGCAGGAAGGAATGTTTGTGGAGGGGTAAAGGGTGGGGTGGATGCTTTTGCGGGCTGACCGCCTGCCTGCCTTGTGAGGGGTTCTGCCGGGCTAGTTTGGGGCTGGATGTGTTTTAGGGGAAGGCCGTTGGCGCTGAAGATGGGCGGGCCGGGCCCTGGATTGGAGTGTCGCCACGGATCCTTGTTTTGGCAGGAACTTTGTGTGCTTTAATTTAACCTGCATTCTGATTGATGCTGTTACCTTTCCAATCTCTCAACAATGTATTATTCGTCCGAGTTTGCCGTTTACATGAATGCGTTAACTCTCCATCTGGTGAGAGTTTGCGAGATGCAAAGCTTCTCGTGAAAGATCTCGACTGCTTCTTCTGCTTTGAAGCAACTGGCTGTTGAGCTGAGCAGCCGCAAACCACAGGCCCATCAACTTCTCAGTGGCAAAGGATTTGGATCCGGTGCTCTTATCGGGTAATCAAAGACGAAATTAGCCGGCCTGGGCAGGTCCTAACACGGCCGATTACATGCACGAGTGTACATGTTCTCGTCTCCTCGCGCTTATATGCCTAACACTCAATGACAAAGTCGCAACACCTTGACAGCCCTCCTTCTAGGGATACGTAATTATTAACCACGTCTCCCAAACAAACTTATGCTATTCTGTTCCGGCTGGCTATCTTCCCGCTATTACCGCGGATAGCAACAAGAAATACATATGCAAAAGTTGCCCTTGGCCTAGGGCCTCCCGAAACGCAGCCCAGCGGCACAGCAACACCACCATCTGCATGAGCAAGCCAACGATGTGCCAGGCCACCAATCACCGCCCGCGAACAAATCCCTTGGCGGCGGCCGAGAGGGGGCAGGCACTCAAAATCGAACCCTCCGTCGATCAGAAAAGGGCTGGAATATCCGCCCCAGATGAATGCAGGCCGAGTGGTCTTTCGTGCCGTCGGATAGCCTGGGCTGGGGTGCTATGCCCGCCTCCTCGTCCCGACAAAGTTGCATCGGGGCCTTGGGTCTCAACCCGCGCGTGCTGCGCTGCTGGTCCCCGAACAAGAGGAGAACACAAGGACCCTGTCACCAGTGAAGGCCGGAGCAGTGCTTACGGATTACCTACGAACTATGCTCCATTGAGTCGCATGCATCTTCCCATCCATCTACTGACCCCGATGAAGGGTTGCTTACATGTGTCCTCCGGTCCTTTGCCAATTGTTGTTGCCTGCGTGTGTGAGTGTGTCTCTTTCAGCCGTGTTTGCATCCTCCGCCACTTGCTCCCATTTTGCCGTCTTTCGTGCGACCTTTGGGCGTTCTGGTGTAGCCTCGCTCGTGGCACGCTGGAAGATGGGCTCGTAGGCTCAGTTCGCTAGGTACATTGAATATTGAGCTGTTACCAAGTTCAACCTGAGCGACAATCTCCCCGTGTGAGAAAGCCGAACCATGTCGGTCATCATCACCATCACCGCCGCCCTGGCCGTTTGCGCCGGCGCGGCCGTCACGCAGCGATACGCCGCCGTCGACATGTCGCCCGTCCAGGACGGCCTCATCCCGCGCTTCTTCCTCGATGCGCCCATACTCGCCGCCCGCGACGGAGCTCCTTGCCAAGCGAATGCTCATTCTTGTAAGACCTCTCTCTCTTCTAAATTCAAAGCTTAATTTCACTCGTGGCGCAAAGCAAGAGGGGAGACACCGACAAACTAATCACACGATTCACCCGCAGGCGTCGACGTCGGCTTCCCAACCTACTGCTGCTCCAACAACAACTACTGCTACGTCAAGCCCAACGGGGACCCGTGGTGCTGCCCGATCGGTTCCCCGTGCGACTCTAAATGCCCCTCTGACAAATACCAATGTCCCTCCGTCGTTGCCGTCACCATAACGCAGTCCCCGACCACCGGCGGCGCGGCGCTGACAACAGTGACCTCCTCGACCACCTCGGCATGCTGCGGCCGCATCTGCCCCGGCACAAGCAGCTTCCGCTGCGCGAGCCAGTTCGGCGGCGGATGCTGCGGTTACGGCGCGACCTGCGCATCCGACAAATCCTGCATCATGACCATCACCGCTTCCAGCTCCGCGACGGGTCTCCTGACGCCCGCTGACCCGGGGTGCACCGCCACGACGCAGTACGCGTGCGAGGACGGCCAGGGGTGCTGCGATAAGGTCAGAAAGTGTACCGTCGTCAGCGGCACCGCGGCCTGCGCGCCCGGGGAAGCGACCGTGTCGGGCGTCGTCTCGGATCTAGACGGCGATGGTAGTGGTAACGGGCTCTCTTCCGGCGCGAAGACGGGCATCGGTGTAGGCGTGGCTGTAGTCGGGTGCGGGATCGTGGCTTTCTTCGCGTGGTTCTGTCTCGTCCGCCGCCGCAGACGGCGCCGCGGCGCTACGACGACGTCCCAGCGCAGCGGGGGCGCAAGCCGTGTAAGCGGTGGCGGCGGCGGGCTGAGTAACATTATCATGGGCGGGGGTACTAGCGAATGGCCGGGTCGTAGCGCGAGAGCCATGTCGGAAGTGACGTCCGGGTCTCGGCCGACGGCGCGGCGCGGCGCGACGCAGGATTACTTTGGTCCGGACGCCGTCACGGGTCCGTATACGGAGACGGAGACGGTGGCGTCTGATGTGCCTGCGTCGACGCCCGGTCGGACGCGGGGTGTGCCGTTGCAGGCGCATTCACCCAGCGACGTCGTCGCGCCGGTGGAGATTGATTCGCGCGGGGTCAAGAGGGGTTTTGGGCACGATGTGACGGCCGTTGCGGCGCCGGAGCAGCAGCACACGCCGCCGACGACGGAGGGACGCTTCGAGTTGTACGGTTCCGAGATGCTGTCCCCTTCGCCGCCGATGCCGTCGCCTCCGTTGCTGACGCCGCGGAGCGTGGAGAGCGCCATGAGTGTGTCCGTCATGGAGCGGTCACCGATCGACAGGTCGCCAGGTCCTGTTCCGAGTCCGGATCCGGATCGGCGGAGGTGATGAGACACGAAAGGAAGATTTTGTTAGACGGAAATTTGGTTACCGGTCTCCATGTCAATTCTTTTTTTTTTATTGGTTTTGCGGTTTGTCTTCGATAAAGCTTCAACTTTGTGAAATACACGATGACCATGATACCTTTGTTATACAAATTTTCCCCGTCTTTACGATATCTCGAAAGACTCTCTCTCTCTGTCTAAGAATACGTATTAAGTAATGGGGGAGGGCGTTTGGTGGACGTGCTGGGAAACTTTTTCGTAATGAGTAAAACTCCATTTCTCCTCAAGAGACTCCGACTTTCCCACCGTTTCCAATTAGGAAAAAAATGGACTAGGATAAAATAAAAATACTGAACAACCAAGCATTGATTCTTCGTAGCACATTTCTGCCCTCCGCTAACGCCAAACAGTATGAAGGATGCAAGTGATGACTGGATGAAGCGATAATGAACGCATGCGAATCTAGGAAAGAAACCCAATATGGCAACCGAAACACCAAACATGGGGCATAACAAGGGCCTCAGCAAACGACGCCGCCAAAGGGCGTACAGGTCCTCAGGTCCTTGACCAAGTCCTCAACGCTGCTAAGGTGGCGGCCCAGCAGCTCCTGCTTCTCCTCCGTGGTCAGAGTGTCTTCGGACTCGCTACCGGCGCGACTCCGTGCGTACTGCTGCGTGTCGGAGGCCGTCGAGTTTCCAGGCCCGAAGGCACCGGCCAGCTTGCTGGGGCTGCGCTGGAGCATGGCGGGGACGGAGGCGCGGGCGTCGGCGCGGGGAATGGATGGCACTTCGGGCATGAGGTAGAAGTAGAGAAACTCGACGAGCTTGAGCTTTACCTCACGGGAGGTGGAGCGGGACTTGAAGAGCGAGGTGACGGTGAGCAGGCCGTCGAGGGCCTCGAATGTGCGGGTGTTTTGCGGAGTGTCGATGAGAGCAACGACAAGCGTCAGGAGGGTTGCGGACTGGATCGCAGGGCAGTTTACGGGTTCGAGAAGGTCGAGAAGGAGCTGTGGCGGTCAGGTCAGTCAGACGGATTGCAAAATTTGAGCCAGGGGGAAGGTTTTGGGGGCCAAAAAGTACATTCATATTTTGTTCTCGCGAGAACAGGGCCTTGCTGGGCGGATGAAGCAGCAGGACGCCTTGGATCAGATCCAGCGCGCTGAGTATGAGAAGGTCGTTCTGCCCATCGGTGCCCTTTCCCATCAGGCGGTCGAGGGTATTGATTAGACGCAGGGCGACGTTCCATTCGAAACCCTCCTGCAGCTTGAAAAACTCTCGAAAGGCCGGATCGTCTGACAGATCCGAGAGGGACTTGCCGGGGGTCTGAGAGGATTCTTCGTCAGTCGCCGGCGACTTTGATGACTTGCTCGGCGACGAGAGGCAGATCTGGGCGAGGAGTCCTTCGACCTGACGCATCCCCTTGCGGATCTTGGGGCCGTCGTAGGACGACAGGTAGTCGAAGGCGAGGCTGAGTAGGTTTTCCATTGTGTATGTGTGTGTGCGCGCGCGCGCGTGTGCGTGATGAGGCTTGATGATATTGTTTACGTGTATGTGTGGGTGTGGCTTGGTGGCTGATTGGACGTGAGCAAAATGGACATGAAGTGCGCAAAAAAAGACGGACAAAAAAGGACGATGCTGTTGAATTGTGTTGATGCGATTTTTGATGTAGATATGGCGGTGACAATGCGATGACGGCGGATTGAATAGTTTGGATGAGCATCGACAGCAACAGCACGTCGTAAGGTGTTAATACAAAAAACAGAGAAACAAAAACTGACGAGGACAAGTCCTCTAGGAGGTGGAGGGTATCACGATCGGTGAGGATGGAAGAAAAAAAAGGAGAAGAATCGCAAAAATCAATGGATGGCGAGCGCGGCGCGCAAATAGACATTTGAGAAAGACACAGGCAAGACGTAATTAGGAGCAGGAGCCCCCCCTGTGTGGACAAATGTGGATGTTTGTGTTGCGACCTGACGATAAATGCCCCGGCAACCGGGTCGATCCAAGGCGTTGGGATGGGGATTTAGCGTGGCCGCTATGGAGGGAATCGAGCTTTGTGTGGTCAAACGGGCACTACGACCAGAGCAACCTGTGTGACCTCACCTTAGCTAAGCGGGTCGATGTGTGTGCGTTGGCTTATTGCGGGGGCCGGGCCGGCTGTTTTTTCAGGGTCAAGGCCACTGTTGTTGTGGCTGCTACCTTGTCGTGTTTACCATGAATGCGGCGATCAGACTTGGGATAAGAATAAGCGAGAAGCCCTGAGGAATCCGAGCTTGTTATCTGCCTAGCGTGGCCCTTTCCTCCCCAAGCTTATGGGTACTTGTAACGAGTAGGAGCTGTGATTACCGAAGCCAAGATAGGGTGCATATCCTATCTGCCTGACCTTATGGAGTACTTTGGGTGATAGAGCAACCGGTTTGTCTGCAGGACTTTCTCTCTCCGTCTCTATCTAATGAAGTAGCAACACCAACAGCACCAGCAATGCTTAATACCTGCACATATATGACGGATGAAACTCGAGGAACGAGGGGATGTCACATTTCAACGTCTTGAATTCCTGTTTAGGGCCGTAGACAACGGCGACATGTCGTCCCGTTGGCAGCATGCGAGGTGAAAGCATGAAGCATGGCAGCTGGACGGGAGGGGGTTGTTCATGGGCGTGTTTTACGTGCCATCCGAGGGCTGATTAGCTTAGTGGAGGTTGAAGCTAGGGACTCTTCTTCCAGAACATCTGACGTCCGTGTTACTCTGATTCTTAAGACGAAGCGTTCGCACGAGCCTCTTGTACGACTCGTTCAAGGGTTTGTTTCTTCAACACTGCATCCATCCCATCTTTTCGACAATTCTCTCTTGCAAGAGGGACGGACACGACACGATAACCTCCCGGAAAACTGTTTCCATAGTCCAGCACCCCGTATGTTTTTCATTTAATTTCCATCACTGAATCATCACTCGGAGCAAGGTCCGCTCTTCCCCCGTCTGGCCTTCGGCATGTACGGAGCTTCGAACAAGAATTGATGACGTCTGTTAGATTCCACCGCAACCTAAAATCACCTCTCCACTACCGTCGCCCAATCGATAAGAGCTCCAACGGCGACCGTTATCTATCTACATCAAGCACTGGCCGGTACTGAAGGCTATTACTACCTGCATGCTCAACATCGGTAAGCTGCATTCCCATTGGCATGTGATTATCGTTTAGGATTCCATCGTTTGCTTGCCCCAATTGCTTTTACATCTGTTGCAAGTCCTGTCTAGGACTTAGGACTGTAATAGCTAGATGCCTGCGCTTCTCTCCCCGCCGGAGAGCTGGGAAGCGCATTCACTGCAAGGATCAGTGATCCAACTGCCTAATCTCCTTTTGCCTACCCCTCGCTTTCCCTGCAGAAAAAAAGGCCCTTCATACAGAGTCATGACGGTCTACATGTCCAAATGCCCCGCCAAAAATTACTATGCACCCGGACAAATACGGCTCTCTGGGAAAGACGTAGCAGAACCTGCATATGCGCCATCAAAGATGCAACTCCACCCGGGCAGATTTCAACCTTGGCTGAACAAGTGGTGACGTTTACGCGGCTAACACATGAGAGCAAGCAGCAATACCACCACCCATACGACGACGTCCACCACCACCACCAGCTGACCACCACCGATCCCCCCTCCGCAGCCCACCGGGGAAGCAGAGAGCTCCACAATCCAGCCCACCACGCGAGCTAAGCTGAGCTTCAGCCTGTAGCAGAAGCAGAAAGCCACTGCTGCCACAGCCGTTGTTCCAGATCCTGACGCTGCACATAAGAAGCCACGCAACTTCCCGCCCCGTAGAGCTGCCTTTGGAAAAAGGGCCTTCCTTTCACGATGGTCGTGCCTAGCGAGACCTCCCCCTCAAAAGATCCAGGCAACAAACCTGCAAATAATACAAGTACCGCCTCTTCCTATACCTTCCCCTCCTCGCCGCCAAACGCCATTCCTCCACGTAGATCATCCACCGGCCATTCTTCCTCGTCTTCGTCATCTTCTGCCGCTGCAGTGCTCGCCTCGTTATCCGGCCAAACCACGGCGCCCATGCCGAACTCCTCCAAGGCTCCCCTGCATACCGTTCCCGAAACCGACTGGCTGGCCCGCGCCGCCTCCGTCGCAACAAACCACACCCGCACCCACTCTCACAAACACTCCCACTCCTCCTCCCACCGTCGCCGGCCCTCCCTCGGCGTACCAACAACCTCCTTCACTCTCACGATGCAGCCGCCTCCCCCTCCCGACCCTGCGCGCTATGCGACCGCCGACCTCAACTTCACTCGCAAGACCTGGCCCGAGGAGAAGGACAAGGTCATCACCGGGCCCTTTGACTACCTCTTTGCCCACCCGGGCAAGGACTTTCGCGCTCAGCTCATCCAGGCCTTCAACGCCTGGCTCGATGTGCCGCAGTCCAGTCTTGACATCATTACCAACGTCGTCGGCATGCTTCACACTGCCTCCCTGCTGATCGACGACGTCGAGGACTCGTCCTCACTCCGCCGGGGTCTGCCCGTTGCACACAACATCTTTGGCGTCGCCCAGACCATCAACTCGGCCAACTACATCTACTTCTGTGCCCTTCAGGAGGTCCAGAAGCTGAAGAACCCAAAAGCAATCTCCATCTTTGCCGAAGAGCTTGTCCACCTCCACCGCGGCCAGGGCATGGACCTCTTCTGGCGCGACACTCTCACCTGCCCCACGGAGGAAGACTACCTCGAGATGGTTGGCAACAAGACGGGCGGCCTGTTCCGGCTCGGTATCAAGCTCATGCAGGCTGAGTCACGCAGCCTGACGGACTGTGTGGACCTCGTTAACATCATGGGCCTCATCTTCCAGATCCGCGACGACTACATGAACCTCTCGAGTCAGGAGTACTCGGACAACAAGGGCATGTGCGAGGACCTGACCGAGGGCAAGTTCAGCTTCCCCATCATTCACAGCATCCGCTCCGACCCTTCCAACCTCATGCTCATCAACATCCTGGGACAAAAGACCAACGATGTTGAGGTGAAGCGCTTTGCAGTGGCGCGCATGGAAGGAACCGGAAGCTTCGAGTACACGAAGCAGGTCGTCGGCGTCCTCATCGACCGCGGCCGGAAGCTGGCGGACGAAATCGACGGGGGTAAGGGCCTTAACAAGGGTATCCAAAAGATTCTGGACAAGATGGTTATCTGAACCCCCCATCGGTTTGCCACAAGAAAAGAAAAAGAGAAGCTAAAACAACAAGTATGCTTGTATTCAAATGATGATGGGTATGAGGAAAAGGTCATAAAAGCTAATAATCATCAGCGGTGTTATTTGGGTGCGGACGACGTCGACGGTTGGTTTCATACCCGGATTCTCATGGCGTGGCTTTTGTCACTTGGGGGGAGGAAAACATTTGGACAGGAAACAGATTACTACATACATTCCGGCATGGGTGTGACACGACTGGACTTACTCGTCTGAATGTTTTGCCCCCCCCTCTCTTTTTGATGATTTTTTTTTTTAATTCTCTCTTCCGCTGTTTCTGGGTTATTGCGGGGACGACCAGGTGAGGGACAGATGAATGGCATTTGATTTTGCCTCTTGGTGTTACAGAGTATTCCGGTTGGCATGCCGGGCGGCTGCATTTAGACTTGCTGGACTGGTACAGAGACGTATTTGGAACGAGACTGCGAGAGACAGAGTCAGAGAGAGAGAGAGAGAGATAAGGAGAACAAGGCTCTACCTGGCTTCTTGTTCTCGTACATTTTTTTTTTTTTCAGACTCAATGGACGTTTTTATGATGATCAAGTATGAGTAAGAGTAACCCTGTGTGATTTCCTTCAAACATATTTGACATGTCCACCTGCCTTTTGGTCATGTGTCTCATAAAAGTGTAATTGATGTTCATATCTTCATTATAAGTGTACATATTACGCTTCGCTCATTAAACGACGTTGGTCGTGGCCCTCCTCTTGACAAGCCTAACCCACCGCCTCCTTCTCCATTCCCCCCTTCGCCCCGTCCCGTCCTCGCCCTCCTCCCAACTGGGCGTGGGCGCCGGGACCTTGGCCTTGCCTTTACTGGTAGTAGGCGAATCCATCACGCCGCCAGAAAATGAAGAGTTCTCGTCGTACATGTCGTATACCCACCGCTCACCCTCCGTCTCCACCTCGACACCGGTGATGATGCGCTCCTCAACCCATTCCCTACTCCAGAGATCGAGGGCCCATTTCTTCTCAGACCACTCCCAGCCGTCCGGGGGGAGCACGTCCTCGAAGAAGCGGGTGCCGCGAGGACGCTCGCCCGCAATACGCGGCTGGGAGAGCGGGTCGTAGGGCGAAGGGGAGAACAGCCACGGCTCCCACTCATCGTGCGACTGGCGCTGCAGCTCAAAGATTTCCACCTCGCGCGTTTCTGGAGCCGAATCGAGAATGATGTCGGAGGCGATCCAGGCGTCGAGGCGCGAGCGAGCATGGGCTTCTCGTGGGGCAACGTGGGTGTCGTGAGTATGTGTGAGGAGCGGGGCGATGGCCGGATGGCCAGAGAGAATGACAACCCAGCCTCCTACTAGAGCGATGAGCCGCCACGGGAGGAGAGAGGCAAAGGTCGTCATGAGAACAGTGGTGAGAGTGAGGCCGAGGAAGAGGGCGGACGAGACGGCCTCGTTGGAGAAGTTCGTGATGGGGACAACAGTGTTGACGACGCCGTCGTGCGCGACGCAGAAGTCGTCCATCGAGTTCTGGAGGTCCCGCATGTTGCGGAAGAAGTCCTTGCTGAGCTCCTTGACGGGCTTTACTGTTCGTGCCGGGGCGAGCGGCGGGCCTTTCGGGGAATAGCCGACCGACTGTTCCGAAGACAGGGTACCGGACGGCGGGGCCGGGTAGCGAGCCAGAAACGAGGGGATGAAGACGGCGAGAAGAAAACCAGCGAGAGGTACGACGGCCAAGAGGTATGGATCGAGGCAGACGAATGTATATACGGCAAGGAGGGAGAGTGTGTGTGTTGGGCGACGCCAGCTGAGCAAGCGGACCACGCGGGCCTGGAACTTGAACACAACACCAATACGGGCGTTGAAGCGACGGAAGTTGTTGGACATGGTGGTGATATTGAAGTTGGGCCGCTGGGAAAACGAAGAATTCTTGTCCGGAGGGAAGCCCGGGGCCAGTGTATCGTCGCCGCCGGTGAGGCCATCGGAGCTCTCGGGTATGACTTGCTGGAGGAGTCTAGTATATGTTAGTTGGGTGGTTAACGATGAATTCAGGTAGTATAAAAACCAACTTTTCAACAAGGCGGTCTTGGATACTCGTCTTCTTGCTCAGGTTGTTGGCGATGCGCGAGCGCAGACCGGTAGGTGACTTCTTGGGCGAGGTCTCATTGGCGTCGGTGTCCGGATGCCACTCGTCCACGACAACGGTGGGCGGCGGCTGTGGTGGCGACGGTTGTTGCGGCTGGGTATCGGAGGTATCCTCGCGGGAGATGAAAAGATCTGCCGTGTATTCGTCCATGGTCACCGATACCGACACCGATGCCGTGTCTTGCGGTTGGTAGTTGTAGACGGGGAGGGCGGAATGCGCCGGCGGATGTTTCTTTTACTGGGTAGTTGACGTTTTGGGGGGTCACGTCATCGTTTGGCAGACAGGCTGCCAGCCACCCCGAGTAACAGACTAAGTGCTCCCAGTGGTAGGCTTGGACGTGCGAGTTAGCGACAAAACCTTGGGTCTTGTGGCTAGTGTTCTTCTACTATGCTTTGGTGTTTGGGTTGAGGGGGTCCGAGGTCTGAGCTGGAGGTGTAGCAGAGCTGTATGATGGGGGGTGAAAGCTGTGATGGAGCATGCCGTTAGAGCTGCATATCCCAGCTGCATGTGATTTGGACGTGGGTGCCAGGTCTGGTGGCAGTGGAGGCAGCGGCAATGGCAGCTGCAGTGGTTTCCATCACATGCGGCCACCACTAAGAAAATCAAGCCAGCCCCTGTACCTACCACCGCCATCCGTCTTCTCCAGTCCTCCCCACAAGCCACACCAAGAACTACAGTTGCTTCTTTGGTTGCTTCTTCAGTTCCCAAGAAGCAACTACAAATTATAGGTATACCATCGAATACAGATGGTCAACACCAATAGCAGCCGAAACCTTTTCAAATATGATGCGCATACTTTTCTGGCATACCCTGTGTCCTCCGTGTCTACACAATCCGGCCGACTGATTCTTCTCCGCGGGAAACTCAAGGGAGAACCTTACGTGGTAGGAGAAAATTGCCGACGCGGGATGGCAGCAAAAGATCTGACGGCGTGGTGTACCGATGATGCAGCAAATCGTACGCCACGCTAGCCCTCCATCTTGAACAGAAGCCATCCCAAGACAAAAGACGATGGGCAGTCATACCACTCCTCAACGCTCATCGGTTGTTTCAGTCCCTGAAGCATCTGGGCTCTTCTCTCTGTAGAGGTTGCAACCTGCAACCCGCTGAATGGGGAACTTTGGCTGTTCATACAAACTAATAACGTCAAGTGATTGATGAACTTTAAAGCCAATTCTACCCCCTCACACTACGAACAAGGCAGCGAGGGGCGCCAAGAATATAACATCTCGCAATCGAGAAAAAGACGGGAAATTGGGCTAATTCTTTGGCTGCCTTAAATTGGTCAATGCTTGGTGCACTACCTACACGTGTTGGCATTTGTGGATTGGATGGGAACAAAGGAGCATTAAGCGCCCTTTTTGCGCGTTCGCCGTTTTCGACAAGACAAGCCAACAAGCCCAAAAGGGGCCACGGAAAAGGGCAGGCGGCGCGCTAGAGGCATCCCTTGACTTACTCTGGCCCCGGCTTGCGTCTCCCCGCTGCATGCCAGCTCAAGTCAATCAGACCAAGGCACACTAAACCACGCCAACGCGGCAGACCGGATATCCCAGACTCAACTCTAGAATAACGGCGCGGCGTCTTGGGGTGTGTCAGAGACGACCAGCCATGAGAAGTTCGTTGGGCTGAAGCTACAGGAGCTGGGATCCCCGTTGTAGCCCGCGCTCTCCTCTCGACTGGAACGAGAGCCAACCTGCTAGTGTTTCCCCTGACTAAAAAAGGGCAGCAGATCGCTGAAGTCGGAGCATCTGTAAAGTTGAGACTGACAGAAAGTAGTTCTTAACATTTTCGACATCGGACACTACAATGGAGTATTTACTAAATCAGGCCGGACAACAGCGCGAACTATCAACGACATCTCGTTAGGCCAAGCTGAACCTTAAAAACGGCTCAGGTGAGGAGATACTGGAGACGGAAGTAGGTTGTCCATCGCCGATGACTCGGGTATTGAGGGGTGGGTAGGTATCTAACGTCGAACCTTGGATGGAATAGCCAGACAGTCACTACCCGGACAATGCGTCGACCTGTAGATCTCGAAACCAGTAGTTCGCATTGAGGAGAGAGAGGTTCGAAACGAAGGTCGACGGGACCAACGACATGATAGTGTAGGCAGGCGGTGAGGCTAAGGACAACAGCACAACCCCTGCTATGAAAACAGTCGAGCACGGGTGATAGAATTGATGTTTTGTGATTGGCTGTGGTGGCGAGCAGAATAATGTCCCACGAAATGACGGTCTGCAGGAGGAACCAGCCACGGCCGATGCAATTGAGATACCGTTCCTTTCGTACGGAAGTGACGGTTCGGTAACAACTTGGCTCATCAAAGCGATCCAACCTGAACGAGTTTCTGGGAATGGCCCGTTCTTTGTTGACGGGATGATAATAAGAGGTGCTCAAAACATTGCTGGGCTGAACGGCTGCATGGTGCAATCAGACTTCTACAGTATTGAGACCCGCAATGTAAGGCGGGCAGCTGTCAATGCCTTCGCTTCATTTTCGGCCGGTCTGCCACATCGGCCACTCATTCCGAATGGCCAGGGACATGGTCCGTTAGCTGTGGAAAAGGAACATAGCTCCCCATTCCGTGCAAGCCCAGAACTGGACGGCCTGTTCCTGGCAGCCCAGAGCCGGGCAACGCTCAGGCTGTGTTGATCGCCAATGCTGCATGCAGGCGGTTGGCCATACTGTCCTTGGTTGCTGGGTGCTGAAGAACGAGTTGACGATAAGTCGGCCTATCAATGTCACTTGCCGTGGGGTTTCATCTTCATTCTTCCACCAGGACTAAATTGAGCCAGATGCCGAGTGATGGTTGACGGGTGCCCCTAGAAACAAGAGGCAGTAGCTAGCTACCCACACTCGGCGCAGAGGAAAGCTTGCATGACGGATGTCTGCACGAGGACTTGCTTACTATCTATCTAAACTTGGCTCCTATCCAATCCTCTTGAAGGACCGACCAGTGTGCAGATGGGCCCCCATGGATCCCGTCCCATTGTGATCCCACCCCGGCAGGCCGTTTTCTCCCCAAATAAAATTCGCAGCTCCCACTGGACAAAACAGACATCTTGCTTTGGGTACGGAGACACTTGACCCATGCATTCTGTCCAGGGTCCTCTTCGTGGTTGATGCGGCGACGGAGGGCAAACAACAACGTCCCACGGTGACGCAAGAAAACGCATCGGCTTTTCTCTCTCAGTGCTGAAGAACGCGACTTTGGGTGGATGAGCGCGTGCACACAGTCTTGAGCGCGGTGAGCTACAGTTGGAAACGAGATGCGCGTCGAATAACGACTTTGGACCGTTGAAGCGTTAGCTTGGTCCTTATTGGGACGAGTCTCGTAAACTTTGGATAAAGGTGCAGTTTGAAGGAATCTACCAGTCAATCCCAGCACAACCAGCACGCAAGCTGTTTGACCCCACACAGGTATACACACACACACTCGAAACCCGAGCTAGGTTGTCTGGGAGAAGTTGAACGACTCGCGTGTATCGTTTGATTGACAATTGAGGTCGGTCGGGTGTGCGGGGGGCTTACAGTTTAATCTTGAACGCGATGGTCCGCTGTGAGAGATGCTGCCGGTTCCGGGCGGCTCGTACAAAGGTAATGGGGAATGTGATATAGCATTTCATCTCGCTGGCGACGGCAGACAGTGGAAGCGGAGCCTTCATCAAACGCTATCGCCAGATTTATGTCGTATAACGGCGGAGGTCTGTGAGGACTTTTGGCATTTGGTTTGTGGTAGGACAGGCAGATTTGGGGTTATCCAGCGAAGCTGCTAGTAGTGAAGGTTGCGTGTCTGTCAACGCTCCATGTCTCCCTTTCTTCCGCTCGTTCCTCTCTCTCTCTCGCTCACTCCCTCTATATCTCGGTCTTTTTTCTCCATCTCTGTGGAGAACGGCAAGACTCGCCCGGCCCCTCCTCTGCTAACGAAAGATGATCCACGTTGACTGAAATGCCTGAGGTGCTCAGTCTCATGTGCTCGGTCTGTTGTGATGGGATGGGCGGCGTGATGAGATGGGATGGATGGATAGATGTATTGAATTTGATACCCGCCCGCTCCATAAGATTTGCCTCATTTTGGAGAGGTTATTTAGCGGCCATTTCACTAAGGGAGGGGACAGAAGGGGAGAAAGCACGCTATTTTGCGGGTTCCATTTGATCACACCGCCCGCATCGTGGCCTTGGTAAAGGTTGAGGTCGGTAAGGTACCGTGGACACCTGCTGGGCACCCTGCGGAGTACCTTTTTTTTTTTTCTGCTAGCCCAGAGCTCGTGCAAGGAACGGGTCATCCCTGTTAGGCCGGTACCTGACCTCCCTTAGGAAAATAGGAAAATGTGAGGTGAGGGGACCACCAGACACTGGCACCCACCACCGCTATTTGCGCTACTAGCACCATCACCCGCCTTTTTGTTTTTTTTCTTCCCTCTCCTTTACCATATGTTCCTTCCCCTTCCGCTACTCACGTCCCCCCAGTTTTGGTGTTTCCCCCTCCCCGATGCAGTGCATCCTGCCCGCCCCCCAAAAAAGCGCGGCCTGCTTTTGGCCCTGCAGATGCAGTGTGTAATTGTAGCGTAGCCGATGCTTTTTTTTTGGACAGACCATGTACCTTTTCACCCACAAACCAAGAAAAGATACCTCTCCGGATAAAATCAAACGTATGCGTCGGTCTCGTTCGTACCTTACTTTCCCGGCCTTGGGTGTATGTATATTGCGTATAGTAGATCCTCACCAAAATGTTCAGGGACCAAGCTTGCCTGAGCCAGTCTGCAGCCCGGTCCTCTTTCCTCTTCGCGGCTGGATTGTTGCACCCTTTCCCCCTTTAACCTGGGCCCTTTTCCTTGCCTCCTCCAAATGTCTGGTCGCCATTCTATCTACCCTGAGCTTGGGGGTTGGTACGGGAGTACTTTGTGCTTCACACTACAATCCAAGAAGGTACCTGCACCTACCTAACCTAAGCTACCTTTCCGACCTTATTTGCCTGCAGCACCTGCAGTGCACATGCACCCCCAAATGATAATCCACTCCTTCTTCCACCAGTCCAGTTTCGTCCGCCACTACGCTCCTAGTACTCCATACACGCTGGTAATCCGCATCTTCTCACCCTTTTGACGGGGGTTGAGCACCGAGAAAGAGGCTCCAGTGCTCCAGCGCTCCACCACCCTGACCGTGACTTGCCTGCCACTTGACAAGCGGCGACCGGGGCCCTTCTTTTTCGACAAAAACAACCACCACACCAGACCAGAACAGTTCAGCCCTGTCCTGTCCCGACTGCTGCTGCTGCTACTACTGTCTGCACCGGTTCAGTCCAACCTCACTCCTACCTGCCCCCGAAGGCTTGGTGGTTACGCCTTCCCGTGCCCGCCTCCCTTCGACGACGTCCCGTCCTAATCTCAATACTGTCCCTTTTACCCCATTCCGACTCCCGGCCTTCATCCATCAACTACTCCACCATCATCTGTTGTTCTCCCCGGAATGAGGTAACATCTCCAATGCTCTCAGCTCCCTGACCGGACTGAGGTTGCCCGCTCGCGAAATCGCCCATCGTCGTCGACTCAGCACTCACATCTCTTCCCGTCTATTTTGCATATCTCGGTCCGCCCAACTCCTCTGAACACACGCAAACACACAACGACTTTGGGTCCCGCTTCCACGCTCGCATGACCCTACGCGCTGGCCTAGTTGCATCGAGTACACATGATAAGGGAGCATAGAGTACCTGCTGGCCCGCGACCGGCAAACCAGTCCCCGACTAGATTGTATGTAATGCTCTCATCATTTTGTTTCTCTGATCCTCCTTCCCTTCTTTGCACCCCCCTGCTGCCCGCTCTTTTGCTGCTTCTCAACCCTGCATCCCTGGAAAAGGCTTTTATGTGCTAATCCGACAAAAACTTGCAGTAATAGGGGCATCCCGGACTCGAGAACCACTTCACCCTCAAAGGGCTCGCTTGCCAACGGTCCAATGCTCAGTGCATCTTCGGCCACTAATCACCCTCTGTTTCAATTCGGTCGGAATGGCGCCGCGAATGAAGTAGGAGAGTCGACCAATACATACGACTTTCTGCCCTCGGTCAACTTCGACGACCTTCAAAGCAGCCTCGAGTCCGCCTCCAACGATTTCAAATTGACCCAGTTCCCGTCCCCGACCGGTCAAGGGAGCATTTTGGAGACTCAGGGCATGGCCGACAAAATGGGCGGGGGTTCCAACTTGGCCCAGAACGGCGGATCTGCGCGCGCTGGAATTCCCACGACCGCGACCCGCTCTGGAAGATCTGGTTCTATCCTGAGGAGACCTAGCATCTCCAACAGGCAGCCCAGTGTTGCTTCCACCGCCTCCGGCCCTTCATCGGTCGCCGATTCCTCGACCGGCCCCTCGGCTGCAAGACCCCGACGCCAAAGCCATTACCCCCCAGTATCGAATACCAATATCGCGAAACCTCCCAGAAAGTCCATTGGTCCAGGCGTTGAGACTGATTTGGGTAGTCGCACTGCCCAACGGAGGAGACCGAGCCTGATTGGCTACATGGGTGGTGGAACGGATTCCACTCGGACCTCGATCGACGTCAGTTCGGGCGCTGGATTTGAGACTCCACGAAATCCCACAAGCAACAGAGCGACGAAAGCTAAATCCATGCACCAAGCGCTTACCCGGACAAGTACGGCGAACCTCTCGACCCCCGACGGTGGCCGTCTCTCTACGATATCACCTCGATCCCCCCGAGGTGAAAGCAAGGGAAGCAGCGCTTCGGCTCCGTCGAGACGACAATCCGTTATGCCCGGCATGCCTCATGCATCGCACGTAAGCGGACTGGGTGCCAGGACCATCAGTCCTACAGACACGCGGAGAATGAAGCGCATGTCTATGCATCATGTCCCGAGTCCCAGCCAGCCGGGCGACGCGCCTCCTCCACCGCCACTCGAGCACCGAGAACACTCTAGATCTCCATCAATGATACCACGAAAGGCCTCTGCAACGCCGTCCTCATCTCGAACTACCCCCGACATGAATAGAAAGTCCTACAGCTCCGGCCTGTCCATTACCTCGACCAACAGCTTCAACACGGTGAGAACCTCGACCGGTTCTTCAATCCAACCCAGAGCACCTGCAGCGGGTGCGGCGTCGCGGCTTCCTGCACCAAAATCATTTACCCCACATAACCACAATTCACATTCCGCTGACGACGACGAGGACGTTCCGCCCGTACCTGCTATTCCGAAAGCGTACGAATCACCACAGCAGTCCGCCACAGAGGGGTCGTTTTTGGACAAGCGGAAAGCCAATCTCGCTGCTGACGCGAGCAGTATCAACAGTAATTCCACTGGCAGTTTTTCCATACCCTCGCTTCCTGAACCCGCTGTCAAGGTAGCACGAAAGGCTAGTACCCGGAAGTCGACGAATGCGGCAGCTCTGGACGCCGAAAGGAAGGGGAACCCTACTCAATCGAGAAAGAATCCCCAGCCTGTGCGGCTTCCCCCAATCACTGTCGGGCCTTTGAACCCTTCCACGACAGCCAAGATCGCTGCACTGGGCCAAAATGTCCCTGACAGGAACTTGAGCCCACCCCCGTCGCGCATCATTGCGAAGACGCCCACCACGCCCATGACCGCGTCCAAGAGTTCCTTTTTCTCCAGGAACCGACAGGACGACAAGGGAGAATTTAGTTTACGAAGCAGCAGCACCGTTCACCACGCCCGCCTTGACAGCACATCCGGTGCCGATGGCACAAGCTCGTCCGAGTCGTTTGAGGGCGTATCGAAGAAGCTGATCGGCAAGCCCAGCGTGTCCCCTTTCTTGTCTTCTTCGGTACCCAAAGCAGGTCCTGATCCTGCCTTCCTCAAGAGGTCAAAGACGAGTGACTTGGCCAACGCCACGGAGCCTGTCGACGCGAAGCCCGTCCAAAAGCCTTCCGGCCCTCGTGCTCCGCGCCCACCCAAGGCGAAATCGCCGACACCACCGGCTTCCGATCCGGAAGAGCCACCCACACCGTCTTCTATGAGCTCTCTCCGTAGAAAATTAAGCTTGTCATGGAAGCGTAACACCTCCAAGAACGACTCAAAGTCCGCAGCGGATAAGACTCTGGAGCGAAGCCTTAGTAAGGAACAGATGCCTCCACCGCGGTTACCAATTTCTGCAACGGTCGGAAATCTGAACTCGGCAAAGAACAGCCCTAGCCCCTCTGTGAAGACAAACACTTCTTATCTCGACTCAAGGAGGCGGAAGAGCTCGGCGGCAAGCCTGGGTCACGATAGGACCAAAAGCGAGAACTGGACCTCAGCTTCTGTACCCAAGACCCATCACGAATCAACTCACCCTCACAATCCCTCTGTGATGCAAAAGATTTTACGCCCGAAGGCGTCTGCGACCACTATGCGGCACCAGGACCCCTGGACTGCAGATCTTGACAGGGACGATCTTGTTGCCGAGGAGGAGATGAAGAAAATGGGTGCCAGGAGGAAGGAAACTGAAATTGCGGCCAGGACCCTCGACGCGTTGCGAAAACGGGCCACTCCCAAAGAGAGAGTCGGGTCCCAGGAAGCCATCCGGATTGCTATGCTCAACATTTATGAGCGAGGCGAAATCGTTGACTATAACGATGTCTACTTTTGCGGAACGCAAAACGCCCGCAAGGTTGTCGGTGACCTTCAGTCCGAGGCACCCAACTTTGGCTATGACGACGAGCGTGGGGATTATACTATTGTCCCTGGCGACCACCTCGCCTATCGTTATGAGATCATTGATATTCTTGGAAAGGGAAGTTTCGGCCAGGTTGTCCGCTGTATTGACCACAAGACGGGCGTGCTCGTGGCTGTCAAGATCATTCGCAACAAAAAGAGGTTCCACCAGCAAGCTCTAGTCGAAGTCAACATTCTTCAAAAGCTTCGCGAATGGGTCAGTGTCACCGGATTCATCCTTCTCGCACCAATCCCACTAACTAGTTTTCACAGGACCCCAAAAACAGACACAGTATGGTCAACTTCACTCACAGCTTTTATTTCAGAGGACATCTCTGCATCTCTACCGAGCTCCTGGACATGAACCTTTACGAGTTCATTAAAGCGAACGCCTTCCGTGGATTCTCACTCAAACTTATCCGCCGGTTCACCAAGCAGATGCTTAGCTCGCTCAACCTCCTCAAGCAGCACAAGGTAATTCACTGTGATCTCAAACCAGAGAACATCTTGCTGCGTCACCCGATGCATTCGGAAATCAAGGTTATCGATTTTGGCTCTAGCTGTTTCGAGAACGAAAAAGTCTACACTTATATCCAGTCCCGTTTCTACCGATCCCCGGAGGTTATCCTGGGTATGACATATGGTATGCCCATTGACATGTGGAGTTTGGGATGCATTCTGGCCGAGTTGTACACCGGAGTCCCCATTTTCCCTGGCGAGAACGAGCAAGAGCAGCTCGCCTGCATCATGGAGGTGTTTGGCCCGCCTGAGAAGCATCTCATTGAAAAGAGCACACGCAAGAAGCTGTTCTTCGACTCCATGGGCAAGCCGCGCCTGACAGTTTCTTCCAAGGGACGAAGACGCCGCCCTTCCTCGAAGACTCTTCAACAGGCACTCAAGTGTGACGATGAGGCATTCCTTGACTTCCTCGCCAGGTGTCTCCGCTGGGATCCCGATAGACGTCTCAAGCCAGAGGAGGCCATCCATCACGAATTTGTAAGTGGCAAGAAGGTGAGCGCACCTCTTCCGCGACTCCCTACGGCTCGCGATACATCCCCGGCGAAGCGCCACACCACCGCCGCTACGCCTCGCCCACTGCCCGAACCTCCCGCTGCGGGCATTAAGAGCAACCCGGGTTCAAGACATGTGAGTGGTGCGAGCCCTCATAAGCTTGTCTCAGGTTCGTCCTCTCGCAGACCTTCAGTAGCGACCGCTGGTACTGTCCATGTCGCCACGGCCAAGCGCACCAGCACAGGGCAAGGTGGTATTAGCGTTGGCACCAGCAACCTTCCTCGCGCGGCCATCAGGAGCGTCAGCGCCAAACAAGATCTTGCCTCGGCTGGAGCCACTGCGGCCATGAGTCGGCGGGGATTGTAGGAGACGCGTACCACGCGACCGCGTGCAGCGAAAAAGACACCGAGTGGATCGAATATTTACTGGCAAGGTGGCATAAGATCATTGGGTAGTTGATTGCTTTTGTTTTTGTTCCCTCTTAACGCTACATCCTTGACGGGCAATGAACACATTCCCTGCGCCATGACCACGTTTGAATGGAGTGACGGAATACCCAGCGCGAAGAGTCACAGCCGGAAGGAAAGGAGTCAAATTTGGGCATGGCGGGGTAATTTTCTTCATGATGAGCGCGCAGCCGGGGTATATGTCAGGTTAGACGACAATGCCCTCTTATTTTTGTAACTCAAACGCATCCCCCTTTTTCTTCCCCCTTTTCTTTTTCATAACCTTATTCTTCCCTTATCTATATGCAGACGCAAGTCTAGCCCCTCTCATGGAGGCCAGAGGAGGCGGTCACATTTTGCGCGTGGTGGCGGAGGAGGACGAGGAGGAGAAGGATGCGGCATAGGGCGGGAGTGTCCGCGAGACGATCAAGGCAACAGCGGCCCATCGCGCGGCCCGTCATCATTCGCCGCCGCCACCAATACCGCATGGATAGAAAAGAGACGAAGGCAAAAGATGTGTATATTAATAATGACGAATGGCCTTGGAATGAGTGATGCAGGCCTGGGAGGCATGTGTGTTTTGTTATTTTTATTTTCTTTGTGACCTGGTGCATTGAGATATGGAGAGGCAGCAGCGGCGAAAGGTGGACGAGGTAGTTCCGGGTCTATCTACCTGTCTACCTATCTACATCCTGCCGCTGCCTTGCGGCACTCCTTGACGGGACAAGATGGCTACAGACGAGGCAGGCAAGGATGAATATGCGGAAGGAGAAGGCAGGCTACATTTAGCATTTTGGGGGTTCACCCCCCTTTTCTCTGTGGCGGCGGTGTGTATATCGTTTGACCCTGTGAGGTCCTTTTTTTTTTTTTTTTTTTGAGGAGCAATGGGAAGAAGACGAGGAGAGGAGGAGGAGTGAGGTAGTGAGGAGTAGTGAGTGGAGGGGGAGGTTTCAAAAAATACGGTCACGGTAACGGCGCACATTCTCCATCATAGAAAAAGCATTTCTGCCTGCGATTCAATTACGATCCCAGGCCGGCAACGGAAAGGGGTGATGCCGGGCCTCTTCCCACCCCCCCGGCTTCACCTGGCCTGCATGTTGGGGCCAGAACATCTATACAAATGTTAATAGAACGCTATTGCGAACATTGGGAAAGTAAGAAATTATGATCTGCAAGGGTGTTGACTTGGGAAGAAGAGAACGAAATCCCCCCACTACCTCTCGCACCCGTGGGTTCCCATCGATGAGCCTCAATGGTCGATCTTTGTTACCATATTCGGAGCATCGTGACGGGTTGAAACGCGACTTAGTGAGCGTTGTTGTACGGATATTTCACCCTCCCCCCCCCCCCCAACATGCAGACTGACTTCTAGGCAACCAAGACCAAGCCACCACTACAACCTCTCGGGTAATGTAGAGAGCTTGCTTGCTTGGAGGGGACGGGACGGGACCGGTGGGGAGGGGGGATGGGAGAATGATATGATGTCAAAACGTGGCGAGTAGGATTTTCCCACCGACGGCGGAACATCCGGGGGGGTGGTGTAGGAAAAAGGGGATACGATTCATAGGCAATCGATGGGTTTTGTTCGAGGCCTCCTTGGCCAGCGCCGCTTGACACCCCCTCCCCGGTCGAGTTTGGGGGCCGTAAAATACGCCTTTTTCATTCTCACTTCTGGCCCCCATTACAGTTGAAGGAGGTTTTTTTTTTCTTTCATGAGAAACGGAGAATTATGGGTAGGGAAAAAAAAAAAAAAAAGCACAAAAAGGAAAAAAAAAAAAAAAAAAAAAAAGGGTTGAGACAAGTTTCGTGCTTTGAAGGATCTTCATCGCTGAAGAGGCAGCGCGTCTGTGTTGGTGATCCTCTGCCGGGAGGATGTTTCTTCATCAGGGAAGGAACCGAGCGTTCCTTCAACTTCGCTTGTAGGTGACAGGCGGAAGGACGAGGGGGGTTGGTTTGTGACAGAACGACTACAGAGCATATGTGACCCGCCCGTCAAGTGGGCAATGAAGTTCGTGTTCCGATTCTCTAGGACAGAATTAGGAACGAACTGCACCCATAGAGTTTTTTCCCCCTTCGAGCTTGACCGACAGGCGCGCGGCAGGGACTGGATTCGTCTCGAGAACGTGCCCACAAATGACTGACTATCAATACCAAGAACATACACATCACTCCCCAATTCGATAAGAGGTAAGTAAGAGGGGCACCAAAAGGCCCCATGCTCATCTCTCCCCCTGGACTCGTTTCCAAAGAAGGTAAACGCGCATCGCGGGTCATGAGACGTTCTCCCCGTCCTCAGGACTCCGGAAAGGAGCAAAAGAAAAGAAAAATTGGCGTCAAGGGGAGATCCTAGTTAAGCTGAATGTGAACCCCCTGGAAGTGGAGTAAGTCCGCGCTTGTAGTATGCATATTTGCGAATGTTTGACAAACATAATTGCAAGTTTTGGCTTTACATGGGAAACATGCGGAAGGAACAGGCACAAGTGTCTGGCGAAGGCCACAAATGCGCGCAAAAGTAAAACAAAAATAAACATAATAAACGAGGTTCAAGGGGAGTGCCGCTTTGTGGTAGATCGTGAGGTATGCAGGTCCACCGGTGGCACCGGGAAGGAAGGGGCCTCATCGCGGCAAGGCGGCTGATCAAGAGGTCCAGAAGAGTCAAGTGGGGAGGCCGAAGCGCAGAATGCCTCGTAGGATTCTTGTCTGCCGAGATGGTGTTCCTTTGCCGTCTGACGCGATGGGGTCTGCTCGAGTGTCTGATCAGCACGTCAAGCAACATCTGACAGCCAGACATAGTAACAGAGATCGGCCGAAGGGGCAGGCGGTTGTCTCTCGTCTCTACACTGGGGCCACAACTGAGTGCCCTCGTACCGAAGGAATGATACCCCTTGGACATCGGAGGGGGCCCGACTTGCATAGGATGACGGAGCTGAGAGGCGGTTTGGGTAGGTTCACGGCCCTGGTCTAGTCTGGTCCCTTTTGAGCCTCAGATTTGCCACTGCCATGCCATGTTTCAGAGCAACGTCGACGACGAAGGAGTCACAGATGACTCCGCTGCGGATATCTCTGCCGCAACAATCTGTGTGATTTGACTGGTAAAGAAAACTGCGCGGGAGAAGACCCCAGACGATCCTTCACAAAAAATGTAGGCGGGCGGCCGCGGAAGGAGGCCAACGGCGCAGCTGAGGCATGGGTGTTGGAGGAGAGCATAATTTGCGGCACAGTTCGGGGAGTTTTTTTTTTTTTTTTTTTTTCGCTTTCCTCTTTTTTACTTTTTTTTTCTGACGAGGGCCCTGGTGAGGTTCCAATGTCTGTGGATGCGTTGGCATGGTTGGTCTGACATGAAAGATAGCCAAGTGAAGAAACCGTTGAACAAGAGCATCGGCCGAGTGCGGATTTGGCGGCGGGGCGTGGCTGGGGAGCGTGAGCCAGGCGTGATCGTGGTTCAGCAACTTGCTACTAGCCGCAATTGGCATCAAGTTTCAACAACGGCGAGCAGTTCTGTACCACGATCAGGGTACCAGGGACTTGGAAGGAACGGTGAAGAGGTAGGGGGAGGGTGTGAACCCTTCTACCATTGGGATCACGGCGTGGGGTATGGTGGGACTCAGAAGAGACAACGGAGAGGGCTCCGTAAAAAAGACGAGCGGTTATCACGACAGGGATAGCACGTACAAGAGCGCCGTTTTTTTTATTTTATTGAATGCGTCCAATGATGCTGATGACGGAGGTAATAGGCGAGAGACGGGGCAGCTCGTAAGATGAAGACGTACTATGCTGTAGAGCGCGCTTGATGTGGATGGTGTGCGGGGAGACTTCTGCCCGACCACACATGCATCCCAGGACACGAAGGTCTGATTATGCCTTGGACGAGTGCACCGAGAAGATATGACGGCGTCGGTCGAGGTTTGGACGGCATAGCGGCAGTTGCATACGTAGGAGAGTGGAAATGTCGAACAGGAAGGTCCACACAAGACCGACGGCGACTCCGGCCAAGACATGGTGAGCGAGACGGGGTGACGGCGTTGAGCGGTGGATAAAAGTGGGGATAAGAACTCCTGATCCCACCGTGAAGGGAGCAGGCCCTGGCTGCCCTGCTTGTCCTGGGATCTGTGATGTGGTTCAGTCCTTCGTGGCTTGCTGACCCCCCGAGGCTGTGCTGGAGCTAAGGAGACAGGGCCCTCACATCATCCACCAAAACTGACAGCGAGTTTTGAGAGGAAGATGCGTAAAGATCGACCAGTAGCAGCTCGAGAAACACAAAGTGCTTCGCTCATTATCCAATCGCTTGCGCTCCTTGTAAGACACCAGACCCTTGCTACAAGTGACAATCCCCCGCAAAGTGATGTATTCGACTTGTCGAGGCTGTTTGAGGTCCGTTTGCAGCACCCAAACCGAGATAAAGTCATTGATCCTGCATGACGATGACCTGATTGCTAGTTTCAAAACTCTGACCGTAGTGTCCTGGGTTTTGCAGCACGTTCTGTGGGTGGTTAAAGGCGGTCGACATGCGTAGTAGGCGTCATGCAGGTCCGGATTTAGAGAAGCATCGCATTGGCTACGTTTCTGTCGTCTGCGTCTGCGAGAGATATGCCGCCCAGGGTACTGCTTCCTGGGATAGTTCCGCGATTGGATATTGCGATAGGCGCAGAAGAGGGCAAAATGGAAAAACCCCTTAAAAAAGGATTGTCTTTAGCGAGTCCACCTCCAGCGGGTTTCTTCTTTTCGGTTCTGTAGATGGGACTTCCGGTGGACTGTCGGAACCATGGGTACGGGCACACGTGCGCATATCGGACCGTTCAAGTCGGACACCGAGCGACATGCACCTATTGGCCGTGGAAAAGTTGATGCACTACCCGTGGATGAGCGGCACTTGAACCTGTGGTCATACTGCCTGCATTGTGACTCTTTATCGGGCGTTTTATGTCTTGGTGCAGGACGCTTTGCGTTCGGTGAATGCAGGCTGCCAACGGCGTCGTCGTTGCCTCGAACAGGTCTTGAGGGTTGGGGTTGCACCAAGCACGCGTAGTATGCGTGTGCATCTGCTGCCTTCTGTTTCTGGGATTTGTTGGTATTATTGGTACCAACAGTCCTAGTGGTCCTAGCGGTTCCAGTGGTTGTCTGCGATCTCTGTACCGCAGGACTTGATGCAGGTCTGGGATCGGGCCCGACTTGCACGAGATGGGTCGGCGTTGGAAATGACAGTGGAGAGCATGCGCTGGCCTTGCCGTAAACAGTGAAGTGCCGTGTAACGCAGAATGAGGGGATCGTTGATAGGACTCGACCAGAACATGTTAGCTCGGTTTCCACCTTGGTGAGCGGCTTCCTGGGCATGCTCTTGAAGCGCCTCAATCAACAGCCAGTTAGGAGAACCCGTCAGACACGGCCAACGGTTCATCGGAACTTCTCTGTGCTTAGCTGGGTCGGACCCTGAAAGACGTGGACACGGCCGCCGTAGTAGTAGTTTGTCATATGGCGGGCGGGCAGTGGGGGACCAGCCGCCATCCGCCGCCGGCCATCCGCGCGGGCGCGAGGCCAAAATCCAGAGATGGTGGGACGACAGGGAAAGCTTGAGTACACTAGTCCACAAACCGCCAGCGATGACCTCTCAACAAGGTCGACTGCCGCCATGGGTGAGAAGTTGGGTGGATGTTTAGATAGGACTCTCTTGAGCACTTTCTTTTTCTTTTCCTTTTTTTTTTTCTTCTTCCCCTTCTTCGGTATCGCCATTAACACCAAGAGCTTCTGAGACTGCTACCCTTTCCTTGAGCGGTCTGTCACCTGGACGAACTGGAAGGCAGTGGAGACGACACGTGAGAGCCATGCCTGCGATATTGGCCAATGACAGGGCTTGGCGGGCGCAGGCTTTCGTAATCAAGCAAACAGTAGCACACACGAACTTGCCCTTTTTGGATACAATGCATGACTGCCCGTCCAGGCATCCCAGGCAGCACACCCTCCTCATCCCAGGTTCAGTCTCTCCTTCCCAGAACCTGGAGGTCGGAGTCAGGGGTACTCCATGCCAAACCCCTCCAGGCCCATGTTTCTTGCCCACGTTCAATGGCCACTCCCCCATGTCACTTCTTCCCCCCCCCCGGCCTTTACTTCTTACGTAGTACTTGGCTTTGGCTATCCTATCTGTCTCCTCACACCTTGCCTCACCTTGCCCAATGTTGCATCTTCATCATTGATATCCGTGTTCTGACGTTGGTTCAAAAATTTGTCATGGTACGGAGTACCTTGCCTGGCTTACGGTCTACCATCTGCACCTTGTCTCAACACCACCATTACCACCATTACCACCACTAACGCACACCCCAAGACGATTCCAATTGCGGACGCTGACTTGCGTCTCGGTGCCTGTGTTAGGCCGGCAGCCCTCTTTGCATAGCATCGTCCGTCAGTCATCTGTTCCCGGAATTCTCTGGGCTCCCTCAATCTGTTGCAGTACCAAACTCGACCGCGCGTCAACTGGCGAGTTTGACATGTGCTTGCAAACCAAGCCGCGACGAGAGTCGTCGTCTGTTTTGACCACCCATACGGCATGGCCGCCTTTCATGGCTAACATTCGGTGAAATATTGCATGACTTTACTGATGCTAGTGGTGGTGGTGTTGGCGTTCCAGCCTTGCAGGAATAAAAACCAGCACCCATGGCGACGAGGTTAGGAAGATCATCGTCAACAGGACCGTTTCGGACAACCTTTGCTCAGTGGCCTGCAGGCCTTCTCGTCCCCCGTAATTGGAAAGCACGGTCGAGTACCAAAGCCCTGGACTCGGAGGGAAGTACCCGTCGATCAAAGTCTCAAACATGCATTTCCATCGGTCGAATGAGAGTCGTCTCCGTCCTGAAGACCTGCTTGGCCGATTTACGGGGACTGTCGGAAGCTGTTGCATCCCTGGGTTTTAGTTATTATTCAACATTAATTTTACCTTCTGCGGGACCGGGAATAATAATCACTACGTCGCCCACAATACACAAGGCCTGGCAAGCACATTGCAACCCATCTGTCAAGCCGACTCAGACCTCACCCCTGGTATGCTATCATATCTCAGTCGCCAAATATCTCCAGGGGCATAGGGATTCGAGAAGGTTGCCCGGCTGCTCTCTCCAGAATCCCGGGTCTCATCTCGATATGGCCTCCAATGACGACATGTTGCTAAGCGCGTTTGATCTGACCATCCTCCCGACAACTGGGAAGAGCATGGAATGTTCGGCCTGCAGAAGCTCCCGGGCGGCCATCAGCACCAGCACCGATCGGGCACGTACTGTGGCCAATGGGCGCCGTGAAGACGGACACCGAAGACGGACACCGGTTCGGTGGAACTCCCAACCAGAATTGGCAACCAGCACAGCCTTGTCCCCGGTGACCCTGCAATGTATTTCGTAGCCCAAGCTGTAAGGAGGGTGTACTTGGGGCAGCGACAGTGGCCTATACAGCACCTAGCCTCAAACGCTTGACTATTCTTTTCCTATCCTGTCAGCACCAAGTCGAATCTCCCGCTCGATCTACCAGCCAGTTTGCCCCGTTGCGGAAAGGTGCCCACGACCTTCAACTGTGACCCCTGGAGCTATATTCAGCACTTGGATGGGGACATCAACCGCTAATTAGCGATGCCCTTGTCTGCTCGCCCTTGGATGCGGTTCCTGTCCACTGAGGGCTCTGGCAGCTATCCTTGACTTCTTGGCACCTCGTTGATCTCGTTGGCTGCGATTGGTGATCCAAACGGCACTCTTCGCATCCTAGCCCATCAGTGCGGGAAGTTTTGTGCGACCATCGTCAAATCCGGTTCCTGGAACGCGGACCGATTCCCTGGCCTCTCATGCCGCAAGAGGAAAATAATCAGCACCTTTAGATTTTCAATACCAAGCCGGATGCTTTTCCATGACCTTGCTACGGGACAAACCTAGGGACCCCAACATTATGTTTACCCTGCACATATCAACAAGACTCCATGCCAATCTTGAAGAATTTCGCTAGCGAAACATTGTGTTGAGAGGGGGGGGAGGGGGGGCGGTCCTGGCCGTCGCCCCGGGCACTTCGTCGGGTCGACAGGGTTCTGTAGTGAAAGACGTCTGAATTCGTGCGCTCTCTATGGACCAGTTCGCGAACTTCTGGCCAGCATACCCTCATTTAGCAATTCCAGCCGTACGCCAATCCCAGTCGACTGTATGCAGACTATCGTTCAGTAGTGGATATCAACGAAACTCTCATTGAAAAGACACCACTTAGTGTCAGAAGGTCAGGCTGCGGATCACCGTCAGGGACTCCAGTCAGGGCAACTGGTGAACGAGGCATCGCACCTTAATGCTCCTACATAGACTCGGGTGCTCCAAGGACTAATTTCTGTGTACCCCAAGCGGCTGCTGCACCAGGCGACGTAGGACTATCAGGCATCAGGGGTCGCTAATAAGCGCAAGCAAGACAAGACCTGGTGTGTCTTGTTTTGGTGCCTTGATGCAGAGTCAGCCCTGCCGTCCAAGACATGGAGCTATCTTGGGTCTGTACCCTGCCAGCTGCTGATGGCATGTCGGAGCCAGTGCAACCAGCCGATAATAGACATTCAGGCGTTCTGTTTCGTCTTCCAAGCGCACCTCGAGGCACGGCACAACGACACAGTAGCGGCAGTACCTGGCAGGCACCTAGGCTAGGTATGTGACAAGCCAAGGCGACAGCCGCGGCTGCACTACTACTGCTGCTGGTGCTACCTCTGTGCGCAACCTTCTTTCAAAGAAGGGCCATGGATTTTTGGCGCAAATTAACATGCTTCGATTCTTCCAGAGCATAGTGAAACGGAGCCAATCGAATGAGCGCGATGGCAGCAGCCTTTCGTACAACCATCCACCCATGCCATGCCATGCTCATCCCATCGCGCATCAGCCCTGCTGCACCTCATCAAGCCAAAGTATGGGGACACACTCGGCAGTGTCCATTTTGAGACTGCTTGATGAATTGGGAAGGATGATGAAGATGACTCCTTTGGCCGACCGGTCCCCCTACGCATCCCACACCACATACATGCTGTAGGGAACAGGTACTTGCCTTCAGTACCTACGCTACCTTACAAGGGCTACAGGGCACCTCTCACACACCCACACACCCTGAGCCACACCCACTTTACCGCACCAACACGCCCCTCTACCCAGCCCGTTTTTCCCACGTTCACGCCCTCCCCGGCTGCTCACCTTTTTCTCCGTCTCTCTCTCTCACACACACACACACATTCTCTCTCTTTCTCCTCTCACACCTGCTGCGCCGCGCCTTACAGGGCTATCATCGAAGGTGCAAGGCATCTTTTCCTGGCCCTGCCCTGCGCCATCATGTCCGTTGTCTGCATATCCTCTAATGCACAGAGAGATGCAGCCTTAGTCATTGGGTCTCACTCAGATGACATCCGGCGTCCACTGTCAGGCCCACTGCTGCCTTAGACGCTTCTCTTCAGCTACCTCTTTCGCTTCTGGGTTGTTTCGAGTGTGACGACTCCCAGGCTGCCAGGCCTATAAGGCCGTGATGTCTTCTCTCGATTCCGTTCTCTTGTCCCTTGTCTATTTCTGTACAGTCATCACAAGTACACTCTCTAGAGTTTCCTTTCCTATTTCCTTATCCTGCCTTATTCCCCTTGCTTCTTCGCATATCTGGCAGCTTTCAGTCTCTCTCACATCTCTCATCTCATCTTGATACCCTTATTAAAAACCAACGGCAGACCCTACCTTGCCTTTTGACAAGACCGACTCATCCAGGGACACATCTTATCACACCCTGTCAGGACCCAATTCATCCACTGACTACTACGACCAACACCCGAGCTATCCAATCCACCCTCAGACACCTTTCACAATGTGCTACCAAATAGTTGAGCTTTACTCGGCCTGCAGATGCCTCTACTACCAGCACGCCATTGACAGATGCGCTTCTTATGGCCGCCCAGGTCACAGCATTCAGAAGCGCACAATCTTGGTCGGCTACGCATGCCACGCTCACTCCCAGGGACACGGCGCATACGCTTCAGAGCACACCTACTCTGATTCTGGCTATCACTCGAGCCACTCAAGCAGCAGAAGCTCACGTCACTACCGATGAAGTGTCCTGTCTTCGGTAACGGGTTGCTGCTCATGGCGTTCCCCCATGCTGGAGCTCTTTGAGTTCGGCGATTGGGTTGCCTACCTCTACTCTTTCCGAGGAAGGTCGGCATCGCAGACGCTGCGCCCCTCCCAGCTATCCCTCCTCTTTGTCGGCCATGACCGCCTGATGTCTTCTTCAGCGCCTCCTGCGGTGCGGTGACTATCCGGCGGATGGCCTATACGATCTCCTCACTCCTCTCATCTTAAAATCGACTCACTTCCACCGTTACGCCCTGCCATGAAGTTCAGCAACGAAGTTATCGAAGACAGAGATGAGGTAACGAAACGCAACGGAAACTTTATACGGCCTATTTGACATCATTATCAACGCGCTATCAGAAACGGCATCTTTGACCTCGCCCACGATTCCCCTCGGTCTCGCTCTTTGACTTCGAATCTTTCGCGACAATCAAGATTTTCCCCCATTTTCCTTCTCACCACGGGGCTCTATTCGGTCTTTCTTTTTATATCATTCTTGCCCTGACACGACTGCTTTCTTTACCGACATGGAGCATGCATAGCGTAGGCATTGGGTTTTGCATTGGGCGGTTTGGGATGGACGAGAGAAAGCATACAAGAGATGCTGTTAACTTCTAATCGGCGGGTCCTCAATTTTTTTTTTTCCTGCCTCTGGGCAAGGGTTTTTCCTGGCTTTACCTTCTGGTCTGGCAAGGGTATCCAACAGCAACGGCATGTTTCGATCCTGCAGACAAACGGCAACGGTTTCTTTTTCAGCTTCTGTATTTTAAGGGCGGGGTCTGGTTGCATTTGGCAAGTGGGCGGGCGGACGGGCGGGACAATACCAGGCGTTCAGGTTTTGGGAAGATTTGAGACATGCTTGCGCATTCGGCGGTTTGGCAGGATCAACAGGGTGAGAGAGATTTGTTATTGCTTTTTCTGGTGTCTTTTCTTTCTCGTCTTTTTCCTTTCGCGTCAACAGAATTTCCCACACTTTGGGGTTTCTTCTCTCATTCTCTGATACTTCTATTGTCTCTTCTCTGATCTGTACCATCATTCTATCAAAAAGGAGCCACTCTGGAAGGGGCGAGGACAGCAATGACAGGCATCAAGATCAGGACTGCAAGAATGGGCATGGGAATTGCCCTTGGGTATAGGATGACTTTTTTTCTTCTTTCCTTTCATTCCAAGTGATGCTAGACATCTTTTTTACACTTTCATTTGGTATTCTTGATTTCTTTCAAACTCAATTCTTCAGCATCTCATTCAGGGATACAGAACGCTTCCTTACTGCCACCCCCTGTCAGGGACGGGGGAGTGTTGATGGACGGTACTGGATCGGAAGGCAAATGATACCCTGCAGGAAACATCGAGCTGGTTCGCTAAGAAAAGGAGGAGATATAGCCAGCTGGACTTGGGCATGTGTTAATACGAGAGACTTCTTTTGTTGTTGTTGTTGTTTTTATACAATAGACATAGGCAGCAGCAGCAGTACTGCGGAAAAGTTTTTTTTTTTTGTTTTTTTGTGAATAACGGACACTGAATATTATTTAAAATAACGTTTTACCGGTATCAATCAGTCTTGAGTTATGAAAGTGGCGAAGAAACGGCCTCAGTTCGGAAGTGAGTCAAAATTCGCACGTTAGGCAGACTCGAGGGGAAGAGGCGCCGTTGATCGTCCAATGGGTGAGGGTGTGTGTGTGTGAAAGCAGCATCTTTTTTGAAAAAAAAAAAAAAAAACGCGGTGTGGGAAGAGAGACAGACATTGTGGACTAACTTGATTGGGAGGTATTTTTCGAGGGGGTAAAAATGGGAAGGAATGCGGTTTGATGGGGAACCGATCAACTGGCATCGTCATTGGGAAGAGGGGGGGGGAGGCACAAACATCACAGCAACGGAAGGATGAAGGAGAAGGAGGAGGAGGAGGGGGGTGTGAAGAAGTTTAATTCGGAGGGCTGCGCAGATTGGGGGGATGGAAGGGTGGGACTTGCCGACGCAGAATGCACGTCGCTTCATGGCAGGGAAAAAAAAAAAAAAAGAGCAGATATGATATCAACCGGGAATTGGTGTTTGGTTCTTTCGGGGGATCGTAGACTGGCGTGAAAAAGGAGGTATCTCTTACACGCCATTGGTCGGGGGGGGCTTTTTTGACAATTGGCGATGGGGGGCGGAAGCCAGCCTCGTAGGATCAGGATGCCCAGACCTGACCTTTTTAGCCTTGTGGTTGGTTAGTGCTTTTTGGTTTTCTAGGTACACAATACCACGCTGTGTTATGCTAGTCGTTTTAGGTACCTTACTCTCGACACTCTGTAAAAATCAGCGACTATTTGCTCGCGCGGGTCGTGATGTGATGTAAGGTGCTGACGCCTGCGGGGCTGCAACGACTGATTCCCCCCCCCCCCCCCTTCCCCCCAAAATTGGGCCCCCCTCTCGATTTGCGATGCCGCGGGAGGCCTTCGTAGTGTATGCACAATTTACGCGGGTGGATTTGAAGAATCTGAGACAAGCGATGTGGATGTTGCTCTATCTCTTTGACATTCTCCATCCATACTACTGTCTTGACCCTTGTAAACACCCCTTGTCCCCTTCTCTTCCGGAGAGGCAAGTATTTCGATGGGAAACAAGGGTGGTTTGGCTGGGAAAGGAGGAGATGCGTCCCGGGGGGGCGTGGTCGGAGAGTGTGAGCTGACATGGCGTTCTTGGCCTGGGGGGTGAATACCCGCAATTTGAAGTTTGAACCGGGATATCACGGATTGCCGAGTGGCCGGCGTTTGGACAAGGTAGGAAACTCTTTTGATGGGAAATGCGGTGCTGGTTGTGTTTTTTTTTTTTCTGGCACTTGATGATGAGAGGAAAGGGCACGGGGCGGATGCCGGTCGGGGAACGGAAGTGGTGGTGGGGGAGAAACAGAAGAGAGTGATGTCTTGTTGCTAAGAATAGCTTTATTTTTAGGTGAGGCGGCGGAAGGAAGGGGAGCTTGGTCGCTAAACGGGACGAACAGGGGGTTGCGGGGGACCGGGGGGGGAAGAGGGAGGGGAACAGCGTCCACTTCGCTCAGCATTATCGCGGCAGTCGAGTCAAAACCATGGCGACTAGCGTGTAAGAGAACCAAACAGACCCGACCAGAGGAGCGCTTGTTTGGGAATAGACGACCATGTGGTAGACACCTGGGTTGGCGCGTGTGGGGATGGGAAAGGGGGTCGGAGACTGGATGCGGATGAGTTGGGGTCCTAAAAATGAACACTCTCCGTCTGTCAGGGTTGCAGTGTCCGGTAAGTATCATGTATGGGACTTTTTCCAGATTCATTTTTGGATGCTGATGTGTGCGATGGTGGGAAGGAAAGGAGGAGGGGGGGAGCTTGCCGTTTGCCGTGTTTGGGTAGGACAATAGTCTCCGGACGAAGGGTCATATGTCAGATGTATGCATATAGCTTTTCTTGGGAGAAGGGAAGGGATATGGTTACGTGGATGACGATTGATTTAGACCGAAAAGCAGACACCGACGGGGGTTCCCCGGTGCCACTACTGTGAATGTAATGGATGTGTGAGTGAGAAACGAAACGTCGAATGGGGAGTCTTGGGTGAGATCTCCGTTGCAAACAGACAAGCCGCAGCATGAACCCACTGCATGTGTGTGTGTGTGTGTGTGTGTGTGTGTGTGTGTGTGTGTGTGTGTGCGAGTGTGTGTTTGTAATGTGTGTGTAATGCGCGTGTGTACGCTTAGTGGCATAGCCGCTCGGCACTAGACGACAGACGCGGGGAGGCGCAAGCTACGCGCAGCAAGCGCAAGCGCGCACTCTAGCTTGGTGTGCCTGCGTGTATATGTCTGTGTGTGTGCGTGCCGTTCGGTTCGAGGATTTTAGTTCGAAGCGACTGACGCTAGTTATGTTTGCGCAGCAGCATGTCCATACGTACACCCTGCGGTCTTGTGTCACCTTACTGAGGACAGGGTGTGCGTACAGTCAGTCAAGACAGTAGCAACGAGACTCAATTCAATAACCTGGCTCATGTCATGACACCCAAGGAAAGGCTGAAAGATGAGATGAGGTGCGAAGCTGCTTACAGGAAGAAAGAAAAAGTGGAATACGGCGGCAGAGTTAATGAGACATTGACTAGCGAAAGCATCTGAGGCGTGCAGATCAATCAGTCAACTCACATTACCTTGGTCTAATTCCATGGTTTATTTTCTGTCCCCGCGCTAGGAATCCCTGCCCCAACTGCCAGTGCTACAGTGACACTTTGACCGATGACGGCCTTCCCCCCCTGGTTCATATGTGCCAATTCGTCTAGGCAATGCAATAGCTGAGAATCACTAGGAGAAATGGACCCACGATTTCGGTTGGTGGATTCATCATGCTTTCTTTTTCTCACCTTTTTGCGGTGGGTAAGGAGATCATTAGGCTTTATTTTTGGGGATGGGGCGTCGTTGGAGTTTTTCTCGGTATGCCGGGGTGGGTGAGGGAGGTGTGAGTCGAGAATACGCTCAACACCTTTCCTTTCCAGGAGCTATGACAAGATCCAAGATCGAAGATCGGGTCGAGGTTTTGGATCCTCCAGGAAATGAAGAGGTGAAGTCGGGCTCGGGTACGTATCGCGGGTCCTTTCATTGAAGCGTAGGGAAGAGATGGAGAGGGGGCCTGGCCAAGACTAGGTCCGGGGTCCTAGGAGCAGGGCCCGGACCAGATACGGGACCTTGCCCGCAACAAGGAGAAAGACGGGGGGAGCAGGGAAACAAGCGAAAGGAAGGCAGCAGAGAAAGAGCAGAAACCCAGCAAATCATCCCGGACAGCGCAAGCACGCGGCGGGAGGCACTGAAGCAAGGAATGATCCCGGATATTGTGCACATTAACAGATTAAGCCGGGCGGAAAATGAAATCCTACCGGGCGGAATCGATGCTTGGCCTCGTGTCGCAAGAATCCCCTTCTCTAATCAACCTCACCCCCATTTCTGCCTGGACAATTATCTGCCGAGTTTCCGTCATGATGGAGGCGTCTATGCGGCCCTTCCCGCGGGGACCCGACATCCATCTCAGGTGCTACGAACAGGATGCGCGGCAGATCCCTGGAAAGTTTTCATAGGCCACAAATATGATCTGAAAAAAAAAAAAAAAAAAAAACCAATTGCTAAATTTGATAGCTGAATTGGGAGGCTGAGATTGGTTTTAGGCGGGCCTGCAAATAATGGGTCTTTTGTTGGGAGTTGGATGGTAGGAAGGCGGGCAGGTTTGGGGGTTCCGGCAAACAGTTTCGGGTCTCAAATGCGGCCGGATATGCAGAGTTGTCCGCGGGCCGCAAGCTTATAGCACCCCGGCTCTTGTTTGCCTTAACCTGCCGCGCTTTCCTCTCTCCTTCGCTCGGTGTGCAGGATAAGGCAAATGGACGCAGATGCACGCGCAGATGCATGCAATGAGCTCCTTATGGAGTGGACTTACCTTGGACGGGGAAACCTGCATGTCTCACTCCGCGTTGACAGACCGATTCAATGATTCCATACGCATGTACCTAGCTATTTGGCATAAGGTATACAAGAAATGAAAGCATGTTGTTGTTGGTGTGCACTAGTTTTTCTGCGGGCTCTGGAAGGAAGACTATCGACGGCTGAAGATGCAAGTCCCGCGTTCTTTTTTCGGCGCTTCTCTCGCTCACCTTGCTCAATGCTGCCAACCTACTGCGATGCATCGCATCGAGGATTCTAAATCTGTTTGTATCTTGGGATTATGCATATCCCTCGTCATCTCTCGAGCGCTTGCGCGTGCCTTCGAATTGGACGAGAGATAGTGTGAAAGGCAAGAAATCGCAGCAACAGGCGCAGATGGTGACAGATACACCCCACCACACACTCAACCCACGGTCTCGTGGCCCCAGCTGCATCCTTACCATATCTCAACGGCTGCCGAGGACAGTAAAAGGGTTGCGGCAATCTCGGCCCCTAGCGATTTCAGCTCAGCTTTGGACAAGGTCTTCACAGGTTCCCAGGTCGTTCAAGAAATGTAGGTGCCTGGCCGAGGTGGAGATAGAGGTTCAGAAGCTTGGACCACTCATATCAGCACTTCACTATCATCACACACTCTCTCCTCTCACACCATAACCGGCGTTAAACATCACTTGCATCGAGGTTACACCACCATGGGGCGGGAAGTCCATTGCGCCCCCAATCGCCCCCCCCCCAAGACTGTGCTGCGCTTGAAGGAACGAACCGCAGGCTTGTGGCTCACTGCCATGGAGCGTGGTATGGGGCCACGGAATATGGGTGTATGACGGCATAGCATTGTAGAAAGGCATGGAAGCGTATTGAATTAAACCCTGGAGTGGTTTTCTAATTCTCTTGATTCAGGGGTTGTGAAGTAAGCTGTGGCTGTTAGCGGGCTGGTGGTGGGCTTGGCGAGTGAGATTGAGGCTCAGTCATTGGAATCAAGTGATAGGTGAACGGTGTGTGTGTGTGTGTGTGTGTGTGTGTGTGTCGGTATCAGGTGAAGTGATGGCTGGGGGTATACCGAGGTGAGCAGACAATTCGCACGAATCCAAAAGGAGCATGAGCATGTACACCAGAGCAACGAGAGTGGCTGTGGTGGCGGTGACGGATCCGGAACCCGGTGAGCCTCGGAGTTTAACTGTTTGTTTTGTGAGGCCTTTCATCGTTATCTTGGAAATCACTGGGATTTGGTCATCTCCCGGAGGACTTTGGCCGCGATGATGTCTGTAATCTGGAACGAAGGACTATACCTATACCCAATAGTAATTTGCGACGGCCCGCATAAAGTAAGTCATTGGGCGGAGAGCCCAGCTAGAAGCCTGAAGCAGCGCTCAATTCCAAATTGGAGAAATGAGACTGTGGAACAACCTAGTTTTTGGCTTGAATTGTCTGAGATGTTGCTAGGGTTGTTGGCGATTACAGAAGGAAAAAGAAACATGACAGGTGAGATGACTGGTCTCAACTCAATAACCCGGTCTTTGGGGGGGTTGAACGCTGAAGATGGCCGCTGGCGTAGGGGCCTATCCGGCGGCAAGTACCGGGCGGGCAGGTAGCACCTCTACGGGCCCTAGTGGGGTCGCCCATTAACGGAGTGCGTACCGGTCGCGTCGCGTCGCGCCTCACTGTCCCGCAACCTCACAATTGAACCTCGGTGCTATCCAACGTCCACCGTCGCCCGCCAACGCCAAATGCCATCATCCCGTCAAAACATCTCGTTATCGAGGGTGCATTAATCCTACCAAGAAGACCAGAAGACGGTGGAAACGAAATGCTCACTCTTTCAACTTCCCCGCGCTAGCTGGCTTTTCCCCCGTTTTGGGCTTCACCGAAAACTTTCGCTTCAATTCTCACAAGTGAGTAGCATATACCATTCCCACGTGACCACCCAATATAGCACTCTCAGGGGCTTTCCATTACGGAAGACCTGGATTTTATATGGCCGTTTGTACTCTTCATGTCATGAATAATTCTCCCGAGTGTCCAAAATAGACTGACTAGTTCACTCAGCATTCTTGCACCCAAGCCCGACTGTCAGCCCGCTCTTATCAGAGGCATGCCGCCGCCTAGAGAGCTCCCCCGCGTCCGCTCAGCGGAGGCTTCAATCGAGAAGGGTCGTGCAGCCTATGCGGACCAGCGCTTCCGTGTCGCTCTTGAGCACTTCACCCTCGTTGCAGGGAACTGCCCCTGTTCATGTCCCTCTTCGTCATCCTCCTCTCCTAGCCCACGGCTAGGAGACGGAGGCAGTGCAGGTCTCACTCAACAGCGTCGCAGGAGAGAGCGGTGTACTTGCCGCGATTTCGGTCAAGCTGCGGCCCGGCACCGCCGAGAGAGGGGCGCCGTGTACGCAGAAGCGACAAAAGATTGCAAGTGCGGTGTCGAAAAGACGTGGGGGAAATGCCATCGTGAGGGACATGTCCAGGCACTCGACTACCGCGCCGCGTGCTTCGAGAAGATGGGCAACTTTGAGAAAGCAAGAAAGGATGCCGAGTGGCTGCTGGAGATTGCACCGCGGAGATTAGAGGTAGGTCTACATTTCGTCCCAGTTTGCCCATCCAACTTTGCTTGAGTATCAAACCAAGCAGCTTAACTAACCCTCTTTCAGGGATACATGAGGCTTGGCAAAGTGTACAGGTTAGAGAAAAAGCCCGAGTTAGCATGGGCTGCGTGGAGTGCCGGCGTCGAGGTTGGGCGGAAGGAAGGGCTTGTTGGGACACCAAAGTTTGAGGTATGTAGTCCCTGGCAACGATTCGAGGTTGGACTAGAGCTGATGGGCAGCTCGAAGCAATTATACAAGATTCGGGAGCCGCTTCATAAGCATTTCTGTCGCAAAGACCCGTTGGAATTGCCTGCTGAGCTGATCGAGAACATATTTTCTTACTTTGAGTTTAATGAGTTATGGTGTGTTCATAACCCCCAAGTCCATGAAGTTCTTTACTATTCGGTGACAACTAACGGTGGGCAGTCGTATGTCGGGCGTCTGTAAGCGTTGGGAAGCCTTCTTCGACACGCACCCCTACATATGGAGAGAGTTACATTTTCAAACCGTCAATCCTCAGAAGCCACCGCGAGTAAGCTTCATGAAGACCCTCCGCAAACGGACCGCCGGACGCGCCCGCAGCCTCATCATACCCAACGCCCACACCTTTCAACTCAACGAGTCGAAATGGATATCCCTCATCCAGACGACAAACCCTCAGACGACAAGCCGGTTGGAGCTCGGCGGCGTGAGGCGTAACATGGACGGCGACTGGGGGTATAAGCTACCCCCGAAACCCCCCTTTTTCGAAGGGCTCTCTCATCTGAAGCTGAGCTTCCACCACCAGCCGATGCCGGACTACAACGGCAGAGGCGGACCCCAGGCCTTCGTCAGACAGTTCGTCGAGCGCGCTCGCGAGAATCTACAGAGCGTGTCGCTGGTGAGCATGCACCTGAACGACCTCAACTGGCCGGAGCTGCCCACTCTCAAGGTGCTGCAGCTAACAGGCCCGCTCAACTCGACACTCGCGCAGCTTACCCCTGACCGTCGAATCGACCCAGTAAGTCTCACCTACCAACGGCCACATCACTCAAACGGGGTTGTACCTAACACATTCCTAGTTCGTCCTGGCCAGGTCAACTCCGAACCTCGAACAGCTCTACCTTGACAATTTTGGCGTCTTCACCGGCGTAGACTCCCTTTCCCCGCCCGCAGACTGCTGGTCTCTCTGGAGAAACCTGCAGGTTATCCGCCTCGGCACGACCCGGAGCGGCCTCTCGATGGGCAACAAGCGCCACTTCCCACCACTCCACCCCTCCTCCTTCCGCGTGTTCGAAGCCCGCGCCGCACACCAGGGGAACCACGGCGACTGGCTCCCTCAGCAGCTACCGCTCGACTACTCGGGCTACGACGAGGCGTCCTCGTCACCCACAGACAATGCGAACCTGGACCTCGTGACATACCCCAACCTCGAGCGTTTCTGGATGCCCAAGCTGCCGCTGAGCGTCGACCTCGCCACCGTCCTCCTCGAGCCCGCCATCCGCTCCGGCACACTCCGCGAGGTCGGGCTTTGCTGGCGCCAGGACCCAGGCCAGTACTTCCCCGGCGCGCTCGACTTCCTGCGGAGCGCAGCATCTGTGAGGACGCTGGGCTTCTTCGAGTTCGACTTCGAGAGCCACGAGGCCCTGACGCGAGACCCAGCCCACCGCGGCGTCGACCCCGGTGAGCTGCTGTTCCGGTTCCTCGAGTCGTTCCCGAACCTCGAGGTGCTGGAACTCCACTCCTCCATGTGCGACCCCCGACGTATCGGTGCCGTCATAGAGAGAGTTGTCGCGCTGGGCAAGCTGAAGAAGGTGTACCAGAAGGCGCTGACGGGCGTCTTGATGGATCAGCTGCGGAGCTTTTGCCAGGCTCACGCGGTGGAGCTGATTTACGGGAGCTGGGAGACGCCGTTTCCCGTGCCGCTCAAGTAAAGTCGTTGGAGAGCAGCCGGTTTAACATGGCTGTGGATGCATGCCTGAGACTGTAATTATATCTCCAACGATTTTGAGGGGGCGGTTGGTGCTCATTTTTATTTTTTTTGGCCATTCTTCTCTGTAAATATTTACTTGAAAGATGAATGATGGGTTTTTTTGGGGGGCATGGAGGAGTTTAACGGTTATGATGATGTTGCCGACGTTGACCAAGGAAATGTGTCCTTGCTGTGTGACGAACGATTTGGCTCCCATAGAGAAGAAAAGATTCAAGACACAAAATATTCCCACAAATTGGGCGGAAGGGAAGGGCAGTGACACGTCATGTATCAAGAGTATTGAACAGCAAGAACATAAACAGTGTTAAAATTATATAATCCAAAGCTCCTCTCGCTTACTGCAGCAAACACACCTTTTTGCACGCGCGCTTTGCTCAGTGCTTGCTATCGGAATAAAACAGACTATAACGACGACGAAGACTAAACAAAATGTCACCGTCACAAACGGGAAAAGAAAAGAAAAAGAAAAAAAATCCAAAACAAAAAAAGACACTTTATCCTCCCCGGCCATCCCAGGCCTTCCCTCGACTCGGCCGTGTTACCCTAGCCTGGTCGCTTTCCCCGCTCCCTTTTTCTCTTAACGCCATTGGGGACAGAAGAAAGAAAAATCATACCCAAGATATCTCTTCCTCCTTGGTAAAAAGACGATTTCTATTATAAGTGATAGTGTGTTGGGATTGTATTAACCCAGGTATTTCTTGCGAACGTGCGAAAAAGTAGTTTGCTTCATGATTACCGCGCCGGTGACGGGGGAACGGCGACGCTGCCCGAAATAAGACTCTCCATCTCCCAGGGACTGAGTGTGCTCCTTCTCCTCGAAACAACCTTGCTCACGCGTCTGTCGCGCTTGCGCTTTGCTGGCTGAAGCGGCTGTTCCTCGTCTTGAGGAGGATCTCGCTTGACGGGATCCAGGTCTTGATTTTGTTCTGGGGCAGCAGTCGTGTCGTTAGATTGTTGAGGTTCCGGGGGGACGGCAACGATGGTCTCTGGTGGAGGGGGAGGCATGGCCTGTGTAGTCTGCTGCTGCTGTGGCGGCGGCGCGGTCGTCTTGCTTGCGCCCCCTCGAGCCGCCTTGAGCTTGGCGCGGACACGAGCAGCGTCGGCTTCGCGTTCTGATGCGGCAAGTTTGGCGGCAATTGTTGCCATCGTCAGAGGGCTCTGCTGAGGTTGCTGCTCAGCGGGGCGTGGCAGGGGAAGGCGTGAGGGAACGCGGCGCAACGGCGTGCGAGCTGGTGTTTTGGTGCCATTGGGTTGGGTTGCAGGGCCCGGGGGTGGGCCGTCGTTGCTGACGTTGCTCCCATTGCTCTCCTCGGAGAACTTGCGGGCATTGGCGGTTGGGGACTGTTGTTCTGCTGGCGGCGGTGGTGCTGCTGCTGCTACCAGACGAGGTGCCTTGGGGAGCTTGCGGATCGTGGGGGTCTGGTCCACAGAGGGAGGAGGAGACTCGGTAGGTGTCTTGAGAGGAGCTCCATTGTGAGTCGAATCAGAAGCAATCGATGCCGCCGAGGTGGTGCGAGAGCGGTCGTCAACCGGGTACGAAGGCTTCTGAGGGGATCGTGGGAGCTGCGTCAAGTGCGGTGGCGGCTTCGGTGCGACTTCAGCAGCACGCACCTCCCGTGTCTTCTCCTCAGTGATGGTGGTAAAATCCCCTACCTTCTCTCGGCGGGGTCGCGCGTCTCGGTTACCGGCCGAAGACGAGTCGCGGAGAGGGCTCAGTTGAGGAGCAGGAGGGAGAGGAGGAGAGCTAAGGTATGCCGTAGACTGCTGGAGAATCTGAACGTTGGGCTCTTCAACATCGAGTTCCTCTACGTCGACATCCTCATAAATGCTGGACTCATAGTCGCTTTGGTTCTCCACATCATCATACTGAACTTCTCGAGGGCCCGCGTTGTCGCGCTGCGCCGCTGGCACGAGGTGGAGGGATTCAACTCGTTGAGGAGCTGGGCATGGAGACTCAGGCATCATCACCTCCTCCTCGTCTTCTTCCTCCTCTTCGCCTCCTTCTTCTTGCTCTTCCTCAAAATCGGCGGTGCATTCTTCTTGGACACAGGAGAGCTCGTGCATGTCCATACCTCCCTGTTGAGTCTCCTCGACATCGCGCACGCGAACAGGGCTAAGACGGAGACCCATCTTGAGCTCCTCCATGTTTACAGGCTTTCCATCGACTGCCATGCGCCGACGCCAACCGTCAATTAGGTGGACGGCCTCCTGCCAGCGGTTCTCCATCTTGACCCAACCGGTGCGCAAGCGGGCAATCTCCTCTTCACGAATTTCAACTTCCTCAATAGGGGCAAATGAAGGGTTCGTAAGAATAGATCGGAGGTGCTCCAGAATAGCGTCAAGCTCGGTGGCCATATCCTCGGCCGTGGCCAGAGTCACGGCGTGACCATCTCCTTGGCTCGCCCTGACATCGCAGCCGCTCATCTCACGCAGTCGTTTTGTGGTCCGTCGCACGAGGGACAGCAGAGACTCATTTTCTTCGCTCAGATTGTGGGCAAGCTCAGTCAGGAATTCATTCGTCTCCTTTCGTAGGTCGTAGCCGGAGTCGTCGGTATTAGCGGTTGCCCTGGCACCCCGCTTGGGTGATATCTTGTCTTCGCCCTCGCCGGCGACAACGCTGATAACGGTGACTGCAGAACTCTTTGCGGTACCGCGAGGACGTCCAGCGTCTCCAAGCTGCTTCTTCAAACCGTCAATCTGACGATCACGACGGCGGACTTCCGTCGCGCACGAGGCGCGTGTTTGGGCGACGAGGGTCTTGGCACGAGCTACCTCGTCTTTGAGGCCGCGTACAGCAGCATCGGCCGACTTGAGCTGGGTGCGTAGGGCGTTCTCGGTGGCTTCGCTGATGTCGACCTTTCGCTGAGCTTCGGTGTGCTTCTCGGAGAGACGTGCAATATCGTTTGTATAACGGAGGTTCTCTGCTCGGATGGTTCGCAGAGTTGCCGAGAGATTCTCGCGGTGTTCGGCGTCGCGCTTTAGGGGGGAAACAAACATCGGTTCAGTTTGGGGTTCTTTGAGGGGCAACATTAAAAAAGAAACGAGGGCACACGCACGTCTCGGCGCAGGATCAAGTCATTGACTATGCTCATGATCTTGCCCATGGTGGCCTCCACGCCGCCCGGATTGTCCTCCGGGTCGGCAAAGTTGATGGTCTGGCCATCGCGGAGAAGGCCTCGCGATAGCAATTGGTTGTTGATGTACAGAGATGCTGTACAAAGGTTATCGTTGTCTGCCATGGTGGTGGACGTGTCTCTTGGCGAGACGAGACTGTTGAGGCGATTCTCTCGTGCTGTTTCAATGCATGCGGGTAAGAGTAGAGGTTTTCAATTGTTCGAAGGCTGTCGCTGAAGAAAAATAAAAAAGTGTGGAAAATGTCATCAGTGAAGAGCTATCAAAGATTGGCGTCGGTTGAATCGCAGCTTATGCAGGACGAGGGATGGACCAGCAACCTTTTCTGGGTGGTCTGCAAGGGCGAGTTTTCGGATAGAGGCAGCTGTGTATTTTGGTTCGTTGCCATGTCACCCCCACCTCGCAAAGTAAACAAAAAATTAGCCAACACACCAACGTCACATGGGTGCTGGCCGCGACCCTGCGGGGCTAACCGCGAACCGCCTAGCGCCATTTCTACACATTCATGCGATAGCTGCCCGAGTCACAACTTTTGGTGTCTGATCACACACTTAAAAGTATTGTAACATTCCTTTTTCTCAGCTGCAGCCCAGGAAACCGAATTCAATTCCGTCACTGTCATGGCATTCGATCCAACGGCACTTGGCCCATCTGATGACCCCTCCATCCACGATGTGTCGGGTGAGATATGGCATCCCTTGTTCCGCCACGAGTGCGCATTTGGGCCCGACGTCTTTGAGGATGTTATGATGAATCTGGTCAAGAACCCAAACATCAACTCGAGCTGGCTCTTCCGCGCCGACATTCTCCATGACACCGACCCAGCATGGATACCCGCCCCTCCCCCCACCTCTGATCACCCAGATCAGCAACAGGGTGCTGACGCCGCACAAGCTGTGCAGCAGCAGCAACCCATCCCCGTTGCGTTCAAGGATTTCCGCAACGACCGCGTCCTCGTACGCAGGCTGATCCCGCGAAACACCCGCCGGGATGACCCCCTGGAGCAGACTTGTGTCTTCGCTTCCTCCAGTACCCCAGATGCAGATGCCGGTGCCGGTGCCGGTGCCGATGCTACCTCCACCAGGTCCAGGTCCCTGGTCATCTACCTCCCCCATGCATCTAAACCCGAAGCTCTTCCTTTTTATCACCCCAAGGTCCGGGGAGTCGCGCATCTCCACGAGTGGGACGCTGCGCGAGCCGTCGGTACTGTGTCTATTCACTACCTGTTCTTCGATGAGGCCGATTTCGCCGTTGAAAAGCTAGTGCGGACGGCCCGCATGCTGCTCTCTGTGTTGTATAAGCACGGCCAGGGACGTGTTGCCGGGTATACAAAGCGAGTGCATCACGACGTCGTGATCCCACAGGCGCGCTTCCAGAATCGCTATGCAGAGCTTAAGCTCAAGTATGCAAGGGACCTGGTCGATAACTGGGCTGAGACGACTGACCCCTCGAAGCATGTCTTTGAGGACCTGGGCATTGCTGCTTTTCTGATCGAGCTGTGGGCAGATATGTACACGGATCAACCTTTCCCTGGGTTTGTGGACATCGGCTGCGGCAATGGTCTGCTCGTCTACCTCCTCATCCAAGAAGGCTACTCGGGCTGGGGTTTTGATGCCAGGGCGAGAAAGTCTTGGGCAAAGTATAACACGGTTCAGTCAGGGAAAGACTCCCTGCAGAGGCTCGTTCTCCTCCCTGACGCAGTCTCACGACCTTCATATGCCGAGGGCGAGGAGCCAGTCCTTGATCTTTCGCAGATTCACAACGGCGCCTTCCCGAAGGGCACCTTCATCGTTTCCAACCACGCTGACGAGTTGACTCCATGGACCCCTATCTTGGCAACCCTGTCGGAGAGTCCTTTCATCATGATACCTTGCTGTAGTCATACCCTAGGCGGGCAAAAACACCGCGCACCGCTGCCGCGCGACAAGACCAAGTCGCAGTCGACGTACTCATGCCTCGTCGATTGGGCGGCGTGTATTGCTGAGGATTGCGGCTGGGTAGTTGAAACGGAGATGCTCCGCATCCCAAGCACGCGAAACACGGCGATGCTGGGACGCAAGCGGACACGGAGTGTCGACGAAGTAGATATTGATGGTGTGTTGGCTAAGTACGGCGGAACAGGGGGTTACTTTGAGAGCGCGGCAAAGTTGACCAAGACTGAGAAAGGACATTAGTAGCCTTGGGTTCCTTAGATTAGTAGAGAGGCGGTGTCTCTTGATGCCGTCAACTCAGCATCAAGACCGAATTTTAAGTCAGTGACAATACACTCGCCAGGTCAAAAGCAATGGTTCCTGAGATGGGTTGAACGTGATTCCATGACATCAATGTTTTTTCTAAGAGTATTGTCACAGAAGCGACAAACAGCTGCCGTCTGTAATCTCAACTGTATATGCTTGCTCACCTTCATAACTAACACGGCCATCTATACCAACCCAGCTAGCTCCTGGATTCTCTTTCTTGCTGCCTCCCTAACCTCAACAACAACCTCCCCGGCTGGCTTGATCTCGTTGATGAGACCAACTCCGGCACCCGACCACTTACCAATCATATCCTTGCCCTCCTGCTCACCCCAGCCCGTCTTGAGCCTCTCCCGGCTCTCTTCAACCGTCGCCGTCTTACCCCCTAGAACGTGATACTCGCGGTGAATATCTCCAACAATCGCTCTCCCATCATAACCCGGCTTCCAGAGCTTGCTGTCCACCAGCTTGTCATGAAACTCGTGCTTCCAGGTACTCACGCCTCCGTCCTTTGTCTTCACGAGCAGCTCCTTGTGCAACTGCGAAGACATGGCCTCGTTCGTCGCAACGAACCGCGTGCCCATCACCACACCCTCAGCCCCCAGCGCCAACGCGGCAGCAACACCAGAACCCTCTACGATACCGCCCGCCGCGACAACCACAATCTCCTTGGAGGCGAACTCGGAGGCGAGTAGCGCTTTGATTTCAGGAACCAGTGCCACAACGCCGCACCCGCGGGAAAACTGGTGGCCGCCCGCGTCGACGCCCTGGGCGACAATCACGTCGGCCCCATCAACGGCCGCCTCGCGCGCCGCCGCAACGTTGCCGACCTGCACGAACACCTTGATTCCCTCCTTTCGCAGAGCAGGAATAATCTGTGCGTGTGGCTTGAGTTCCGCATGCGGGGCGAACAGCCAGACAGCCGCAACGCGGTGGCGGACGAGAACAGGGAGCACATTGGAGACGAAAAGGCCGGCCGTCTCGTGGGAAGTGATGAAGCCCACGCCCAGAGGCAGAACTCCGTCCGAGGAGAGAATTGACCGGGCCTGTGTGAGCGCGGCTTCCATGTCCTTGATCTGGGCGGACGACTCAGAGAAGTCGAAGCCTGCAGCAATGAAACCTGGGGTTGCTCAGTTTTTAGCGCATGTTCCACCGATCAGAGACATCGTCATGGCAAGGGAGGGGGGGGGGGGGGGTCTCAGTGAGATAAAAGGGGGGGTGCTGTTCATACCGAATCCTGCGGCCTTGTGGACCTCAGTCGCCAAACCAGCGCCGGCGGCCCCAAGCATGGGCGCGTTTATGATGACGGGCGCCTTGACATGGGGAAACCAGGTGCTCAGCTTCGAAGGGGCCATGGTTGCTTTTTGGTTTCTGGACAAAGTGGTGAAGGTGTAGGTGTTGGTGTTGAATCTTGATGGTGAGACAAGACTGTTTGGGAGGCCCCTTGCTTTTTTATCGTGTCTCTGGTGGAGTGAAGGGAACGACGATGAGGATGATGAACGGGTGGAGGAGAGGAGGTGTGGGATGCCGTGAGATTGAGTCACTGCAGCTGACTTGTTGAGGCGGCGGAAGATGACCGGGTTTCGACTCCGCGGAAACGGTTGCATTGGTCAGGATAGGCTGCCGTGCGTCAGCCAGGACCTCGGTAGATCTGGGGTAAACACGAACCGGTTCTGCAAAGACACTTGGGACGGAAGAAGTGGGCGAGGAGGAGGGAGAGCTTTAGCTTTGGCTTTGTAGGTACCTCGTTCAGTTCGCGGCGGTGCGGCGCGGGGCCGTCGGGGATATACATACGGCTGCGGGCCGCCTGCCGCTGCTTCCGCCGGTTTCGTCATGTTTGTTTCTGTAGCGTAGCGTCGAAGCATGTGCAACGATGTTTCTGTACCTACTTATTGCCTATAAAAAAATTGTAACAACACAACACTACACAGTAGAGAAATCCATGTGATTTCTTTATTTTCGACAGCAGTTGAGGACAGTTCAAGCATTCATATGTAGACTTTGTTGGGAACGTTGTGCGGGTCCCGGGCAATTGCGTACATCTCCCCACAATTAAGAATTGATGAGAGAGGCAGTTCCTTGGGGAAGTCATCGTCGGAAGTATATTGATTGCGAGACCAACAATTTCATTCAAGGTGCTGGTTATTAGTCTATGCGAATGGTAAGATATATACACTCAGATGACATGTCGTTGTCGGTGTCTCTCTCACTTGCGAACCCAGGCTTCTCTTAGGCTTAGGAAATAGTTTGTTGGACCGCGAAATTGGCAACTCATTGTGGCTTCTATTGGCAACTTCTGGTATTTTCTTTGCTACCATAGCCAACATGTGTACTTCTACCCCTCTTTCAGTTGATGTGCCATTGTTTTGTCGGCACAACCGTTTAACAGCGCATATTCATTAAACCATTACGGGGTATTCTATGACAGTATATGCCCCTAGACGTTTTTTATTTCATGTTCTCTTTACCCAGTTCGTAGCCTTACCCCATTAAAATCTGGGAATAATGGCATCGGGCTTGTTGTCGAGGGCCTCGTCGATCTCCTTGAGAATTTCAGGCGTAAGCTTCTCCTGGGCACCAATGGCGCGGATGTTCTCAAAGACTTGCTCGGGGCTGCTGGCACCGATGATGGCGGAGCTGACGTTCTTGTTCTTGAGAACCCAAGCAAGGGCCAGGGTGCTCATCTTAATACCGAGCTTCTCGGCAATGGGCTCGACCTTGTTGGCCCGGTCGACAAGGTCCTGGAACTGCTTCTTGGCGTTCTCGCGCTTCCAGAAGTCCTTGATGAAGCCAATGTTCTCGGAGCCGAAGCGGGAGTTCTCGGGAATACCGTTCTTGTACTTGCCAGACAGAATGCCCTGGCGCAGGGGAGAGAAGACGGTCAAACCCGTGCCGACCTCGCGGTACAGGTGGGCAAACTCGTGCTCAACCTTCTTGCGGTCCAGCATGCTGTACGAGGGCTGCTCCATGACGGGGCCGACGAGGTTAAGCTTGTCGGCGTAGCGCCAGGCCTGGGCAATCTCGTCGGCATTCCACTCCGAGGTTCCCCAGTACAGAGCCTTGCCAGTGTTGATCAGGTGGTTGAAGGCGCGGACGGTCTCCTCCATGGGAGTCTGGCGATCGGGACTTGTGGTTGGTCAGAAGTGGTCTTAACGAGAGCGGGCAGGAATTCTTACCGGTGAGCGTAGACAAGGTCAACGTACTTGAGGTCAAGGCGCTCAAGGCAGGCGTCCATGGCCTCAATGACGTGCTTGCGGGACAGACCCTTGTTGTTGACGACATTGTCACCGAAAGCACCACCCCAGTAGATCTGCCCGAATGATTGTCAGTTGCGTGTAGCCAGTGTTGTTAGCTCGAGCAGCGCACCTTGGTAGAAATGACGAGGTCGTTGCGCTTCCAGCCGTACTTCTTGATGGCCTGGCCCATGACTGAAGATGAAGTCAATTTCTCATGTTGCTCCGGGCGGGTATGATGGGGTTGTCTGTACCGATCTCGCTCTCGCCGTTGGCGTATCCCTCAGCAGTGTCGAAGAAGTTGACACCAGAGTCGTAGGCAGCCTTCATGCAGGCAAAGGTGCCCTCTGGATCATCTATCAGCTCTAAATCGTCGTAGGATGCGGCACACTTTCGTCTTACCAGTGTCGATGTGACCGCCATAAGTCAACCCTGAGGTGAGGTCAGTTGAGGAAGCAATTGGCGCCAGCACAGGAAAACTCACAGCCTCCCAAGCTGATGGCGCTAACCTGAAGACCAGAGCGGCCCAGGAAGCGGTACTCCATAGGGGGGAGATCGTCAGGCTTGGACATTTTGGGTCGATTTGGGGGTCTTTCGAGGGAATGGAGCTGAAGACAAGTGGGTGCGAGTTCGGAGAGCAGATGTGGAGGAGAAGACAACTGTCAAGTCATGCAGAGGGCGACTGAGACCTTACTTATAGTCCCCAGATTAAAGAGGATCAGGTTGTGTTGAAAGAGGAAGCTCCATAAGAGCTCCGTCCCATGTCACTTCGCATACCAGTCCGCATTCTCTCACGGCTGCTGCAGGAGCCGCTGACATGGGCCAGCGGTCAAGCTCAATATGGGGGGCAATTAGTGTCAACGCTGCCCTCAATAAGAAACGACATTTGTCACTAGGTTGTCCAGGTTCGTAGTGGGCTGTTGGCGGGGTACCAAACCAGTACAGCATTCACCCCGTTTCAAGCTGTCCTTACTCAGAAGCTATGACTGGCGGGAAGCTTAATTCCGAGCTCTGGAGCAATGCCCACAGACACTCGCACACAGCGCAGAAACCTTGTAAAAGTCTCTTCTTATAATTCCAACCTCCCCTAATGAAAGCAAGTATCGGGATAACAGCAAGCTATCTCTTAAGAAAGCCTTGTCTTTTCTCAATCTCATGGGGAAAATGCTGATGTCACCATCCCTAAGGGACTTAAGCGAGTGCACGCTAATTTACCCCTCCATCTGCCCCTCCAGACGCTGCAGTCGCTACGCGCAAACCCGGAGTCGCCTTTGCACCACTACCCCTGTCTTTTATGCGGATCCATCAGGGGTGCGGCCCTTTTTCGCTGCTCCGATTCCCCCGAATTTGCGAATAGGTTGCGGCTGACTAATTCACCGACGACGCAGCTTCCATCAAGGTGACGAAAGGGCGCTCTCTTCAGTCTGCGAGCTGGTCAAGGCGGCTGCGAGTCTAGTAAGTAGTATTCGAAAGACTGCCGGCCATCGTTGGCTTGGTCCAATCGGTTGCTTGGACGTTGAAGAGCTGAGCCGGCCCGATGCCCTCGGAACCACAACGGCAGTGGCACCAGCAGTAAATCAAGTCAGTCCGGTTATTATATAGTCTCTCCCGGTTTACATGTAACTGGTCGATTCTCACAGAATACATCACAAAACTAAGTAAATAATAGATACTGGGATGATAATTTCTGCAGTTCATCAAAGATCGCGTGAACTGACAACCTCAAATGTGCTTACCGCATGACCCTTCATGCTTACTTGTTAAGTCATACAGTATGTATTGTCCCTTAAGCTTCCATAAGTTTGAAAGACTAAGGTGAGTATCAAAGCTGACAGAGTATCAACCGAGGGTTTGCAACTACATTTTGGACACACAACCACATTAGCAAGGGAATGGCCAGAGGCGGCATAAAGAACCCGGATTGGGATTAAACTTGGTTACAGCTTGCAGTTTATTTTTCAGTCAATCTTCCCGCTCTAGTGACTACTGGCACAGTGCTTTCACGCATTTCAGGTGGTCTTGTTATTGTGTTGTAATTCCTCGAAGATCGATGTTGCGTAATGAAACTAGCAACGGAATCGTAAGATCGGATTGTTTATTCATTTACTTGTCATTCAAAATCAAACAGAAACACAGATCTCTACTCCAGAAAAAGAGTCTGCTCTGCCTAAAAACCTTCACTTCCTTGCTCGCCTTTCCATCTTATGCGAAGAAAAGGTATCTCCCAAAGCACTAATCAGAGAGTCATCAAACAAAATTCAAATGTAACCAACCTGTACAATCCAAAACTCCTCCCATTTAAGAGGTAGTAAATCATATAACCTCGCGTGATAACTTTCTCTTGGAGTTTCTGAGTTTTTGTGACCGTGAGGTTACACTTTCAGTTGTTCGTTTCTATAAGCCATCACCCAGCCATAGAGAAATACTTGTTTCTGCAGCAGTAGCAGAGGTCGTAATTGACCTAATTAATTTATGCTGGTTTTAATTGTGGCGATATTGAGATGGTAGGTGCATCTAGAGCACTTTCCCATACGGCCATGGTCCTATACATTTTGCCTTGGAAGATACTAGACATCTTTCCATATTCGGCTGAATTCGAATCAAGGCAACTGCGGCAGAGGTCGTTCTCAGCTCTTTCCCATTCTCTGTTATAAAGCTGGGTCCTTCCGTTACCCCCTTCTTTCTCCTCTGTCTGTTGCCTTTTTGGTCTGCAGGTTTTTACTTTGCCCACCTGCCAGCTTCCCCGTGAAATTACTTACTTTTCTCACACTTCTCACCTTTTCCGATTCTTGTTTCCGTCTGCAAGTTTTTCTCTCCTTACTGTCAAAACTTCATCAACGCTGACTTACTCGATTAGACTTCACCTCTTCTGTCATCGCTTGACAGTCAAACTTCTAGCAAGACACCTGGTTGTATTTGTACCTCGCGTATTTACAACAAAATGTCTGCTTGGGGTACTGCGGACGATGCGTGGGGCACCAACGAGCGTGTCCCCGCTGACGATCCTTGGAATAATCCTCAGGGAGATGATGGAGATGATGACCGTGGCGCCTGCTTCAACTGCGGCCACACTGGGTACGTTACTTCTTACCTCTTTTTAGGTGTGTTTGTTCTTGGTTGACGCAAATCCACAGCCACAACAAGGCCGATTGTACTGAGCCCCCCAAGCCTTTCGGTGGCACTTGCAATACCTGTGGTTTGGAGGGCCACATGCGCCGAGACTGCCCGGACGCTCCCGCTATGGTCTGCCGAGTTTGCGGAGAGCCCGGTCATATGCGCAAGGACTGCCCCCAGAAGCCTGCTGAGCTTTGCCGTAACTGTCACGAAGAGGGTATGCTGCCACCTCCCCATAACCGGTTGTATTAGTTTTTATTTTTTTTTAACTATGGACAGGCCACGCTATTGTCGATTGCAAGAACCCTCGAAAGATTGACCTTAGCATGATCGAGGATATTGAAGCTGAGAAGGCCTGGAATGAGATTGTCGAAGCTGCCGCCGAGCGTGATGGCGTTCTGGCCAAGGAGGCCATCCAGAAGTACCTCAAGCACTACCCCAAGATGACCTACGTCGATCTTGAAGATGCTTTCCGTTGCCAGCAGATTGGTGTCTACCTCATTGCTACCGAGCGTGCTCTCGCTCCTACTCACACCAACATGGATCTCCACGGAAATCTAGAGAAGAGATACACCGTTCAGTGGCGCTTCTCTCCTAAACCTGAGCGCGCGCGTGAGAAGGCAACTTGGCCACCTACCCCCGAGGAGAACCGTGAACGTCTCCACGATGCTGGCGAGCCGGTCTCTCGTCTCATGCCGAAGTGCAACAACTGCGATGAGATTGGCCACACCGCCAAGGCCTGCACTCAGGAGGCCAATGAGAAGGCTCGTGTCACCATCACTTGCTTCAACTGTGGTCAGGAGGGCCATCGAGTTCGTGACTGTAAGATTCTCATTCCTCACCCAAAACTACATATCGCTGACTTCTCAAGGTCCTACTCCTCGTGTTGACAAGTTCGCTTGCAAGAACTGCGGCCAATCCGGCCACAAGGTTGCCGACTGTACTGAGCCCCGCAGTGCCGAAGGTGTTGAATGCAACAAGTGTCATGAGAGTACGTTAGATTGCTCATGCCAATTCAGTATCAATACTAACAGTGTTAGCGGGCCATTTCTCCCGTGACTGCCCCAACGGTGGTGGTGGTCGTGCTTGCCATAACTGCGGCCAAGAGGGTCATATTTCCAAGGAGTGCACCGAGCCTCGCAAGATCAAGTGCCGTAACTGTGACGAAGAGGGCCACACTTCTCGTGATTGTGAGAAGCCTGTTGACCGTATGTACTCCATATTTCATTAACTTCAGTATGCTAACATGTTACCAATAGCCACGCGCATCAAGTGCATGAACTGTGGGGAGATGGGCCACAAGAAGTATAAGTGCCCTAACGCCCCCAAGGAAGAAGAAGTTGACGACTTTGGTGCTTCCAATGATGGTGCCGTTGCCGATACTGGTGACGCCTGGGGTACCGGCGGCAATGACTCCACTAAGGAGGTTGGCGGCTGGTAAATGTTTCTTCTCCGGCTATGTCTCCATTGCTTTGATATTCTGCACTTGACTTCGAGGCTATAGTTTATCGTCGCTGCCCCAAGTGGTGACTAGGTCCTCGAGGAGAACGATTGATGAATGTTCATAGTCAGGACATACGATTATGGTGTCTTCAGGTAGATAGACAACCCATAGAGAAAGCAATGTCCATGACACAATTTGCTTCCGTGTCACCGTGACCAAGTCAATGGCAACAAAGTTGATAACTTCGCAAATTCGACGCCTTTGGACCAAGCAGGCTTTCTTCCCATATGATACAACTGAGACAGAGAGGTCTTGCATACAAACGCTGTCATATATGATAGTCTTTCCAAGGGAAATAAATGTCTTGAAATCCGGCCCCCCTTGAGTTGTTGCCGGGTTGGTAAACTCCACCCAACTTCACTTCAAATCCGAGTCGTACTAGTAACACAGGACTAAATCTCACCAGGCGTTACCAGGAGCCCTCGATCTTGCAATACTCAAGATAGAACGGAACAGAACCAACTTTACTCTCGAAAAACGGCTCAAAAAAAAAAAAAAAAGATTCCCTAGCTCATACCTCCTTCCCACAATGAAACCCTCGCTTTGGTCAAAACAACAACAGTACACCCCCATCGCCGTAGCCAAAGCGAAAATGTACACGCCATCGCACACAACATCCAAGACATCACGCCATACTATGCGGTTCCCCTCCCCCCGGGACGACAAAGCGCGCTTTCCTCAAGTTTCTAGATCTACACGGCGGCCGAAACGATAACGAACGGGTCGCGATCCGCTTCGACGCCACATGATCGTCATCAAAGGGGATCTGTAGGACGTGTGTATGAGTTTGCGCTGCGGACAGAACTCCCTGTCGAGACAGCGTCACCTGTTGGGCGAGGAGGACTCGGGGGGGGGGGGGGGGGGGGGGGGGCATCAGGCTAGAAAAGTCGGACACAGGGATTGCAGAAACTGCGAGAAACACCTGTCGGAATGCCACCAGGTCTTACTTTGGCTGTCAATGATGCAGGGGAAAAAAAAAAGGGAAAGACGATACGGCCCCGCTTGGCGCTTCGAGGACCCTGAATCAAGTTGTGCGCCAAGACGCAACGGTGTCCCGCCTGGTTTGGAATGCAGCTTGCGGTGCTAGGAGATTTCAAAAGTAACACAGCCGGTGGGTATAACGAACAAAGGTCAGGTTATCACGCACATACAAAATGGTCAATGGTGATTGAAATGTATTTATTCATGTTGGTTGCCTTTGCAACGAGTCCAAATATACTTCTGAACGAGGCTAAGCCTTTCTGTCCAGGTCCTCGAGATGTGGAAACCATTTCCATCCCCATGCCATTATCCAAGAAAAAGAATGCCTATGGCCACTGCCGGTCCATTCCCTAGGCTGTACAAGAACTGAACAAGATCCTCTTCCGCTCGTTGGGAAAGGTGGTATCAAAGCAATGGTGTAAAAGCAGCATGCAATGTAGAAAAGAAAACTAAACAAAGCTGTACAGGTTCGACTTATGCCGACTGAATCCGCCTCAGAGCCAACATGATTGTGGAATGACAGCAGATAATCTTTCATGTGATGGTGTAATAGAAAGGACAAGGGTACATGATTTGTTCATAGGCGAGAGTGAGATCATGACATTCATTCGTGTCGCGGCTCCGCGACGACCATGCTTCGGCGATCAGGCCATGCTAGACTTCTTTCGTCGGCTAAACATCTTGGAGAAGCCGCTACCGACGCTGCTGCTCTGGTGTTCGGCAGGGGAAGTAAACCGGGCAGAAGGCGCCTGTGGTGGCGGCTCGGCATTACGGAGGAATGATGCCAGGTCGTTGGTTCGGCTGGTGGACGAGACAGCATCCCTTGGCTCGAACTTCTTCATCGGTACGCGCCCGGCTGAGGACTGCATTGGGGGCCGATTAGCGGCGGCGTCAACGCCCCCATATTTATCTTGGCCCGAAGACATGTTAACCTGGATGGGAACGTGGCCTTGAGCACCACCAGCACGACTGTTCAAGGAACGGCTGTCGACCTTGGCCGGCTTGGCACTGTTCAATCCAGCGTTGCTGTCCTTCCTCGAGAAACGTCCGATGAGGCTGGGGGCGCTAGCCTTTCTCTTGATATTCTGTGGAACCACAGGCTCAGCAGGCTCAGGAGGCGGCTGGTAGTTCTTGAGGAAGTCTGCCAAGCTCTCCTCCTTTTTAGGGGCAGGCCGGGCGGGTTGTGCGTACTCCTCCTCATCTTCGTCGCTCAAATCAATAGCGTATGGGTCGCGAACACGTCTCCTGGTACGCTTTGGCATCATGTCGTCCTCATCGTTTGCGCTAGGACGATTCTTCAGCAGCGCACTCTGAGAGTTAATCGATGACTGAACGGAGGGCATAGTGATATCCGTCACATTTGTCGATGCCTGGCTGTATCGAATGTCAGGCAGGCTCGCGTCAACCGCCTTGCCTCCGACGGCACCTGACATTTGGTCAGAGTCCATTGTTGTTCGGAACGGCGCGACGGTACGCGGGATGCGAGGGTTGCTCGTGCTGGGAGGCCCTCGCCGAATGAAATCGATAAGATCCGAGTTGTCTTCTCGTTTGTCCACAGCGGCATCGCGAGCTTGAAGGCGAGGGCGGTTGTTTGACGACGATATACGTCTCGAATCAAGGCTGCTCTTCACTGGTGGCGGGGGCGGGCCGCTCACATTTCGCAGCGGCGCCGGGCCGTTGTCGGCAGTCGGACCAGTAGACCGAATGAAATCGGCAAAATCATTCATAGACGTGTCGCGAGAAACGCGAGCGTCCCGGGCCATTGGGCCATTCGTTTTCGATCTGGTCAACGTAGTGCTAGGCGGAGCCTTTGGAACGTAACCTTTGGGCTTGGTATCAACAGGGTGGGAGTTTAGACCCGCTGCTCGGCTGACAGACACGGTTCTTCTAAGGTCAGCAGCGCCAGAAGCCGATCGGTTCCGTCCACCACTCATCACTGTCCGAGCATCTTCGCTCCGTCTCGACTTGGGACCCACGACTGGGCTTGCGCTGTGCGCCCGGTTTCCCTGATTTGTTGTTAGTGCTAGCGAGTAAAATGCCAATACGGCTGTGACTTACAATCATGTCACGCATGCTTTCCGGCGTAAGCGTGTACTGAATGGTCTCGTCGCTTTGGATGAGCTCTTCAAAGTTTCGAGCGAGATTATCGGCACGAGGCGCCTTGCCATCTTCAGATGTCCGCACCGCCCTGATCTTGCTAGTGATTGATGAGCCGGATGAACCTGATGTGCGGACTTGTCGAGGACGCTCAAGGGAATCACGGCCAGCAGCAGACCGCTCGACCGACAACACACCAATGCTGGCGGAAGGTGAGTGCATGCTTTGCCCAGGCCGGCCTGCGCTGCGGTCAGGGAGGGTTGGCGTGACATGCGATCGGTTGAGTGGTGAGGGCACACGCTCTTCAGCAGTGCCATTAGTGCCGCTAAGAACGGTGACCTTGGTTGCAGATTGACTATGTTGGTGGCGGGGCGAAGTTTGCTGTCGGGTTGGGGCCAAGATTGCCTGCGAGGACCTGATTTCAGGAGTTACAGCCTTGGGGGGCGGAGTCGACGCAGTTGTGGCCGACTTTCCCTTGTCTTCATGAGTGGCGCGAGCGTGCGCATCTTCTTCGGCTTCCGATATGGACTCACTGGTGTTCTGCCTACGAGATAATTTCTCTACGGGAGACCGGGTGCGAGGCGTGGAGGTGGCCGAGCGAATGATGGTTTCGATTTCTACTGGTTTTGGCTTTGGCTTTTCTTCGATGGTTGGCGGAGCAGGACGGGAAAGACTGCTTGCGCGAGACAAAGTGGCCTGCTGGGACCGATCGGCAGGTTCGACCGAGGGTGTTCTCGAACCTGGGCTTCTCGGACCACGCACTTCGATGACGCGAGCAGATGGCGTTCTCTTAAGCCCGTTCGGCGCGACCACAACAGCCGTTCCAGACTCAGACATGCTGGGTGAGCTAGGTGAACTCCGGCCAGCAATTGACACTCTGCTAGATGTGCAAATTTCTGCCTCCTCAGTGAGATCGATCTCACCAACATCTTCTTCCGCGGGCTCTGGGTCGGCCTGCACCGCTGTCACCTTAGCAGCAGAGACAGCCCCTGCCACAACAGCTGTCGCCGCCGCTGTCGCAGCGGCGGGGGCCACATATCGCGAAACACGATTCGGGTTCCGGGGTTTATGCTCGGGGGCTTGTTCGGCCAGCGGCTCAGACTTCGCCTTCTCATCATCCTTTGCCGGCCCGACTGGCTCGGTCTTCTCCGGCGTTTCGTCGGCGAGTTTAGTGTCAACAGGTAAATCTTCTGTAGAAATCTCCTTCTCAGCGGAGTCCTCGGTGCTGGCCTCCTGGTCATCCAGTTTGGTAGGAATCGCTTCAATCTTGGCACGTTTGAGAGCCGGCGAGGTGTATGGTGAAGGCGACGGGGTGGGTAACGAGTTCGCGCGCTTGCGACTGGAGGGGCCGGTTGGGGTGTGAGGTTGAGACATTGTAGGGGTGGGCAGGTCATTGCTGGGTTGAGATGTGAAGATCATCAGACTCTTCGGCCGTTGCGTCGCAGGCTCTGGTTCCTCGCTGTCCGAGTCTTCCTCATCGCTGTAAGAAGCAAGACCAGGCACCTCAATTTCATCGATGTCACGATCACTAATTGGCAGGGCAATGGCGGATGCCTTGATGTACTCCTCAACGCGATCGACTTCAGATTCTTCGGTGGGCGTTTCCTGGATTCCGAGGCTGTTGGTTGTTGAGACGTTCTCACTGTTCCGCCTAAAGTGCTCAGAAGGTTTGCGTGAAAACGGACGCCCGTCGAGGGTCGGAGAGCGAATCCTCTTCTTCCAAGCCCGCCACAATCTACCCAGGGTCCTGTCGAGAGCAACCCGTTCCATATCCAGCTCTTCAACGACGATTCTGTCGGCGACTTCGGGTTTAGTCTTGGAACCATCCTTGGGCTCCTTCTCGAATTTCGATCGGAGTCGATGGTATGCTGCTTGGCCTGCAATAACCAAGGCTTGTTCGCCCATGTACTCGAGAATTGAAGTCAAGAAGATGGCGACCGCTGGCGAAATAACCTCGGGCCCACGCTCGTCGGCGGCGGGCTTAAGGTTCTCTTGTTCCATGTAGTAGTCCTCGTCCTCCTCTTCCATGTCGCCAAGCGAGGAGTAGACCATGCATCTCAATCGGGTCCGCTTCCAGACAAGTTCCAGGTCCCAGTCCTTAGAAGATGTGTCTGTGCCTTGCGACTGGACGAAATCATCCTCGTCTCCGGCACCCAAGTACTCCCTCAATTCCTCATCGGCCTGGTTGATAGCGTCCTTTGCAAGTTTCGGCTTCAGAACTTCGGATACGGCTGGCCTTAAGGCGGATAAGGTTGTAGCGCGAGATGCAGACAAGAAGTTGAAGAGAAGCTGGTCAAGAAAGCTGTTCACCAACTGCAACGCAGCAGGAGAGACCAGCGCAGTCTCTCCTGCCGGCTCGACTCCATGCTGATCGTACCAAGTGTCGGCATGAGTGTCGTGGTCGTTTGTAACGATTTGAGAAGCGGCCGAGGCAGCAATAAAGGCGGCCTCGGGTGTGACGGTGAGGGGAGGTGTCATGAGGCCGACACTCATGACGGTGGAGGGGCGGTCGCTCGATATACTCTGAGTACGCGACCTCGTTTGAAATTGAGGTGATGGTAAAGCGGAGGGCGACCTCGACGCGGTGATCGAGTCGGCATTTGTGGTGGCCATGTTTGGCAATTGGTTGGATCTATAAGTTGCGACAACCAGCAGCAGAACAGGTCCCCCGGGGCCCCGTGAGACCACAGGAGATTAGGTTGAGGCGACGCGAAGGAGGACGATGAGCGTTGTCTCGCAAACGAATCGTCCTTGTCGTAACAGGGGTAACGGCTGGCTGAGGCAGTGTTGGCAGAGTGTTTGCGAATATTACAGAATTGCTTATGTGGGAGGAAAGGCTGGGGCGGATGGCGGATGGCTGCGTGATGCTAGTTGTTAGCGGATCTTTTGTTATTAATCGAGCAAGCGGCAACGATTGCAGAGCTGAAACACCTGGTCCAGGGCCGCATGGCAGTGAAGGACTTGTGTGTGATCCACTCGGGGGGGGCCAAGGCAGAAGAATCATGCGTGGTGGTAGCAAGCCTCGTAGAGCAAGAGCCACTGCGGGGAGAATTTGAGCTAGAAAGTGGGATGGTGAAGGGGCGGAAATGGCTGAATGTAGGCGCAAGAAAGACGATCCATCCCAAAGTGAGAGTGAGAGTGCGTGATAGGTAGGTCAAAAGTCTGGTTGCGGTCCGGGAGGCGAGCGAGCCATGGCTTTGGCGAGTACGGGACAACGAACGGGTAACGGAGTGTCGAGTGCGGACGAGCGAACATGGGTGGGAGGTCGACTTTGGGAGGCAGCACGGTAACAGCTTCTGCCGATCACACTCTCTTTTGCTGGCTGGGAGACGACGGCGAGTCGCGACTGGGGTGGTTGGGGCGGAGATGAAGACAAAATAGACTCGCAGCAGCAGCAGCAGCAAACGTACGTACCTTAATGATTGTAATGATGGGTCGAAGAAAGCAGTGTTGTCGATATATAGGCACAGGCGAGAAGCAAACGAAACGAGGCGCCGTACGAGGTCGGATGGCAGTAGTATATGTGGTGATGGTGATACAGAACTGAAATAACGTGAGCGAGAGGTGTTTGATTGGCGGCCAGCGTACACTATCCAGACCAGGATGTGTTGTTTGTGAAGAGAGAAGAAGAGGAAGAAGAAGAAGAAGAAAAGCTGCGGAATACGGAGCTAAGAGATTGAAACGAGAAGGAAGGAGATCCAAGGTGTGAGAATGAGCGAGCGAGCGAGGCAGGCAAGGTAGGTAAGAGCAAAGTAGAGCAAAGCAAAGCAGAGGAGCTCACAAGAAAAAAAGATGCTGATGCGCAGGCGCAGGCGCAGGAGCCATCAAAAGACCACAAAAAAAAGCCAAAGAAAGTGGACAAGGAGTCGTCGAGAAAGAAGCCCGGCAGCGGCCAAGACGAAACGGGAAGTCTTGGTGGCTAGTGTCAAAGGTATTTGCCAGGACGGCGCCGGCTTCGAGTTGGTGGTGTTAGTGCAGGTGAGGTGACATAGGGACATGGGGACATGGGAACATAGGGACCAGCTACTAGTACTACCAAGAACTGCAAGACCAAGGACTAAAGGGCGGGAGTTGGAAGTACTTTGCCCTGCTAGCCTTCCAGGATAGGCCTACTGTGGTTCCGTCCCTGGAGCATGTGTGGGTGTGGATGGGTGTGGAAGGGTGTGGTGCATCGAGAAGGATATCCACCATTCAGGTACCAGCCCGATGTAGGCAGTACTTGCATGCATATGGAGCGACATGTGGTATGCGAAGTCTAGGGGACGAAGCGAGAGGTTTTGGAAGGGGATTGTCTGCATTCGGCCGAGGATTGGAATGGTGGGGCAGACGGATACCCAAGCAGCACCAAAGCACAAGAATGCCCTTTTTTTTTTTTTTTTTTTCTGAGAACAATGGAAAATGCCAGTTCTCAGCCAACACGGTTGACGGTGACGGTACGGAGTATGGGGAGGCGGGAGGCGAGGTACGTATCGCTCGCTCCAGACCGGGGAAAGGGAGCACGAGAGCGCCTTCACAACATGTCTCTGCGTAGTGTGATGCAGGCTGTGTTATCCGTAAGAAGGGACCAGCACAGCACATACAATAAAGAGAATGAACGGGCCAGAACCCCGGAGTCAAGCGTGTATTCCGTGCCCGTGTTCTCCAGCAAATGGTGGGATGGTTTTGGTAACTGTCGTGCCATTGCCCACAGTTATGCCCTTGCAGTGTGGAGGAAAAGGTTCAGGATCACTAGAAGCGGACAGAGAAGGAAAAAAAAAAAAAAAAAGAGGACCCAGGTGGTGCTCCTATGCTCGCTCTCCTCGCTGGCTCTGGCTCTGGCTCTGGCTCTGGTCGTGGGTTTCTCGTCTCTATCTTCGTTTCTTTCCCCTGTATTGGCGGATAGCATAGTCCCTAGCAGTCGACAGAAACTTGCGAGTTGGCCTAACGAGATGGGGGTTCATTCACGTGTAGACCCCAGGTCCTTGTCATAGCCACCATGGCCCCCTCGAAGCGACCCCCTTTTCTGATGTGCGTGGTAGATGAGGATGGATCAATGACCCGTTGACGACGAAACAACGGCTTCCAGGCGGGTATCGAGGTTTCTGTCTCGCAATGCTGCGAGATGCAATGCCAGATGGCGGCTGCTACACCACAGTTACTGGGTTCGCCTGTACGCAAAACATGCTCGCTTTTGTTTTTCCCCTTGTCCGACGCCATCCATCCATAGCCATCACATCACAACTGCCATTGCTGTTTAGTCTTTCCTTGCCTAGCGTACCCATGGCGCAATGGGAAAAGAGAATAATATGGGAAAAGTCTCCGACAAGTAGAAGCCGGACGAATCGGCAGAAAAGTGACCTCACATCGTCTGGTTCGTTGTGGCTAGAATGCAGATGCAAGGTTGCAAACAGAGTGGATTTGTGGTTAATTAGACGTGCAGGGGCCCTGGTCTCAACCCCTACTCTACTGTGCAGTAGCTGGTCTTGACCTCCCACCAACCCTGTCCGCCATCATCACCCTCCGTCTTCTGTGTAAACCGTCTGGGAGGGAAGCATCTCTGGGGGACGGTGTCGGTAGGGGCATGGTGTAGAAGGTTAAAAAAAGGGAAAGAAAAAAAAAAAGTTCGGAGATGAAGCCGGCCAAAGAGTCCCAGGGCAATCCAATAGTCCGATCGAGTTATGGTCCGTTATAGGTACAGCTTCCATATCCATTGAAACGGGTCGTCTTACAACACCTTGAAAGACGTTGGCAGGTAGTATTGGGGGTCACTGCCAGACGAGAGCGGATTTCCATGTTCCAAGGAGGAAAGCACCCATGCCATGATGCCCACTTCCACTTCCAGTGCCATTTCCATTTCCCACATGCGACACATCTTGGCAGAACACTGTACTCCATACGTAGTGCGAATGAACAAGCATGGTGATTCCTTCCACCAAGACACTTGTCCCCACCATTTTGTTTGCAACAAAGAGCAGGAGCTATCGTTGCCAATTCTCAACCAGAAACCAAACACATTGCCAACTATGGATTTTGGCTGTTATGGCCAAAGAGATATGCAAGGTTCCCTTTCTGGCTTATCTCCGATACAGGAGTCCTTCAGTTTACCTACCCTACCGAATGGCAATTACTCTACCAACGTCCCGAGACACTATTTGGGTCGAACAGCTTGGATGTCACAATGGCGCGTGCCAGCTGGCCTGGGCTCTTTTAGTTTCCGTCTGCCTACTCTTCCCTTCACTAATATCGTGCCACATTATGGACTGACTCGTTTCTTTTTTTTTCATTTTAGGCCTGAATACTGCAGAAGGAAGATGAAGTTCCTTTTTCTTTCGTTTTTTCCAACTTTTTTTTCCATTGTCGTACCTAGCTATCTACGCCCGCCGCTCATCTATGCTAGGAAAAAGAAATCATCATCAAATGTTGAGGTGACCGCATATCCGCTCACAGCCGTTCTTGGCTCTGCAATGTTGGTCTTCCCTCATACTAAGAGTAAGACAGTCTAGAAACGGCCCAACTGTCGCCGTCGTCGTTTGTGCCAGTTGCTCCAGGTGCACGGCATCAACTCATACGTTGCAACCGTCACATCGTCTTGCAGCCTGCGACACCCCCCCTTTTTGCTCCTGAGATATGCTCCTGCAGCTACTAGAAGAAGCTTCTTCGGTTAAACCCTCGTCTTTTCCAGGAATCTATGGCCGTCTGGTACCAGAACTCGGGGTTTGGTTCACATTGAGCCTGCGAATGCCGCGCTTGTTGGGAGCAGCCCCGCCTTCCTGCATTCATCCAGGAGACCTAGCGGAGCAACGAAACGAAACGAGCGGACAGGGCCGGTTTACAGCGCATTCCGAACGGGGACACGGTTCTCAGGCCTCTCCGTTAACATCAGTTGAAAGCCAAGACTGGCCAAGGTTGACGTCTCCCGCGACTGTCGCATCCGAGGACTCGGGGACCCATCTCTTGGAGCCGTTTCTCCACTTTCCGATGCCGTCGGTCTTCATACAGGAGCACACCACGAACGGGCACAAATGCTTTGACTTCCACTATGCCACGCCATCATGGGACGGATCTGCCTAGCAATAGAGTGCTATCAAAGCACCCGCGTCCGAGCATGTTCCCAACTTTGGGGACCGTCCAAGCATCAACAATTGGTGCACCAAAGTAGTATATCGCTTGCTGTCAGAATCTCTTAACTTTGACGGGCGCAACGTCGTCTTCTCGCACAGACTGGGCGCTCTGGAGATCCCCGATGCAGTCGTCAATCTGACTTTCCAACTGCTAAGACCCCTTACCGAACTGAGGGTGGCGGCGGGTCCTGAGCGATGATTCAGCATTGAGCACCTCCAGGCTCAGGCTGACGCAAGCTGCGAGACAAGAAGGTACACACAGATGCTCCAAAGACTCGAGGGATGGGATCCCCTCAGCCAGTCATAATGATGTAGAACGAGGTTCTGAGACTCTCCGTCACTAGGCTCTCCACCAACTGGAGCCGTAGCAATCAATCTGTTGGCGTTCGCGGCCCCAGAAATACCCACTGTGGGAGTTTAATCGAATGATCTGGCGGGGCTGATGAAGCGGCAGGTCGGGCCCCCAGACTCTTCAGAACGTCGCTGTTCATTTAACTTTGGAACGCTTACCACCAAAACCTCACCCCAACGAAATGACGATACGCTGCCTTAGCCGCAACACACGGGGCTGCCCTAATTGAATCCAAAGTAATTCAGGCATGGCTGGCTGATGTAGACTCTGCGGCTTTCCTGCCAACACCGGGCTGTCTTGGACTAAGCCACTAAGTAGCGCCCACTCTTGTTCTGGGTCAGTGAGGGAGCATGCGACCTCTTGCTATTCGACGATTCGTTCCACATATTCGCCCTCATCAACGACGGTGCCTTTCTATTTACATCAAAGATAGGCATTTACGTGGTCCAAGTGTCAGCGTTTGCGAGTCGATAGTTTATGAGAACTTCCCTTACACTGCTGCCGCCGCCACCTGAGAGACAGTGAGCGCCTCCCTGCCTTTTTCATCTCAAGCTCAGGTACCATTCGGTAGAATGGCATGGATAGATCCCTAGGCTTACACCTTCATATGGTATGACTGGTCGACTCATTCTGGTATGAAGTCTTTCTCTTTAGAGACACTCAAGTTCAGGCTCAGGCTGGCGGTTACGGCACTCTTGTGATACAATGCCATACTAGCACGTACCCTTATTCAATGATACTTAGGTCCGAGCTCGGTTTTCCCATTGTTCAATCTACTCGCAAACCTAGTATTGGCTTGCCCCGGCTCCCTTTCTGGCACATCGGCCACGCTTAAAGATCGAAATACTGGCGCCGTTGATACTTCTCCAGGACATCCCGTTCTTCTGCCAGGCCGCAGTCACACGCCGCAGATACAAAGTTGATTGGTATTCAATAGGGCTGGTTGTGCCACAAGCATCTTAACAGGACATTGTCAGCAAGCAATGAATATGCGAGGCGCGTTGTTGACTGTAAGTAATTTCTGCGCTGGGACCCTGAAGCCAGTGTCCTGTTGATAACCAACTGCAAATGACCTCAGTATGTTGTATAAATAAACGGCAGTTTCTCACTGCATTAGTATACATCAGCCCCGGCTTCATTGATACTTGGACATCTCTCACGTCGATCGTTAATCAGTTGAGCAAAGTGCTCTAGCACCGCTGAAATTGTGGGCATAAGAGCTACCTTTATCGACAAAATCTTACCTTAGGGAAATTATATGGAAGGCGAGAGTATGCATGACGGTTGGGAATGTTTGCTGCGGCGCATACAAACGTTGGCAAAAGCAAACACGCTTACATTTGCCCATCCATGATTCGGTTGACCCATGTCTCGTTCTACGCGCTGAGTTTAGACAATCAAACAATGATTCCTTTCATGCCGCTGCCTAGTAAGCACGCATCTTGGTTGTGGAATGTCTCGCGGCCACCGCGGATTTGCTGCCTTTCACTTTTGGTTTCGGTATGGCGCTGTTCCCTGCAAACGCCCTCAGTCCCCAACCCAAAGCGGCAGGATGATCCTGTGGAATTCTACAACGCCACGCTTCCATTTCTATGGCTGATCGATGAGAGACAGGGATTCCTTTCACTGCCACCTTATGTCGCGCGGCGTTCGATCTACCTTTCCGGCAGCGTTGTCCCGCATTCCAGAGCGCGCCCATGCGGCCCGGGTCCTCGTCCCGAAGCAAACGACAAAGAAATCAGAATTGAGGTCTTCCTGGCAGAATGATACCTGTCTTCTTGTTTGCAAAAGGCATTCCTAGCCCTTCTGGATACGACAGGTTGGCAAGCAAGGCGAGTGGCCTGTGTTCTTCTTAGAGAAATGCCATAATTTTTTTGATCTTATGGTCGAGAGATTACATTGCTATCAATAATATCGGAGCTCTGTAGTCACGGGCATCTTGGTCGTACCATAATGACACAGTTCCTTCGTTCAATTCGTCGGATACTTGAAAAGGACAGCTCTCTCACATTAGGGGCAAGCCAATCGTCCAATATAAGCCAATGCGGGACAGCAGAGGAGACAACATCACTTCAATCGTCAAGCTAGGAAATCAGTAGTGTGTAAAATTTGACGCTACGGAATGCTTGAGCACATTCGAAGCCCACATGCCGGGCGAATCTAAGGCATCGTCCATGAGAACATCCGCAGCCAAGCAGTGCACCCCTTGAACCGGAACTAGCTGCCCGGTCGCGTCCCAAGACGGACAGATTCCTCGACAAGCTAACCAGACATCGTGATACAAACGAGAGCCCTGACCATGGCAGCGATATGGATGGGGGCGAAAGACAGCATTCTGTTTATTCCGAGCTCTTAAGCCGTGCGCGGCCATCTTCTTTAGATTAACACGATACGCCGCATCTTATATTGGCCGAAACTCACTTGTCAATGGTGGGACCTTGGGCGCGTTTCCGGAGTCTCCCATCTGTCGTCTGTCTCGCTTGACTTCTCTGATCCTTCAGGATTGTCTTCTGTCCAAAAGCACGACTAATGCCTTCAATACTGATGGCTAAGGGCCTATGAGGCCCTCCAATTTGCACATTTGCATGGAGCCAGGCAAACTGCATCACTAGCTCGATCTCTGTCAGCAGCAGGAAAGCTACGCCACAAAGCAAACAATGCTTATCGGTTTTTGGCTTGCTGCACCCAGAAAAATGCAGCTTCGAGCCCAACATCCTGCCGGTTCTCCTCGATAGGAGGAGGCGCATGGAAGCGAGGTTGTTGGACTTTGCATGCATACACACGGCACGGTGGTAACATGCAGCGGGCAGGAGAGCAACAGCCCGCCCTCGTGTTCTAGCCCGATGTCTTACGCTGCCGCGCCATATCCCACACCGGCCAAAAAGAAGATCGAACCAGTCGACGAGTTCCTGCTTCAACACCACGCTAGACCGATGGCTGCAACAGGTACGCATGGCACGGCGTCGATTTTGGCTCGATTATCCGTTCCCTGAAACTGGGCGTTGTTCGTCCGCTGCCCTACTCATGGCGGTGGAACAGCATCGGTGATTTGAGCGGCTGCCCGTCGCAATGCATGCTGGCCTCCTGCAGTTGATTGGCCGCATAGTATATCGCTGTCGCACAGCATCACGGATGTTTGTTCTGGATGTGATCCTGTGTGTTTGTGTCTGCCCTAGGTCGTGTGCCTCCCCGATGCTTCTGTAGGATCACTTGTCATTACTCATTTCTCATGAATAGGTCTTCTGCTTGTGGTCATCCCCTGGGGAGAGAAAATATTCATCATTAGTGATTCTCGAAGGGTTCGCTGCGGAAACTTTGGTCCAAACGAGAGCCATCCCTTAGTCTAGCCGTGTTAGTATTATCCACCGCGGCACACCCATTGCGACACTGCGGCATGGCAACTCCTGGGGCTTGCGATCTAGAACCGGTATTCATTGCTGATGCCATGCAGTGCTCAATGTCTTGAACACCCCATCGTCGCCAATCTCACTTTGTGCCTTACTTGGTCTTGCATCTCGATTACCATCGACACGGTTACCCGGCTCTTCGGCCCGGGAGGCAGAGACTCTAGCCGGAGTCTCCAACGCCCTGCGCATCATCTCGCTAAGCAGCTTGAGCCTATCGTCGACCGCATGGTCACTTGCGAGCGTGGGCGATGCAGAGGGGGGGAGAACCTTTTGATGCCACTCACATCGGCGGCGGCAGGTGAGGCACTTGCCTGGTTTACGGAGCACACCTGAGGAGACGATGTCGGGGCATGGGCCGAGGCTGGCCTTGGGGCATTCCCAGATGACGTGAAATCCAGACCAGCAGCCGCAGGTTGTATGGTAGATGTTTTCTGCGGTACACATTTCTCGCTGGGCAACTCTGCTGGGGGGCTCGGCAGAACCTGAGTTAGTGGAAGACCAGGAGTGATTTTTTTGACCTGTTAAGGCGATAGGCGTGCGACGGGAGCGGCATTGAATGGGATCATATCTTTGGCGACGTGACGCATCTTCTGCGCTCAACTGGGTTCCGTTGCTCCTTTAGATAGGGGGGGGGAAAGCATTATAGGATGGAGACTGGGCGGCATACGTCTGTCTCATTGTAAGATGGGATGTCTTTGCTTGAGATCGTTCTCAGGCCGCACAAAAGACGAGCATTGCCATTGTCCCGGGACAAGGGATTCTTGGAGGAAGAATGAGTACAGAAACTGGCGGCCTGGAACAACAGCGGACAAATAACCAGAGGGTTGAAAGGACGTTCATGCTACTGCCTGCTTCATATCCGCGTGCTGAGTTCCTCTCCCTTTCTCAGAGTCTGAGTTGTTCTGTTAATGTCTGGCTGCTGAGCCGGTGTCAGATGCGCTGAGGTTTTTGTAACAGCTTATTGTATGTGCTGTTGGTCTGCTTTAGGGGTGTGTCCAAAACGTATCCCATACCCATAGAGATTGAGGCCCGTATCACGTCTTTGACTCAATCAATTTAGGGTAACTTTCATCTGCGGCAAGGCAATGATATTCATTTAAGCATGTCTCTAAGTCTTTGTTGGTCTCGCTCTCGTTTTATGATGTGTCTTTCCCCTTTCTCGACTTCAGTCTCTATCGTTCAGAGACAAAATCCCTTCATACTCCTCCACGGGAGATTAAAGATCCAACTTAGTCCACGAGTCTCGCCAGGTGAACGCCGTCATATAGCGGCATCAACCAGCTATCCAACCTCTCCTCGTCCCTGACCATCTTGTTGAACTCGCGCAGCTTGTCAACGTCCTCGGAACGCCAGTACGCAGCCCTCTGGCTCTTCTCGCGCTGCACCCACGGGTTACCGTCCGAGTCGTCCGCGACGATGCCCCTGCGGAGAACATTATCCGCAACGATCAGGCCACCTGCTCTCAGTAGCCTCTTACCTCCCGAAGTAGGGGAGGAGGACAAGATGGTGGAGAGGTAAGAAGGGTAGCCCGACTTCTGGGCATCGATGAAGATTAGGTCGTAGGGTTCCTCAGGTTGAAGGTTGGGGAGACTGGTAGACCGTGTCAGTAAAAGGGTACTAGCGGATAGGGATGGTAAAGGGATCACGTACGTCTCGAGTGCGTCACCGACGATAACGGACGCATTCTGAATACCGTTGGCGGCCCAGGCTTCCTGAGCTTGCTTTGCGTACTTTTCGTCGAACTCAAGGCCGGTGACGGTGCCATTGGGACCGACGGCGTGGGACCAGACCATACCGGAGTAGCCTACATAGACTCCGATTTCGAGGACTGAGAGGCATTAGTGATGAGCTTTGGTCAGGATGGGAGAGCAAATAAGCCCTGGGTTTAAGTTGAAGTCGCAAATAAAATATGGCTGCCGTTCCTCTCTATTGGGGTTCGACCCCAGCTTCTAACCACGGAAATGATCTCAGAACCTCAGCTCTCATGGCAAATCCAGTCGAAAATAATGCAAAATTCCAAGTAACACGAGAAAAGACCCCCAGGAACCCCCCGACTGACAATAACCGCAACGACACCAAAGTTTCATATCACTCACCTCTCTTGGCACCGATCAACTTGGCAAGCCAAATGTGGTTCTGGGCCTGGAAGTTGCTAATCATGAGCATCGACGTCTCGGGCTGCGTGGTGTCGATGTGGTCATGGTAGGCAACGATGTGCGCCGGTAGCGGCGTAGAGCTGTTCTCCGAGTAGGTCGTCACATTTTGTGAGACCTGCTCGTTGGGATACAGGACCGAGACTGACGTCTTCATATTGATGGACAGTTGTTGGCGAGAGCGAAGTAGAACCTCGGTTTGCTGAGTTGTTTTGACAATGGACGGAGGTGTTGGATTATCTTGGTTTGGAAGCTGAGTAATGATGAGTTTGGTCGTACTTAACCCAGAAGCAGGAACTAACTGATAAGAACCGGGTATGTGATTACCCGCTGGGAGACTTTCCAACACAGCAGATATGGAAGGAGTTGAGGAACAACTTTAAAAGATACGAGACTAGATACCTTCAAGAAATGGCCAAAATGTATGTTCCCAATGTGCTTTATATATATAAATTTTTGGCACGACAAGGCTGGCTAAAACCTCATCAGCTTCATACGTCGCCAGAAAACGGCGGGACATGGATGGACGTTGTCATACGCCCTCGTTCAACCGTCCTACCCCACTACCCTTCCCCGCCTCGGCGTGAGGTGCCGGTAAGGCGACATCGCTCACCCCGCCAAATCCCACCCTCATTGGAAGTCTCCGTGCTGCCGTCCTTGCTTCCCGGGCGTATTACAAAGACACGACACGATTCACAGCAAATGGCCCCTCCCCCCCCCCCCTCCAAAACAAAAGAACATGTCGGCCGAAGATGGATGATGCTCGGCTCGGCGATTAGGTCCGACCCTTACAACTTCTGGGCCAGACAGTTCCATCTTTGCAAAGTATTACCCACCACACTTATCTAGTTGGGTATTAGGAGCCATTCGTGGAACTGGACACGCGAAACGGGATTTCCGAGTCATTGGCCGCGCGAGCCACTAACACTGGACTTCCTGCCCGGAAGCTAATCTTGCAGAGCGGCACAGGAAGTTGCGCAAACTATTTGCTTGCAGCCGCGGATACCAAACTTCGGATGCCGAAGATGGGACGGAGTAATGTGGTCTGCGTCGGTGGCTGTTGGAATGAGGAATTACGTGCTGGTGCTGGGACATTAGACTTGCCTGTTTCAGGCAGGAGGGGCAAGTGCGAACAGAGGTCGAAACGGATGACGAACCCAACGAAACAGATCGTCTACATGATCATCCCGCTTACAAAGATAATAATCACTTGTTACTGATGACATAAAAGTTTATGATGCTGAAAACTCGAGAGAGTCGTATTAAACGAGTTACCTAGTGTCTAGTCTCCCTCCCAGTGCTCCGCCAGTGGAGTTGACTACCTCTTTTATTATTCTCTCATTTCCTATCCAAAAACGGCAGGCAAATGTATAGTTGAGTCCGGCATAAAATAGGGAAAATGTGAAGATGGAGAGTCCGTCGATGGAAAGCTTAGCATTGGCTCTCTATGTTTACGCAGATTCCCATAAGAGAAGGCCTGTCCACGACGCAATGTAACGCTTAAAAGAAGGCGAACGCCATGACAAAGCCGGCCGCCAGGGTGAACGGCGCCTGAAGATTGTTGCCAGCTGCTGTGGTAACCCTGCTTGGTGTGCTGGGCGGCCGGGAAGATGGCTGTGTTGGAGGCTGAACCGGAGGTTGAGCTGAAGATTGAGCAGGAGGTCGGGCAGCGGACGGGGCAGAAGACTGGACCGGGGGCTGCGCGGGGGAGCGAGCAGAAGACTGAGCCGGGGGCTGCGCGGGGGAGCGAGCAGAAGATTGAGCCGGAGGCTGTGCGGCGGTTCTAGCGGAGGATTGCACCGGGGGCTGCACGGGAGGCTGGGCTGGAGCAGTAGACGGGCTAGCTCTGGTAACGGTGGTGTTCTGGAAGCGGTTCCTGGTGACGGTGGCGCACGGAGAGACAGAAGGCGGGACCGAAGCAGGCCTCCGTGAGGAGACAGAAACGGATCGGGACCGAGTAATTGCTGCAGTACCTGGGCACCTTGTAGTAACTGGGGGTCTAATGTAAGTCTGGGTGCTGGTACGAAGGCGGGTGCTCAGCGTCGGGCAGGGAGCAGTGCTGTTGTTACGCCTGGTCGAGGTGATTCTCGAAGAGGAGCCACAAGGAGTCGTAGCAGGCCTCTGCGTAGTTGAGCGTCTGGTAGATGTAGGGCAAGGCGTGGTCTGAGGCCTAGTGGACGTAGGGCACGGAGTAGTTTTCGGCTGAGTGGAAGTGCTGCAAGGTAGAGTCGTCCTCTGAGTGACGGTAACGGTTCCGCGCTGGGTCGGCGTGGTCATTCGCGAGGAAGACGTCACGATGCGCTGGGACGATGTGCTGATACGGGAAGAAGACGATACGATGCGTTGAGACGACGTGATAACACGCGAGGACGGCGTTGTGATGCGTGGAGACGACGTGACGACACGCGGACTGGACGTCATGATAGGCTGGATAGTTGTAACAACCTCGGTCGGGACCCTGGTCCAAGTGTTGCGGTCTGGGGGGATCACCGTAGGGTCACCCGGAGGACTCGGCCAGTCATGCACGGGCGGTATGAAAATGTTGTCGCCCGCGGTGCTCCGGGGAGCCGGGGGGCTCACCCAGCTGCCGGCGCGCCAAGGGGGGTTCTGGGCCTTGGCGAGTCCGGAGAGGATTCCGACGGCGGCGGCGGCAGAGGTCACCTTCATTTTGCCTGAGATGGTCTGCGAAGGGAAACGATTTGATCTGACGAAGCTACTGGAAACGATTGACTGAGCGAAAGGTTACCGCCTTCCTTACACTATAAGTGAGCGAGCGACTGGTGGATGGATGAGATGAATGGAAAAAGACCTTGGATTCTTACCTGCTCGTCTTATAAATCTGCCTTCCACTGACGCTGTCGCCTTGATGGTTTCTTGCCCGTGATGGTCTACATCTCGGCTGGCCTGTCGACTTATCCTGATACGGAGCTCAAAGTCGCAATGAAGGGCCTGAATCCGCATTTGGTAGCCAGAGACCAAAAGGTCCCAAGACTATTTGAAGCTTATGCAATAAGCTCCTGATTTTTGAGCCATCTTTGGTTGTGAGCTTCCCAAGTTCTATGGCTGCAGACCAAAGTTTCTGGCTTCAAGAAAGTACCCAGCTTGGATTGTACCGTACCCAATCGTATTATGTGGCTGTTGAGTGCCTTGTTGGACAATGTGCAGCCCCATCAGCGTTGGTGTCCTTAATAGGCGGCAAGTTCTGGTTTGGTTAAGCTTTCACAGACTGGTTTGACCCAGATCAACGTTCACGGCGGCGACGGACCCTAAATCAGTGCTTGAAAATTGATGAAAACGCTTGGGTACATGTAGCAGAATTCTGTCATGTTCAGTCCCTCGCCTGAATCCCCGTCAACTATTCGCTTTTTGAACTTGAACAAAATGTTTTCCTGCAAGGCTAGAGGGCCCCGTATCTCGTGTCGTGGTTTCTTCGACACGCGGGGTTTGTTGATCTCTGCAAGCCACCTCCTTATTTCGATTCGGAAACGCAAAAATTGGTGACCATGACACCTTGACGAGTTTCTCGACGCAGTCGAAATGTTGTCGTGTCTGTTGCTCCCACATGCCTGTGCTTTTTTTTTCCTGCGCTGTCCTCAACGCTTGAGCATGTGTGTCCCGTCCTGTTTTCGGAACGTGGTTCGCTATGTATGCCATCTTCCGACTCCAATCGTTTTTAGTTCGCGCGACAAATACACAACCCAGCCCCTAAACGCCGTCATGCCATGTAGCTCAATAGTCGGACTCGCCAGAGAAGAGGCCGACTCGCATCCGGTGGCTCTGTGTCTGATGTCAGCTTAGAATACCCTTGTGGCTAAAGGGTGAGAAGACACATACAAAAGGCAACTTAGGGATGACCACTCCCAACACGGCCAGGAAGTTGATGATGAAGTAGGCTAAATCGTAGTGGGTGTAGTGCGTGCTGAGGAGGAAGAGCACGATGGGGACGCTGAGCAAGAACTTCTTGGCAGGAGTGTATTGGTCGCCATTGTCGATCTGCTCCCACATGTTGAGGTTGTCAAAGGCACCGCCGTTGAATTCAAACGGCACGCCACGGACGTAGTGGAACATGAGGTAGGAACCGAACATGTAGGAAATGTTGGTCAGGGTCCATGATGTCTCTTGCGACACTCCAGGCATAATATCGTAAAAGATCTTTAAGCAGAGGATAAGGACGAAGTGGATGGTCCAGGCGCCTGATAATAGATTTGTTAGCTTTTTCCTCTCCCAATGGAGGCCTACACGACCCAAGACGGCAACAGAAGCTCCAGGCAGGGGTTTCTCTAACCTTTGGCATTGACCCAGTTCGCATTCAAGTTGGGCACGACAGCTTGGTCACTTATTTGCTCGAGAGTCTCGGGAGGCTCATAGTGGACCTGGAGAATGCTGCTGGATCTCCTTCTGCGGGCACCGGTATCCGCCATTGCTCTGTACGTTCCGCTGCCACGTCGCGGAGGATTTGTGGCCGCGTCGTACGAGACGGTGCGAGAAATGAGAATTGGGGAAGACAGTTTGGCGGTGTTGAGGGGGTATCGGGGGAACCGATGCTTATAACTGAAGAGGAAAGGACGAAGGAATTGCGTGTGGGCTGGTTGGATCGTCGTTATTCGTCCAGGCGATTCTGGATGCCAGTGGTTGGGGGTGGATGAGTTTTGCTGGCGGCCCCCTTGATGATGTCACGAGGAGGAGCGAGCAATTCGCGTCGACGGGAAGCAACAGATAATGGATGCTGCAGGTGGTTGTTGTGAAAGAATTGATGGAAGCGAGAGGAAAAGAAATGGTCGTCGAGACTGTCGAAGAGAGAGCGTTTGGGTTGTAAATGTTGGGGATGCCGTCGTCGTTATTGGCTACTTGGTAATGAGATGAAGGAGACACGGGACATTTCCATTAGATATTCATAGTCGAGGAACGGGGACAGGAGAGGAGACTGGACCCCGACACGGACACACAGGACAAGGGCAGAGCAAAGCAGCGAACACAGTCGACCCACTCTAACCCCCCCCCCGGCCAGGTCAGACAAGACCCGACGAGATTGGCCACTCTGGCCGACAGCTGGAGACCAGCACCAGCCAGCAGCCAGACCTAGTGTGTACTACTGCTAGTAAATGCGCAAAGCCAGCGAGCCCGCCCAGCCGACACGAAAAGCGGCCCCAGTCAGGGTCATTCAGGGGACCACCTAAATTTCAGTGGACTGTACACGGTGGTGTCCTGAGATTGGGGGGGTACAGTGCAGACACTGGCAGGAGCCGAGATGGAGGGGGTTTTCCACTTCGGTCGTTACATCAGTAGTAAAGTACGGAGTAGTCTGTCTGTCTCTTACTGGAAGAGGACGGGAGCGGCACAAGCAAGCCGCGGCCTGCGAACAGATTTCATTGCATTGCCATATATGGATTGATATGAAGCGCCGTCTCTCTATCTCTCTCTACATCTCTCTCCTCCTTACCCTCTCGTGCGTTATATGCAGTAGGATCTTTTGCTCACCGAATACGCCCAGCCGGCCTCGAGACCCGACGCTATGTTACCACCACCTCCCATCCCACATTAAAAAAAAGAAACCAACCACTCTGATCGCATACAGAAGATACTTTATCTTGCTTCATGTGCCCCATAACGACGCATCTAGCGCAGTACCAGCACACGTCACCCACCTCTCTTCCCCTCTTCCTCTTCTCAATCAACAAAAGCAAAGCACGGGCTGAGACCCGCGACCCCGGAAGAGCACTGGCAACTGACGACCCGAGGTACGGTGCAGCATATTACACACAGTCTGAGAAACGGCCCTGTCCATGAGCAACCGACGTGCCACTGTCCCGCCGCACAGATATCCGTACTGTAAGCTACCCTGCCGTCCCTAGACAGCGGGCTGGCTGTGCAGCGCTGCAGGGCCGGAAGTACGGAGCACCTTGCGGCGTAGGTTCAACGTGCATTTGCTAGCGAAGCTGGGGAGGAGCCAAGGAAGGGGTTCCCCTGATCGGACTTTACTGGGAAGATGCCCCTATTTCCAGACATTTGACGAGTAGAAAGTCAGGTAACTGAAGCGGCTGGGCGGACAAGAAGAAAAGACTAAAGAGAGAAAAAAGTACACTGGCTGGAATTCGGAAACATGCTGTCATCTTCGGTAGTAGCCGTGGAGTTGTCGAGAAAACGGAGTACCAGTATACGCGGTATGAACATGCCACCAGGTACCGAACAGAGGCTAAGCTGTTCCTAGGCTACTGACTGGCAGGCTTGGGTTGACTAGAAAAACAGGCCGGTACGATCAGATTTCGAGGGCCATCCATCTGCTCTCCACGCCATGTCATGGGTCACTCGACATCTGGGGTCCTTGGATCTGATCATGCTGGGCAGACGAGACAGTACCAGATGCAAAGGAATGGCACACCAAATTGCCTGGCATTCGTTGTGGAAGGTGAGCAGACGACGACGAGACCTCTTCAATGCACTCCCGCCCGTACTTGGTCAGTACTCCGTACTCTGGCCACCCAAGACATACGGTGTTGCTCATCCTTCCCACCTTTTCCCTCCTTTTTCTTGACGAAAGTAGGGTGGTTATCTGAGCTAAATTCGTCACTTCCCTTCCCCACTAATCGGGCTGTGCGATAAGTTATTGACTACAGTGGTTCGTTGCGTTGCGTGGGCTGGGCGTGTGCAGGTCCTGGAATCCTAGCCATGTCTCACCGAAACCGAAAAACCGAGTGTTGAATCTGCATCGTTGACGGAGCTGTCAGAAGCCTGTTTCCCCATTCGTCCCGATCCCAGCTTATCGTCTGCTGATGCTCCGCCGTACACAACACTAATCGAGCTGCCATGCATGTCTGCCCGTGGCCAGGTAATTGTAGAGAATATGGCTCTTTGAGAAAGACTTCGCGTGAATCAGACGTTTCGACACCAGTTGGAATTCGTGGCGTGTCTTGTACCAGAGATAACGTGAGATGCAACACGCAACAGTCACATTGTTTTGTCGTGAGGCCACGATGTGCCAGTCAGCTGTCAGGTCCTGTCGCATACATTTCCCTTTTCCCATCCAGTTTTTTTTAACCTTCAGATTTTGGGTGCCCCCCAAATTAATCGCCCGCAGCAGCTCCAACGCTCGGTCCAGTCGATAAGAGCAGAGAGGATAAGGTCGAGCCTCATCTCCGACCTCCAGGGTTCCTGATTTTCTGCTACCACTTTACTTTGCGGGTTGGGACGTCCGTGGTTTGTAATTAGATGGCAATCGATAGGTCCAATAATGCCAGTTCTAAAAGAGTCCTCACTTTCGCTTCTGCTACTTTCTCCAGCGCAAGCGACACCGCCTCAGGTGCTCCGTCCGTATGTACCTTGATTAGCGACAGGCTCCAGGACATGAATCGCACCGAGCCGCTAATCCGCACTGTGAAATGGCCCGCACCTCGCAAAAATCGATCCCAGGAGCGTGGGTGGATGTGAGCAAGCCCACGGGCAACGGCACCGGCAGCTGAGGGTGAGAGGGACCTAAACCGGCTATACTTCGGATACAGGTGCCGGTCCGTGACGTCGAACAAAACTGGATACCTGCATATAATTTTTTGACAGAGGTAGATTCGAAGCGACGCGGTTTGAGACTGACGACATTCAGTCTGCGATATTGTCGGTGTATGCATCGCAGGAGACACCAATCGCTATTGTAACGTGTCCATTTACCAGGTAAACTAGGCGTCACGCGTTGTCTCAATTTGTCAATACGAAATACGGGCCTGTCATATCGTTGCGAAAAAGGTCTGTTTCCTTCATTCACCATTATAGGAACCTGGACTTGCGGCCGATATCGAGTCCAACCGACGTAAAAGATTCGGGGGTCTTCTTTTTTTCCCTTCGTTCTCATTGAGAAGCTGTTTGGCTCTCTAAGCGGTTCGCAAGGAGCGTCGGAGCTGGCAAAGGCAGCCTTGCTCATCCTCATCTCATCTCGTTCCCCAGTTCATCGCGGACACTGAGTTTCTCATAACCTCACAACATGGAGGCATCAGACCAAATAGAAGGGTTGCCGGCAGCTGGCGAAGTGGCAGAGACTGTCGAAGCGGTCGCCGCCCAGCGGCCGTCCAAGAAGCGTTCATTGGAGGACGTGCAGCGAGATGCTGAGCCTGACGCATCAGAGCCTCATCAGGCATCATCGCCTGAGCCCGAGGCCAAGAGGGCAAAGACCAACGGAACAGATAAGAATGAGGCAGCGGACGAGCCAGAGAAGGAGGAAAGCGCTGAGGAGGGCGAGCTGGAGGAAGATGGTGAGGTTTCTCAGTCGTCAATTTCCGGATCAGAAGAAATGGGCGACCGGGCGACCCCGTCGAGCGCATCGGACGATAAGTCTGATGCAGGTAGCAAGAGGTCGACACGATCAATGTCGGCGGCGGCAAAAGCTCCAGCTCACGTTGGATGGAATCAAGGCATCACGTCCCAAATTCGAACATCGCTGGGGGGGTCCGCTAAAGCTTCACCAGCTTTGGTGAAGGCCAAGTCAAAGGAAGCTACACCAACGCCTGAATCTGCACCCGCAACGGAAGTTGCACCTCCTCAAGTACCCGCACCTGCACCCGCCCCATCCACTGAGCCTGCCCAAAACACCAAGCAAACACGACAAGAGCGTAGGCAGGAGAAACTCGCCCAAGCTGCTACGGAGAAGCAAAAGACCCAAGAAGACCAGAAAAAGCCTTTTGAGTACGCTCCTGGTCTATCATTCTTTCTCCCTAACAAGAGGACAATTCTGCAACCGAAGGGTAATAACCTAGGCACTGGCGTCTGGAAATCCAAGTTCAAGAGCTGGTGCCAGTCGTTCATCAGCCGCAACATCGAGCAGAAGGATCAACTCAACGCCGACATAGTCGTAGCAGCACTGCAAGAGTATATTGCCACCCGTGCACAGTGGTCAAAGAAGAAGCACGGCATTGTTGCTGCAGCCGAGGCCAAGAAACCCCAAGTAAAAAACGACATTGCCGTCAACTTGGCGACGATATTGAAGAGCGACGATTACTTGAATACGAGCACGGGAACAGGCACAGAAGAGTCCCCGATGGTCATATACGATGATGACGACGATCCTGAGGAAGCCTCGTCTTCCTCCGGTAAGCCTGGATCTGGCGGGACACAAGTTGCCAACAAAGCCGGGCACGAGCAGTCGGAAGGAGCCCAACAAGTCCCGTCTGACAACTCCGAGCACTCTCATGATGAATCTGCTGACGAGGGAGAGGCTGATAGCGGTAGACCAGGCCCAGCTGTCATGACTGAGGAGGAAGATTTAGCCCAACAGCGCAAGTACTTTCCCGGACTTTCCGAAACCGATCAGATTTGTGTCTATTGTGCTACACTCGGCCACACCTCATCCTCATGTCCCAAGACGGCATGCAGGTTCTGCGAAGTTCCTCACCACTTCTCCTGGAACTGCCCCACGCGCGAAAGGTGTACTAAGTGTCGCCAGTTGGGCCATGGCAAGGGACAATGCACCGAGAAGCTCATTCACTTAGATGAGGAAGGCGCGGAGTGTGCTACCTGTGGTTCTCAAGACCACTCGGACACGGAATGCGAGGCTCTTTGGCGGTCTTACAAGCCCAGGAAGGGCGCGATTAAGAAGGTCAACACCTTGCCCGCCTTTTGCGCGTTCTGTGGCTCTGAAGGGCACTACTCGTCGGACTGTGCCCTTGGCAGTGACAAGCCTCCCAATCAGACCTGGACACTGAAGAACAGAGATCAGTATCTCGACAAGAACGCAGCTGATGGCCCGATCAGTGATTTCGCCAGCGTGCCGCAACCACCGCAGCTACAGATCAAGGGCTCTGCGGCCAAGCGAAACCACATCTTCTACCCCGATAGCGACGGTTCTGAAGAGGGGGAGTTTATCGGCCAGAAGGTCAAGCCTCGTGCCCCAGTTGGAAACATCCAGATGTCGACCAACATCCAGTTCGGCAACTTTGGGGCGCCGCCATCGCAACCTCAGCAGAACGGGCGTGGCCAGCAGAGGGGTGGGTGGTCAGCGCAGCCTCCCCTTCCTCCTGGACCTCCCCCTCCTGGCCCGCCGCCACCCGGTTCGTACTCGCGAATGTCCAAGAGCTACAATAATCAGTCGCGACCGCCACCTCCGAGCAACGGCATTGGTCGGAGCGGGTTACCCCCCAAGCCCCCAGCACCGCAGCACGGCTACCACAGCGTCGCCCCGCCTCCCAACGGACCGGGACCGAACGCGAGGAGGCAGAGGGGAAGACAGCCGGGCAATCCGCCAACGGGACCCGCGAATCAGCAGAACGGTGGGGGCAGTGCTGGACGTCGCAGGGGTAAGAACAGACGCGGTGGGAAGCAAGGATGAGGGTAGAAAATGATTGGCTAGCGCGCAACGGCATCATTGGCGTGGTGTGTGCATACCGCGGGCGCGGGTGGATGGATCGAGATGTCACGGGAGGAGAGACAAAGGGAGCGATGTCGGGAGACGGCAGAAAGCAGCATGTGCGACGACTATACGACTTGATGTTGCGCGAAATCAGATGACAGGGCGCGGCGTGAGGTGCGCGAGCGAGCGAGCGAGCGAGGGCGAGGGCGGCGGACAGCCTCGTCTTTCGGTTGGGTGAAAGACTTGGACGAATGGCGTGAGCCTTGACTTCACATTGGTGTTGGAGACGGCTCGCTCGCCCGCTCCGCGCAACTGCGGGAAGCAGGAAACGTGGACCGTCCCAACAGTGGATCAGATTCGACCAGAGCAGACACAGGAGAGGAAGAGAGAGAGAGATAGAGAGAGAGAGATAGTCTGGCCTCTTGTGTGTAGTTTTGATACCCCGGCATTTCGCACACAAAATAATAGGACATGCTTTTGCGAAAAGACCTCCGGACCTGACAGATGTGCTTGCGACGTTGCAGTCTGCGAGGTGTTCTGATGGATGACGAAACCATACCAGCCTGGCTTGCAAGTATGTCCTCCTCCTCCACCCCTCCTTTTGTTTGTCTTGTGATTACCTCCCGTAGAAATCGCTGTTGGGACTTGAATCAGTGGAATTTGCAAGGTCTATTTCGACCAACTGCCACGACATCAAAAAATAATGAAACGCCATGACAGCAATTTAAAAAAAATTGGCATCCCCATGTCGGCGCTTCCATCAGTCAAGAAAAAAAAAAAAAAAAAAAAAAAAAAGAGGTGAATCATTTACGGTGAGAGCCCAACACCGGGGGATGGACGGAAGAGAACAGATATCCCGGTTTTTCCACGATGCCCGAAGCAAGGAAGGGCATCAGAATTTTTTTTTTTTTTTTTTCCCCTTTTGTAAAACCTCTGTCGAATATTTTTTAGAGGGAGACTAAGGGAACCAGGGGGGGGTGTGCGTGGTCTTTGGAAGAGGATTGTAGGTGAAGAAGGTCCCTTTTTCTTGGTCTTTTGATATCTTGGTTCCGGAGCGCTTAGCGGTGTTAGTCATGATCTACGAGATGAAAGGCCCCCCCCTGATAGCCACGTCGACGGCAGTTTTAATAGTTTTTTTTGGGTTTCCCGGGGGGTATAGTACGGATTTAGTGGACGATACGGGGGTTTAAAACTTTTACTCTGTCTCTGTGATTGTCGGTGAGAAAGGCCATGGTGTTTTTACGGGTGCTTTGATGGATTTTTGACATTTGCGCTGTGGGATGGACAAGGGGGTGAAGGGGAGAAAAAACGAGAGGGCATGTGGGTTTGCTGTTGGTAGTGGTTCATGGGTGTTTAGTGTTAGTATGTATGGGTGGGCCACAGCCGGAAAACGTGGGTTGTGGGTTTTCCTGCTTATTCTTTTTACCTTGTCTCTGGGAAAAATGAGCCGGGGGTCCGGCAGTGTGATGGGTTTTTTTTTTCTGTGTCTGGTTGAACTGACGACGAACGACGTGGACGACGTGGCTCCGTAACCCCCCCCCCCCCTGGCTGATGATGTCTTTTTGTTCATGAGAAGTGTTCATGGGTTCTGTGGATATGTCCCGGGCATCGGGTTGAGAAATCCTATGGAGACAAAAAGTCCGGCAAGGATACTTTTTGATGGGGGGTCGCTTTGCGTTGACCGACAGATTGACTGCCTAGGGGTCCTATTTTCTTTACCCTCTCTCTCTCTCTCTTTGCGCAGTTGCGTTGTGGACACGAATGACGACGGAACGAGGGTTTGTGGTGGTTTGCTGCGTGGTGCCTTTGTCATGTCAGTGTGTCCGTGACCTTGTCCTATGCTGGTTGTCTTGTCAATGTCTGTGTGGTTGTGGGAACTCTGATGGGGTTGATGCGATGCATGGGATGTGCGAAAGGGAAGGAACAGACGGCGGTTAAGTAACCTCTTCCCACGGACCAAAAGTCCAGCTAGCTAAGGTGAGCTTGGACTTGCTCAGTCTGTAAATCTGCGTTGACGGGGCGGAAGATGATGGGATGAGAGTTGCAGACGTGGACTTGAGAAAACGGTCTCACAACGTACTAGGACAGAAGACACGACACACACGGCAGAGCAGAACAGACACAACAAAACCCTCCCTTGATGGTTCAGCCGTCTTGTCCTTATGGACGATATGATAGGTAGTCTTTCCCGAAAGAGGATTGTGTGTATGTGTGAGTGGTGTGGGCATGGGTATTGTGTGTGTCTGTTTGTCAGCCCCGTTTCTCTGCTGGGGTGGCTTTCCTGACAAGAGCCGGTTCTGTTTACCTTTGTTTCAACCGGGAACCGAACCATTCAACGACATGGTGTTGTGCTGTGGGACTATACCAGCAGAAACCGGGAACTCTCTGTGGGTTTAGCTGTGGCCGGATGCAATGCGAGTTGCAACGTGTGGGGGTGTGTTTCTGTGTTTCTTGCCAGGGGGGTGTAAGTGTGGCTGGACCTCTTGGTGGTTCGGCTTGCGCAGCGGATTTCACTGGTCAATTGGCAAACATATGCAAAATGCAAAGAAATGTGGACATGGCTTCAAGGAAGAGGCAGAAGAATAAGAGTCATCATCGTATGGGTCTCGGCCGACAAGGGTGTTCTTTTATACTGCTGCTCTCCTGCTACTTACCTTACCACATGTGGCCTGCCAACAGCACTACTGCAATGACATGCCTCATGCGCGAAGCAGCAACCTCTGGACGACCACACTTTGACGAATGGTTTCCCCCTTGCCCGGAGGACTTCCACGTAACGTCTTTACATGGGGAGAGCCCACACACCATTTATTCTTTTTCCCCCCCCATGTTGGAATTTGAGTGCGTCGCAAGCGAGACGGCATTCTGGCCACAGCCCTACTTTCTTGCCCTCATGATCATCATTGATACTGACGTTGACAAAGGAATACTGTTGAGAAGATGGGCTGGGGTAGGGGGAGAGGTTGTGGATGCGACGAGGGTGAGAAGGAGGAAAGGTAAATGGAGACTGGAGTTGATGCGAGTTGCGCTTGGCGAGCCACACTAAAAGACTCCCACCACCATTTCCAACAGTGATGATCCCATAGACACATTTACGTATGTGGTACTCGAGCTTCCTACTCTTCCCGCAACGCCATCGAGGATGCCGGAGCTCAGGGCTTTTGCATGATTCGGCCGGCAAACTTTTAGTAAAACGTAGTTCATGGCATTGATCAAGTTGTCTCTCAACTAAAGTGGCTTTTCGCGCCCCTTTTAGAAGAAGAGGGTATCCTATCACCCTGTTCAGCAGCGATAACAGCCATAAACTCAACCAAAACCACCAGACACGTTTATGCGCAAGCTGAGTTGAACCCGGCACCATCGCCACTGGAAAACCCCACCCGGAAGTGCCTCCCTGTCCCAAGAAGCGGATCGGCCTGTGGCAGCGCTTAGCTTTGTATGCAAAAACCGAGCGATTCTATCCAGACAACGCGTCTATTCTATGCCACGCGACAACTACACGTCAAGGCGCGTCCGACGAATCATAGCCCGGTAAAATGCTCAATGTGACCAGCCTTCAGCATTTCTGACCAATCACCGCTGGCGTCGTCGATGTTTTGGTGGTGTGGGCGGCGTGGATTTTGTGGGGGTGACGGTTCTTGGAGCCTTTGAGTCCCTTATCGATAGCGCTTCTCCCACAAGGCAGAGAAAGAGAGAGACAAGGGGTCATCAGGCCCATTCCTCTTGCAGATCTGCCTTGAGCCAAAAGCCACCTCTTTTTGTTTCCCTTGTCGGGACAGGGGATTAGACGAGCAGCAGGGCACACCGGCGATGGGGCCGGGCAGGAGAGGAGCTCTCGTGGGCAGAGGAAGCTAGACCAGGGCACCGGCATGCAGCAAGAGGAAACGGTCTCATGGTCGAGAGCTCGTCGACCACTGGGACGACATGAAACGAGGTTTTCCCTGGCCCCTGGGTGGCAGAATGATGGTGGGTAAGAAAAGAAGAAGAAGAAGAAGAGTAGATGCGAATGCATCCAAGTGACCACTCCTGCAGTCTTTTTTGGTCTGTGTCTAGTAAAGTGTGGTCTAACTATTATAGTAACTAAACTGATCCTTGGAGACAATCGCGACCAAGTCGTTCCAACCAACCAAACCACACCGACGCGCCGCCAACTCGCCAGTTTTGGACATCCGCTTCGGGGAGGGGGGCGTGGCATCTACGTGTGTTCGTCCAATCCATCTCGTGGGATTCGCCTTTTTCCTGGCGTTCTGTCGTGGTAGCGGACCACACGCAAGAAGTCGGTCCCCGTTCCCGTACCTAGCTTTGCATATGCAGGTCTCGACAGCGGTGACTCACAAGCCAGTCGTTCCCATTGAGGGGCGACGGGACGATGCGGGTTAGGGGGGGGGGGGGGGCTGGTCAACTTTCATGTCTGTCTCCATTCTCCATTGATTTACTATGGAATCGAAAGTCTTTCCAGGTTATGGTTATGCCGAGAGGGAACCTTTTTTTTTTTTTTTTTGCCCTTCTTTCTCTTTGGTCCTACCGCCATGTACTAACTCCAGAGTCTCCATCTAAACTCGAATCAGTCCCTGGTCCTGTCTGAAAGAGGAAAACGTATATCTGGACCGAGGGGATGTGCCTTTCCCCCGTTGGCCTGATCTTGAGACCTGCTTTCTCTCTCTCAATTCCAATCCTGTTTGTGAGGCGACGACTTGTATTAGTCTGACTGGCTTCTTCCTATCCAGACCTCTTATACTGTGACTACTTTGACAACGAAAGAACATTGTTATTCGCTCAACTGGAAACCCGCTCCATTGTTTCTAAATTCTTACTTTAGTTTTGGGGAATCCCACAAGAATCTTATCCGTCCTTCCATCTCACACCCTGTCCTTCCCAACTGTTTGTCATACGACTCTAAGTTGTAGAAGGGGGAGGGAACAAAACAACTTTTTGGACTTCAGGTCACTATCCATAACGACAATAAGGATTGAGGGTATCAAAAAGGGAAAAAAGAAAAAAAGAAAAAAAAAATCTCTAGATATTGTCGGCCACAACGACATGAGAAAGCTATGGCCGCACAACAAACACCGTTATACTGCCTGTGGCAGAAGGAGCACGCCCATATAGGCGAAAAGATCCTCGACCTCCTCCCCCGTGGCGATGTCGCCTCCCTCCGCCTCGCCAGCTCCGCCTGCTGCAACATCGCAACCAAGCCTCTCTTCCGCCGCGTCCGCGTCACATTCACCGCCAACACCTTCACCAAGCAGTCCCGCATCCACGCTCTCGCCCGTATAGGCCACCACATCGAGCACCTTCACTTCCACTTCGCCCACACCGAAGCCACCTTCCTCCCGCCCCTCGTCCACCCGCACACCGGCCGCGAGATCTGCTTCCTCTACACACCACACACCAGCATGGCCTCCGTCCTGGCCAGGCCAAAGTACGCCAACACGGAGCTCGGTGAGATCCTCACACAGCAGTACCCCCCCTTGTTCCACGCCGCCACAAACGTGCCCAGCTTCATCAATGCCATGAGGCACTTCTCCAACGTCCGTCACCTGACCATCCGCTGCCCCGGCCAGGACCCCCAGGAGCGCTACCGCAGGGACATTGTCGACTACGCCCTCATGAGTCTGCGCATCGCCGTCGAGCGTGCCCCGCTCGAGAAGCTCGTCAAGCTCTCCCTCTCTGGCATGCACCCTTCCGCCTTCAACTACCTCCGTCACGTCCCCGGCTTCGGCGCCGTTCCCTCTGCCGGCCGCAGGTGGAAGCAGATTCGCAAGCTCAGCATATCCGTCGAGGCCTGGGACTTTTATGGCCCATCTCCCGGCCTCGACCATCTCAAGATCATCGACGATTACGTCCGAGGCTTCTCAGGCACTCTCGAGAAGTTCAACTTCACCTGGCTCGGCCCCAAGGGCCCCTGCCCCATCGCCCTGTCCGCGGATCCCCTATTCGCACCCCCGCGTCACAGCCAGAAACTGTTCGCTGAGGTCACATCGCCCATGTCGCCGCTGCCGCCAGCACCCTCTCGCAAGCTGATGCACTTCCCGCGCCTCAAGTACATGCAGGTGCGTAACGCGACCATGACAGCGACCCAGCTATCGGACCTCGTCAGCGCCCACCGCCGCACCGTCAAGGAGTTCGACTTCGACAACGTCGTGCTCATCAATGGCGGAAACTGGGACGACGCACTCGCCCCGCTGATGGAGCGCAGCAACAGCAGCTCCAAGAGCGACGTCTGGTCCCAGCACTCTCACTCGAGAAACAACTCCGAGGCAGGCAGTCTGCACTCGGAACCGTCCCATGAGGACTTTGACCTGCCCTCGCCGTCGGCTGCCGCGGCTGCCGCCACGCGGGAACTGCTCGACTTCGACCTTGGCAGCGAGCTACTATACGTTAACGATGAAGATGACCACTACGACCCGTACGAGGGTCTGGACGAGGATCTGGCTTCAGATCTCGCGGCCGCAAAGGAGGCCAGCACGTCCTTCAGCACGATACTCAAGAAGAAGCGCGTCCACCGGCGCAGGAGACACCGCAAGGACGATGGCGACAGAGAAAAGGAGAGCAACAACAGCGGATCCTCTTCTAAGCACCACAGGAGTAGGAGCCACAGCCGCCACCGCAAACACAAGCACCACAGACAACCGCCGCCCGTGCCGGAAGAAGAAGTCGTGTTCCGCCCGTCGACCCCTGTACCCATCATCACGGCGCCGATCCAAGACACATCCCCGCACCCTGTTCTGCTGCAGCCGGCTGTGTACAACCCCAATGCCAGCCGGCTGTCGGGTCCCGAGGAAGGCATCTCCTCGGTGCAGCGGAACATCGAGCAGGAGGAAGCTCACCGCAGGCTGGCCGAGGACTCGGCGGCGCGGGTCAGCGCGCTCCGCAAGGCCAAGGCAGCGGTGTTGATGAAGCTCTCCAAGGAGTTCAGGAGCAAGACACCCGGACCGAGGGATACCAACTGCGGTATGCAGATGCGGTTACGGGAAGGGCTCTTTGGGAAGAGCTTTGTAAGCGTGCTGCCTGATGATCGGGCCATGTCTAGCCAGTCTGCCCTGGTACCGCTCATGTTTACGAGATCATGAGAATGACGATAATGACAATGACAACAACAAGCAAAACAAAAAAACTCCTACAAAAGACGACCAAAAAATAAGAGCTCTATCGACTCAAATGACGAAACTCTGTATATTCTGTTATGTAAGTCGGAAACTTGACGGCGCAGTGGATCCTGGTTTACGGACGGGATTTGGGACTTGGCAGTCGGAAGGGAAAGGCAACAGGAAACACCGCCCAGGCTTCATAGGAAAGGGCCGGGCGGGACGAACGGGACATGACAGGGACGAGGGGGGCACTTATGACTTTTGTAATGACTTGACGATACACCATACTTTTTCTTTCTTCAATGTGAATTGTTTCGAACGTTTAACAAAAGATACGGGCCGTGACAGGGTGCTCCAGATAGTGTTTGGTGAATACATGCCGAGAATTTTTTTGTTTCCCCTTGAGCCGAGGTTTTTGATGTCGTGAAACGCGGGTGAGGCGTGTGAGAAAAAGAGAAAAAAAAAATGCCGAGAACGGGGCCCGAAATGGCGGGAGGCCAGCAAGGAAAACGAAGTCGGAGGTGGGCTTCGGCCAGATTTGAGTGCTCGGTGAGGAGGGATACGGCGGGAATGAATAATGACAAGACGGGGAGAACCTGGGTAACTCGGTGCAGGTATGGATGGTGCGGCGCCGCTGTGGAGTGCAATGATAGATACCAACGTACAACAGTGCGTTGCACCTAGATAGGTGCAAGCTAAACGGGACGAGAGGGGAGGCTGCGGTGGTGCCTCGGGGCTGGAGTGTAGTAAAATGTGAGATGTATGTAAGTAACCGTCTTGTGCTGATTCCGGACCATGTCCTTGCAACGAACGAAACGACAGCTGTAATATGCGGGTTTGTTGCTGGGAAGTCTCCATCTAGGTATTAGTAGAGCGGATAAATATGTGGTCAGTCGTGATATGGGGTATGGTCTGTGTAGCATTGGCAGCCGGCCGACAGTTACGCCGTGGTAGTCTAGACCCGCCCAAGGCGTCGGTCAAGAATGTGACGGCTCATGCTCCGTACGATGACGGCTGATGATGAATGGTGCTGAAAATGTGAAAAGGAACCCCCCCCATGCCTGAGGGGGTCAGGTAAAGCTGGCGCAATCCCGCAAGTGGTAGAAACTAGCCAAACTTTTTAGGTTAGCAATGTGCTGTCAGCCCAATCAGCCTTGAGGGCCGTTTTCATCCGAGGCGTTCCGCCGCAGCATGCTTGCTTTCCCACATTTGGAGCCTCATCTCCGGGGCATTTCTAGCATCTCGCGGGGGATACTAAGGAGAGTGAGTACGTAGCCAATATTCGCTCGGCGGTGATGTGCAGGGGGTGAACGGGCGACGGTGGATGGATGGTGAGTGAGATGGATAAGCAAGGGCAGGGGTGGTGAAGGGTTGAAGGGAGGGAGAGGAGAAGGTCATGGAGGAGATGGGAATTTGGAGCGAGGGGCAGATGGGAAACAACGTACGGGGCCGCACAGAGGTCCGAACAAGAACACAATGATGACCAGAGGAAGGGAAACCCCGATTACCTGCTGAAATGAGATCCTGGACGTTGTCATGGGTCAGGAAGTCGAGACAGATAGTGCATACAAGGTACCTTGCGAATTAGTGGAGGCCCTGCTATGGAAGATGCTCCCTTGAGCTTCCGGAAGACTTCACTGGTGCTACCAATGCTCCTGCTGTGGAAAAAAAAAAAAAGCATACAGCTAGGCGTTGTTCGTGTTTGAGGGCGAGCTATGCCCACTGTTTGGCCTATGCCCTCTCACCCGCCATGCCACAACCTATCGACATCCCCGGCTGGGTCCTTGGGCACTTCAAGGAAGGGCCTAGACACTCGTGGACCGCTACCGGTCGGGACTTACAAGGGCCAAGGAGACGAGGGTGTGGGCCTGTCATGGGCGAGCGTTTGGGTGAATTGACTTCTTGGCTCCGCTGATCGCTGATCGCGGGAAGAGACTTACGAGTAACTTTGCTGCACCTTTTTATTTTTCTCTTATTTTTTCCTTTAATTTTTCACCTTTCTTCCCCCCCCCCCCCCCTGCCCTTTGACTGTAGCCAAGTCTACATACAGCACACAGCAGCAGAATAACAGCGAGACAGCGGCGATATCGTTTCGCCCATCTTTTCCCACTTTTATCAGACTCGGCGATGGGCAACGAGAATCCGGGGAATGGTTGTATTGGCGCATACTCCTTCGTTCCAGTCGCCTACAGAGTACCCGTGTACACTATATGCCTGTGTCAGCCTCCCACAAACTCTTGTGCTCCTGCGACGCAACATCTCATGGCTGGGCTTCATATCTGTTTTTTTTTCTTTTTTTTTTCGGAGTATCACACACACACACACACACACACAGAGAGAGAGAGAGAGAGAGAGAGAGAGAAAGAAAGAAAGAAAGAGAGAAAAGAGACTGCCCCTAAGCCAATGACTAACTGATATGTCCGACCATCCGCCAGGCGGCCGTGCTGAGTGTTGTGTAGCCCCAAATGAGCAGCCACGGCAATCATAGTCCCGTGCTGCGCGCGGCCACCCACGTATGTTGCCTCCGTATCCCCCGTTCCTCTCTCGGCCGCCCTCCCATACTAGAGACGGAAGTTGCCAGAGAAATCCGATGGCTGAGCAAGCCGTTTCCTTTCCCCTAAGCTTCGCCCTTGCGAGACGCCATGGGGGTAGCGTCCTCTACACGTGTGCGATACTTGGCGCTAAGGTTCCATGAACACGGTACCTAGGCATCTTCAGTCCTGTCTCCCGTGAGCTGCTGGCTCGCTCGCCCCCTAAAACGATAGATTGATCAAGTCGGCCTCAAAGGACAGCCAGAGGCTAAGGGTTTTCGTGGTTCGCCCTACTGCATTGTCACACAGACAAGATGAAATCAGAATTATTCTATGCGGCACCGCGTATACGTAGTTGTAGCACTACTATTATCACCCATGACGCTCTGCTGGTGGGTGTCTTGGTAATCTCGCAACCTTTATTTCGTCCTTGCCGTTCGTGGACGATGAAAGGGAACACCAACCGCAAAAAGTCCTTGCCTCCTGTTGTGGCGTTAAACCCCAAGCGAGGTAATCAATACGTACCACTCAAGTACTCCAATTGCACCTGCAGCCTTCACCTCTCCACTGCACCTCCAGTTCACCTACCCTGGACCTGGTCTCAGTGGACCTGGATCCCAGCTCCTCCCGCGACTCCACCCTCACCAGTCTCTCATCTTCTTTCTTCTCGCTCTCCTCAGCCCATTCCATTCCATCCATTCACCCTCCGCTTCAACCGGCAGAGACCAAAACGACTCCCCTTCGCCGCGCTTGCAAACGGTTGTTTTCTCGACGCCCGACCGAACGAACCGGAGACCCCTCACGTTCATTTGCCCCGACCAACAACGTATACTGAAATCCCATCGCCATCCTCTTTCCCTCTTTCCCTCTTTCCCTCTCTCTCTCTTCATCCTGTTTCCCCCAAACAAAAACAACAACAACCACTGTTACCAACTACACAGTAATATAGCCCCCCTTGCCCCAGCTGGATAAACGACATTTTGTAATTGCGGATACTTCTCGACACCCGCCACCATTGTTTTCGGGCAACCGCGTGCCAAGCACACAGAATTCCCGTCTACTATCCCTCTCCACGACGACTTTTCCAACAAGCTCACCCAAGTCGGATCCAGAAATCACCATTGCAGACGATGAATACCGCCCAGACCTATCCAGACTCCTCGTTATAGTCTGTTCCGAAAAATGGGCGTCAGGATTGCCATTCGAGAACAGCTCGCCTTCCTCGTGGTGATTGCTGTTCTTGTTGGTTTGATGATCCTGTCCGTTCCCGTCTGGATCTACGTAAATCAATTTGTTGCCCAGGTCGAAGGACGCGAGCTTGCCCTCACTGCCTCGCTCAAGGCTTCGCGCATATCCGCAGAGGTCGAACTCGTCCAGACCAGCTGCATCACCATATCCTCCCGAATCCTCATCCAGAATTCACTGTTCAGCTTCTACGATGGCAACAACACTATGGAGAACTGGGCTTCCGCTAAGGGCGACCTCGACAGTGCCCTTAGTGTAGGCTCCCTCACTGGTCTCCTACAGGGGAGAATTTACTCGCGCAATACTACGGGCAATTCATTCGGCTTGGTCAACGTCACGGGCGAGAAGGTTCCGGAAATCCGGCTGCCCTGGAGTGCCAGCGGTAACCCAGCCTATCTTTCAGATACGCCTGAGGGCTATCCTCCAGATCTCTACCCAAATATTACCTACGAAGATCTTGGCCGCCAAAACCAGTTTAGGAACAATACTAGGGCCTTCGCTGCAAATGCCTTTCCTGGCGTTCGCATATCGACCAATGGCGGCTTGCTTCTTGGCCCGCTAGTCATCAATGAGACGGCAGCACTGATGTCGATAACCATACCCATCCGCTACAACCAGCAACAGGACTTCATCATTGGCTACATGACACTTGTTGGCCTAGCAAACTCACTTACTAATATCCGCAATTCTCGCGAGGGCTTGGGCGAAACTGGGCTTGTTCTCCTCGTTGGCCCCGTGAACCAATCGAATAGGTTCTCTGCTGAAAATCCCGCCAGCAACGCAACCTTCTTGCCTGATCGAGAGAAGTCAGGAAATGTGCCCGTGAAATTTGTCCTGCCGCCTAACCCGCTACCCGGACAAGCTGACCGACATCACGAGCGGAGCTGGTCGAGCAATAAAGATGACCAGCCATTTCCTATGAAGGATTACCCAGCAGTTTGGGATTCATTTTCTAAGCGATACGTGTCGCCTAACAACTCGAGCTCTATGCTATCAACGCGAAACGAACAGGGTCTACCCGTCGCTGTCGGGTTTGCAAGAACCAACACCGCCCTCGTCAACTGGACTGTGATTGTGGAGCAGGCAAAGGCTGAAGCAGATGCTCCTATAAACACGCTGCGCAATATCATTCTTGGTTGCGTCTTTGGCACAGCGGGGCTGATAGTGATACTAATCTTCCCATGCGCACATCTCAGCGTTATGCCTATCCGGAGACTAAAGGCGGCGACTGAAAAGACTGTTCAGCCACCAGGCTACGAGGACGGAGACTATGCCGATTTCGATGACGACGAAACTCCTGGTTCTGGTGCTATTTCGGCACGGTCTCAACGATCAAAGAAGGACGGAATCATCGCGGGCTTTTATAAGTTGGTCGGGTACAAGCCCAGGGAAAAGGCCGCTTCCGATCACGACCGTGATTCGACGCGCAGAATATTCAAAATCCCCGGCAAAGTCAATGACCGAAAACATTTCATCACCGACGAGCTTACTGAGCTGACCCAAACTTTTAATGACATGAGTGACGAGTTGTGCAAGCAATATGTCTCGCTCGACCAAAAGGTTTTGGAGCGGACACGAGAGCTTGAAATCAGCAAGAAGGCTGCCGAGGCTGCCAATGAAAGCAAGACCCTCTTCATTGCCAATATCTCTCACGAGCTGAAGACGCCATTGAACGGAATCCTCGGCATGTGCGCCGTCTGTATGGAGGAGAACGACATTCTCAGGATCAAACAATCATTGAAGACTCTGTATAAATCAGGTAAGTTTCGCTTTGACGTCGTCTTTGACATCCCGCTGACTAGGTAGGCGATTTGCTACTTCACCTGCTTGAGGATCTCTTGAGCTTCTCAAAGAACCAAATCGGCCAACAGCTCAATCTCGAGGAGAAGGAGTTCCGATTGGCCGACATTAGGTCACAGATCCTGACCATCTTCGACAAGCAAGTCAGAGAAGGAAGAATCACGCTGACTGTCAACTTCCTCGGCTCCGAGACCATTGAGTTGAGTAGTAGTCCCGAAAGAAGAAGCATGGACACGAGGCTGCCGGCTCTGGGACCACACGGCGCCGGCAGGTTGAAAGATATGTGCCTCTGGGGTGACCAGCACAGAATTCTACAGGTTATCATCAATCTCGTTAGCAACAGTCTAAAGTTCACGCCAGCAGGTGGCAGGGTCGATGTCCGAATCAAATGTATTGGCGAGGTAGAGGCTTCGGTATTAAACGGGGACAATAGTCGATCCTCCTCGTTTTCCAAGGACTCTCGGAGACACGGAAGGTCGCGGCATCGGGTCGGCTCTAGCTCAACCCATTCAGCAAGCTCTAAAGCCAACTCAACCTCGGAGAATTTGAAGGGCACTGCCTTGGCTATCAACCCTATGGAACCCAAGTCGACTCCGCACATTCACATTCGAGAACGGTCTCCCACGCCGCCACCGCCAGGAGCGAAATCTTACATGTTTGAATTCGAAGTGGAGGATACGGGCCCGGGTATTGCGGAGCACATGCAACAAAAAGTCTTTGAACCTTTCGTTCAGGGCGATCTGGGTCTCAGCAAGAAGTTTGGTGGCACAGGATTGGGGTTGAGTATCTGCCACCAATTGGCAACTCTCATGGGCGGGTCTATATCTCTCAAGAGTACCGTTGGTGTTGGTACCACGTTCACCATGCAGATCCCTCTCAAATACGTCAAGGACAGGTAAGTCGTCATTTTGACAGAGGGCGAGGTTGAAGCTAACGTCGGTTTGTAGGACTTCAAGCACGGCATCTAGTAGTATTAAATCCAGACCACCGAGCGTCGATACAATTGATCCTTCAGATATCCCGCAGAACCCGAAACGCAACTCTGTCGGAACGCCTATTAAGCCTAGTAACGAAACGAAAGCCCAGAACCTGTTGGAACAGCAGCCTCGACTAGTGGGCCTCAGCCAGCCTTTCTTCGCGTCAAATCCCGCCCCGAAAGCGAAGCGAAGCACAAAGGATCACATGGCTGCGATCGATGCTGCAATGGCTTCAAAGGGAGACCAAGAGGGAAAGCTGCGAGTCCTTGTTGCTGACGATAATTCAACCAATATCGAAGTAGTCAGCAAAATGCTCAAGCTTGAGGACGTTTACGACGTCACGATTGCCAAGGACGGACAAGAGGCCTATGATCTTGTCAAGGCTAACATGGATAACAACCAGCGGTTTGATGTCATCTTTATGGACATCCAGATGCCAAATCTTGATGGCTTGCAGTCCACGAAGCTCATCCGTAAGATGGGTTACAAGGCGCCCATCGTGGCCTTGACGGCGTTCTCAGAAGAAAGCAATGTCAAAGAGTGCATTGAGAGCGGCATGGACGAGTTCCTGAGCAAACCCATCCGGCGCCCCGCGCTGAAACAGGTGCTGAAGAAGTTCGCGACTATTCCCGAGGAGCCCGAGACAACCAGTCTGACCAGGAAGACAACACCAGAACAGAGGCCCTCAGAAAAACCCGCGAATGGCTCAACGGCTCAAACTCTTAATGAGAAAGAAGACGCGATCCAACCAAATGGCAAAGCCGCCGCCCCATCATCGGAGCAATACTTCTCAGAAAAGGGGACATGATTGACGTTTAACGATTTCAGAAGCAGGCAGATTCCCCCTACCTTTTTCCTGTTTTCTTTTTCTTCACTGTTTAATTGCATTACTACATCATTTAGCATACGATTCCCCCTTTCCTATTGTTTGAAAGCGATGCACAAAAAAAGTTGGCGCGGAGGCGTTTGATCTTGATAATTGTTGGTCTCTATACTAAGAGTTTTGTACTCGTAATGGTATTATATGCAGCTGAGGGAGGTTCGGAGGCTCTAGGAATCGAGGCTAGGCTTCCTTTTTTTTTTTTTTTTTTTTCGAGTTTGGCAGTATCCATTTTGTTGGGAACGACATTGGATGGGGTGGGATAGTTGCGTTTAAACAAGAAGGCTGCTCGGGTCTTCTTTACCGAGCCTGTAAAAGGCACTTTGCGATTGACCGCGACACTCATAAATGGGCCAGTAAGGCAGAAAGAAAGGGGTTGCTGAAGAGTGGCTGAAGAGAGAAGGCCCAGACAGATCGCCAGTCCCCATTGCCACGTAGTGCAATGGGTGTTCCGGGGGCAAACATGAGAACATCCGGATCCCATGGGTCCTCTCTTTCCCCCACACGGAATCGAGCGGAAAAGAGACAGATGGAACGGGTTGGGATTACTAGGAAACGGGGCGAAATAGGGCGGGAGACGGAAAGGGCAAACGTTCCCCGTGCCCATTTGTTTTGTTTTCTTTTTAGGACATACACCTTAATGTCGAGTACCGATGACGGATTGTCTCACCGTCATATCATATTTTGAATATCCCATTTTGAACTCTCACCGCTGTGTCTTGCTAGAAATATCCCCATGTCTGGGTTGATACAGTTTACTGGAGACTCGCAGGTCCGGGGAATCGGGTTCGACTTGGCCGCGGGCGCTTCCCCCTCCCTCTTCTCCCCTTCCGACCCCGCTCGCTGACCCTCCGCATTCGGATGGGCGGAGTACGTCGGCGTCTAGTGGTAGTGTCAAGGACACTCGCTGCTAAAATAGAAAAGTGGAGGGGTGAGAGAGAGAGAGAGAGAGAGAGAGAGAAAGAGAGGAGATGATGGTATTGAATGAATGGAACCGAGGGACGAGGCAAAATGTACGTGGCCTGTTTCCGTGATGTTTGCCGGCGAAAGGGCCTGAAGGTGGCGTACGTTGGCTGACTGCTCATCGTAGAGGAGGGTGGGTTGGGTGGCTCTGTCATCTCAGCCATCATTTCAACAACCCTATCTCCATGTACAAGAATCATGGGAATGGGAAGACGGTGCGATATCGTGAAAGGTAGGAGTTGTTATATTTCATCATTCGGATGCTGTCAAAGCTAGACGTTACCCGGGTTTCCCGCTTACTCGTTTCATGAACTGTGTACAGATCGAGGAAGACAAAACGGGACTAACAAGACGTGGATGACTATGAAAGTTTGAAAAGAAAAAGAACAGAATAAAAAAAAAAATCATTTCTCGAGATATTTCCCTCGTAGCGCATACCAGACTCCTTCGGTTGTTGTTGTCCTTCGGTCGCTCCCACAGACCAATGTCACGAGGACCCCAAAAACAAAAATAAAAACTCCGGTTTTGCTCTCTTTCTCTCTCCTTCTCTCTTACCCAATCCGTTCCGTTCCGAGTCCGTTAAAACCGACCCAAATTTGTCAATCCTGGTTGCCATCCAGGATCGATTCGCTTTCCTACAACCTTTGAACCCTCCCAATAGTTACCGTTTCCCGACCAGCGCCACCTGGCGAGAAAACATTGAGGGTATCACCGTCATCAGTACAACTAAAAGGACGTACAGCAAAACCAAAAATGCAAGAAAAGGACAAACTACAAGCGCCAGCGTACAGTTGGAAACGTTAAAGCGTCAGAGCTAAGGAAGAGGGGGGGAAAGATACTACGTAAGTGATAATTGATAAGACCAACACGGACTAAAGAAAGCGAAGAAAGAAAAAAGAAAAAGAAGAAGAAAACATGTTGACAATTGGCCGTTGAATGGCTCCGTGTCATTCATAGTCAAAGGTTTCTGACAGCTCTGGGGGTGGGGTATCTGTCATGAATCCTGACTAAAAGAGCTGTCCTTGTGAAGCTCTGATAAGAAAGGTGTTGAATCAAGTAAGCTCCCGTTTGCGTCATAAATGCCTCTGATAGACTCCAGAGAAACGAGAGCCCCAGAAACTCTCACATTAATGAAACGGGGCAAGAGATAAGAGTCATGCGGACTCGCGCGGAGTGGGGAGTGGTTCCTCTTTAGATCTCCATGTGGGCCACGACGTCTTCGCTCATGCGCCTTACCGGGCTCTTCCGGTCGGAAACGCTGTCATCGTCCTCTTCGTCGTAGAAGAAGCGCTCATCTGTGTAGTCGTCGTCGGAAAAGGGTACCAGATCACCATCGGCTCCTCGATTCCAGAGGAATCCGTCGCTTTGCTCCTCCTCGTCGTCTTCGTAAGGAGCAACGATCTCGGCATCCCGGTCACCAAGCCAGTACTTGGCGCGCTTGTTGGCACCCAGTGCGTCGAAATGAGTCCCCCGCGTGCGCTTTACAGAGCCTGGAAGCGCCGGCTGCAGACGTGGTGATTGCGACGAGACGACCGGGACAACGCGTACGTAGAGATAAGCAACTCGCTTCAGAGCGCGGTTGAAGAAGAAGTAATGTGCCGCCCAAATGGCAGATTCATCCTCTTCAAAGGGATCAACGTCTGGGTTGTAGCTGAAGACGGTGCATTCGTTCAATCGCATCTCTTTGTCAATCTTGGACCAGCATTGTGGGCCCCAGACCGCTTTAGTTTCGGAAGACGTGGCCTGCTCAACCGGTCGGGCCTCGACATGCGGTCTGACATTCTGCAAGATGGAATCAAGGTTTCCCATCACTCGGCGCAAATTCCTCTCCCTCTTAAAATCGCCTGGTCTCAGAACGTGCGAAAAGTCGTAATGTTGATGGCTTGCGTTGAGCGTCGCAATCAAATAAGCAAAGGTGCGACGACTTGACAATTCGGAAAGAGGACCGAACGCGCTTGAGTGAGAAAACATTTGCATGTTTGGTGACGTCGCCAGCATGGCTTCGCGATCCGGCGGTGACAAGCTGGCGCCCAGCTTGAGCAACGCAGCATGTTGTGAGTTGAGGTCCTTATCGATGTTCTTGTACAGTTTCTTATCGGAGCCGGTCGACTTCGTTGTGTAGAGATCGCATCCGCCGGTGACGTTGCAATCGGGGGTGTTGAAGTTGAGAGCGCCAGTGACGGCGTCAAAATCTTGGAGTGGTAAGTACTGTGAGCGAGGTTAGCATGGTCGCAAGAAATGCGACGCGCTGCTGTCTGCCTCGACAGCAGATAGTGCGCACCTTCATCTTGAATGGTCAACGTCAGGCTTCGTAATGATGGAAAGATGAAGTGTTAAGCAGGAGGCATTCGTACGCTGACGCAGAATGAATGGTTCAAGTCGCAAGCTCCCTGGTTGTCGATTAGGGGCTGTGGTGTGCTTATCGCCGGTATCGCGCTGCGATCAGGCTTGTGATGGAGCTGCTTGGATTCGGAAGTGTGCTAACGTGTCGGATGATGTCACGGGAGGTGGAAGTCGCGCCAGATTAGAATGGGGCGACGGCTGATGTTGGAAAGGTGGTGCCTCGAAGTGCAGAGTGTATAAAACGATAACAAAATCGCAGCGAGGCGCGGGTGATGCGTCGCGATAAAAAGATGGGAGAAATTGATGACGGAGGTGTTACTGTCTGTTTCGTTGGAGGAAGCCGGAGCCTGCTTGCTTGAGATAAGGCAAAGAGCAACTCGACCCTGTAGATCAGTTCGGATAGAAGGACGGAGACTAGACGCGGTGCGCCTAGCAGGTGATCTGGTCGACAGACATTACTGGATGACGGGTGTTCTAGTAGATTGTTTGTTGAGATCGGGGGACGGCAAGGGAAGAAACGGAGGGGTAAGGGATGGGGTGACGAAGGAGTTTAAAGCAGGAAACGGGAGTTGGTAGCGGCGGTGCGGGTGCGGTACTGTGCTGTTGCAGCTTCGGCTGATCTGACTGAGGTGCGGTGACGCCTTCTCCTGGGCCTCCGCCTGCTACTAGTAGATGAGTGGACTTCTGGGCTGGTCTGGTCGTGTCGCTGCAGCGGGTTGCCGTCCGGCTGACAAGGTCCCCGCCCAGTCTGATGGCACCGTATTACCTTACCACGTAAGTTCGTCGACACACAACAACCCAGGTGGTCCAGTCCCAAGAAAGGAACCGAAAGTGGAACGGGGCCAACTAGGAGTCTGTGACAAAGCGTATCTTGGTTTCTGCTGGCTTTACCGCACCGCATTGCGACAGCCTGCGTCGTCCTTGGCACCGGATTCGCGGGGACCCGCCCAAGAAGTCGGGGTCCAGTCGCTGTCCGTTCCTTGCTTGTTGGGGCCAGCCGAACTCCACGCCGTAAAAGGGGGGGCGCAGCCGGTAATCTCCAGGCGAATGAGATGGCGTCAAGAGGCCACGAGTGACTGTTCTGAACGCCCATCTCGCAACATGACTTCATACAGTCTTTCTGCACGATGGAGAATGGCATCCATTTGCGTGTCGTAATACACATCTATTAGCAACTCTGATGCCTTTTCCGGAATGCAGTGCTCGTCGAGTGCCATCGTCGACTTGGACCCCGTGGTCGGGATCTGCGACATCTCTGGGAACAGCTCCAAATCAAGGGGCCTCGCAGATGCAGAACTGCTCAACTCCCACCGCTTCATGTCTGTTCTCTTGATAATGGTAGAGGATGGTTTTCCACCCTCCAAGATCTATGCACACAAAAAGGCCAACCGGGCCACTCCGCTCCATCATCGTTCCTTCGCCGTGCTGTTTGTCCCTTTGTCGTGCCTCGACCGTTTCCCCGATTTGTTCTTCCACTGCCAATGCCAATGCCGTTGCCACTGATGATCATCGATCGAGCGGGCGACTCAGAGGATGCCTACTTTCTTGAGCGACGACTTGACCTCTTCTGTTTCCTGAATGATTGGCAAAGTGCCCATTAGCCAAAGCTCGTCATTGCCGCGCACTCTAGTACAGCGAGCATAATATATGTTTAGATATTCGTAGATTGGGTCCGAAACTCGTTTCCGGCGGTCGTGTCGCCATCTAATTGGTAGGTACACACTGGAGGCGGATTACATGATCTTTGTAACCTCATCCTCGACCTGAAGAGTGGGAGGGAAAGCGTCAGCCGTAAGAGACCGCCAATGGCGCAGCTGAAAGTCATCATTTGGAAGGGAGGCAAATCGAGGTCAACAAAAGCAATACTACGCAAACGTACCTCCATATCCTCGAGAGAATCTTGCTGAGATATGCATCGCAACACATTCTTCTTACTGCTTTCTTGCAGCTCTCCAGCTAGTAAGAGTTCGTCGAGAATGTAATATGCTTTTGTGAAAGAGAAGATGATATCAAGCTCGCACACGTTTCCGTAGTACTTGTCCATCTGCTCGACGTAGCGGTGAATGATCTCGAGGGTGATCAACTCGTTGTCTTCCGAGGCGCATCCGGCAATGAAGAATAGCGAGGCATATCGGCGGTAGACGATCTTGGAATCTAGGAGAGCCGTCAGCTAGAGCTGACGTCGGGGCTGTATTGGGGCGACAAAGACTGACCCTTGTACTCCAGGAAGTTGCACATGCGGGTTCTGCGGGCAAGAACCAGCTGGGAGACGTCCTTGACGATCTTGGCCTTTTCCTTAGGCGATAAGGTAGTGAACCATTTGGCCAGACGCTGCGAACGAGATACTGTCAACAGGAAGTTCGGAGTGAATTTCCGTCATGGGAATGCAAGCCTACCACTTTGCCCTGGCGGGAGAGAAGGATAAGGTAGCTGCACCATCATTTAGCTATCTCGCTCAGATGCACCGATGGCGAAGGTGATGAGGGAGCATACTGGATGGCCATGATGATGCTTTCACATCACCCAGCGGGGTGGATTAGAGGGAGAGGTAGAGTCGGGAGTTGAACCAGATATATGTTGTGTGGATCTCAAGCCGATGTGGTGCTGTGTGGTGCTGTTGCAGTGGTGAAGCAGAGCAGACCGAGCAATGGACTACGGTTGGCGACGAACTGGTGCTCAAAGGCAAGCTGACTATGTCGTCGTGTGTGGTATGTCCCCCCGGACAGTTGGCAGCGAATCACGTCAGGCTGAGCGTGAGCGTCGCAAGGTGTCAATTTTTGGCAGGTGCGTTGTCCTCAGGCAGACTGTCTCCAATGGACAGTGGCTTCGACAGCCAAATCAGGCGCCTGGGCTCACTTCGGTGAGAGCGAGCACACCTAATGGGAGGCGCTCTACAGCGTAATAGTACACTAAACATGGCCCAACCAACTTCCTTTAGCGGACTGGCCCTCTGGTCTTACGCCTGCAAAACAAAGCTTGTCCTAGTCTGATGGCTTTGTGTGCTTCAGATCATCAGCGTGGTGGATGTGGGGCTAGGTCGGACTTAGCAGCCCCGACTCATGCAGGAGGTGGAAGCTTATAGGCTGCTGACAGTGGGGGACACGCTGCCGAAGCCCAGACAAATCAGCCCAGAGCGCTGACGCGATGCGCTACACCCCACTGTGCACCACTGACCTTCCCCTCGGAGTCGGGCTCCTACCGAGTTCACAGTGGGAGGAGGGGTGGGATGGTGGGATGGTGAGGGGCAACAGATGGAAGAAAACCGATGATTTTTGTCTTGATTCAGTCATCCATTCGGTCACTGAGACGGAGACGGGGTCGACGCGATTGCTGTATCCGTCTTTGAAAAAGGGGACCAAGTCCAGCCTTCCCGAGCGACCTTTCGTTTTTTTTTCTCTCGTTCTCCCTATCCAAGCAAACCAACAACTGTCGATCAGCGAACTATCCTCCGTCCACCTGGACATTCTGGATTTTCTCGTCTTATTTCCCACCTTGAAGAACACCTCCTAAACCGGCATTGCATATCGTGACACTCTTCCGACTGCACATGCACCACATCTTTCCGATTTATCTCCCATAAGCCGAAATCTCACATGCCGTGCGCCTACTATTATTAATAATCCCGGCACAGTTTGACCCAACCGCGACTGGACTGTCCTTGTCGTCTTCGGCGCCCTTCGCCCATCTGGATTGTTAATCAACCTTTTCAACGCTAAAGGGTAATAAAAAAAAAATACAAAGTTCGCAGAAAGTGCGGGAGAGAGCCGAAACGACATCATTGAAATTGCGCAACAAGGACCCGTTGCAACGCAATCTAGTTCGATCGACGAGTTCGTGGATCTGACATCAATATTTTTTGTATTTACCTTCGAACTTTTTTTCAACCTCGTCTAATCACCAGCCATGACGAAACTCATTCTGTCCACGGGGTTCGTTGCACTCTCCCGGTTTTTTTCCTTTTCTTTCTTATTCTTGTTGATTATTCATAATGCGCCTTGCAGCTGATTGGTGATCTAATGTCGCGTGCAGAAACATTGTCTCGGGCGGCCCCTCCATAATCCGTAAACCAGGTGCATACAGATCTAATCTCGAACTTACCAACTCGTTGAGGAGCAACTTTCTCGCTGCTCAGCAGGACTACTCGCCTTACGAAGAGTCCTCCCCGATTGATGAGAAACCGAACGGAACCCTGAACGGACATTCCAATGGCTATTCCTACAACGAGAATGGTCATTCTGGACGGCCCCGCCTCGATGTGTGGACCTCTCGTGAGGATGGCGCCCTCTATATCCCGCGCATAGATTGGTCCTACTCGGGTCTGCAGGAAGAGCCGACAAATTACGATATTACTGTCAAGCTTTTCTTCCTGCCTACTGCTCCTGCTGAGGACCGTGAGCGCTACGTTCAGGAGGCCCTCGACCTTGTGCGCAAGGAGCTCGGCGTCACCACGATAGACCTACTCATTGCTTCCTTCCCCGGCATGTCTTTCGAGGGTGATTGTGAGTGGGAGGCTGACAAGCGCAACGCCGTCCAGGGCGATATCGACCAAGAAGCTGCCACCTGGAGGGTGCTCGAAGATCTCTACCGTCGCGGCGAGGTCAAGGCCCTCGGTATCGCCGAGTTCGGCACGGAGAAGCTGGCAAAATTTATCAAGAAGGTTAGCATCCGCCCTGCCGTGGACCAGATCAACATCAAGGACTGTTGCAGTGTGCCACCCACACTCGTCAAGCTTGCGAAGACAGAGGGTGTTGAGCTACTCGTCCACACTGACTGCACCGATATCCTCCCCAGCGGTACCCTCCGTGAGCTGCTCGGCCACGGACTGAGGGGCGCCGGCGTCCTGGCCGATCCTCTCGAGGGCGGAGAGGGGCTGCAAGGAGATATTACACCGCAGTGGGTGGTCAAGTACACTGCCTTCGTCAAGGATCGTGGCGTTATCGAGAATAAAGGGTACTTTGCCGGCGCGGAGCTTGTGGAGTCCTCATGAAAAGTGTTTGGTCTCTTCACGCTGTTGGGATTTTTTTCTTTTTGATATCATGGCTGGAAAAAACACGGCCTGTAGATAACACTGCATAGCGTTTCTGATGTCTGGCGATCTCTGGGTATTCCTTTCACGGTTACACGAAGCTTTTATTGGTGTCTATTAGAGTCTTGCTCCTCAAGACATTCTTCACGAACATGCTCTTTTCCTGTTTCTCGGATGTCCCCAACATAATTACTGCTCTTGACTCTTGAGTGATGTAACTACTCTCTCAGCAACGCCTCTGCGAGCCGCTTCCCCCTCTCGCCGCCAAGGTAGATGTCGTCCTCGATGCTCTCCAGGCCCATCTCGACCGCCTCCTTGTAGCCCCTGACGACCATGTCCTCGTCCACGCGCAAACCGTTCTCTACCAGCGCCAGGATCACGCTTCGTATCCGTGCAATCTCCCGCATCGTCTCAACGTCGATCCTGTCGTTCTGGCTTGAATAGACGTTGGCGCTCACGTTCTCCTCCATGCGATTTAAGCCCACCGACTCTGGCATCTCGCTTTCGACGTGCTTGGCAATCCAGATGAATCCATTGACTCCGAGAGTAATGTGTACCTTGGCCGCGCCTCTCGCTGCGTCCATGACCCACTGCTGCCTCTTGGCTCTGACTACACCGCCGCCGCCTCCGGTTCCTGTGACGGCGACAAACACGCCGTTGCGCAGCTTTCCGTACTTGAGAGAACGAGTGTGCAGACTGGCCGCGCCATCCTGGTGAAGCTGCTGGACCTCGGCAACGACAAGGTCGCCTTCCGCGAAGAAGGAGCGGATCTGGAGCTCATCTGTATCTGTACGCTTGCGGAGAATACCGCCAGGGAGGTTGATAGCAGAGATCTGGAGGATTGCAAGCTGCGAGGAGCCGACGTCCACACGCCAACGCTTGGCTTGCACTTCGACTATGCGGCCGACGACGAGGTCACCGATTTCAGGAGTGTAGCGTGCGCGGAGGGGGCGGACGGAGAGGAGCTTGTTGGTGCGGGTTACTGTTCCTGCGACGGACGAAACGATTTCGGTCGTGCTGGGTGTTACGTAGGTGCCGTGACCTCTGTCGAGTTTATCAGTCAGAATTTCTGCAGAAATGTAGCAAGAGAGCAAAGAAAAAAGAGAGTAGAGGCGGTGCTTGGAAGGCAACGACGAACCTCATCCACTGGGGGTCGTCGGTAATGATTTCACCAGGAGTGACAATCTCGTAGTTTTCGCCGCGGGCGCGTTTCGCTGGGCGCATGGACACGTCGCCTTCGATATCAACGCCGCCATCGGAATCTGAGTCTGGGTCGCTGGCGTAATTTGCTGGCTTGTGTTGTGACGGAGTCCCTCTCGGGGCGAGGATTGTGATGGGCATTTTTTTTTCCGGTAATCGGCAACGAGGCCGTGGGATGGGACAATAGCAATCCTTTCAAATCGGCTTAGCGTGGATACAAGTCCGTCGAAGTAATATCCTCCTGAGATTGGTAATGCAGCGATCTCGGTCACAAAGTGGTTGGGGTTTCGAGGGCGTAGGTGGTATGGTGGTGTTGAAGTTACTGGGTGCAAGAATTTTTGATAGAGCTTTGGAGGGGCAGATTGGAGCATGCAATCGATGGACAACAATGCCGCCTTCTACAATCCCCCACTTCAACAGCAGGTACAAACTCTCGGTAAAATAATTCAAACTGTAACTTATGTGATTTATATTCATCATGATTAGTATTTTTGTTTTATACATGCAGATATTGTACAGTGACGCTAAACCTCTGCCAGTCGATGCATATGACTTGCATCTTGACAGGCTCGCTGGGCAGTGGATGAGTGGCGTGTATGCCCTCCTGAGGACCAGTATTTTGACATCTGAGATGAAACGAAGAACCTTCCCACAAGTCGTCGTTCCACCTGTCTATTTCCCGTTTTTTTTATCCCGGCGTTACGTTGTTCGTCCTTAAAGATCTCGTGGCAATCGGTGGCCGAGCCGGTTCTTGCAGCATGTCCTCCATTCCGACCGAGCAACTTCCCTTGAGTGTATAGTCTGAGTGGTGATTTTAATCCAATGCCAAAGGTACCTCTAAGCCCTTCTACCGGAAAAATCTCCAAATACCCAAGTAAGCCAGGCCCATCGAGATGCTGGCGACGCCCAACTTGCGGCTTCGCATGCCAAACATCGAGTTGGACTTCAGAATCATCGCACGTTGCTTTTCGAGGTGTCCCATGCCAGACATATAGTTATAGGCTGCGAGGCCAAGAAATGCGCCGCTTCCTGCAAAGGGGTACCATCGTAAGCAAACCGTCTCCCAGGGACGAGGCCGAAAAGAACAGTCTCTTACCGATAACTCTGCAAGACGTGCAGTCATCTCCGCGATCCTCGCGCAGGAGGGTGTCGAGGTTCTCGGGCTTGTCGAGGCTGCCCACACTGGGCATCTTGTCTCCTCCTCCAAACATAGCGGCAGCTTCTTTGGATTCTGAATCTATAAAGTTACTGAATGATCGTCAGATGCTTTTGCGCCGGGGACCGTCGATGTACCGTAGAATCTGGGGAGCTCTAGACGGCTGCAGGGTTGTGGCGCGTTTGATTGGCTGGGAGGAGCCGCTCCCTTGCACTAACATTTAATTTCATCATCGAACATGTGCGCCACGGCGGGATGAGTGGTTCCTGGCCTGGAGCTCCAGCAGCCCATTCAGCCAGTGCTGCCCGTCACAGGAAGTCGCAACCGTCCCCCTCCTTTGACAACCACACGGCTCAGCCTCCGATGCCGACTTGACGATGAACGGCGTTATTGAAGCGCTGCACATCTACGATGAGCACAAGTCAGTTCCTCCTCTACTGAGAAGAGTGTAGGTGAACGAAGCTGACAGCGCTGCAGCCATGCCATCTTGTCGCACACGTACACCTCCCGCCCGCTGTCGGCACAGCATCTCCTTCCTCTCTACCTAGAACATCCTGCACCGCGTCCAAACCTGATATACCTCCCGAATACCAGCCCGCCGACTCTGGTTTTCAGTCTTAAACACGCGAACCTCTTGTTTCTAGCGACTTCATCGTCTGAGATTGAGCCCCTCCTCGTCCTCGAGTTCATCCACCGCATCGTCGATGTGTTTGAAGAGTTCCTTGGTGCCCCATTGCTCGCACACAAGATCGAAAATAATTACGATGTCGTCGCACAGCTTCTTAACGAGATGTGCGATGCTGGCACAATCAATACTACAGAGCCGAATGCGCTGAGGGATCTGGTCGAGGTAGAGGGCTGGGTAGGCAAGCTGCTCGGTAGCATCAACCTGCCAGGGTAAGGAACACTTGGATCGGTGAAATGGAAACAAATCTAACAAGGACATACAGAAAACCTGGAAACTTTGGCACGAGCTTCGCAAACTCAAGTGCGCCCTCGTTGATTGCGTCGAATACCCCAGCCTTGCCCTGGCGCAGGGCCAACGTACGGCATACGTCCAACGAGATGTACGCAGACATCGTCGAGACACTGACAGTCACACTTGCTCCTTCGGGCAGGCCACTGGCAGCATTTTCCAACGGAACGATAGCATTCACGTGCAAAGTTTCGGGAGTGCCTGACATTGTCATGACATTAACGAGTCCATCCGGCAAACACAATTTGGCGGGCTTCATGGAACTGCCTGTATTTCATCCCTGCGTACGTTTGTCGCGGTGGAAGGAGAGGCCTGGTGAACTCAGCTTCATACCCCCAGATGGCCGCTTCATCTTGGCCAGCTATGAAGTAGACCTGCTTCCTTTTACGAGCGGCAAGAGTGGCAACATCAGCTCAAACAACCTGAAGCTGCCCGTCAATATTGAGATGAAGACCGGGCTGGGACCAGCGGGTTCCGACTTTGAGGTCCGGCTTCACGTGAACAAGGTTCTGGGTACAGGAGGACCATCGTCGCAAAGTCAGTACGGAAGAGGTGGGGGCGGAGCAGGTCGAGGATTTGGAGGACCTCATCCCGGTACCCCAGCGTCGCCTCTCATGGAAGATCTTGTGGTCACGGTGCCTCTGCCGGCTGAAGTTAGGAACCTATCTGAGCTGCGGCCTAGCAAGGGAGATGCGAGCTTCAGCCCTGGCGAGAAATTTCTGGAGTGGCACATCCCAACCAAGGAATTATCAGTCGGCACGTCCTATTTCGGTCTTAGGTGTACAGTCGTGGGACAATTGCCTGACGAGGAAGAGGATGAGCTCGACCCTACCGGGTTCGGCTTCGGAAAGTCTTATGCCTACGACGAACCTTACCAGGCCACCAGTCCTGTTAGAACCAAGAAGGCGACGGAGGGGAAAGACGATGAGAAGGACGCGAAGAAGGTGGCGCAGAACAAGATGTTGATGCCTAGCTCGGCATCGGTAAGCTTCTCAGTCAAGGGGTGGCTCCCTAGCGGCCTTAAGGTCGAGAGTATATTGATCGATCCACGAAAGAGCAGAGGCCTAGGAGAAGGCGTCAAACCATACAAGGGTGTCAAGTATTTGACAGTCAGCAAGGGCGGTGTAGAGACTCGGTGTTAGTCGGCTCGGTAAAGCGATAAAATAATGACTAGAAATTTAGAACCATGAGTTTTTCACATGCTTGCAGAATCTAGCCCAACGACTAGTGCGAATCTAGCTGGCATCCAAGTGACAACGGCCACCATCTTCTAAGATTTTTAGTTGGTTGTTCTTTTTGACATTCATGCATAGCCCAAGCGCAATGACTGTGCCTTGTGTGTTTTGCTGGAGAGTCAAATAAATGACTCCATACCCACCCCTCCAAACATGTTGACGGCAATTAAACCCTGGTCCTTGAGGCGACCTGGTTGAAGTGCCCCGCTCCCGGCGCAGCGGAACCCAGAAACGCGCTGTAGTTAGTGTAAGATGTGGTTTACCGCAAGTAATCGCGGGGTTCTCCAGTGTATTGTTAATGTCGGCCTCGGGATTTCGGCTAGTGGCGGCCACTAGCAGCATCAGCCAATTCCATTCTGACGTCCCCCCAACCGCCAGTCGAACTGGCGTCATTAGGCATTGTTGGAACGCCCTACCAACAGTGCATAAGGAAGAGCCCGGGGCACTACGTTCCCTATGCCACGCGTGGCTTAGATTGGCTGTATGACACATTCTCGAATCGGTCGCAAAACCTGAGACCTCTTCTTTTTTTAATTTTTACATCTCTACTTTATTTCGAGATTGTCCAAATTGCATGTTCCGTAAAAACCGCCAGGCAAGCTCATGTTCGCGATAATCTAGCCGCTCCAGCTCGCAATTGGCTGGCGCTCCTGGCCATGACAGCTCCTGGAGCTCACTCCCTCCGCCGAGGTGGCGCACACATATGGGCTGATGGGCTCGGCTGCCTCGGCCGGAGACGTGCTGCAACAACGACAACCAATATCGCATTCCGATCTAGTCGGCGGCATGTCTCGACGCAAGGGAAACGGCCGCGGACGGCTCTCTTCTTTCCAGGTTAGTTGGGAATTGGACACGAGGGGGGAGGGAGGAGGCGGGGCGACCACCACAACAATGCAGAAGCTGACATCGTACGTTTGTTTTACCACACAGGCCAAGGAGTTCAGAAAGTCGGCATGATAACCCCCTGGCTTGAGGCCTTTCCCGTGACGGCAAAACCGATACTGGAGGAGATTGACCATTTTATGGGTTATAAGCTCTCCGATGTTATCGCCAACGGGCCCAGCAAGGTTCTCACCAGAACCCCGAATGCCCAGCCCGCCATAATGGCGACCTCGATCCTGATCCTGCGCATTCTCGAGCGCGAGTTCAACTTTGACATTCACCAGCGCATTGACGTCACCCTTGGTCACTCACTCGGCGAATTCGCAGCCCTCGTGGCGGGCGGATACCTCGAGTTCGAAGACAGCCTGTACCTCGTGCGCAAGCGCGCCGAGGCCATGTCAGAAGCGACAAGGCGCGCTGTTGAGGAGTATGGCGGCGAGTACGGCATGGTAGCCATCGTTACGGAGCCGGAGTACCTTGGCCCGCTGATCGCGGCCATACACGACTTCGTGGGACATTCGAGCGCTGGTTCCAAAGGAGAGAGCTCCGAGGATCTGCCGCCGATCGAGCAGGTGCTCATTGCCAACATCAACAGCAAGAACCAGATCGTACTGAGCGGGTGTATCGAGCGCATCAAGACGCTTGCGACGCACGTACGGCAGTTTCTGGGGCATGATCCGCGGGCGGTAAGGTTAAACAGCGACAGCCCTTTCCACAGCCCTATCATGAAGCCTGCGGTGTCGGTAGTGAAGAACATCCTGTCCAGGAAGAGCAGAGTCAAGGGCCGCGAACGGGACGACATGATTACGTTTCCCGGAAAGCTGCCTTGCATCAGTAATGTCAGTGCCAGACCTTTTGAGAGTAAAGAGGATGTGAAGGACCTTCTTGCGAGGCAGTGTTTGGAGACGGTGAGGTGGTGGGACAGTATCAAGTACCTCGACCAGGAGGAAAAGGTCCGGCGATGGGTTGGTATCGGACCTGGAAAGGTGGGACGAAACCTCGTAGGTAAGGAGGTGGGAATGAGAGGGAAAGACTCTGTCAAGGGCGGCGGCGTATGGGCCATTACGGACCCAACCGACATCGAAGAGGTGTTGAGAGGACTTGAAGACACAGAGAAGATATCTGACGAAGAGGTCGACTGACATGGGTTACTAAGAGTTTATAATGTTTGATGGGGGATATTGGAGCTTCTGGCACGGCGTTCTCTTGTTACTCGGACGGCGCGAGAGCTCGTCCCGGAGGTTTGTCTTTGGCTGGTTGCCATTGTCGATGAGTAAATGGCTACTTCTTTATGTAACACCACTCTTGTGCGGAGGCTATCTGCAGAACTCCAGCCACTACATATGATATTATTTTACATGACTGAACTCGCTGGAGATTTTCCTATTCATTTCTTTCCCGTCGACTGTGTTAGTTAAATAGCAACTTCGTTTGTCAGCTGATGCACCTACTCACGAAAGCTGACTGTTGAATGCTGAACCCCTGGCCTCGATGCGGGGCAACAAGAGGACCCAAAAAAACAATTAAGCTCCCGCCCACAGCAGCTAAGGTACCTTACCCCAGCTCTCCAATCTCCAATCTCCTCCAACCTACCTACCGCCATCCAGGAACGACGTCCGAACGCAAGCAAAACCGTGTCCATCGATCGCATCGCATCGCATCGTGCGTCCCCCGCCGCATCCCAGCGCCAGCCGAGCCCACGCCCTCCCGCGCGACTAAAGCATACCACAAGCCGCGGCGATGGCTACTGCAATCCCCTCCATAGCCTGCATAGGCATTATCGGCCGCAACGTACGTCCACCTCTTCCTTCGTCTTGCCCCTCCAACAAGCTCCCCATCCTTACGGTCTCTGGCTTGAGCTTGACTGCTATGCCGACTTCACCCAAGAATAAAGACTGACGGTCAACAGAATAACCCTCTACATATCTCGATCTTCCCCTCCCACAACCCCTCAACAAACACCTTCGCCCCGATCCGTACTCCCCTCCAGTTCTCCCTCCTGCTGTCCTCAACCCTTGACGTCTTTGAACTGCGCCACAACAGCAGCAACGCCAACGCTGCCGGCGCTGTTACAGGAAGCGGCTCCGGTCTGTCAGGCGAGATTGGCCTCCTTCATGCCGTGGACGAACGGCTCGCTGCATACGGCTGGGAGACGAACACCGGCGTGAAGATCGTCGTGGTGGTCGACATGCGTGGGCGAAGTGTCGGCGGCGGCGGTGGTAATGACGTCGCTGGCAATGCTGCTGCGAAGGGGCGGGGGGCCGTTGGGCTCCGGGAGCAGGAGCTGCGCGTTGTGTTTAGGGCGGTGCAGAGCGCGTATGTAAGACTGCTGCAGAATCCGTTCTACGAGCCTGACGACCATTCGCCGATTTCTGGGCGCGGAGGCAGGGCGATCAAGAGCAAGAAGTTCGAGGGTGATGTCAGGAGGATCGGGGAGGCGTGGACCCCTGGTGTCACGAGCCTGTGAGCTACGGCCGGTTCGTTTAGGCGTGATGGAGTTATCAGGCGTTCTCAGAGGCATGGGAAGTTTTTCGTGTTCATTTTTCAGAGGCTGTGAATTCACCCCATGTTCATATTGACGGGCTAAGGAAAATTGGCCCTTGTAAGACTCTCTATCTTATTAGACTCGAAGGCCTAGATGTCGCCCCGGCGACGAATTACTAAAATCCAGCATCGCCAAATTGCTATGCTACGCACCGGTATATGCTTCTTCTATGCAAGAATCAAAGCTAGCAAGTCAAACATTTCGGAAAACAAAAATCTATCGCTCAAGCCCCTGTGGTCCATTGAGTTTGCGTTCCTCATTCTCCAAAGCCTGTCGCCTTTCGATAACCAGCTTGTCGGTGCCAAAGGGCCCTTCAATAGGCCTCGAAGGACCCATCACCGCGTCTGTCTTTCTGCTTCCAGGCGAAAAAGGCTCGTCTCGTTTCGGCTTGGAAGGCGACGAGTCCTCCCAGTGCCGCGCAGCCCGGGGAACTGGCGTCCACCACGCCTCAGGCGGTCCGTCACGAGCATGCCACGCGGTGCTACACAGCTCCCATAATCTACTCGCAGCACGGCGGTACGCGAAGCGCTCATCTTCACCCGTGAAGGCCCCCGTGTTGTTGAAGTTCGGGCTTGTGTCACTCGTGTGACCCAGCTTCCCAAAATCCGAGTCCTGATCTGGATCGTACTTGGACGTCGGGGAGTTGGTATCGTAGTACGAGATGTTAGGCCGGAAGGGCGCGGCCTGGTCCTGGTAGACTTCCGCAATAGTCTCGGAGTGAATCGCGTCCGAATCTACTACTTCTTCGGCTTCCGCAGCGGCAAGCGCTTCCTGCGCGCGGATATCAGGGAAGAAAAGATCATCAGGGCTTGCCTGGGCGCGAACGAAGAGCTTGCACTTCGCTTCGTAGAGTGCATCCAGGAGAGTAATGAAGCGCCGGGCTTCGTTCTTCTGGGCGGTTGTTAGGGTTGGTACGTTATCTATGATAAACGTGTGGTAGGTCGATGCCATTGTCACGTAGTCGGCTGGGCCCGAGGTCGCTACCAGCGGGTCGAAGTCCCAGTAGACTACGCCGTCTCGTTGACGAGGTATGGAGATTGTGCGGCCGTAGACTGTAAGGGTTGCTGGGCTCCAGGTTCCTGAGAGATGCTCTGCTAGCTCTGTAGGCCATGCGGTTGTGTCCGAGCCTAGGAGGTAGTACTTTGATGGCCTTGTTGTTTCTGAGTCTGTTAGTCATTTTATCCATCGATAACAGGCATCAGGTAATGCAACATACCCTCTTTACACTCCACGGGTTCATCCCCAACTACGTTTCCCAGAAGAGGCAATTCAGCAGCAACTTTCTCGCCCGTCTCCCGACGTCTGAAGTCAGTGGCCCCTTCCATGTGCCAGAAGTCGCAGCGCGCCTTCAGGACCTCAAGAAACGCGGCAAAATCGTTTTGACTATGGCGCGTGGCTCGAGAGCGTGCTCCGCCCAGAAAGAGACTCTTGAGGAAGCCGTCGGACGGGGGAACAGTGTACTCGACCCCAATGGCCTTTTGAAGCTCCTCCGGCATACGGTTGGAAGAGGCAATCAGCACGCCGCCAAGATGGAAGAAAGCTATGAATAGGTGACTGAGAATCTTGCTTGCCGCACGATCTGGCAGCTGGAACTCGTCGAGAAACAATATTGGTGACTCCTCGACGAGCTTCTTGGCTAGCCAAAGCATAGAGTATTCCTTTTCGTTGCCTGTCAACTCTGGATGAGACCGACGAAACTTCTCGAGCTGGGAGAAGGTGTACAGCATGAAGGTGTTGAAGTGCCACCGCCTCTTCCTCTCGGTAGGTAGGCCCTGGGCCAATAAATCTATCAGCATGGACTTGCCGACGCCAACCTCACCCGAAAGAAAAAGACCTTTCGGCGAGTTAATAGTGATAGCGCCTTCCAGGCTTGTCATAACTCTAACGATGGCAAGGCGGTTCGCGTTCTCTGGATCTGGCGTTGCCTTTCTAGTGAGATGTTTGAATAGGGGGTTGTCCCAGATAGGGTGACTTGGCATGGCCAAGGTTGCGGCCGCTTCTTCAGGGTCGCGGGCTTCAGGGATGTCGGCTACCTCCTTGAGACGTTCTCGATAATCAATCTCGGGGGCGTAGTCTTTTAGTCGTGCGTATAGCTTATGAAGATGGATCGCTAGGCGATGCTGGGAGGGGTCGGGTGCGAGCACTTTTGTAGAAACAAGGGTGCGGTATTTGACCAAGGGATCCGTAATGGCCATGGCGGTCGAATAATACCGGGCCACGCTTGGCGGCTTCAATTTCATCATATTCGTGATCATGATGGTGTTACGTCCTATTGTCATCTTTTCCGTGTATCGGACATGTGTGAAAGACAATAAGGAAAATGTCGATTATGAAGATAGCAAAAGCAATGCACTGATACAGGGGCTTTGCTATACCAGAGTTGCTCAAGGCACTTTACCTCAAACTTTGAGCAAAAGCACTTGTACTGCGAATGCTTACCAAGACCTGGCCTTGATATCAAATAAGGAGCAATGGGTAACCCAGAATGAGTCCGTAGTTGAGACCTCGGTCCCAGAGACACAACCCCAAAGTCGAAGAATAGATGCCTGCGTTATTTACCAAGTCCAAACTGGATGACCTGGGTCAAATGCAAATGGTTTACTTGCACTTTATCCTGGTCGAACCGATGGGTGGTAGCAAGTGTGTTCCCCTCCCTATTCTCGTTAATTTGCCTGAATGGGTGACAATATGCCTCTGTATGTGAGTACCGAATGAGCGAGGTCAGGCCGTCGAAAAAAAAAAAAAAAAAACACTCCAGAAGGCTGCTGAAACGCTTCTTGAGCTATTAAAAATGCTGGACTACGCTTGTTGGCGAGGCTCTTTAGTCATGCGAGGCTCCGGTTGTTGGCAAAATGGTTCCCGGTTAGCAACGTTTGGGCCGGAGTATACAAGTGGAATAAAATGGTGCCAAAGAGAAGGACCGGAAGACACCCGAAGACGCAAGTGACCGGGTAATCTTGCCCAATTGATCAAGAGATAAACTGTGGGTTGTTGATCTTAAAACTCAAGAACAACTTGGTAAGTCAGAAAGCCATGGTGGATGTTTCTTTTCTGCATCTAGACATCGAAATGAGTTTCCTGTCTCTATCCCGCCGTCAGTTCCCGAGGGCCGAGTGACGTTGTTGACTTGGTTTCCATGACTCCACTCAAGGGTCCCTTTTTTTTTTTTCTTCCAATGCGGCGATTCAGTAGGCCCCAGAACGATCGCGGAGGTGGCCAATCAATCCTCACTCTCAAGCAACGAACATGTCAAAGCAGGTATGTACCGGGTCCAGGTACCTTCGTGCTCTCGTTGCTCCTTGCGGCGCCTCAGCTAGCACGCCTGCACAGCTGCAGAGGGGCCTGCACACGCCGCACCACTTGGGAAGCCTAACAGACCGCTCGCGGGAGGAAAGAGCTGGTGGTACTGCTGGTCCGTGCTTGGCAGATGCAGCAACCTTGTGTTTTTTTCGACGAGACCCAATCGATTGATGCTTCGTCACTCTCACATATTTGCTAAATCCGCTCTAGAGTCTGCCACCTGCGTACCCGGCCTCCGCTTTCCTAACAATTCCTTAGGCCACAGAATTCATCCTCGAAATGTTTTTCTGATTCCTCTTCATCAACGACACCGAGCATCACCAGTCTCATCGGCGACCCCCCAAATAATCTTCTCGCGCCCGGTCGCTCGACATCATCATGTTTTCTCCGTCCATGAGCGAGGGCGGCCCTGCCACGGCCACACGAAGCAGAAGACGCCAACGACCCGTCAGCAATGAAAGCCTTGCTCAACAGCCCAAGGCCAAGCGCCAGCGTCTGCCTTTGACTGAGCAGACATTTGTCAATCCCGATGTTTCATCAGCGCCTGCCCCCGAAATGTACGAAGTCAAGTCCGACAAAGTTGCGACGCTCGACGTGCGGCAGGACGGCATCGAGAACCACCCGCCCATCACACCTACCCCCAGAAAAGAGCTCAGCGTGCGCGCCAAGAAGCCGAAAGGAGGAGAGCGACCTACCAAGGGCGATGGAAGTGTTGTTTTGGTACGTCTCGGAACGATCGCATTGCCCCTTGGATGCTGCTAACGATATTGTAGACGACCAACAACGCGTACACTGTGAGCAAACTTCCTGCACTTCCAGACCGTATCCGTGCAGATGCTTCAGGTAAGTCATCCGCCATCAACGCGCGCTTTGCCACCTAACCGACCGTGAAGCCCAGCAACACGGCGACATCTTCTCGAACGGGTACGCCCTCAGCTTGAGCCACACTCACGCGGTCGTCTGGCCATACACGACCCCTACCCAATCCCCCGAGACATTCACATTTACTCTGCCATATCCTTCCAAACATGCTTCAGAACCTCTTCCGTTAGGATGTCTTGTATCGCCATCAGCATCGTCCATTGAACCCGGCCTGGTTGTCGTGATGCCAGTCAGTGGGAAAATTGCGTATTGGGAATCTATTTCGAGCGCGGCGACCCTGGACTTCATCCGCCAGCAGCGACATGGCGTAGAGGGAGCGATCTCCGGCATGTACTCTGGGGAGAGGGTCATCCAGATTACAAATGCCGAATCTGCCGGCTTTGTTCTCGCATTCAGCAGCGGTAGATTGGCGTACATGAACGTTCGCGATGGACACGGCAGGCCGACGATCTCTGTCCAATTCCTCCGTACAAGCCTGGGACCCGCAAATGGAGGACTCTTCGGAAGCATTCGTCACGCTCTTACACACACCACTGGACGTGGCGATATTGCTGCCGTACGGGCAGAACGCACTGCCCGCGTTGGTGAGCGCAATGTTGTTGCTGCCACTCTTAAGGGAAGGCTACACGCATGGAGGATTCACCGTGGGGGACATCATGATACCATTGTTGAAGCGGATATGCAGGAGGAGATTATTGACGCTATCCGCGAAGTCGATCCTTCAAGTGGAGAGTTCCATCACGACACATTTGAAGTTGTGGACTTCACTTTTGTCCCCAAAGGGCTGGAAGCCAAGTATCGGGACATGAGCAGGCTTAGTGATGCCATGGCCTCTGACGATATCAACTTGCAGCATCTTCTTCTTCTTGTCAGTCTTACTAAGAAGAGAGAGTCGCATTACTCACTGGTTGAGGTCATCCTCTCCCCATCTTCAGCGCAGGTTGGGATGGTACGCCCCATCACATCCTACAAAGCTCGCTTCAGCCCGGCGAACCCTCTACAAGCAACGCGACCTCGCCTTTATCTTCCTCGGCCCGCTCTTGTGGCTTTCATTGTATTAGACAAAGCTGTTGTGGTTGCGTCAATTGGTGTCCCTCCCGAATCGCCCGACGCTCAACTACAGGAGGACAACCACATTATTCCTCCTACATACGAGGACGTTATTACCCTTTCTGATAACAATCAGTCTGAGGTTCTTGGCTCTGGTTTTGAGGAGCCCCAAGCGGCAAACAGTCACGAAGAATCTAGAAGTCAGCGTCAAAAGACCAAAAACCCTGCGGTCGTTCTGATCGTCCGCGGTTCGGGCGTCGTACGACTCACGACAACAGATATAGACAGATTCGGCAGCGACAAGCCCCCCAAAGTCACTCCAAAAAGCAAGCTAGAGCAGGCAGTATTTTTCGGCAACAAGCAAGATACCCCGTTGGTTTTCGATGGAAGGAAAGGCGTTCAGTTCTCAGATAGTGAGATCGCTGAAGCTGCGCTGCAGCTGAGTCACGAGATCATGAGCTCATCAACGCCGCACATTTCAAGTGTACCGGCATCTCTGGAAGACAACCTCAGCAATCGAGTCCTCGCCTTGGAGCGCCTGATGCTGCACCTCAAGCAAACAAAGGTCAACTTGGACAGGCGAACCCGATGGCTTCTGCTTTCGCACGCCGAAAAGATGATGGTATCAACCATTCTCTGGAAACGTCATGAGGCATTCACCAACGAGCGGCCAGCCAACGATAAGAAGGATCTAATTGCGGAAATTGTCGAGTTCATTCATCAGGACGACAAGACCAACCTTAACCGCAATGTTGGAGAGGTTGACCGTGTAAGGCATTGGTTTATTCACGACGTTGACAGACTTGAGATTTTCATCGCCTGGGCATATGAAGTCATCAAGTATATGTACAAAGACCATATCATGGATGATGTACGCATCACACGACTCATGTACGAGGCTCAGCAAGTGAACCTGGTTGCGTTGATCACGGCCCTTGATTACCGGCAAAAGAAACTTTCTTTCTACGGGCTCGAGGACGAGGAACTGGATCTCGGAATTGTGCGTGAGAACTACGAAGGTCTTCCTGAGCCATGGACCGGCTGCCATTACATCTGCAACAACCTGAAGCGGCTACTTGAACTGAGCCATACATGGCTCGATCAATACTACCCACCGAAGGACAAAGTCAAGGACAAGTCCAAGCAACCGGACCCCGCTCTTCTTGAGAAGATCAACTCCGAGATTTCTAACCTGACTGATCAGTACCTTGTTTCTCTGCTCGAGGCATCCCGGTGGAATGCTGTACAGCTTGACTCCAAGGCACAGAAGTGGTCTGAGCATCTGACGAAGCTCTACGATTCAGACAAGAACGACAAGATTCTAGCACTTCTTCGACTTGGGAAATGGGACGAGAGCATCAAAATTGCTGAAAAGCATCGATGTTGGAAAGCTTTGGCCCTAGCCATGATAGAGCAGATCAACACTCTCAAGCACGAGGCAACTCTATCAAGATCACAAGTTGAGGCTCGTGAGTTGACCAAAAAGGCCGAGTCGAGGGAGAAGCAGATCGGTCAATACTTCGACAAGTACGGCGAAGCCTTTGCCTTCCCTACGTACGAGATCTTGCTGGACAATTCTGGTGTGCAAGCGGTCCTTGATTTCTCCTACGACAACCATGCGTACAGGACGAAGTTCCTCCGCGAAAAACCCGAACTTGCCAAGATATCTTGGATCAACGATATCCAAGGCGAGAATGATATTGATCATGCTGCAGAGACCCTTCTCGACCTCGGCCTGACTCGTGAGCAGCAGGTGTGGAATAAGAAGATTGAACTCAGTCTTGGAAAACTTGCACTGCTGGCCGAGTCACAGGAGCCGTCGACTCCGAACCTCTTCGGCATCAAGCGAACAACTAGTGGCGAGGCGAAGGACTCATCCAAGAATGACGATAAACTGGATATCATCGACAGCCAGCTTGGAATTGTCAGGATTCAGGATCAGCTCTATGCGCAGATATTCCCCTCGATCCAGACGGCTGTCGATGAGATCGCCGAGCTTCAGCTTGCTATGGAGAACCATTGCGTGCAGCTTCCAAAGAAGCAGAAGGCACTTATCCAAATCTTTGAGAACAGCATGCGCCGGCTTCTTAAGCACGAAGCACTCGATGCCATGTCTCTTATCGACCTGCTCACGCTCGTCAACCTTCCTGCCGATACAGCTGCTGAGATCGCCGACCCCTTCTATCTTGCTCTTCTGGTTGCTTCTTTCGGCCTCCAGGGCGAAGAGCTCAAGATGGCCAAGCGTCTCATTTGGAGGCGATGCTTCATCCGCGACGACTGGACGAAGATCAACGACACCCAGTTGAAGGACGATTCTGCTGTGGAGGAAAAGATTACCAACACGGCACTCTTCGGCGCGTTCGCCTCCTGCTACCAGCACCGTAAGTAGTATTCATTTGGCAAAGCAAATCCATTGACTAACAACAACACAGAGACTATTGATAACCCCTTCCAACCTTTCAAGCCATCAGACGCGCTCGGCGCGTTCACGGCAGACCTGGACAGCCGGTTCAGCGACATGGAGAAGTCTTACAGGGACAAGCTCCTAGACGCTATGAAGTGGGAAGATTCTATCCTTCGCAAGTACATTGACAAGGCACGTTTGGAGGAATGGACCCGCACGACAGCCGAATCGGCTGAAGCGTTGGTTGCGGAATCTGTGGACGAGGCCACAAGGGCTGCCGCCGCAGATGCAGATGAGCTTCCGGAGCAGCACACTAACGGAAAGGCGAATGGCAGCAACTGAGACGTTTCACTCTCAGGATACCGGTCGTTGGGGTTAGATAGTTACACATGTCATCCGTCATGATGAAAGGATTTCTTTGTTTAAGGTTGCCAAGGTGTTCTGTACTAAAAAGCCCTATGGCTTTGTTGGGAGTTGTCTCGGCCTTACTAGTGCCAAGGCACAAGGCCAACTTTTTTTCTAGGTGTCTTTTTTTTCCTCGCTCTCTTAGGACTTGACTACAAATTCATAACGACCTTGGGACGGAGGATGGGAAATGGGGGTTTAACAAGATTTTTACTTACTCAGTCTTTCAACTTTTTTTCCCCCTCTTCACTAGGCTTTTCCTGCTGAAAGAAAGAAACAAACAAACAAAGACAAGAAACGAAACACCAGTATCATCAACAGCACACACACTTGGGGAACATAAAAAATGCGGAGTAAGGCGGTTAAATCTGGGTCCTGTTGTCTGTCTCTCACAGTTGAATAATCAATCAGGAATATGACGTTGCGGTTTCTGGCTCGAGGAAAACGCTTTAAAGTGTAAAGAAAGGGGCAAGGGAAAAGAAAGAAAAACATTGCCCCGTCATCCTGATACAGGTTCCATGTTGACGACCGTCTGTCTTGTCTATATGTTACTTTTTTTGTGCCTATACCCGAGAAAAGTCGCGGCCCACTCACGACGTCGAGGACGAAAAGCAGAATCGATCCTGGTTGACGCGTGAGGATCAAGATGCACTGACCGGCCCGCCATTCGGACTTTGATGGGCACTGGCCATCTGGATGCTATGCGTTAACAATATGCATATGGGTCTCGGTCAACGATGCGCCCAGATGGGACGAGCAGGGATTTTCCCCCGAGGTTTTGAATCTGGGCAACGAGAGACCGAGCTTCCAGAAGAGCCCTGGTTTTTTTTTTTTTTTTTTTTTTAATTCCCCGCCTCACCTACTCTTCTCTCATTATCTTACATTCTCGAAGTGCTCAATGCCAAGGACGTCCACGCCGGTAGGTAGCGAGTTGTCGGCTTACATAGTAGACATTTTCTCTCGTAATTTCGAGTCATGGAGTTTGTAGGAAAATGGCGCATGGTAATCTGGATAAAGTAATGGATTCTGTGATGAGCTCGCCGCTACGCCTCTCTCTCACTCTGGCAAAGTGCGATTCATGTTAGGGTTGCTAAAACTTGAAAGAATCTCACAAGAAACACATGCGCGTGCAGAAAAACGGCTATGATGAAGAAATCAACGTCACTCACATGGATGAGCGAATCTACGGGTGTACCGAGAACACCGAGCCTCATCCTATGCATTACTCAAGGTGGCGGGACTCTTTCTGTTTTGAGACATGACTTGTGAACTTTAAGGCTGGCCAAGCTGGCTCTTTAAGTGGGCTTGATTCGATGGTGGCTTGCTTCAGTTGGCTTTGTCAACCTCAAATATGATGGCATTAGGAAAGTGTCCTAGGTCCGCCGAGAAAAGAGGAGGTTACAGTCCGGGACTTCGCCGCTATCTTTGATCATCTGGCTGTTCTTATTCCCGTACACCTGTAGGTTCAAAGTCTGCTCTTGAAGGACCAGAAGACTCTTGGGACGGGCACAACGAGAGGTGTTGATTGGATGACGGGTTGATAGAGGGACACGGAGAGGCCTGTGTGCGGTTGAGACTTGTGAAAGTTCTAGGGAGATGGGGCAGCGTTTCATTTGAAGGTTGGGGAATATCTCCGATGGTGAGCGAAAGCCGACCGAGGGGGATTCTGAGGAGAAGTGAAACCTTAGGGCGTGCGGGAGAATGAATGAGTGGCTCACTGAGCTTGCGTTGCTCAACGTGATGGTGGGAAGAGGGCATCGGATGATAGGCACTCTCTGGTTACGTTGGGGAGATGGGCATCGGCTCAGCAGGCCTGCTTAAAGAAGGCTGGCTGGATCGAACGACAGTCAGAAGCGGTATCCCTCCAGTTGGCGGATGTTGCCAAGGGAAAGAGGAGCATTTGTTGGTTGATATCCACCGACCCTTGGGTAGAATGCCCGACATGGAACGGGGCTGGCTTTCACCGCATCGCGGGCGGCAACTCGGCGGTGGGAACCAAGCATGCTTGGGCTGTAACATCGCTGCAGGTCCAAGCCAGGATGGGCAAGGGCCTGTTGCAAAAGATGAGGCTATTGGACAGCAGCGTCTTCAGTAGCTGCAGTAGCTGCAGCTGCGGGTTCTCGCTGGTGATCCTCCAAACAATTTTTTTGCTTTTCGACTCGGGGAAGCATTATTTTTTAGTTCTCTGCGTTGAACATGTATGACTGGCGAATAGTAGTCAGCTGTATACTGACCATGTGGATTTGCTGTTTTTCTTGCCATAGGTCATGATGTACGCCTTTTGCCAGGGACAAGGTTCCATGGATAAGGCACACGGTTGCGTAAGTAGTAGCGTTTAGCGTTTATGCATGCTGTGTACTTGGACAGCTTGAGATACAATCAAGCTGCCAGGGACATACCGTAATGTGTTTGAAGACATCAATCATTAGATCAGTAGCATTGGCGAGAGAAGTTAAGAAGGGCAGCCACACCTTGGTTTGAAGACCGCCCCCATGCTGGCGCCCCCATTATCCCATGCTACTGCTGCTCAGGCACTGCTTTAGATGGGAGGCAGGCAGGATTCAACTCGAACCCGGGTGTTTTCGCTAGATGCGCTTAGCAACATTTTGTTGACGCGCCACCACGTTGGCCGGTTGGCCCTCTCCCTTTTACCTCAAGGTAAGACAGATCTGAAAGGCTCAAACTGAGGTCATCCCTTGTTTGATTTTGTCCGGTCTCCCTCGAAAGGAGTCGTCGGCCGGATAACCACTGGCTAGTGGGCCCGTTACGGCTAGAGCATCGGTTTCCTCGTCCACGGGGACAAAGCGAGGAATGCAGCCAGCACAGCATACACAAACTATCCCGTCAGCGGGCCTCAATCCCCGCACAGGGCAAACGCCGTGCATTTTCTAGGGTCGTTTCTAGCGCAACTTTCCGATGCTGTTTGGGCTTGGCTTGACTTAGGATTTACCGCTATGCTCCAAGCCAAAAGGACTTCACAGCATCCACCGCCCTGTATGGGATAAGCGCGGTGGGAGGACTCCTCTCCCCTGACGCGTCGTTGAGCTATCCGCTGATGGTGTCAGCCGTAGCCCTGGCGAAAGTGTTGTCGAGTCTGCGTGTCCCAGTTGGGTTGAGACTGGCAGACAAGCGACGCATGGGTTTGCGGGTGGCTGGATAGACGATTGTCATATAACGAACGATGATGCACCGGGCGCCGGACTTTCGCAATAGTTCGGGTCTGGGGACAAGGAAAATGTTTGAGAGGAAAGGAGGTCGCAATAAATTGAGACTGAGATTGAGCACGCACAAGGCGAGACGAAACGAGACGAGACGAATACGGCGTGGGTTCTTCAACAAGGACATATATCTTGTAGGCGAGGATACGGATGACCACAATTGTTGCAGCGGTGGTAAACGGACAAGGAATGTACATAGCGAACACTTAAAGTGGGCGGCTGATAGGTGAGTCGAGAGGAAAAGAGTTAGGGATAAGAAGATCGTACTGCAAAATTGGGACTGCTGGGGGGACGTTGTAGGAGACCCAAAGCAGAAGTCGGCTCCGGTACATGCGAAATTGGTGGGAAATTGGGGGTGACGAGAGGTACTATGATCTTTTTCCCGCTCCTTTCTTGGCAGCAAGATATCCACTATCACTGGTCAAGCTACTCCACCAGAGGTGTCGGTAAGGCAAGCACCGATCAAGGAAGGAGGTACCTTTTCTTGCGTTCCTGGCTCTGGTGGAGGTCCTGTACGGTACGTACTGGACTTGTTGTCCAGGTCCAGAACCTCAGGCACTTTCCGTACTGGCCGGTCGTTTTCCTTTTTTTCCCCCCCTTCCCTCCTTCCTTTGTAGTAGTTCAAACGCCGCTGCCATTTAGTGGCCTGTGCTCTAAGTGTACAAAACTGCTCAGGCCAGTAGCATAAGGTAGTCAGATTAGTGCGAGTCTTCCTGTGCACCACCCATTTTCAGCAAGAAGTAAATTCGGGCGGCCCCCGAGCCAGCAACGGCCGTTCCGTTTGGCGTCCTATTTACATTTCAACCCAATGAGAATCAATTGGGATTCCTATGATAGGGAACGGCTTGTTGCTTGGGCACAGTTGGTGTTTGTTCCTCTGTTTTCCCCTCAACCAGGATCGTGCCAAGTTCAAGCTCCTTTCCACTCGCTGAACCATTCAACGCCAGGCCCCTCGTCCATTGAAATTAGATCTAATCCCCCCCTCGACGGATGGCGGCCTGCCACCCACACGTTCGTGTTTCTTTTTCGCTCTCCCACTGTTCACTTTCCCAAACCTGGCCCTGGCACACCTAGACCTGGACCTGCACCTGGACCTGGACCTTGACAGTGACCCGGACCTGATCTGACCCCTTCCCCTTCCATCATCCGTCGTCCCCCTTCTCCCACTGAAAGTGAAGTGTGGGCCACGGTGAACGATACATGCAATTTTGGCTTTTGGGAAGTTGAGGCGTCGCTTGTAATTTCACCTGGGCCGTTGACGACACCCTTTGACGAAGTGCCTCTTTTGCTGCCTTCTCCCTCCCTTTTTTTTCTCTCTTTTTCCTCTTTTCCTTTCCCTTCCCTCTCCGGCTCCTCCCCCCCAATCGCAACTCCTCGCCACGACAAGCTTCGACTGGAGACGATTCAACGGCAATCCGACAACGGCGAGATACGACTCAGCCATCGCACCGCCTCCCTTTTGTTCGCCCCGAACAAGACATTCCACCCAACGCAACGACTACCGGAAATAGGAACTTGGATTGGCCATCATTTGTTTTATTGTTTTTATTTTTCGAGGGAAACAATCGACAACAGGCGTCTACAGAGAAACACCAGCACACCCAGGACAACAGCGTGTGTGTGAAAAGGCCAACTGGGTCAAGGAAGAGACGGACAGGCATCTAGCAACCAGTGAGTAAGAACCAGGAAGGCTGAGCAGTGTATGCCTTTTGTATCCGTACTGTTGCGGGTTGCACAACTCGAAAACGAGTGGATGGATACTTTCTCTGCCTGCACCACGCTCAGCACAAACACACCCCCCCTGCACCGTTATTCCCTGCACCCTAGAAGATTTCAGCTTCGGCCTCAGGCCACGGCTCTGGCGACTCGTGTGTGCCCAGCTCAGCCCGGCCCGGCACCGAGCCAACAACACCGCTCAGCGCCAGTAGCACCACCTGCCAAACTGCACCACTTCGCTCCATTTGCACTGCACCGCCGGCAGTGGACCACTCAACCAGGCGTCAATCTGCCAGTAGCAGGCCATGAACCCCCAAAGCCTAGCAGCCCAGCCCGGTCCAGCCCATCCCGTTCCCTTCGCACTCCCCGTGCAGTGCATGTGGTCCGGGGGCGGATTACCCACTGTAATCACTCGTCTGCGGCTGCCATCCGTCCCTCTGCCCCAAAATCCATCCATTCTCTCCCCCATTCATCCTTCCTTTCAAAACCTCTCCCAGCAACCACACACACCACACACCCATCCCATTCCGTCGAACTGATTTCGCCTCCCGAAAAAGTCGGCCCAAATGGGCTTACGGACACCTTCATAGATAGCTGACTGCGTCTCGAACATTATTCAGATATCTTTTTTTTTGTTCCCTTGTCCAATCCATCGGAGCGAAACGACACCGACTTTCGAGATCGATTGAACCGACATCCCTCAACGCCTGACCTCCCTCGACACGTCAGTCCGTAATAGGACCAAGCTTCGACGCGATGGCTTCCTCGTCGAGCAACGTCGTTGGCGTGCATTACCGTGTTGGAAAGAAGATTGGAGAGGGATCCTTTGGTGTCATTTTCGAAGGCACCAATCTCCTGAATAACCAGCAGGTAGCCATCAAATTTGTACGTTGCCGATCTCGCTCTTTTAGCTGCCTCGCTGCAGCTATCTTCATCAACTCGATTGACTGACTCCAAATCCACATAGGAACCGCGTAAAAGTGATGCTCCTCAATTGCGAGATGAGTATCGCACGTACAAGATTCTCGTAGGATGCCGTGAGTATACACCTAACTTCTTCGCTTAACCATTGCTAACCTTCTTCAAGCTGGTATCCCTAATGTCTACTACTTCGGACAGGAGGGTCTCCACAACATCCTAGTTATCGACCTGCTCGGTCCCTCCCTTGAAGATCTCTTCGACCACTGTGGTAGAAGGTTCACGATAAAGACCGTCGTCATGGTTGCCAAGCAGATGGTATGTGGGCCCACGGCAATAATTGGGAGGGCGAGAATAAACTGACCTGCGTTCCAGTTGTCAAGGGTGCAAACCATCCACGAGAAGAACCTTATCTACCGCGACATCAAGCCCGATAACTTCCTGATTGGCAGGCCAGGCACCAAGGCTGCTAACGTCATTCACGTTGTGGATTTCGGCATGGCGAAGCAATACCGCGACCCCAAGACGAAGCAACACATCCCCTACCGCGAGCGAAAATCACTGTCCGGTACTGCCAGATACATGAGTATCAACACCCACTTAGGCCGTGAACAGTCCCGACGCGACGATCTCGAGGCCCTCGGTCACGTTTTCATGTACTTTCTGCGGGGTGGCCTTCCTTGGCAAGGTCTGAAGGCTGCAACTAATAAGCAGAAGTACGAGAAGATTGGAGAGAAGAAGCAGACAACCCCTATCAAGGACCTCTGCGAAGGCTTTCCCGAGGAGTTCAACAAGTACCTGACGTACGTCCGTAACCTTGGTTTTGAAGACACTCCCGACTACGACTACCTCCGCGAGCTCTTCACTCAGGCCCTGAAGAATACTGGTGAGGTTGAAGACGGCGAGTACGACTGGATGAAGATTTCCAAGGACTCGGGCAAGGGATGGGATGCGATGAAAGGCCACAACCCCGGATACCTGCACAACCCAAATGCTCGACCCGGCCCGTCTCAGATGGAACTGCACAGCGGCCATCGGGGCGGTGCTGCAACCCCTCACAACCAGGCACAGAATCTTACTGTCAGCCGTTTAAACGCCGCGCAACCCCCGCCTCCTTCTCCGATCAAGCAGATGGCGAAGTCGAGAGGTCAGCCAAACGCCCCAGGCGCATTGAACGCGCAACGGGGCAGCGGAGCCGGGGGTCTTCGGGACATGGCCACCCCCACCGGCTCAACTCAGGCCCAGTTTCAGAACAGCAACCGCAACCTTCCTCAGAACGTCCCTCAGCAGGCCCCGATGAACCAACAGCAGGCCCAGTCTAATGGACGTCCTGCTGAGCCGCAGCCGACGGGCTTCCAGAAGTTCATGAAGGTGCTGTGCTGCGGTATGTGATCTACAGAGTTGGTTCATGTTTGGTCACGTTGCTAACTAAAATCGCAGGTTAGGAACTTAAACTATGCTCTTGTTCGTGTTGCGAATGGGACAGCAAAAACAGCTGTCCGTCTACTATATAGCTGCCCACTGGACAACCACAGGCCAGGCGTCGGATCGATGTATGAATAATCTCAGGCGGCCACACCTGAGGCGGTTGACGACTCTGGCAACCTCGCCACTCCCCTATGTCCGCCATTCTTCATCTCTTTCCGACGATTCATTTTCTCCTCCGAGCTACACTTTTTTCCGCATGACGACAACGGAGTAGCACAGAGCATCACTGGCTATTCCGGGATAATGACGAACACACAAGCCTTTCTTTCTGGTTTTCTCTTCACCCGCGCAATGACGTCCTTCTTTTTTCGGGACTGTTCTGGGGCATATTAAAATCACTGGCATGGAACTCTCGACTTGGGGATTGGGACCTTCTTTATTTAAGAACTTTCTGTTTCTGAGGAGAGAAACAAAAAACATACAACTTGATAATGTACAGCGCAGCACGGCGCAAGGTGGTTGCGGGGGTTTAGCATTGGGTCAGGGTTCTGCGGCACGTTTTCGTTAAGTTGATAATAGGGCTGGCCGTGCAGGGGCAGCTTGAGGCGAACGCGATGTTGGGGAGGTCGATGACGATGGGGTTGTGAAGCTAAAGGAGAGTTGTGTGGAGGCTGATAGACAGAAGAGGGATACAATGGACATGAAACTTTAAACCACTTGAACATATAAAGATTGACATCATTCTTGGGTATCGCTCTCGCCGTAATGTGACTTGCAGGTACATCACGAACTTGTTTGCTTGTTGGTGATGGCCAGGAGACTGATGTTGGGCTAGCGTGGCGCAAGAACATCCATCGGTTCTAGTCCCCAGCTCTAATGTTGAAGAATGTTCAGCGCTGAAAGTCGCAATGGTGAAGCCAAGAATACACCATTCCATTAAGTACCTTCCGGTAAATGAAAGGGCCTAAATCTTCAGTATTAGGTTGTAACTGTTGCTGTGGATCAAAGCTGTCTGGTGGCATTTGTAGTGCTTTTTCCAATCGCCACAATTGTTTTTAATGGCAATAGTAACAGCCTAGAATTTCAAGATTGAAAGCTCTGAAGTACTGCCTCGGTCACGATGCTCCGTTGTGTTATAGGAGTAAGTGATTTATGGCGGTCTGGTGACCTTCGAAAGCCATGTAATTGTTAGTGTATGCTTTCGAGAGGGGACCGAGGTCCTTAAGACACCAGAAAGGCAGGAAAGAAAGCACATGGAATACTATTGACGATTGCCGTTCAAGCACTCATCTCCTTACTGCCCGGAGAATATCTCGAGATAAACCACTGCCGTCCGCATTTGCTTCAACACCACTTGAGGGTCACACTGGCAACATGCTCAGGAGTGTGGTTCTGATGTGAAGAGCGAGTTCCTTATAGTGGCGTTGTTTTGCACGGCGAGGAATATTTAATCGTCCTACTATATAGACAGCAAGTGGGCTTTAGTCCGCTCACCGTTGATGGTTTTTGTCGGTAAGCTCCACCAGCCGTTGGCCATATTCCTAGTCTTTTAAGTCCATTATGAGCTGTAGTTAGCAGACGGAGCAGGGGATGTATTCAAAAGAGAAGGACGAGACGTCTATTTCGGGAGCCGTACGGCGCTTGTGGTCGTGAGATGTCACCAATGCGGTAGCCACGATTTCGCCAACTCACCGACTGCTGTCCGCGTCGTCTGCTCCATTTTACTCTCCTCGCGTTGATCCATCGTCATCGTATTCATTCCTGGTAGTATTTCGTTTGTAGCCGGAAATAACCTCTGTGGTAGCCGGGATGCCTTGATAATCCCGTATCCATGTTTGAGCAGAATTGTGGGTTTGGTGGGACTTGGCGAACTCTCTTCTATGATATTTGTATTGCGTACAAGCGGGAAATTTGGCCTGGCCTGGCCGATACTCATGCTAGTGTAGCGATGTATCTCGGTCTTGTCGAGAAAAAAGATCCGAGATTGGGTGAGGCTGGCCCCCGCCCAGTTACAACGGAGACAGAAGGTAAATGAGAGGAATAAAGGCGTGGACAGGCCTACCGTTACTCCTTGAACATGATCAACCTCGAGCTATGATGTAAGTAGCCCAACGTCATAGCCAAGAATGGGGTACTTGAATACATTGTGTCTCTATTGTAGTCCATAAGTGACGTCGAGCCCGTGGACCATTTATTTTCTTTCTTTCCATACCTACCAGTCCAGTTTATGTGTATTTTGTAAGCCTTGAAGAGTATAAGCCTGGTAAAGAATGGTAGTTGATCTTCATCTCAGAGACTTGGCGATCTATCTGGCTAATGGCCAAGCCTCCCTACAACTGGCCAATATTCCACTCTCTCGGTAGCAGTGACCCCTATTCAAAGTACTGATGAATTCGATATGTATGTGGCCCCGGCTCGCGTCTCCGGCAATAGCAGAACCGCAAGATGCCCATCTCCCTGTTCAAGGCCCATTACCGCAGCATTAAGCCATTTCCAGGGAGTTGCCTTCATTCGAGAATGACGGGACAGGGAGCTTGGAATACTCCCATGGAGCTCGGTCGTTACTAGATAAGGAAAGGGCGGTGTGCGGGTCGGTGTTGAGCGAAATGAGGCGGCAAGGGCCTTGGTACTAAGGGCTGTGTTGTTGAGATTCCCTCTCGTAAACTCGGGGGGAAAGCAGTGCTCCTGAACACAAATTGTGCAAAGTATGGTAGGAATAGATGTTATTATCCATCATACAAAACGCATGCAATTCTAGTTTTGGTGACGTCTACAGCATTGTTCTCCCGCCAGGTAACAACTCGGAGCATAAGGAACAGGTTTATTGGCAGCATTTTCCCTTACAAAGCAAAGGTATTGAAGGCTCGTTACGTACGTCATCCTAGGATGGAAGTTGAACAAGGACCTAGCGGCTTTTCAAGGCCGGCCGCCAATGCAACAGTTCTCTGACTTCCTTGCAAAGATCTTGCGTTGTATAGACCCCCCCCCCCTCAACCCAGGTGTGTCCGACGTTCTGTAGGTCACTAACACGACCTAAAAAACAATCTATCTTTCTGGCCCTCTCTCCCCCCATATCTCTATTTCACCTCTTACAATATCAAGAATTATAGCGTCAACTCAAGTTCACTACCATCGGTAACTTCGCGTGTGACTGGAACATGAGTGGTCATGCTATCCCGATAGTTAGACACAGGAATAATGACTTTCATTTTACTAAAGGAAGTCATCTCATTCGAAAAAAAGAAAAAAAAACAAACATATAAGACACGGGCTGGTTCAACTAGGTTAGGGCTAGGAAGGAGAATGAGTCATTAGACTAGGTGTTCTCGAAGAATGAGTCGGAAGAGTTAAGTACACTATATGAGCAGCTTCCCGTATCGCTTTGTAGAACTTCAAGTAATACTAGAATTGGCATGGCCAACAGGCAGATTCGAGGTAAGCAGCTACAAATTGGGAAAAGCCTCAGGTGGAGTAGGGTTTGGACAGGGCGCTATCCTACTTCATACTAGAAATGGGCCGCAACTGCCATCTCCTCGTCCCTGTCACTCCAAACGTGAGCTTCATCTTGAGTAGCATTTTAGATAAAAGACGACATACGTCTGAAATCTGGCTTGATTGATATAGTAACTTTCTACGAAAGCCAAACCCCCTACGTGGCGCCAAACCATTCGTGTTGGATCTTGCTTTACCACAGCTCTAGCCATGACAAGTCAAAGTCTCCTGGTATCATAGCCAGCTCTTCTTTAGTCAAAGAGAAAGCAGCATGAAGAGGCAATAAAGCTAGTGGAGTGGTCCGATGACCTTAATTCTAGAGCTAGACAACATATGAGAGTAGTGGTGTGAAAATCTTCAGATAAAGCCAGTTTGTCAGAAGTGTGGCAATGCCTTTCACTAGAACTTACCATTGATGTTTCCTGGAGAGGACTAACCATCTTAAACGCTTATCCCGTTGGTAAATTTATGCTGCGAAAATGTTTCCTATTTCCCCTGGGTAGCTCTCTAAAGTGGTGCCTCATGGTTTACTTCTGCAAACAAATATCGATTTCATAGCGCCGTACGTCAGCTTTTTTTGCACATTACTGGCTATGGACGCCTTATTGATCAATGGAAAATGTCTCCAGATAATCTTCTGCTAACTTTTTCTATTTCATCGTATAATGTTAGTCCTCGGGCAGCTTGATTACGTTAAGTTCTGACGCCAGGTTAACATTCTATAAAAGTATCTGACAACGAGAATGATTAACACCCAGTAGCTTTTTTCACCCCTTTTTTACTTACAGAATTGCTTGGAAAGGACAATAAAAGGAACAGGATTGATTTCTTTCCTGTCCCAAGTATGCACTGGATATTAGAGATCGGCAGCCAATACTGAGCGAAACACTCTATTCCTAGGACTTTATTTCTCACCACTGTTATGCTCACTGCCAAGGCATAGCTACAGGCGATCGATAAGCAACAACTAAACGACGATGTGAAATCGATAAAACACCGGTGATGACTTGAGCTAACAGGACTGACTGGAAGTATAAAAGTTCGAGACAAAATTCCCGAGCCCTACACCGACACACGCTCTGAGGGAGACATTTGCCTCCTGGATTAGGATTTACCTAAACTGATTGACATTATGGTATAATCCAGGACAGCATGCAGTGAATTCCTGCGCTAACTTTGTCAGAGATTAACTCTCTTGAAACTATATTATTGCAAGCAAATGCTGGAAAAAGAGACCAGTCAGGGACTTGGGTTTTGGACATATGCTTCGTTGACCGAGCTTCGCTTTAGTAGCTACAGATAGTATGTATATCATTACAAGTCCGGTTCCCCAGCCGAGCCAGTATGAGCACGTGATTGAGAGCATTGAAATACCTCTCTCCCTCTCCTGGCATGATTTATACCAAGGTCTTTTGACCCCTCCAAACTCCCGCATGCTCTGGTAAACCAAATATTTCCTGTTTTTCTCTTTACGTAAGCTTTTGCTTGATGAAGAAAGACCGCAGATGCGACAGTTGCCAAGTGCAAGTGACACCGAGAACGACAAGCTGGATGATCATCCATCTAATGACACGGGCGTTGGTGGACTCAGACTGGTCACGGAACTCGGCTTCGCGTTCCTGTTGGTTTGTTAGCGACATGACACTTGCAAAGGCAGCTGCTGTGATCGGTGCGCCGCAGAAAAGATCAATCTGCAAGTTCCAAGCCATACTCGGAACTGGAAAGGGAGACGTACACGTTGGAAGACTTGTTCTCTGCGGATATCCTGAAGACGGGCGTTAAGATCCTTGACACGAGAGGCAATGTCCTCGAGCTTGCTCTTGTCGGAGCTCACAATCTCGCTACTCTCACCAATGGCGAGGTCGAGCGACAGGCGAATACCACCGTTGTGGGAGTGCTGAGAGAGCCAGCCGGCGCGGCCAGAGGTGGAGGACGGGGTGAAGCAGATCATGTGGTCGCCAGCGTCGGCGGCCGTGAAGGTGAAGCGGCCAGAGGCAGAACCGCGCTGAGAGACAACACGGTGGTCGTTGTCGAAGGTTTCCTACGAAATAAATATGATTAGTTCCAGGCCCTAATTGGAGCAAGTGTTTTTACACAGGCACAATCTACAGGATCTAAGCTACGATATAGCTTGGTGGGTACCATGCAGAATCAGGGGGTAGCTCACATCGACAGAAATGTAGATGCTGAGGCCATCGTGCTTGGCCCACTGGTTGAGCCGATCATCCCACTCCTCAGCAGTGTAGTGGCCGACGACAAGCGTATCCTTAGGGAGCTCTTCGTAGAAACACTTCGGCGAGGTGCCGTCAATGTAGAAGTAAAGCGCCTGCGCGACGGCGCTCATCGAGAGCAAGGGGAGAAACGACCTCATCTTGTACAACGGTATGAATCGAATTGTGGAAGGGAAGATTAACCGATTCGTTGGTGACGGGAGTTCTCTCGACTTCGTGGTCTTTGACCGTTGACCTCTGGATTCGGGGCTCGAGGGAAGGCGTGGAGTTGGAGATGCTCTCGTCTCGAACAGGTAGCGCCAGATCAACCAGTTCCTAGTGCCCACATTAAAGTCCCAAGATGCGCGGGAAGCTGCCACGTTCGAAAAAATGGCGGTTGACAGGGGTGGCATGGACCACAAAGAGGTGGGTCACGTGCGGCCTCGACAGAGAGGCTGCGCGCTCGAAAATGCGACTTCGCGTCTATAGTTTGGAAAGTTGCTGCTTTTGGGAGGGCCTCTGTCGCCATCGATCAATCAACACCATTTTCAATTCCCCCCGAGTTAACGCACCCCGATACCACGACAAATACCATTTTAATAACGAAAAAAGTTCTGCGAAAATTTTGATACCCGTTTCCTTGATGCATGCGTTCTGATCGCCGATAAACTGATGCGACTGAGCATACCTCTCGCCGTCAAATTACTACAAAAAAACATAAAACCACTTCAACCGGCCGGCATTCGCTGAACGAACCTTTCTCGAATTCTTCGCTTTTAACAGCTGCAAATATGACATCTTCCGACGTGCGAGACGTTCTCAACCTGCCCGACAGTCATGCGGGGCCCCGGCCAGCCAAGAAGCAAAAGACGACCGCTCCACGACCGAACCTCAAGGGTCTCGCCCGAGAGGTCCAGAACCTAGGCGGTGACAATCCTATCGCCATCGTTCCTGAGGTTTCGATATTCAAGAAGCGGCGGTTCGCGAGCAGGAAGCCTGCGTCGAAATGGGAACTCAAGTCATTCACGAACTCGGCGCGTGGTGACAGCGGCGCAATGGTATTAAAGCATTGGCGGAGGAAGACAACAGAATCCGAAAATGGGGCTACTATGGCACAGGGCGATGCAGAGATGAAAGATGCCGACGGCGATCAAGCGGACAAACCTGAAGACTCGGCTTTTGCTAAGTACAACGTCGAGGTGGATGTACCACAGTATAGCGAGGACCAGTATCGGACAAACCTACAGAGCGACGATTGGACAAAGGAGGAAACAGATTACCTGCTTGGGCTGGTTAAAGACTTCGACCTGCGTTGGCCGATAATCTGGGACCGCTACGACTATGTGCCGGAGGCTATCAACGGCGAGGCATCGGCGGATGGGGATGAGAGTAAGGCCATCATCCCTGTACCGAAGCCGCGAACAATGGAAGATCTGAAGGCGCGATACTATGAAGTTGCGGCGAAAATGATGGCGGTTCAGAAACCTGTTCAGTACATGACACAACCCGAGTACACCTTGCACGAGCTTATGGCCAACTTCAACCCTAACCAGGAGAAACTGCGCAAGGACTTCGCCAATAATGCCCTCACACGGTCAAAGGAGGAGGCCAAGGAGGAGGAATCATTATTGCTGGAGATCAAGCGGATACTTGCGCGCAGCGATCGTTTCAATGAGGAGCGTCGCGAGCTGTACAACCGGCTGGACTACCCTCACACTGACCAGGATATCAGTGCGTTCAAGTCCAGTGCAGGCTTGCAGACTCTGCTACAGAACCTGATGAACGCCGACAAGTCCAAGAAACGCAAGTCTCTCATGGCAGCCGATGGCGTGAGCCCCGCCACGCCTGCAGGTCAGCAAGCGGCGGCATCAGACAACGCCAATCGCCGTGAAAGCATCGCTGCCGCCGCCGCTGCACCACCCGAAAAGCATCACAAAGAGCCTGCCAGCAGCACGGCTCAAACGCCAACGGCACCGGCAGGCGGCAAGAAGGGCCAGCAGCAGCAGGAGCGCCGCAAGCTCTCAGAGGCCGAGTTGCACGTTTATGGTGTTACACATCATGATCGCCTGTCCAGCGGACCGACCTTCCGCTACGAGAAGATCAACAAGCTGTTTACGCATAAGTCTAATCAACAACAGTTGCGTATCATGAATACGCTCAATGAGCTGGACATTCCGCCGCGGCTTGTTATGCCTACTGCCGCGGTAACGGCTCAGTATGAGTTGCTTCTTGGCGCGGTCAACAGTCTTCTGGACGCTAGGAAGGTGACGGACAAGATCGATGCCGAGATTAAGGTTGAACTAGCCAAGAAGGCTGAAAGAGAGAAGCTGAATGCGCCACCAGAGCCAGAGCCAGCTGCAGAGAGCAAGGAAGGCCAAGACGAGAGCAAAGCCGCAGAGAAGGAAGATGACAAGCCTGCGGAAAGTGAGAAGAAGGCAGAAGCCGCGGCTACTGAGCCTACCAAGACGGATAAGCCAAAAACGAACGGGGAAGAGGCCAGTGCCGAGTCACCTCCGGCCACCAACGGGGAGGAGAACGCTGATGTTCCGGACGCTGCGGAAGAGGGCAAGGGCAACGTAGAAAAAGAAAAGGAGAAGTCGGGCCGGCCAGGGAGCAGCGGGGCGTCACACAAACGAAGCGCAAGTGTTCTGAGTGGTGGTGGCGGGATTGACGACAAGAGCGCAAAAAGGCAGAAAAAGTAACGAAGTATCTTCAAAGTACCACCTGACATCAGATACTTTTTGTTTCTATGCGCTGTGACGAAGCACTCGAGACACGTCTAATCACAGACAGGGGCATCGCCTGTGAACAGACTTGGTGATTGAGGGGCGGTCGTTGTGACTAGAACACACCCTGAGCTGGCGCGATTGCAGGTGAACGCCAGTTGAGAACTGCATGATTAGTCCGACTCTGTGTTGGGATGTTTTGTAAAAATAGACCTATCCAAGGGTAAGGGCAGAGGGAGAATCGCTCGCCTCTAGATCTGATGACAAGAATAGAAACTTGAAACGACATAATGAGAGAATTTGCTACTCCCTACCTGGTGCTGCGTGACGTGAGTGATATGGGCAGGGGTTTCTTTGGCTGATGGCCCTTGTCTCCATGAACAAGGTAGTAACGAGGTAAATCGTTATGAAACAAACGACCGAGATAACGTCCAGAGCGGCAGAATAGGGGTCGCTACATGTGTGTGAACGGACGGGGTGATACAAGGAACGGATGAGACGGGAAAGAAGTTACTCTAGTGGTCCCGCGCTTAGGTAGACATGCGCGCACATGAAAGTCATCCTGTGAGATGATGCCAGTGGGTGCCGGGAATTTGAATATCCAGAGGTGAAAAAAAAAAAAAAAAAGGACCGTCCCCTCTCATCCCTAGCGACACGAGATTACGGCGCGGGGTTTCGATAGATAAGATGTTCCCTGGAGCGGGAAAGCATTGAGGTTAGCACCGCGGGACATGACGTCCCATTAAGCAAGATGCAGCTCATCGGCGGCTGCAGGTGAGGCTGCCAGCTTATTTTAGCAACGGCAGCTAAATTTATCAACCACGGAGAGCGGCTACGTTGGGCTAGGTGCCGCATGCTTGTAAGTACCCGGCTGTTGATTCCCTTGTCGGTGGGTTTTCGGGAATATGGATTTCCCAATACGGTGGATAGCTGGGTTTCACAGGAGATTCCCGGATCTGTGGTTCTGCATCATCAAGACTGTTGAATAGCCCAATGACAGTAGGCCGACTGGACAAACCTGGTGAATGTGCCCTGTTTGACGCCTCGTCCAGGCAGCTCTGCTTTCAGGGTCGTCTTCTGTGGCCACGGAGGGGTGAGGCTTGGAGGCGCCTACAGATGGCCGCGTATTTGCCCATCTCAAGATCTTGTTCTGCAAGATGGGAGGGGTTCGTGGGGGAAGGTAGCAGGACGAGGACGACAAGCGTAACGCCGGAGGGTCTCGTTGGTTGAACGCCCTCGCGGCTGTCATGGGTTGTGAAGATCTGAAGATCATAACGCAGCCTACAACTGGGTGTTCCGTTCTCGAGTCCTGGTTGCTGCCACTCGGCGCATACAGGACCTGGCGGCTAGGTGAAGTGAAAGTTCGGTGGAAGGGAAGATCGCCAATCTCAACCAAGGCTACGGGGAGGACAAGTGTCGTACCCGGTAGTTATTAATAGGATCCAAACATGACGATGCTGCAGAGATTGCGGGATGGTAATCTTCATGCGGATGAGAAAGGTTCCAGGAGGACGGACTGAGGTCGAGTTGAGGTCGTTCGTAGATGTAGAAAGCGCTTAGTGGGCGCTTAGTGGGAAGCGAGCAACGCCATTGGTTGGAGGCCGGACTGACAGCAGATTCGCGTGACAGAACAGCGGTGTCGTGCATTAACGGGGAATTCTATGATCCAAGTTTAGAAACAAAATTTTTTGCAAGAGAATAAAAAGACCTAGCTTTCAAAGTTGAAATCATTGCGTGTTAGATTTGCCGATGATAGGTAACGGTAGTAACGCTTGAGCGATGCCGTCGGTTGAGGGAGAAAGATACCCTGTCCCTGTGTATCATTCCTTGCCAATCCGGGGCACGGGCTGGGATGCTTATGTGAGAGGGATGTGTAGTCACGTGGATTTGAAGCTACTTACATAAGTGGTGTGTCGCTGCAAAGTGCAAAACTGAAACAATGGAATCGTACCTTGGGGGTTAGGAATCACCTGACAACACAAAGCCAGCCATGGTTAAGACTGCTGATAACTATTGAATCATCGTAATGAAAATGTAATCGCGAAAGTCGAGTGGCTGGATGGCAGACGACAGGCTTGGTGCAACCGAAGGGGGTGAGAAAAGCAAGCCGAAGCTACTTGAAGCAGATGCTCTCCACTAAAGTGGTCAAAAGTCCCACCGTCACAGTTATAGGTACGTAGCTAAGTTGCCTGTTCCTGGTGTACCGCGTGGACACACCCTGCTCAGCTAGTGTCCGGATGGTGGAGGCAACTGTGGACATGTCTTCAGGGCCACCGTCCCCCTGACAGCGCGCTTGGAACTGGCTCTAAGCGGTCTCGCTAGCCCCCAAGTTGCGCCTGTCACCCGCAACAACGTCAAAAGCGTCTCGGGGGCGTAGAATAATCGCGAGTGACAGCGAGAAACCAACGACAGATCCTGCCGACTGTTGTCGCCAATACCTTGCAGGGTGCTTGTATGCGACCCCACTTGAACTGCCATGTCCCTCTTCTCCTCCTATAATTTTTTTCCCCTTTTCACTTCCTTTTCCCCTCTCATTTCCTCTAACGACTGAACCGAAGAAATTTGCGTGCTGGTTTTTTTTTTTTCTTTTTTCGTTATGTTTTTATTTTAAGTGGAAAAATACCCGCCATGAATATACATGGCAAGGTAGACTGAGGAAGACGTCGCTTGTCTGGTGAGACGCCTTAGCTTGGCCTCCTGTGATTCCTTGTTTAGTGGAGTGGGGGAAAGGCAGGGACGCCGACCTGAGGCAATAGGTAGCCATGGCAGACACGGGACCGAGGCGAAATGTGTCCTTGACTTTCAAAGTCTTTGCTGTTTTGACAGTGCTTGTAGTGTTGGTGATGGCCATTGTTGGTGCCGATGGCCTCAGGCGTTACCGACCTGTACTTCCTTCTCCGCGATGGCAGTTTCTTTTTTCAGCAATTGATCCGCAGCCATGCCGGTTTTTGAAGGACCTCCACCAACGACAGCTGCTACTCCTGTCATCACCAACATACACCTACCTACGCACCCACACCCACAATCCACACCCGCATATACACACCTCATCCCCGTCTGGTACTGTTTGACCAACCACCCGGTCTAGATCGTCAAAGTCGGCGTCGGTTGTATGTGAAAATTCCGGAATAGGCCGCCACCCACACGCTGAGTACACCTGTATCAGTCATCACGGACCAGGAATAGCAACATCGTGCATTAGATCGGATGGACTAGACGGTCTTCGCGGATAACGGACCTATTCATGACCCAACGGCATCCGATCCGGCGACTATGTTTTCTCTAGCCATCGCCCTCGCCGAGTTCGACTCGAACCACAGTCCATACAAGCTCCCTCATCGTTACTGGCCACACGCACACACATACACACACCACATAACCTTGCCCCAAGGGTATGCAACCGGCTATCACCTTCATTTACCCTCATCACACCTCCCCAACCGACTTCGTCTGTAGTGTTTTTCTACAACTAAAGACCATTCCAACTCTGCCCCAAATCTCCAGTCAAAATACTTCTAGATTTCCAGCAATGCTTGATCAATTCTACTTGCGGCTCTACTCTAGTGATGACATAATACCACCAAGGAAGAGAAGAAGAGAAAGGAAAATGAGCAAGGGTTGTATTTCTCGACTTTGGTCCTTTCGAATTTACTGTAGACCCACCCTTTTCTTCGTTCTTCCATCTTGGCCTCGCATCCTCGCAAATGTTCAATACCCCTGTAACCTCGGCCCCCGAGGTCACTTCATTTGATTGTCTCCCCTCCCCGCCCACCACCGTCGCCCACGCCATGCTACGCTGCATATGAAGGTACGCTGCATTCATTTGCAACTCGCCAACCCTGTTGCTTGCCATGCCATATCAACCCGGATCTTACAGGATGATGCCCAGACACCAGGCGCTGGAGCAATGTTCAGTATTCAATTTTCTTTTGTTTGTCGCCGTCATGTTGTATTCAACCTGATGCCCCACTCCGCGGATGTCATTCCGCATTTGTCTGATCTTTCGATACAACACAGACGAACAACCAGACACGGCCCGGAGAGGGGATCCCCATCCGGCAGATACAAGGGCTGAGGCCGCACTCCATCGCCTGCTCATACACACTTTTTTGCCTGCCACTTCTTGCTTTATCAGCAGTCCTTCCGGCTCGATGAAACGAGCTTCCTTCAGTCTCTGGTCGTCTCATTACCGAAGCAGCCATGGCGATGGTTTGTGGTCTCCACCACAGCCAAGATTACAAGTCTCCGACCAATCGATCGGAGGCAACCGACACGATGTCAAGCCGGGTGCGACATGATACGTAACGCACCGACTATGAGTGAACCTCAGAGATTGCTGATGTTGATTCGCTGTGGCCGCGCACGCCAGCACGGCGTCTACTGTAATACCTAATTTGGGCAACATTCAACATGTTTCTAATACGGACACGGGGAGCAAATGCTATCTCACCTTTACAGTCAGACCTGGACATCTTGGCACCCAAGTTCGACTGGATACCTATAAGGTATACGTCAAATATTATGCGCAATAGACGGTGAAGGAGGTGTGCGCTTGTGCGTCTGAGTGTGACAAGGTGTCAGCACTTGTGCAAGAATCGCGATAGCCGCATGAAATGTTTGCAAAGTATGCAGCCTGCATCACATCGCTTATGGCACTCGGGCTGACTGTGATTGAATCATGGCCTCCACAGTCGAGTCTCGCTGTGCCCTTCACATCTGAGTAAACCGAAGACAACAGGATAGAACCATCGATTCAGCCCGTCTTGGTGGTTGCCAGGGTTAGACAACCAGAAAGTGGGCAAGCTGCTTCGCTCAAGAAAGACTTGACCGTCTCGTCACAGACCTGTCCTGAACCCTTTCCTCCAAACCCATCTGGGCCTTCCTGTTGGCTGCAACTCACCTCATGGCGAGCCAATCAGCCTGAGAAGGTCGCCTGGGTGCCATTACAGTGGGTGGGCGTGTGGGTCACGGCGGTAAAGACACCCGAGTGGAGGGCGACACTGGAACTGGAACTGGAACTGGAACTGGAGCGGGTGTGCGAACAGATGGCGAGGCGGTCGGTTGGGCTACTGGCTTCGGCTCACTGTAGCGTCTGTCACCGATCCATACTGTTATCCAGCAGAGCCTGGTTGAGACTTTGGCGCTTTCTCTTTTCGTTCCCCACCTCAAACACACGCCCCGCAACAAGCGCTACGCCAGAATAAGGGAGTTGAATGGTGCAAAAAAAAAAAAAAAAAAAACCACTTTGACCGCCGTCGGAGCCGACGATACACTTGCCTAACTTCATGACGCCTTATCTGTACATTCGCGACGTAGAGACGAGACTAGACAAGCGGATCGGTCCCGGGCAAAACTGGGGTAATAAAGTCTACCAACAACGCATTCTGAAAGTGTCATTACGAGTTGTAATCCCTACCCAAGGTTGGAGGGCTAAAAATATCCACCTTGGGCTACATCCTGGTCCATCGTTATCGGAAGATTAACGTTTTTGTTTCATCCCCTGACCCATCAGAGGAACGAGAGCAAAATTTGGAGACTGCCAGAACCAGAATCTGTACCCGACGGTGCTGCATTGCATTGTTGAAAGGGAGGTACATCTCGCAGTATTGAGTCGAGTATCTCTAACGCGGCCCGCGCCATATCCCTACGCACACAAGTCTGTATCCATTACGGGAAAGAGTCTATGCATACCAATTTGAACATCGCAGAGGACGCCAGAATGAGACTGGTGCAGGGTGAGCATATTAGTTGCCGTGAATTGTGGCGGGCGCACGGGAGCTGACAATGAGATGTGGTGGTGCAGTGGGCAGAATATCCTCCTGCTGATGGGGGAAAAAAAAAATCGTCGACAGGGAGATGACACCTGGTCTAAGTTGCCCATTATAATTTCAGACGAAAGCCTGTGACGTTGCGCTTGGAGCTGCGCCAGGCTGACTGACTGGGCTGGCTCTGCTGAAGAACGGAGTTCAGAGCCGAGACATGGCTCAGAGCGAGCCCGAAAATGGGACTGTCTCCTCTCTAATCTCACACCAACAGTGACCGTTGACCAAAAGAAAAAAAAAAAAAAACCTGCTTCAGTGAGTGCACTGCCGCGTTTGCCAACGAAGTGGCGGCTGGGAGACACGGGTCGACGCGGCGTTAATACGAGACCCAGCGATGCTAATCAGACAAGCCCAGCTGCTTGACGTTGACAGCAAAGGCGTCGCACTTGTTTGGGGATTTTTAACTGCCACTTGACCACTTGGATTTAGGGTGACTTCGCTAGATGTTAGACGCGGACCAGGAGGAGGTGGGATTGGAGTAGGAGGCGAGCGGGCCGTCGACCTGAACGGCACAGGGTCCTCCGTTTCCAATCTTCTCCAACTGTATCTTTCATTGGTTGCAACCGTGATCAACCGCGTCCATCGGCAATGCTCAACAGCTCATCAGCTCAAGGCCCTGCACCTCATGTCCGTCCAATCTGGTCTGGTTGGCGGCATCCCTCCTAGTCTGTCAATTACAAGGAATCCTGATTACAACACTGCTCACCCACCCATGTGTAGTCTGGCCGAGCACACTGGCAGAAAATTATGTCGCGGATGTCAATGGCTGCCTCCGAAACGCCCACAGCACCGCTGTATCCGTAGCCTCACGAATGGATGCCAGTGGTGAAAACAGGGCCCTGTTTGACAGGGAATTCCCGCGTGGGCAAATGCTATTTCTGAAGGTTGGGGTGGATGAAAGGACCAAAGGTTCGACCTGGGTCGCTTCGGTACCTATGTTGGTCGTCTCTGGTCCGGAAGACGGCTAGGATCCTTGATCGAGTCAGGTGGAGTGAATCACACAGGTCTCGGTGTTTCTTTTGTTCGCCTTGCTGAGCGTATCAAAGCTGTTTCCTGCCAGACCTGAGTAACGTGGAAGACCCTTGCCGCTATATCTCTGTAGCACGGCACACAGCAGTTACACAGACAGAGAGCGTGCACATGCATACACCCACACACACACAACCCTTACTACCCTGAGATCCCGGCCAAACAGCGGCCAAAAGGGTTGCAAAAATGGTCAGCCTTTTTAAGAGGGAGACAAGTAGTAAACAGTGTAACGTCAGGGGCGGGTAGCGTTTCCGGATGCGCGAGGAACTTTCTTGGTGAACCGCGAAGGTGTCTGAAGCGTCTTACTTAGACGACCCTCAGTCGGTTGCACCAAAACTGAGGTGGGAGGGGTAGCTAACAGACGATTTGCTGACCAGTTTGCCAGGGAGGGTATGCTAGGAGACCAAATGACAAGTGACATGGGCGGCGGGATGCAGTCCGGCGACGCCAGGCTTTTTTAGAAGGGGAGGGGGAGCGTGGGCGCTGGGCCCGAGTCCTTGCTTTTAGCGACAGGCTATTGGGGGGGGGAGAGAGAGAAAAAGGGTTCGGCGGCTCTTGTCGCGGGCAGTCGCTTGTTTGCTGCCCCAAAAATTCAACGAATTGTAAATGACGGGGATCCACGGCCGCCGTGACAAAGCGGGGGCCAAAAAAAGACGTGCCGTGCGCCTACAGCGTCTTTGCACCCTCATACGTAGTAGAGGGTGATGGACCACTCCTATCGAGATTGATGAGCAACTTTCACGTGGCAGCAGTCATGGCGAGAATGGATAGATCGTGGTTATGTCAATTAAATGTGTGCGTGCGTGTGCATGCCTACACGCACGATACACATCTGTGCTCCGACATACGCCATATCACACACACGTCACAGGAGGAGCATGGCCAGTGAGGTCTGTGAGATGAGGATGTGGCAGCTCAGGGCTTGATGTCGCCAATCGGCCAGGCACGAGCTTTAGGCGCGTATCAGGTCCGAGTAAATGTGTGTCGTGGTGAGAGGGGAAGAATACTATTCTAACTACAGGTTGCCGGTAATACCACGAGACGGGGAGGTGAGACTTGGGCAACGCGTTAATTCCTTGCCACTTGGAATGCGACCTGCCAAACAGGATGACAGCTCGATCTGTGTTTCCCTCCTGAACAGAATGAGGAGAGCGGGAGGGTACTAGGAGAAGATGGATGGAGAAATGGAAGATGCGGAGGCGATGATGATGCGAACGGCACAAACGCGCACCAGCAACGGCGGCGTATGTCAGTTCAGGGCAGGCCAGGTCGGTCGGTTACAGTCTACTAGTACCATCAACTCTCAGTTCAGGAGTTTTTACGGCGTACAGGCGGGAACAACAAAATGCGGGCTGCAGAAAGGTCTTGGGGTTCACGCCCCCTCCATTCCTCGCTGGTGTTCTGTCGACACGCCCCCTCCTTTCTGCATGCCATCCCCCTTGTTCATGCCTCGCTGGTGGATCCAGTACTAGGAGGCGACGACAAACACAGGTGGTTACTGGTAACGGTATCGCGCAAGTATCTAATGGCGGTCGAGTACCTGTGAGAAGCGCCATGCCGCTCCAATATTGTTCGAGTGTTTCCCGAGCTTGGCGATGAAGAACGAGGGGTGGGGGGGATTGGACGATGGGCCTTCATTCATGGACTATGGGCAGTAGACACGGAATAACCCTCCCACATGCCTCTTAGCAACAACATCCAACAAGTACTACGCCGTAGAGGGTATTCTCAATGTAAATTTTGGGCAGGGAGTAGGACATCTGCGGGAGAGCGATGGAGAGACCAGGACCAGGACCAGGACTGGGGCCAGAAGAAGACGGGATGAGGAGTCCTGAGAACTTCGAGAAACGGAGATGGGTACAGGATACAAAAGTAATGAAGCACCCGCCGAGACCCTCGTCTCGTCCCTGTTACCCCGGGAGGCATTCCACATTCCCTTGCAATTCTGGTCGCGCACCCACGTAATTCGAACCCTTCCGTTCCGCCTCGAATCTGAGCTGAGCCGGCGGGAGAGCAAAAGAAAAAAGAAAAAAAAAAAAAAAGAAGAGAGGAGAGAGAGGAATAAGAGAGAAGGGGGAAAAAAAAGAAAGGGACCGCTTCTACGTTTAACGGTAGCCCTTGACTGTTTCTCTCTCTCGCCTACAGATTGAGCCAGTCCAATCCTATTCAGGCTCTTCTTTCCACAGCTACGGAATACCTTGTCTCGAGTACCTGACCTCGAGTAGACGCTTTTAAGCGTATCTTACTGTTGGCTTTGTCGAGTACCTTGGTCCGATTAGATACCAAGGCTCGACCCGACCACTTTCACCTGAGGTTCGCTACCACATGATAATAACATATCCCCCCTCTTCACCCCCCCGTCGCACTTTCACACTTCTTGTCATCTCACCCTTTTGCTCATCCCACCCGTCAACATCCGACACTACCCAAACTCTCTTTCCCGCAATCTCATAACCTAACTCATCAGGCAGACCCTCTTCTACACGCGCACTCTCTGTCCTCGCATCACGGGCTTGAGCAGAGGAGGGGAGTTTTTCTTTTTTTTCTTTCTTCTTGTTAAGGTCCAGCAGATAAGTTTCGAGCTACGCCTTTTTACAAAAACCCAGTGTTTTGTTTGCGACAGACGCGATTTGGTTTGCATAATAGTCGACTATTTATTTGCCACCTGGAGAACCATCCCCCCTCCCCTCATTTCTTTCCCCCGACAGGCGCAGCATAATCGCGCGTCAAAAACGCTCAAGCGCCGCCAGACAAAGCAGCCATCATCCCTCGACTCGGATCAAACCACCACAAGAGAAGAAAGGACGAGGTATACTTTGGACACAAAAGCCCCGGAGTAACGACACAAGAGGAACGAAAAGAAGAAAGCAAAAAAAGCAAGGCGTCTCTTTTTTAACCTCTTCCTTTTTTGGTTAAAAAGAGGAAGAGAAAGAAGAAGATTTTACGGCGCGAGAGAGAAAGAGAAGCCGAGAAAAGACGAAAAAGAGGGAAGAGAAGGTCATTGCGATTGCTTCTTCCACCTTTTCTTTAATCATCTGCATTCTCAACGCCCGACAACAATAGCGGCAACTTGACATCGCCGAACGTTTCGACTCATTCAAATCGCAGGACCTGAATATTCTTCTGCCCATCTACATAGGGGACGGAGAACAACCTCATCCACCCACCCACATTGTTACCCCCATTCGAGGTAGATCGCAAGCAATCAGCGGAGTAATTTGTCTAGGCTCGAACCCCCGACCTAGCTGGACGCAAACACACCCTTGGGGGCCAAGAACGACCACGCATGCACAGATTGGAACTGGACTCAATCTGGTGCATCAACGTTTTCCGAGGTGTCGAATCCATCTTGCAGCACCTTGCAGCAGCCGCGCCGTCCGTCCGTCTTTCTGGCAAGGCAACAGGCTTAAAACCATACCTACAGGGATATTTCATGAGAGAAACATAGTACTAGAAAGTGAGTGAATCTCTGACGTGTCACACACACACACACCACACACACACCCAATCATCGCTCTTCTCACTGCTTGTTCTCCATCTTCTCCTCATCTCTCCCTCTCATCATCTGCATCTAAAGGAGGGAAGGCCAGAAACTCTCTTGTACGGACTCGAGCTTCCGTCCAGACCGGAGACACTGGGTCTCCTGTTCCCATCCAATTTCTCTCACACACCTTCATACACCAAGGGCTGCACAGCCTCAGGTCTCAGCGGCACCTCTCTCAATTTCTGCCCTTGTCCACCCCCGGAGCGGGACACCGTTCTCGCTCGTCGCACGTACCTACTGACGCACGCGCGCACAGCCCAGCAATTGTTCATCTCACACCCCCCCGCCCACTCAGGAAAAAAAAAAAAAAGTCCATAGCTTAAGCTCCCGCGTCCTCCGCGCGCCGTGCACCGTAGTAGCGACAGCGGTACCGTCAACGGTCGGCAAAAGTGAGGGTCATCGTCTGGTTTTGATAGCTGGCAGCTACTTCCGCAGATCTTACGAGACGCCCCCCAGGAAAACAGAGAGAGGGAAGCAAGGGGAAGAAGGGGAAAAAAAAAGAACCAAGACCTCTTACCCGCCCGCCCCCCCCTCCTCCCACGACAAGCGAAAGAACGATCTGGTTGAACCAAAACCCAAGTTCCAGTTCTTACTGATCCGAACCGCCGCCCCGAGTCTCGACCCGCCAAACTCTCTGAACCCGGAAGACATCGAGGCGCCACCCTGTTTGAAAAGCCGTTCGCTCGCCTCAGAACCCTAGCCCAGCTGCGCTACCGTGAGCTGCAACGCTGCCAGGTTCATTGAGTGCTTCTGCGGCTCTGTGCCTCATTGAGAAGACGTTCCCCAAATCTTTCTCGGCCCGAATCGCTGATTCTGGCATTGATTGACGCGCGCGCCCAGCTGCGCACCCTTTCCTGCGAACCTCATCTCGCGACAACTTTTCCTTTCTGCCGAAGCTCCCTGTTAATTGCTCCTGCACCACGCGACGACGACTGTCTGCCGTCACTGTTGATCAGCTGTCGCTCGCGACGCCCTCAACTCACCAACACCAAAACACCACACCTTCTCCCACCTCTGGTCTCTCCTGCACGGCTTCAAGCGACATCGCGGTTCTCAACCTCCCGCGCCTGACTGGTGAGGTGCGGCGCTGAACCATGTCGGCCTTCACCGCCCTTAATGGGGGCTCACCACCAAAGACGTCAGAACCGTCAACCCAACCCGCCGATGCAAACAGGGCATCGCCAGATGAGCGCACCAATGGCACAACTGCACATTCTGAACCCAAATCATCCACCACTGCAGAGCCCTCAACCAGCCAAAGAGAAAGCTGGGCCGGCCCAAGCCAGGACAGGTCACCGTACCACTCAACTAATTACCCTGATGTTGATGGCACCCTCAAGAGGAAACGCTCAGACTCACCGCCGCGGAGAGATGCTCCCTCAACTCAAGAGAGATCTCCAGACGCGGTAACTCAACCTCGTCCACCAGAATCACGTGATCCGTATAGATCGCCTCCACGCGATCATCGCCCTTTCGGTGAGCGCGAAGAACAGCGTGAACAGGGTGATTCATGGTATTCCCGGGACGGGCGTGACAGAGAAGACCGGAGCTACTATGACCAGCCTTCCACGACATCCGCTGAGGGCCAATCCGAGGAACAGATTGGAGAAGCTCTGAGGAGGGCAAATCAGATGGACAGCCAGTGTGACTACGACAATACCAGCCCTGATGGCGATGACAGAACCATGACTTACAGCCCATACACGCCTACCAGCGGCTCTCGCGACCCTGCGCTGCAGTCTGACCCCAAGAAGAGGAAACGTAACTTCAGCAACCGCACCAAGACCGGATGCATGACTTGCCGTAGGAGGAAGAAGAAGTGCGACGAGCAGAAGCCAGAGTGTGAGTCTCATGGTCTCTCCAGTTCCTCAATGGCACACTGGGTACTAACTCTGTTACAGGTAGCAACTGCATCCGCGGTGGCTTCGTCTGCGCAGGATATCCACCTCAACGCAACGCCGCATGGCAGAAGCCTGACAACAAGGCCGCTGCCATCCCGCTGGAATCCAAAGATCCGAGCTACGTTCCGCCTGGTGCTTACGGTATGCCCCAACCTCAGCCGCAACCTCAACCTCAACCTCAGTCCCAGCCCCAGCCCCAGCCCCAGCCTCAACCTCAGCATCAACCCCAGCACCAAACCCAGCACCAGCCTCAGCATCAGCCCCAGCCTCAGCCTCAGCACCAGCAAGCCCCTTACGGTAGCCAACCTGCCATTGGACAGAGGCGGGAGCCTTTGCCTCATTATCGAGGACAGCCGCTGAGAATAGACACTCCGCAAGGTCGACCTATAATGACGGATGACGATCGGCCAACGGCCTCGACATTATCAACATCCGTGATTTCGAACCCGTTATCTGGGTCGACCTTGACTCCTTCGACGATACCTAGCGCGAATAGTGCTACGAGTCCCGAGAATAGCAAGTTGTCTCCTGGCAACCCCTATAACTTCTCCTCGGCGACCCAGAGCCCGCATCAACAAATACCCTACGCCGAAAGAAAAGAATACCAACGTGTTCCGCCCCTCCACGATCTCAGCAGAACTGCCAACGATCCCGACACCCCCCACCCAGCCCCCACGCTACCTCAGATCAATATCCTGCACCCGACGAGATCAAACAGCCCGACTTCCCAGCCACCGGTGACAAGCAATGTCCAGGTCGCCGCGCAGCTAGCACTCTCGCATACGCAGTTCTCCGGGAACAGCCGGCCTAGAACACAAAAGGAGGAGATGCTTTCGGGCAGACAGTATTACCCCTTCGACAAGGAGCTTGTGCTGGAACGTGAGCGTTGCAGCGCAGCCTGCTGGCGGTTCAACAACTCTACGAACCCCAACAATGGCGTGTCGCCGAACGAGAGAGCACGCCTGTTCCGCGAAATCCTGCAGCCACGCGACCCCATACAGATTTCGCCAACGACCGCATCCCCCGTAACAAACGTCGGTAGGGTGGGTGAGAGCGTGGTGGTTGAAGCGCCTTTCGTCTGTGACTACGGTTACAACATCACCATCGGACAAAACGTCATTGTCGGGCGCAACTGCACCATCATTGACGTGTGTGAGGTCAAAATCGGAGACAACTGCCACATCGGACCCAACGTGAGTATTTACACCGCCACGTTGCCCACCGACCCCAAGCGACGAATGGGAAGCAAGGGCCCGCAGCTCGGCCAGCCGGTCACTATTGAGGCGGACTGCTGGATTGGTGGAGGAGTCATTATCCTGCCCGGAAGGACAGTCGGAAAGGGAAGCACCGTTGGTGCTGGTTCTGTCGTTACAAAGGTATGTTGCGAGGCTTCTTAAAACCTGGAAAAGCACTTTACTGACTGACCTCTAGGACATTCCCCCATTCACTGTCGCTGTCGGCAACCCGGCGAAGGTGATGCGTGGCATCGGCCCTTAAGCTTTCGGTTATCTGCTCAACACTTTACGTCCCTTCTTTGCTGCTATGATACCCAGCTCATAATACAGTTGTGTTTCCCTGTACAAAAGCGTGTGTATTTCTTTTACATTGTTTTCCTTTATTTCCTATTACTTAGTACCCTTTTTTTTTTTTCGAGCCAAGCGCACGGAGCAAAGTGGAGAATTTTTAAAAGAATCTGGCGTTCTTAATAATATGGTCTTTCCCTTCCAACGGGACAGCTCCAGACTCCGGCAAAAGAAAGAGATCTGGTTGGGGAAAAGTTTTAAATGTTGAATGTCTTAGCTCTGGCAGCTAGTGATGAGGCGAATTGGCTGGTTTTATCCATTGCGTCTTTTCGGCGGATCGGGGAGATGTGGAAAGAGACCTTCGCAGTCTATTTGATTTGCGTGCGTGCGTGTGTGTCGTGCGTGTGTGTCGTGCGTGTGTGTCGTGCGTGTGTGTCGTGCGTGTGTGTCGTGTGTATACGTGTGGATAGCCTCTAGCTAGACGAATTGGGCGACTGCCTGATGTGACGAATGAAGTTGAATTGAAAAGACGACTTTGACGATCGACTTCCCATTTTGCTAAACGCAAAGTGCCCATGGTGAAAAAGTCAGTGGTATATACCTTTGCCATTACATTTACCCTGACAAGATCCGTAACAGATCTACATATGTCAATAGGAGTGAGGTTAGGTTAGATAGAGGCCCTGGGCGTGTCATACGTGAGTTAGTAGATCTGAGCCGCCCCGTAAATTCTCAATATCCCCCCTCCCACTTTTCTTAAAGAGAACTTGATAGGTTCTTGGGCTCATGATATGCGCCAAAACTCAAAAAAAAAAAAAAAAAAAATAATGGGATTAAGCTACGCAAAGCATAACCTCGGGAGGGTCAAGATCTATAGAGAACTGGAATTGGGACGACGTCAAATGGACCAGACGGGGTCTCGGAGGGACTAGTTCCAAAAACGGAAGGTTCTTAACTCCGGGGGGATAACACCAGCTTCATCAAGCTGCCAGGCAGAAACATTAGTTGGTCATTTGTATGGTCCAATTCAGCTAGTCAGCTTCCATGAGCATGAGTTCCCCCAATTTTCAAAAGTCTCCTTTCTCATTTACACGGAGACGTTTGACTTTCCTTAATCAGGTAGTCCCCCGTCCCCGTCCGCTTTCCCACCCGAGTTGACTGACCCGGCCGGCCGCCGGCGTTACCCACCATGTCAGACATGACACACTTCACCTCAGTCTTTCGTGCCCAGTCGCTCCATGATCGACATCAGAAGCGCGTGATCAAACGTAATCGTCAGCCTGTATCGTGTCTGGCCTGCCGCGCCCGTAAGCTGAGGTGTGACCGCGCGCAGCCATGTGGAGCGTGCACCAAGCGAGGCGACGGGGATGCATGCAAGTTTGGAGCTGGTAGTCCCGGCGATGCTGTCGGCGACAAGGTAATTGACGGTGGAACTGCTCTCCGAAACCACGATCCGAGGGGTAAAAATGAAGTGGGCAATCACGGGGGGCAGCCACGTCAGGAGGTGCAGTTCCGTCTCCAGAAACTGGAAGACTTGGTCCACGATCTGGTGAAGAGGAGCGCCGGTCCGGCCAAGAATCGGAACGGCGCCGTTGCTCATGATGCTCCGACTCCGCCTGACTCGGAACCCGGTCGTGGCAAAGGATCCCCGGTTTCGGCGCCGGCAGATGAAGAGGAGACATACTACGGCGCGACCCACTGGACCGCGCTCTTACATCACATCCGCGAGATCCAGACGGCCCTGAAACCGGACCACACGACCCCTCCAGAACCGCCGGAAGGCGGTGCATGCTCCATTGGCCCCGACTTCCTTTTCGGCGCCGTCTCGCCCGCGATTTCCTTGAAAGACGTCGTTGCTAATCTGCCCCCGAAACAAGACACAGATAGGCTGCTGGGCGTCTACTTCCAAGCCCGCTTCACGGCCGTTCTCTTCATCCATACCGGCCGCTTCCAGCGTGAATACGAAACCTTCTGGACGGACCCCGAGAGAACGAGTTTCCTCTGGATCAGCATGCTCTTCTCCATCGTCGCCATAGCGACGATCATCGTCCGCGGAAAGGGTAGCGTTGGGGCGCTGGGGCTGAGCAGCACGCTCAAGGAGCCTTCAGCGTATAACAATTACGCGATAAAGTGCCTTATCAAGGGAGATTACCTCGCAGCCAAAATGTACTCTGTTGAAGCGACACTAATGGTTGCTTATACGCGAAATGTCGCAAGTAAGGACCTGGACCCGAAGCTGTGGAACATGTTCGGCGTCGCGATAAGACTCGCCCAGCGGAGGGGTTATCATCTCGAACCGAAGCACCTTCCGCGTTCTATCACGCCGTTTGACGCTGAGATGCGCCGCCGTACGTGGTTTTACTGCGAGGCGTTTGACCTTCTGCTATCGTTCCAGCTAGGTATGCCTGCCATCATACACGAGGGCGACAGCGATGCCAGTGGGCCAGGGAACCACCCCGACGAGGACTTTGACGAGTTCATGGTATCCATGCCTCCTCCTCGACCGCCGTTGGACCCGACGCCAGTACTGCACTATCACTATAAATCCAAGCTCTGCCGGATTCTGAGGAGAGTTATTAGGCATGCGCTTGCACCTACCGAGCCCGCTTATGCGGATACCTGCGCTCTCGATAAGGCATTGCACTGCTGGCGCGCCGAGCTGCCCGCATGTCTCGTCGTGAGGCCCATCAAATCGACGAGCTTTTTGGAGCAGAATTACACAATAATGCACCGGCTCATGCTGGAGTTGATGTACAGCAAAGCTCTCTGCGTGCTCCATCGTGCGTATTTAAGCCGGGAAAAGAACCAGCCATGTTATGCAAAGTCGAGGGAGACATGTCGTGGAGCCGCCCTAAGAATTTTGGAGCTGCATGAGGAGTTTGACCGCGAGTCAAGCCCAGGTGGGAGGTTGTTTGAGGACCGGTACATGCTCAGCAGTCTCACACTGCATGATTTCATGATTGCGGCCATGGTTGTCTGTTTGGATCTGATTGAGTGTACGGATACCAGGTATGCCCGTTCGCACGAACAAATTGTCGGGTGCCACAGGTGCTGACCGAACAGTGACGTGGAATACGAGAAGAAGATGAACTCGCTAAGGACGGCGAGTAGGATCTGGTCGCAGCGGTCTAATTGCTCTAGAGACGCAGCACATGCTTCTGCGGTGCTGAGAGCGATGCTTCAACGGTTGAGCCACCAGAAGATAACAAACCGGGAGGAGGGTTTAGCAACAGCTCCGAACGTGGCCACTGGTGCAGGCCTAGCCCCTTACGAAGGAATGACTCTCCCAAGCGTTGAGTTTGGTGATATGGGTGGAGGTTACGATCAATTACAGGGCATGGGAGTGTATCAGGGTGATTCTGTCGACTTCATGGCCCTCGACAATGCACTCAATGATCCTGCTAACTTAGACTGGGTGAGTCTAAAGTATTAAAGACTTGAGGTACATGTGCTGACCGGATTTGCAGAGTCTCCTAGACCAATATCTGTCGATGAACAGTAATGGACAGCTATCAATGGACCTGTCTATGTGAGGAACTTGGCCGAAAGGGGACTTGAGGTATAGAGAGGCCATAGGGTCTCAGCGGATAGTGAGGTATAAAACGTTTGATGCAGAGCCAGGGCTATTCTACAGTGTGAAAGGGTTAAAAGAGTTCGGACCACCGGTGTCGAATTGGTTCTACATCTCTTGATGCACACACTGGGAACTCTCGCTTCGATCAATTGGGAGAGGGGGAGTGTTCTGTAATCGTTTTTCGTTGATAACTGGGGATTTGAACGCTTGACCTTGGCGACTGATCGCAACACAACAGGTTGGCCTGAACCCCTACGCCTAGGGGCCGCTCCTGTTGCCGGTGAGATCTTTGAATTGTTTGGTCGTAGAAGTAGATTGACCGTGATGATTTGTTTATTGCGAGGAAGGAAAGAAGGAAGAAGCGGATGGACTGGTGGTTGGTAGAGAAACATAGGATGGAAGATGAGATGGCAGGTGTCTTATTCACGGAAGGTTCGACACGTCGAATTAAAATGGGCCATTGCACTCGAGCTACGCTTAAAAAGATCAGCCTGGATAACTCGCGGTTTACAAAAGGAAAAAGCTCATAGTTTGTAACAGTGGAGGGTCATGATACCGTCCAGTAGACTGATGAAGCTGACGACTACCAAAGCCTTGTTCAAGCCCTGACGGAAGCTTTTATGGGTAACCCAAATGAAGTGTCCTTGATAAACAGCTTATGTTCATGTCATGAGTCCCTTAGAGACGACCATGTTCTACATCATGAAAATTACTTTCCTTCTTTAACAGTTTAACTACGAAAGTCGATCACGTCATTCCCAATGCTCTTAACGGAGAGATCAGTTAGGAATAAGACATTCAGTGAGGGAAATGTATATGGAAATCCGTTCTATTGTGTCATCGGAACTAAGGCTTAAGGCAGCACTGACTTATTCTGCGCCCGCTCCCCAGCGTATTTAATACCGACCAAAACTTCCGTGGTCCCCAACAGTGCGCAATGGGCGAATGTGAGTGATCCGGGCTAATGAGATTTGTTAACTGCAGTACTCTTAGCTAAGTGATTCTAGACTAAGTGGCAAAATAGCCACCACGGCAAAGAGGCCCGTAGCAAAGTTGTTCCCAGTAGCAATAACAGCGGACCGGGGTCTCAAGAATGACACCCAATTCTCCCAACTATTGTGTCATTCATCATCTGTTGCGAATGCCTGTAACAGACAAGCCCTACTTCACTTAGTGTTCATAAAGGCCCAGATAAGCAGGCATGTTGAACAGAACAAGAGTGGGTATCTATTTTCTCTGACCAGCTGCCATTTCTATTGTACATCATTTTTTACATAAGACTCATCCGGTGTCACATCCAGGTACTCGAACCTCTGAGACTTTTGCCCTTCCTGCTCTTCCTCCTCCTCTTCCTCTTCCGCCTTCAGCTCTTTCCTGAATCGTTGCCGTTCACTGTTGCCCCCGATTTCTTCTTGGCGACTTGTTATCTGCTGTAAAGGGTCGCTTTCACCCCGTGCCACAGGTCTGCCCTCGCCATGAAGAGAAACGTTGTTTCGTTTTGCGGTCTCCACCGCAGCCTTCTTAATCTTGTTGAAGTCGATCGTTTTCTGCATCTGCACAAACGCCCTCTCCTTGTTCACTAGTCTGGAGAAACCCTTCAGCGTGTGCGTGCTCGCCTCATAGCCCGCATCCTCGAGTCCTTGCAGCGCCTGGACAGTCTTTCTGACGTCCTGAATCCCTGCATAGCCCGATATGAGAGTGTTCCAAGTGACGACGTTTGGCTTTACGCCATGCTTCTGCATCATCTTGGAAATCTGATTAGCAGACTCCTTCTCGCGGCTGAACAGAAAACCAGCAAGGAGAATATTCCAGGTATAAATGCTTGGAGGTGGATGGATTCTTGGGGCCTCGTTCTTTATGTCTTTCGTGGAACTCGTGTGATTGGCCCGCTCTTCAAGTGTATCCCTAAGCATATCGCCAACGATATCCAGTGCCGGACGCTGCATGCCTCGACTCTCCAGCAGAGCCTTGAGAATGACATCGTATATGTAGGTGCCCTTCTCGCGAACGTGCTGCAGGGCCACTGGGTTCTTTTGGAGAATCAGCTGTCGAAAGTAAGCGTACAGCGAGATGAGCTTGATCGGCTGTGAGAGGCTTTTAACAAAAGCGATAAACATGACGCCGAGAGTCGCGCCCGTTGGATCCAGCTTGTTTGGTATGGCGGAAGTGGCCGCCTCAAGAGCGGGGAAAAGGCGAGGAGCCGATCGCCAATCGTCGGGCATTCGTGGGGTATGCAGGCGAGCATAGAGAGACAAGTCCATGGGAATGAGTGCTTGCAGCGGCGCAAGCTTGAAGGCTCTCATGTAGAAGAATAACATGGGCCCGAAGGCTGGGATGGAGTTTACGTTGCCCCTCTTCGCCTTCTTTTCTCGCGCTTCTTCTTCAGAAAAATGAAGAACAGAGAACAGGAGATCGTTCAAAAAGACGACGTCGATGGCACCACGCTCAGCGGCGTCCTCTACAACATGATTAATAGTTGATGCCGAGAGTGACCTCTTCGCACCGTCCAGAAGGGTAGAGAATAAGATCGGATCCGGCTCAATGTTGTGTCGTTTCATAACTTCGAAAACACGCCAGGCTCTTTCAGGCTGACCTGACACGCAGAGGTTTCGAATCATGGCCGTATAGCTGACCATATTAGGAGTAAAGCCGTGTTCTAGAAGAAGGCCGAATGCATCAGCGGCCGAAAAGTGGTCTCCGATGTCAATGTCCTCGGGCTTGGCAGACAAGATGGACGTGCAAAGGCTTCGCCAGCGCGTCTTTTCGAGGTCTGCTCTGCCGGCCCTAATGGCTTCGATGACTATATCGAGTGCCATTTGCTTGTATGAAGAATGGCCAGCAAGCTTATCAGCGATGGAAAGAAGAGTGTTCTCGTGTATAGGATTCTGCCGCTCCAGCAGGAAGTGGTATAAGGCTTCTATGCGCCCAGGATCGACGTTCTGTGTAAGATGAAAGATGGTGTTTTGCCGCAAGCGACCACGACCATCAGAAGAGCGGTCGAAAACTTCGATGGTCAAATCGCAAAGAGATTTAGCGTGGGATTGGAGCTGTTCTACTGGGAGTTGCTTTTGCCATCTTGCGAGGAAATTGATGACATCGTTGATGGCATAGCCTGGCAGCGTGCATTCCCGAGTGGTGGTCTCAAGGAAAACCAGTGCTCGATCAGGACAAGACCATAAAGCAGAAAACATAAGAGTATGCCATACATCCTCTTTCTTCTTGTCATCCCATGAACTCCATTCATCAATGGCACTTTCGATAGATTCGCGCTTCAGAACGCGATCCGTACCGTCTGGCATCTTTGGTCGCTTCTCCACATCGCCAGTTGCCATATACCCAAGAAGTTGAGACAAGTTGCGCCTCCATTGCTTCCAAGTCTCGATTTGATCGTCCGAGAGGTGGTGCCTCAGGAAATTCCATTCCCGAGCTCTGTCAATCTCGTCGCGAGCCCAGACTTGCGCCCATTCTTCATTATACTTGACAAGTTTCCCGACTTTTGTTGCTTCAAGCTTAGCTGCAACCATATCCTTCCGCCTTTGACCCTCCGATATTTGCTCGGAATTACCACTGCCGTTCCGGGATCTCGAATGTCGATTGCCATGACCACCGATCGGTTCGCGGATTATGGGCTCTTTTGAATGAACTCGTCTGAAGGTTATGTTTTCACCTGCCTCGGCGGTGTTCGCAATACTTCGAGACATCAGCAGGACTCTGCCAGTGCAGTTTGGCCGGGGGCCATGCTGCTGTAGGCGTCGAAGACATGGCCGGCAGGTGAACGGCCGCAACATGGGTGAAGAGCCGGCGCAGTTGAATCAGTCGTTTGCAGTTGCGGCAACTAATAATAGTTCGACCACCGAGATCAAGTCGACCAAAGTTCAAAATCCAGTGAACTACAGGCTCTTTGGTTGAAATCGCAAGGTCGTGACCGTTACGACAGCATCGAAAGTTTTGAGAAGACGGACTGGACCCCTGCGGCGCCAGTAGCCACTACGGAAGCGCGACCACAATGGATCAAAAGAGACCGTGCATTCCTTAGCGCATTCCAGCTGGGAAGTCTCCCGCTGCGCCGGGCTGCGGTGGCTTCCTTGCCAAATTTCAGCCCCACTACTTACAGCCACTCCAGAGTACTATTTGCTTGACCAGAACGCGACGTCGGAAGTATATATCGGTTCACCCGACTTCGAAAATCCCAAATACGCATCTCTTGTGAAGATAACGAATACTTGCAAAATTCAATTAAAACGCCGCCATGTCAAGCTCACAAACGAGTCTGGGCGCGGCCGTCGATGACCGCAAGGCTCGCCTCGCGAAGCTCAAGAACCTCAAGAGAAAACAACCCGCCGACGAAATCGTTCCGCCAGAGTCCGAACGCGAAGGCTCCCAGCCGGCAATAGAGTCCGAAGTTGCGAGGATACACCTGTCAGGTCGCAACTACGACCCTGAAGTGCGCGGACCTAAGCTCGGTTTCGAGGCGCCGCCCATACAAGACCTGGAGAAGCCTACGTTGGAGGAGCAGGCAGCAGACATTGAGGCCGATATCAAGCAAAAAGCGGCCGAAGAAGCGCAGGACGATAAGGGAATTGACTTGTTCAAACTCCAACCGAAGAAACCAAACTGGGATTTGAAGAGGGATTTGGAGAAAAAGCTGGAGGTTCTCAACGTCAGAACCGACAACGCCATTGCTAGAATGGTGAGAGATCGCATCACAAGTGCGCAGAAGGCGGCAACGAAGTCGAATCAGGTTGAGGCTGGAAATACAGATGGCGATGCTGCAGGAGTGGATGGAATCGCGTTAGTAGAGGGAGTGCGTGTCCGGGAGAGGGAAGAAGAAGAGGACGAGAGGCGAGACAAGGAGGCAGACGAAGACTTAGTTGTCTAAGCGAAAACACAGTATGCGGATGTTGAAAGTGTTTTTGTATTATGCATTCAAGGAACCTCCTCCGACTAGTCTACAACAATTGATACCCAAGGCTATCTGCCCATGTTCAACGACTGCGTTAAAGCTAATCTCTTGCTGAACGGACTAAGACTGCGCTCGCGTTCAGGTTGTCTTTTTTCAGATCCTCTCTCTGGCCTGTCATTCCTGCCACTCCGTTCAAGACGGTTTTTAGGTCCTCCTCGATATCCTTGGCCTCTTTCACCACCCCTATCTGAACGACCTTCGAATCTTGGGCCACGTCGATGGGGAGATCTGGAAAGAGATCGCCGACTATCTCGAATGTCACCGCTGCGAGAAATGGAAGACTCCCGAGAGTCGGAGGTATCACGAGCAGGTTGACGTTCTTGACTGGGTCTGACAGTCGGTCTTACATAGTCCTCGTCCCTCTCACGATACCTCCTGTTATGAGTTGCAGGAGGAGATCGGCTGCCCGGAGAAAGGGATCTCTGGTGACGTCTGGGCGGCGATTGCGTTTGTCTGCTCATTGGTGACCTTCTTGAGACAGAGCCATCGCCATCACTCTCTGGACTGAGTGATCTTCGCCGGCTGCCTTTGCTTTCCTCAGGTGACCTCTGCCTACGGCGGGCGGGCACGGGTGATGGCGAACGCCGTCTGGCTGGCGGAGAAGCCGAGCGGTTTGTCGATATAGTGGAAACGGAATCAACAGACTCAGATCTTCTGCGTTTGGCGTCTGTCTGTCTAATAAGTTCCTCATCACGCTCCTCTAGTTCTCGCTTTCTGGCTCTTTCAGCCTCCTTCTTGGCAAGCTCCTCATCTGCAATTCCCTTTCTGTATTACTGTGTTAGCTGATACTTTACGATCGATGATGTACACCTTACTTTCGCAGCGAATCATCTGGCGTATCGTTTGTTAATTTGGGCATAAGATTTGGGTTGAGTAACTGTTGAGTTCTCGAGGGGCGAGGTACGTAAGGCCTGGCCTGAGACGACTCCTTGCACTCATACGAATAGTGACGTTCTAGGGAGTTAGCAGAGATTACGATAGGCGGGTGTTGGTAGACATATCTCTCTTGAGACATTTCTGACACTGTACGTTGGTCGGTGTGGCCTGGCGAGGGCCTCCACGTCCTCGGTAGGAATACATGTGCGATGAAAAGTGAGCTAAAGCTGGGTGTGATCGTTGATACTGGTTGCTGCTACTCCAACAGCCTCTGGCAGGCTCGACTATCGTATAAATGAAGATTTTTTGAGCTGCTGCAACAAGACTGATTTAGCCGGGGTCGTGAGTGTATTCAACTTGATACACAGAGTTTGAATCTTTGGAATTGACGGATTGCCCGTCACGAAGCGTTGATTTGTGATTGCTACGAAGCCGTTCCTGGTGAGCCGGGTTGTATCAACTGCATGGGGCCTCACTTCCAGATGAGATTTAGACTGGAGACATCAATGCTAGCCGTGGGCCCTCGACGGGCTCACCTTACGTAAGGATACCAACTGGCAAACGGGAAACAAGGGCCGTCTTGTCTTTTCATTGGACCACCGGATGAGCCAGTGACGCATACCAGCCTCCTTTCTCATGCACCAGCCACACAGTTCAGGTTTTCGTCAGGCTCAGGCCTAAGAATCTACCGAAGCTAAGCCACTTTCGGCCCTGGCTGTGGCCTTTTGTCTCTCGCCAGCCAACCTAGGCCCGAGACCTGTTCAATCCTCACCAGAATCCAGAATTTGTGACCACCCGATTCTTCAGCCTGACGTCCCACACGACGTTGCGGAGGGGATGGCAGCCGTCTGACACCATCTTGTACCAACTTGAGACCGCTGTCCGCTTGTTTGGGAGCTGCCGGCATTTAACTTCCTGTTTCTCACCACGGCCCTGCGACCGAGGAGAACGACCAAGAGAGAGACCTCCACACGGAACGCGAGAGAGGGGACTGAATGAGATAGAGTCCTGTCTCCTGGTCTTACAGGTACTGCGCACCTAGTTATTGCAGTACTACTTTGCACTGAGCAAGCGAGCCAGTTGAGCTAGCTACCGAGAGTAAGTTTAACCAATTTGAGAGAAACTGTCGCTTCTGTTCTCCGTTCTCCAGTTTCCCCATCTTCTTTTCCCTTTCCAGCGCAATTCAAAAACCCACACACAGCTCTGCCAATTCCCTCCCACCAACGTCGTCCACACCACACCACCCACACCACCACCACCCCCTCTCTGGCACCTGCAACGGTTCATCCGCCTCGCAGGCCGCCAAAATTCTTGTCGCCTCGTCAAATCTGTTGTGCGCCCAACTTTCGACTTACTGCGCACAAGCTCTAGCTACAGTCGCTAACAGACAACCGCTAGGCGCAGACCCAATCGAGGCGTCGGACGTCGCCCACTGACCTGTCTCCCCTCTGATCAAGAGGAACGAGACCATCAACCATCAACCTTCGAGGAACATATGAGACCAACGATGACAAGCCTGTCCCAACAATGATCCACGGTACTTCTTTCTCGCTCTGCAGGCCCGCCTTGATCCATTTAGTTCCTTGATTTCGGATACCGTCTTTAATCGTCCTTGAACCGGGATCCCAACTCATCCCGCCGCGCACTGCTGTCTCCAAGCGAGCAATATACCCACCAGACGACCTTCATTTCTATCTCATTATCTGCGAGCAAACTCGGGCAGTTCTAGATATCAAACCCAGCTATGGCCACCGCCCAGATGCCTTCCGACATCCCCAAACCGTCTTTCGCAAAGGTGTGTGCCCTTTCCAGCTGCCGCAGTTACCTATGACCAATAGTCGTCTCATAACTTTTGCTAACAATCGTTGTCACCTCTTAGATCGCTGCTTCAGCATCTAAGGACAATCTTCCTGTTACTACTGTGCGAAGAGTTGCCGCGCCATCCCACGGCCGCCCCGAACAAGCTGTGCAGACAGGCTCCGCCACAATGCCCGCACCTGTTATTGCAAACGGGGCTGATAGCCGCTCGCCTGCTGCCATGGATTCCACGAAATCCACCTCAACTGATATAATGCGTGAGACGGCTTTGCCTACGAAACCTGACACGAGCGATCTCGTTGTTGATGGACTGAAAGATTTGAACATTGGAGCGCGAACGCCGAGTCTTGTCGTCAACGGGACAGGGTCCACGTTTACCGAGAGATCAAAGTCCGTAACTAAGGATGGGTCAGATGACTCTCAGAGAGCTGATTCCAGTTCGGAGCTCGGCACGAAACCCCCCAGTTTAGATGGAAAGAGTATCACTTCAGGAACAACCTTTGCACTGGATGAGAAGGAGTCTCTTCGGCCAGACGACAGCGCCAGCGTGAAAGCTGCAGCTGCTGAGGATGACGACTCGTTTTCGTTTCGAGGGCCAAATCTACCCAATTCCAGAATGGGCTCCGATATTGCTGCACGTGCTAGGGGCATTATCCAACTTGGTGACATGCCCGACCGCCGTCTTGCTCAACCAATTTCCGGAACCCTGAGCCAGGGTATGATTACGCCTCAGAGCGCGTCTTCGGACCAACAACAGCCATCCGCAAACGCTCTGTCGGCCAATTTGCCAGACTCTGCCAATCTCTTAAACACTATCTACGGACAGGCGCCGGATGAGAAGCTCCTGGAGGCGATGGCGTCTCCAAAAGATCGACTCTTCTTATTGCGATTGGAGTCAGAACTTATTAAGTTCGTGCAGAATTCCAAGTGAGTTTGTCAATGGACATATATACTGAATTCCACTGACAGAAGCAGGGAGCCATACATGGATTTTCCTCCTTCCAACTCATTCTGCAGAATGTTGACCCATAAACTGGCTGACTATTATCGAATGACACATCAGTACGAAGCACGAATTGGATCTGTTCGAATTTTCAGAACTCCCTATGCCCGAGTTCCTGAATCACTTGCTAGCATCGCGGCTCCAGAAACCAGTGCTGAGACCCCCCCACCGCCTGCTGTTCTTCCCCGAAAGATTATGCGACGCGGTGAGGATGGAGAGTTCGCCACTGCCAGCGCCTCTCCCTCGAAACCTACTTCAGAAACAGGAAGCGATTCTAAGGACAAAAACTTGGCTGCGAATCAGAAGTATGTTCTGCCATCACTCTTGGGTTATATTTGACTAAGTAAAACAGGTTGTCAAGAGAACAGCGCGAGGAGGCTTATAAGCAAGCTAGAGAGAGAATTTTCGGTAATTCTGAGAAGACTGGCGAGTCAACACCAGGTAAGTACTTGTGGCATAATTACTCAGAATATGTCATTGACGGTGATCACAGACAACGAGGGGGAGAATGGCATCTCGCGAGCCAGCTCTGTCTCAGCAAGGGAGAAATCCAACGCAGGGAAAAGAGGCAAGACCGGAAAACAGAGGCGCGATGATTCAGACAGCTTTGACTCACGGCACAACTACACGCCTTACTGGGGTCCTCAGCAACAGACTTGGATGCCGCAACCTCAGTACATTCCTGTAACTAACCAATACGGGGCACCAGTGCAACAACCCTACTCGAACCAGATGCAGCCCCCTTATAACACCACCCCGACACAATCGTTCGCTCCGATGATTCCCAATGCGGGCTACAATGCTTATCCAAACATGGCGCAAGTATGAAAACTTCTAATGGCGGTTATTGTATCACTCTATTTGCTGACCAGTACTCGCCACAGGCCAACCAATCTCAATTCCAGCCACCTCCTAACACAAATGCCCGGGGATACGGAGGACCCGGACCTACTCCTCCCCAACCTGGCTGGCAGCAAGGCTTCGCGCCGGGCCCGGCATCTATGCCACCTGCAGGTGCTAACGCTGCCTCTTACACTCCGCGAGGCATGTCAGCACCCCCAACACAGAACACCGTTCCCTACATGTATGGGCAGCTGCCAGCCAACGTCAACCCTAATGACCCCAAAAGCCAACATCCTATTCCTGGTAGCTACAACCGGCACGCCTTCAACCCCAAGACGCAATCCTTTGTGCCGGGTGGCGGCATGGCTCCAATGCAGCCACCTCAGCCTCCATTTAGTGCTCCGGGATCCCATCATGGCAGTCCTCAGATTGGCTCGCCTCACCTGGCATATGCCGGATATCAGCAACAGCCAGGTCCGCCGGCACCGTATGGTGTTGTCGCCGGCTATGGAATGGCGAGGCAAGGATCTAATAACTCGATTCCGCCGTACCACGCATCGCCAGCACAACACCCTCACCACCTCAACGCCATTCCGCAAGGACCAGGTCCTCACATCCCGACTCAGCATCCCCCGCAGCATCTCCCACAAAATCCCTCTCCCCACATCCCTAACAAACCCGCCATTCCCCAAGGCCCGGCCGGACAGACGTTCAGCCACCTGCCACACTACGGTAATCCTGCTACTTTGCCGCAAAAGCCAAATATGGGTGTTTAGGTGCGCATTTGACGTTGTTGAAGGTCTCTGGCAGAATGAAAGGCGTATTGGGGTTTTACAAGGTACAGCATATTGGCGTTCAAACGGAGGACAGGATGGCATCAAATCATGTAGGCTATTGCATGCTAGAACACTTACGTACCTTAATTGTCACTCAACTTTCTTCCTTATTATTACGAGCAATGTCAACAGCTGAACATGTGCATGAAAGCGTGAATATCATCATTGCAACTGCCTAGCGCATTCTACCCTAGGCCGTCTATCCTGCCACTGCCATAACGCCATGACGGTTTTTCAAGTGTGGAATTCCTCATGATGCCATGCTTGCTACCTTGCGGCGGAAAATATCAGCATCGCGTGCTGGCTGACTTGCTCTTTCAACCTCCAGTCTCATCCTCCCATTTTATGTTACTGTTCTTCCCGTGGCTTTGCACGAGAATCCTTTGCATCCTTTTTGCAATTAACTGCATTTACTCCGTGGGTTCCCTCGGCTCACGCGGCTCCCGAGGCTCCCTAGGCTCCCTGTTCTGGCCGCCGCCACGACCGCCACCACGACCGCCACGCTTACCACCACCACCACGTTGACCCCGCTGCTCACCCTTCTCGCCACCCTCAGTCGTCTTACCCTCACCGTCCTTCTCGCCGCCAGTGAGGTTAGCCGTCGCCAGCCTTTGCGACAGGTCGATCTGGGTGCGGATGGTGTTGGCGAGGTATGAAACCATAAGAACGTCCTGGATATGGTTGTTGAAGTCGTGCTCGATCTGAGTGGGGTCGACCTTGGGGGCGAGAGAGAGGGCGTTCATGAGATACTGGCCGAGGGCGTGGTTGGGTTCCTCCTCCTCATCGAGGATGCCGTTAACCCATTCGCTAACACGCTCGATGACGTTGGTGCCCGACTCGATGGAGCGAGCAAGGCCCTCGATATCCGAAACAACAGGGGCGACACGGTCCTCGCTGTCCTTTGCCATGGAGATGGCCTCAAGAGCGCTGCGCTCGGCATCGCCGTACATCAACTTGTGGGGCACCTGGATGAAAAGGCAGCTCTCGGCGGCACGTTCAGCGTTGACGGCAACTGGGGCAGAGATGTAGCAGCGAGCCTCGATGTCGGCGGTCGGGTCGGTGCTGATGGTCAAGTGGACGGCGGGGTGGGGGAAGGTGCCGGTGTCCGGGGAGGCGAAGAAGTTCTGAATCAGGGCGGAAAAGGAGTTAAGCTCGTGGGTAGTGGTGTACCAACCCAACAAGGACTCACGCGGAGAGGCCTTGAGGGTCAGGGCGAGCATATTCTTCTGGTAATCGACGTCCACCTCAACCTGATCCTCATTCTCGGTGTGAGGGATGGCGAAGCAGGAGCGCACCTCAGCCTCGGTACCGTCTTCGGAGCGGATACCGACGAGGGCGCCGATGACGCGAGTTGATTGCGTATCGCGGATATCTCTTCGCACGGCATGATCCAGGATGGAGAGGATGGCCTATGGAGGAGAGGCGGGGTTAGCTTTGGGCCGGTCGGATAAGAGATAGATGACATCGTAAAGACAGTGAATGTATGTATATGAAAGCCATGCTAGTATAAGTGTGGCTCAAGCGCAAAAGGACGTTCTGCAGTGCAGGATTGAGAGAGGTGTTCGTACCTGGGGTTGGATGTTGACGGTGAGCGGGGCAATGGTGCCCTGGAGGCCAACCGTCGCCGGCGCGATGGGCCGCGAGAGGTGGAGGAACTTCTCAGTTTCGGCGACAGCCATGCTGGGCAGGTGAAGTTGTCGAGTTTCTCTGGCCTGCGGGCGACGTTGAGGAGTTGTTTTGGAGAAAAGGGGAGAGGAGGAGGAGGGGGGCGGGTTAGGCGGTGGTGCGCGGGCCAAAATTGACTGGTAGTGGATTTTGTCTCGGGACCTTTTTCGCGATGGAAAAGGCCTTCAAATTTCTCGAACTCTGCACCGTACCCTTCTCGTTTGGCGGGTAGGATTTTGCGATTTGTGGTTGGCTCCGACCGGGTTGTGCGCGCTAAGATAAGCCCCGATAAGAGATTAGTGGCGTCGAGTGCCCCGCTGTGGCTAGTAACTAGTGTGGATTTTCTGCAAGGCTGAGTATGGGCGACTTACAACTTTTTTTTGCGACTAGGTGAATGAGCTTTTGATGTCTGCTTCACCCCGTTCACTGTCATTTGGACCGATTTAGAGATAATACTGTGAAAATGGGTCCTCGAGGTAGAGGTCGTGCCGGATTCCGCGGAGGAAGGGGCGGTCCTCGAGGGCGTGGTGGAAGAGGCGGTAGAGGTAGAGGCAGAGGGGGGAATTTTGGTCGCTCATCCCGGTTCGACACAGCTCGCGTTGAAGAGAATGAGTAAATCTCACCGATCCCATTCTGAAATTTTTACATAGCTAACATCGCTAGGTCGTCGGGTTCTGAATCTGGAGAGGACATGCACTCCGAGGTTGAAGAGGATTCTGACGTGTCCATGTCTGAAGATGAGGATGAGGATGAGCAGCCTCAAAATACTCGTCCTTACATGGCTCTTCTTCAAGGCTTTACTGAATCTTCAGAGCCTAGCAGTAAGAGGAGGAAACTCGACAGTGGGAAGCCTGAAAGTACAGCCAACGCTGCTCCAGAGTCTTCAGAAGAAGAGGATGATGAGGAGGAGGGGGAGGCCGGTGGCAAAGATGTGGACAGGGTTGATGAAGCGGAAGAAGATCCTTCAGCCGATCTTGCAGAAGAAGAGGATGAGAGCGATGACGAGGATGATGTCGATGCAACAGATCCGTTCGACAACCACTTTGCAACTCCTGATGAAGATGCCTACACGAAGAAGGTCAAAGCCATTCAGAAGAATGGTTGGACGTTCAAGCGTACCATGTCCAAGGTTTCAAAGGCTGTTGTCACATATCCTCAACAGGAAGCCTCAGACGCACCGTCAATCCCTTCGCCAATCTCAGGCTTGGATAGCCTCAAGCTCAAGCAGAAGCTGAAGGAGTCAGCCTCGAAGAAGATTGCTTCTCTAAACCCTCTGCAGCGGGCCATGGCACCAGTATTGTTCAACTACAACGATATTCTTTACGACAACCGGGACTTCAAGAACTCTGAGGGCTTACGCCAACTTGTGTGTTTACATGCCGTAAACCATGTGTTTAAGTAAGTGTGCCAGACGTAGGTTCAGGGACTATTCTAATATGCTACAGGACCCGAGACCGAGTAATCAAGAACAACTACAAGCTGGCAAAAGAGGAGAACTCTGATCTTGAGTTCAGGGATCAGGGATTCACCCGGCCCAAGGTTCTGTTCATCCTGCCAACAAGACAGTCTTGCCTAAAGATGGTCAACACCATTGAAGAGCTCTGCGAGCCCGACCAAAGGGAGAACAGAAAACGCTTTGAAGAGGCCTATACAGATGACGAAGTTAAGTTCGGTGATGACAAGCCTGCAGACTTCAGAGACCTGTTTGAAGGGAATGACGACGACATGTTTCGTATCGGAATGAAGTTCACTCGTAAGACTGTCAAATACTTTGCGCAGTTTTACAACTCCGATATCCTCTTCGCCAGTCCTCTGGGTCTCCGCATGGCTATCGGCTCTGAAGAAGACAAGAAGAAGATGGACTACGACTTTCTCAGCTCTATCGAGATGGTTGTGGTTGATCAGGCTGATGCCCAGCTCATGCAGAATTGGGAGCATGTCGAGTATATCTTCGAGCACATGAACCTTCAGCCCAAGGACGCCCACGGCTGCGACTTCAGTCGAGTGCGCAGCTGGTACCTTGACGACTGGGCGAAGTATTTCCGTCAGACCGTAATCATCTCTGGCTTCAACACACCCGAACTGACGGAGCTCTTCCGTACCCAATGCCACAATTGGGCAGGCAAGATTCGGTTCCAGGCGGACTACTCCGGCGTCCTCCAACAACTCGGCGTCAAGGCTCGGCAGACCTTCTCGCGATTTGAGGCCAAGTCCATTGAAAAGGAGCCAGATGCTCGTTTCGGATATTTCGTCTCTGCTATTCTGCCTTCCCTCATCAAGCGCGCCAGGGATACCAGTGGCACTCTTATCTTCATCCCTTCCTATCTTGATTTCGTTCGAGTACGAAACTATTTTGCAACGAATCCTGCTGTCGCAGGTCTCTCCTTCGGCACCATCTCCGAGTATGCTGAGGTCCCCGAGGCATCTCGCGCACGGTCTCACTTCCTGACCGGCCGGCACAAGGTGCTGCTCTACACGGAGCGTGCCCATCACTTCCGGCGCTATGCGCTCCGCGGCGTCCAGCGTGTCATCATGTACGGCCTACCAGACAACCCTATCTTCTACCGCGAGATTGCAGGCGATTATCTCGCCCGTAGCGAGCAGGACCTTAAGTTGGAGCCCGGGCAAGGTACCGTCAGGGCTATGTTCTCCAAGTACGACGTCATGAGATTGGAGCGCATCGTCGGTACCCAGCGTGTGGGCAAGATGATCCAGGAGAAGGGGGATACTTTCGACTTTTTGTAGAGAGGGAAGAGCACAGGATAAATATTTGTTGCACCTGCTCGTTAGGCAGGCTAGAAAAGTTGTTGTTTTGCCGTAGTATACATGTATACCCTACACGACCATAATCTATAGACTGGCCAGGTATTTCCCGTTGATGGTACACTGTTCTTAAAAGTTACAGAATCCTTTCGCCACCTCTCCATCGTGCCACATCGCTTTCGTTGCGAGCCCTAACAACTCCTTTATGAAGAGGTTTCCGTTACCTCACCTTTCGCCTGCGCCTTCCTAAGCTTCTTCGAATCCTTATGCACCAGCCGCCTGAATCTGTCGACCATCTCCTCAAAAGCCTCCTTGCCGTCCTTGCGGTACCTTGTCACCTTGTCGACGTTCTTGCGGGTGAGCTCGTTGGACTTCTGGCCCTGAGACCGGTTGAAAGCGACTGCCTTGGCCGTCATGGCAAAGCGCACATCACGGGGTCCATCGACAAGCTCGAGGATGGCGGAAGGTGCTTGGTCGTAGGTGTTTCGGGGCTCGGTGCGGAGGACGCGAGTGTAGCCTCCGGGTCGCTCGGCGTAGCGGTTACGAAGCTCGCCGAAGAGCTTAGGTAGGAGGTCATGAGGAGTCTAAGATCGGTGTATCAGTATCTCAACCTTGATATGTCTAGCTTAAGCACAGCGTGATTTCGTTGTGCGAAGGCGCAGTGAGGAGACGCACGTAAAGAATAGCCTGGGCTTTCCGCCTAGTTTCCTCGTTGTTTCGCTTCGCAAGGGTGATGAGCTTGTCAGCAAGGCGCTGAGCCTCCTTGGCCTTTGCATAGGTGGTGTGGATGTGCTCGTGGGCAACGAGTGAGGTGACGAGACCGCGAAGGAGGGCCTGTCGCGCCGACGAGTTACGGCTCAAGTGCCTGTACTTGACAAGACCTCCCGCCATGGCTGTAGCGTCTCAATCGGTCGTCAAACACGGAGGATATATAGTGTGATTGAGAGAGCTTGCTTGAGGAAAGCTGTGTCGATGCCCTCTGATCCTGCTGGTAGCCGGCAATCGAATGGGCTGTCGTCGGAACGCGATAGCGTTTCTCTCCCAAATTTTTGGCACTTGGCGGCGTAGCCCCGGGAGGTTCCCTGGGAGTGGGTATTTGCTCATTCTGGTTGGCTCAACTGCCACCAAGCGGGACCCCTTTGGCTTGCTACCCCTGCAGTGACCGAAATCCACCCGGAGAGGCTGAAAGTCGCTCGCTCACTGCTGGCAGCCCAGCCCGATTAATTAACGTCATTCCGCTCGAAAGCTCCCGCCCATGACCAAAGACGTCCCGCTTTCTTGAAAGCAGTGACCAACTCAATTCTCTCCGACAACGAACATTGTCGACGTCGCAATATGATACCGTGAGGATATCTCACTTTTCAGAAAGAGTCAGCTACGAAAATACCCGGCTCAAGCGTGCGCATCGGATCTGATTGATCGACGAGTGCAATCATGGGCTTCACCTCTGGATTCGTACGTCTCATCTTTTGCTCCTATCTCCGAGCCTAGATTCCTTACAACACACCAATTCCACTCAATTGGAAAGATGGCAGTATTAACATTTTACAATCATAGACCGGCGGTGTGACCCTCACCTTAGGCGTCGCCTACCTAACCGTTCTCGCCCACCAGCGCAACCGCGAGGCGCAGTCACACATCCTCCGCTCCCAAAAACACGTCCTCTCAACCCTCCTCGAGCCACAGGTCCGCATTCCTCCACCTCTGACACGTTCCGAGCAGGCGGTCAAGGATCGCGAGAATCTCGTCGAGTCAGCCAAAGATCGTTGGAACAGGGAGATTGAAAACGCCGTTCGGTGGGCACAGCGGGCGGATTGGTCTCAGATCCGCGAAGGTCTCGAGAACAGTGCCGCACGGCTGTGGGGAGGCGCCATAGATAAGACGGCTGAGGCCGGCGAGAAGGTTGTGCCTATCGCGAAAGAGGCTGCCGAGACTGCGAAGCAAAAGGGCACCGTGCTCGCGGAGGAGAAGGGCGAGAACCTGCGTCAGGAGGCCAAGAGCGCATGGGAGCGCGCAAGGGAAAAAACGCTCATTGCTGAAGAGGTTGCGCTCGCGAAGGCTGCTGAGGCTAGAAAGGCTCTTGACGCCAAGGCTGCCGAGGCTAAGGCCGCGGTCAGTGAGGCCTTGAAGAAGGGCAAGCAGCAGACGGAGGCTGTGGCTGTCAAGGCACAGCAGGTGGCGAACGTGGCTGAGGATAAGACTACCATCAAAGAGGACGGCAAGGTGTTGCCCGCTCTGTCACCTGTGCAAAGAGCGCTGCACCAACGGTACGAGAAGCCAAGCGGGCTGACCAAGACGGTCAAGGAGGTGCTTGCGGAGCGTTACCAGCGTGTTGACGAGCGGGATAACACACAGCTCAGGGGTATCTGAGTGCATTATTGCATTAGTGTCTCCTCCCCAACAGATTACGGGAGAGGCGGAAGTTGTGGTGGGATTTGTACTACCATACTCAACTTATAGAATGGAAACGGCAAGCCTTTTTTTCTTCTTTGTAGCCAGATATCAAACGGCGATGAGGGATATGACAAAGACAGGTTGTGTGAAGCTGTGTGATACCACTCGACGTTGACAGAGTGTCCTTGCGTGTCATTATGCAGGGCTTGCGTAACGATAACTTCAGATACTCATACCTGAGATGATATTTCTCGTTGTGCGCCGAGAAGGTTTTTTTGTTTTTTATGCCCACAAGCAGAAGTTTAGGAGCTTTTGGATGTTCTTCCCCTTCTTTGAGCAAAAAAAGACATTGTTGCTGATAGCTGCAACCCAACGAGCATCTGTCCGGCATATCTAACTCCGCAACTGATATACGCCATGGTTAGTCAACAAGTGCCGGCACAACCTCAAGCGACCCGACCACGGATGTCACTCTACCGCTACTTCATCCGCCTATGCGATCGCCTCGAGCTCATCCTGCTGCGCTACGTGGACAAGGACCCTTATGCGCAGGGGGACTTTGAAGCTTACAAGAAAGAACGCAATGAGGCATGGGCGGAGGATTACACGGTCAAAGAGGCTGTTTTGACGACGGCTATCGCCACTTCTGGCCCTGAGACAACAATGGCTACAACTGAGTGCCAGAGACCAGTCGAGGGAAACCGCACGCCTCTCGACCCTATAACAACGGAAATAGAAGATCATGCGATGAATGAAGGGAAGGGAAGGGATGTAGAGGTGTTTTCAGGGGTTAGTTTCGGAATAGAGCCGGCGAATTCAGGAGACCAAGATGCAAAGAATGACAGCACTCCTCTAAGGGGCGGGAAAGGTGTAGATGTACCCGTCAAGCGACGACATACGGATGGGGTAAAGCGGCACAACGTTTCAAGGCCGAAAACTTTGCTCTCTGTCATTGAATCCAGACTAAGCGAGGCAAGACGCCGCAAGAGGAAGAAATCAGATGCCAGGCCAGGATACTTCAACCCCGGCCCTTCTTTAGCAGGAGATGGCGGCGCCAGAATGAAGGGAGACGAGGAAGAAGGGGATAAGCTGGTTATGAATGTCCCCACCAACTTATAGCACAGAGATTCAAGAAGCTTCTGTTGACAACGGGCTGTTTGTCATGTCTTTGGGCAACAGAACGCAGTCACGGCAAACAAAGGGCTAAATAGGCGTGTAGAGATAGAGTGCTGTCCAGTGAAAAATTTGACACATTGAAGAGGGACCACGGGAAGACAAACGTTTTGCAGCTTCATGGCAATCGCATAACATCAAATGAAAATTCATGGTATATAGCACAGTAGCGTACAAGCCTGTTCAAGATCACGAACCACCTACCAACCCCTAGATTCCTCTCCTATCCAACAATAGGATATCCGTCACTCACAGCGAGTGTGTTTGTCCCAAGAAAAAATTGGGACTTTTCCCGCCCCCATGCTCAGGGGCCCAAGGGGGGCTAAACTTACAAAAAAAAGAAAAGAGCACAGTACATGTGTGTGAGTGTGGGTGTGTTTGTGGGTAGAGATTTTTGTGAGGTAGGAAAGGTAACCATTCTCTCTCTTCATCCGATCACAGTCCTAATGATGCCTTCGCTGGGTTAGGGTGTACATACTTACCAGGGCCAAGATCCATCTCAATAACGCACCTTTAGCACCTTTGGCACCAAGACCAAGCACAAATTTTACCCAGAAGCCGAGCCCGCGGACCTGCACGCCGTTGCGGTCGAAATCAGGCTTGTCTGCTGTCATGCGCTGCAGACGGGCCAGCTCCTTGGGGGAGTACGGCATGTAACGCACGCGGATAAACTTCTCGATCCAGGTCGGTGTCTGGGCAACCGACCGGCGGTGGGTGAACATGTCGAATGATGCCCGGCCACGGTAGCTACCCATTCCAGATTCACCGACGCCACCAAAGGGCACGGTTGCAATAGAGGCGTGGAAGAAGGCGTCGTTCTTAGTGGCGCCGCCAGAGGTAACTTCGTTGAGAACTGAACAAGATATGTTAGCAGTGTTCACGGGAGACATAGTGGTAAAACTCACTTCTCTCGTTCTCCTGGTCGTTTCCGAATGTAAACAGTGCCAGAGGCGTTCTGTAGACCTGGTTGGCGATGTTGATAGCATCGTCAAGCGTGTCGTACGGCATGATGGCGAAAACAGGACCGAATGACTCCTCCTTCATGACAGAGTCGAGCATAGAGTCGACTAAGACGGCGGTGGGCTCGATGAAGAGCTGGTCCTCATCCAAACCACCGCCCATGACGATTTTTCCGTTTGTCTCGTCAAGCATTTTCTTGATGCGCTGAAACGACTTCTTGTTGACGATGCGGGAAAAGTCAGGGCTGTTCTTAGCGCCGCTGGGGAAAAACTCCTTATAGGTGGCATTGAGGCCCTGGATGAGGGGCTCGATAATGGCGCGGTCAGCCAGAATGTAGTTCTGAGAAATGCAGACCTGGCCGGCGTTGAGGCACTTGGACCACATAAGACGGCGAGCAGCCAGCTTGACGTTGGCGTTCTTGGTGACAAAGGCAGGGTTTAAACCGCCAAGCTCAAGAGTTACGGGAGTAAGAGTCTCGGCCGCCTTTTTGGCAATGATCTTGCCAACCGAGGTGCTTCCCGTATACATGATCTTGTCCCACTTGACGTCAAGCAGGGCCTGGGTCTCCTTGACGGCGCCGTTGACGACTTGGTAAGCCTTGGGGTCGAGGGCAGCCTCGAAAATCTTGGTCAGAACCATGGCGGTGGTCGGGGCGCTCTCAGAGGGCTTCAGGACGGCGGTACAACCGGCGGAGATGGCGCCGATGATGGGGAGAAGTGTCAGCTGGACGGGGAAGTTGAAGGCGCCAATGACGAGGATCATGCCGAGAGGCTCCTTGCGAATGCGCGGCTTCAGAGCGGCGTATGTGAGGGGAACATCCTCACAAGTCTCCTCCTTGGCAAACTTTTCAAGATTCTTAATCATGTACAGGCAGTCGTTGGCAGCCCATTCAACCTCGGAGAGAAGGGCCTCATGTTTGCATTTTCTCAGGTCCTTACGAAGAGCATCACAGAGCTGGGGGGTGAAGTCCTTGATAGCCCAGTAGAGCTTCCGAAGCTGAACGGCTCGCCACTTGAGGTCCTTCGTTTTGTTAGAACGGAAGGTGGCGCGCAGCGTGTCAGTGAGGCGGTAGATGTCGTCCGTGGACGTGTGAGTGAACTCAGGGATCTTAACGTCGGTCGAGAGCGACATGATGAACAATTTTGCGGCGATGGATTACTGATGGGCTTTGGTGTTCGTTTTAAATGAAGCCGAATCTAGATAAAGAAAAGAGGAGGTTCGTGAGGGGAAGATGATAAGCCGGGGTCTCGGGGTCGCGGAGACGTGTTGGTGGCGGTGGTGGTGGTGGTTAAGGTTATGAGGACCACCGCGACTTATGTAGTCAAAGTTGCAAATGGCAGTAGTATCAGCAGCTAGCGGAATGGCCGTTCGGCAAGGCAGTTTAAAGTGAATGGATGGATGCGCTTGCGACAAAGCTCCACTGTGCTCGGCCTCCGTGTCGCCAGGGAGTGTGGCGGACGTATAGTAGTCAGGGAAAATGTACGTTATTGAATGTACGAATAGGGAGTTCCGGGCGAGGAACCTCGGCGTGTGGGAAGGCTGGTGGCAGGGATAGAAAATACACACAAGTTTCTTTGATTTGAGCTCTTGTGTTAAAGCTGTGTACACTATGTTTGTGTGTGTAAATGTAACTGGAAAATGTAGCCAAGTGGATGATGCGAATGCGAGTGATGATGTATGTATGAGCATGAAGCCGAGAACGCAGGAGAACTGCGGACGGGGGGCGAAAGTGCTGCAAAGATGGAAACGAGCTCGTTTCCTCAAAGGGGAGCTACGGTAACGGTGCAGCATGCTAGTTGCATGTGAACGAATGCCACTCCCTGGGGAGGTGGTGTGGGCACTTGTCCTCCCCCGAATCGGCCAGTTGACATGTACTGGAACACACCCATCAAAAAAAGAGCTGTTTGGGCATGACAGGGAATGGAGGCATAGATGTCCCGACGGAGTGGGCAGGGACGGATCGCCGTTCTGGGCCGCTGTCTCTCTTTAGTTCTGCACTCATCGATCAATTAGACTACTATCCTACAAGTCTATCTTCATATGGATCGCATTCATTGCCAGTTCAGCTACGACGACCGCACCAGAGCAAGCTTAGAAACAGTCCAGCTTGAAGCTCTAGCCAGGTCCAGTGCGAACAGTTACCTGTAGTGTAGCATCACAACGTACTAGATTGCGCCCCAATCCCGCTGCTTCCTGTCTTCCCCACACCATTCAACTTTCTTCCCGGGCGCCCACCCCTGCGAATTTTGCGCCTGCAACGTGCGCTTGCGCTAAGAGAGGAGAAAGACAAAAAGAAAATACCGAGGCATCATCAATCTGATGAAACGGGAATAGTATAAACACGGCTGACTAACTCAAGAACCCCTGTTCTAGGCGCATGTTTTCGGGGTCCCTCATTTGGCATTCACTCCTTACCCTCATCTCCAGCAAAGAAAATAAATCTTATAGTCCACTACTGAAATATGCCATTTGGGCAAGAGGGCAAGTGATGCTTTACTTATAATTCATCGACTTGATGTCGTCGCTATAAGCTCAACGCCTCCTGCCAAAGTGCTGACACAAAGCCACTCGTGCTCCTGCTGTCTGAGAGGCTGATACCCATCAAGGGTTGGTTGGGTGGGCGCCCTGAGGCTCGACCCTATTCGGCGCCATAGCCCGCCAAGCTGAACCAATCGTCAGCTTGTTGCTGGTCCGATGTTGACCGATGTTGGCAATGTCAAGATGCTCGTGTCAGTCGATAATTCCTCTCGCCAAATTGATTGGAGATGGTAGCAATCTTGTACATTGATTGGGGCAATTGAACACGCGACCCCTTTTGTATTTCTATATATCCGATCTGACGCGGATGTATACATGGAGATGTTACACGGGAAGACTGGATCCCAATGAAAGCCAGCTGCCTAGTCATACACGATTTTCAAGAGAATCTTGAGATGAACATCCCTTGGAACAATCAAGTTCCCGGGGAATTCGGCCCGGCCGCGGCGCTGCTTGCCTTAACGGCGGGCGGCCTTCTGCTTGCCGCCGCGGCTACGAACACCAACAAGCTCCGCCACCTTACCGTCCGCCTCCTTCGGCGGCGCACTGAGGAACTCCTTGATCTTGTCCGCGCCGTCGACGATCTGCCCGCCTTCCTCCTTGGCAGCTTCGCTCTTGAGCTCTTGCAGTCGGAATGCTTCAAGCTCCTTGCGACGCTCCTCAGTCATGCGCCACTCCACAGGAAACTTGGGCTTGCTCTTGAACTGATGGTGTCTGGTATCGAGAGGAATGTCCTCAAAAGTATCCTTGGAGTCCTGTGGTGATTCTCTAGTCAGCCTTGTTGTACTCCTACAATGTATCTCCGGATGAGTGGCGCCTACCTTGGCATTTGCAACCAGCTTATCCACCAGGTCCGACAGATATCGCTTGTTCTGCGCCTGGTTCTCGTACTTCTCACTGCTCATCTTGATAATGTCCGTCTCCGGGTTGTACCGCGAGCCAGCCAGTTTCCTGAGCTTGTTCGCCTGGACCGGCGTGAGATTCAGGTCGGCCGGCGAGAACTGCACGACCACCTTCTTCTCTGCCGGGTGGAACTCGCCCATGTACGTAGTGTATCGGAATCGCAGCACTTCGTCCTTGGCGGGCGGCTCGAACGGCTTAGCCAGCTCTGTAGGTATGGTCAGTATGTTGTCTAGGGCAATTGGAATGGTCGACACATACTAGCAAGCAAGGGCATCTCCCAGGCCATTATACGGTGGTAATGTCTGTGCTCGCGGATTTCGTCCAGTTTGCCGTGCGCCATGGGCGTGATGTCGTCCTCGTCGAATTCGTCCATGACATTCTCCGTCTCAGCCGTCGGGTCGTCCTCGTCGTACCAGAAGGATTGCTTGTTGACCCTCTTAGTTCCCACAACCTTCTTGAACTCCTGGTTGGTGATGAGTGGCTCATCTTCGGCCTGCTCGTCCGCTGTCATCTCCCTCTCCAGGTACTGCTCCAGCGACATCTGCTGCGCTGACGGGTCGCGCTTCCTGATGCCCTCCAGAGCCTTGATCTCCTCAGGCCTGAGTCGCTTCAGCATCTCTTCGACCGTCTCTCGCGATGTGTAGAGTGATGCATCTTCGCCATCCTGTCGTTTCGTGAAGCTCACGGCGAACGCTCGTCTTTGCTGGCTCTGGGAGAATTGTGTAGCCGCACGGGGTGCGATCCGGGGAACGGTCGATATACGGCGAGAGCTGCGGACGCAGAATCGGAGTGCTTGCCCTGCTGCTGCCATTGTGGGCGAGTTCCGCGGTACCTAAGGGCAATTGCTGATTTCCGTGGATTGTCGCGCTCTGGAGATGGTGTTGGGAATTGTCCCCGAAATTTTTGGATCGAGCTCCAGCCACATCCACCCCCTCAGCCACAGTCGGGTATGAGGACATGGTCTGATTTCGCCACAAGCCACGCCTAATCTGTATTCGCGCTAAATTACAGCTTCTGCACAACAAGAGTACTAGGAATCTTGGCATATCTACTGGGCTGTTTCTCGAAATAATCCCAAAAAGTGCATGCCTCATGTTCACGAGTTGGTAACCAATAGTCATCAATCACGGCATCTGCGGGTCATTTATCAGTAAGAGTTCCAAGTTATCACACGTTTATAACTGGAAGAATCAACTGTCTCTTTGGCATTATGGATGGCTAAGAGCGTGGAAAGTAGAGGACGACCGGAGAGCTGGTGTTTATAGATACTGTTAAACCATAAGCACTGTGAAGTTTGCAGATTGGCTTGACGTTTCAAGATGGTGGGATTGCCCATACAAACGTGCCTTCATGACGTTACCCAGTCTCCTTTGCCCTCCGCGTTTAGTCTCATCCTTGAACCACCATATGGAACTTATAGCTCAGCAAACTTCAACCATTTGTCACGCTGATGTAGACAAAATAAACACAACACAGGCAACCAGCCAAACCAGTTTTAAGTAGCTTCAAATATAACACTATCATTAACCATTATTATCAACGTCCTGGGCACCATATATTCCCCAATTGCACTTCTTATATAGTTCCTTTACAGCTATTACCACTATCTGGCTCACAACCCAGACGATTTACGGTTTATAATGCCAGTGCTGAATTGTCTCGCTTTATCGATCGTATTCTTCATGCCCATGAATGACGTACGGTGAGATTTCATGTCGGGCCTAGTATCCGGGTCAGTAAAAATCACTTCATGCAGACATATCGCCGACTTTACCTAGACTCCCATTCCTGCTGCTCCTGAAATTGTGGCGGTGATACACTGCCGTTACTCAGCGAAGACCGCTTGTGCTGTGGTGGTTGAGGGCGGCTCAGCGACTGAGGCAAGTTACCTTGCCACCCACCGGGTATCTGCTGCGGCAGGTCAGGGAACGGTTGCGCATGTTGAGGTGGTGTGTTTCCCGGGCTTGGGCGGTATGACGATGGGTTGAACGCAGTAGTGTACGGAGCCGACGGAGGGGCCAAATCGAGGTCTTCCGGCACCTTGTTCTGCTCTATGTGAGATGGAAAACCAGAGCCTCCACCCTGATAAGCCGGGGCTCCTGGGTAAGAAGCTGAATTACGATATGAAGAGCGCGGATCGAAGCCAGGTTTTACCTCGGGACTTTGTTTGGGCGGCTGGTACTGACTTCCGGAAACGTTAGACGGCGTAGGCGAAGGATTCTGGGCATACAATGCGCCGAAAGCAACCGGTGCTGGCTTGCGTTTGATGGGACCTTGGCCAGGCGATATCAGCGCTTCGGTTACGAAACCTTCACCCTGTTGCGTCCACTGCACCGCCGGCGACTGGGCGTGAGGGTGTTTTTGAAACCTTTCCTCCGGTCCTGGCTGGGGATCCAATGCATACTTGGACAGAATATCGTCTAATTGTATCTGTTGAGAGTATCTTCTCTGAGACGGCAGCTCCGCAATAGTGGTCGGAGGCATTTCGGCAGGGGGGTTTTCAGGTACCTTCTCGGGCCTAGGAGGTGGCGGTTCGTACTTCTGAAGCATTGATACCTGAGCAGCGATAGCGGCCTCGAGCTCCTCTGAGAATTTCTCGTCATGCTGCTTGACTGGAGACGTTGCCAGGCGTGGTGGTGAAGTTGCCTTGATATTTTCGGTGTTTTGGAGGAACGACTCGGCCCGCGGTGGGCTGTCGCCGCTCTTCAACTCACCTCCATCGTCAGATATCTCTGAAACCTTGTCATCGTGGTCCTCATCATCATCGTAGGTCAGACCCTGATGTCCGGTACCGACGCTACGAACAACCTTGGTGACTTCTGAGTTGCCATTCTGCATAGCTTTCTTAAGCGCAGCCATGATCTCTGAGATGCGCTCAATGAGAACACCCGTGCAATCATCATCGTCGCCATACTGCATTGCCGATTGAAGCGCGTTTTCGTTGTCATGATTGGTGTGGAAAATGTCGGCCCCGTGGTCCAACAGAAACCGGACACAATCTGCATCGCCCTCACGAGCCGCCACGATTAATGGAGTGTCGCCTTCTTGATCTTCGAGGTTGATGTCGGCACCAGCGTCAAGAAGCACCTGGAGCGCCTCCACTGGCAGGTTGATGACGGCCTTGATCAGCACCGTCGAGTCATCCCAACCGCCAAAGACGTTAACCTCTGCTTTGGCGTTCACAAGTAGCTCCAATATGGTCTGCTCCCCTCTCATTGCAGCGGCCATGATAGGGCAGGTATCCTCGCCAGCTCCCAGGTCAGGATTGGCGTTGTGTTCTATAAGCAGTGTTACTATTTCCACCTTCCCTGATTCGCAGGCTGCCTGGAGAGCTGTTCCTTGAGGGAAGTTCTCATTCTCCGTTAGAGCATTGACGTCGGCCCCGCGGTCAAGCAGTTCTTGGACCACGTCGTAATGGCCCTCTGCTGCTGCTGCTTGTAGGGCCCATCCATGGGGCGAGTTAATATCAGCACCCTTGTCAAGAAGTAAGTTGACAATGTCCAGCGTCCCGTCGTATGCGGCAGCCGTAAGAGCTGTGCCAAACCTAAGGTGTGTTAGAAGTATGACTAAACGTGTTTTGCCCAGAGTAACTTACTCTTCACCAGTCGCATTCGGGTCGACTTTAAAAGTTTCCAGCAGCAGCTTGACAGTCGACTCCTTTTCAAGATCTGTGGCTTTATAGAGGCTGTTGTTGAGAGTTTCTTTGGAAATGTTCCCATTCGTGTACTTCCACACCGCCTCTAGTACCTTGTCTTGGTGCTCTGCTGTAGTTGCCGCTTGTAAGAATAGATTATTGCAATCGAGGTTCTGGCGCTGTGCCAACAGAATCAGAACAATATCCCAGTTCTCCTCTTCCACTGCTGCCTCAAGAGCCTCTTGGAAACATTCTTGGGAGTGAGGGTAGCTCAAAAGCTTGTTGAACACGTCTACCCTGCCGGACATAGCAGCCTTGACAAAAGCTTTGTCGAACTCCTTGGGAGGCAACTTGTCAGCGTAAGTCCGCGTAAGGTACTCGAACATGGACGAATCTGCGTGAAGGCCGGCCAACGCCAGAGGAGAATCTATGTTGTCGTCCTCAACTGCTAAGGAAACATTCTTTTCAACGAGAAGCTTGACAGCGTCTGGGTTTCCAGAAGAGATTGCGGCATTCATGACTGGGCCAATATCTTCTGCGATTGCGTTTGCATTTGCTCCTTTTTGGATCAACTTATTCATGATCTTGACATGGCCAGCGTTCGCAGCCATATGTAACGGAGTCTGGACGTTAATTTCAATGCCATCGTCGATGTTAGAGCCTCTTTTGAGAAGCTCATCGACAATATTGGGCCGTCCAATGTATGCGGCAAGATGGAGCTATCGAGCATGTCAGCAGAGCATTCTATCAAAGTTTTCCTTCCAGTCTTCATTCCCCATGGGAACAAAATAAGGCAAGAGAACAGACTTACCGGAATGTTAGTGAGTTCGTCTCTTTTATTGATCTCATCCTCGTGTCCGTTCTGGATGAGAGCTGAAACAAGCTGTTTGAAGCCAACGGCGGCTGCAATATGAAGTGCGGTAAAATGTTTTGCCTCGAAACCTGCTAGAACCTTTGTCGAGTGCATGTATACCAGAAGCCATCGGTAACGAATAAGCGACTCCTTCTGCCAGAACTCATCCTCACTAAGATCTTCAGCGATCTCCAAGGTAGCTTTGCTGGCGTGGTGAAGCCAGTGCTTAACAGGATACGGCAAAACCCTGTCAACCAGAGTTTGTGCCTCCTCTTTCTCATCATCTTCCATGTGATAATTATAAATAGAGTCATCATCGTCCCAGTCGGTATCGTCGCCTGATTCTTCCTCCGATTCGATAACAGAATTATCGTCTTCGACTTCTTCCGTTTCTTCACCGTCCTCCGCCTCATCGTCGCTGTTGGCAGCCACAGACCCCGAATTCTCCTCATCTTGGGTCTCATCCAAGGGCTTCTCGACAGCAGGGAAATCGAACGCTTCCTTTATATGCGCCAGACAACGTAGTGCAATAATACCGTGCTGCCACCTGTTCTCGTCGCCAGACATGCCGAGTGTCTTCCTCGCACTCTCCTTCTCCAAGAGGTGATCCTTAACGACTCTGTCCATGAAGCCGATAGTGTTTTCCGATTTTCCACTTCGCTTTACTACCAGCAGTGGTCTGCACTTCTTCACCAACTCCTGAAGTTCAACTTTTCCTTCCTCGGTCGCCGGAAATCCAGTCAAGACCGCAAGTTCATCCTCCGTAGGTTCTTCAAACGTGAGAACGAGGGTCCGCAGTAGCTCCTTGATTTTGTCGGCATCCTTCTCGTTAGCCCGGAAAATCTGCAGCCAGGCGGCGTCCAGTAATGCTTTGAGCTCTTGAGGCATCCCCTCCAGCATGTGACGAATTTTAAGGTCACTTTCAGCCTCGGGCAACTCTGCAAGTTGCATACAAGAGAGCTTGATCCACTGACTGTTTGATGCACGCTTGCCTATGAGGCTGCTAGCGAAATAAGTGAGCGCCTTGTTATACTTCTTTGTGTTTCCGAGCTCTTGTACTTTTTCTTGCGCGGTTTTTCGTAACTCCAATTGAACTTGGTCGCAGTATGCGTCATCCTCAAGGTCGATCAGCCGGAGTTCCTCTACCTTCAAAGCGTCCTCGACATTCTGGACCTCTCTGCTTGTAAGAAACCATCTCGTGATTACGCGCTTTTCGTCCTCGTTCTTAAGTTCCAGCATTTCCGCGCCAAGGAATCGCATCAGTTTGATGGTTGACTCTGCATCTTCTGGCAGCACATGCAAGTTGTTAATGATGAAGTAAACTCTTCGTCCGATGAACTCATCCATTAACATGTCTTGAAGTGTTTGCCATAAGTTTTCCACCGTGAGGTTCGCCTGTGTCTTTGAAGTATCTTCACCCTTCTTTCTTACGAAATGCTTCGCATATACGGCCAAGGCAGGCTGCTGGCCGATGAGTTGGCGTACCAAAGACTTCAGCAGGTCTTCAGCCGTTGAAAAGTCTGAAGAGGGATCACAGAAGAAGTATGCAAGAAGAACTGGTCCTCTCCCGTGACTCTGTTTCTCATCAACCTGGATCATGTTGTCGATGTTTTGAAGTGCCGCCATAGTTGCTCGCGTTTTTCCTCGTCCCTCGGGTCCGCGAATGAAGATGGCTTGTCCGCGGGGAGTTGAAGCAAGATCCTTTGATTCATGATCCTCTTTCAACCAGTCGAGATACTCCGTCTCCTTAGAAATCCAAGTAGATGGTGGGAACTGAGGTGCAAGCATCCTCCTCTTTTTGGCCACCTGTCCGCCATTCAATAGCTCCATCACACCGTTTACCGTCTCTTGGTCGATACCTCGGGTCGAGTTCAAGCGGTTTTTGACTATGAGACCTGCGCCGTGAATAAGCCTCTTCAAAGGTTCTCTTACTAGTTGGTATCTAGAGTCTTTGAAGTCGCTGAATTTAACGAGATCTCGGTGGTTGGCAGCGAGAGCCATTTCCTCAATTCCAGGTAGCGTTGCCGACTCTCTAGGTACGAATTCCTGCACTTTCTTGGGAATAACTGCCTTTGCAATTTTTGACATTGTGGCTCCGTACTTCTCCTGGGTGAAATCGGTCGGGTGGTTTTCGTAAAAGCAGAAGAGTTGGACTACCGGGCTCAGTTTAAGAGCCAGTCGCAGGAAATCATTCTTTAGTTCACTCAGGCTTTCATCTCCTGGAGTCATCATCTTGACCAAACCCGAAGACTTCGTATAGCCAAGGTGTTCACCAAAGTCTCCAAGCATGGAAGCTATGGCGGCAACTTGAGCACCGCCAAAAGGTGTCCCAAAGAAGGCACATCCTGCGATGCATTCGAACATTCTTGGAAACAACTCACGGTATGTGTCTGCTGCAAGAGTGATGGCCTACCTCAAATGTTAGTCTCAAGGATCATCTGAAGAAAGGTATCGACTACCTTGGCTATGACCAAACCGCCCATACTGTGTCCAATAAATACAATAGGGCGTTCCCGGATGCCCTAGGTGACTAATGAGTATACATCTCAATGATAAAATCGCGGGGCCAACGAACCTCTCGGTTGGCTTGTAAGCCTTCCAACATGGACTTGGCGATGTCCCTCATGAAGGATTTGACTTTAAGATCCCCAACCCATGCCGATTCATACTGATAGAGCAGTATGCGGGCTTTGGGAAAGTCCCTTGCCAGTCCATCCTTCTTGTTACTTGAGTCGGAAGATGTCTTTGAGGCACCATCATAGATACCAGTCGCCCAATTGAAACCTGTCTCAGACTTCCAACTATCCTCGGGATGGGCTCCTAAACCCGGCACAAAGACGATGCTGTTTGATAGTAAGCTCCTACACAAGCCCACCCAAGCCCGGAGAAAGTGACGCACTCTACATCGATAGCTGATCCAGGACCATTCTCTTTTTGAGGGTTATACAGCTCCTTGAAGCCTTGCTGAACTGTCTGATATGTCGTTCTGGGCTTCGGGGCTCCCGCGCCACCATGAGGCGGCGCCCGTTTTGTTCCTGCTCGCCGCAAAGACATGATGCCGCGGCCGTTGCGAATACTTCACCTGCACGGAGAACTTGGTATTCTCCCATCAATGGGGGCTCCAGAACAATGAATATGATTTTGAGACACCTAGGCAGCGGCGCAAGTAGGTAGTGCCTGTAAGGCTGTTAGTCTGGGGGGGCTAGTATCCCCGTTGATTACTTAGGCCCCCTGCAGTCAGGCGGCCCGAAACGACCTTAGCGGCGTCAACGCCCCAATGCATTGTCATCCTGCGATAATAACAGCTGTCTATCACGCCAATAGGCTGTTAAGAGCTGTCTCTAATTTTGTAGAATACCCCACAAGTCAGCATTTAGTCTTAGTGGGTTCGTCCGTATTTGGGTCCAGGCGAACTTGTTGCAGGCTGGCGGTGCACCAAGCCCCTGGCGAGCTGCCACTACTCGCCATTTTGAGTGGCATGAAGCCACCATGTTGGACCAGGAAAATACAGCTGCCTATTGTTGTCGTGCAGCCTGCTGCAGTCTAAAGGGTTACCTTGGAAATTACCGAAGGCGGGTAGAATTGAGCTTGAAAACTCTTGCCGTTGCGGAGACATTTGTCATTGTGATATTTGACGGGACCAGTCCCCTGCACTGCATGCCTGGCACAGTTATCATCGACTCTTGTCACCCAAAGATCTCCCTCACCCCAGAACATCCGAAAGTCGCGCCATGGAGGGGCCGTCAGTGCCTTTTACCGTCCGAGTGCTCGATGATGGCTTCAATCATGTAACAAAACCAGTAAAGGCCTCGTCGCCTGTCAACTTTAGCGACTTGCTACCAGCAACAAGCCGGGCCAAACACGATCACATAACCGTGCCGCGGGCCGACGACACAGACTTTCTAGGCCAAGAACTTCTTGTCCGACGTTTGAACGATGTCCAGGACCTCTTGTGGATCTGCGGGCGTCCGATGCCTCCAAGACCTCTCCACTACCAAACACTGACCTCGCGGGAGATTCACATCACAGAGAATCCCGAACTTCATCTCGTCTGGGCCAAGAATCGCATCTTCGTCAAGCCGATACCTAGGTGGCTGCTGGACCCGGACTTCTGGGCCATCCATCTCCTTGGCGCCACCGAAGATGGCAACGACAACAGGAATCAACCTGGTCCGCGGAAGGACCTGGTCGCTTGTGCGCTCGGATTCCTCTTTACTTACACAGCTCTCATCGCGTACGAGAGCGACTTCCGCATAGCCGTGGAAAAGGGCCTCGTGCCGCCTCAGATGAGCTGGGACCGATGGAAGGCCTTCTCGGCTCAAATCGTGCATAATCACTGCTATGCATCCGTCAACCCGCGGTACTGGTACGGCGAGCTTCGTCTCAGCCGGTTGAACAAGATCTATCGGATTCGGTTGGGCTATCTGTTACGAGGATACTCGAAGGTTGTCTCACATGCAGTCTATGAGGATTTGTTGCGGGACAATTTCGCGACACTGGCGGCGGTTCTGGGTTACGTTGTCATCGTCCTCACGGCCATGCAGGTTGGGTTGGCCACCGACCAACTTGTTGGGGATAAGTTGTTCCAAAACGTGAGCTATGGGTTCACAGTGTTTTCCATATTGGCCCCTCTAATCGCCTGTTTCGGTATCATTTCAATGGTGGTGATCATGTTCGTGAGTAGTTGGGTGGTGACCAAGGTTTATGAAAAGAAGAGGTTTCAGGAGATGGGAGTTGAGCCTTTCTGGAGAGGTAAGGAAGAAGGCAGTCGGTACAAGCAAGTATCGGCTAAACAGGATGCTTTGGAATAGAGAAGAGGACAACCAAGATGGAGTTCAGTATAGCAGAAATGTAGCGATGATACCCTTATAGCCAATTGCGATTGATCTTAGATGATGAAGTCTACCTGCATTTATTCTCAACACAATGGGGGAAGGTTAGTTAGGCCGCCTAGTCTCAAATATCTGGTCCGTTAGTTCTGGGACAGGCGCTTTAGTACGCACCCGTGCACCCGCAACCCCACGCTAGTGATGGACCCTGATCAACTGCACCACAGTGCAATACTCAGACGTCACTGCGAAGCTCCTAAGAGCTCCTGACTTCTCCCCACCGTGTGCTTCGTCCGCCCAAATATCAACGCAGCACTAAAACGTCGAACAACTTCCCCAACCATCTCTCTTGGCAGCTCTCAATATGCCCCCTCAAAATGCTCATTTTGAGCGTTATTGTCTCGTCACAGTCGGCGCAACAGCCCGCTTCACCCAGCTCTTGACGGAAGTTCTCGACCCCACGTTTCTCGATTTCCTCGCCAGCAATCATTATACGCACTTAACGCTCCAGTGCGGCAAAGATTACGAAGAGTTCTCCCGCAATATTCTCCCAGCACTTGCCCCTCGATGGCCCTCCCTCGAGATTACTGCCTTCGACTTCGTGGACGATCTCACTACCGAGATGACAAAATGCCGAGCTTCCAGTGGCCGCGAAACCGGCGCTGTGATCTGTCACGCAGGTATGTTACTGATATGAGGAGTAAAGAACCCAACGATGGACACCGAGTAACAAGTTGTCCACAAAGGTACTGGCACCATTCTTGATGGTATGCGCGTTAGCGTTCCACTCATCGTCGTTCCGAACCCGACTCTCAAGGATAACCACCAGGTTGAGTTGGCCGACGAGATTCAGCGCCAGGGCTACGGGATCTGGGGCCGCCTTGGAGACATATCCTACGCGATGGAGCAGCTGCCGCTGCAACTTGATAAGACCGAGCGACAGTTCAAGGCGCATTCTGTAGGAGTTCCGAACATCGACTTGTGGCAGGTCAGCAGTGCGCTGCTAGGCCGGTATGCTATGGAATCTCCCCAGCTTTCGAGAACAGCCACGTCAAGAAGTGTCCCAGGCTCGGGGGAGGTTCAGCGGGAGGAGGTGACCCAGATGAAGATGGGCTAGGCGCCTATGCAGTGGCCGCTTCCGCCACCCTTCTGGTAACGGAGTAGGATAACATGATGATTCATGGCCCTGGCAGAGTGGGGGGAAAGAGACCAACAGAAATGGTATGGCTGGGAAAATGGCTTGTTTTTAGACATGGAAGATACCCAATTAATAGGCGTTCTTGGCGGGGCGTAACATAATATCGCTTTTCGTTAAGTCATCGTCACTCTACTAGACTATAGTCTACAAAGAAATATGAAACTATTGCAGTCCAGACACAGTCCAGACCTTGATCGCGGCGTCACCTCCGGCGCTTGCGACCTTGGTGCCATCTCCAACCCAAGCAACACCGTTGACACCATCCTTGTGGGCGTTGAGAGCCTTGACACGGCTACCAGGCTTGGCCAAACTCCACACATACACATTGGTATCTAAGGCCCCAGAAACGGCGTGTGTCGCTGCATCGTTCCAGCTAATACAAGTAACCCTTGCCGTGTGCGCTGACCACCTGTCCGTAGCAATTTCCCAGTTGTTGGTTTTGTATGCCACAATCTTGCCGATCTGGTTGCCCACCGCAAGAAATTGGCCATCCTTGGAGAAGGAGAGGCAGGAAATCTGAGAGGTCGACTTGTCGAGCGACTTGGTCTCGGAGAGTTTGCCAGAGCCGTCTACACTGTAGATCTTGACCGAGTTTCCAGATCCCACTGCCACAGTAGACCCGTAGGCGCCAACCGCAAGAGGAGAAAATCCAAGACGGTTCTCGGCGACCAGCTTACTCTTCTCGTAGACGTCAACTCCCTCGAGTGTCGCCACAAACAGCTTTCCGTTCGTAGCCGCTACGCCCTTAGGCTGTGCAGATAGCTTGACAGACTCGCCGGCGAAGGTGTTGGCAGACTCATCAACTATCCGCAACGTATCGTCCCAGCCGACACTGTAAGTCTGTCCTGCCTCAGCGCTGAATTGAGTGACCTGGTTCGTATGTGCCTGGCCGTCAACAACGGCACCGACCCCCGATGCAACATCCCACTGACAAACACGGCCATCAAAGCTGCCGGTCCACAAAGTCTGGCCCTTGCCGTCGGAAGAAGTTCCAAGAGCTGTAATACTCTTGTTGTGTCCCTGGACGATCTTGCTCGGCTTATCGCTGCCTTCATTAAGGTAGATCAGGTCACCGTTAAGGTTCAAGCTGATGATCAGGCCATCGGTCCTGCCGTGAGGGTAAACAACACCGACCTGTTGATCACCAACGCTAACACCAGCGTCTTGGCCAAACTTCCACGACTGAGTTGCTTTGCCTGCCTCAACATCCCAGAGCTTGACGGTCTGGTCCGCGCTGGCAGTGACGAACTTCGTTCCGTCCTTGGCCCACGACACGGCGAAGATGCTACCTGTGTGCTCGCCCTCTCCGATTTGTTTCGTTGGTTCACCCGTCTTGCCATCATAGAGTTGGATGCGCTTGTCGGCACCGACGGTCACCAGCTGGTTACCGTCGGGCGAGAAAGCAGTACCAAAGACGAAACCCCGATGGCTAGTGGCGTTCTTGGAGTTAAATTTGAAAGGAGCGCCGTGGAGGAAGCATAGAGAGCTATCATCGGAGACCGTCGCTGCCCGCAGCGGACGTTGTTGTCGCACGGCGACAGAGTTGATGACCTTGGAATGACCGCTGATCTCTCCTACCGAATTTCCGCTATCAGCCGTAATGCAGTGTCCGAAACGCTCCTTGCCATCGCCAACTGCAATGATGCGCTGAGAATCGCCGTCCCACGCGATGTCGTTGATGCGGCCCGAGATGATGTGGTATTCGCCTGGCAGTCTGTCAGCAGCCGAGACCGAGTAGCTTGCCCGGACATATCGTACCCTTGGTATTTTCAGCCTCAACAGCGTCCCAGACTCTTACGGATCCTGAGACATCACCACTGGCTACATAGAAGCCACTTGGCGAGAAGCGGGCGACGCTCGTCTGGGCAGTATGCCCAGTGTATTGCTTGCTAACGGATGGGTTATCGATGGATCGAAGGAAGATAGACTTGCCGGCCTGCAACAACATGCAAGTTAGCTCAAGTAATTTTATTTGGGAGCTCAAAATAGATTCACCGCATAGGCAAGACGCTCGCCTTTGTTGTCGGACGAGAGTTGGGTTGGCTGGCCGCGCTGAGTAGCGGGCGACGCAGCTAGGATCTTTTCAATGTTGACAGACATGACGAGCTCCTGCAATGCTTATATGCTTTGCAACTCTAGCTCTTGGGCCTCAGCGCGAGTATAAAGGGACGATGTAAAAGTGCTGGGGAGGTGGATTGGGTCAAGTGGCAGCTTCTAACCTAGGCAACACAATAGCGGTAGAAGATGTGGGAACCTGGACCTGGCAACCTGAATGGTGATCCTGGAATGGAGGGGCAGTGCTGCCGGTTGCTGGTGCTAGTGCGGGGCAGGATGACGTTCCCCTGTAGGCAGCTAGTAGCTGCTGAACAGCTTTGGCAATGAAGACATTCTTCACTGAGTTTGGGTTATATCGACAAACCTACCCTAACAATGAATAAAGATGCCGCATGTTCGGGCCCCGCTGCAGATATTTTGGCTTATTCGGACAGCAAAGAACTATAAGACGTTGAATAGCATGCATCTAAATTAATACACGACAAACAGATACCCCCACATATTGAAGGCAAGCAGGAGCTCAAAGTTATAGTACAGCTCGTAAATGTTGAGTTAAGGCTTAAACGATTTTGAGATAAAATGAAAATTTGGTAGGAGGAAAACTTACTCCCAAGCATTCAAACCAAAAGCAAGCGAATGGCCTCTGGATGTCAGGTTATCCTTACGTTTTACGGACCCCGCCAAATACCAATATGTAAGCTCACACGGCACGAATTTTCAACATCCGATAACGGAAACTGATCGGGTCCCGGTTAGCTCAATTGGTCAGAGCGTCGGACTTTTAAGATTACCACAGTCTACAGAGTTATCCGAAGGCTGCGAGTTCGACCCTCGCATCGGGAGATCAATCTTTTGCTGCTAGTCAACATTAATTTTTGTGGAAATCCCATGTGCTGATTATTCTTTTCACCCCATCATGAGATGTGCTATTTTATCTTACTGTGTGTTTGAGGTGTTTTATTAGAAGCAGGTAGTTTGGAGGTATGCTTGAGCAATAACCTTTGAATTACAACGTTGTACCTCCTGTATTGTTTTGTACGATTCACCGATCATTCAAGATAGACACGGTCCAGTTAACTGGCCAAGGATGGACAAGAGGCTTACAGAGCAGGTAGTCAGTTTCCTTTACGATAATTGATTTAATTGGATTACATCATCTGGACGGGCTGGCATATCACGTCCGTCGTTGTCCTTTATGCTCTCTATTTCGCTCATTTGGTTAGCGCTTGCTTTCAAGTCTCATACTGCTGGCCCCTCGCAGTAGCTTTAATGCTACTGCTAAACAACAGGTCTTCTTGTGCTGGTTACTGATAGTTTATTTAACCAAGCAACTTGGGAGGAAGGGTCCAGCATGGCTTGCCGGAATTGTTTGGTGATGGTACGATCCCAAAGGCATTTTCAACTGAAAAGACAGTGTAATTGCCCTTGGTCACAGTCCAACTTTCCCGGTACTGTCTCCAGACGCAGAAAGAACTCCTGAAAGCTTGAAGCCGAGGTATTCGTACTGGCTGGCCATGACTATCTATGGGCTGAAAGACAAAACATAGTATTTTTAACCTTGCTAAAAATCATCAAATTGAGACATCTGCAGCGATGACCTAAACTTCTGTAATTTACTTCATTCTCGTGCCATCGGAGTTTGCTACAGTACATATTGACACAAGTCCAGGCCTTCTTTCACGAAAGCAGTACACGAATTTTCCCCAAAAAGCAATACCCGCTCAGGGCATACCGGACCAAACGCCTTTCTCTATCGAAGCCACCGCCTGGCAAAGCCTTACCCGCACCTAAAGACCCATGTGCAATCATTTGACCAGATTCAGCCGTCTATTTCTTCTTGCCCTTGGTTTTGCTCTTTGCATTGGCAGTGGACTTGGTCGAAGCAACGCTGGATGCTCTCGATGGCGCAGCGGATGTGTTCTTGCTACCAGCTTCCGACTTGACATTATCCAGCGCCTTGTTCTACGTGCGTTGTTAGCCAGGCTCTCCTCACAGTTTGCCATATGCTTCTCACCTTGACACCGTTCTTGGACTTCTTCTTCGCAGGGGCCATGCCCAAAATGCTGTCCTCGTCGTTCTCTTCGTCATCGGCTTCTCTCTTCGCCTTGCCGTTTACACCGTTCGCGCCCTTCGTAGGATGCACATCTTCAAATTCCTTGACAATAGTTGTCAACAAGGTAGTGCAGCGGCGGCTCAGTTCAACTGGTGTTCGACTGAGGAAGAACCAGTCGAACCGGAACAAAGGGCTTTCGGCAATCTCGTCACGCATCTTTTCGTATAGGCCGGGAGAGTCGATGCCCAACTTGTCTAGAAGAACTAATAAAAATCTGTCTTCCTCTTCCGTGTAGACCTTTTTGTTGGTGGTCGAGACAGAGTAATTAATCTTGAGCTGCTGCAAGGGAACGCGGTACTGAGACATCTTCTTGCGAAGTAGCTTCCGCTGGTGCTCGATCTTGCGCATGCGCTCCTCACCATCTTCAATCACCTTAATGTACTTGGGATAGTCGGCGATTTCCGTGTAGCGTTGCCAGAACACCTTGGCATATTGCTTGACTTCAGCAGCAGTCTTGTTGTCAATATCTTCCGCAATGTTCTCGTAATCAGTGCGTCCATAGCGGCCCGAGGCATTGATGAATTGCTGGAAGTCGCGACGGTTCCACTCGCCGAAGCCCTGCTGAGAGAGGCGCTGCTTCTCCTCTTGCTCTTCTTCAGTAAGCGGAGTAGCATCGTCAATCTCTTGTTGGTCCAGGGCACGTTCCTGTTCACGTTCTTCAAGCTTGTCATCCTCGCCATCAGGGAGCGGGACCTTGTAGCCAATTTCTTTGCGGTAGAAGGCAGTCTCGCGGTCCTGCAGTTCCCTGAGACGTTCCGGGTAGAACTGATAGTCATGCACAGGAACTTGCTTCGGCGCTCTCGGTGCCTTGGGCTTGGTATCTTTCTCCTTGGGCGGATACATTGTCTGCCGGAAATACTTATCCATGGAATATGATTGCTCCTTCCTCTCACGCTTTGCAGGGTTGATCCAGTTCATACCAATGTCCTTCTTGTTGGTCTTGAAGTCCTCGCCATTCCATGTGTAAGCGGATTCGGACGTGAAATTTTGCAGATCATCGATTCCAAGTTTCTCATACTTGGCGTTCAGTTCTTTGGTTCTCGTCTCACCAGAAGCAAGAATCTGGTCGATATCGTCATCGTCCAGGTCGGCTCCTTTCGATGCCAATGTTCCAGAGGCACCCTTGCTTTGGAACACCTTCTCAGCACCATGCTGAATCATAGAGAGAAGCTCATCTTTATTCGCTGCGGCCTTGGCAGCTACCTGGGTCCGACCTTGCTGAATAACGAGCTGATCCAAACGGAGCTTTTGGGCTGCCCTCTCTAAGACCTTCTCTTCGATCGCGTTGTCCGTAACGAAACGATATACGACAACTTGCTTAGTCTGACCGATACGATGAGCACGATCCATAGCCTGCAAGTCGGCTTGAGGGTTCCAATCGCTGTCATAAAGAACCACGATGTCTGCAGTGGTGAGATTGATGCCCAAACCTCCGGCTCTTGTAGTGAGCAAGAAGATAAACTTCTCAGAACCAGGCTTGTTGTACTCGTCAATGGCAGCGATACGATCTTCATGTGCTGTACCACCATCAATGCGGCAGTACTTATACTGCCTAAAAACACAGTAATCCTCAAGAATGTCCAAGAGACGGCTCATTTGGGAGAAAATAAGGACTCTGCTTCCTTGCTTTTGCATCCTGTTCAAAAGCTTGTCAAGGACAACCATTTTCCCAGAGTTGTAGACAAGATGCTCGTCGGTAGTATACGGGGGACCTGGTTCGGCACCCTCGAATAGGTAAGGGTGGTTACAGCACTTGCGCAACTGCATCACAATATTAAGAAGTCGCGTCTTGGACTCCCGTTTTCCGTTTGCACCGTTGACAGCGTCAATGTCCTTTTCGAGAATCTTCTGGTACCACTTGACCTGCATGTCCGACATGCCGAGGTAAACGTTGACTTCTTTCTTGGGAAGCAGGCTCTTTTCCACATCACTCTTGACTCTCCGGAGTAAGAAAGGCCTCAGCACACGGTGCAGCTGTTGAACCACAGTGTCTTGATCCCGGTCTTGGCCAGAGAACCACTGATCAAAGGCTTCCGAGTCGCCAAAAACATCAGGAAGCAAGAAGTTCAGTAGCGCCCATAGCTCGTGAAGGTTGTTTTGCAGTGGTGTGCCAGTGATGAGTAGTCGGTTTCGAGAGTTGAAAAGACGGATAACCTGTGCGAGGGAAGATTCCTCGTTCTTGATACGGTGAGCTTCGTCAATGATGATATACTCCCACGCGAACTTCTTGAGATGCGCCTTCTCGCGCAGAACCATCTCGTAACTCGTGATGCAGACGTCAAAATCCTCTTCCACCAAGCGATCATTGATGAGTTGATTGCGCTCCTCCTTGGCGCCTTGGAGCACGAGCACGTTAACCTCGGGCGTCCACTTCGCGAACTCGCGTTTCCAGTTGTCTAGTGTCGACTTAGGAACAATTACAATGTGCGGTCCGGTAATGTCCATAATGTGTCGCAAGTAGCCCAAGAAGGAGATAGTTTGCAATGTCTTGCCAAGACCCATTTCATCAGCAAGAATTCCAGAGATACCGTTCTCATGGAGAGAAATCAGCCAGTTAAGGCCGGCCACCTGGTAATCTCTCATAGTTCCCTGAATGAATGAGGGCGACTCTCGAAAAACTGTTTCTGCGGACCCTCCGTGTTTCTCATCGCGGAGCAGCTCGGCGTCTTCCTCGGCTTCTGTCCGGCGACGACGATCGTTATTCGCACCACCTTGACGTGCACCGGCCTTCTTGCTTTTCGATGCCTCGGCATTTTGTCGATCGATCTCGGTCATGATTTCTCGGATCTTAGGATTGGGGTTCGTCTCGATGAAGTGGCGGAAGAGGTCTGTCAGACCCAACAGGTACCGAAAGCGTCGAATACTGTCTTCTTCCTGTCCAAAACCATCAGTTAACATCTGTCGAGAGCTAAAATATCATCAGTCCTTGAGATGCGCGCTAGCCTTACCTTTGATTCACCTAGCCTATCATGCTTCTTGCCGAAAATGCTGCGACGGAGTTGGTTGGCCTCGGACCGTCTCTTGCGACCATCTCCAATAGGCTCTCCGATAACGCTGCTGGCGGTGGTGTTCGCATTGGTGTCTGAATCAGTGTAGTCGGGAGTCTCATCGACTTCCTGCAAGTGTGTCAGCTGCGAGTTTTGTTTGAAGGGACTTCTAAGGTGCCCACTAAGGCAGAACGTAAGGAAGCCGCATAAATAATTTCAACGTACCATCTCACCCGCATGATGATTTTCCGGTGCATCAGACATTGACGCGTCAGTGTCGACCGCGGCTGCTCGAGAGCGAGAGGGCGCCATATTGCCGGCTGTAAATCACTTTACGCGACTTACACGCGTTTCGAATTGGTCTGTCGCGCGCACCAAGACGATTGATACTGTCTGGACCTTGAAGCTGGAGTTGAATGGAGGTGCTAGAGGGAATATCCAGACCAATGCTCCAGTGACTGTGTTGTAGCGCAAAGGTAGAGGGTCTGTAGATGTTTTTTAGGAGTCGTAGGGAAAGGTGGGATCCCTCCGCCGGTAGAGACAAATCTAATCAGGATTAGCGTGTTTTTCCCGTGTCAATCCCGTGCCCAGTAGATGGGAATGACTAAGTCATAGTCACACTTGTAGGAAGCGGGATAATGATAATCCGACAGCTCCATGTCCCATTTGGCAGTAGGCACTGGTCCCACTGAAATTCGGTCAGTTGGTCAGAACTAGCGCACTGACCACGAGGGGATAACGTCAAAGCCAACTGGGTCAGGTACCACTCGTAGGCGCTGATGGCTCTCGGTTAGGACTGCTTCCAGTGTCATGTGCTCTGCGGCGAGGTGATGTAGAGCTGACATTCTCCATCGATCAACTGCACTGATTCATCGCGATTTGTCTGATAATTCACATCAGCATCTCGTTTATCTACTGTGAATTTTTTTCCCGGCATAAAAGAGGACAGCACACACACTTGGCCAGCGCTGCAGCAATCGAGGTCACCACCGCCCTCTATCTCCCGACACCTGGGGGACCCCGTCTAGACCCCACTCCCAGCATCAAGATTTGTTCACCCAACAACCTCACATATATACACCGCTAGGTGCGGGACTTCCACTTCTCTCTCTTCGATTCGTTACTGACTCTCCTCAGTTAATCTGCAACTGGCGAAAGAAACCATGGATTCGATGCGAAGTCTCAACACCTCCCTTCCGGGCGCCTCGGCAGGAAAGCAGGCGACCCAAAATGACTCCCCTGAGCAGCTGCTCGATGCCTTCAAGGCTGCGGCCCTCTCAGTCACGAAACTCTACAAGACTTCTGCGGCCGCGCAATCTAAGGCCCGCATGGACGGCTACCAGGACTGTCTCGATGACTTGCTGGCATTCCTCGACAAGGAAAGAATTGGCTTGGGCGACGGCGATGGCTGGAGAATTCGAAGCTGGGCAACCGAGCGGCTTGAGGGCAGGGAAAGCTCCCAGAACGCGGAAAGTGACGACGAAGCGGACAAGCCAGAAACTACGTCGTCTCCTGAGCTGAACCGATCTAGCAGCGAAACGCAACTACGAGATGAGACTCAGATGAGGACAGACTCCGCACCGCCAAGTGCGCCCCCTCCTGCTGAGGAAGAGGAACCCGAGATTATGCCCATCACGGTGCCCACGCAAGACACCTTCACCTTTCAATCATCTCACCCATGGCCACCTCATCCTCCTCAGCAAGACGCATATCTTAACCTCGCAAACCTCGATCTGTCAGATTCTCGAACACACGACAACACAACAAACGCGAACCCCACATCTCGGACAACAAGACCACGTCATCCGGCAAATATCCCTCGATCGGCGTCAAGGCAAGGAAGTAACCTAGGTCGCGGTGCCGGATCAAAGCGAAAAATCAACTTTGCCGAAATTTTCGACCTGAGCAGCCTAGACAAGAACATGTTTGGCGGCGGACCCAAACGCTCTCGCCACACATGATCAATTGCGGACATCCGTCTCCTTTCTTCTTCTTCAGCGGCAAACATAGACGAGCTGTGAAGCCTGTTTGTTTTTGTCTGCAACGATTCTCGGGCAACTCATGACGGATCAAGCGAGCATCGACGCACGTTACGGGGGGAAAGGGAATCAAGCATACAGTGTGTCATGAAGCGGCGTTAGTTGGTTTTACGAAGGTGCATGGGTGGTGTTAGGTTAGGGACTGTTTTCGCGATGATGCCATAAAGGACGGCTAGCTAGTCCACGTCCATAGCTACATATATCAAATATCTCCTCTGTCAACAGTGCCAGCCATATCGCCATGGGAATAGCTGGCACTATGACTTGCAGAGGTAATGAACAACACTTTTTTTTTATCGCATATGTCGTCTTCGTAACTTCTTTTCTCGGGGCAAAGTTCTGCACAATGAAAATGCCATGTTTCAGTGTTTTAAGTGTCAGGTTCTACAGTGATAGCAAACAGGCCAGACATGTTTCACCCAATCATGAACGACTTGTTGTCGCAAACTTCAGCCTCGTCCTAACTAACCAGTGCAAGGGTATCGTCCAAACACCCGGAAACCCCTCAGCAGGACGTTTGAACAGCCAAACTCAAAAGGTCCCAGTTGAAGAGTCATAGGTGCCCCACATGCTTAGAATCTACTGGACTCTTCACGTTTGCCCCAGCCACTCTAATTGCACAGAGCTTCTAAGAGCGGCAGATCTTTCACAGATGGATCGGTATGAGGTGAGAATTTATGAAGCATAATCTCAAGACTATCAAACTATCAAGGTGCTTGACTCTCTCCAAGCCCAATGTGAAGGCTACCTAGTGTAAAACGGTCTCGGACAACTCACCGGCCCTTGCCACAACCTCAGACCCGATTCAGGCAAAGGGTGCCCTGTGGCACACTCCCCCCACCTTTAGTTTTAACCCCCACACGCACACTAGAGCAGTGCACTCGTTGGTTTATCAAAATTCTGGACTTCAGAATTTCCAACAAAATTCGACGACTTCTTTGATTGTCTTCTCAGGGAGGGTGGCCGAGTTGGTTATGGCGCCAGGTTAAGGTCAGCTTAACATCTGTTTCCTGGTGGGGCAACCCGCGCGAGTTCGAGTCTCGTCCCTCTCATTTTGAACTTTTACCTCTTTCACCAACCCATGGCATCTCAGGTGGCAAACCTTTTGTCCAGCTAGAGAGACCCTCGCAATGTTGTAACCTTTTACTACCCATGTTGGACGACTGAGCCAAAGTTCACTCTTCTCGCTTGCAATTTTATATCATTGTACTGGGTCCGCGTCTTCCACTACATGCACACTGTGCAAATACGCAGAACAAGCGTATATCGCATTCAATAAAACGCTCGCACATCCAGATCATGACCATATTGCGTTGAAAACTAGTGTCAGAACTCATCATTACCCCGTTTTGGTTTCTTTTAATCTTCGAGGCTCTCCACGATGACGACGCGCGCCCGCGCGGGGAGAAGAGATATCATCCCACCAGTCTTTCTGTTTCGCGGACTGCCCTAGGTTTTACAAAACCAATCTAACCATCCCCCAGAAGATTTCCCAAACGCCGTACTATGCAAGCCGCGAAGAAGACGAGAAAAAGGCCCCTTTTGTTTGAAACAAAGTCTAGTTCTCCTGTCGGTTCTTCCGTTCCCGCTCGACCTCGTACATGAAGTCAAAGTAGCCCTTGTCGAACTGATGGACACGAACGTAACCGTCTTCTCCTCCACTTGCGTAGCCCTTGCCGGTGGGGTCTGCGGCAACAGTGTTCTATTTAAAAGTTAGAGAGCGAAGCACAATGTTATGTGAAGTGAAGTTGGTGACTTACCAAGGGACCGAAGTGGCCACGGACTCTGCCAACCTCATCCTCGAAGATCTTGTGGTAGAATCTCGCCTCGAACTTTCCTTGTCTAGCCGAGGTACGGGTAACGTCCATGGCAGCTTGACCACCACCAAGGATGACAAAGTCCTTCTTGGGCGTGATGGTTGCACTGTTGAGAGGGGTATCGGCAACGTAGGTCTTAAGAACCTCCATGTCCTTGGCAGTAATGAGCTATTCTAGGTTAGCATCAAGTCTCCAGTAAATATCAGCTGATGAATGTACCTTGGCTGTCTTGTCCTTGCAAGCGGTGATGAAGTAGGTACGGTCCTCCGACCACTGGAGATCCGTGATGGGCGTGTTCAGCTCATGGACAGGCTCGTTGTAGATCAGGTCACCGGTCTATGGGAGATAGTCAGCAATACATTCCTGAGGCTTCCATATCGTTGTTCCCACCTTTGCGTCATACTGCGACACAGAACCATCCTCGTGACCAGCGATAATGTACTTGGTCAGGTAGCTGAAGCCGGCAACAGTGGCCTTGCTCTCGTCGCACACAATGGTCAGGACGCGCTCATCGCTCTGCTCGGCCTCGGGGTCGGGGTTGATGTCGACGACGATGATGTTGCTAAGGTAACCCATGCGCTTCTCCGTGACACCGAGCAGCTTGGTGCCGTCCTCGCTGAACTCGACACGCTTGACAGCGGTGGGGAACTCCCAGGTCTTAAGGTTCTTGCCCGTCTTGATATCCCAAAGGCGCATCGTGTTGTCGGCGGAACCGGAGGCGATCATGGTGCTGGTGGGGTCGACGTCAACGGTCCAGATGGCACCGACGTGGCCGTGGTAAGTGCCGAGACGCTCGCCATTGTGTGCGTACCAAACGCAAATCTGCTGGTCCTTGGAGACGGAGAAGATGAGATCACCGTCGTTGTTGTATCTGTATATGGATGACGCGACGAGTTAGCAGCTGTATGTAGCCCCTCCTCTGCCCAGACAGTAAGGGTGAGGTGAAAAAGCCCTGGGCCTCCTTGCCCCCTCCTCAAATCAAACAGTGTTGCGCAACGTACCGAATCTGGGTGAGCGCACGCTCGTGGCCTGCCAAAAGAATGGGCCTCATATTGACTGATTTCGGAAGTCTGCAATTCTCGGTCTCGGGGCAGCTGAATGGGGGCGTTTGTTGCGGCAGGGGACGTCGGTCTTTAAAGGCTTGCAATGTCGTCGGGGATCGTGAATTTTTGTCCTTCAACTCGACATTGTGGGTTTCGGTGCACTAGTGTGGGGCGCACTTTTTTCCCCGCGACAATTCTGCCGTCTGAGGTGAGCAGGATTCACCGCCTCAGCCTCAGGCACTGGCCAGTGCCCTGAGCTTTGGGGCATAGCAAGTGTGGCAGGTGGCAGGCGGCAAGCCTGGTTGGCCGATTTGTTTCGAGTCACTAGATTTGCGGCGCTGCTTGATGACTCTAGCGCGTCCAGCCCGCTACGCCACTCAAGGAAGCTCCCGAGCTCCCAGTGAAGCTCTATGCTCCTTCAAGCGCAGTGATCATTTGCCCTACTCATCGCCCATCACAGCATCGACAAGAACAGCCCCTTGGAAGGGTTCGACTCATCGTTGACTCACATTCATTACCAGAGGGTGTCACTGCATCTTGGGCCCGTCATCCACCACCAACTCGAGCTTTCGAAACCTTCCACCTCTTTCGTCTGATCTTCCTAAGGCGGGTTTTCGCGAAAGGATCAGGCCACCCTTCTTTGTGTTGTACTCTGTATCATATTGTATCTTTACCCCTATTTCTCTTCGCTTTTGTCCTCCGACATTGTCCTTCTACCTACGGCGCTTAGTTTCTGTACTCTTTGGCTGTGCATGCCAGTCAAACGGTCTCGCGCAACAACATCGTAGAGAGAGCGGCGTGTACACTATTTGACTTTGGTTACAATACTCGGACAGGGCAACCTGTGTTATTGGGTGGCTTTAATACCCCAAGCCTGGCGGCGACGGCTTATCAGCATTCAGCGGGACTCGGGTAGTAGCCCGAATTTTCTCGGCCAGTTCTCAAAGTGCTGATCCCGATTTCCGTGGGCTTTTTTGGGACAAATTGCATAGAGCTAGGATCAGGGAGCCGCCTATCAGTCATACGCGACTCATCGCACACACGATCAAGGAGTCAGAGGCTCGCTTAGGTCCACTGAAGGAGGATTAGCTGCCCTGCAGCACAGGGCGCTTAGGGGGGATTAAGAAGGTGGTTGAGGATTGAGGGTTCGGATAGAGAGCCGAGATGCCCTCTCTGTGTCGGCTGAGGGGCAGGCGCTGGCCGCACCTGCATGCAAGAATATCCAATCTAAGCGCTTCCAGACTGCACACTGGAGCTGAAGCAGCACCAACATCAGCATCCACGGGAGCCATATCCGCACCAAACTCTTTTCTACAGGCTTCCGTACACCCCCGGCCACAATTCTTTCTCGGGGAAGATACCGGACTGTCTCTGTCAAGCCGTCAGTCCTGCAAGGCACTCAATCCCGAGCTTGGCCGTCATCCACCACCCCTCATCCTCGCTGCTCCCACTTACACACAAGCTGACCGTTTGGCCGCGGCGAACATCTCAACTCTTACACATCTTTCTTCCCAACCTTTCTCAAACGTTGCATTCAGACCGCCGCGAGATCGAGTTACGTCTCTGGCCCCCTGGCATTCATCCCGTCCATTTACGGCAAGGACCCTGGGTTCCTTGGATAGAATTTTCCCCAATCGGTCTTTTGCAACCACAACGCCCGCCATGGTCGCGACCAAGATTGATGGCACCGCCATTGCCAAGAAGATCCGGGAGACCATCGCCAACGACATTCTTGAGAAACAGAAGGCGAACCCCAGATTCCAGCCGACACTTAAGATTATTCAAGGTATATTGCTCGCCCAACAGCTTGTCAAAAAGGTCGTTGTTAGGCTAATAAGATTCCTTCACAGTCGGCGATAGATCGGACTCTGGTATGTTGCGACATCTTTGCCCCACCTTGAATTTTGTCGCGATGTTGACAACCCCGCAGCCACCTATGTGCGCATGAAGGATAAGGCTGCCAAGGAGGTACGCGCTCGCCATTGAATCCGTTCCGTCTCGATTTCTGTTGATACTAATCTTTGCACTCAGGCAAACATTAGCTGTGAACTGATTCACTTCCCTGAGTCTATTTCCGAGCCCGAGCTCCTTGACCGTATTTACCGCCTGAACGATGACCCCTCCGTCCACGGCATCTTGGTGCAATTGCCTCTACCCAAGCACCTCGATGAGTACACCATCACTTCTGCCGTTGCAGACGAGAAGGATGTCGATGGCTTCGGCACCAGGAATATTGGCGAGCTTGCGAAGAGGGGCGGTCGTCCTATCTTCGTACCATGCACCCCCAAGGGTGTCATGGTCTTGCTGCAGGAGGCTGGCGTTGACTTGAAGGGCAAGAACGCCGTTGTCCTTGGACGCAGTGACATTGTTGGCAGCCCTGTCAGCTACCTTCTTCGCAACGCTGACGCAACTGTCACTGTATGCCACTCTAAGAGCCAGGACCTGAAGGAGCACCTCAAGGCCGCTGACGTCGTTGTTGCTGCCATTGGTCAGCCCGGTTTCGTTAAGGGCGAGTGGCTCAAGCCCGGTGTCGTCGTTATTGATGTCGGCACCAACTATATTCCCGATGCTACCAAGAAGTCTGGCCAGCGTCTCGTTGGAGATGTTGACTACGAGTCGGCGTCCCAGGTTGCTTCTCACATCACCCCTGTTCCTGGTGGTGTTGGTCCTATGACCGTCGCCATGCTCTTGCACAATGTTGTCGACTCGGCGGCGCAAGCCTTCGAAAGAGAGAAGCAGAGAAAGATTGTTCCTCTGCCCCTGCACCTCAAAGAGCCCGTTCCCTCCGACATTGAGGTCTCCAGGTCCCAAAACCCCAAGCAGATTACTCGTTTGGCGAAGGAGGTGGGCATCGCGTCCCACGAGCTTGAGCCGTACGGAGCGTACAAGGCAAAGGTCGACCTCAGCGTATTGAAGCGCCTTGATCATCGCCGCAACGGCAAGTACGTCGTCGTCACTGGTATCACCCCTACGCCCCTTGGTGAGGGCAAGTCAACCACGACCATGGGTCTCGCACAGGCCCTGGGTGCTCACCTGGGCCGTGTTACTTTCGCCAACGTGCGCCAGCCCAGTCAAGGTCCCACCTTTGGTATTAAAGGAGGAGCAGCCGGCGGTGGCTACAGCCAGGTCATTCCCATGGACGAGTTCAACCTCCATCTGACTGGTGATATTCACGCCATTACTGCAGCAAACAACCTCCTCGCGGCTGCTATTGAGACTCGCATGTTCCACGAGGACACTCAGAAGGATGGTCCTCTCTACAGACGTCTTGTGCCTGCTAAGAACGGCAAGAGGGAATTCGCTCCTGTCATGTTCCGCAGACTCAAGAAGCTGGGCATTGACAAGACCAACCCCGATGACCTCACGGAAGATGAGATTCACCGCTTTGCTCGTCTGGACATTGATCCTGAAACCATTACATGGAGACGCGTGCTTGACGTCAACGACAGACATTTGCGAGGCATCACAGTCGGTGTCGCGCCTACTGAGAAGGGCCATACTCGCTCTACGGGCTTCGATATCTCAGTTGCTAGTGAATGCATGGCCATTCTTGCGCTGAGCACTAGCTTGGATGACATGCGTGAGCGCCTGGGTCGCATGGTCATTGGTAGCTCCAAGAGCGGTGATCCTGTTACTTGTGACGACCTTGGCGCTGGTGGAGCTCTGACTGCTCTGATGAGAGATGCCATCAAGCCCAACCTCATGCAGACGTTGGAGGGAACTCCAGTGTTCGTGCACGCTGGTCCTTTTGCCAACATCAGTGTTGGCAACAGCTCTATCTTGGCCGATAAGATGGCTCTCAAGATTGTCGGTACTGAGCCCGACGAGGACCACTCTGAGAAGTCTGGTTTCGTCGTCACTGAGGCTGGCTTCGACTTCACTATGGGCGGAGAACGATTCTTCAACATCAAGTGCCGTGCTTCTGGCCTTGTGCCTGACGTGGTTGTTGTGGTTGCTACTGTTCGTGCTTTGAAGGTTCACGGTGGCGGTCCCCCTATCGCCCCCGGCGCGCCTCTGGATGCTGTCTACAAGCAGGAGAATGTCGACATTTTGCGCGCTGGCTGTGTCAACCTGCGCAAGCACATTGAAAACGCCAAGTCCTACGGTGTCCCTGTTGTCGTGGCCATCAACAAGTTTGTCACCGACACTGACGCTGAGATTTCTGTCATCCGCGAGGAGGCCATTGCCGCTGGCGCTGAAGATGCTATTCTCTCCAACCACTGGGCCGAGGGTGGCAAGGGCGCTATTGACTTGGGTAAGGGTGTTATTGCTGCCAGTGAGAAGCCCAAGGACTTTAAGCTCCTCTACGATCTCGAGGGCACCGTCCAGCAACGCATTGAGACCATTGGCCAAAAGATGTATGGTGCTGCTGCTGTCGAGTTTAGCGAGCTGGCTCAGAAGAAGGTCGACACCTATACCAAGCAAGGCTTCGGAAACCTGCCAATTTGCGTGGCGAAGACCCAGTACTCTCTTTCCCACGATCCCAACCTGAAGGGCGCACCTACCGGTTTCACCATCCCCGTCCGGGACGTGAGAATGGCCGCCGGTGCAGGCTACCTGTAAGTGAACTGGACATGACCCAACCAAAGATTAATATTAACGTACCCATAGATACGCGCTCGCTGCCGATATCCAGACCATCCCTGGTCTGCCTACTGCTCCGGGCTACTTGAACGTCGATGTCGACACCGAGACCGGTGAGATTGATGGCTTGTTCTAACCGCAGTACCCTTGTGGGCACAATGGGTTGAGGCGCCTCTGGACTAGTTATAGAGTGATTTGATTTACGTGGGAATGGGAATGGGAAGCGGCATTCCGGTGGCATTTATTCAACAAATGGCGCTGGGGAATATGGAAAGAAGATCAGCATCTGTTCAACAATGATACCTCCTCTCGGCCTGTAAAGGACCTCCTTTGAATAGAAATGGACTATTCAAATGCATTTACAATCTTCACACTTCGCGTGTCTAAACTTTTGCATGACCTGCTGCGAACAATGTCTGTAAAACCTCTAGGGGTTTGAAGGGGATACCCCAGCGTCCGGCAAAAAGGATGAATATGCCACATACTGGAACATTCTGCAGTGTACCACTCGTCGGCGGGGTCGGATCTTGCCGGTCGCTTCTCACAGGCAGCTTATCTACCCACTTCCTTCGCCAACGCCCAGCTTGTGGCGCATCGTTCTTCAACCAAGTGGCTTGAACTCCAAACCCCCTTCCCATCTCGGCGAAATTTTAGATCTTCATCTTCCCCTTGCCAAAATTCATGTAACCTTATTGCAAGACACACGTATTGGCAACCTCGGCGGTGGAATCTGGCCGGCGTATTTCTTTCAAGGGGTCCCAAGACACGGCAAGGTACGGGACCACGACCTCCGCGTTTCCTGCATGAGATCAACAACACACACGTACACCCACACCGCCGAGGCCAGCTTTGAATTACGACGTAATCCCATTTATATTGATACCGGACCTGATGATCACTGTCCCGTGACCGCCTGGTCTGATCCCCAACATCTTAGTCACCTCAGTCGTTAGGGTTTCATTGATAATCCTGCTTCACACCCTTTTGCCTGCCCGGCCCCCGGATTTCGGAAACACTAACCGAAGGCATTCGATCTCTGCTATCGAAAGCCAAGCTTTCCAGCTCTATTCCACATGCACGTACGCATGCAAGAATTATCGGTCTCTTTTCTGCTTATGTGTCCGGTGGTGGTGGTGATGGTGGTGGTGGTCAGCTCGCTTCGGATGCTGCCGGACGTAAGCTGTTAGCTCTAACGATGCTGCAATGATTTCTTGGTATCGTTCGAGATTAGAGTTGAAAGGGTGTATCTATTTCCCCTGTGTGGCAGTTGCATGCGTGCAAAGGTGTTTGTAAATGTGTGGGTGTGCCTGGTGTTGTAGGTTGGACATATACCAGCGACATCGTGATCGCCAAGGTGGAAGAAGATAGGCCTAGCTTCATATACATTTTCGCATGGTTTTCTCCTTGTTTCGTGTGTTCAATCGGGTTCAGAGCTCGGTAGAGGCTGTTCCGGGATTGGTAGAAACGCAGCGGCCCGGGGAGACGGGGTAGCCTCCGCCTTGGCTATGATGGGCAACAGAGATCTAACGGTCATACACACGTCGACATGGAACGGTTGGCCCTTGCTTCGGTAGCCGTAGATCTGTGGGCTTGCAGCTACCTTTACCGTGTTTTTTTTTTTTTTTTCTCACAAGCACCGCGAGCGGTTCTCTAATTCTTCAAGTAAGGGTGAATTCATTACGCGCAGTATTTCACTTTCAAGGCACAGAATCACTTCGTCATGATAACTGTGATCTCTGAAATCTCAAGGTTTTCTCTGTATGAATCAACGAAATACAGGCGGCCACGAGGCTCAGCATCTGTAGGGTATGAACGCGCATACAGCTCTCTAACCGTTGAAAGCATATCCATAGTAGGGATCTGCCCAAAAATGCAACGGACCCAATCCTAGCCCATATCTACTCCCAACACCAGAAAAGTTTGCAATTATGCACAAGAAAAGCCTGACGACATAGTCAGGAAATTGGTTATGTCTAGCCAACCTGCTTTGGTGGTAGCTGACTCCCTTGTACTGTGCTAGTCAAATTACCATCCGAACTGCTCGCAATGCAACTCGACCGCAGGACCAGAAGTACGAATGTTCAAGGCTGTGGTGTTCCGAATCTGGGTCATCAGGGACTCCGGGCCGCAGCCCATGATGAGAACACGCTGATTGGAGGGTGTTTCCTCGATTGCCTTGCTTATGATCTTGGAGACATCAGGCCGGCCGTAATTGATAGGGATACCGAAAATGTGAGGACCCATTTCTACTTGCTGGACCGGTGTGACCGGGGTGGCAAGTTCAGATTCGCTGCCGGATTTCTCGGGGTCTGAAACGCTTCGGGTCAGAACCTTGGGTGGCTGCTTGGGAGCGTGCGTGATGTCGAATTTCTCAGGCGAAGTAGTGAACGGAGTAGAAGCCTCGGAGGAAAAAGTGCCTGACCGAGATCTGTCTACCTGCGTCGCATTGTCTTGCGATAAGGTTTGGCTTCCGGGACTGCGAGTGACATAGAGTTCAACAGAAGAGTTGAGCGCGTGGCGGATAGTGGCGAGAGAGCTAGAAAACCACTCCAGGCGTGCTTGGGAACATTAGCTTTTTCCTTCTTTGGGAAAACTATGGCGAGAGAAACAGGGCGGAGGACATACCGGGATCTTTCACCATCCAGACAAATACAATGCTGTGCTTAGAACCTTGCTTGATTCTCTTCAAAAGATTGAGAGCTGTGCCGAATGTAAAACTTGCCCCGCTACCACCTGCAATCATAACAATCTTGTCGTAGTCCACTGCGTCGGGGAAGGTACCATAAGAGCCTTCGACAGACGCTTTGACTGTCGTACCGGGGTTACAAGAGGCATACTCGTGGAGATCGCTTGTGAACCCGTCGTATGAGTTGATGACGAACTCCAGGGGGTCCATGCTAGCAATGGTGAAAGGGTGCATCTCAAAGGCACGGATTTTGGGGATCCAGAGGAAGCAGTGCTCGCCAGAGTTTGCGAGTAGAGGCGCCTTCTTCAGAACAACACGCGTGCCTCCATGGGGCAGAGGGTGAAGGGTGGCGGTGTTGTTGAAGCTGTAAAAGACAACGCGGATAAACCGCAAGATACGGTCAAAAAGCCAAAAGCCCATGCCCAACACTGTAATAACAATTATCTTTTTGGTCATTTCAGGCTGGTGCAAACCGACAAGCACCATGGAAATAGCAAAGAACGACACATGGAGGATGTAGAACAGCTCGTAGTACCATAGTCGTACAATTGCGCCAGCAAGCACAAGAGTAAGAAAGGTGAAACCTGATGCGATTCCGTAGATTTCCTCGTGAACTCGAAGGCGGGCGAGGTTACCCGATTGGATGAAATAGGAAGAGTAGGTGGCTCCGTGTAGTATGATGAGCGCCATGGTGACATATCCAGCAATTTGATGGAGGACGTTCAGTCGCTCATAAGACCAGGCGGTAAGGTAACCAAGTGGAGTATTCTTCATGCTCAAGAAGATGACAAACAGAATATTGGCAATGGCAAGCCTACAGTTATTATTAGCCTTTTGCAAGAGACAGCATATTCAGTCAGAGAGCATACCATCCAGCGCGGGCTCCAAAGACCGTAAGGTACGGCAGTACGGAGTCGTCGAGATAGGTGACTGCCAGGACAATGTTGATCAAGACGTAGATGATGGCAACGGCGGCATGGCCAACGGAAGGCAAGCCAGGAAACTTGAGGACAGACCATCTGCGAATTACTCTGGGTTTTGGTTAGATCATCTGTGTGTGTGACTTCCCGTGAAGTGGTGAATTTTACTGAGTCTTACCGAGATACAAAAATGAAGGGCTTTGAAAGACCTGAGAGCTTTGCAGCAAGACCACTCTTCTGTGCGGCGAGGCGACTGAGGTGAAAGACCATGAATACACCCATGAGGGCGCACAGAATAATGGCGTACCAGGTCATCGCCTCTTGATTCATGTGCGTCCGCTTGGCGAACAGCGCCGGGAAGGCTGAAGGACCGCCTGCCATTGTGAAGGATCGTGAAGTAGTAGTGTAAGACTATCGTGATGCCCAACAAAGTAAGTGTAAGTGTGGTAGTGATGGGGCAAAATAAAGTGATCGGCACAAACTATGATGTTAAAGAAGGTGCCAAGTTTATACCAAATGGTATTATTGCGATGGGTTGAAGAAAGAGAAAAGGGAAGGATGAAGAAGAGCCCGGTTGATATGGAAAGCACGGGGGTCTTTGTGTTTTTCAAATTGTGTAAAAGGTTTAGAGTTGGCCAGGAAGGTGCAAGGTCCAGATGACTCAGCTGTAGTGTGTGGCAGCAGGATCAGGAAAGCACATGCAGACAGAAGTAAGTGAGGTGTGAAGCATGAAGGAGTAACAAGGCAAGTAGAGGTGGGGCAATAGATGGGTGCAGGAACGGTAAAGCAAGGTAAGAAGGAGCAGGGCGTAGCTTCCCTAAAGCTAAAGCAGACATTTTCCTGACCTCATGGCTGGAACAGCTGTTGCAAGGTTTGGCAAGAAGGGATCTAGGAAGGAAGAGTCAGCGTCTAGTTCCACAGAGCGTTCCTGCCTTAATTGTCCAGATCCCTCCCCCCATGCTTGCCTTATTCAGACGAACTGACGGCGTATCTACATTTTGAAAGGAGGGGTGGAAACAAAAGACGTTGCTAGTCTAGAAGAGAACAAATGGGGTGCCAATTTACCTCACTTCACCTCACCTCACCTTGCGTGAACTTACACATCCATCTGGAAGTTCCCATTAACCCGCTGGCATGGATGAAAGCGGTTGACTTACCGTTCGTGGGCCCCTGGTGGCGCTCTTCGACTCTTTGCTTTTCTTTCTTTAAAGATTCAGACAGAGAAATAATGATGGTAATGATGACCCGTTACAGTAATTGAGGTTTCAGAAATACTCGTAAGTGATGTAGTAGCCAGGAATGAAGGATATCTTTGTAGACCTTCCTATCGTGGGACGGCTAGCCGCTTGACCATGCAGGCCCCTCGACTACTTTTCCTATGCATATCACGCACACATACTGCACTTCTGAGACCTTACACTAGGGGCAGGTTATCAAGTTCATGGCATGTAAGACATGTGTTACGTTCCCCAGCTGGACGGGTTCCTTTGCCGGCAATGATGAAGTCCCGTCCTCTACACAGGGCTAAGCACTAATCAAGGCCTGACCATTCTACACACCCACAAACTGCCTCTGGATAGTTGCTTCGGAATAACCACTTGTGGTCTGAGCAGGATTCGTTGATACGTGGACACATTTCTAGACGAGACCCAATGGCAGGATGACAGCACAAGCCTCGAAGGGATATCGGCTGCCAGTAGCCGGTGCTACCTAGAGAGAGAAACTTCCCCGCGAAATGAAGCTAGGATAGTGGGGAAAAAAGAGAAGAAAAAGGGGCATATTGTTTGCTGTGAGAGGCCACGGGATGGCATCACGTACCAGAGTATTGGTATGTGTGATGTGGGTTTCTTTGCCAGAAACAGAGAAGCGCAATATCTTGCTCCATCTCGGCCGGCAGTCTGCCTTGTTTTGTCAGCTTGACAAAGCCTTGAAGACAGGATAAGCAGTGCGAGGTATATAGTGAAGTATAGTGAAGAGAGGTGTGGCCGGGACTAAGGTTGCAGCAGCAGGCAAGCGACGTTGATTGAGGTTGAAGTAGAGTGGTTTTGTGGCGCGGGATACTTGAAGCAAGGGGGGCTTAGTGGGAGAACTCGGCCGTCAACATCTGCTGCGTGCCGTGGACCGTCATGTGTGGACCATGGACCCTCGGGCACCCTCGCTTCGCAACCAAAGACGGAAGTCCGGGGGGTGTTGACACAATTTGGATAAATTAAGTCAACCACGAAAAGAATGAGGCAACCCCGAATGCTTGAGCAGAGACGCACGAGAGACATGTTGACTCCACAAACCAGACTCAGCCATGATCGTAGGAATGTCATGGCTCGGGACCAATCTGCCTCCAGGCTGTGGCTTTCGAAATGGAGCCCTGATATCAACGTGCCTATCTGCGTCTTACAGATAGATTGACTTGCCTAGATGGGACAGAAACAAGGTTGTCGACGCCGCCATACGGCCCGTGTTTCTCGGTACAGACTCGATTTTTGCATGTTTGAGCTTCCCTGTGAGTGGCACATGCCGGCTGGCGCTTCTTAGCCACCTACTGAATAAGTGACCCTGGTTTTGTCGGCTTTGCTGAATTGAGCCATGTCTGCCGCCAGTCGTGATCTTCCTCGCAGCACACCCTACACGCCTTTCACCCCCCGAGAGGGTAGGTCGTCAGACTCTTGGCACGAGTTTTCTGCGCGCCCGATGATGGAAGATGCCGTGCCAGTGGGGGTTACTCGACTGGGACGCCGGAGCCGGGGGCAATAAGACGAGATCGGTTCGACGGGAGGGCGGGAGAGTGGGACACGGAGTATCAACAGTGGTGGCGTGGGCTTGGGCTGGGCGGCCAAGCTAGACGTACAAGGTCAGCGCAGGAGGCCTGTCTCGTCATCTGCTCTTGGGTCCGATGATGCGCCAGCAACACAAATGTGATATGATGCGACGAGACGCGCCTGGCCAGGCTCTTGGTGCACCTCGCCGCTCCAAATTCGTCAACAGACACCGCCGTGTCATTGCTTGTTAACGCCCCATTGCCGGAACCAGCCGCTGTTGGTCAAAGGAAGTGTTTGGGTAGGACCAAAATGTTTACGTAGTGCCGTGTGCCATTCAATAAGGAAAAACGAGGGTAAAATGACAGGGGTGGCCCAAGGATATCTAGCCAGGTCAATTAATCTAATCAATCTGGAATAGAAGGCGGCGGCGAGAGGCATAAGGTGTTCTTTTCGGTCGGTGGTACTGGGGCCGGTTGGTTGGGGCCAGGCGGACAAATAGCTGCTCCGAGCCAGGATGCGGTGGTATCGCGCGAATAGTTGTGTTGCATTGCGTTCCAGACTTTTCGTCTGACTGACGAGCTCCTCGTTTTTCTCGCTTCTGTGTCTAGCCCTCGGCGAGCTGGCACCTTTGGTATGAGATGGACTGATATGTCCAGGAGAGAAATGTCTTACTGCGGCAGCCATGGCGATCTGCCACCATCATACCTTAAAAAAAAAAAAAAAAAATTAAGAGACTAGAGGCCGGATTCGGTGTGTCAGATAGGGATCGACTGAGAAGTTGGCAGACTAAGCTCATGTAGCATCGTTGGGCGTCATCCCTGGGTGAAGGCTCTCCCGTTTACCAACAAAAGTTTACGGCAATATCACACGCCACGCAATAAATCTCTCGTCAATCCATTCCTATGCCCACGTTTGGACTGAGACAGCTGACGCGCGCACCGTTGACGCAAATGAGGCTCGAGAATATGCCGTTCCCGAGACCGGGTTAAGGGGTTGTTAACCTGGAACACATTGGGATGCAAAAGACAAGATTGGCCTATCGCTTGGAAGAGGCGCAGAAGGCTAAGCGAAGAGAAGAGTCATGTTGATGGCGCTGAGACGACTTGGAGGAGCAATGGTTTGGAAGCAATTAAAGACACCCGCGCGGTTGAGCAAGGTGCGCTATGTGTCGGAGAACTTGGCATGTGGTGATGCGAGGATACCTTCCTTTTTGCATTCTTGACCGTGTGCGACACCCGTACACCCATAATTCCTGCTTTCCTGGACCCCGCAGACTCTTCCTCGTTTATCAATTAAACTTCTCGTCTACCACCGACATTAACCTCACCTACCCTACCATTACTCTGGTGTAACCGGATCTGTTATTGCTGTTATTGGTCGGTTCCACTTCTTCGTTCCAACGTTCAACATAAGCCGATCGTATCTTCATACTTCGCCGCCCCGGTCAACCGGGAAACACATGAATCAGCACGCCACATCCCAAAAACAGAGTTAGACGCCACTTAGTTCCTGGCTCAGCATGGGGATCACAGTATCTTGGCGAGTAGGATGAGGGTTGGCGATGGGTCTAGACTTCCCGGAGATTACCAATCGATAAGCAGCATCAACAACAAACAAATCCCTGGCATTCGCTCTCATATATTGGTTTAAGCTCTCCGGATCAAACTATTGTGTCGATCAACCGTCCCAGACTCCCGTACCGAATCCATCCTTGGCGTACACTTCCAAGTCGTCCTGTATTAAACCCCAAGAAGTTGCGGATATATCCCTAACGCCGTCTGCTGCTGTATGGCTGTAGCGAGTTAGCTGCCTCCTGTGTCAACTCTATCTCTGCCTGTAGTTGCCCTTCCACTTCCATAAAGTGATGATACCTTACTCCTGGCTCGCTTTTATGGTGTGTTTGGCAACGTTGCGATTTGTACTTGCAGTCGCAAACGTGCTGTGGTTGATGATCACGCTTGGCCAACTCGAGCTGTAAATGGTCCTTCAGAGCCGTCCACGAGTTGCCTCGTTCGCCATCGCCGTGTGCCATCTCCGCGGCAATGAAGCAGCGTTTGGCGGTATCAAGAGTCTGTGACACGATCTCAGAAAACTCGGCGCCAGCATGTCGATAAATTGCAACGAGCTTCATGTTGGCGTATGCCTGGAGGTAATTGATGGATCGACGAGCTTCAGCTCCATGGAAGTCGGTCTTCCACGGCCCAAGCGACTGATCCCATTTTGACAGTTCGCCTAGCATCTCCACGGCATGTTGCCACTTATTGCGTCTGAGAACCGTCACCACGTCGGCTCTTCTTCTCTGGAAAGTAATCAACCTCCAAAAGCCCTCAATATCCTTCTCAATCGCCTCTTTTGGTTTTGTTTCAGCAGAGGTCTTTCGTTCGCCCTTGCGAGTCTTGGCCAGTACAATGTTCTTCATGAAATGGGTCATTGATGCCTTTCTCACTTTGCTGACTTTCGCAATGGAGTCGCTTTCCACTTTGACGACCGCGTTGAGGAGCTCTCTTTGGAGCCGAGAAATTCTGCTCCTCTCCTGAGACTCGATAGAGTCCTCTGCGGTTGTAACGACGTTGCCATCCCATAATGACCATCGTTCCGCTTCGTCCCTTTCCTCCAATTGTAGTTTCAGCTCGCGAACCTGGTCGTCCAGCTCCTTCGCAGCTTGTTCGCTATCTATTACCGCTTGCCGCAAGCGTTTAAACTCAGCCTCGGCCTTCCTTGCTTGTTTCTCTGCATCTTTGCATTGAAGTTCAAGGATTTCCAACTGGGCCTCTTTTGTCTTCAGCCTGCTGGCCATCGACTGATCTGTGTTGTTGGTCAAACCGGCTACAGCAACTTCATGTTCCTCTCGCTGCTTCCCAATTTTGACTTTGTAAATTTCAATTTCTTTTCGAAGCTCGTCAGTCTTCATTTTCATTTGTTGTTCGAGCGACTTGATGAAGCTGACGTTTCTCTTCGAGTCCTTCTCTCGACCTTCATTAATGTGAAGAGTCAAATCTTTGACTTGCCTCCTGAGAGATCGGATCAAGTCCTCTCGCCGTTCTGTCTCGTACGCGTCCTCTTTCTGTATACGACGAAGGCGAGCTTTTTTATGTTGTTTCATCACGGCTAGGTGGTTGTTGAGATTTTCCTGCACGAGAAGCGTTGTTTCACTCAATCGTTTGACAGACATGACCACCAGTTGGAGGTCATTTAGAATGGCCTCCGGTGGTCCAGCGTTCTGGAGGAAGTCTACAGGGTTCTTTAAAAGGGCAGCCAGTTCATCGATACGGCTTCCTTGTGACTCAAGCATTTGACATAGATACTGCAGCTCATCGTACATTTCGCCGTGGACAAGATTCCTGTATTTCTTGATGTGAGCGAGCGCCGCTTCGAATTTGTCGTTCTGAATCTGGTCGAGTGCCATTTCGGCTTGCTCCATTTTGCGTGTCGTCAACTTGAGTTTGAGGTAGCTCCTTTTCATCCACTTCTTCTGCTCTCGGAGCTTTTTGTCTTTCTCGTGGTGTTGCTGCTCCAACGAACGGCAGGTGACGCACTCAGACTTGGAATCCTCGAATTCCGCTTCCTTCTGCTTAATTACTAGTTGGCTAGGAAGGCCAGCCTTTGCGTTGAAAGTTTCGGTGGCAGTCTGCAACGGAGAGTTTGGCATTGAAAGGCTTGGCGAATGGCTTCTCGACACGTCTGGTTCCGCGTAATTGGAGTTAACCTCGTCGGTGATGTCAGGAATGGTAGGCTCGGGCATTCTGTCCACCTCATTGACCATCGACCTGGCTCGTAACTTGCGTGTCTGGTGTTGGAAGTCGGCGATCCGCTTTAAGTCTTGAAGAGAGTCACCCAAGGTCCCCTCCACTGCCTTTAGCTCCTCATGGATTACTTTCAGCTTTTTAATAGTCTTTCCATCTTCTTCTTTGTCAACCCGGATCCAACTCACAAGATTCTCGGTTCTGTTCAGAAGCCAGTTATGAAAATTCTGGCAGCCCCTCTCGATGTCCAAATCAGCCTCTCTCAGACGACCGAGGTCTTCAATCAGAACCGTGTTCTTGCTTTCAATTACATCATCAAGTCGTTGGCGTTCATCCAACGACCACATGAAGTCTTCATATAAGGGCTTCCATTTGTCAAGGCTGATCTTGACTTCCTCAGCAATTTCTTCGGCATTGACCCATTTGCCCTTGTTCGTGCGAATCAAGTCGTTCTCTATCTCAGTGACTTCATTCGCTTTTTGCAAAACCTCCCGCATAGTTCGAATAGCAGTGAATTTCTCATTATTGATGTCCAGTCCTGTAGACCCTCTCTTCGCAGAACACCTCTTTTCGCAGTCTTCAAGCTTGCGTTGAAGGAGGGTACACTCCATCTGTCTTCGTTGTCTCAGTCTTGCTTCCTCTTGGAAAGATGTGTACATTAATCGTCCAATTTGGTGGATCATCCGGTTGACAAATGGCGCCTTCACCCACTCTCGCCCCTGCATCCACTCAAGAAGTGCGGAGATCATGCCATCTGTCGATGTTTCCAGGTCAAAGATGGAGTAGTAGTCCTCGTCGGAAATGCTTTCGCCCGTACGCTGCTCGAAGTCCATCTTACGCAGCTCGGCGGCCTTGTCTCGAGTGTATTCTGGGTAGCGGTGCGCCTTCGAGAGCAGGGATTCGGAAGCATCTGGTGTGAGTCTGAAAATGGAGATGTACTGCTCTTTGATAACACAAATTTCAGTGTCAGTCAGGGAATTCGGACGGATAAACAGGTGGGGGCGATTTGGTGCGCCAGGGGAAGGAACGCGGACAGGGTGGTTGTCAAAGCCAGGACCGATGCGAGGAGGTTCAGTTTTGTACGCTTTAAGGGTTGGCGTATCGGGATCTGGCAAGGATGTGTTTTTGGTCTGGGGTTGGGCTGTGTGTGTTTGCTTGTCTTCTTTCTGGGAATCTGGTGATTGAGCAAGAGCCTCATGGATTCGGAGGGAAGGGATAGATGGTGTTTGTGGTGAAGTTACAGAGGCGCTTCGAGTCAAAGTTCTAAGGGTTGCTTGATATTCAAGGGTAGATACGGCTTGAGGCGAAATAGACTTGGGACCAGGAGCCTGCCAAACATCGCTGGCAGAACGTGTTGGAATGAGCTTACGGACGTCTGATTCGAAACGTTTTCTCTTGGGCGGGGACTTTTCCGGTGAATTTTCGGTGCAAAACTCATATTTTGATCTGTTTGGTCTGATAATCGTACCAAGCTGAGGAAAGGGCTCCGTAACAAGATTTGTTTGCTCTGATGCCTGATGTGGAAGCGGTGGCAATGGGCGACGAGGGTTTTCAGGAGTTCGATCGGACTCGAAAGGCTGTCTTAGAACGCTTGTGACCTCTGAGGTCGGTAATTTAGGGGGAGTTGTTTGACTGTTTGGTATTTGAGGAGGGGTGGTGGGCTGTGGGTGGCGTTCATCGCTCTGTCTGGATGAAGGCAGACAGCTTCGGTCATCGCTCTGACTGGCCTCAAGAACATCGGGATGGCTTTCTCGGGCGCCACCATCGTGAATTCGAGCTGGACTGTGAGACTTTTTGGCATCTCCTTTCCAAGAAACGGATGAGGCCACTTCAGAGCTCGCCGCAGCTTCTGAGGAAAGGACATTGGAGTCAATTCTCTGGTTGTGAGGCCGATTCTCGAGTCTTGGAGGGGGAGAGATATTAAGAATTGAGCCATCATCAACTTCAAGAGGACTGATAATGTCGGATAATGCGGCTACACGTCTAGGAGTCGGGGCAGGGAGCGGTGAGGAGGCCATGTTGTTTCTCTGAAATGCCTCTCGGCCGACTGGGAAAACAGAAGGCACATCACCGTTAGACCTACGGCCTCTGAACTGCGGATCAGGATCAACAGTGGCCTCTCTGGGATTACCTGCTCCAAGACTAGAAGGGCCATTATGGCCAGTCGGCGGTGAGTGACTGTTTCGCTGGAGGTCATCCTCCTCCCTGGCCACTTCATTTCTGAAGCTTTCCATTCCGCAGTCCTTCGGCATAGTTCGTGCGTAAACCTTTCGAGATGAGAGCCGATTGGGCAGTATCACGAGTGACAAAAGTAAAGGTCGTTTAATAACGGACAGAAGAGATGACTCTGGATCATCTCAGAGGTTTTTCTAGACTATTAACTTTGGCAATCAAAATATTTCCCGACCACATGATTTACTTTGACTGCAATGCTTCGCCAAGGAAATAAGATGAAGGCACATCTAGTATGCAAGTTACCCAGAAGAGTCTTAGACTTCAATGTGTGTAGCACCTAGTCATAATCAACAATGGAATATACCATGCATTCAAGCAAATGAATTATACTGACTTTGCATCAACAAAGACTGGGTAATTAGGGATGGCAGACAATCGAGGGCTTAAACCGAACCTAATTCATCGTGATTTGTCTTCCGGCACACTATGAAAACTATGGTCTTTCGTATCATAGTTGCCCTGTTGGCCTTGCTGCACCAGCGTTTACTGTTCTCTCATCTCGATATCGATATTGAAGACCGATGAACAGACCCTCTACCTCGTACAGATCTCAAGTCGGGCAGACTCTCGCGACTGCCGACGACTTCACCGTTCTCGTTTAGTAGTATATACATGCCCTCGATGTAACCATCAGAATGTGTCTCAATGTCTTCATTGCGAGGCTCATCAAACGTCGCTTCATCTCTCTCAAACAGACCTGACTTGATCACTTTCTTCTCCACCAGGATTTCCTTCCAGCTTGAATTATACTGCTGTTGTGCTCTCATCATCTGCCAACACTCCCGCGTTAGACTCTCGACATCGGCATCTGAGAATCCAATACCCTTCACGCTGGCCGCGCGGATATAGGCCTGCCACGCAGCACGCCAGCGGCCCCAGGCGCGAAGGACGTGCCCGCGGTAGAGGTGAGCTCGTGGCTCAAGATCGAAACGCCGTGATTTCGTCGCTGTTTCTAAGGCCGCGTTGGCATTTTGCAGCGCTAGCCGGAGGGTTGTGCTAGACAGTGGTGTCTGGAGGAGAGCGAATGTGCGTAGCAACAAGGCGTTGACGGTCTGTGTGACTATAGCCAAATCGGATTTCGAGCGAGGACTCATTGGTGAATGGAAGTCGATACTTGTCTTGAAACGGCGCGTATTTTGGTTTGCAGGAATGTATTTTGCTGTTAAAGTTGGATGAAAACGGCCGTGGTGGTGGTGTGACATCGTACTGCCTCTAAGACGTGGCGTTGGGAGGGGTTCTTCCCTATTCTTTCCTTTCCCTGCGAGGCCAATGTTTTCGCAGGGTTCCAATTCGAAACTCAATTGTGCTCTGGAAGCAGCTCAATTGTAACAATGTACCCTTTCAGCATCAATCCAGATACTGTTTGGTGAAATCGACAAAGGATGCAATGGTTTAAAGATAAGTGGTAGCTTTAGGGAGGAGCTCTAATCTCAGATCAGCGCCAGCCGAACAAAGAAAGAGGTGGCCTATTCAATCCAGCTCCCATCAACGGGAAGTTTCAATCTGTAGGTATGAAAAATGGTTCGTATCTAATAAAACAGAGAAGCGATTAGCAGAGCCGGCTATGTAACAGCATTTAGTAGTGAGCAAAGGTTCAATGCAGCAATGTGGCACCGGCAGGTGAATTATTGGGTGAATCAACGACCTCTGTGGCTGTCAAGGGATAAGCCATGCCAAGGCAGCGCAAATGAAGGCAAATCTCAAATACAAAATGTGAGATGTCGGAACTTCAAGAAGGTGGCTAAAATACTGACGTTGTCTGACCATACTTGGTTAGCTCTATACTGGCTGGTGACTACACTCTACAAATTTGATCATGGGCTTTCCTTCGCCTAAGGTAGTCACTTAAGGGTCGTTTTGAAAATCACAGACGAGCTTGAAATAATAGAGGTCGCAATACTAGTTGACCAAAATGTAAACAAGGGAGAACATGGGGAAATATCAGATTGCGCGATTCGACGAGCAAGAGCATCCGCCATGTCTTGATATTCGGGGTCGTGCGCAACCTTTGGAAGCTCTGATCATTCATACCTCTGTCTAGATAAAATACGGTAGTCATATTTTGACATAATCCACGGCGCGATACCGTGGAGATCTTCATTGTGGCTGCACATGTTGAAATCTACACTACGACGGGAACGTCGACTGCGTGGTAAGTTCCGGGCCGAACTCTCACCACAACCACCCACTGCCAAGCGATCAACTATTAGCATAGATTAAGAGGACAATAGCCACGTTTCTCCTGAGATTCAATCAAGGGCCTCCTGGCCTGAGACATACCGTGAGCGGGTGATTCATTCGGCTTCTGTGACTGACGACACTTGGTAGCAGAAGCGGTTTCCCAGACCATGGCGCTGTACTTTCCCCTCAAGATGGATGCAGTTGATGTGGCGTAGATCCATGAGAACGCCACTCTTTCCTAGGACCTCAAAACTGATCCCCCATACTCCATGCTTGCGGAGAATTTAGCGCAAAATCGACCGTGTGTCTGACCCTTCTTTGTGGATTTGAATCACTCTTCAAGACCGCTCATATGTCTAGAATCGGGGTCCTTCCAGAATTGTTTGGCAGATTATTTCTCCAGTCCTCTGAGACGATAATCGGGATCGGGGTTTCTCTTGTTCCAGACTTTGGGGGGGGGAAGCTTCCTTTTATTTGTTCAACTATCGCTATTGATTGGATCCGGCGTACCTTTTACCTCTAAGGGATCTCTTATATCTCGAATCTTTTCATACTTGGCGTTCCTGGAGCGAATTAGGCTCGGAGTAACAAGAGATTATTCAAAAACCAAACCCCCGACTGTCGTATAGCCGAAGGAGTCCTCAGTCTCCGGTCCTTGTGTAGGATAGATTACACCAGATTCTTTCGCAACATACACAAAGTGTCTACAGGTTGGTCGAAGAAACCAGGAACAACATAATGGCTTCTGGTACCTCGTTGCTATGGCACCCAAACTCTATGGGACACTATATCTACTACCTGAACATAGTTTTGCTCATCGTCTCAATAATTTTGATGTTGTTGAGACTGTATGTTCGGAAAACAATAATCAAGAAACTGGGCTGGGTGGACCTGGTGGCCATATTAGCATGGGTAAATCAACAGAACCTTGTTTGAGATGGTTATTGACGTACAATACAGGCATTCTGCATTGCTATGTCCGCACTTGAGATCGATAATACGCACTATGGCACTGGCGCTCAAATCGAAGATATATCCCCAGATACGTTTTCGGAGTTTTTCAAGGTTCAGAATTCACCAAGCCGACCATTAGGTTCATGAACTGACCACATGCGATTAGCGTCTTGCCATCCTAGAACTGGTGTATTTCTTTGCATCAGGTGCTGTGCGACTATACATCTTGACTGTTATCTCTCGTCTGAACAAAAGCAGTGCGTCCACTTCGTCAGATAAGCATTGAATATGTCTTTCGTTGACATTCTTGACAGGGATGTATGTCTGGAGCATTTACGCTCTTGCTCTTATCGTCGTCGTCACCAGTCTGACGGGTTTTTTTTTCGTGCTGACTGAATGCATGGCGTTACCGTATTACATTTCCTGGTTCAGATACTCCTTTTCTCAGCTGATCAAGGTGTATAGCGATGTGTTCAATTATGCCAGCAAATGGCGGCAATGCAAAACGGTACACGAAGAGCAGTCGTTATTTCTCGCTCATGCTATCACGTACATTTTTGTCGACTGTATGCTCATCGGTTTCCCTTTATGGGCAGTTACAAAATATGTCAGAATAGGCGTTGAGGCTGCCCAACTTCTCCCTGTCTTCTTATTAGGCATATTCGCCGTCGTCGCTGGCATCGTCAGGTTCGCCCTCATCAGCACGACAGACTACAGTGTTAACGGGTAAGTACTAGTTATCAACGTCTTGCTTGAGGTGGTAAACCCTGAAGCGTATTGGCTCACTCGTTTCAGGACGTATAAAATGGTTCCTGTCTCTGCTTGGACTGACGCCGAACTGCATGCTGGTTTTTGGGTCGGATGTTTACCAGCACTGCAATACCTTCTACGGCGAGGATCATATGCGAAGCGCTTGGGCAAAAGACCCGATTCAACTTTCACTGCTGGTAAAGGTAGTATGGCTGGGTCAACGGACGACTCGAAGATGGGTAGCATTTCTGGGTACCGGTCGAGTGCATTCGGAAACGTCCAGTATGAGGACGTCGGTGCCAAATCTCAGGTACATGCTGCTAGTGGGCAGAACGAGCATCACAGCGGCCAAAGTAGACATTTCGAAATGGTTGACTTGGAAAAAGGTGACGAGGAGCATACTTACAAGCAAACAAGCACTGCAATCAACGTCCAAGTCACACTCAGTGAGACCAACCGACGTCTCAGCAGGGGAGAAGCATAGTCTCAGATATTAAAGGAAGGATATTGAGCTTTTATATGATAACACAATCTCGCCAATTTGAGTTCAGAGAAGAATGTAAAAGTCTTTTCATGGATCACAACATCACAACCGCAAACCGTGATATTGCTCCAGAATCTGGTCTAGAATCTAGAGGAGCCACTTCTACTTAGAAGTGCGAGGACGTGTGTCTGTGCAAGCTCCGAGTCAACATTCAAACCAACTGCTGGACTACTCCGGATGAACCTAAGTGTTGAAAGATCATCATTCGTTGGATGGCACAGATACATCTTTTGTATTGTATGAGTATATTTAAGCTCTGACAACCAAGTGATTTAGAGTACTGCTTCGCTAAGAGCTTCCTGTTATTTCAGTATCACATACTGCTAACTATGTGATTAAGCTACCTTAGTACTGTGAAGGAATCTACGTTGTATAGCCAAGTTGGATCTATTGGTCTTATCGTCATCTACCGTATTCAATCTAGCTTGAATTTGATGTATCAAAGCCTTATATATTTCTTCTTTACTCATATGACCATTTGCATTGGTCACGGATCGCTTCCTCGCCCAAAAACCTATCAATTTCGTCTCGAGATGTCTGCATTTGTCACAAAAACATGTGCACGGCTGTGGTAATAGTCTTCATCACAATGATTGTTGCCCAAGATGATGTATGGACTGTGTGTTAACACACTGGTCGTCAAAGGCCTCAGTGGTGTTTCCTAATGTTTGGTTTAACGCTGTCTTCGAGACATAGGAGAAAGAACGACCAGGTGTGAGTGTTGCGTGAGCAGAACATGGAAGGTCCATGCACTAAGTAACCAGTTCCTTTTGCGGCTCGCCATCTGGAGCCTAAGCTCGGACCAACCAATCCCCAGGTCCGTGCACAATTGCCTCGGCACTCTTTTAGTTTTCGAGGGTGACTTTTGCTGACACAACAATTTATTGCCTTGCCTCACAACCTTGCAACCAGAGCTTTCGAAAACCGACTTAATTAAAGCGCCGAAGGACAGTAACTTCATAAAACAATCTGGCTTTGACCAAAAAGCTAGAAGCTTTCCATTCTTTTTTTCTTTAAACCTTTATGTTTATCGTGAAGTAGTAGTGTTTTTGGCTGTTTTGGTTCTGCAACCCCATCGCATACGTATACCTTCCTGGACAATCGTCAAGCCATATCTCTATAAAATCGACAAAGTCGACAAAATCGAACATGGCGTCATTTTCCAGTCTTCGGTACTTGGGACGGATGGATCCCAAATCTCTAGGTCCAGTGTGGACTGTCATCTTCTACGGCGTCCCCACGGTCAACGTTGCCATCCATCTCGCCTGGCTGCTTGTCCTTCACCCTGCATTTGCCTCATTATGGCTTCCATTCAACCGTAGACGCCTATCCGACTTTTTACACAAAAACTTCATGCTTAGACCATACAACCTCCACCCACTTACCCTTATCACATCCGCTTTCAGTCACATTCAGCCGTTGCATCTGTTCGTCAACCTGTCTACATACAACACATACGCCGAGAACCTCTACATGCTGGGAATATCGCCTCTTAGATTCGCCATTCTCGCACTAGGAAGCGGCATTGCGGCCAGCATGACCTACGTCCTCAACGCACGCCGTCCACGTACGAGGAAAAGCAACTCGGGGAGCACGGCTGTCGGGGCAAGCGGCATTCTGACTGGCCTTGGAACGGCGCTGGCTGTTATGTTTCCCACGATGAAAGTCCGTCTTTCTGGAACAGAAGTGGTGCTGCCCCTACGCACCGTCCTTGTGGGTATGTTTGCCTTGGACGCCATCTGCCTCGGCATCGAGAGTGAAACTGGCGTGGGACATGCTGGACATCTAGGTGGCGCGCTCTTTGGTTTAGCATACGCTATGGTGAGGAAGTCTATGAGGTGTTGGAACCCATGAAGTATCAAAAGATGCCTCGACGGGCTAGTAGCTCTGCACATGACGAGTATCACGATGGATTGTCACAGGGTCATCCCGAAGCAGTACAAACAGACCATGACTACCAAAACTGAGATCAACTCTAGCCACCCAAGTTATAAGCCGGATTGGAGTTTTCCGGTATGAAGAGCAAATATTCCGACCAATATCAATGAACGCCGCGCTACCATAACGAGAGCATACCCCGTTAAGGCTTGCCATTCCCCGCTTGCAAAGAAGCCCAACCCAATGCCGATTCCATCCTACCACAATTCCTCGCTGTTCACCATAGGGTTTTGACTCGACCTCTTGTTGTTTTGATTTGCCATCGACGACGGATGCATCTGCTGCGTCTTTCGAGAGGGAGAGATGGGTTTACATGTCGCTTCCACGGCTCCCCTTGTGTAGCTTTCAGCTATTGGGCTCGGATAAGTAATAGATCTTTCGCCAGGGCTTCCAGCGACCTTGCTGGCCATGGTAGAATCACGCAAAGGAACTGGCCCGACACCAACAGGTGATATCTTGCTGTCCGGAAACCTCGAGGCTGTGAATCCTGGCTGACGGGGACCCTTGTGCTTGTCCCACGGCGCAGTTGGTGAATGGAGAGGTGTCGATCCTTGACTACGGCGAGACCGTATAGACTGAGGACGAAAATTGGGGGATGTGAGGCCCCAGGCCCGTCCAAAAGCAGCACCTGGGTGGTAAATACATAGAACTATGCACACCAGCAATGGCAATGCCCCGCTGATCACCAAAGATGCGATCTCTGTCCGCGCCAGAGGGCCATCGAGACCTGCTCCATACTCGACGAGGCGGTAGATGGAGTGTGCGATCAAGACAACAGCGACCGGAGGCATAACTTGAGGAAATTTGTCAGCTCGGTGAAAGACATTATCAGACGCAAGTTTTACTTACCCTTCACGAAATGCCTAAATCGAGGTGCCTGGTACACGGCTATGTGTTTTGGGTCCGGGGCCTTTTGTGTGAACCAGAGGTACAAACCGACGAACAACAACAGAGCTGCAGTCTGGACAACCAGCCCGGCAAGAAGAATGGTAGTTGTCTGCCACAACTCGTCAGTATCGAAAACTAGGCTGCAGACGGAAATTTCATACTTGAACGCCGCTTAGTCCAAAGACGGCGGCAACGACACCAGCTATTTCCAACGCAATGGCAAGTAACAATGCGAAGACCAACAACAACCCGGCGACTCTAGGCTGGGTAAAGCCGATACCAAGGCCATACAGAGAGACGACGTGAGGCAAGACTTGGCAAAGAGCCGCGGCGATCAGGGTTGGTCCTAGAATTGTGCCGAGAAGCCACAGAGAAAAGGACGTTTGGCTGGCAACGTTATTTCGAAGGGTCAACCTCCCGGCAAAACCCAAGACCTCCAAGAGGATTCCTGTGGTTAGGGTAGAAGCGAAGAGAGGTGTCTTGAATCGGTAGCCTTGATAGAAGGTCAGCGGCGCCAACAGCGCAAAAGCCGCCAAGAAGATGGCGCTACCGACTGCCGATGGCGAGTAACTGAGAAAGCCACCATCGAAGGGGCAGGTATGCGCTGTACAGTCGCCTGTCATTGTGTCTTCGTCTCACTTGACAGGCGACAGTGGTGGTCCCTTTACCATTGTTTGGTCGGGCATGCCTAGAGGGAAAAAGGGGAGACAAAGGAGCGTGTCGGGGCTTTTTTTGGGATATATACATTGGCAGAGGAGCCTGAGCAACGTAGGCAAACATTCAAGCATTCCCGCAGGCTCGATCTGCAGTGGGCAGTATGGTTGGAAGATACGGACGATTGTGGGGGGCGGACATGCGATGAGGGAGGCGGTCCGACGAGATGCGTGGTTCACGCAGGATAGGCCAGGGTCAATTCAAACGGGCACACCACCAGCTTCCGCAGTTGCATCCGATATGGACACATCCACTTCGGAAGAGACGTTGTACCAACAGGAATTTTCTTCAGTCAACCTTCCGACGAGAAGAAGCTTGGGAAGGTATTGGTCTAAAGCGAAAAGCAGGACGGGGCAAAGGGACTTTGCCGAGCCTTCAAAACGCCACCGTCAGATGCAAATGTGCAGTTTTTTTTTTGGTATTCAATAAATCCGATAAGCACGCACTTTCCAGCCATGAAGCAATGAGAGGTTCAGTGTCATGGTCAAAGAGCAAGCAGACGGGGAAAAGCGGGCAAGCAGACAAGGGCGGGTGGACGAGGGGAAGGCCGTCCCAGCAGAACGGTTCAGCCGTGGAAAATGTTGGAAAGCTTGCAGATCAAGACCCTCCATGAGAGGTCACGGGCCAATAGGTAAGAGACGGCTGGCGGCTGCGGCCTGTTTATCCAACGGGCGGCGCAGGTGAAGAGGTTACATTGGCTGGTCATCTTGTGAGCCCATGCTGGTCCATGTCAGCCGGTGAGCAAGGGACTCCTCCAATGGAGATGCGAGTCGTCACCTCTCATCTGCCCTACAGCCTAGCTCTGGAGAAACAACAATGTTCGCTATCATCCAGTGCTTTGAGGTCAAGCTTGCTACGCCGCATATTATGGGTGGGACGGGCTGGGCCAGTTGCCAGTTTGGGGGCTAGAACAATCAGAAGACGTGGCCTGGAAGCGGGGAAGACTGCCAACACCCGGATGTCATTTGCGAGCAAGATCAACCTGTTGACCGGGGGTGTAGGTGTTCGCGTGTATGTATGGTGGATTGGAAGAATGATGCCTGGGATGAGCTTGTGTGTGTTGCCTGGCACGGATATTACCAACCCATCACACACATACAGAGAGAGAGAGAGAGACATGAGACTGCATAATGGAGGGAAGAAGAAGGGGGAAGAGAGAGACAGAGAGAGGCAGGAAGAAGGAAGGTAGATCGTAACACCCGCCACACCCGACACCCGAGATTTGGTCCTGTCAAGGCAGGTGCAGTGCTACAAGCTGTGTGTGCACACAGGCACGCACCGCACATCAGGCACTGCAGCTGCATGATGCAGCTTTCCTCAACAGTTGCCAAGAGATGAAGAAACAAACAAACAAATAACAAGACCACTGACGAGATAGGTAGGGTATTGGCACTGCGGCCCAACCAACAAGTTCCATTGCTAATTAATCCCTGGTGCTGACAGCCCTGGGCCCCCGTGCACCTCATCCACCCCCCGGTGAGAGACGTAGGTGTAGATCCAGAGTCTGGAGAAGAAGCTCTGGCCAATGTGGATTATGCAGAAAGAACCTGTCCACTAATTAACTGGTACCCATTCACCCTGCCCCCCCAAGGATGCCGGTACGGATCCCGTATCTTAGTTCCCCTAGTGCTTTAGTGTACTATGTAGTGTAGTTCTAGTGGCCGCTGTGGTCGGTGGATCCTCGGCCGACAGACCCCCGATCGCGCTAACCCTTTCTCGCAATAGCCTGCATGACGTCAAAAGCCGGGCGCTTAAACGTCTTGGCATCCAAAGACACATTCGCAGCCCGCGTTTCTTCTTTCGTTTCCTGCCAGTCCAGATTGTTTGCTCACAACCCACTTACACGCTTAAAGCCTGTCCCGCCAGCCAACCGAGACATCCATCACACCTTATTGACGACCGGTCACCGGTAGAAACTCCTCCGTCGGGGAAAGAGAGAGTGAAAGCGAGAGAGAGAGAGAGAGGAGGGAACTCGTCCCACCAGCTCCTCATTCTCCATGCGATGAGCGCATGTCTGGCGAGGTGCTGTCGCCGCCGCCCCCCTCGCGTGCCGCCACTATTTCTTTCTACCCGTGCGCCAGTCGCGTCTCTTCACCCTCTAGCGGACCGGGGAACACGCTACCTATCCGCCACACCCTTTAAGTCCAAAGACGATAGTGATCCGAGGTTGAAAGACCTAGGTAAAGAGATATCGGACGAGTTTGCCGTCGTGAGAGAGCACTATGGTACCACACCCTTCCGATCACTTTCCTTTTTCCTCATCCTTCTCCTCTTCCTCCTGTCCCCTTTCGCCCCCAATACACGCAACCATCTCTTCGAAGGTTCCACCCACCCACCCCATCACTAACACACAGAGCAGATACCCCAAAGTACCCCATCGTGCTCGCCCACGGGCTGATGGGCTTCGCCGAGCTGCGTCTCGGCTCCTACGTGCCCCCAATCCACTACTGGCACGGCATATCAGACGCCTTGCAGGCCCTCGCGGGTGCCCCCGCGGTGATCACGGCCGCCGTTCCTCCTTCGGGCTCCATCGAGGAACGCGCCGCGAAGCTGGGCGCCGACATCGCCGCCAAGGCCGGTGGTCGCGCTGTCAACATTATCGCGCACTCCATGGGCGGCCTTGACGCCCGCTACATGATCTCCCATCTCAAGCCCGCCAATGTTGACGTGCTGAGCTTGGTAACGGTCGCCACGCCGCACCGTGGGAGCGCTTTTGCTGATTACCTGCTTAACGGCCAAGGGCCCATCAAGCTCGCTAATTTGTACGGGCTCATCGAGCGGGCTGGATTAGGCACGAAGGCCTTTGGGCAACTAACGAGAGAGTACATGGAGGGCGAGTTCAACCCCAAGACACCCGACAACGAGAATGTGAGGTATTTCAGCTATGGCGCTTGCACCAGCACACCCCCACTTCTCAGCCCCTTCCGGCAGAGTCATCGTATTCTGAAGGAGGTTGAGGGCGCGAACGACGGGTTGGTAAGTGTCTCGAGCAGTCGGTGGGGCGACTACAAGGGAACACTGGTCGACGTGAGCCACTTGGACCTGATCAACTGGTCGAACCGGCTGAAGTGGACGCTCAGGCAGGTATGGTCAGGGCAGACGAGAACGTTCAACGCCGTTGCCTTTTACCTTGACATCGCCGACATGCTGGCTAAAGAGGGGCTGTAAAGTATACGAGATTGGCTGGGTTTAATCTGTGAGACCAGATGTCCATGTACATTTACTACAAATTGTACGATATGTTGGTATGCGGCGTCTGGTTACAGAGCCATATAGAACAGGAACGAGGAACAAGGATGACGGGAAATCAGCCGGCAGATCTCGTTCGCGTTTATTAATCAACAGCATGTAGCATGAGGAGCACCAACAGATACAAGGATCCAGTAAACCGCGCCGTAAAACATCTTGCCAGCCCCCCCTCTACCCCCTCTTGAGCGATCCACGGCACAACCGGGAAAGACTCGGAATCCCGTGTCGCACAGTCAAGCCCTCATGGTAACAACTAGGCCGATGACCCCTTCCACTCCCAGACAAACAAAACATATCTTAAGCATGCCTAGACTCAACCGGCCTCAATCGACCTTACATGCTTCTCGTGTGTGCCTGTGTGTGCATGAGATGCCGGTCAGGTGGGCACGAGACAAATGCGCGCCATGCCAGACCACCACCAACAGCGTCCTCGACCCCAAAAGCCTCGTCGTCGTCGTCTGATTGGTCAGATGCACTTCAAACCAACCCCCCGGCTGATAATTACCAACAAAGAAGCTTGATCAAGCACCGCTCTTTCTCACACACACACACACACACACACCCCTCCCTCCCTCTCACTTCTTTCTCCACTGTCGATTTCGATTCTCGGTTGGAGCACACAGAAAGAGGTTTAGGAACATCTGCAGGAGCAGTAACCAATATCACGAAATGCAGACAGGGGTTGTCGATTTCTCTTTGTGGGAAAAGATGCGTGTTTTTGTGTGTGGATGTTCGTTATGTATGTGCGAACCTTTGATTTTCTTTCTGGTCCTGGTTGCGTGTGATGGAGAGAGCGGGCAGACGGGCGGACGCTTCCTCCCGAACTGGCCTTGTTTTTTTTTTTCTTTTCGTCCAAGTTTTCAATCCCTTCGGTTTGATTTGTTGCTCTCTCTTTCCGATTGACTCGGATTTGCGTGTGATAGATCGCCAGGGGGGTTGGCATTTTATGACACACCCGTCACTTAGCGTTCATCTACCCGCCTGTACCATAACTCGTCCAACCCCCCCCCCCCCCCCCTCCCCCCGGGCCTCCCCCCCAGGCATGTCCTCCTCCTGGCGAAATGGTGTTGTCTGTTAATCACCCGGACATCTGTTTCCCTTTCTTGATTCTGCCTGGAGCTCTGCGGTAGATGTCCCCCTCCGCTTTAGAAGTGCTATAGAAAGAGAGCATCGTTTGGAGGGTGTTGGTCGCATACATTCGCTGATGTGATACCATCGTGATGCCTCACCTAAACCTCGCGAACTCACTCTTCGCATCCACACCACGGGAAACACATGAGAGGAACTATAGAACAGTACTGTTCATTGTGTTTTCCTATTAAGACCTAATGACAAAAGGTATTACAAAAGTCACAGCTTCAGTCACCCCACACAGCAGAACCATACCCTCCCCTCTCTTTCCTTCCGCTCATCTTGAAGAAACTGTGTTCTACTCTATTCCTTTCTCAGTTTTCTCAGGGGCATTCGTATCAGCATTATTCATTATAATCAACCGCCAACCTATTGCTGCTCTCGCTCGCTCACACCTTTAACATCAAACGCTTCAACCGGTGGGAATTTCAATTGAACGCAACTGCAGCCTAGCTCTTCTCCGGGATCTGACTCGGCGCATTCTCGTTCGTAACGCCGCTATATGCCGGCCTCTCCTCCGGCCCCGACGCACCCGCAGCCATGGCCTCGTCATAGCTCGGCGGAGCATCGTCGAACGATGCGGCGCCCGGTGTACCCATCTGAGGTGGATACAATGGATCATATTGTGGTGCCGCCGCAGGCGGGTGCTGTTGCTGCTGTTGCTGCTGCTGTTGCTGCCCACGCCCCATCTGCGCGTTCGTAGGTGTCACAGTCGCAGACTGCGACGTGCGTGGCGGTAGTCTCGGTGGCCTGTTCATCGTCGCCTGTGCAGGGCGGTTTGCCTGTTGCGCAAGGGCCTCGAGGAGCTGCGGTGGCGGCGCGATGCCGGAGTACACTTGTATCTTGGAGAAGTGCAACGGGAGGAAGATGGTCTGCGCTGCCGGGTTGTCCTTCGACGACCCCAAGAATGTCCGCGTGGAAGGGGGCTTACCCCAGCAAAGCCCCAATTGGATATCTAGCTCGTAGTGTCGTTGTAGGTTGCAGGCCACGAAGCTGGGAGCGACGGTGTTGGGGAGCGGGATATTGCGCCAGAGCTCGTCCGGGATGACGGACTCGTGGGTCAGGTCGTCTGAGGTCGGCTCATCAAGTAGGGGTGTGCTTAGGCCTGTTTGCGTCACGACGACCCATCTGCTCACCTCCGTGTTAAAAAGGTCGTGGCATCGTACGTGGGTCTTGCCGATGAGCTCAATTTGGATCGATGTAAGATAGACTTGTTCATGCGAGGGGATGAGCTTCTTGGCTATGAGCCGGAGAGGCAGCGGCTGATTGCATGTTAGGATGGAGGGATGTGGTAAACGTGCAGAGAGCTCGATGGAGGGCGGGACTACGTTGTCACTATTGCTGGGGCTGTCGTCTTTACTGGAACCAAAGAGTGAGCTCTTCTTCTTCTGCAGACCTTGCGGCCGAGGTTTGAAAGTGAAGGGCCGGCGGGCATATGCCTCTTGCGAAGTTTTGGGAGGCCGCGGCGGCTCGATGGGCATGAACTTGAAGCCGATCTGGTACCGCCAGTTCTCCTTCAGAAAACCAGGCCGTTGAATGGTGACTTTGAGGTAGTAGCGGACCTCGGCTTGGCGAGGAAATCCGGTGAAGGACGGAGGCAGAGTCTTGGTGACGTGCTGAAGAAAGAGCTGCTTACTTCCGTCCATGACCCTGGCCCCACCGAGTCCGAAGGGTCCGATGCCCGCGCCGAAGCCTCCCATACCGCCGATTCCACCAATCTTGGACATGGCCACCGGGTCACTGCAAGCGTTGTTGATGGGCAGCTTAAACCTGAAGGGAAACTCGTGCTGACCGCCCTGGACCATGTAGCTCCCGCTCATGGCCGAACTGCCTCCGAGGTCTTCCTCGTAGGTGGGAAAGACCTGTGCTACCTGATAGAGAATCTTATGATTCTCGCTAGCAATGCTCCCCGGTCCACCTCCAGGCGGGAGCAGCGGGCGCGGATTGCTGTTTCGTTCATCGTAGTTCTGCGGCAAGCCCAGGGCCGTCTTGGATTCTCCCTCAAGCTTGACGATGATGCCGCCAATGTGCTCCGGGCGACTCAGGTGCAGCACGACGCGGCCGGCGACTGAGTCGAGGTTGGTGTAGAACTCGGGCTGGTTCTCGAGCGCTATCCTGATAGACATGGTGTCCGCTCAATCCACTTTTTAGTGGCTTCTCTTCCGCCGTGCCGTGGTGTAGCGAGCACGCGTCCTCTTGCGCACGCTGCTGTCGTCAAAAATAGGTGTGTCGGTAAAGGACCTGTGACGGACAACCGCATCAAACAAACTTGCCTCACCAAAAAGAGCGTACCGCAACGTGCGGGAGCTTGTGTGTTGGGAGGGAGGGGCAGAGTGGGGTGGAGTATTTTTGCGCACCGGGTTGTGTGAGGTAGCAAAGTTGTGTGAGTGAGGGGAAAGCTGAGTTCAATTATTCCATGTGCCCTTTAGAAATGAAGTGAGGGTCATTGGAAAGGCCAACAGAGCCAAGAGTCTGAGACTGTCTGCGTGACGGGGCCCCAGTATCGACGGCCAGAAAGGCGACGTAGACGCGTGGCTTAGCTTCCTTCCAAGCCTCGTCGCTGGAGCTGAATGATTCGGTTGAAAGCAGTCGTAATTGACTGCTCTTGAGCCTTGCCTCAATTTACTCGCCCCCCAGCACTCTGTGAGGCGCAAGCTCAAGCTAAGCTACAGTGGTAAAGCTTGTGCAAACAAATACAGCATAGAGTCCGGACGGCGGATCAAGCAATTAGAGACTGGATGGGATGAGGTGAGTCGATGTCAATGAAAAGTGAGGTACGTATGCGTCAGCCAAAAGCTCACTCGCACGGTTGATGTCATTGTACTTCGGCCCAATCACCATTCCTTCCCAGCGTACCTGCCTGTCTCTCTACCTGTGCTTTTTTTTTTTTTTTTTTTTTTTTTTTGGGTGCCGGCCCTGCCGACTTCGGTTGCACCTTAAATAGACGCCGATGCCAAGCCGTTTATTTCTATCCGTTCCTACCGCGCTTGTTGTGCCTGACCTTTCGGCACTTGGCCTTCACCAGACGACAAGGCAACATTCCCAAACCGGCATCTTCGGATTCAAGACTAGAACTAGCTCATACCCTGACATGTACGCCTCTATAGTATGTGCATATTATTATACGTCTCGGTGTACAATGATTATCTTGAGCCATCATTACGTGCTGCGGTTTGCGTCATCCAAACCACAGGAGCAACATCCTAGACTCCCCCCTCTGTGTTTCATCCAGAAAGCGGGCACGAGCCAGCTAAGATGACATTCGTCTTGTCGTCGGCCCTCACCCCCATGGCCTATCTCCAAAAACCCCCAGATATTGCAGGTGGTATCATTCCAATTCGCCCACGCCCAAGCACAAAAGAGAAAGAAAAGAAAAACCCACCCCCTTTAAACAACGCCTCGAGGGGGCTCCTAAACGCCTGATTTATATGCTGCGGTCATTCCCCCCCCCCCCCCCCCCCCCCCCTTTACCCATTCCAAACCTATTCCTACTTGTTCAATCCAGTTCAATGATTTCCACCGCTGTCGTCTCTGGATGTAGCGGGCCGGTCTTGTTTCGCTTTGCTGGGGGCATTTCATCGCCTTCCTCATCATCCTCATCCTCATCCTCGTCACTTGCCTCTTCAACCTTGGGCCTCCATGTCCCATCAGCTGCTACATATATTGTTTTCGTGTTGAGGTTTCCGTCTTTCTCGAGCTTCGTCCGAACGTCTGCCATGAAACTATCCATCCGAAGGCTGTAAGGTCGAGCATCCCCGTCGCAGAGGGGGCATTTCCATTTGTCCACCAAAGATGGCTCAGGGCCCATGTCAGAATTGCTGCAACCGCGGCGGCAAGCATCACCAGATGAATGTAATGTGCATACTGGCTTAGCTGGCCTCGTTTGCAACCAATAACCCAGATCAAAGCATTCCATGTGCGTGCATGTTACGCCACGAACCGGAACCCTGAAAATGGTGGAACTGAACGGATCAGCCAGATCGATGCTGAGATCGCTATCGACAACAGCGACATCATCGTCGTCTTCCCCTCGCACAGGTTTCAAACGGTTTTGAATGGACTGTCTAGTCGTGTCCGCAGATATGACGCCCGATTTCAATACCATGTCAAGGATGCTCTGGTGGTTCAGTGTTTCAATGATCTCAACCGCCATGAAATAAGTCGTATTTGCTTTTCTCTGGGCACAGGATTGCGGTGATATACCGACTGATATGGTATTGACGCCTCGAGAAACAAACGGAGTCAGTTCCACCGGCTGATGTTGTCCGTTGTGTTGTTTTCGGCGAATTTTCATGGCTTGGTTGTTGACTATGATGGAGATGTGATCAGGCCAGTAAGTTTGGGCCACAGCCCAGATGGTTTCCGGTACCGTTTGTTGCTGTGATTCACAAAGGGGCAGTTCGCACAAACGGAGACGATATCGTAGGGATCCATTGAAATATTCCGAGACGGGAATCTGCTCGCCTATCGGAAGCCGAGGCGAGGAAACCTTGTCAAAATCTCCATCAGGAACGGTGAAGACCAAACGGTGCAGTTCATGGCGCGGTCTGGTTGCAACTGGGCCTACTGCAAGATTTCTGATTGATTGATAGTATCTCTCTCGTGGCAACAGATCATCCTTCAATGGAAGTTCTCGTGGCACTCGTCTAGGGCTGCGCACGTCCGCTTGGTGGAGTGCCATGGCCAAAGCCTTCGGTTCCCAAGGACTGTGAGGCATTTGGTCGAGGGGGATATGCTGCTGTGGTGGCCGAAACAATGCCCCCTTTGGCCTTGACGTTCTATGCCGACCGGATTTTGCTTGGGAGGCAGAGAGCACTTGAGGAAGCATATTTTCAACGTAAACTGGCCGAAGTTGATGAAAGTTACTTTGGGAGACAGGCAGTTGTGAAATCTGGTGTGCCCGAGGCGACATCATACTGGGGAAATTTGTTGGTACCATTGCATGGCCCTGATGCTGATGATTCGCTTGATTCACTTGGCGTATCTGGTGTGCGTGCCGAGTTTGCTGGTGAGGCACGTGTTGACCCGGATGAGCTTGTGGTCCTTGGAAACCACCATTGGGAGGGAAGGCATGTTGGAATCCCGGTGCAGCAGTCGACTGTGTAGGTGAAGTGACCGTTGCTAACTGTACTGGAATGCCCCCAGAAGGTGCTTGCAGCACCGACGATACATGACCTGGAGTCTGGATCATTTTCGAGATACTTGGTAGTTGTGCATTGGTATGATGTGGGGAGCCTGCAGGAGTCATCGGCTGATTGAAATAACCTCCAATTACCGGGATGGGCATCCTGTGTGACTGCAAAGCTGTCTGCATTTCACCGCCAGAGGTAATGTGATTATTGCTGCGTAGTGTGAGCTGCGCTGGCATTGGCATCAAGTTGTTTGGGTAGTCAATAGAGTGCTGAGCAGATGAAGAAGTACGCATGCCGAATGCCGGGCGGGGAGCAAGCTGGCCTGTAACCGCATTCTGGATAGTAGGATGTCCAGAAGAAAACTGCCTTGACGGGTCCACCATTTGTTGCTGTCTTCCCATGGTCGGTAACATAGCGATGCCTGGCTGAACAAGCGGCTGCACGGCCGGTACTGGCGAAGTCTGAGATGATTGAACTCCGAACGCAAGCTGCTTGTATCTGTTGATTAATTCAACCCTTGCCCTACCCTGATCACGCTCTGGCATTTTGGCGTAGTCGGTTTGCAAATCCTTTTGAAATATTTCCGCCATTTTATCGGCAACGGGGCCATCTGGGATACCCATATGTCTCCGTGTCACGGTAAAAAATACCGGTTCAAGGACAGGAGACCGAAGCCTTAGCTGAAGATGTAGCTCGCTTGCAAGAATCGGATAGCCCCTGCCAGTTTTGGGCCTCATGCTAGGAATCAAAACCCTGTTCCACTGGTGATGAAGACAGTGTAAAAATGCAGCGACGTCTCCGATGTATTTGTGATAAAACTCAGATCTCCACAAGCCTGAGGTCGGAGATTCAGGGAAATTGGCGAACAATAGAGTATGATCTCGCAGCATATTGTCGTTTTTTCTTAGGGTGTTTTGTAGAACATTCAGCGCTCCTTCTATCACGGCGTGATCAAGGTTAAGGGCGGCATGTACCCATTCCTTGCGGAAAGACCACACACAAAGAATCTGGTGCAGCACGATGTAGAAGTAATCGCTCCTATTCACAGCGTCTCTGAGTAACCTGAGCCTAGGTCCTGTTGTATTATCGGCAGGAAGATTTAGTGGGCCACCGCAAAGCTGAACAATTTTGTCCAGCTGGCTGGACATTGCCTGCTGGCGTAAACAGTCCAAGTTAAGGCTGAACGGAGACTGTTCGGGGGCCTGCCGCCTGACTTCATGTCCTTGGCCAGGTATTTGCGCCGCAGAACTATGCTGGGGAAAAGCCAGCTGGGCAGCTGATGGTTGGGCAAGATCCGAGACTACAGGAGCTGCATCGCGACTTCGGCTGGGCCGTAGTTCTGGCATAAATGACAGGTTGGGTGTGCTCGGCAGTCTAGTATTTGAAACGACGGGAGACTGGTTTGTGGCTCTGCTTTGAAGAGATGGAGATGCCGTAGAGAGGCGGGCTCCGCCATCATCCTCGTTAAGAACGAACCTCAACTCGGAATGCCTATCTGCTTTGGATGGCTCTCGGCCAGTCTGGGCCAGATCAGGGCTCCTGACATCAGGTTTTAAACTCGTCTGAGGATGACCAGTCGCTAGTTGGTCTTGTGTAGAGAGTCTGGCTAGACTGGCTGTTGTGACGCTCCGCTGCCCAGGAGTCTGGCTGTGGGCTATGCCAGGGCTTCGGGCTTCTGAATCTCGGGTCTGGTAGGGCTGATTTGACGTTGCTGTAGGTGGACTTGGTTGGTCAGTAGGGGCTGGCGAAGGGAGAGCAGCTGCACAATCACTGTGAAGAGGTCAGAAAAAGAAGACCACGGCCTGAGTGTATACATAATTTAGAACGTTTCGCGGAGGGGGGCTTACGGTATTTGTTTGCCAGACTCAACCGCACTATCTGGCGAGGCTTCGGTAAGTCTTGTATGTAGCGTGGGGACGCTGCCGTGATTCGGAGGGTTCGAGTCCAGAGGGTTGTTGGAGGAGGGTTGTCCATGGATACGGGACGAAGGTCCTCCAACACGGCTAGAATCCTTCTGACGGTTTTTCGGAGCCGGCGTCGAATTTTGTGAAGTCATCCATGACAGCTGACGACCGCCCATCCACGCGTTGAGTGTCTGATTCGAAGCAGCGACTTGCGCACCCGCCACAAAGGCGCCGGCTGAATTTTGCTGGGCCCCTGGAGGCATGTTGCGGGAGTTGTGCGATTTACGGGGCTTGCGGCGACGACGCGGCAGTGTCGGATGAGAACCTTCGACGAGACTGGACGGCATCTTGGTTAACGACGGTGAAGTGAGAAAAAGATTCAGGACAGGGATGGATGCGCACCATGAGGACGAAGTCCCTACTTGTCGAAAGAACTTAAACTATCTGCGGGTAATTACAGCAGGAGCGCTCTTGCAGTCTGCGAGTAGAAAAGAAAATCGTCTGGTATCGGGGGAAGGTAAGGCTTGTCGCTTTGGCTGCCGCACTGGGAGAAGGAGCGCTCGAGAGCAACGATGTCCTCCGTCTCTTCTTGCACTGTATGTAGCTGTGGAGGTGGTGTAGATGTTGTCACCGGAGTGGAGCGAGGGGCGGGCAGCCGAGTGTCGCGGGAAGGTGCTGCTCAAATGGTTTGTTGGATGAGCTCTAGGCCTCGTCGCGACCTGAAGCTTCCCAGCAAGCCACGAACCCAGTATGCCGTCCACCTTTTTCTGTCTCGAGACGTGATTCGTTTGAGAGGCGGGGAGGTGGTCGGCAGGGTCTTTGGCCGAGCTGGCAGAAAGATAACAACGAAACTCGAAAAGCGCGTTCCGGCGATGTGCTCTGAAATGCACTCAATGTCGTTGAGAGGTTGGATATTCTGATGATCGTCGAAGGGCGAGATGTGGTAGTGGCAGGGTACGTGCGCCAGAGCGTCAAGACTAGACGATTGCAAAGAGTGAGGTACTTGACCAAGACACAACAATTAGGGTGGGATGGAGGAGAGATGTGTTTGCTGGGCAGGCATGCTAAGGTAAGAACCGGGGAGCCTTGGTGGATGGTGGACACACACTATTCCAGATCCGATATAGCGTATGGCGGGCACCACGGGGCGAAACCTAACTGGGGACTAGCGTCGCCTTCCGAAGCCGGGATGTTAGTGGATTATGGAGTTGTTCCCAGACGATCGCTGCAGTCCTGAAGTGAATCTGAGAAAGGACTCTTTTTATGTAAACTGCATCTGTCTACGAATATGTGCATTGCAAGGTCCTCACTTCCGGGTAATGGCCGTCGCTTGAGGGCTGCATTCAGCTGTTTGCACCAACAAGATGCGTTACTGGCAATGGAAGATATGTCTTTCGGCAGCATGCAGCTTCAACCCATTAGCCTATTGCCCAATAAGCTGTATGTTTGTTCTGAGGTGGGTGTTGTCGCAAAATCCGATAATGCACTTAGCTGATTACGGACGACATTGGATGGAAAAAGAAACGACAACAGCACTACCTGGTATGTCAGTAGTGACAACAATGAAGCAACAGTCACTTTTTCTTTCTTTTTCTTTTTTATATATATTCCAGGGACCAATTATGGCTGAGCATCATCAGCATTGTTATCCCCAGCACCGTACCCATCAGCCGAGTTGGTGCTTCACAGTGTGTGCTATGCAGCCCCTACGTGAGTGGTACAACAGCAACAGATCCAATTGCGCTGTTTGTACTGCCAAAGTGGCTTACCGCGGCAGCAAATATCTCTTCTCGCTATAGTGGCCTATAATGCGACTTACTTTCCCAAAATTGTTTTCTCGCAGGCTTCCGTTATTGTAATTGCCATTGTGATTGTCATTACTTTGAGTTCTCAGCATGCAATTTTTGGCTCGCAGTTGACAGCAACCTCCCTGCCAAGACACAAAGGGAGAGCATCCCTCTGTGATCTTTATCCTTTCTCCTGTCAGCTTGTTTGCTTGCCAATGATAACACGTTATTTTATTCTTTCCTTTGACAGTTACCCTCTATCCACCAGCGGATCGTGAGCCACATAATAGTCCTTTTTTTTGTCTTTTTTTTTTGTCCTTCAGTGCACGTCGGTCGTCTACTGGATTTGAAATTATCCTAGCTGAAGCTCGTATTTTACACTGAAAAATGCTGGAGGCTTGGGCCTGAATAGTAAGTACACTGTTGTCGACGAATACGGAGCTTTGCTTGGCAGTGAACAGGTGATATCTGACAAGGTCTACTACGCAGTAGGTCAGGTTAGCCACTTGTGGAAACGCCCCCCGATGGTCCCTTTCTATTAGCCTCGATCAAGGTGCTTATTAGAGGGGGGAATGTTTTGGATGCATGGGTTCAACAAACCAACTGGATCGTATATTAGGTAAGCTGAAATATCACAATCTATTAAGCACATACTACGTACTCCGTATAGATACTTACGCCGGAAAAAAAAAATGTTTCCCAAATTTTCACGCTTTGTCAGTCATCATCAGACTGTGGAGTCCAAGATTTTTGTCAAAACGAAAGTTTGTATTCTTCCCGGCCTGCCCTGGCTTGTCAATTTCGCCAGTTTGTCGTGATTCGAGCGGGACGCGCCCAAGCCCGAAAAAAAGTAAGCAGATTAGTTGCATTGGTAAGGCCAGCATCACCTTGCAGGCTGAGGTTAACCGACCTGCATGGACAGATTAATTGGTCTGTTTGCTGAGGGGCCCGGCTTTCCTGTTCCGGGCCACCCTTGCTAGGCCGGGGGAACCAGCCGGTACAAGATGCGATCACTCGCCCCCTCTCGCACCGCAACGATGAGGGAACGCCCTGCTTATTTTGGGGTCTTGGTAGTGCGTGTTCAGTCTGACTATGGTTGTGGCGAAACCGGTGACGGCGCGAGAGCACCGTTGGTGGCCCGAGGTAAGGATGCAGGATTACGGATGGACATGAACGTCCGTTCGGTCGTCTGCGCAATGGATGGGACGGGCATGCGTATCCTAGCAACATAAGAAACGCGGGAGACGTAAGCGTGTGTGAGATGAAGAGATTCGGAGCGAGGTAGTGATCATAAAGACAGCGAAATCCAAGAGGTTCGAAGCTGACGAAACGAAACGCAGCACCTTGAGAAATGCGTCAGGAAATTTGGGATGGTGTCAGGCCGTGAGGAACGCGTTCTCGCCGTCTGTAAACTCATTCGCCATGTGCATCTTGCAATGATGAACTCTATCAAATTTTGCCGTCGTTTCCGGACGCCAACAAACTCGTCCACATGTCCAGTGACAGACACGGCACCTTGTCAGAGTTCAATATCACGGCTGTTAAGGAGCCCGCCCAGCCAGAGATAGAGCAACAGAGTAGAGTAAGAACAGCGTGAGGATTGAGTGCTCTTCTACCTTTACAACCAGATCACCTCAAGCTTCACTTCAACCTACAGTTTGGAATTGCCTTTTTTTTTGGGGGGTGGTGGTGGACTTTGCCTGACTTGTTTAGCTTGCCGCCCATCCAGCATCTATCTACCTTTGGGCCCGTTGGCTTTAGCTAAAGACGCCTCGTTTGCCTGTCATAGTTGTAGGTTGTCGACCAGAGGCTTTTCTTTATCTACACACGTCTTCCTCGTCTTAGAGCGCCTGCAAAATAACAACACTCTTTGTTTTGTGTCCCAAGATTTGCTCTGTTTCTCCCCCCAGCTGAACAATATCTTGTGAAAAAAAAAAAAAAAAAGGCATACCTTGCCGCTTCTTTTCCGGATATTTCCCCCCTGCAGATTACGCCGTGTCGTTGCCCATCAACTCTCAAGGTCCACGTGGCACATCTCCCCGACGACAATCCGCCCGGCCGTCACCAGCTCCTCAGCGCGAAGCTCCGAGCTTCTGAGCTTGTGTCTGATCGCGAAGGTGCAGGACCAGTCCACGGACACCATTCCCCATAACCCATCGTATCACCGGCTTCGTCACACGGGCCACCGCTGACGGCCCTTCCTTCTTTGGGGCTTCTTCCATTCCTTCGGTGAGAGATCAAATACCAAGGCACACTGTCCTCGGTTTCCCAGGCCACACAAGCGTCGCCTTCAGCGCACTTCACTTGCCCAATCGTTGGTTGCTTCTACCAATCCCAACCCGGAACCCTAACTGGCGTTCCTCCCTCGACGTTTCCGGCTCTGTGCGTTTCTTCGACCCAAGATATTTGGATTTTTGGTTTATTTTTGCAGAAAACCGGCCATTTGTCCCGTGGGGCAACTGCATTTAGACTTCGACCGTGGGGGTGCTTTCAAGGGCGCCGAGAGAGGACCGACCTTGGCCTCGACCACACATGGTACACCTACCCCTTCTCCACGACAGTCAACTCGGCATCCAAGACAACGGCCAAGACACCTGGAGGGCAGCGACTTAGACAAACACCTTTGAGGCGCACCCTAAGCCGACGGCAGGTACCCCAGTCAACAGGCCAGCAGCGGAATCTGCAGGCACTGGATGCGGGTGCAGGTGCAGTGTGCAGCAGCGGCTCCTGGACCTGAACGTGGACCGTCACCCTTCGTCCGTTCTTCTCCACCGCATGCCCAGCAATTGCAATGTCTATGCACCTTACCTTTGCGTTGTAATGATCCAATAGCATCCCTCCACGCCAATTCAGTGTCCTCTCAATCCTCCCAATCACATCTCACAGCGCTGCCTTAAGCAACTCCAATCTCCAACTTCTACTTGTGCTTCTGCTCGACCGACCGTACCGACCTACGACCCTTTTTTTTTTTTTTTTAAACACCCTTCGCCACATTTTATCGGTAGTCCATTAGGCAGTCAGCTCAGCCAACGCCGAGAGAAAGAAAGAGGTACCGAAGAGGCGGGGGAAATCATACAGCACAACCACTCGAAGGAAGGAAGAAGGGACAAGAAGAAAAAATAACAATAAAAAAAAAAGGCACCAGAAAGTGAAATTGGTCCCGAAAAGAACAACAGCCGCTTTTGGGGGCCATCGTCAAGAGATCGCATCCCTCTCACTCTCTCCTTCCTTCCCTCATTCCCTCCTTCCCCCCTTCCTCCCTATCCCCCACCCCCCGGTCGCAATCATCTTACCAGACCTCTCATCTTCTCCTCACCTTATCCACCCAGCGCAGTCACTACTGCGTACACTTACCATACCTGGTCCCAGCTACCGAACAAACTGACCATCCCTGGCTGCTGCCACTTTTTTCGCTTCGCCAGCATTTCTCCGCCCCCCGGTCGTCGAACCCAAGTTAACTAAACAAGCCCAGGCCAGGCTGCCCAGCAAGCACTTCGTCTCCTATGTGTTGATCTCGTCACAAACCCTTTCTCTTCAGCAAACGCCACCCGCATCAGTCGCGGCGCCTGGCATCGTCGGCATCATGGCTGCTCTGAGGCCAGAAGTTGGTGACATTCTCCTCGTCATACGTACGTTCAAACCATCTACCCGCTGACCCTGACATGTCCGCCCTCAGCCCATCTTCAAGCGTTGTCCCGCTCGTCGGAGTCGCGTCACGCAACCTCATCTCCTCCCCGCCTTCGACACTACCTGCCCCCTTGCCCCCAATTCTTTCGAACTGACTTCCCCTTCCCGCAGACGACTTCATTGCTCGCAGCTCCGACGAATTGAGCTTAGCCAAGGGCGACCGAGTCGAGTTGATTGAACGAGATGATGAATTTGGCGATGGATGGTTTCTGGGCAAACACCTGGTCAACGGCAACAGCGGCCTTTTCCCCGAAGGCAAGTCAGACTCCCATCCGCTGCAAACAACCCCCTAGCTAACCTTACCCCCCCCAGTTTATACCAGACCAGCTCCTAAGACCGCTCCTACGAACAACTTTTCGAAACCGTTAGCTACACTACCCGAGGTGACCAACGAGTCTAAACATACATCCCTTACGACCGCCCCAGTCGATGACAAGATTGCCGCATCCGCCCCCCCTACTCAACCGACTCCTTCGGTCACACTACCCTTGAACAATTTGAAGCAGGAGATACCCCCGAGTGAGAATGCGCCGCCTGTTGCGAACCCGGCTCTGGCCTCTCTAGGCCGTTTGAACACGAACCAAGATCATGTTTTGAACGAAACGCTCAACGTCATTGACGAGCACATTACCGATTTACGCTCTACGCCTAGCACAAGCGGGCTGCGCGCCCCTACCGACTCCGGAAGCGAGTACAGCGCCAATCTTGATAACCGGTTATCCTATATTCATGGCGAAGAGACGGATGAAGAAGAGGAGGGCATCCACAGCCGGGCCGAAGTGGAGTCGTGGTCGGCCGATCAAGTAGCCGAGTATTTGTTTACGGTCGGTGTTGAGAAATCGCACTGCGAAGTCTTCCGAGACCAAGAGATTAGTGGCGAGGTCTTGTTGGGTATGGACCAGAGCTCGCTGTTCATCAAGGCTTTCGAGCTGGGTTCCGTCGGTAGGAGACTCAAGACGTGGCAGAAGATTAAGAGCCTGCAAGACGAATGTAACAATGTGGGCATCGCCACCAGACGCACCACACAGACGTACGGCAGCGACGTCGGATCGGAAGATGCGAAGCGCTCACGGAGCCGCACAAACACCCTGACGGGTTCTGTCCCCAGGATGACGCCGGTTGAAGACAGGACCATGTCGCTCACAGGCAAACGCCTCTCCTTTTCCCAAACCCCTAAATTGGATACTGCTTCTCTGGTATCACCGGTTTCCCCCATCACAGATAGTCCTACAAGACCTAGTCACCTGAAGCGACCGTCGGCCGCCTCTGTCCGAGATTTGCATCATTCCCGCCGACACTCGTCATCTACCGATTTCCGTTTGACTGGGACCACAATGGGAAATGCAGCCACGCCGAAACTAGTCACCAGTGGAACGTTTCCCCAGTCAGATGGCCCTCATAAGAAGCAACCCTCCTTTGACAGGAACTGGACGCTCGGCAGCGCCTCCCAGAGACCGCTTTCTTCTACCGGACTTCAAGACATAATGCAGCAATCTGGTCTCCACGCTCCGGAGTCCGCCATCGACACCGACCGCGGATACTTCAGCGGCACTGACGTCGACGGCCGACGCCGAAACGTGCTTAAGAAGCGTGACAGCACCGCAAGTCACTCCAAGAAGCACAGCTATGCCGAAGAACAGCGCGTCCGTAGCGCAACCGCCATTTCTAGGCACTCTAGGTTTGGCAGCGTTGACTCAACACGCGAGGGAGGCGCCTCGCCGGCTGCACAGAAGTATTACGGCCTGCAGACGAACCCTCATAGAAGGACTGCTTCGACAAGCACCACTCAGTCTGTTCGAACAGCTCCTCCGATTAAAGATACCGGAGCACCCAGCGTCACGAAGCTCGACGGTGCCACTCGCAACTCACCGGTACCCCAGTCTCCGGCAACACGACAAGGTATCCCTTCAGAGTGGTTGTCTGCTGTGGTTAAGCCATCAGTGAAGGTTGCTGGGCTTCGGGCCATCTCCGATTCGGTTTCAGGAGACCGCAACAAAATGAGCTCCCCGGTTGACTCCCACTCTCCACTCAAGGATTCTCCCATGCATTCTCCTGCAAGAACAGGATCAAGTACGCCATCCGCCGGACCCAGTTTTGAGCTAGACTCTCCCGACACTGCCAAGAGCCCCAGCACCGCGACCACCGTGGCCAGCAAGGGCAGCAAAAAGAAAGGCAAGAAGGAGACTAGTGCATACCAGCGTGGGCTGCAAAAGGTCAGCCCAGCGGAGGCTATGAAGGATGCAGATTACAGCGGCTGGATGCGGAAGAAGAGTTCCAACTTGATGACGACCTGGAAACCCCGATTGTTTGTGCTCAAAGGCCGTCGCCTAGCATACTACTATTCGGAAAACGACGACCAGGAAAAAGGACTCATTGATATATCCTTTCATCGTGTTCTCCCTGCCGACAACGAGCGTTTGACTGGTCTGCATGCCACCCTCACCGGCGCAGGAACAGCAGCAGCACGTGAAGCAGACGCATCGGGAGAGAAGGGCGATGATGCAATGTTCATCTTCAAACTTGTCCCCCCCAGAGCAGGTCTGTCTCGTGCCGTCAACTTTACGAAACCAACTGTCCATTATTTTGCTGTCCCCAGCCTCAAACAAGGTAGACTCTGGATGGCAGCCCTAATGAAGGCAACTATCGACCGAGACGATACCCAGGCGATAACAACGACGTATCAACAAAAGACGATTTCCCTTGCCAAGGCTAGGCAAATGCGCCACCGCCCACCTGCTCTGATGAACCTTGAAGAGAAACCAAGTGAGGGCAAAAGAATGAAGCCGCAGGGTGTCAAGAAGCACCCCGATATTTTTGGCATCTCATTTGGCGAAACCGACAGTGGTGTGTCTGGCCTTGATAAGCCTACTTTCAAGGTTGAACCTGCGAGCGCACAGAAGTTGGGTTTTGAATCGGAGAAAAACGGCACAGCTGAGGCACCGCCACAAAGTGCTTGAACGTGATCGTTCTTACAGCACCTAATTAGGTTCTCTTTCCTACCTTTCTTGTACCATGGAACTTTCTATATATACCTTTGTCATGTATGAGGGACACGAATACCGCATAAGGGCGGCGTATCTGGGATTGCTTGAGGAGGGGAGAGATGAGAGACCCAGCAATGAGGGTGGCGGGCCCTGGACTTTAAGAGCGGATAATTTCACAGACACGCTGATTATTTCCTTTGTCTTTAGCTTTTCTTTCCTTACCCCCCACCATTGAGTCACCTAGTAGAGGTCAAAGACTTTGAGGGCAGCACGGCGTGTGACTGGCTGTACATAGGCGGGAGTAGGAGGTTTTGGAAGTTTTGGGAGGAGTCTTGATGTGCCTATAGGCAATGCTGACGAATGGAGTTGGCGATAAGAGGCCTCCATTACCCCATAGAGCGGGCATGCTATGAATAGTGGATGATAATCAACCAAATTTTTCAAACTTATTTGGCCTCTCAAATTTGTTACGTGACGTGCTACCCAAAATTTGTCGACCTGACATGGTCCTGATAACAGTAGCCCATTGCTCCTTTGCGGCAACCTTGGCGTTCAGAGCCCGGATTCTACCAACACTCACTACGGCTTAGTTGACTGGTCTTTCGCTTAGTTTGTGTCTCTATCATCAGTGACAAGAGACAATACTGGTATCTTCCGAGGCCTTGATAACCATTTGTGAGTCTACCTAACTATCTGAAGTGATTATTCATGCTTTGTGTCTGTAGCACAGAGAGCAAACCTGCCGTAAAAGTCGGCGTATGATTTATGCCCACTGCATCAAGGATAATAATACACAGCCGAAGAAAATCAAGAGAGAGAAAAAAAGAAAAAAACCAAAGCCAAGTTTACTCATCCCTCATTCCAGTTGTTGGGTAAAGAACACAAGACAAAAAAATCGTCCCTTTTCATGCCAGCCAAGCTTTCATGATGTTCGGTTTAGAAAGCGATTCTTTCTTTTTTTCCTTTTCCAAACCAGACGAGAGAGATACTTGGTAGGAAATCCAGTCGATGAGGTAGGTTTGGTCCCAAAGAACGATGATATCCTTAAAACTCTTTCGTTGCAAAAGATGAACAAGAAGAAAAAAGGGACGAGTGAGTAAGGGCCAACAATGATGCTTAGAACCAGTCAGCATCATAACCCGGCGCAGGGCTTTCAGGAGCAGAAGGGGCCGTGGCCGCGCGCTGGAGACGGCGAGGGGCGCGGCGCAGACTCGCGACTTGGCCTCTCTGGCCGTTTCCACCTTCTGTGCTAGGTGTAGGAACGGTGGGAGGGGGGCGCGTGGGACAAGGAGGAGCAGCCTCTCCGTCGGCCGGACCAGAAGGGGTGGGATAGCCTGCGGGGGGAGCAGGGTAGTCGGCTTCGGTCATGCCGTAACTGGCAAGAACGTGGCGACGTTGGCTACGTGTAAGAGGAACAGGGTTCATGCTGTCCGGGAGAGGATCGTGGTTGTTTTGCTGGTAGGCGTAGCCGTAAGCTAGAGCCTCTTCATGATAACCGGGTTCGTCCCAAGGCTGCTGCTTAGGGAGGCCAGTAGTAGGGGTTGCGGCAGAGCCAGACACGGGGTATATGTCGTCACTTTCCTCTGAGAAGAAGTCGTCAAGTGCATCCATTTTCTCACCGGTCGTCTGGGGGCGATAAGTACAGGCCGGGGTGGGCGGTAAAGCCGTACCACTGCGGGGGGCAGTTCCAGCGAGCCGTTGAGGCTGAGGATACTGCCCGTTGAAGATGACAGTCTGCGGGACAACTTTGGGGGCTTTCTCGTCGTTGGAAATGGAATATATTTTGGTTTTCGCAGTTTGCTTCTTCTTCTCAGGTGATTCCTTAACTAAATGATTGAAGTCATCCTGAATCAAAGACTGGTACTCATCGGCTTTGAAGCTCTGGCGAGCTGTGGACTGAACGGACTCGGTACTCTTCTCGGCGGATTGACGATTTTGACGAGCCTGGAGCTCGTTCGCAAGCCAGTAATCGATTTGGCCAGCTTGAGTCTTGGTTCCGAAGAAATCATTGAGCTCGGCCCTAGATGGACCGTTGTAGCTGCTGGAGAACGTCTTCTTGGAAGAGCCACTAGTGCCAGGCTTCTTTATCTCGCTGGCGTAGGCGGGCAGCGTGTTTTCCTTCTTTCCAGCAAGGCTGGTAGAGGGATCCTCGGAAACAATGTGGTCCTGCATCTTCTGGGCTTGCTGAGCGTTGGGCCAGCTGAAGTTGACGGCACTATTCTTGCGCCTGTTGGGCTGAGTGATGCTTCCCTTTCGACCGTTGTCGCCAACTTTTCCATGGTAGTCACCTTCAAGAGCCACAATTTCGCTGCTGGTTATACGATACTTGGTGGTGTTTAGTTGAAGTGCGCCCGAGGACTGATGACCGATGGGCGGCGGCGGAGCCTTCGCATCGTCCTTGGAATCAGCAGTGGGCTCCTTCGTACGAGACGGAATCCGCAACGGGGCGGGCTTAAGGGTGTGGCAAGCAATGGAACGCGCGGCGTAGGCCTCCTCATCGAAAGTAGGGGTGAGCTTTTTCTTCTCATCGAACCCAGGAACGATATCCGACTTCCTCACTTCAGTTATCACCTGGTCGCGTATAGGCTTGGTATTCTCGAGATGAACAAGACGGCCCTCCGCATGCGCAGCGTTGACTGCCTCGTGAGCTCTGCGATTAAATTCCTCCTTCTTTTTGGCGACAGCCGCTGTTTTTGACTTCTTCACGGACTCTTCATCAGAGAGCTCCTCGTCGGAGATGTGCAGGTAGGTCCGTACGCCCCTCTAGAACGCAGAGACCTCTTTGGGCTCCCGCTGGATAAAACTGAAAGATTCTCCACCTTCGAATTCTCGTTGAGCGGATTGCATAGATGGCCATGAGGCGAGGGGTTGAACGGAGGGCTGACTAGTCTCCTGGACAGGCGACTGGATGTTTGTCTCAGAAGACTCGACATCAGTCTTAGAAGCGCCGCTGTCATCATAATCAGTACTGTCGTGGGCAAGATCCTTGCGAAATTTGTTCTGGCCTTCGAAAATGTGAGAATTGCCACAGATCGTCTGGGCATGCGAAGTCGAGTTCAGCTTAGCCAGCGGTAGAGCTTTGGGTCCAGCTGTGGAACTGTTGGAAAGTGAGCATGTCTCGTGGACAGACTGTTCAGAAGCCATTCGTAACGAAGATTGAGGTTTGTCAGGATCAGGAAGGGATCGGTAGTAATCAATCTTTGCAAAGGTCTCAGGGTACTGCTCTCGCAGTGACCAGGGCTTCTCAGCAGGCTTCTCAGTAGCCGAAGCTGACGGAGCCTGAGGTTTGTGGATAGCGATGATATCCTCACGTTTGGCTGCTTTATTGGCCTTTTTTTCGGCCTTCTTCTGGGCTTTCTTTTGGGCCCGACGCGAAGCTTTGGTGCTAATCTCAGAAATACCGCTGGAAACCCCTTTTTTGTATGGTTGTCCGGCTCTGAGCGCTTCAGAAGCCTCATTTTCCAGACGCTCCAGCTTGGCGGAAGGATGACGTTTCTCATACGCCTCGTAAGAGCTAGCGAGCCTGTTGTGAAGCTCCAGTTTAGCTGCCTTAAGCATAGACTCGCCCTCGTCTTGCTCAGTAGGGAGAATGTTGATCTTCTCATCCTTACTCTTGGGAGGGACGTAGTCGTCCAAGCAACGGGTGAGTGGGTTGGTTTTGAAGAATTCTTGCATTTTAAGGAGCTCAAGCTCGCTCTCCTCCGTAGTATCGTTTAATGGCTGCATGGCCTGGGAAGCTGGCCCCATGGGTAGGAAGGGAGATGAAGAATAGGTAGGCGCGTCGATGGACGCCTTGCCTTTGCCTTTTTCAATAGAGGATGAGGAGGCAGTTTGATCCGTAGAATCCGCCATGTTTTCTGGCTTCTCGAGAATATTGCAATTGCTCTCAAAATGCGCGACCATAGCTTTGACTGAGGAAGCCGCGGATGTTTGACGATCTCGAGGTATCAAGAGAGGAGGCAACGTGCCTGGGATGATGTCTCGTTTTCGATTGATGATACCTTGACTCTCTGGAATAGGAGGAAAAGAGGTGGCTTCAGATTCAGAAGTGGAATTTTCTTGATGGAAGAAGTGCGATGCTTTTCGGCCAAGGTTGGCAGAAAAGCTGTCGGGGAAGCGGGCAACAGGGCGCTTCCGATCAAGGACACTGGGCTCCGCATGAGCCTTAGACTCTCCTAAGCTTTCATCGTTATCGTTGTATCTTTCCATTGTCGAATCAAAGGGGCCTGGCTAGGAGCGTGCTGCTGCTGTACACGACGGTAATTGCAGTGAAGGTAAAGCCGAATACTTATGTGAATGGCGCGGGATAAGGTTTGCAACGTAAATGAACGATTGGATGAATAGCGATGACAATAGAAAAGTGCGTAAGCCAAAGGGATGTAAGTAAATGAGCCTTTTATGAGGACGAGCTCAGCGTTTGTAGAAAGTTGGATGCGCAAATTCTGAGTACCAAAAAGATCCGGCGCAGTGAAGTTAGGAAGGAGGGCTAGAAGGCAGAGGCGTAGCTTCCGATTGAAAAGTCACATACGAACTTGGCCCTGAAAGAGGGAAATACTGGTGTCTATATCAAGCCGCACAACAACCAGAAATGCAGTGATATTTAATAGTATGCAAGAGCCAGTTTTTGCCTGGACTTGGACGGATGACAACCTCAACCAACAAAAGAGGATTATACGTGAAGATTGAACGAAAAGACCTCTCAAAAGTCACGAATCTTCATTACGAACTCACAAAAAATCATGAAAATGCTCCACGATTTACCTACGCATAGTAGGATGTCTCCTTTGATCCGATCCCCTTCAACAAGAGAAGTCAGATGACTTCCTCAAACTAGTATCTTGTAGACCACCGAGGGTCTCATAATTGTTGGCCCGCAATTAAATCCATATAGTAAAGATTGAGGTAAGTTCATTTACTTGTCGCGTCGGAGGATTGAACCCTCCAGGGCCAAATCTGACGGGAAAATTGCCAACGGATAGAGCTGTGATACATGTCTGTTTGCCCTTAAAAGACCGAAATTCATTTGCAAAATACAAGTGTGATATATAAGGAGAGTAATAAACAGTTTTATATCGCTTCATGCTATGATAGCGGGGGATAGAATGAAGGCATTGATTTAGAACACACAATCTCGAAGCAAAGAAACCATTTCATCGAGTTGTGATGGTGTTGCTCTTTCTTGACGTTCCTGTGCACAGACCACCTTAAAGACCCACCTTCCCGACCGGCATACTCCGTGCCTTCTCAGGGTTCCACGTTGCTGAAAGTCCCCCACATCAGTGACCAAGGGGGAACAGGAACACATCGCAGCTGGCTGACATTTGGCATCCGACATCAACGACGAACACCTCAACCCAACCGCCACAATGGATCCCTACTCTGCCGAAGGCGAATTGATCAACATTCACAACCACTTCCACCAGGGTCAGTACCAGGAGGTCATTGACTACGACACATCTGCCCTGTCACCCGAGAATGAGCTTCCCGCCCGAATCCTAGTCCTCCGCGCTCGCATCGCTCTGGGTCAAGCCGAAGACGTCCTCGCCGACGTGCAGGGAGAGAAGGAGCCCGAGTTGGTGGCCATTGGCGCCCTGGCCGAAAGCGCGCTCGGCAAGACGGATTCTGCAGTAAAGACGATCGAGACGCTCGCAGCGTCCGAAGGAGAGAACACCACAGTTCAGATTGTTGGAGGCACCGTCCTGCAGGCTGCAGGAAAGTCAGAGGAGGCGCTGGCGCTGTTGTCTCAGCACCAGGGCAGCCGTAAGCTACCATACGTAGTCCGGGATGACTTGTGCTGACCTAGCGTTTGCAGTTGATGCCGTCGCCTTGATTGTCCAAATTCACCTTCAGCAGAACCGGAACGATCTTGCTCTGAAGGAAGTCACCGCAGCCAGGAGATGGGCCCAGGACAGCTTGCTGGTCAACTTGGCTGAGTCGTGGGTTGGCCTGCGACAGGTATGACATGCGCACTGCCGGCAAAGAGATGTTACTAAGGCAGTATAGGGCGGAGACAAGTACCAACAGGCATTCTACGTGTTCGAGGAGCTCGCGCAGGCGCCAGCAACCTCGTCGATTACGACGTTGGTTTCTCAGGCTGTTGCAGAGCTGCACCTCGGACGAACAGAGGAGGCGCAGGCTGCTCTGGACCAGGCTCTGTCAAAGAACGGCAACTACGCCGAGGCCATCGCTAACTTGTTGGTGTTGACGGCGATCTCGGGCAAAGACCCCAAGGAGTTTGTCGAGTAAGACATGTCATTATCCCGCAGCGTAAAACAAAGTTACTAACCACGTAAATACAGGAAGCTGAAGGCGGCGGAGCCCCAGCATCAGTTCCTCGTGGACCTGGAGGAGAAGAGCGCGCTGTTTGATAAGGCGGCGACCAAGTACAGCGCCAAGGTGTCGGCGTAGGCTGTGGTTTGGTGTACTGCTGATGAGGCATAATGTTAGGCGTACGGTTTAGAGGAACTCAAATGGATACAACGGCTCGGAAAAGCGCAACGAGACCACCCGAATTACTATTTTCCGCTTGAAGATACCCATTCCTTCCTCGTTGACCTAGACATCGCCCCATTTTCAGATGCGCGCCAACCGCCAATGACCAGCAGGGCTCGAAGAGTCCAAAGTCGTTGGTGTCCTACCTCAGCACCTGTTGGCCTCGGAGCGCGCATACCTTAGCCCCGGGATAGTAGTGTTGGCGGCTTAGAGACCCTAGTTGGCAGACGGCGCCCGAGGTGACGGTTCGATGGCTTTGGTCGGCGGCTGATTGACATCATGGCCTTCCCGTTCATTACTAGCACCAAGTGCCCTGTACATAGCTTCCTCTGTCCGAGTCAGGGCTCAGCTTCTGAAGAGCAAGCTCAAAGTTGCGAGATGGCTGGCTAGGACGCAACTGCGGGGTTAAACCACTAGACAGTTTGCGGCTATTAGTGCTTCTCTTTGAGAGGGTTCGTCGTTTTGTGGATACGGACTCAGATAATAAAACAGATTTGCCACCATACTTCACATTGCACAAATCGCATCCCACTTGACTACTCAAGTTTGCGGAGCCAAACCAGGAGGCAGTGATAGATAGTCAGGGTCTTCTGCTCGAGTACAGGGATCAAAGGGTGCATGGAAGTGGATAAGATGCCTCTCACCTGGTGAACGGTGTTGAAAGGACTCGTCAATAATCCCGCAAACACAGCACATCCAGATCTCATCTGGGGTGAGGGTAAATCCATCGTCATCGTTCACACCGAGTTGAGAGCGGTGACCAGGCTGAGCGTACAAGGCTTATAGGCTCATCGGCCTACGAGGGGTTTCATGCATGTGAAGGGTGATAAACAGCACGGCGATGACGAACTCTCGATGGTCTAGTTCAACATGACACAGCAGGCATCTTCCTTCACCGCCACAGCCGCAGGTTATCCAGCAATCAGAGGAGAGAGCTTATGCAGTTGTAGATGCAGGCCACGGTATGGCAAGCATGGCGAGGCCCATTCGAGGCACAGCAAAAGACCAGACAGATGAGTAGTCAGCGCAGTGTTTTGCAGACGGGATGGCTTCAATGGATGCCTCCCCCTTGCCCCGACATCCCTGCTTGTATTGATCTGGACCTCAAGCCCCTTTCATAAGGTGCATATACAGAGCCCCTTGAGCCCTGTCTAAACAAGCAGGAGTGCAGAAACAAGGACATTGTTAACGCTGCTTGGCCAGTGTTGACTACGACGAAGCAAGCTAATTAGCGCGCACTAGTACAACCTTTCGCTGATGGCTGACTGCAAGTACTACCATGGTGGGAGCATTGGACAGAAAAAGATCCCCACCGAGGGTGGAATGACATCATGGCTCGGATTTCTCAATCCACCGCCAGCCAACCAGACGCTACATGCTGGGGCTCCTCTCCTGTATGGGCAATACAGAAAGTGATGTCGATAGTGCGCATATCGTGGACGTCAGCCATGGAGATTTTGCACTAGAAGCAAATGACGGACTCTCCCCCTAAAGGTCATGCTTTTTCAGCTTTTCCATGCCCGTTCTTGCTCACTCAGCCAGATTGAGTGGGGGGGCTCAAACACCGTAACATTGTGTCGTCAGTACATGGGCAGCACAAGTTTGAAAGCGGCCAAGGTCTGACGGTCCGTCCGGGCTGGAATGTTCTGTTTTACTCAATGTTGGGACGGATGTATCATGTCGCCTCCCGGTTCTCTATTGATGATCGGAGAAGCCGGTGCTCAAAGTATCGAATTCTGTGTTGAATATCGATCATTCTGAGGCCTCTAGCTGTGGGAATAGTCAGTTTTTCTACCCCCTTTCCGATCGCCTAATTGACAGAAAAGGCCGAGAACAGGCCTATTCCTGTTCCGGGGGCTTGAAGGTCCCCTCTGACGATCAGTAGCGGCTCTGTGAGGCTCGAAGGTGGGAAGGGGGGGCGCTTTCTCCCGACTGGCAGTCTACTACTTCTACACTTCTGATTTGTCAAACTGTCGACCACTCCCCGTGGTGGTGGTGAGAGGGTGGCCACGTCCCATCCATCCTCGACAAAAGGGAAAATCGTCCAATCTTCATGTCCAGCCATTATGGAGCTATAAACTCCGATTGGATAGGAGTTCTTGGGGTTAAGATAAAGAACTAGATGGGCCGGCCTTGTGAGACGCCGTCATCGTAATAGCAGGGTCAACATTTTGTGCGCCCGTTGCGCCGCCGCCCGCATCGGCGTGTATCCGCTTGCCAGTCCACTTTAGCATCCCGGAAGCAGCTCTTTCACGAGCGGAGTGATCCATCCGCTAGGCCTTGGTTTACTTTCGTGCTACCATGGTCATTACCGTCATGCGGCATGGCGCGCCCTGACGTGCTCCCGTGCCCCCGTGTCTGCGGACGACTCGGTGGTAGGTGCAACCTTTTCGGGTCGTCATCGTGAAGGGGTGGTCGTGCGCCTTTTTTCCCCCCTCTCTCTTTTCGCCGCTGCCGCTTATGAATCGGTCGAGACTTTGGCGGCTTCGGGTGGCATTGACTTCTATAAAGTCAGTCACCATCTCGTTGAAACCTGTTCGTAACAACTCTAATCGCCATCCATCCTGCTCTTACAAGCCAAGACTATAAAGTGTCAACAGAAAAGCACGACTGCCAACTCATATTGCTCAAACTATTAAACATCAACTTACACTTACCGCCAAAATGCCTATTGCCATCACTCCCCCTGAGACCAAGGCCACGACCATGATGGGTCTGCCCACTCTTTCCGAGAACAAGAAGCGCAAAATCATCTGCTTCTCAGGTACGAAAGATCGACAAACCCCCCACGTGGTATTCACCACGCCGCTAACAAGGGTCTAGACTTTGATGGAACCATCTTCATGCAAGACACCGGACACATCCTTTTCGATAACCACGGCTGCGGCTCTGAGAAGCGTGAAGCCCTTGATGAGCAGATCAAGACCGGCGAGCGGTCTTTCCGCGACGTCTCTGAGGAGATGTGGGGCTCTCTTAATGTTCCTTTTGATGATGGCTTCGAGGTAATGGAGAAGACCCTTGAGATCGATCCGGCCTTTCAAGAGTTTCACAAGTTTTGCATTGAGAACTCGATCCCCTTCAATGTCATCTCCGCCGGCTTGAAGCCCATCTTGAGAAAGGTTCTCGACACATTCTTGGGTGAGGAGGAATCGGCGCACATTGATATTGTTGCCAACGAGGCCGAGATTGCTGAGGATGGCTCGGCGTGGAAACCCATCTGGCGCCACGACAACGAGCTGGGCCACGACAAGGCCCTCTCCATGGGTGAGGCCCGCGAGCAGGCCGAGATGGAGTGCGAAGACGGCACCATTCCACTCATCGTGTTCATCGGCGACGGCGTCTCGGACTTGCCCGCTGCCCGCCAGGCTGATGTGCTTTTTGCGCGCAGGGGCCTGAGATTGGAGGAGTACTGCGTCGAGAACAACATCTCCTACATTGCATTCGACACGTTTGCGGATATCCAGAGGGAGATCCGGCGAATCAGGGAGGAGGACGAGAAGAAGACGGGCGGCAAGGGTATGCCCGCGGCCTTCAACCCCCGTGCCAACATGTGGCGCCGCATGTCCAGCAAGTCCGCCATCCCACGCATGGTTGCCATGTCGCCTCAAGAGGAAAAGATGCTCCTCTGGCCGGATGTCTTTAGTGTCATGTCACCCAGCATCGAGAAAACCATGGCGCAACCGGTACTGGCATAAGCAAGCTTCGGCTACCGGGATGGTTGGGATGGCTTTAAGGAAGTCTTCATGGAGCCGGATGGATGCATAGCGAGCGATGATAATGAGATTAGGTCTGATAGGCGTTTACATTGTACAGGGCTGGGCTGGGTAATAACAGAGCTACGATACAGCTTAGAGTAAAAAGGGAGTCGGAAAATAAGAATATATTTGCAACTTTGAAAGACACTGTGCATAAATGCAGTTTTCCGGCGCTTGAGTTAAAAGTATACACCGATCCTGTAAAGATTGGTCCACTGCACTATTTCTTACACTGGTACGCTTGGTAACGGAGGTAAAATCTGTATATTTGCAGGAAGTTTTTACACCCTAGGGCGCCTAAGGTGAAACGAGAGACTTGGGTAAAGAGGGTTGATTAGGTCGTAGCTAACGGAGTAAAGAGGACGGAATGGTATAGGGCATAGGAACGGGCCTATCAAAAGCATGTATTATCCGTAGAGAATCTTGGGTCCATCGGGCCGTTACCGAATTTCCGGCTGGGCGTCTCGCTGAGCTACTTCAGCCTCGTAATCCAACGTTAGCCAAGATTCGGTTGTCCTCGATCAAATTGCGACAGGAGCTGGGTGCGGCTCCCACGCTACCCCCTTTGTTTCAGCCCACAGATAGCAGCACACGTCTTTACCTCCTTCTCGTATTTGCATCGTCGGATTGTGGGAAGGGATCAACGGATGGCTCCACCATCTCAAGCAAGACTTCCAGTAGTTCATCCTTAGTTTGGACAGAAACAGATACCCTGTAACCGCCAAGCACCCAGTTGGGTGCTCAGCCAGACCTTGTCTTCCTGCCCAGTTGGGATGATAGTGCAGTTTGTGAGTTTCAGAAGGATATCACAGGAGGATCTGGAATGGGGGTTTAAGAGAAAGGGAAGGGGGGAAAAAACCATTGAAAAAAAGACCGTTGGATCGGAGCGGGGATCTATGTGGATAGGATCTGAACCAAGATCGAATATCCCCGAAGAGGTTTCCCAAAAGAGATGGGCGTTTCCCTGTGCCTGCATAGGCGCCCCCTTTGTCGATCTTAAAAGGCAGTCGGCCGGTTTACGCTTATATCAAGTAGGTAGCTATAGCCGGAGGAGTCCGGCCAGGTGTAAGGTTTCTTTGGATCTACAGATGACGGAGGCGTATCTGAAATACATTAAACCGTGGGGAATGACAGCGGTTGTGAATATATGCTTCAAACAACGCCAAGGCCACTAGAATGCCACTGCACAACCCCCTTTCTCCATTGGGCCAGGCCCACCCGCCTGTCAAACAGGGATGTACGGATGTGCAGTTCTAGATATCGTCAACTTCTTACATGCCGCAACTGTAAATGTCCAAGTCTATTAAAAGGCCAACGGCACCGTTCGCCTCTTCTTGCCATGTGTTTCGACATTAACCTTCTTTTTTCTCATTAGACTTTTGCCTACTTCCGCTGGAGAGGAACGTAGATTTTCCCTTCGTGGTCTTCACATTCGTTTCTCGAAAAGAATAAAAAAACACCTTCGTTCTTTGATACACTCGTCTTTCTTTTCACCTGTCAAAAGATGTACCACTCACCAGCCATCATCCTGGCTGCCGCCGGCCTGGCGAGCGCCTTCACCAACACCAAGGTTGAGTTCTTCATGCGCAAGAACATCGACCCCATCGTCATCCCGGGCCAGTACAAGAGCCACATGCACAGCTTCTTCGGCAGCGATGCTGTCAACGTCAACCTGAGCACCACCGCCGAGCTCCAGGAGGGCTGCGCTACGGCGCAGAACCCCAACGATCTGTCCGTATATTGTAAGTCGCCCCCCTCTACCAGCCGACGACTATCCGAAAATTGCAAAAAGACGAGGGCTAACAAACGTCAAAAAGGGATCCCGACCCTCTACCACGTCGAGGGCAGCAAGCGCACCCCCATCGAGCCTGTGAGCTTCACTGCGTACTACAACTTCGACAAGGACCCTGCCGAGGTCCCCATCCCGCCCAACTTCAACGTCGTCGCCGGCAACGCCGAGGCCAAGACCGAGAAGGACCTCATCGAAGGCTCCGACATCGCCTGGCTGTGCCAGAACCAGAAGTTTGACGCCGGCGGCAAGGCCAACTCCCAGTTCCCGCAGAGCACCTGCTCCACCTCCCTCCAGTCCGTCCTCTGGTTCCCTGACTGCGTCGACTCCAAGACCCTCAAGAGCGCCTACTCGAACAAGGGCTCCTGCCCCGACGGCATGAAGCGCATGCCTCAGCTGCGCTTCAGCATCCGCTACGACACCAAGAAGGCGATCCCCGGCGGCTGGAAGGGTGAGCCTCCCCTGGAGCTGGCTTGCGGCCCCAGCTACTGCTTCCACGGCGACTTCGTCAACGGCTGGCTCCAGGAATCCGCGGAGAAGATGGTTACCGCGCTTACCAGCAAGAGGAGCTGGCAGGCCATCGACGGCCCCAACGGCAAGTCCAAGGCGGGCCCCAAGTGCAAGAAGGGCTCCGCGAAGGACTCTGACCCCGAGAACGGCACGAGCGACTACGCCGAGAGCGTCAAGGCGATGGCCAAGAGGAGGGTCAGCATGAAGAAGAGAATCGGCATGTAAAGTGGGAAGAAGAAGAGCACGAGGTGGGAGAAGAAACAAAGGTGTAATGGTTACGGCGGCTCACTTTGAGCCGGATTTCGTGCCGAACGAATGTCTTGAAGACGTTTCATTGTACAAAGTTTTACAACAGTTATATCAGTATTTAGCATGTGTTGAGCACACCAGCAATGATCCCGGAAAATCTTATGTGACATGTGAGTTGTGGATGTGTCCTTGCAGAAGAGAGTAATGCTGCGTACCTAAAGATGACGATGCCATTAGCTGGAGAGACTGCCGGTAGAGTAGGGGCAGTGTTGTACAGGACTAGTCGTCGATGAAGATTTCAACAGCGGTTAGCCTATTACTTCTTCCTGCGCCTTCTTGATTTGCGCCTGTTCAGTGCTCTGTGGGGTTGACAATGAGTAGTTTACTCATTAATTCCGAGCAGTCCAGATTGATTGAAAGTAGAGGCGAGGAACCGTATCATATCCTGGAAGAGAGCAGAGTAAATCAAAGCAACCAAGCTGTGCCAGACTCCACCAAAGTTGAACTTCCCTCCTAGTTATCGAGTTTGAAGCTGTCTCCTCATGAAGTAGAGAATGTGAGCTTTGGACCCAGCCGACTGGGCGTCTATGTCGTATAAGTCATTGCAATTAGACGAGGGTAGCAGGGTATCAGTCTCGGTGATACTAACTCATTCTACTTGTCAACACAGAGCATTATAGCGACAACAGGGTCGGCGAGCACCAGCCAACTCAACCGCACTGCCTGCTCGTTCGGGTTCATAGGGAAGAAGGAGCCTCAACTCGACCGAAAACTAGCTCTTGAAACGCCCCGACTCGGCAGCTGGGGGCTAGGTTGTTCGGCTCGATATCTTCCCTCATGGCCAACCCCGATAGATGTTGATACATTCCTTGTGAGCCGCATCATTAGCCAGTCCGGAACTGGCGGATGCGCTCACGTTAGGGCGACGCGATTACACTCCTGGGGCACACTTCGGCAGAGTTCATCCGTAGTTGGGACCGCCACCGCATAACCTTTGTTGACGCTGAAGTCAAGCGAAGCAACTGGTTCGATAGCGCCGAGATCTCATCAACATCGACTCTAGGTACAATCTAGGGCAGTGTAAAGCTGCATGGTTCGTACACCACTGTGTTGAACTTCAGCTGTCCGATAGTTGGTAGCGACTGTATAAATTTACAATATCAGCTGATAATGTGCTTTCTTATTGAATGTAGCCAAGCTACAATGATTAAGGTAGATGAACGATGGGTAGAGCCGAGTTGCATGTCACAATAGCCCCGAGCTTCTTATTTACGATCATCTTGGTATGCTCCTAAGCACTATTCGGAACCGTCATCAGCTACAGGCAAGATCATCTAAAGGCAAGGCCTGGGCGATAAAAAGCGGCAAGATGGAAGTTGGACAGGCACATATGGTTAAAGACAGCTTGCCGGTGTCCCAGTAAAGCTAACCAGATCGTCAACGTCGACTAGGATGTTGAACCTGCAGCTGATCAGAGGCAATCCACATCAGGCCCGGTATTCGAATGCGGAACTTCAGGGACGAACCCGGAACCGCCGTCGTCCAAATAAACCAGCACGCTCTCACTAGCCGTTGCAGCGGACTCTAGAAAAAAAGCGCTCGTCCGAAGCAGAGGCGCCCCCCTGCCATCTAGGCAATTCAGGTCTCGTTAGCCAGACGTCATGCTTCGTAACCCGTTGCCGATATATCCTTATCGCTGAACTCGGCGCCCAGATCCGTCATCATCCAGTGAGAGTTGATTAGCTAGAGCAGCCTGACCTCACTGACCTCATCGAGCCCGTGCCGATAGGGTCAATAGGCAGAGCGCAGCACCAGAGGGCGACTTAGTGGGGGAAGTCGTTAGCCTCGACCCACGCCAAGTATGATAGTTGACGACCATCACGATATTTCGGATGAGATGGGACGGAAAGACAAATTAAGCCAATGCACAATGCCATGGTGGCAGACAAAGATGGTTCGGAGTCGGGGTGCTCGGGAGTGTCCAGCCAGCCCCACACGGCGGATATCCGGCCGAAGCTTGGAGGCTTGGCCTCGAAAAAGCCGTGCATCCATATCCACTGTATCCCAATGGTGGTGAGGTCGTGCGTCATCACTGGCGGTCTCCCCAATCAAACCAAGAGACAGTCACCGAAATGGCTCAGAGGTTTGGGACTTTTTTCTGTCCCTTTCCTTTGGGACTGGTTGCTGCCGCTCGCTTGCTGACATGCGGTGGTAGTGGAGGTGGATGGTTACGTTCAATAGCATGGCTGAGGGTCTTGGGGCGGATCGAAGAAGGAATGAGAAATGGGTCGCTTGCTGCTGGGCGGGAGGCCTCGTGGAATGCTTGGCTTAGTTAACTTGGAGGGGTCTTATTGTCTTGATACATGTGTTTGATGATGTACAACAACGAGTGGAGGCGAAGCAGGCGACGACAGAGGGAACAAAACAGTAGCAAGCCTGTTGGAGGTCATTGTGACGGTACTGGCGCTGAATTGGACGAGTGGTATTGAAGGAACAAGGCCGATCCTGCTTGATTCGATGGGCGGTCAATTTGGATGGCTTGTTTCATTTTACTACCCATCAGCACCAGCCCGCCCACCCATCTCATCGTATTGGCTCTCGCGTGGAGCCTCAGTTGGATTGGACGATTTCAGCTGAGCTGAGGTGGTTGAAGGATTGGTCTGGCTCTGGAAATGGCATTGAGCAATCAGCCGGTGATGAAGGTATTTCTACTCCGGAACGACGCTACTAGGATAGGGCGAAGCTTGGATCGCCGGGGCGTCCATTACGGCCCGTGCCCCAGCTTTGGTTACCAGCGAAGCTGCAATTTTTAGTGCACTCATAAACTGACTGTCGCCCTCTATGCTACCTTGCGTAGTAGTAGATGCAGTGGTAGGTAGGTACCAATAGGTACTGGACCTGCTGGCCTGATTACCTCAGCTCTTGTATCCCCGCGGCCCCATCCTATGTACCTGAAGTCCCTGGTAGAACCAGGCTGAGTATTGGTTCACTGCAACGCCACGATTGGTCACACTCTGGCTTTCTGCCTCGGGCAGCAAGCGGATGGCCGTAATGTAAAGCTGTCCGCCCCGGGCGGCGAGCTCACAAAGCTGGGCAAGGATGGAAGGGTGTTTTGATGACGAGGCCCGCTTGTGCCAAGATGAATGCGGTTAGCAGGGCTGGTGTCGCATCTGTGCCTCAGTGGTTGAACTGGGCCCTAATAAACCAGAACATGAGGTGAGGTTCAGGCACGAGCCGCGTCTCTCGACCCTCGCTGGCAATTGTCCGCATGAAGATCGACCAAGACTCTTGGGCGAAGGCTTGGAACCACCTGGGAATCCTTGGCGGGGGTGAGAGCCTCTGATGGATGCATCGCATCGCAATCCAAGAACATGGGCGGGTTTGGTGCAGGGTGACGGAGTGAGCCAGCAGGCTGTTTGTCCCAATGCTGGATGGACCCTACCTCGTACGGTATCGCTCCCCTTGTTCAGATATACGGATAGGGCAGAGGCGGATGCACGGCAAGCAGATGGGGAAATCGTCTGTGGGATAAATATGTTGTGCGGCGCTGCAGGTGCAGTTGCAGCCGACGAGGGGCCGGGGGACTGGATTCGTGGAGATGGAGGGGAGAAGAGGGGGGCCAGCCCACGCCATATCTTTCTAGCGCGAGGAACTAACGCCGTAAGTAGGGAGAATACGTAGAAAGGCCGGAAAAATGGCGGGATTTTTCGTCGAGTGAGGTGGCCGTTACGGAGAGACGGATGATGGAATATGATGTACTCATTTGGACAAAGCACCCAAATCCATCTACTACGGAGATACGGACTGTAAATCGCAGCCGGTTGTAAGGGGGCGGCAGGGGCAAGGGGGGAAGCTGAAGAAGAAGGAAACAACAAACAGATTCCCACAATCAAGTGAATGAGTTGAGACGGGCATGTTCTGGATCATGACTGTCCGGCCACATTGACAGGACACAAGGGAGAATGGGGTGACGGTGGTTAATGGGGTGGAGAGAATTAGGGGGGGGGAATGGAAGGCCAAATGAATGAATATAGCCTGGAACCAGGTTTCGGGGCATGTGAAGAACAGGCGAAGATGAGGGAAGTTAAACTGGACAGGGTCTGTGACATTCGAACATGGGCATGGCCTCTGACCTGTCAAGAGGTGTGGACCATGAACCATTGGAAACCCATCGAGATTCGGATGGCATTGACACGGAGTTCGGGGGGTTGGACGTGGTTGAAGAAATTCCATGTCGGGACTACAGGGCGACACCATTCTTCCCATGGGGGATACCGGACCGACTAACTCGACTAAGGAGGTCTTTTGAGGATGCACGATAACATGCCCAACGTTGGGCCACTAATATGTTACCAACCAACTGAGGGAACGGGCACGCGACCGAGAGGCGGGACAGGGAAGGATAACGAACATGAGGGAATAGGAAAAGGGAAAGGAAAAGGAAAAGGAGGGGGAAGAGGAAGCGAAGGACAGAACGGGGCACAACGGGGCAGACGAGGGGGCAAGACAGGGTGTAGCATCTAATTAAGGACACGGTTTAATAGGATGGACAAATAAGCAGCTGGTTAATGATCAGGTCAGGCAGGACAGGCAGCGTGAAATGGTCAAAATGCTGGAGATGCTTGGGGTGGGTTAATTTACATAGTGCCCTAGCAGATTCAAAGACTCGCGACGGGTGGCTGTACACGCAGGGGAAACAATAATGATAATTAGATGAACACCTACAAACGCACACAATAGAGAGCGAGGGGGACTGGTGGGAGATGTAATGCAGTTGGGAAACAGGCACAACACACAACAAAATTCAAAACGGCTTGCGACCAAAACTGCATGCATCCACGTCTGCGTCTGTACGCCGTGGGGGCCGAGCTGGTGTTTTTGCGGGCGGATGTATATGTGTACGTCTAAACGGAGTAGACATGTGTGTATGTTTGTACCGGCCCTGTCGTTGTTGCGCGTATATACACCCGTCCAATCGTTTTAGCTTGTGTTGGCATGTAGATGGATAGTAAGGGGAGACAATTGTTCCGCTTTCTCGGGCGATATCAAGACAAAAATACTTCCGTCCGCAAACGCGTCTAACATGTACATGCACTAGTCTTTCTGTGCCAGAAATTGCTGGTAAGATACTTGCAATGACGCAAACCATAATCGCACTTGAAGTCCACCCCATGCTGCGTCTAAACAGTTTGCTGAGGGAAAAAAGCTAGCCCATCGTCCAATGGACTCGCACAGGGGGCGGATTAAAAAAAAGAAAGTGACGAGAGAATGGTAGATAAAGATGTCAGAGACACCTTGATGTTATAAGGTACCTTGAGTCAACCTCGGTCCCCTCCGTTCGTGTCATCTCTTCTTTTCTTCCCCTTTCCCCTTGAACTCTGTTCTTAAGCCTTTTGGAGCCAGCGAACCAGAAAAAGGCAGAGCGAAGAAAGTGAGTGAGAGCGAGAGTGAGAGTGAGAGACAGGGCAAGAAGGCATGCTCAGGGTGCTTCAGACTTGAGCGGTTTGCGTCTTGGCATCCGTTCTTTCCTACTATTCTCCTTACCTGGACCTCCCTGGCAGCTGCCTGGTTGTCCCTTCTCCCGCGGTTTCTGGTTTCTGTTTCCAGCTGTTTCCAGCTTTCCCCTCGGGCTTCAGCTTCAGCTTCAGCTCCAGCTGCCTTCCCTGCTCCCGCTGCTCCCAAACTCGGTAAACCCACTACACAGCACCACTCCCCCAGGCAGCGCCTACCGCAAGTGGCTACTGTTGGGGATTGCAATCCGAAGCACCCGCGCGCAACCGTGACACTAACGGTGACGGGGGACCCAACCGGCAAGACCATACGCATCTGGGACGAATAAGCCCGAATACACGAGACTAGACGGTACCTCGGCCCACGCCAATGTTTGCTCTATACCGCAGGTACTCCCGTGGTTGGAACACTTAGCTGCCCGGCCTGCCTTCAGTATTTTGCACGCATCAGATACACCCGTTTACCAAACCCACGGCCGCCAGTGGAGGAGAAAAAACAAAGAGGTAAGTTCTCAGAAAGTGTCCCTAGCTGTCCTTGTCTACCTCTATTACCCGTAGCTCCAAAATTTCCCTTTATTTTGCGCTGCGTGTTATGTCGAGGCGGTCTGCGACATCATCTCTTACAGTGTATCCCAATTTCTCTTTACCCTCTCTCCCCTTCTCTCTTCCCTCCCTCTCCCTCCCCGACCTCGTCTAGGGTGTGTGTGCATGTGTGTGTGTATGTCTTTCATACCTCTTCTTGTTCGAGCATTATTTCTCTTTGGACTGCTCCTTCATTCCAACCGCACATGAAGGTGGTGTCAAGTTGAGGTGCATCCAAGCCACATAATTAATCCGTACACCTGTTCGCCTCCTGCTCTCGACCCTCTAATAATACGGGCATCACCTCAAGGGGCTTGGGACCTCTGCCACTACCTCCTGAGGCCCCGTTCCTTAAATTCTTCTCCTTTTTGCTGCGGAATATATTGACACACTGCTTTGGACCCGACATTGACTCTCCAGCTTTCAGAAACGTCAGTGGTTAAGCCTTCAAGATCCAGCACTCATCCCGCCGTCCTCGTGCCCAACCTGAGTCGAACCTTCAGACGCCGTGCTGCTCGACATCTCAGGCCCTCAAGACATCTGACAGTCATTGTTACGACTGGCTCTTGTTTCCCCCCTTGTTCGTCGACCGTCATCAATTTGCTCGAGATACCCACGGGGCGCGCACTTTGCACGACCAATTGAGTTTGGATAGCTTTTTTTTTTTTTGTCGCCAAGGACAACTTCACGATAGACAGAATCACAGCCGCGGATATATCCCCTGATCAGCAACCAACACTCATTGAGTGCTACGGGAAACCCTGTCTTGCAGCTAGTCAGCGACCCGTCTGCGCTGCACAGGACACGTCCCTCGCTTCGATTGCAGCCCGCGCCTGTTTGCTTGTGCTTTGCTGCACACCACCACACCATCCTTCGGCAACACCCAGCTGCCTTGGCTACGTTAAGGGGGCATTCGGGCAGACAGACGGACAGAAAGGTCCAGGCCTGGTAGGAGGATAAGGCTTGTCGGGTCATGACAATTGGATCGTCGCTGGAGCCAAATACGTAAGGTACCGCTAGTACCTGACGCGACCTTGGGCATTTCAGCGCTCCGCATTGTATCTCCTACGTCACCCCGCCCGCCCCCAGCTGGCCACCCTGCCTGTGAGTGGTGTCTGGCACGTCGCCATCACACGTCGTGCGCTGCGCCCTCAAACGCTGTGCTTGGCTGCCGTAACTCTTTTTAGGGGCCACTCCCCGACCTGTCGTCCACCATGGTCCGCATCATCCCTGGACGATTAAAGTCCAGCTCTTCTCTCCGCAAAAGCCGAAGCACCAGCCCATCTCGCAACAACAGCAACGCCAGCACCACCAGTAACGGCAACGGCAAGATGGGAGAACTGAGCCCCAAAGACAATGGCTTGACCTTGAAGGTCGTCATTATGAAGGTATTGACTGCTCCGCTGCCCCTCTGCCCTCTCTTGCACTCCCGCTGCAACCCCCTTACGATACTCGGTAGTGACCGAATGCTAACCCTTGATCGAATTTCAGGCCCGTAATCTTGCTGCAAAAGACAGGAGCGGCACATCAGACCCGGTATGATCTTTCCCAGTACCCCTCTTCGCCCAGTCCTTATCAATTTTCTAATATGGCCACTTGCAGTTTCTCGTTGTTACCCTCGGCGACGCAAAAGTCACGACGCACGAAGTCCCCAAGACGCTGAACCCAGAGTGGAACGTCATTGAAGAATTGCCCGTCAACTCAACCCAGTGCCTCCTCCTCGATGTAATATGCTGGGATAAGGACCGCTTTGGCAAGGATTACCTGGGCGAGTTCGATCTCGCCCTCGAGGAGATCTTCGCCGACGAGCAGAATGAGCAGCCCCCAAAATGGTACCCTCTCAAGAGCAAGAGACCTGGCAAGAAGACGAGCGTGGTTTCTGGTGAGGTCATGCTGCAATTCACTCTGTTCGACCAGTCCAACACTGCCGCCACCCGCGAAGAAATATTTGAGAAGTTCTACGCTCTTGTCAGCCAGGTGCCCGCGGGCTCCCGACAAATTACTCCCACCATGACACCCTTAATCCAGCCGATTAAGAATCTACGCGTTCGTAGCGGAAACACACCATCGCCGCCGGCGTCACAAACCGTGACCGACCCCGACCAAGACGACGACGACGATGACGACCTCGATATCGACGACGATACCCCCGAGGACGAGGACCCAAGCAAGCCAGAGGTTGCCGAAAAGCGCAAACGTCGTCTTAGAATCAAAGGCCTGAAGAAGAAGAGGAGAGAGAACGCATACGAGTTTAATAACAGTGGAAGTGATGTTGTCGGTATTATTTATCTTGAAGTCTTGAACATCACCGACCTCCCTCCCGAGCCCAATTCTACCCGAACCACCTTCGACATGGATCCATTTGTAGTCGCCTCTCTCGGCAAGAAGACATACCGGACGAAGCGAGTGCGACACAACCTTAACCCCGTCTTCAACGAGAAGATGATTTTCCAGGTCCAGGGACACGAACAGACATACTCGTTCAGTTTCACAGTCATGGACCACGACAAGTACTCGGGAAATGATTTCATTGCCGACTGCAGCCTTGCTGTGAGGGAGCTTATCGACAAGGCCCCGAAGGCCAACCCCGAAACCGGCTTGTACGAGCTCCCTGAGCCTCACGAATTCGTTCCACCCCAGCAGCGTCGCTTCAAGAAGCTTGGGATGTCGCGTACATCATCGACTCAGAGTCTTAGCAAGGTGGTGCGACCTTCTCTGTCCAAGAACCCGAGCAGCGCGTCCGCTGCAACGGGCACACAATCCGGAACAGCAACTCCTGCAGCTGTCCCTCAGACCGGGGCTTTGAACCCCGAGTTTTTGTCCCCCGAGCAAGCACTTGCTGGAGCTGGAGCTCAGACTGCCGAGGTGGAGGCCGACGAAACCGACTTCAGCGACTTCAGCATCCCATTGAAGATGAAGGATGCCAAGAAGTGGGAAGACAAGCACAACCCAGTCCTGTACCTACGCGCTAAATACGTGCCTTACCCTGCTCTCCGCCAGCAATTTTGGAGATCCATGCTCAAGCAGTATGATACTGATGAGAGTGGTCGCATCAGCAAGATCGAGCTAACCACTATGCTTGACACCCTTGGATCAACATTACACGAGTCTACCATTGACAGCTTCTTCAAACGGTTCCCTCACAGAGAAGAAGGCGATGACGTTGAGGATCTCACAATGGATGAGGCTGTTATCTGTCTGGAGGATCAACTAGAGGCCAAGAGCAAGCCGCATGCTACTGTAACAGAGAAGGTGAAGGGCATGCTGCCAGATGCCGATAAGGTCAAGAACCTGCTCTCGGCCCCCGGGGCTAGAGCTAATGCTCAAAGTGGTCTGTCGACGGAAACATCAAGCACCTCTGACGGAACCTTGAACGTGCCAGAGCTGAACTCTCCTGGCGAGGAAGGTGACTTGCTCGACCGCGATGATCTGGCCGAGGATCGCTCCGGCGAGGAACATGTTGTTGAGATCAGGGAGTGCCCTATTTGCCACCAGCCACGCTTGAACAAGCGCAAGGACGCCGACATTATCACTCACATTGCTACATGTGCCAGTCAGGACTGGAGGCAGGTCAACAACCTAGTTATGGGCGGCTTTGTCACAGCAAGTCAGGCACAGCGTAAGTGGTACTCGAAGGTCATCACCAAGATCTCCTACGGCGGTTACAAGCTGGGAGCCAACTCGGCCAACATCCTGGTCCAGGACCGTATAACCGGTCAGATCAATGAGGAGAAGATGAGCGTCTACGTGAGGCTTGGCATCCGTCTCCTCTACAAAGGACTCAAGTCTAGTAACATGGAAACCAAGCGGAGTAAGTGGCATGCTAACATACTGTTTTCATGATGGTTTGCTGATGCGTTTTTACAGTTCGCAAGATGCTCAAGAGTATGAGTATCAAGCAGGGCAAGAAATTTGACGACCCGGCCTCCAAGGCTGAGATTCCCAAGTTCATCGAGTTCCATCGCCTCGATATGTCCGAGGTGCTTCTGCCGCTCGAGGAGTTCAAGAATTTCAACGAGTTTTTCTATCGAGCTCTGAAGCCGGATGCTCGCCCTTGTTCCGCGCCCGACCGTCCGGGTATTGTCGTCTCCCCTGCCGACTGCCGCAGCGTTGTCTTCAACAGCGTCAGTCAGGCCACCAATGTCTGGATCAAGGGCCGCGAGTTTTCGATTAAGCGTCTTCTCGGCGACGCCTATCCCGATGATGTGAAGCGCTTCGAGAACGGTGCCCTCGGTATCTTCCGCCTGGCTCCGCAGGACTACCACCGCTTCCACATTCCCGTGGACGGTATAATGGACAAGCCCAAGACGATCGCCGGAGAGTACTACACGGTGAACCCGATGGCCATTCGTTCGGCACTTGACGTATACGGAGAAAACGTTAGAGTGCTCTGCCCGATTGACAGCCCTGTGCATGGCCGTGTCATGGTCATTTGCGTCGGTGCCATGATGGTCGGCAGCACGGTCATCACCCGCAAGGAGGGTGAACAGGTGAAGCGGGCTGAAGAGCTTGGCTACTTCAAGTTCGGCGGCAGCACCATTGTGTTGCTGTTCGAGCCTGGCAAGATGAGATTTGACGACGACTTGGTGGACAACTCTAACGGCGCTCTTGAGACTTTGGTGAGTTGATCAAGGCAGACGTATGCCGAGTTAACGGCATTGCTAACAAACTCTGGCAGGTTCGCGCAGGCATGTCTATCGGGCATTCGCCCGACGAGCCGCAGTGGACGCCGGACATGCGTAAGGACGAGAAGGATGTGACCGAGGCGGAGAAGAAGGACGCCAAGCGACGTATCGGCGGTAGTCTTGCAGGAGAGGAATCGTCAAGCGGCGACGACACTCCTGGAACCGACCTCAACACCCATGCTGCATCGGCCATGTAGCACATCTGTGTACATCGTGCGCGGGAGCGCCTCGAGCGTCTTGGGCATCCTGGTACCGTTACCGAAGTGGCATAACTCTTGAGGACAGGACAGGATAGACGGATACGGGTAGAAAACAAAACGCTGTTGGGGCGGTCTTGGTGGTTTCTCACCCTTCGCATTGCCAGCGTGGGGTTGTTTTTCTTCTTTTCATCTTTATGACGACGGTGGCTCTCAACAGACACGCACAACATATACAACTACAGATACAACAGAAGCATAGCGACAATAGGGATGATAGCCTAGGGATTAAGAAGTGGGAGTTTGCATTGCGGAACCGGGGGGTGAAGTATAAGAGCACAGAAAACAGGATGGAGTGAGAGATAGAGTAAAACGGTGCGGGGAGGGCCTTGCTTGACGAGGTGGGGGATCAGCAATGTCGCTCGCTTGGAATGAATGACAGCAACATGTCAGTTTTCTGATAAGTGATTCTGAATTCTTTGTTGTGTCGGTGACATGTCATTGCTTCATCCAATATATTGCATCCAAGCCGTTCGAAGAGGGAGGGCGTCTGCAGTGCGTCTGCGGTGCGGCTCCGGATGGGCTAATTTCTGGTTCTGTTTAGGGAAGAGGATGCGAAATGCACCATTACTATTTTTTGGAGTGGCGGATGCGAAAAGCAGCATGCCTGGCATTTGTGAATACTTCAGATCCTTGGTATATAATCACCGCGGGTTATTAACCAGCATTGCGCGGGTAGGGAGCATCTTCAGGGTCTCAATTGTAAGGTGTCTTTTGTTTTTTTCTTTCCTCAGGGGAATCTTCACTTGCGTCGTCCTTATTCTACCCTTCATCAGCTGGCGGATGTTTAGTGGTGTTGATGCTGGTGGTGGTGTTGTAGATCCGCAATAGGGGGGGCTAGCATGAAGAGACTAGTTCAAGTTTGATCACCCAAATCTATTCTTGGGGGCGCGTCTGCCTGGTCGCGTGGTTTGAAGATTGAGAGCGCGCGAAGGTGGTGTCGAGGTGTTTGGGAAGATGCCGGCTTTTGATGGTCTTCGCATGGCGGGCTGCCGTGAGCCGGCATGGGGATGCTGGCGTGAGGAATTTGCTTGACTTTGAACATGACTGATGGAGGGGGAGGGGGAGGGGGGGTTTGGGAGCTTTGGTTGGCGGGGGAGAGCTACGTGAGGGAAGAGCCTGGGTTGGTGAAGTGAGGGGATGATGAGTGTGGTGGTGTAAATGCAAATGCGAATATGAGATGAATCGTTACAATTTTCATCTTTCATCTGGTTTTTGTTCTTTTTTTTAACTTCTTATTTTTTGTCTACCTGAAGAATTCGAGTGGGTGGCCTACTTGAAAAGCTTCTTGGGGAGTTGCATGGAAAACTTCTGCCGTACACCCTTTTTTCCTTCTTTCTTCCTTTTCTTTTCTAGTAATGTGTTCAGGGGGTTTAATGGATTTGTTCTCAGCCAAGCTGGGATGAACCCTTCCGTCCGCCAGCCATCGACCACCGGGATCGCATTCGGAACCCGGACACGGAGACGGCGGGTGGGGGTGGGGGGGAAGCTGTGGATGAGATGAGTCTTGCTGCCAGCCGGGAGATTTTCGTACTTGTGTGGCTGGTTTTCTTTTCATGACGGAGCATCCGTACGCAGTACGCCGTTACTAACCAGCTATACTTCCTACGGACCATGCTGAGACCCCGGTTATGAGGTGGAGTGGAGATGGGAGAGATCATTCAGAGCTCCCCATCGTGAGAAGGTGTGGGGGGCAGTTGGTCGTTGATGTCTGGTGTTCGCTCGGCTCCTCTTCAGAACTTGACGATCTTGCGTCACAGGGTGGGGCCGATGAATCTGTTAACCTAAGACATAGGAGGAGATCTAGTATACTATGTAAAGAGAGAGGGAAAACAGGAGGGCTGAAGGGGGGTTAGCATCACTCCCATCCATCCTCATGGGTGCTGCGTCCTTGTTTGACCCATGTTCGGGTCCTGGTTGGGCACTGGCTGAGTCGAGAAGAGTCGGTGACGGACGTATGGGGTAACTTGGCACGTGTGGGGTCCATTCTCTCTCCCTTCCTATGCTCGGTGCTTCACTTTCAGTCACAGGTCACCGGCTATAGACGGGACGATGTTTTTGCAGGCACGAAGGGGATGAGGGTGATGCGAAATGTTTATTCCAAAGCTTTGTTTGATTGCACATGAAAAAAATAATAATTTCGTTTGGGTATCCTAATCGTAGAGCGCCCTTTTGCTAGTATGCTATAGAGAAAACATGCGAAAGGGTTGGAGACAACGACTCTGTAGCTCTGCATATCCCTCAAAACCATTTCAACCCTTGCCAATGATATAATAGAGGGGGCATCCAGCGGCGTCCCCTGCGTTTGGTAGTAAGTGAAGTGGATTTGATGTGATGCCCGACCCTGATTGCGTGATGGAGCCTTTCCTTCGCTCCATTTCCACCCCCAATCAACTCACTTGTCCAAAGCCGGGCTGATCCTCATGTTGTGTGGCCCGATTTGCGCCGTAACTCCAGTAACTTATAGACGAACCCCGGATTTCTGTTGTGTATGCGTGCGTGCTTGTTTGTGTAATGCAGCTTCCTTGCTGACCCTGTTTGGAACAACGCGGGATGTGACCGAGGCGGCTTATGGCGGCTCCTGCGGGAGAGGAGAAGCTCGTGTGCGGCAGTTATTTGGCGGGAGGATGAATCCTCCGCCTTTTATCCGATCTGATACGTGACGTCGTTTAATGCGTGCTGGCTGTTTCGCAGTCCGTTCCAGTGATTGGGCTTGTGTGTGGTTGGTAAAACCTGGCCCTCATGGCGTCCATCTGCGTTGGTTGATGTATACGTGGTGTAGTGAACATTGAGCTCCATATGACGGAGCTCTATTGCCTGAGCAGAGACCTCAGTGCTTATCTACTTGGGGCCGCGCCACGAGGAGCCCGAGATGGATCGCGACATTGGCACGCCGGCGTCGCTGCGGTCGCTGTCCATGGAACGCTTCTCTGGGGATGGGCTGCGGGGGAAGTAGGACGTCATGTTGGGAGCCTGGATGCCAGGAGAGGGCAGATCAGAGGGAGAACGGCGGGTTTCGCGCCATGAAGCGTAGATCTGCTTGCACAGGTGTGCGGACATGGTGTAGGTGGGCGACATTTTGAATATCGGTTGTGAGCGAGGCTGTAGATTCTCTGTTAAAGCGGTGATGAAAGCTTCCCAAAATTGGAGAGAAGTTGGGTTGCGTGGTCTGGTATAAGTATAAGAGGTGGGTGAGGCTGAGCTTAGGGAATAGAGGTAGGTTAGCCTGGTAGTGGGGTATCCCGACACGCGTCTTTGGCGGCAGTTAGGAGAAACTTGCTGATGGGCCTTATGAAGCTTGGGATATTATTAGAATCCTTGAAGATAGAATGGAAATCAGGACGATGGGAGTCAAGTTACGAGGGGGGCAGACGGGCTGGTTATATTTGGGGGGAAAGAATCCAGGCACAGCTACGAATCGCCCAGGGGTCCTTTTCCCCCCTTCCAGGCCCCGGGCTGGATCTACAGATACATTGGTACAAGGCGAGCTGCACAGCTGTCAAATCGACCCAAATAAACGGACCGGGGTGGGATAAAACATGCGAAAATGGCGTCAAAAGGGTTAGAAAACGGACGAGGTGCGGCATGGGGAGATTGGGCAAGCGTGCGTGTGTGACTCGTTCGTCCAGCCAACTGTGCAGCCTGTGAGCAACCACGCCGACCGGCTGGCCTCACCTCCGTCCCCATCATTCATCTCCACCATCGGGAGGAGGCACGCCACAAGTCAGATTCGCCAATGAGAAGCTTCAGAGATCAGAACTGATGGCACATGGCCAATAGAAGGCAACCTAAAGTAAGCAGTTGGTAGTAGGAAGGTGGGAGGGAAAACGTGCGATTTGGGCTATGTGGCTGTGCTGAATCGCACCACGCTCACCCTCCCATAGTGGTCCGGAAGGGCCTGGCTGGGCTGACACTCTGATCAAAGGGGGCCAGATTGATCAATTTTTGGCGCGAGCACCTCCACTCCTGAAGGCACTGTAGACGTGACACAGTGTTTTGTGCCCCAATCTAGATTGACAGGAGCTGGCTTTTGGCTTTCTGGTTGGCCGCCAGTTCGTTTCTAGCGGGGTTTGAGAGGAGCTTCGCATTGGGATCCGGATGGAATGTTTGTTAGCTGTTCAGAGGCGGCAACACTGTCCTACCTCACCAGATTGAGTCTCCCGTGAACTGCCCATATCGGCCTTTTCCTCTTGCAAACTTTCTTCTCAGCCTCTTGCCAGCAGGAATGAGCGCAACATGGGAGCCCAGGACCGCCTACGATACCATGTCTCAAAGTGGTCACACAGACGAAGGAGAGAAGGGTGACCTGTTTGAGAGATACGTCGATACGTCACTGCTTGCGTGCTTGGGATAGGCAATGAGGGAACCTGAGCTGTGGAGGGGCACACCAGCCACAACGGACGATCGACAGGGCCTTGTCGGATATCCAGGCAGCTTGCCAGGGTCGGAATCAAAGACCTGCCAAAATGTTCATCCAAATCCCTTTTAGGCAGGACCCGCTTCGGGTCGGAGTCATTCCCGAGCCTGATCCGACTTCCAGTCCCGATGGACCCCTCACTAGGGAAGCTGCGAACATTGCCAGGCGTGGGAGTAGCTCTGCATGTACGCAGTATGCTTCTGCTGCACATAAGCCCCGAGGGAGCCAGTGACACCTTTCGGATAACCTGGGAGGTCAGAATCGCCGTGGAGCTCCACGTTCCGAGCCGTGGGGAACCGATGATGCTGGTGGTACTGACGATCGCCCGATGAGATGAATTCTTCTCTTTGCTTTTTCTTCTTTCAAGTGATACCCAATGCAGTTCCGCCGGTTGAGACTGCCGAAGCTCACCTCCTTCCTTCATACCTATTCAAGGCAGGGGGCTTATTGACTCTGCAAGACGTACGGTAGAATGCGTTAGCTGTCCCGCCTGCCTATCCGTATGTATGTCTCTCGGGTCTCGGCTCTCGTGTACGGGGTACCGCGTGACTAGGCTGTCTGGGGTATGAAAATATGGTTGCTTTGGTGGAGGTGGTGGGTTTCCGTTGTTCTGGATGGAGTGTTCTAGACATGTTTCCCAAGGCTGAGAAATGCTGACTAGGTGTTCGGGAAGTTAGTTGTCAGACACACACAAGAGCTGACAGTTGCTACGTATTCGTACAATTATCGAGTCCCAGGTAGAAGAGCAATGAGGCAATATCAGCATTATCTGACTAACTTTCCAAAATTGCCGGGCTGACAAATGACAAGGGACCAAAGTCGAGGCGCTGAGTCAACCAGTTGGCAAGGAGGAACCTCTTTATCAATGGTTGCCTGGCAGAGAGGCTAGAAGAGAGTAACACTGTCGATGCCTAATTGTGTAAAGAGAATGCTTTGATCCGCAGCTTTCTTCCTCTTTCCGCCGATGAGATTCCACCCCTTCTGTTTGAGAGGAATTGTTCTGCCCCCACCAAGCAACCTTACTGGACAATGAGTATGCCATATCTTGGCACCAGCGTCAGTATGGTGTAGTGATTAATGCGATACTCTCTCGCGAGTGGGAGGCTACGGACAGGCCCTATTTCGATTCTCGGCTTCGGAACTTGTCCTTTTTTGCCTTCTGTGAGAATTTGAATGATGCCGAAAAGATATGCTACCCGAACCGATTGGCAGTGCCTAACTGAGCGCGTGTTAGTGGTAGGGAATGATTCTGGTCGACTTCACTAATTTTTTGTTTTATTTTATTTTTTCTTCTTATTCGTGCTGATAGGTCCATTTCTGTATTTATTTGCGTTTATAATGTTCGAGGGCTAGTGCAGTAACACTTGTTGATATTCCTACTGGCACAAAAAGCAGTCCATCCGTATTCGTGGAGCCCACAAAGACCGCCAATGGCTAGGCCACCTTATAGCAGAGCATGTTATTCCAGATGCGCCAAAGTGGTCAGCGGCTGGGTCTGAAAGCTGTCGACTATCCTATGACAGGGCATGGCTTAACTGAGCACGCGGGTCACTATTGGTGGTTCCGTTGTTTCAAAAGCTCACGCTAGTATTAAAGGCTTAGGTGGATGGTCACGGCACGCGAAGGCAAACCTTCCCTTGGCAAGTGTCCTTTGGCCATCAATCCTCAGGAGCGTATGCAACGGTGAGGCGCCGACCTATCTGACAAAGCTTACCGGTATGTCTCGGCAGCCACGTATCGCCTCTTAAGCAGCTGAACATGAGAGCGAGGACTCGCCAATGTTTTGCGAGCGCATTCGTTGACTGGATTGACGGGCATCTGGCGGTGGGGTGTCGAACACGCCAATGTTCCATCAAAAGGGGGCCTAAAAAGACAGAGTTTTTTTCTACCTGCCTCTAAAAAGCCCTCGAGTCAACGAAGTTGTGGATAATGACAGCGGCGGCGGAGTGCGAGGAAATTTGAGGACGCAACGGGAAGCAGCTCGTCTCTATGCCATTACGACATTGTACGCGTGAGTCCGCGGGCTGCTAGATTGGCGTTCGTGACCTTCTCTAATTGAACTGGAGCAACTGGAGCTCTCGAGGGGTTTAGCTCCGATCTGTCCAAGACGGAGGGTGATCATTTTAACAAGTTTAATGACTGTGTCCGCTCACGACTCAATGCGTCCGGTGAGGCTGTGGGCGGCCGGCCGAAAAGGGAGGGGAAAGCACACACTTCCGACCGGCTAGGCTGAATGAGTCCGGCGTCAATTAAATATATATGCCCTACATATGGTTCGGCGGGCATTTTGTCTAACTTTCAAACCTTCTCACCCCTGTAGGAAATCATGAAACAGGCAAACCCCGATCTGCTGGGATCGCGATGCCGGCGCATGAATGTGTGAGTGGTGCTTGTTCGCCCTCAAATCCCCGGTTCGAGGGGCAAAATACCTGAACAGGGCGGGGGCGAGGGGGATGAGCAGTAGGGATGACTGACTTAATTAGGTGGACGCTGGTAGGGGCTTCCAGCTTTCGTCTTTGTCTCTGCATGAACGACCGAGGCCATCGTCCGGTGCCAAGAGGGGCGTCATCATGCTGAGAGGGGCGGGAAAGGAGGCTTGATTCTGAGGGAGACGAGGGGAGGCCATCCTCGTCCCTTGTGTTGGTTCGGACTGTTTGATCGTCGTTCAGTCTTCAGAAGTCGGTTGGGCTTAGAAGAACACGCGCTACATGTGCCTACATAGGCAGCAGGGGCCACCAAGCGGACGTATAGATGTCACAAACAAAAAATAGAAAGGAAGCTGATCGCCGATGAAGTGTAGCAGATGTCTGCCTTTGAAGGCGCAAGTCATCCTTCGATTCGACTTCTAAAGAGGGAAATGTATAATGGCATGGTCACCTCTCATTGGCTGTAGCTGTCCCTGGGCTAGCCAACCCAAAGCAATTCGCACTGGAAAGTGGATTCAGGTGCTTTAACCCCCTGCAAACCCCTGGAACACTTCTCAAGAGGTTGCAGAAGTGCGTCCCATCCAGTTCTTACCACATTCCATGGACGCCAATCCACCTATTCCCAAGGGCATGCCGGTACTTGAGAATATCGGTTGCAAGTCGTCCAAAATCTCGTCCGTCTGAAACTGTAGGAATAGTGCTGGCGTCAAGCCAACCCACAGTCTCTAGCCCATACGCCAGTACCATGGTAGCTCCCGGATCGCCGCTCTGCCAGGCAGTCTACCTCCTCTGCTTGTCCTACGATTGATTGCGTCCTTCGACTCCCCGGAAAAGAAGCGTCCAAGCGTAGCGCCAGTGAATTGTCATTGACGTGACAGAAGTATCTACGACCGATGTTCGGATTTCGTTCTTCATGCGTTGGGTCAAATGGCAGCATCACGGCGAGGTAAAGCATGGTCGGACAAGTCAAAGATCTCTATGCCTCGTTCAATCTATCCCTCTGTCTCTAACTTCGTAGTACGGCCCGTCCATCTTGGCCACCCAATTAAATAATATTTGACTTATCCTTAACTCGGACAACTGTCAAGAAGTCACCAAAGCTCAGCCACCCCTTTCTTCCTGCACGGTTAACGATCGGGCACCGGCCTCTTGTCATCCAATCCAACTAAGTGGAAAAGTAGCGCCTGGCTGAATCGTTCACCACGCAGGATGTCATCTCATCTTGCGTCTCCAAGCGTCTGCCGCCAACATCCTTGGTTCCTCGTCATCTCCCGAACGTTGTCACCCCAATCCTCGGGCATTGTCGCATCACCCTTCTCACTTCTCTGGCCCATTCGATTCAAGCGGCGGTCATCCTCGCTGGCGCTGCGGTTCACCACCTCCAAGGGACCCTCTTCCACCTGGCTCAAGCGTGCGAGTCTCGAATTCTCGACGGACAAGGCCCCTCCCCTGCTTCTGATCTGCCATGGGCTTTAGCCCAACAGACGGGGCTACCATCTCCACCTGCAGCGTGCCCTTGTTAGGGCCGCCTCTCCCGCCCAGGAACGCGGTTGCAAAAGGTCGGACGGTTGAGCTCTCGGACGTATACAAGACGACCAAAAATCCTGGCGCTCTGCCGTGGTTGCCTCTTCCCCTTCTTTCCCGCCTCCTTCACCAAACGTGTCAGCTGCACGTCACTCTAAAACTCTATTCTGTTTTATCTATTTTTCTAGACGAGACGAAGGCCTGCAAGTGCCTACACTCTTTTGGTCTTGCTTCGTCGCCTTGTATTGAACTGATCGACCTGAGGGGCCACCCTTCGTATCCATACTGCCTTATCACCACTTCAATTTTTTCTTCATAATTCCTTCATGTCTTGTTGCCGCGCAAACTTATCTGCGCTGCTGTCCTCCACGAGGCCATGGAGGTTGTAATTCCACCAAGAGCTCATGGGCCACCCTATAGATATACATATGATGAGAATGGCGAGGTTGAAAAAATAGAAAGGTATAGTCACCCGGCCGCTTACCCTTAGACCTTATAGGTGGACTTACACGTGGCGTAGGGTGCGTGAGGAAAACAGGAGAGCCAGCGAACAAGAACAGAGACAAAGCACAGTCAGCAGACAAACGGTACAATGGCCTTTTCTTCGTCACCAGAGTTCTGCTTCCGACGTGGCCTCATCGAGGCCGTTCACTGGCTTCACGGGAAGCTTCCCCTCGACTTTTCCCACGGAGAGAGAGCCGCCGAGGAGGGCGACATGGGCGCCGGGCAAGCGCAATTCCACAACCACCATACTCGAAAATATCGTTCCAGACTACATTGTCAACTACATCAGAGGAGAGACGCCCGAGACCATGGCAAGGAAGAGGGAAGAGAAAAAGAGACAAACGGAAGGCGGCGAGCTCGAGTCACAAGTGCCCGAAGAATATGCAGAGGAGGTATTTTACCACGAAGCGACCACACACAGCATGTCAACAGCCTCAATGAGCGAGGACTTGGAGCGAATCGTGCCGCGGCGCCGGGAGAGGCACAGCGGACAAAGTTCTTTTAGCAGGATGAAATCAGGATGGAGGGCTGGCATCGCACTGAATATCGTCATCGGGTTTGTCATCCTCATTGTCGCCATCGTTTGTCTGGTTCTTGCACTGGTGGTGGTCGGCATGATCAGAGGCGAGAGCAAGCTTTTCGGAGGCTCTTGTTCCAAGTCAGAGGATATCAAGATCGGGCTCTTTGTAGCCATAAACGTCATTACCATCATCCTCCTCGCCACCGCCAATTACGTCTTTCAGGTTCTGAGTAGTCCGACACGCATCGAGATCGAGATGGCACACGATGCGCACCGCTGGGTCGATATTGGAGTTCCTTCGTTGAGGAACTTGCGCTTTGTTTCTAACCCTAGGGTTGTTCTGACGGTCATCATTATGTTGGCGGCCGTCAGCACCCAGGTAATGTTCGTTGACACATCTCCCATCTCGGTCCAGGACCCTACTGACCTTATCGGTAGATATAATGCCGTAATCTTTACAACACAGCCTGCCTTCGCTCACGAAGTCGCCTTCGTTACCGAAAACTTCCTCTCCTCTGGCCAGTTTAGCAACGCGTCCGCAACCAACGCCGGTGGGCTTCCCAGGATTGAGATCCTAAACCTTCAGGACCAGGCTTCTCGTGGGCAACTGACGAACCTCACCACCACCGACTGTTTGGAGAAGTTTAGTGGCATGTTTCAGTCTGACTTCAGCGCAGTTGTGCTGGTTACTGATAGCCCCTCGACCAGCAACTCTCTCGTTCAGACTGCCGCGTCAGGATCTTCACTCGCGCAATTCGTTGACCCAGCAAACCCCTCTGTCATCAAGGTCGGCGATTCAACAGTGCAGTACTGCCTGGTTCGTTCCGAGTTGCCCGAGTCGTGCTCCGTGGTTCTCAACGGCTCCCTTCTCGGCGTCATTGCCATTCTCAATCTCGTCTCAGTCTCGGCGATTGGTGCCGTCTATTTTTTCACGGGGTTCGAGCCTCTCGTCACCCTTGGCGACGCCCTCGCATCTTTCATCACTCAGCCAGATCATAGCACCAAGGGCTCCTGCCTGCTCGATAAGAAAGACGTTAAACAAGGCCGATGGGGGTACAGTGAAGCCAAGTACTGGATCTCTAAGGACCACTTCTGGTTCCAGACCCCCAGCTTGTCTCTCTGGGCAGTCTGGTTCCTCACTTGGGCCGTGCCAGCTGGTCTCGCAGCCGCGGCGCTCGGTGTACCTCTCAGCAAAGATCCTTCTGCCAGCCTCAGTCCCTTTGGCCGCTCCCCAGACCAAGAGTTGTTTATCCTCCCCAGCGGAGGTGCCCGCGCAGGCTTCGCCCTCATCGCCGCCCTCCCCCATCTTCTTCTCGCGGCTCTCTACCTGTCTACCAACGCTCTCCTATCCACCTACTTCGTCTCCCACGAGATGAGCCAGTTCGCGTTGCCAGGCCTCACCCTGCCTCTGCGTGTCAGCTCTGGTCGGCCCATGGGCGCGCAGACGACAAGCCTATACCTGACCCTCCCACGCCCGTACTCCTGGCTTCTCCTCGCTCTTTTCACCGCTGCGGGCTTCGCGCTCAGCCAAGCCGTTGTTGTCGTTTCCGTGGACATGCTTCCCGCAGCCAAAGGCGTACGCTTCCCCGCGCCACTCAACGGCGTTGGCTTCAGCGGTGTAGGCCTCCTGGCCTTTCTGGCTCTCCTCATTCTGATCGCGGGTCTGGTCCTTGGCCTTGGTCTCCGCCGCGCGGATCCTACGCCCACACGTGTCGACGGCGTGCCGGCCGGGAACCCGCTTGTCTTGAAGGGCGGGAGCTGCTCCGCTGTCATCAGCGCACGGTGCCATCGGTCACCGGACGACATCAGCGCTGCCTTCCGCGAGGTTGCTTGGGGTGTTCTCCACGAGGGCACCGGAACCAATTTCGGACACGCAGCATTTTCAAGCCTGCCCGTTACCGTGCTCAACCCCATCAAGAGCTACGCTTAGATGTGCATGCTCGTTTTGATCGGGTATTACCTCTCCTCTTGCTCTTTCTCTGTTCGATATTTTTACACATCTTCTTTTTACATACCATGCATCATTATTGTATCTTGTTTTATATTCGGTTGTACATATACTGGCTAGCCTCTGGGGGGAACCCAGTCCTAGTGGACGGCTATTTCTTAGACCTACGAAAGGAAACTTAGGGGAATCGTGGTGTGTTGGGATCGGTTGGTGAAAAGTACAAAGTCTGGATGCATTTAATGGTGTTAATGGGGGCGGAACGGGTCGGCTCTCAACGCATGAACGGAACGGCGATAACCACTTGGAGTGAAGATTAGTGGTTGGGATCGGAAATAGAGATGGGAATGTTTTTTTGTTTCTTGGAAAAGGGAAAGGAAGGTGGGATGGTTTTTTATCACATTAGTTTATACCCTAGTGTTTTTGGTTTGGGAAACGGGATGACATGAAGACAGAAGTCGTACAGACGCCCCTCGACGGGGTGATGGATCACGTTGCAAAAAATATAGATTCTTGCTCGCATCAAAACATACTTTGCCGTCGCGTTTCTTGACTTTCGTGTTCTTGTCACGACGTCGTCCGGCATCCGGTGGCAACCACCACTCCCTGCCAGATGAGCTAATCGCAGCCAGACGCCGTACACTTAGAGAGGCCATCGACGCCCGCCACAGACTGAGTAACAAGCAACCCGGAATACAGATGAATTTCCCAAGGCAGCCGGGATGCACGCAACCTACATACAAAGAGTGTAAGCTGGAAAAAAACGAAAAAGAAAAAGGGGGCCAGCCTGCAACGAAGTCCAGTCGCACAAACCAAGACGTCGAGCATCATAAACCCATCGGCTGGACCATATCGAATCTCAAAACGGACAAAGACCCAAAAAACCCACCTCGGCATCTCAGAAACGTCACGTCGCATCAGCTTAACCTATCCTCTAAAACGCGAAGGCGAGAATATCTCAGATCACCTGTAAGGGCTCCTTACCGTTTACCGTACGTCACCAGAGGGGCGGAACCTGGTGCTCGGACGTTCTCTACTCGGTACAGAAAGCCGGGAGGGAATGCACAGCGGCCCGTCCTGGCTAGTTCTGATGTGAGACCATCGCGGGTTAGATAGATTTCCGAGCTCGCTCCACATACGTACACGACACACATCTGTAATGGGTTATCAGTATCTTCCTCTTGGACTAACCAACAGCCCAAACTTGATCCCGAAACCTAGCATGAAACTGAATAATGGCCAGGTCGCAGGTATCAAGTGTGCACGGCGCATTGTCTGAACATCTTTGGCGCGTCAAAACCGGCGGCCCTCTCGCCCTGACAAGGGCGAAAAACATAGGATGGTTTTCGTTACGGAGTTTACTGCTATACAATACAGGTTTGTTCCAGTAGCGACTGTATCCTTCTTGATTTCAATTCGTTTCGTTTCGTTTCTTCCCTCTGCCTTCGTACAAAACCCCTCTAACGGCGTCGGCGGGAGATTCACCCATCCACCTATCCCTAAATATTTTGGTATTCTAAGGAAAAATGTTGGACTTGTGATTGCCCTCAACGTCTCCCGAGGGAGAAAAAAAGATAGTAAAATAATATTGTGTTCTGCGCAATGAATTCCCTTCTCGCGATACGCCTATGCTTGCTTCTTGCTGTTTCAAAATTCCTCATCCAACAATTCATGTGGAGCATAATTATGTGTACAAAAGGTGGTGGAAACACCGCCGAGAAAGGAGTAAGAAAAAATTTGACGAGTTTTTCGAGCCTATGCTCAATCCTCGACGGCACTCTCGTCGGCCGGCTTGACTCCATTAGACATGCTTGCCTTGACGTTGCCTCTGGCCTTCTCCTGACTTTCGACAAAGCGGTCCCAGTGCATAGGATCGAGTGCTCGGAGCCCTTCACGAACCTGATCGCGATCTTCGTGGAAGACCCGCATAATGCCCTTTTTCTCAACCTTTTCGGTCAGGTCCGGGTCGTCAATCTCCTCAATCATCTGATGGAGCATTGCAGTGTGCTTGGGGTCGAGGCCCACTTCAAGCACACCGCTGAGCAGGCCATAGTACTCGGGCTTAATGATACCGGACCGAATCTTGTGCCCGGCCCTGTGAATTCTGCCTTCCTCCTCAACAAGTGCCTTTGACGTATGTGATAGTGACGAGTTAACACGCGGTATACCTGGACGAACTTGCAGACCCATCTCGTCCTCCGGGTCAGACGGAATGGTGGCATGGTCGGGGTCCTCGTTCGATGACAGCGAGGTCCCGAGTTTGTCAGTTTGGCTAGGAAAGGTGCTTTCCGAGGCTTCGTCAGTTGACACGCGGGTGTCAGGAAACTCATCTTCGAATCGCTTGATGATGTTGGCAAGCGTCGTATCGAGGAACATCAGCTTGCGTAGGTTATGCTCATCCTCCTCCGGGTTGACTCTAGCTTTGGACAGGGCAGGCTGCAGGCGTTGACGAATTTTGCGAGCGCTCGCGAGCAGATGCTTGGACATGTCTTTGGCCTTTCCGGGAGGGAGTTTCGGCCGGGGGCTGGATGGCATTGGGACACCATCTTCAAAGTCCCGAATGAATTCGCCAGATTGCCTCCTAGACTCATCGCCTCTGTTCTTGAGACAGCAAGTAAGCGCCTTAACAACTCCAGTTCCACCAATGACATAATCGTCGTCAGGAGCAGATTCGTTGTCCGATGAGTCGTCTCTGAGCACGTCATGGCCGACGAGGTGTGCAAGCACATCGGGGTACGGGGGAACCGGGCCGCCAGGCTGAGGTCCTTGAGATTCGGCCAAAACCGTTGATATAACAGAGCTGATATCTCCAATAGGAAAGCGCTCCATGTTTCGCAAGCAGTATGCCACCACCTGCTTAGCCAATGCCTTGACAATCTCGCCCGAGTTGTCGCTTGGGACGTCGATGTCGACACACACAATTGTCTTAGACACACGCGTGGCGGCCAGAAAAGATGCATACAGGGCGCAAGCCTCTTCTTGAGCCTCTTCAGTTTTCGCATCCGCAAGCTTGACCAGTTCTGGATTCTCAAGGAAGCTGATATGCGCAAGTAGTTTGGCCTCAGGAAGGATCTCTGCAAGAGCTATCGCTTGTTCCGAAGTCATGGCAACATCGGCCAGATGAACACGTCGCAGGCCTTGCAGTTTAGGAAGATACCTAGATAATGTTAGCCACTGATACTCGAGGCGTTCAACGGATGTCACCCACTTGCGCAAGAGACCAATAGCGCTGGGATCTGACTTGCACAGATCCTGGTTGTGGGAGAGGTCAATAAAACGGAAGTCGTTCAGCTGTGCAAGAGCGGGAAAGATCTTGCATAGTGAGCCTGGCTTCAAGTTGCACTCAGCCAAACTGAGTGCCCACAAGGAGTCCTTTTCTGAAATCGCTTTTGCGACCACATCCATATGATCTCGAAGATCGTTACCACCCAGATCAAGACCCTCACACACGCTCTGAGAGAGATATCTAGCAACATGCTGCAGACCCTTGTCATCAAGGTTATTGTGAGCGAGGCCGAGTCGCTTGACACCGCACTGTATAATGCCATCTATTATCACGCCGAGGTCATCCGGGCTAAGACTTGTCTCTCCCAGGTTGAGCAGCTCTAGCGTAGATCCAGCCAATCTCTCGCCAATGGCCTTGGAAAATAGAGTGGCACAGATGTTCTGAGGTCGTTCGTCGTTAGAGTGGCGCAACAAATGATGACCGTGTCCATTTTGGGCCGGCTGACTTGGACGAGGGAAGGATATAGTGGAAACGTCGAGGACTTTGAGCGTCCGACAAAGGTAGATGAAGAGGAAAATGTGCTTCCAGCCTTCGGGGCCAATCTTGTTATTCTTGAGAACAAGGCGTTCGACGAAACCTCCCTGAATGGTAAGGCCATCTGGCTGGGTGTGCTTTCGCCGTCTTGACTCGGGCTTCTTTGTGGCCAAAAGGCCAGCTAAAATGACCCTTAGACCCTCGTCTGAGAGGCCACAATTCTCCAGAATAACCTCTTTAACTGGAACAACAGCCAGATAGTCCCCAAGAGTAACCAAGTCCGGCAACTGTAACCAGTAACCTGTAAGATCTAGTTTTTGTACAATACCGATGTCAGAGGAGCAGTTCGAGGAATCGCTCAGCTGCTCGGTAATCTTTTTCAAAATCGGCGTTTCTCTCAACTGACAGCAGCGTCGGTATATTCTAACGGGGTTCGTTGTTGGAGAGGCTGTCGTTCTGGGTGATGCGGTAGGTGTACCTTCGCTGGAAGAATCGCTGTCATCCAGGTGGATCTCCATAGGTATTGAGCCGTTGGCCTCCGCCAGCTTTCGTTTCTTCTCTTTCCTCGCTTTTCTTTCCTCTTCGCTCTTCTTCTTCTTCTCCTTCTTCTTGGTGTCCTTTTCCTTGTTGTCTGCCGAGGGATTTGCATTGTCGACGCTGCTCTCTTTCGTCTCCTTGGCCTGCTCTACCCCTTCCTTTTCCGGTTCTTTTGGCAAAGGCTCACCTGTTGTGTGGACAACTCCATCGCGTTCCTTTTGTACCTCGACGCATTTGGGGTTTTTCAGTGCCTCGCCCTCTCCCTTCTCAGTAATTTTTCGGGCTTTTGACTTCTCGAGAGGTTTTTTCGCGGGTACGTCCGTGTCCGCATACTTCGGCATCGGAGCAATCTCGACATCGACGCTGAATGCAACTCGCCGGAGCTTCGCTTGGTGCAAATCGGAGATTTGGCAACGTTCACGATGTTGGTCGACATTCAAAACCTTCCGCTCGACCAGCCCGTGGGTTCCCTTCGCGCCTGGCCCCAAAACTCCCCCCGACGAAGATAACCGGCGAAAGACGCCGAGGAAGCCTGCCTGGCCACGGCCGGGAGGTGCTGGTGTGTAAGGCTGGTCGCCATCATACTTGGCGGCATGTGCGAGCACAGCATTTTTCGCCGGGGTCACTTTGGGAGGTGCGGGACCTGTATCCTTGGGTGGTGTATTTTGAGGCTGCTGGTTCGCCTGGGAGTTGTTGCTGTTCGGGGACGAGGAGAACTTGGACGAAATGTTGGAAAACCAAGAGTTGCGGCGCGAGGGCGGAGTGCCGTTAGGACCGGATTTCTCGTTCGAAGGGCTCCTTCCTATAGGCGGCCTCGACATGGGGATAGGCTTCGCGCCTTCTGTGCTGTTCTTCGTGGTATCTGAAGTGCCATTGGTGGCGCCGTTGCCGTTGCCATTCGTAGCAGGATGGCCGGTGGTCGGAGATGCAGGGGCTGATGTTTCTCGAGGGGCTGACGTCGACGGCCGTCGGACGGTTGAAGGTTTCGGCGCTTTATCTGTGAGTCGCATTATGGATTAGGAGGGAGAACGCTGGATATGATAATAAAACACCAAAGATGCGCAGAAAGGAAGAGGGAAGAGAGAGGGAAATAATGGGCTGTTGACATATCCACCAGACAGCAGAGACCCAGAGATCCGGCGCCTGTCTAGTGGCGAGCGTTCGTGGGCCGGTTTGCTTATCTGGGCCGACTTGGCTGGAAGGACGGGGGGAGTGGTAGGCAGGCTCTGGCGTGGGCGCGCAAGTATGACTGGGCGACTGGGGGCGACCACCAACAGCCCTGGAAAATGAGGTCAGACAGGACATTGTTGCGTACCTTTTGGAGAGCCGCCGTGGGTCATCCAACTAACATCTACTCCATGAACCTGCTCCATATCGTTGTATGTCGCAGGGATGCAGGGAGAAATTATTAGAGATGAGGGAAGTCGAGGGCCGCACGGGGCCAAGAAGACTAAGGTCGTCCAGCTGGAGAGAAAGAGAAGATGTTCGCCAGAGAGTGCAAGATGGTGGTGGTGATTGACTTTTTGGGGCGCAGAGGAGAGGGAGGAATGGAGGAGGTGCGGTACAAGTGCGGTACGGTATGTCAGCCCCAGAGGGGGGGTAGGGCGTCTGAATAATGCTGATTTCTAAAAAAGACGCGGGAGGTGGAGGGTACTTCGTTATTGCTCGTCCCGGCGCTGAGGTCTACTAGTAGTACGGAACAGCTTCCCGGAACGTAGATGCGGGCGGACTGGACGGAAGCAAGTACTCGGCAATGCTGGATGGGATAGGTTTACAGATGCAGGAGTGATGGGCAAACAATGGACAGTGACTTCGGGTTGTATTGGAGACGCGGGAAATCGAAGGCAGTCCCAATGTAGCAGCGAAGAAGCAAGGCAGGGCGGCGACGATGGTAAGGTACCTTCCTGCTCTCTTTCTCTGTCCCCTTCGTCCCTTGACGTGGGTTCCTCGCGGGGGTCAGGTAAGGAAAGACCGGACGTGGCAGCTCTAGCGGGGTTCATTAACCTTTTTAGAGAGAAGGGATCTCGTCATTGGCAGGAGATGGGCAACGCCATGGCCTAAATTGGAGACAGACATAACTCAGCTGGGACTCGCACAATCACGGACGGGCACTGGGAACTGATGTGAGACTTCCCTTTCCATCGCCCAGACAGGAGGGAAGAGTCTCCTGCAACCGATGGAAGCAAAAGGAACGAAACATGCCTGTACGGCACGGAGTAATGGTCCCAAATACCAGGCCCCAACCGAAGCGAATGCTGGCCCTGGCCCGATGGGAAGTCCCGCGACCTCCACCATCGGACGGAAATGCTGCGCTGCAATTGTCCCGGCATGTATCCGTCAATCATGCCATAACATCGACCACTTTTTTTTTGGTCTGTGTTTGTTTGTTTTTGTTATGCCGGTTTGATTCTTAGCTGTTATTTGGTGGCCCTGGAGACTCGACACGGCTTTGAGCGCTTCTCAATCACTCAGTAACTCATCTCATTGTTTATTTTGACCAAGGCGGGCAGCCAAGCTCGATCAGAGGGACTTACAGACCTACCTCAGTATTAAAGATGGGTGCGCGATCGTGACACTATGCGCCTAACAAATGGTAGTGGTCACCCACACCAATCGCTCGCAGCTAGTTCACGGCGAGAAAACACCGGCGACAGCGACTGACTGGATGGGTCCCCCCAAGTGTACCCCTACACCCCTAGGGGACCTCCGCTGGTGGGTAGGGATTGTTTCTACAGTCTTCTAATTGGATGACACTGCCGTGTAACCCCACTTAAGAGCAATTGAAAGCGGGGACCGTTAACGTCAGAACGCCGTGGACATGAAGTACCCTCCCATCACTGATTGCTAATTGATTTCCCTCTGATGTTCATGTCCAATCTTCCCAACCATGAACATGGTCCATTCCCAACATACTCCGTATACTAGTACACGCACCAACGGCGCACGCGCTCAACCTGATAGCCGGTCGCCCTTTCGCAAGCGGACGAACACTCCCTCCAACGTGGACTGAACACGCCTAAAATCGTCGCCACTTTCGTAGGCTTACCGTTGCGTCTCAGGCTCGTCTGCATCAGCTACCGTCGCCGCTGGTTGTCCTGCAGAAAACCCCAAACTACCACTAGAAGCGCACGCTACTGCACTGTTAAGATGCAAGAGGCGATAGCCCTAAATGAGGCAAGTCTGGGCTCTTATTCATCACGCCTCTTCAGCAACTTGCAGTTGCCTTACACACCCTATCAGCATGCCATGGCAGACGTTTGTGGATTTGAGTTTGCCTCACAGCTTGCTCCTCTATGTCCTAGTGCTGAGTAGCATGCACAACTTAGCCTCCAGCGAGAAAGGGGAAAAAAACTGCAACAAAGTTCGCGCTTGCCCATTGCAGCCGTAGATGAACTCCCCGCTTTGCACTGCGGCACTCCATGGTTGAGAACAATTCAGGGTCCATTATGCTCTCCACGTTTGCATTAACCGACAAAGAACTGGCCCCCGGAAACCGAGCCTGCTGACTGCACCCTACATGATGGTCGTGCTTCTTGACCTCGAATTCAATCCCATCATCGACTAACCGCTCCCCTGACCATCGCCATATCACGGGGTACCAGATCCCACGAACAAGCAGACATCACGACAAGGGATCTCCCCTGCTCACGCCTAGTGGAGTCCCACCCATCTCTCAAGGGCATATTCCATACTTACCGACACCGCCAGAAAAAAGCCAATTGGGATAGCCCGCCGCAACCCTGCACGCCGACAAAAGCAGGGCAGGGGATGGTGGGCTTCCTCCTCTTTTTCTGCAGCAATTTCGACACTGGGCTGGTGCTGGCCCCCTTCAATCGACCCTCCAAGGTCGCCCAGCGAGCGACTTCCCTCTCTTTGGTCTTGGAGATGATGTGCTTTGGATCTTGGTGCGAAATCAGTTTGCTGGGTCCCCTCGACCCCGCCGCTGTACCCTCCCTCCATCCCGTAATTCCCGCGCGCGAGACTTGATGAGGTGCGCAAGCAGGCTTTGCGTCCTCAAATCGAGGAGCGCTGCCAACGCCCCTCTCTTTTGCCTCATGTCGCCATCGATAGTTTTCGGACACTTTGTGGGACTAGGCTTCGCGATACTCCTCTGCCATGCAGTAGCAGCAGCGCTTCCAAGGGGTAGACGAGACAAAAGCCTAAAGACACTTCAGAAATGACTGACCATTTCGACATCATCTTTGACCCGCCCCGTCAGATCCATGGACCTGAAGGCGCGATATTTGAACGATTATTGCTGGCGCCACTCCGGTACCATCCGACTACAGGGCATGAAAGAAGATCCCGCAGATGGCATCTCTTGATTTTAGGGAGACATCGTCATTTTTTACCATATCTCTGGCGTGATCTGATATAATTGGTGCTCTCATGTGGGGTCTTGTGCCCTCTTTCTTGGCCTCAATACACATTTGAAAATCGTTCCAGGCCACCACCCTATGGAAGGTCAAGCCCTGCCCAGCCAGACACAAGTCTGGCACCCCCCCCCCCCACCCCCCCCTTGACGGCCTGGCTACCAGCACTCGGCGAGCAGTCAAGCATTTGCTGGCACCGCCATCGAAGTTCCGCGCATATGGCGCTATCCTACATGTACGCTACACCAGCACACTATCGCCAAGTTGGTTAGTTGCGGCTCGCATGTCACTTCTTGTCAATGTCTAATTCTTGACTTCAATAGTGTTTGACGTCTGGCATTTGGGATATCTCATTGAATTGTTTAGAGTTCCATTCCCTTGACCATCATAATCCCCTGCCGGATTTTGTTTGCCTCATAACTCCGAGAAGACTTGCGAAAAAAGTCATGCCAAAACGTCAAAATGCCCTGATGACCCCACGTGAATGAATTAAACCGCTAGATACAACCAGTTTACTCCTCGCGGAGCTCAGCAATGCGCTCCTTGACGCGCTGCTCCTTCTGCTCCTTGGTAAGGCGAGCAGTCTTGTACTTCTTGGACTCAGCCTTCCACTCCTCCTTGGTCTTCTTGCTGGCGGACTCGGGCTTCTTCCAGGGGTCCTCACGGATGGCGGCGTGGGCCTCGGAGTAGAGCTCCTCGAGGCCATCAGCCTCGATGTCGTCATCGACGTACTGCTGGAACTGGGACTTGAAGCGCTCCTCGTCGTCGTCGGCGAGGGTCTCCATGTACTCGGCAACGTGGCCACCGAAGATGTAGTTCTTCAGGGTCTCGGCGTCGAGCTCCTTGGTCTCCATGTCGTAACCAGGGAAACGCTTCTCGGAGTGAGGGACGAGGATACCGCCGTCAGAGGCACCCTTCATGGCACCGAAGACACGGGCACCAGTGGAGGTGCGGTGAAGACCGACGTCAAGGAAGGCCTTGAAGGGGCGGCGCTCACCATCGTCGGTCTCAGCGGCCTCAGTGAGGGTGAACTCACCGTCAGCCTCCTCGACACCAGTGAAGGTCTTGTCAATGCCGAGCTTGGAGAGGGCACGGCGGGCGATCAGGAGACCGGTGGCGTAGGCAGAAGCCCAGTTGGTAAGACCGTGGGTGATGCCGTAGGCGCGGAGCTCGTGAGCGTAGGCAGCGACGAACACCTTGTCACCAGAGATCTCGGAGGTGACAATCTGCATGATGATGTCGCGGTTGGTGAAGCGGACCACAAGACGGTACTTGGGAGCACCGTACTTGTTCTTGGCCTGGGTGATCAGACGCTTACGGGCATAGTAGTCGGTCTTGCCCTGCTGTCTGCGCTTGTACTTGGTCTGGAAGCGGCTGTTACACGAAGCATGTTAGCATTCTGCGAAGTCCGCGGCGACTAGAATGGGAGGTTAACTAACCTGTAGTACGCGCTGTTCTTCACCAACTTGTGGAAGGCCTATCACATTGAAATCCCGAGTCAGCAATTTGCGCTTCAGATTTGGCCCTCGATCCGAAGCATCTTGCTTTGACTCCTGTACCCAAGAGACATTTCTGCCTGCTGCTAGGGCCATGCCATTTTTTACGTGGCAGAGAGAGGTCTTCGTTTGTCTTCGTATCTTCGGCCGAAGAATGGTGTGTTGATTCAACTTACCATCTTGACGGTGTTGGCTGGCGGGCGGGTTGCTCAGCAAACTTGTCGATTTTGGTATTGTCGTGGGTTGTCGATCGAGAGAAGGAAATCTTTCGCAATTGCAGTCGCGATAAATTCTGTGGGTGATTTTTTCGGCAGCCCTAGCGAGTGCCCCACCACGAAAAGCGCCAAGCGCACGTCTGTCAAGTCGGTCGGTGACGAGTCACGTGCCGCTTGCTGTTCTCTGTAGGGACTTTGGCCGGGGACGAGTCACGTGATCTGAACGCCGTTCCACCCAATGTGGACTGCCAATCTCTCATTTTGGGCCGAGGTCCACGGTACTGTTCACCGAGGTGGGGGCAGCGGTTTCCCCCAGGTTTCGGCCCCGGCGCACCATCATCACCGCCTCCAGAGCGACGTGTTGAATAGCAGTACAAGTAGATGATGCAGATCTCCCCTCCTTGAGCTATGCAGTCAGTGGAAGAATCAGATAATCTCTTCGTTGATCATGTTCTTGAAGCGGTAGACAATATGACCGGATCTAAGCAACCCAAAGTTCTCCTGTTCGACATCGGCGGAGTATGTGTAAGTGGGACCTTTGAATTTCCTAGGCGTTGTGTTTAAAGCTCAAGAACGACACTTGATGTTTGCGGGTACTCGAGGCTTTAAAAATACTCCCAAGCTAATCTGCAAAGGTCGTTTCACCCTTCCAATCCATCCTTGACTACGAGCTCAGTTTGGGTATTCCGCCAGGGTGGGTTAATTACTCAATCTCCAAGACGAGCCCTACTGGTTTCTGGCATCGCCTGGAGACGGGCTCAATACCCATGGATAAGGCCTTCTTTGAAGGTTTCAACAAGGACCTCCACGACCAAAGTCGCTGGGAGTCCTTCTTCACTGCGCAACAAGCCAAGAACCCGTCGTTGTCCAGGGAGATACCGGCACTCCCAAATATTGACGGGGAGTACCTCTTCAATACTATGATGACCAATTCCATACCTCCAGACCCCTGGATGTTTCCGGCATTGAAAAACCTCAAGTCTAGTGGCAAGTATATTCTGGCCGCACTGAGCAACACTGTTATCTTTCCAGAGGGCCACAACCTTTGGAGGAAGGACTTCTTGGACGACCCTGTGCGCAGCCTCTTTGATGTCTTTATCTCGTCGGCACATGTTGGGCTTCGAAAACCTGATCCGAAAATTTACCAGCTTGCTCTGAAGACGGTCAACGACTATGCAGCGAAGAATGTGGATTCGGACAGGGGTAAAGCTCTGGGATGGGCTGACGGTATCAAGGCAGAAGATATTGTCTTTCTTGATGATATCGGCGAGAACCTGAAGGAGGCAAGAAAGCAAGGCTTCAGAACCATCAAAGTCCATCTGGGAAGGACATACGAGGCAGTAGAGGAGCTCGAAAAGGTCACGGGTTTGGCCCTGGAAGGCGATCATCCAAAGATTCCGGTGAAACCGAACCTGAAGGGCAGCGGAAAGGCAAAGTTATAGGCGTTCGTTTCGATAAATCCTTTTCTAGACATACCAGTCTTCAAGTCTAAGCACTTCGAGCAACATAAACATACAACGCATCCACGTTTTCAATCTTACCATCGACGGCATCCTTCTCCCACTCCTCGCGGAACAACGCCCTCGCCTTGCTCTTGAACTCCTCCGTTGCCATGTTGACCGTCAGTGGCGTACCTGTGATCCAGTCGAACTGCTCATCAATCTGGTCCCTGCCATAAAATGTGCTACCCTGTCCAGTGAGCTTATCCATCACTTCAATTTTGTCCACCGTATATCCAGCCCTTTCCAGAATATCCTTGAACGAGTTTCTGTCCTTGATCCAAACTCTATTGCTGGGAAATCTTGTTCCCAATCTTTTCGCAGCGCGCTCCAACAGCAGCCCTATCTTGAGGTTGTCCTCATGAGTAATGTCAACCACCAACCGCCCCTCAGGCTTAAGGTACCTCCTCCACGGCATAACAACCTTTTCTGGGTCGTCAAAAAGAACGAACGCGCTAGAACATAAAATGACGTCAAATGTGTGCCCTTTAAGTTCTGACAAGGTATCCAGATCCGTCACATCGTGATTAAACAGCCGAATGCTCGCACTAGGTTTGAGACGCTCCTGCTTCTCCTTCACTTTGGCAAGCATGGCGTCTGTGACGTCGACGCCTACAATCTCGCCCTTTTCGCCTACCACTTCAGCTGCCATAAAAATCTCGAGGCCGGTGCCGCATGCTAGAATTAGAACTCGTTCTCCGGGTTGAACATTGGCGACGCTCATGAAGCGCTTGGTATAATCGGGATGAAACGAGTTCTCGTAAGTGTCGGCTCGAGCGGTGTACATTCGTTTCGCAGAAGCGACTTGCGTCTCATTGTCGAAACCCATGATAGTTATAAATGGTGCAAGATCGGTCTCTCCTTTCCAGGTTTTCAGCAGATTCTGCAAGAAAGAAATGGTCGTTTAAGATTCTCAAGATCTACCTAGGTAATTTTTTAATTTTTCTATAAGCTGCAGTGTTGGACGGAATGGCGTCAGAGAAATATGATGTCGATGGTCAGCTGCGGTCCGGTTAAACCGTAAAACCCGGGCGCGATCGTCGATGTGCGCGAAGATTAGTAACTCATAAGGCCTTATTCGTCGTATTCTCTGTCAATGCAGACAAATGCGACAGTGCTATGACGATCACAAATGTACATTGATCATAGTACAAACAGTATGAGAAGTCAAACTGCCAACCAAGACGGACAGAATTCAAGAATAAGGGAATAATCTATTTGGCAAATTAGATTTCGGCATCGTTCTTCATCAAAGATGCATCAGAGAATTTGACTTCGGTTTGTCCTGAGATAAAATCTTGAATCCTGATAGCCGGTAGTTTGCCCAAGTTAAGTTTACAGGCTCATCTTTTGAATATCACACAAGCCACAAACGTGCCTGTGAATCCTAACATTCCCCGATTAAACCCGGCTATCTCCAACTTCTCATCTTCAACCAACATCACAGTGGACCTTTATGGAACAAGGGAACAATCCTGTGACCCTTGCGAACTTGAAACGGTTACTGGCTTATTTCTACTTTAACGTTCTAGTATAGCTTGTAATGAGGCCCAACTTCATTTTCTGCATAAGATGAAGACGAAAACCGCTCAGGGTTCCTCCAAGAGCATGTGATAGAGAACCAGTATTGTTTTTGCACGAGATTTTTTTTTTCTTTTCTTTTTTCCTTTTTCCACTCTGTAGAAAGGGGTCTTGAACAATCCGCGGCGTCAAAGCACGTCATCGACTTGGTTGCGACAACCTAGGTGATGGAGGGCAGACCTGTTCCAACAACCAGTAGGGGGGAATGGTTCGAGGTTATGGGATTGAGGCCGGCGCGGGCTCCTGATTTGGTCTGGAACCGCCGAGAGCAGACTGCCTAGGCGCAGCATTCTACGACGCATAAATCGATACCAAGCGGATATTGTACCTTCTCCTCTTGGTTTTTCCGTTTCAAATTGAGAACGCCGCTACAGGGGCTTCAATTGACTATGTTAGATAGGGAGTCCGATCAAGCTGTGTCGGGCCGGGTCGCGTATTGCACTTATCATCTTACTTCAACAACGAGAGTTTCTTTAAACGTGACTTCCTATAATTCCCCGAGCAAAAATATTCACAGCCTTGTTGTCCAAAGTCGCACACATTCTCCCACGTATTGAGACTTTTGGTGTTCCATTCTCTGACCCTACATGTTGGAACCGAACCGGAGGAGAATGCCATTCTGGGTAGCTAAGCCTGCTCTCGCCCAGCATGGTTGCATGACCGCCTGGAGGCGTTTTTCTAACTCATGGAAGTGTGGCCGGATCTCTCTCGGATAGTCAGCTAGTATTAGCGAACGTGTTGGTCAGGCTAGACCGAAATGCTCGATGTACCCTGGGCTCTTTAGTCAAGAGACATGGATTATCTGACCTATCTGTATGCCTATGCTGAACGTTCGGAACAGTCCTCCTCTACTCAGCTGCTTTAGCACACGGTAGGCCTCTCGCATTCCAGCGGACGTGTCTTCCCGGACCACCCTCGATCAGTTCCCAGGCTGTGTCTCATAGCCACCAGCATCATGGAGGCCGGCCGGTTGGTTATTAGCCCAAGAGGCTATGAGCCTTGTCGAGGCCTCCAGGGCGTTTCTGTCGCTGTCAATTCTCTATATACCAGAGAAGTTGCCGTCAGTTGCCTTTTGGCTTCAGGAGCATACTGTTTATTAACAACATCTACTTTACGATTGTTAAAATACCTTCAATCTCAGTTATGGAGTTTATTGTCCAGGCCAAGTGGGTGAAGAGTACCAGCGAGCTTCGAAGCTGTCTTGGCCCTAAACTCGACACATGCGCGAAATGCCAAGGGCACTCCAAAAACAAATCGTCTTGCGGAAATCCTATCAGTCAAGCTTCACGCTCTCAGATTACATCCGTATTATTCGACATGGTCCAAAGCGGAAGCATATCTTGCGCTGCTCAGCACTTGGAACACCTTGCATCACTCGTCCTCTGTAAGAGATACCATCAGAATCAGATTGCGGAAAAAGCCACCGAATGGAGGATTCGTCTACGTTCATTCCTCGGACTAAATGATATTTTGGTCAAACAAGAGAATGGACATAACGAAGGATCACCGACAGCCTCTTTACACAAGCCCAAGAGACGAGTTGTGACGAATGTGACAAACAGTCAACTGCCCAATGGCTCCTTGTCGAAAATAAAGTCAGAACCAACAACCGACTTCGCGACTGTGGTTAAAGAAGAAGATGACGGCGCAACTGTTAAGCTCGAAACTATTACCTCCTCGAAGGAGTCAGGTCTACGAGTGGGAGAACAAATCAAGGCCGAGAGTAAATCTGCGATACACAGCTTTACACCATTTCATCAAACTAGGCCAATGAGCACTATTAACAAAGAGGTCATCAAGAAGCTCCAAGCCCCATTCATGAAGAGCGAAATGGAAGATCACACTAAACGCGAAGGATATATTTACGGCTACAAAATGCCCGAGGGCCACAAGTTGCCAGACGAAAGTAGTTGCCGAATGATCAAGATCGGCTTCACAGATAATCTCGAAAAACGTATGCAGGAATGGCAGAAGCGATGCCAATACGAGCCGCAGGTAGTCTTCTCGTACAAGGTATTCCATCATGTTAAGATGGAAAGGATTATACACCTCCATTTGGGTAACGAGCGAAGGAAGGAGACAAAGTGTCCGGGCTGCGAGAAGAACCATATTGAGTTTTTCGACGTTGACACACCTAGAGCTGAAGCGGTGGTAATGATGTGGGCTGTGTGGGCACGACTTCGGCCTTTTGATGAAGAGGGGAGGCTTTCGCAGTGCTGGGCGCAAAAGCTGAATGAGATGAACACGGAGGATCCTGATTGCTGGGAGAATTTCATACTTAACAAGGTGGTATAGGACCGGTAATAACCATGAGGGATGAGATATGAATTACGAAGATATATTTTTCACCAATCTGGACGGCCCTTCTGGTCTTTGTGAGCTGATATATACACATACACAATCCTAAGCTCCATTGCGTACTCACGGAATCTGGTCCAATAGCTCTGTGTCCTCTGCTCTTAACAACGTCGCACGCATCTTCTCGGTCGTAATTTAAAACATCACTGGTTGCTTTTGAGGTAGGACCAGGGCTCATTGCTCAAGTCTAATGTCTGCAATTCCTGTGGAGGGCTTCGAACAACCGAGGTGGCTGAGAAAATTAGCAGCATGGGTGCAAATGATCGAGGTCTGAAACCTCATGTGTAAGCGGAACCAAAATGACGAAGTTCTATTCAGTTTAAGAGCGGGAAAATGTGTTACGGAACAAACCCCTTCCACAACTCGGCATGACATCGGTCAGATTCGACGAGCCCTAAGACATTTACAGTAGCGTCAAATCTCGCAAATTTCCCCTACAGGGAAGCCGTTTGCTGAACATGGTGAAAATTTAGGGAAACACCATGCTACAAAATAACAAGACACATAGACATCTTTCAGTATTGACATTCAAACAGATACAACATTGATATCGAATGCAAGCTCCTTTAATCGTGCGCCTTGTATTGTACATTCTTTCGAATCTGATACAGCTATCTAATACACGCTGAGCCTTTATAGTAATGGACTTGTTCATCCTTTAGATCACACATAACGCGGGGCTGATAACTCTACTAAAGTGACTGAGTGCACTTGAAAACTCAGCACAAGCAGTTGGAATCATCCATATTTCTGAATTGTAACTCTCCGCCGGGCCCCATCCGGGAAAGACTCTGTTGTTCTCCGTGCTATAGTATATTTATGAGTCTCTCTAAGCATGAACGCCTGGCTCAAATGCGTATCTATGACTTCCAATACAGCTGCCAGCAAGGCCGCAAACACTTAAAGAAAGGACTGACATGAGATGGAACTTCAAAATGACAATTATCTGCACAGAGAATGTGGCTGTAATGCTGCCACCCTTCAGCCACCTTTTTATGCTCTCGTCGCATCAGCCACAAGCTAAGTTTTCTATCTATCACTGTAACAGGTCGCCTAAACTGAGATCATTCGGAAATGTAAGTGCCGTCTTTTGAGAGGGTCTGCGAGAGAAGCAATGACTATACAGGGAAATAATCTGTCGCACTTTAACATGCCACAAGCCACGATGCTGCCCAAAACCATATAAGAAGAGTGAAACCAATATCTAGGGTGTCTTAACTGAGGGTCTCTAGGCGTTGAAGATTATGCGAACGAGCGGTTGTCGTCAAGGGACTTTAGCATGTTAGCCGACAAAACAAGCTTGAATACCGTTCGAAGCAGCAAATAGCTCCTAGAAGGTCCACTCGCCCGACAAAGCAACATGATTTAGAAGAAGCGAAAACAACACCGGCTTGTCGTTTATTAGAGTGTTACTGGTATTGTTCCTACCCAAACACACTCGCTGAGACAAGGGTTATCATGGTGTTGTGTAGAGACAATCAATGAATTGTGGAGGCTCAGAAAGAGAGGAAAAGTGAGAGAAAGCACATGGACGAATAACTTTACTGGATACTTCGCATCCTGTGCCTTTGAGAATCCAAGTGTCTCTTCACATGGCTACAAGCACGGTACAGGGCACTCTATGGATAGAGAATCCAGGGGTATTCTCTGGAATATGGACTCATAATGTCAGGCATAGAGGCGATCTGATTCACCAAGCGTATTCCCTCCCCCGGCGAATGATGCCGCCCGAATTTTAAGGGGTTAAATTTACAAAGCTCGCTGTACACTCCAGCCCATTGTGTGCGACAAAAAGGGAAGATCTGTTGGTGTGTCTGAGCAGGTATAGGAAGGTAAAATGCCCAAGGCGTGAGGGAACGACATCACAAATGATACAAGACAATAGTGGATACATGTAGCCTTGCTTGTGGGCCCATTGGCATCCTGGTCCAACCACGCGCGCCATTTAAATTGCGCGGTAAACGCTTTGAGCTTCATCGCAAAGAGATTCTGGGGGCGAGATGTGACCCCATCTCGGCTCCCCTGCCACCCATAGTTCCACGGACATCGGTCACCTACAGGCGCATTTAGGCGAATGCATGGCCCGCGATGCATTGACGAACCAAAGCCTTTCGCTTCCATCATGTCCTCAAGCCATGTTGCGGCCCGCCCCGCCCCCAAGCGGTTGCTTTAGTCGCCCTCTCTTCAGGTCTGGGAGGCGCGCGTGCTGTCTTGTCCATATGTAATCAAAACCAATTTGAACTCTTTTCCTTTTCTTCCGTGATCTAGTTCAGTTACCTCTCTAGTGCATGATGATATTTTTCGACCCCTTGTGAACGCAATGGCGAAACGGAAGCTCATCGTCGTCGTGCAGGCCTTTGCGATTGGCATGCTGCTTTTCAGCTTGCTGGTTTCGTATGATCTTTTCTCCGGGAAAGAGTACTTTAACAACGCCTACAAACAGTTCCGTAAGTCGCAATATGCCTCTTGGGTCGTGGCATGCCCAGAATAGTGACTTAAGGACGACATACTAATAGATAAGCCAGGAAAGCCGGCACCCACCGAAGAAACGCACGGAGCATCTCCGCAAAATGGAGAAGATCGGACGAACTCTACCGCAACATCGCCGGCTCAAGCCCCGGCTCACACCCCGACGCCCACAACTACACAATCACCATCGTCTAGTGGTGACACCGACAGCTCCAAGTTAGCGGGTGGTAATCCGGAGCATATTAAGAGCGCTCCCAAGTACATCAATGCTATTCTCGACCCGGAGGACAAGAACTTCCCCAGGCTAGATTGCCCCCGGCTCGATGTCGAGCGTTATCAATACCTCAAGCCCACCTCGAAGCTGAAGAAGCCAAAATTCTTCATCGCCCTCAACATCCGCCAGAAGGCCGACCTACTTCCCCGATTAATGGGTTCCATCGTCGAAACTTTGCACTTCTTTGGACCCGAAAATTGCGTCCTCTCGATAGTAGAGGGAAACTCTAACGATGGTACCTATGAGATCCTGAAGGAGCTCGCGAGCGAGATCGAGAAGCTCGGAACCAAGTACCATTTTGATCGTAGCGACCTTGACCCGGGTGCCGGCGACCGCATCAAGAAGCTCGCCGAGCTACGTAATATGGCCATCGCGCCCCTCGTCAACGACCCTCAAAAGTACGCCTCTGACACCACAGTCCTGTTTCTTAACGACGTTGCAATTTGCCTGGAAGACATTCTTGAGCTTGCCCACCAGCGCCTCTACTTGTCCGCCGACATGACGTGTGGTTTCGACTGGACCTACGTCGGCCCAGACCCGACCTTCTATGACGTCTGGATCAGCCGCACCATCGCAGGCGATTCCTTTTTCGAAATACCCCCTGACGGTAATTGGAATTCGGCTTGGAACATCTTCTGGAACGAGGAGACATCTCGTCGACGCTTCTTCGACCACAAGCCGATCCAGGTCTTTTCTTGCTGGAACGGCGCTGTGGCAATGACGGCGCGGCCGCTGTTGGACCAGATTGTTAGGTTCAGGGCACCTACTCAGTCGGAGTGCTTCCAAGGCGAGCCGCAGCTGTTTTGCAAGGACCTGTGGTACAACGGGTTCGGAAAGATTGCCGTCATCCCGAGCGTCAACTTGGAATACAGTGACGACGCAGGCAGGAAAATTAAGGCGTCCAAGGGCTATACTAGCCAATGGGTTGGGGGCGAAGACAAAATTGAGGACTTCAAACTGGATTGGAAGGTTGATCCTCCCGAGAAGGTAAAATGTATACCTAGTTATGACAAACAAACGTTTGAGCCCTGGAACCAGGGTCTAGAATAATGAAATCGTTTTTCTCGTTTTGCATCGTTACTCATCACTCTTACGCCGGGGTCTCTACTACACCACACTTCTCAATCAACTTCCTAAGTTCCGTCAGTTGTTTGAGCAATGAATCCAAAGAAACATCCTCTTCCTTGATCTCATCTTTGACCTTGGCCTTATTGTGCACTTTGACCTTGTCGTTGACGAAGTCCTCCCAGCAGTGAGGGTCAGCGAGGTCAACCGTCTTCAGTCTCCAGTGCCAATACTCCGTAAGCCTCCCGTTCTCGTCAAACGGCCGCCGCTTCGCCCATTCTGTCCACATCTCAACAACAGCCTGCGCCCTGTCGGCCCCAATCTCAAAGAATTCCTGGTGCATCCGTGAACATTGAGGACACACCTGCTCCTGCATCCTCTCGTTGCCCAGGTGGCGGTGAATAATCTTCTCCATCTTAACGTGGTGCGGCGTTTCCTTGTTAAATAACACATCGGGCTCGTAGCCACACTGTCTTTGCCAAGCTTGCATGCGCTCACGGGGATCTTTGCTGAACCCGATTTTCACCATGTTGCAGTCACCGCCGTCCAAAAGTTTGTGGTTTTTGGGAAGCCGAAAGCCGTATATAAAGCCAGTCTTCGTCTTACTCTTTTCCATCTCACTTGGCTTGAATGGCGCGTCAAGGTACTCTTTGACCATTCTGTTGATACTGTCTACTTTTTTAGGGCGGGCATATCTGTTGAAACCATGGAGGACGGTGTCGCTTTTCCATTTAGGCGCAGAACTTCTTGTTACACGAGTGGTGGGGTTGAAGATTGGTATTGTTGACGTTGGTATATCCTCTTTCTTGATTTCTTCCTTGACCACAACCCGAGGCCTGTGAAGTTCCCTGGACTTCTCCCCAAATCTCTTTTCAAATTTGAGGGGAACGCACGGTGTTGTTGTGACATCTGTGGGTGGCGATATTCGACTTCTAGGTGACGGCAGCTTCTTGACGGCCGCAGTCGCGGTTTGCTTCTCCTCGGCGTCCGGATCCCCAAGTCCCAGAAAATCACATAGACGCTCCCTCCACTCGGAGACTTTCTTCGCAATCTGATCTTGATGCCACCTTCTGCAGAGAATCAGCGCCGCCAGTTCTTCGAGATACTCGGCAGCGCTGCTGAGACTTCCACTATTGACAATTTTGGCGAGAACGCCCTCAACCATGCTCCGACTATGTTGACTTAGGCCGTTGTCGCAGGTTGGCTTTTTTTTAGGCCATCCCTGGCATTTGGCGCATGTTTTGAAGCGAGGATCGAGGCAGTTACGAAGTTCGTCGGTACTTCTGACCCATGACTTTAATGTCGGAGTAATTAAAATGCCCATGATGGAAAACGTTATGTACAAGAAAGCTAAGCATTCGAAAATAGTTGGTAGTTCTCCGTATCTGCCGAATTGATGGCTTCAAGATATAACCGTTTTGATATGTACTGACATCGAGTCCAGCAATAACTCACTAAGGAGGCCTCGACGGGGCTTGCGCTCATGAAGTTTCAAAAGTGCTGGGATGACACTATCGTGGGCTATGTTTAACAGCCCAGAACGAATAGAAGACAGCCATGCCGCGGAGCAGGGGAGCCTCACAGTGGCTACGCACAGGGGGGGTCTGTAATCCGGACCAACAGCGCTGCTTCGCCCGGCGGGAAGCTTGGCTCTCGATCACGAGACGGGCCGACGAAACTGTTTATCTAGAAGGCGCAGTGGTACTAGCTGGGCGTCATCCACCAACAATGAAACCAAGTGCGTTCCGTCCCCTTGGGTTGAGCTGGTGGCGCAGACGTTTCCCCCGTCCGACCCCAAGTTTAACCAACAACGTTGTGTTCAGCCCTCGAGAATGAACTGTTCAGAGCTTCAGAGAGAGCGCTTTTAAAGATCCCCAACTACCCAAGACTAGGTGTCTCGCGCGTATGATATTCCAACACAAGAGCCTAGTCCTTTCAAGCAAATAGTGTAGATCGCTAAATCTACCGGGCTGGTTGGAACAGACTTGCTTCCCAAGACGAAGACCACAGCCAGCAACGAACAAGACCAGTCAGTTGGAGGCTGCGGAGGAAACTCCTCCGCTCGCCGGGGGGTGGATATCAAAGGTTCCGCTTGCCATGTCTTGCGTTGTTTAGAAATTTGCCGCAGAGCCTTGGGCTGTTGTACGCCAAATGAAGGGGCGGCGCAGAATGCTGAGAGGACAAGGCCCTCGTACAGGAAAACCCCACTTACACTTATTAATCATGGTTTCTTTGACATGGCCGCACCAACAGGATTCCGTACTTGGGTAAACCTCCGGTATTCAATTTGTTCAATGCATAATACCTAGCAGACCTGGGCTTGATTGAGTCAGGACATGCATACTCAGTAGGCACAAGGCTCACTTGAATCGTAGGAGAGTACAGAATGCATGCCTTGTAAAACAATTCAAAAGATTTTTGTATTCTTGGTCCCAAACGACGACAAGTAGCTATGCTAGGAGTAGACGTATTTCGCTGATTCATGATCATGTCCTTTCAAAAAACAACTAGCCCTGCCTTGAAGGGCCCCAGACTGTCGAACGCAGCCCTGTCTGAAACACTTCTTTTCCCCCTCTCCCGCACTAGATATGTGTTCATGACCTATGCAACTTCTGGTTAAGGCCCAGCAGTAGCTGCTTCACCGAGTTCATTAGATGCGTCTCGATTCCGTCAAAGCCGGCCGCCGCCGAACCTGAGGCACTGGCTTCTGCGGGCGGAGGTACTATGCTAGCGTCAGCCAGGCCGAGTACTCTGTCGATGGCGGACAGCGTGACGGCCTCGGCCTTGGCCTCGCCGATCCGGACTTTGAGCGCGTTGGACGAAACGTTCTTGAACCCCACCAGCGCGTTAAAGACCTTCGGGTCGAATACATTGTTTGGCCCACTTGGCTGTGGTGTACCGCTAGATCCGGGCGTATTGCTTCGAGTGGAGAATCCATCGAGGAGCTTCTGTATTCCCTTCATGCAGATGTCCTCCATCGTCTGGTTCTCAGTGGCAGCGCTCTTGAGCCCAAGGCATCGGTTGAGAGCAGACATGACGATTGCCTCTGCTTTGGGGTTTTTGGCCTTCTTCAAGTTCTCAATCAGGCCGTTCTTGAGACCGTTAACGGCAGATAGTAACCTAGGCTGAATGACCGGACGGGCTTCAGCTTGTACTGGCGGTGTTGGTGTAGGTCGGGCTTGCTGCGGTGCAGCAGCGGGTATCTGTGATGGTTGAGCTCCAGGGATGGCGGCCGGAGCAGGTTGTGTAGCTGGTAGTGCTGATGTTGAGGCGGCGCCATCTTCGGATTTGACGGCGGGGTGTGTTGGTGGAGGCCTTGAGGCGTATGGTGAGCTGTATGTAGGTTGCTGTCCGGGAACGCCCTGAGGCCGAGCAATAACGGCAGCAGCTCCGTAGCCAGGAAGTGTTGCAGGTGCGACTGGCTGAGAGGCAGGTGGTGGCACTGGTTGGCCCGGCGTCGGAGTAGCCCCTGGTGGAGAGTACTGGGGCGTTCTCGCTGCTGCTTGCGCTTGCTGACCAGCATAGGCTTGGGCATGATAACCATGAGGAAGATGCTGGTAACCAGGAGGCATGTGACCCGGCTGCTGTTGCTGCTGTTGTTGTTGTTGTTGTTGTTGTTGCTGCTGCTGCTGTTGCTGCTGCTGTTGTTGTTGGGCATATTGAGCATACATTGGATGATTGTAATGCCCGTATCCAGCGCTCATGGACCGATCTGGCGATGAAGCTTTGCGCTTCTTGCCGGCATCAAGCTCAACACCGGGCACTCTTGACCATAGACCTGTCGTGTCGTCCTTCTTGAACGCTTCGTTCCCAATGAGATTATGTCGTACACTGGATTCCCAGCCCTTTGTCTCCGTGTGGAAATAGAACCAGGGGTACCTCTGAGTAATCCGCTTGTAAATTTGCTTGAGAGTGAGACCATCGGGTCCTGCCGCAGTGAGAGTCTCGTCGATAAGCACTCCATAGTTCTTGTTGGGCTTCTGGAGCTGTTCTTCGGTGTAATCTTCGATCTTGAGCTCGAGGGGTGGCGACTTGGGTCGAACCTTCTTCTCCTTCTTCTCCTTGGCTCGCCGTTCGGCATCTGACCCCTCTGCACCATCTTCGCCTTTTGGCTTTCGAGGCTTGTATTTGCGCTTCTCTGGTCGGTCCCCACCTTCCTCTGGCAGGGGGTGCTTTCTAGGTCGGCCAACCTTTCTCTTGATCGGAGGTTCTCCAGGGGGTGGCTGTGGTAATGTCTTCTTTGCCATTTCTTGCTGTTGCTTCTTAAGCAAACGCTGCTCCCGTTTAGACATGAATCCATTCTTCGGTGGTCTGCCGGGCCCACGTTTCTTCTGGGGCATGAGTGGTAATAATGGTTGCTGCATCGGTTGGACCAATTCCGGCTCTTCTGCCTTGACTTCCGTGCTAGGCTCAATCCCTTCCACTTCTTCTTCCTCTTCATCGTCTTCTTCTTCTTCTTCAGGTAGAGCTTCAGCTTCAGCGACGGCCTCGGCTTCGGCTTCAGCCTCGACGTCCGCCTCCTCCCCTTCGGCGTCAACGTCTGATTCCTCATCTTCTGATGGAGCTGGAGGGCTGAGTGACGAGTCGCTGGTGTCGTGCAATTCGCCGTTCCCATGAGAGGCTTCAAACTCAAAGCTCATTTCCTTTCCACCGTGAGGTTTGCTCTTCTTAATCTTTTCTTCTTCCTCGACGTACTCTTCTGCGCCTGTACGGCCTTCTGGTACACCATTGATGACGAAGCGAAAGTCGACGTCTTTGATCTGCAAGTGGTCGCCACTTCGAAGTACGACAACTCCGTCTTTGTGATGCACATCTTCGATGAAGAATCCGTTCTTGTGCAAGGGAATGGCCTCGAACACACCCTCTTTCTGGTTAAACTGAATCTTGAGGTGCTCTCTTGAGATAGCCTTGGTCTTGCTCGCTATCTCGGGCCCGGGAGAGTGAATGCCGATGAACGGAACGTGGTAAGGAGAGGGTCGTAGGGAGGCCAGGTCGACAGCCGCTGCGCCAGGCGTATGCGACACATATTGTCTGTTAGATATGAGGTTTTCTTGCGCCTCTTCCTCTTCAGGCTTTTGTGAAGATCCAGTGCTAGTGGTCTTACGGCGCTTCGCCGGTCGCCCGGATTCTTCGCTATCGGATTCAGGCCCCAGCATGCCTCCCTCTTCACTGACATAAGACTTGCTGAACTTCCCTCGGTCATGTCTAACGGGCGAGGGGGGCGGTAATCCCAGCGCCTCATTCTCCTCGGCCCTTCTCCGAAATTCGGCGTTGCGCTTCTCGTCTCTTCGCGCCTGTACCATGGCCTTCTGGTCACGACCAATGATTACGGCATAAGTGGTCATCTGGAAGACACTGTCGGCGAATTCTATTCGCGCGAAGGACTCTAGGCCTTGGGTCGCCGCGGCGAGATTATGGGTGCTTGCGACAAGCGGGTCGTTGCCATTGCCCATGGTGCTAGGGAGGGTCACCTGGGCGGGCGTGACGGTCGGAGGAGGCGACATCTGGTTGGACATCTGATTGCCTGCCATGTGCGCGAGTGCCATCATCATGTACGCGTGGTCCATGTTGGGCATTGGTGTATGAGGGAAGGACGAATTGAAGGGGTCGGCGTCCATTGGAGCGGCTGGAGCCGGCTGCGACGTCGCGGGAACTGCGGCGCTGGCATCGGCATCGGTCATGACGGTGTCGACGGCGGTGGGAGTGAATTGGCGATTGTTAGACGTGTCGCTGGTCGTGTTCTGAGCGCCAGTCGATGCGTCGGGGCGCGGTTGGTCGGCGGTGGTCGCGTTGTTGTCGTGGGCATCAGGTCGGGCGGAGGCTGGAGACATCTTGGTCTTGGGCGGCGGCGTGGTCGGCACGGGCGCCTGGCCGTTTTGGCCGGCGTTGGACGAAGTCATCGCTGCTCTGTAAGCGGACAGACCAGCTCCTTCGTCTTCGGCAAGCCAAGAGAGGCGATTTGGTCTGTTGCGACAAGGTTGGACCTGAGGAGGCTGCGGACAATCCGAGATCCCAAAAAAATTGGCGTGAGACAAAGTCATTCTTGCCGCGATTGACAGGGTCAACGGGGAGAATACGCGCTTCTGATTGGCCGCTCGGTGGGATTCACCGTGGATATGGCAGCCTTTCCCCGCGCTGAGAAAGTACCCAGGTACTTTTTTCACTCCCAAATCATCCAGATCAGCCCGGACCACCACCAGTCACCGACCCAGGCAGTCAGTCCCCTCCCGTCGCTGCCTTCCTTCTCAGGATCGAATAGTGCATCAATGGCCATGAGGGAAGCCGCAAGGGTAGTTACACCTTCCTCTCATAAAGAAGAAGCATTCGCTTGCATCCCCCCCCAAAAGTAAAACAATGCATTTATTTCGGCCACCTACTTCAGAAGTGACAAGCCGTCAAATGCACCTGAGCAAATGCAGTTGATCCACCCTTTGACCACCAGCCTCTTGCAACCGCTGAGTCATATGAAGCGCCCCATCCCATCGTCCCATTGTTGCGGTGAAGGGCTTGATCTTCACGATGCATTTCGGTCAAGATCCGAAATGCCTCCCCCAGGATCCTTACGCAAAGGACCATAGGCAGTTCTCGTGGCCACCACCCTGTGTAGATCGTCGAAACTTTCCGACCTCCAGTTCCCACTTTCTCTCGGTCAACATCCAATGGAACTATTCTGTACCGGTGAAGGGGCCATTTCAATCAGTATGACTAGCATATCGGTAGCTGGGAACCGGCAGCTATGCGTTGCATGCAGTGTCTGTCAATAGCTGCGAATTTGATTGTTTTCTTCGGTAGTGATTTCCAAGAGATTCTGAGGGGACGCACTTGAAGGCAGATTGTATCACTCCTCAGCTGCCATTTGGCTCAGAACATATCAAATACGCAACGCCATGACACAGGCTGACCAACATCCGTGTTTGATCCGTTCATGTATAAGGCAAATTGTCATCAACATTAATTCAATTCATCGATTTTCTAGTTTTGGCTTCGACAAGCTTTGCCACCTCCAGGAGGCAGCTTCTTCGCCACCCAGTCATACCGTATGGTCTTCAGCTGTTGCTTGGTGGGCAACGGGTAGTCTCACGAGGATGGCTAGTCTGTCCCTTAACCGCATGCATGACCATTTAATGCCTGTTTCATTTGGGTATCATAGGCAAATCTGATTGTTTGTGGCTAGACATATCGAGAATATCGTGGACGTCTGCATAACAAGGGGCAGCCCTATTCCATGTTAACCAGTACACCGGATACGCGGAGTGGACTATTCTTCTCACTATTGTCATTGGCGTTGGTGTTGATGTCCGTGCTAAGTATGACATATTCAGTCTTTCGACTTCTTTTCGCTAACATGTTAACGGGTGCCTGCTGCATGTCGTCAGGTACTGAAGTTCTTCAACTCAGAAGGGGCGCTCGCTCGCCAAAAAGTGGCCGCCTGGATTGCCACCAGCGAGAGATCCTGTCCGAAATGCGGTAGGCCGAGAAGCACAGCATGCCAGCAACAAAACCGATGGCATCGTTTCTAAACGCAAGGAGTCCAGCAGTGGTCATCAGCATGACCGTCCATCTTTCAGACCTCTCATCATCCGAAAGCGAGCGGTGCTGCCGAAGAACGCCGACTCCCTCACTCGAGTTTCCGGCAGAGCTTTCCCAGAGATCTGAAGCGCCGTGGTTCAGGCTATGTCCGACTTTGGCAAGTTCGAGGCCTGCAGCAATAACCATGACACCGAGAAGACTCTTGGGGTAGTGTGAAAGCAAGTCGAGAAGAGTTCCGCCAAAGACGACACCCAGGATGATCTTGAACAAGCCCAAGATGATGACACTGGCACCGCTGCGCGCCCCGAAACGGTATTGAGCAGCAAGTCCACCAGCGCCGTGGCACACAGGCATCGCACCAAACCAGGTGCCTACCAAGTTCATAATGCCCACACTCATACCCATGGCTGTGACTGTCGGGGTGGGCATATCAGGAAGCAGGTCGGCCGCAAGGGCGCTTACAGCGATGACGGAGTTGAGTGTGGTCAGAGGTAGTTGGCCAATTGCCATTGAAATTGGCTTGTACTTGAACCAGTTAAAGTTCCAGTGCAGCAGATGCGGTACCCAAACGTGGAACCACGGGAGGTTATGCGGCTCATGGTGGTTAGCGGTCAATATGGAAATGAACGCAAAAACAAGCGACAAAACGAAGATGTGCAGTGCGTAGGGGAAGCGCGGCAGCCCCTGAGTGAAAATGAGCACAAGAAAGGCAGCCAAGGCCCATAGCCTGTTATCAAGAACAGGTTGGGTCCAGTGCAGGTCTCGGAGCAAGCTGGAACCAGCAGCCATGACGAGAGAGAGGCCGGCACCAAGCTGGATACCTTTAACAACGGGAACAGGGACGTTTCGAGTAACCCAACGGAGCAAACCAGTGATACTCATGAGAAGCACCGCCAGACTAACCCATTGGCCAGCGGCCATGACAGTTCTGATGCCACTATCTTCACTCCTTGAGATGGCGGCTGCAGCAATAGCCTGAATAGAAGGGTTTAGCAAGCGAAATCCGGTTGGAGTTTGAGAGTTGAGCTACCTTCATCGGCTGTACTGGAAGCGGGATGCCGAAGACGGCGCCGGTCACGACATTGAATATGCCAGAAAATACCAACGTACTGTCAAGGTAAATGGAGTTTTGAACAGCAAGGGCGATCATCAAGGGAAGGAGGGTTCCCAGATCGCCCAAGGCGCCAGAGATCTCTGCAGTGGGCGAGCGGCGCAGAGTCGCAACATTGTGACGATGGACTCGTTTCAAGTGACTGAGAAGCGTCATGATGCGGGGACGTCCAAGGAATATTTCTGGGGTTTGATATAAATGACTCGCTTCAGACCTGATCAAAAAACGGTCGAGGCCATGAGTTGCAGAATCAACTTTGACTACAAGACTTAAGAAAAATGAGAAATAGCAACGCCCATCCAAACTTTTGGGTGATGACGAGCTCTTGGGCTCTAGCAGGCGGCCCCGTCCGATAACCTACAACACATCGGAGGACACAACTCCTCGGCCGGGACAGGCGCTGGGCAAATGTGATTGGTCACTTAACCATTTCGCTTTAGTGGCCCATGTCTCGTGGTGGTCCGTTGTAGCGATAAGCTGATAAGCGGCTAGATCGCTTGATAGCATGTCGTCATAGGCTCCCATAGTGGACCCTTCCTGCTGGACGACGATGAATGACCTGATTCTCTGGCTTATATCCGCGGCGTGGGATTACATAAGGTGAGGTCAGGATGAGAAGAGAAAAATCCAGGAAGGATTGCTTGCTCGCGATGGCTAAGTGATGGAACTGAAAGCCGAGGCAGTACCGTCCTCATCTTGAGGGACGGGCAAAGACCGGACATAAAGAAACTAGCAGGTGGTAGTACCGGGATGTCTGATGAGGTAGCCGGGCCTTTTCCGCGATACCAACAGTAGCATGGACCTGGAAAGAAAATTTCAAACTGGGTCGGCGGAAGGGGCGGGACGGAGACATTCGGGCCTGCCACCCCCAGCGTAAGGTACCTTAACTTAACTTGGGAGCCGGCTTTGTCTGGGGCGTTGCGGTGTATGGAGCTCCGGGATATGGCATGGCCTCTGATGTGAGGTTTTTGTTATCAAATCAGCGGTTGGCGGTGGACACAAAGGGAAAAAAAAAATGACGCTGTGACCCTGCAAGGCAACGGCGTGCGTTGAAGAGGAGAAAAGATTGCCGGTCATCAGGCCAGGCCAGCCGGTTGACAATAAAAAGTCAGGACGACTGGACGGGACAGTCCAGCCATCGGCCCTGACTAGGCGCGAACCCCGATCCGATGTAAAGTGCCCGTAATGGACTCGCTTGCTGCGATGCGATGAATGAGGAAAAATGGACACCCCAAGAAGTGGGGCCTAAAACCTAGGAGTCTGTTTGCTGGCTGGTCACGCTGGATGCTCTTTTCCCCCCCAGTCGGACGCTCTGCTACGTCTTATTCATTTATTCACGGCTGGATTGGCATTCGAATTACTTGGTCGGTGTAACCCCGCGTGCTGATATTTCTTGTTGCTTGGCCGAGGTCTGGGCAAATGACAGCTCTGAGCCTTGAAGCCCTTTTGAGCCTTTTGCCAATGCTTTGCCAACCCTTCCGCAGCAGCTTGGCCGGGCGCAGTTCACGATTGACATGACTAGCCAACCAGGGCTGCGCTGTTGCGGCATTTGTACAAAACTTTCTACCAAGGCTGTATGTAGATGGGAGATGCTCGTTGTTCAGGCCGGTGGTGGCCCATACGCCAAGTCCCGGTTGACAAAGAGAGGAAGGCCGCAGAATCGCCAAGCGGGCAAACTCGAGAAGGTATGGGCATGAAGAAAATGAGACGGGACGGCGGTTAGTAAGTGGGCGCTCCGCCCGCGGAAGCAGGGCGTCAGAGTAACGGCAAGTTGGCACAGTAAGGTAAAGATATTGTCATCAAGCCGTCGCTTACAGATGCAGACATGGGCTGTAAACATGATCGGGTGCCTTGGAAGGATCTGGGGTGATGAGGTAACAGAGACGGAAGAAAAGTACATTTGAGGTATTCCCGAGAAATCTCCCCCAACAGTATCGGTGAAGGCGACGGCTGCATGAGCCCCAATCAGTCAAACCCAATGCAAACCAGCACAATTCGGGCACCTTCTGCCCTGTCCTAGTGCCGATGAATTACTACGCAGCCGTCAATCATCAAGGCGGCATGTCAGAAGAGAAAACACCACTCAAATCGACCGGGCTAACGACTAACACGGGCCCTGTGGGGCGAGGAGGACAGACCAGCAAGGCTGCTCGAGATGCTTACCGTCCTTGGTACCTGTGGGAAGCAGCCAACTACCCTACGGCCACGAGGTAGAGCGGTACACTTTGGAACCCTGCGAAGGGTGGGTGTTCCGCTACGGCGAACCACTGGCCTACGAACCCACTGGAAAACTGTGCTGGTGGTCCATCCTGGTGATGACCCCACAAGATGCCCATGCCATCCAATCGCCCAATCTCTGTGCGCGTCGTGCCCAAGTTCCTCACCCCCAAGGCAACAAGACCAGTGGAAATTCGCGCAAGCAAAAAGGCCAGAGGAGAGAAAAGGTTAAAAAATAAAATAATAAACAGTTACCTAGCTTGCCCTTGCCGACGTGCCAAATAAACCAACTGCAGCTGGCCAAATACAGGTTAGACACCTTCTGCACCACCTATCTCACTGGCTGACTTCTTGCATCAAACCCCCCGGCACGAACTGAAGCCACTACTTTATCAAGGTACTATGGGTACCCAAGGTTTTTTGTACTAGGCAAGCACGCTATTAGACATTCTCCACAGCGGTTGCCTTTCATGACCCTGCCGTCTTCCCGGCATCCTTGGAGACAAGCTTTCTGCTGCTCTCTTGGCGCCGGTTCCTCTGACATAACGCGACCTCTGCATTCTGCCTACCAGAAATGTACCTCATCATGGGCCGAGCAATGGGTGTGATCGCTGTGACCGGCCAAGTCGATTCACTGTCACTTGCGCCTGCCCATCCGGCCACTATTTGAGCCAGCTATTTACCACCTCACCCTCCCTGATTTATCCTTTCCCCTCTTCCTGCTCTCCTCTTCTCTCCTCCAACTCACTCGGCGATCAAATATCTCAATTGGCATCTCCTTATTCTAACGGCGGTCAATTCCATCCTACTTTCGTCGCGTGTTGTTCGCCCAACGTGAGTTACTCTTTTTCTGCAACCCCGATTTTCCCTGGGTTCTTTGCGCTGACAAACCACGCGCACAGCAGCTCTCATCCAGCTCTCTCTTCCACCCCCAGTGACTGTGATCGAACCACCAGGTCTCTTTCCCCACCTCGTTTTTGTCACTCGACGCCAAAACTCTCAATCTTCGTAAAAGGTAAATTTCTCCCACCTACAGTCCCAAATCCACTCGCAACGCTCCGTGTGAGGTTGCCGTTTCAATTCGGCTCCGCGATCTGCTTCTTCTACGCTCTGTGCTCCATGCGGCCCAGTGCAAGATGAAGCTGTGGTAAACAAACAGCGGAGATTTATCGGCCAGCCGAACGCCGGATACCCCGGTAATGACGATGGGCACCATGCTCCCAGGGTCGGCATTCTAGGGCGACGGGCAGCGGTCTCCATAAACTTCCTCAATTGGGAAAGCTTTGGCCCCAATTGATTTGTTTTTCTGGTTGGATCGTACCCCGGTTCACGTCCGACTGGTTACTGTTGCTTTCGCCACGAGCTCGATCACACATATTTCACTTGCCCGTCATCAGTTCTTCATTTGATGCTCCTTCCTGCTATCGCCTTCTCTCCTCTCCTCTCACTCACCCGCTGACAAGTCTTTCTCTCCCCAGCCGACTCTCCACTCAATCTCAGTCACAATGCCCGCCATCAACTCCATCGTTGTTCGCGACGCTGTCCACCAGCTCGCCAAGCGCAACTGGGCTTCTCAGGAGGCCGGTGTCATCGTCGTCTTCTGCATCGTCTTCCTCGTCGCTTGCGGTCTGATCGGTCTCTGGATTTCTCGCCTCATCTCCCGCCGCAAGGCCAAGCGGGCTGCCTCCCAGGTCTAAGTGCAATGACACCATAGGTGGGAGAGCATGAGGTGCGGTGGTGGAAGTAATGGACGGCTTCAAACTGGATGGTTGAAGTCGGGATTGGCGGCCCTCTCATCCAAAACTTACGTGAGAGGGCCGCGGCTGGCACAAGCGCGGAGGAGCCAGCATCGTGTGTCGACACCATTCATCACTGCACTCGCGGATCATTCACCATCCCATCTATCGATTATGATTCTCGACCCGGTCAACGACGACAGGATTGGAGTCTCACGAGAGACGTGGTTATGAAGAAGTGTCGGGCTGTACATACCGGCACGACGAACGACTGGCCGGCCGGATAATACGTGGGAACAGCCACATGTCAAATCAAGACGCCGCAAAAGATATTATAAGCCCTTTTCTTAATGATACCTATTTCATCGTTACGCAACCACATTGTCGCAATCTCACCTGCCATTGGCTATTCTCGTGATCGTGATGTTATCTAAGATTATGCCCAGGAGCGCATGCATTCCTTGGTTTGTGGTACACTACGGATCTTTTTGTTTTGTTATTTTTTTCCCTTCCTCATGTTTTCGTTTTGCTCTTTCATGTTTTTATTTTTTTTGTGTTTAGCTCGGAAAACAAAACAAAAATAAGAAACGAAAAAGTGGTCCCGTTTGTTTGTTTTTGCCAGCGCAAAACCGCAATCAAACGGGGACATCAGATGGCACGACTTTGACATATGGAATTGGTCTGTACCAGCGAACAGATGCGCCACAAAAATCAGACTAAACTTGGCACTGGCCACGGGGTGCCAGTTTCGTAGACTGGGATATATTTTACTCCTCATTTTTTTTTTTTTATAAAAAAGCCCGCGCGAAGTCAGCCTGCCCGAAAAGGCTTCCCTTTTGTAGGGACATTATGCTGCTCTCGTCAGTTTTCCGACCAAGTAGTGTAATGGTGGTGGTACACAATTAGTGCCGTCACGGTCGACCCGCCTTCCTCTCAGCCTGCTGCTTATCCATGGCCACATCGGAAGGATTACAAGAAGGTCGCCGGGATTGTATCAGTTAGCGCTGCGGTGCATATGTCGGCGGATTCTTATCGTGGCTAAACCCGAGATACGTGCTCTTATCCCGGTCCGGGTTAACCAACACTCCTCGATGACTTCCTAGGCTGACAGAAGCTCCGTTAAGCAGTCACCATTTAAAACTTTTTTTTTTATATAAAGCGTGGGCCTGGTGCTATTGACTTGTGTCACCTGGCTTTTTCGAAAATGGCTTGTTGAAAACGATCAATCGAAATACTTGTGGTCTACTCCCGTTCACAGTTGCTCTGAAGGTATTGGAACCTCGTCAGGGAACTCCCTCATTCACTATTTTACCTAAATCAAGGAAACACCCCATATTTCTTAATCAAACGGAACCCGTTCCCCTCCATGGATCACCCTACGAGGCCAGATAGCCCGCCCCGTCGATTGCGGGCCTGCGTGCCGTGCACGACGGCAAAGGCCCGCTGCAACTTCCGCGATGAGAATGCCGGGGTACATCTGTGTGACCGGTACGACCTCCGTCCGCTAATCTTAGCAGTGGTGACTTGACTTGAATTCTTTGCAAACTGACATCGGCATGTTCAAGATGTGAGCGGCTGAGGATTGTGTGTACGGCCAAGACGACCAGGAGTGTAAGGCGGCCGAGACAGCTTAAGCCTATGGCAGGGTAAGTATTGTATAGTTGGCGTGGTCTCGCTCATCGGATAGATGTTGATAGCGAGGCTGTTGCGAGACCGTCGCTAACGACATTCAGTCGTCTCGCTTATCTCGAGAAGCAAATCGCATCTCTCATGACTACGGACAGGACAGGCAGTGCCGACGCGTCCGCCAGCTCCTCTTCGCATCCAAACACTTCGTCCGAGAGCTCGACCTCCCTCTCACCGCCGCAGTATGGGCGAGAGGGAGGGTATCACGACCCGGGAAGACGACAAACGGTGGGTAACAACGGACGCTATTCTACGGCCGCAGAAGCCGTAGAAGCATCACTGACACCCCCGTTCGGTCTGACGTGGACCCAAGCGACCTTCATTCTCAATGAGTTCCGCACCTTTTTCACGCCAAACTTCCCTTTCGTCATAATAGACGGCGAAACAACACCCCAGAACCTCCTACGCGACAAGCCGTTGCTCTTCCGCGCCGTCATGCTGGTAGCTGCTCCGCTCCCGTATTCCCGCACCACCGAGATGAAGTCGGAAGTGATGGCATACCTCGGCCACCGAATGTTGTTGGAGGAAGAAGAGACCCTAGATATACTACAGGGAATCCTAATCATTGTAATGTGGTAAGAACGTCCCTTCTCGTAAATCCTAATCACAATCACAGACTCCTGACGATCACAGGGCCGACATCAAATACTTCCACGACAAGCAAATCACCCGCCTAGTATATCTCGCCCTTGGCTACGCTCACAGCCTCGGCATCACCAAACTGCCACTCTCCGTCTTGCAATTGCACGGCAGCGTAGAGCAGCCGGACGACTGCTTCGCGTCCAAGATTGCCGCGTCAATGAAGGAGCATCACACCCTCGAAGAGCAACGCGCGTTCCTGGGTCTGTTCTGCGTGGTGACGGTCAACTCGAGTCAGTTCGCCCGGCGGAACCCCTTACTTCAGCAGGCGGGAGGCGGGTTCTACGTCGATGTGTGCTGTGAAAGCCTGTTGCGGTCGGGCTGGGAGCAGGATGCGCTGGCGGCGAAGATGGTGCGGTTCTACCAGATTTCGGGCCGGATCGCCGAGACTTTTGGGTCGTTTGCCAACCGCGCCACGGGGGAGTCGTACGCAACCCTTTTCGAGGCGCAGGCTGTCGCGATCAGGAGGGAGGTGGATAGGATCGGGGCCGAGATTGATTACCGGGACCCCTCTTTGGGTGAGTATATCGTGGCGAGCCGGGCTTGCTTCCCTATCGTTGGCGATGATGAAGATGATGATGATGCTAACCGGCGGCAAAGCGTACTTGTGGATGCAGTATAATTCAGTCGTTGTGCAGCTGTACGAGCCGGCTACCACGGCGGCCATGTTCGCACCGATGCACCGCGCGGCGTGTCTGCTGGAATGTCTGGCCGCCGCCAAGGTGTATTTTGATGCCCTCACGTCCCTTCCCCCCGAGATGTTTCTCTACCGAACCACGGCGCATATCAACCATGCGCAAATAGCAGTGACGTCTGCGACGAGGCTGTTGGTTCTTGAGGTCGAGGGGTGGGATCTGAAGTCTGCGCGAGCCTCGCTCGACTTTCTGGACACCACGGAACGGATGTCGAGCCTGTTCAGGGCAACGGCTGCGGCGGGTAAGGAGAGGATGAGGAGGTTCGCCGAGGAGACGGGCGCGGAAGTGCAAGTGTGGATGGAGGACGATGAGGGCGAGGACGAGGGCGAGGGCAGGGGCGGGATGTGCCGCGAGCTCATTGACAAGATGCGCTGGATCGGCGGCTGGTACAGGTCTCGGCTACAGGCAGAAGGCGGGAAGGTGCCGGCGGAGCCCATGAACAAGGAATTGATGGAGGAGATTACGCGGATCTGGCACTGGTCCCCGAACTCCGATGGTCTGCCTTTCTTCGGCGGTTTGTTGAACACCCTCGATGTTAGCTATGAAGGTATATGAGAAGTCATGCCGTCCCTGATGATCGCGGCCGAATCTCGTCTATTTGAGTTGTAGAGGTACACGCAAGCAGCAGAATATCACATACAATGCCCGTTTCGCTCATCCCCCCACGCTTTCAAGAGAAAAAAATAAATCTTGCCCGTGTGGCCAACCCAGTCTACCATGGCAGCCTTTGTCGCGTCCTGTTCTTCGCGTCTCGCAAGGCTTTCCTCAATCTTCACACGTTCTAACCTCAATATCCCCCATTAGTGATTGGTTTTGACGGACGAGGCTACCGACCGACACTCTTCATCTATATGACATTCCATGCAATCATTAGAGGCAACGCAACAAGCAAGAAAAGCACAGCCACCAAGGCGGGAATGACTGGCGGCACAGATTCGGCCGCCTCTTCGAGAAACCGAAGTGCGTCGGCGAGTGGTACCAGAACGATTCTATGGACGAGAGCGAGGGGACTCCGTCCGGCGCGGCAGCACCGGCAGCGGGTCCAGATGCTGTGCCGGTAGGTTACATCGTCATGTTTGGGAGCTTGGAGAGCAGTGCGAACGTCGGCGCTCAGGTCTGGTAGCGAGCGGGACTGGGGTTGTCCATCTTGACGGCGTTAGCAAAAGTGGCATTGAATACCTTGTGATGAACGTCAAGGCTTAGGTCGATGTGTGAGATGATGAAGAGCGAGTGAGATGAGGTGGGGACTCTTGCCAGCGCGAGTGGGCAGCGCCGGACCCGGGATGGACATTTTAGGGGGTGGGTGGGTGCGCAACGAAAGAGTGGATAAGTGAGGATGAGGCACAGCGGACTTACTGAGGGGTGTCCGAGGCGGAAGTGGTGACCGGGCGCCGGAGGCCGGGAGGGGTGACCGGCTGCCGTCGGGTGGGATCTCCTGAGTCCTGCCCTTGGTCCTCGCATAGTATGCTGTGTACAGGTTAGCTGGGGAGATGCTGAGGCGCATGTGATGTCCAGAGAGTATCACACAAGAAAGAGAGGCACGGGGGGGTTGATGAACGTACGCATTGTAGCTTTGAGTGATGCCGTTCACACTCGGGCCACTGCTTACTGTTTGACGGTTGGATTCCCGAAATTTGCATCAATTCGGGCTGTTCTTGTTTGCTGACTGAGGTCTCTCAATCGTGCACGTCACGTCAGGTGAGACCGGAAGCGTGTGTTTGATTCAATGTCGATATTCTCCAGGCTCTTTGACAAAGACAAAAGGGAAATGATTCAAGGCGGGTCCGTCGGGTATCTTGTTCCTGTCCCCAAAGCTTTCTTGGGGGGTTGGTTGTTTTTGCAGAAGTTGACAATAAACGAACGAGATTCGAACGGAGTCTGTTAGACTGGCTGATCCGAAATCTAGATTTGAATAATAATCGCCGCTCCCGACCCCCTTGTGATCAAGCTCGCTGGTGAGTTTGGGGACTGTTGATTGGAGAGCCAGCGAGATTGGATGCCAATGCCAGTGCCGACCGCCGATGCGAGTGCCAAGACTCAAGGCACAAACGTCGCCAGACTTGAAGGTGGAGTTTTGGAGAGATTGAGGACGGACGGTGCAAAAAGGACCAGATGAAGGGCATCGATAATCGGAGCCCCCCTCACTCTTCTCGCATTGGTACGTGACGCAGCTGGGTGATGAGGCGAGGGCGAGGCTTGGTGCCAAGAAGTAGCTGGCACCGTGATTAATAGCACGATGTGGCCTCGATGCGGATCGCCCAAAAAAATAAAAATAATAGTTGTCGCCGAAAACGTTACAATGAGCAGAGTGACCTGGCACCCCTTTTACGAAAGTGACTTGTTCTTGGGGGGGAAGTCGGTGTGTGTTTCCGCAATTTTGAGTTTTCTTCCCCAAGGATTCAAGTAGCTTGGCGGGTAGACGGCATGCGGGATAAGCCACAGTGCCCAGGCGCCTCTTTGCGCCAATGCAGGTTACAAGTGAGACACGATGAATTGGACTGACAGGCGAGGCTGTCGATGATAATTCCAAGCCGCTGTGCTGTGGGGTGGAGGAAAGGGGGTCAGTTGCTGACATGGCAAGCAACTAGCCTAGGTCAACTACATCGTGGGAACGGGTCAAGTGGGCGTGGACAGCATGGTTGAATCAAGCCAGTTGGCCACATGGTCACCCCCAAGTTTGAGTGAGCGTTAGAGTTGAAGTCTGCACTGCCTCAATTTAAGAACGGTCTCTGACTAGGAACCACCTTGTTGAAGGATGGCGATTCATGCCGCCTTTGCTCACTTCATGCAAAGCCGGTAGCACTGGCCTACTCGACGGACGGTTGCGAAAATAAATACCAAACGCCAAGAGAAAGAAAGCAAAAAGAAGCGACGATTGAACCATTTGCAATATGAGTGCAGATTATCCTTATATTTAGGTAGTCATGGTGTGTGTTGCTGGTGCGCTATTTGAACCAACTGGTATCTCTTGAAACTCCAAACAAATTCAAGTCCGTGCCGCCGTCTATGTTTGTCAAAACGCCATGGCTGTCTCTAGCCTAGAACCCTTCCACCAGAAGCAAGGAAAAACTGTGTTTATAACCACGTGCGACTTGTGCTGAGCCTCTTGTAACTGCTTCGCTCTTTCGGACGTTGATACTCTGTATCAGTTGATAGGTCCTGGCGGGAATATCTACCTCGCCACGGCCGGCTGTTAGCCTCCTCGAAGAAGTAATGGTTCGGGCCTTTCGCGTAAGCCACCCGCCAGGGTACAATAAGATCGCGCTTAACAGGGCCCCCGCCGCAGCTTCCCTTAAGCTGCTCGCTTGGCGGAGAGTTGACGGCCAAGGCGAAGAGGTTCTGAGGCTCCGTGTAGTCGGTTACCAGACCTGAACGTGATAGGAAGTATCCCAGACAAAACACGTTAATGAGAAATACAAGAACGAGAGCCAGATAAAAGACGTTTTGCCACTCATACTCGTGTGCAGATGTGTATTGTTGTGAGCGAATGCTGACGTTGAACGGCGCGAGATCGCCCGGCTCGCCGAGCTGCATTGCATTTTGATAGGGCCAATAGTGGATGAAAGGGGTTCCTTGACTGCCGATGATGAGGGTTGACGATGCGAAAACAGCAAGGGCTTCTGCAATAGAAGGGAGGAGGGGGTTTAACTTCCCCCCCTCCAGAATAAATTGCGTAAGCGTTCGGGCGTTGGAGGCGTTGTTGTTCACCGCACCGCCGTTGATATCCATTGAAAGGCGCCATTGGTTTGCAACGTTCTGGTGGGGAAAAGTTAGTAAATACGCTTGTGATACTAGATGATGAGGGCCTTACTCTCCAATCCCCGACCGGCTCTTCCGGTGTGACATCTGGTACAGATCGGTCGTATCTGTCCGGATCATTGGGGTCCTCGCAGTGCGCCCGCATGTGTGAGCCAGCCGTACCGGAAATATTGAAATGAGTTGAGCAATTAGGCGTGAGCCAAGATCGCATCTCGCAGAGAGTGTAGTTGGTGATGGACGCCGATTTTGCCATGAGATATATAGCATCGCCCTGGAAAACCTTGACAATAGTTAGTAACCACTCCGCGGTACTTTCGGATTGCTAAAACCTACAGAAACATTGGTGATCATGTTGAAGTTTGAGGGATACTGTCCGATGTGTCAACAAACGCACCACCATTTGGCTTGGGGTACCTACGAGTGGGAAAACGGGAGGGCGTCGGCCATATTCTTTTCCCCAACGGAAGATGTCGTCCACACTTGTACGGTTGAGCCACTCATTCTCCGTGGGCTGGGGAACTTCTCCCTCCCATCCTACCCATCCTATCGTTTGGTTCCCTACCCCAGTTGGCTCTGTTCTGCTATTCTCCCACTTGGTGTACACCAGTGGAGCCAGTTCGTCTTCATTCATATTGACACACATGACATTGATGACAGGGGAAACGACGCTCGCTTTAATCGCATACTCTCCGACACCAGACAAGTCATTTGGCTGGAGAATCTTGTTTACCGGATGGGTTGCTGCGTCATACACACCTGTTAGATGGACTGTCAGCGATATGCCATTAACCTTCGTTGCATATGTCAAATAACCTACCAGGGTGTGGCATAGCAAGTGTGACATTATGAATGACTCTGCCCCGTTCCTCGAACTGCCTGGTTACGTTGCTGTGGTCCTTTTGGATCCAGCTTGAGGTCAATGTCGTGTTGTCATATAACAGAGTTGTTCCCACCGGCCGGTGAGACATGTCCAGGGATACACCTGTGCCATTGTGTTTGATCTCGTCCCAGGCAGTCAAAAAGGACACCAGGTTACGATAAGCTTGTAGCGAGTTAGCACCTCCCGCCAAAAGAGAAATCGTCGATAGAAAAATGCTTACATTGTCCAGCATACTGAATATCCAAACAAGAGCTGGCAGCAAAGACCGGCCCGTCAGGGTCCTCTTTTCGCAGAGGCGTGGCACAGCTATCTTGTGTAGCAAAAGTGTTGGCATAGGAAGAAAGGACATAGCCTCTCAACTCCTTATTCTCCCAGCCGCCGTATTTCAGTTTGGGAGAGACCATGACGTCAGATGCAGTGGTGTAGAATGTGGAGGCAACACTCGCAATGAGTGAGACTGCCCCGAGGAATGTCACTGCTGCGTACGGCAGTGTCTCCCAGTGAGTCAGCATAAATCCAGGTTGCTGCTTTGTGTTAGATACGGTCACTCAGTTTTTTCAGGTAGAAGAAAAGATCACGTACAATAACCCAATTTCTCATAGTCATTTCAGCCAGCGTCATGCCTTTCGACTTTTTGACAAACGAACGACGTGTCAAGACCTGACCGATAAAGGCAACGAATACGGTCACGAAGGAAATTTCAATGGTTTTCGCAAACATGGCGCACACCATGGTAGCTGTTGAAGGAGCGATACCGCCACTTGATGAGATGGTCGGCCCCCAACGTGGTTGAACTACAGCGACGACAAACCAAAGACAGCTCAGGCCAGTAGAGTAGATGGATAGCGCAATAAGCGAAATGGAGAGCCAGTTAGCTCTTGTCTTGTGAACATCGTTTCGAGAATCACAGTCGTGCGGCACTTGACCTGAATTCTTTTGTCAGTAATTGTGTCATAGATTCAAACGCTCGAAAGCCGGCAAAATGCGTACTGTATCTTTGGTAAAATGTGTCGTCATCATCAGGCGGATCACGATCTTCTGCGTCGTGGTGACCGCGAGTCGGAGCACTATCGCGCCCATCTGAGCCGAGAGATCTCGCATTTTGTCGGCCATTCTCCTTACTCGGGGTCGCCTGTCCAATGCCACCTTCATCCCGAGTATTCGACGGACGCCAAAGACCAGCATCCCTCGGTGGGTCGTCCCAAGGCATAGATGCTTCGTGTCTCGATGTGTTTGTTTTGACTGCGTTTGGAGATGGCAGAGGCGATTGTAGTGGCGAGATGAGCCGTTGATCTGGGTTTGGAGAGAGTTTGGCTTGTTCCGGCTCTGCTCTGGGGGCCCAAATTGTACCAGACTCCAATGAGCCCATACCTCCAGAGTTAGACTGTTGCATGGGGGGCGAGCTGCTTTTAGAACCAACAGGGACGCGTGAAAAGGACATACGGTCCATGATGCCCCTTACTGAAATACCTAAGGGACCGCTTTCATGAGTGCCGGACGTTTCGGATTGAGGAATGTGCTGGTTTTGAGTAACACCGTTGAAAGATGAAAGGTCGATAGTACCGGATGGCATTGGCTGATAGCCATCACGCCGGAAGACGGAGGATGAAAGCAAGCCTCCAGAAGGTGGGGACCTGTTGTCATGGGCCCTGTGTGAGTCGAGAAGATGAGCTTCTTCGGCTTCAGGGACAGGGTGTAGAGAGTAAGGGATGCGGCTATGGCCACTCTCCGCCATGGTGGGCTTAAACGGTAGATAGCCTGGATGTGGTGACTAAAACACAGCAAACCGACTATCTAACAAGACATTATTTTAGGGGTGAAAGGATGGCTGCAGTGGCAAGCGGAGTCTGATGTCAGAATCCTGCTCGGACTTTCCAGCGAAAAGGTGGACCCTGCCGTCTTGTGTTTCTCAACGACAAACGAGTGGACGTAGGCGCAGCTGATGGGATCGTTGGAATGCTTGTGGAGGTAAGGGGCGAGGGATTGTCGGGAGGCGTGCGGACGCTAGCGTTGAGTGAAGCTGTAAATAAGTGTCGGATGTTGCGTGATCTCAGCGTTGGTAACACGGGTACGACGCCAAGAGACCAAGCAATTGCTTTTAAATGACACTCCAAAGAACGTTTAAGCCGAATATCCAACCACGAGTCGGCGTGTTTGTCGTTGTGCAGTGAGCGTCCTCGCAGAAGATGAGGGTTTGAAGCGAGGAACACTTCTTGTTTGGTAGTGGGAGGACAAGGAGGCCAGGAGAGCAAACACGGCACAAGAGAAAGAACTATAGGAGTGTATGAGTCTTGAATAGGGTATGAGGCACGAAAGTGGTAAGAAGGGAGGAAAGAGGTAAAAAACAGAAAGAAAGGAATTCAGTCCGTAGCAAGGGCACCGATAAACAGGGGGGAGAGGCAGAGGCTCTTTAGAGTTGATCCTTCGGAACAGCACCGCATCGCAAGACCCGACAACGGACCTGGGGCTCATCGGAGACGGAAAACTTATGCTGTAACAGCCTCAACTGAAGCTGGCCAGGATTCCTCGCCCTACTCATCATGATGGGGCTCATTTCCCTATCCTGGCTGATAGCCCGCGTGTGGATAGCGCAGCAGAACGGCGCAGTTTGCGTAGCGTGCATGGGGAGAGATCCTACGGCTTACATGACCAGGGTCGTGGCTCATCCTTTTCATCTGGCAATTTTCAAGTTTGTGTCTTGGGAGGGTGATGATGGTGGATGGAAGCTGCATCGTTCTTAAAAGTGAGAAGAAGGCCAGTTGGTTGCTTGACATACTAACCCCGATACCTGACAAAGTCGGGAGAGAAAAAGGGTGTGAAGGAAAGTGTAGTTTGTGAAAGCCACCTGCCGTCGAGTTACACCACGCCTAGAAACCCCATGCAGATCTGGACCGAAAAGCTGCTGCACCTAAACTGAAGTGGATGCTTTCTGCGTCTGGCCCCGTCAAAAGCGGGTCTCTGTCCGTATGAAGTTCAATGTTGTACAAGGTATTTGCGAGCCATGCTCGCGTAGCCTGCTGCCCTGCTGAAAGCATCTGTCAGCTCTCATCATCTCCTACCAAGGCTGAGCTATTACAAAATAAAAATAAAAAAGACGATTCCCATTATTCGTGGCTGTCCTCATACCATGAACAAAATGCGCATATAAGCTTACGTACTTTATAGACAACAAACCATCTAAATCTCTCATGACATTCGACCCGAAGCTCTGGCACCTTTGATTAAATCGACAGGCATGGGCGATGCATAGTATATGCTGGAATGAAACCTGGGAGCATGAGCTCATCCTCTCATGGAAAACGTGGGACTCGATCAAATCTGCTTAGGTATGCAGGTATGTAAGCATACCCAAACTGAGCTGGGGTATTACTCGTTGTAGTTCCCCACAGTAGCCGCATCCCCCAAAAGTTGGGGGTCCATGCAACTAACTTTGAAGGAGCTGCCTAGCAGTGACCTGTGGAGGCTGTGAGCATCACCCGCAGTGCAGGCACCTTCTTGATGGTTTCTAATTTTGTCTGTGCCAGCCATGATTGCGGGACGCCTCCTCAAGTTGAGTCCGGCTTAGCTCCCGTTGGCGATTCCTATTACGTTCATCAAGACCGTTCATCTGAGCCATCATTTCGTCGGATTTTCCCTGGCGTTGAGGAATATTCCAAGTCAGTCGAACACAACTGAACCCCCGACCAGGGTAGCTACTACGAGTCTACTAGTAGCTCTCCCGCCCAACAACATCGAAATCCTGATTTTCCCCAAGCCAAATTGTAAGCATAAATATCAAGCTGCGCATGCAATATCTCTCGCCTTGGCCCGAGACATTGGCTACTGCCACTCTGGACGTGTACCACAGCCGACATCAACATTCATCCCAACTCGGTCCTGTAAGGCTGGTCATATACAAAACTAGGCCCACGCCTGCCTAGCGAGCAAAGAGTGCGTGCGTCTCGGTAGAACGGAAAACAACCAGTTTTTTCACATTACCTGATATCATCTATCAAACAGTGCCCATCCCGGACATGTGCGCTTTGCCTCTTCGCCAGTCGCCGCCAGCCTGATTTGCAAACAATTGGAAAACCCCCGCCCCAGCCATTATACACAAAGAATCGCTCCCCCCAAATAGCTCGCTCGACGCCCCCAAAACTCATGCTCTTACCGAGCCAGCTTGTCTCGATCCCTGGCTGGTTCCTGCCCTCCTTTGTGAATTTCCACCAGGTCTTGCTAAAGTGTACTTGGCGAATGCCCGCGCCAGTGCCTTCTTGCAGCTAATCTTCTGGCTTCCAACGAAGCTCTCTACCGTGACAGCAATCGCCCTGTCAATGTCTTGAGCTGAGCAGTACTCTGAGAGTCTCATCCTGCAGAACGCTTCGCTGATGCGGATGATGGCTTCAAGATGTCGCACCTAGTCACTATTAGCAAAAAAAGCAATCTTTCCATGTAATCGCGAGCTGCCTACCGTAATGGGGTATGCGCCAGTGGCAAGAGATTCTCTTCTCATATCGGCAAATAGACGCGCAACCTTGTCCTCGTCCATGTGGTACAACTTCGGGCTAACACGCTCACGTGCGTAGAGGATGTACTTGCGAAGGAGCTCCTGGGGGATCTCGCCCTCCTTCTTCTGAGACTCGGCTGGCGTGTCCTGCTTTTCCGAATCGGGCTCCACATCCATCGAATCCTCTGCTGGCTGTGAGGATGAGGGGTGACTACGGCTATGCGAGCCGACAATGAACCGCGCAAGGCGTTCATCCTCTGATGGTTCCACCGTATCACGAACGACACACAATATATCAAAACGAGACAGGATAGGCTCAGTAAGCTCAACGTTTGCCGAGAAGGGAATGGTCGAATTGTAACGCCCACCAATAGGGTTCGCCGCAGCAATGATGCCGCAGCGAGCCTGGAGAGTTGTGACAATGCCGGCCTTGGAGATGGAAATGGTTTGCTGTTCCATGGCTTCGTGAATTGACGTACGATCTTGATCGTTCATCTTGTCGAACTCGTCAATCAAACAAGTACCCTTGTCAGCCAGCACCAGAGCACCACCCTCCAAAGTCCATTCGGCGGTCAGGGGGTCTCGCCGGACGCTGGCCGTCAAACCGACGGCACTGGCTCCCTGGCCGGTCGCGAAAACTGCTCGATGGGCCGTCTTTTCGACATATTTGAGAACCTGAGACTTGGCAGTACCAGGATCACCCAAAAGTAGGACGTTGATGTCGCCACGGACCTGGTGAGCACCCTTTCCGACCTTGGCAACACCGCCAAACAGGGACAAAGCCACAGCTGTTTTGATGTCTGTATGCCCGTAAATGCTAGGGGCAATAGAGTTGATAAGCTTGTCGACGATGGCAGGGTCGCGAGAAAGCTTGCGGATCTCCTGCTCATCTTCTTCCGTCATGCGGAATCCTGCCAGCTGGTCGTGTGCCTTGACGACGTTGTTCGCCTCCAGGATCGTAGCAAAGACAGGGAAGCCATTTCGGTTGTTCAACTGAGCATCATAGTTGTTCCGGTAGATTCCAGTGACTTCAATCTCTTCGCCGGGCTTCGCTTTATCGATGAGATCCCAGAGGAGAATTACTTCTCTGTGTCTAGGCAAACGACCGGCCGGAACGGTGCCAGGAGACTCTTGAAGAGTGAGCTTTTGATAGTTGCGATAGACTGTCTTTTCCGAGTTAAGTGTAAAGGGACCGCGGGATTGGCATGCTTGGCAGTACGTGATTTTGACCTCAACGTTTGATTCTTGTTGGAACGGCCCAAGGGTAATACCGCACTTGGTACAATCAAACTTCACGTACTTCAGCTGCGGGAAGACGCCCGTTCTCTTGGTCACCACACCACTAACTCTTACCAAGCAGTTAAGGTGTGACTGTCGAAGCTGTCGTAGAGTGTAGTGAACGGGCAGGTCAAAGATGCGGACGTGGATTTCCGAGTGGATGCGCTCATAGTCGGGGTAATGCAGAAGCACGACGTCCATGGCAACTTCGTCGAAAAGCTTTAGGATTTCTGCTGGCGCATTGGCCAAGAAGTAGGCGAGGATAGCCTTTGATGTAGAGAGGTGGTCGTAGGAAACCTCGAGAGACTCAGCGTTAACCTCACCAAGGGTGCGAATGCGGTTTCCGTAGACGGAAGAGCCGTGCTCGTCGGTGTATTCGGTCAAGAAAGCCTTGAATTCTCTCTTGATGGTCCGTTGAACAAAGGGTTGAGAAACCCACTCAGTTAAGCTGGCTGACTTGACGTCTTGCAGAGCCTCGAGTGAGAGCTCTTCGTCCAGAATGTCCGCATCCATGTCCTCATCCGGATCTTCATCGTAGTGGTGACGGCGACGGCGAGGCTGAGCCGAGAGATCAATATCGCCTTCATCGTCCTCCCCGGGAAGGAAAGCAGCGGGAATCCGTTGGCGGCGGGCAACTTCTCTGTCTCTGCGGTTGAGCTGTGCTTCGAGTCTTCTCCTTGCACCCAAGTCCATATCGCCAAAATCGCCTTCGTCGTCGATGTCGATACCATCGTAGCCATCATCTTCTTTGGCTCTGTAGTCTTGTTCAAATCCCTCTCGGAAAAGGTCTACGTCGTCTTCGGCCATTTCATCGATGTCATCAAGGTCATCCTGGATCTCAGCTTCATCCTCGATGTCCTCGTCATCGTCACCGCCATGAGCCATGAAGGGTGCGGGAGGAGACGAGGGCATTGGGCTCGAGCCAGGCGCAATCGATGAGGTACCATCATCACCGTTCGGACGGCCACGCTTGCGACTCGATCGCTCAGGCGGCCCTCTGTTGGCGGAGCTGAAGCTGCTTCTGAGAGGAGAACTGCATTGGCAATTAGCGCTGAAGTCTTTTATCCCTCCGGCAACGAGTGGAGCAAAATCATGTTGTTGTCAGAGATCAAAAATGTCACAGGAGCTTACCTCATGTTTGCAATGTAAATGGAAACAATGCACAGGAGTTATTCCTCTTTGCAAATTGCGAAACTTTGCGACGAAGGGGATAGAGACGTTTGTGAATGGGGGATGCAGAACTGGGAAAGAGGGGGGCAGGACTGCGAAATTAGTGAGGGACCCATTCACGCTTCAAGTGGAAACGCGTCAGTGGTAAGCGCGTAAAGTGGCACCTTCCCTAAACCGGACGACGCGTAAATGGGCAGTGTGGGCAGCTGCAAGGGAATGTCGCAGTGGAAGCTGAGGTACGGGGTAACCTATCTGACGTACATACCTACCCTACCTATGCTTTCCCCAACACGACTCTCTCGATAACACCAATTGCCCCAAAGTTACGAGCTTTGAGCTTTCCATCCATCTCGAACAGAAAATTTGCGATTGAGAGCTATTTAGCGGTTATTTTATCATCTGCGCTCCATTGTCTCTATAACCATGTCAATGGACCCCCCTCCGCCACCAGCTGCTGCTGCGTCTGGCGACGTTGCCGAAGCGCCTGCCCCAAAGGCGGCACGTAGCGAAAGCTTCTCTTCGCAGAAATCCAGCGACTCCCAAACTGCCGCTGAGTATGTCATAACTCCATTTCGATTCAAGATTGATGCCGAGAGCTAATGGCAAGCCTGCAGATTCATTCGCGACCAGATGCAGCTAGAGGCTGACGCCCGGGAAGCTCTTCCATACGTATGTCACCTCATACTCTGATTAATTCTTCAAATATAGACAAAGCTGACAGCCCATAGAGCATCGAAAACTGCACCAAAATTCTTGGTTCCCTTCGACAGAGTGTCTTTGCATGTCTGACTTGCAACCCGCCTCCCACGAACCCGAAGGATTCCTACAATGCAGCTGGAGTTTGCTATGCTTGCTCAGTCCAATGTCATGGGGAACACACTCTTGTCGAAATTTTCACCAAGAGGAATTTCACCTGCGATTGTGGTACCACACGATATCCTGCGACCAGCCCCTGTAGCTTGCGAGTGAACTCCAGCACGAACACCAAAGGCGGCGTGCATTCAGAGGAGCCAGACGCAAACAATAAGTACAACCAAAACTTTAGGAACAGATTCTGCGCGTGTGAGTGCGACTACGATCCGTTTCAACAGAAGGGCACCATGTTTCAATGCTTGGGCTTGGGCACAACAGAGACTGGCGGATGCGGCGAAGATTGGTATCACCCTGGTTGTCTTGTCGGCATGGGTCCGAAGTGGTTTGAGGACATGAAGAAAGGAGCCGGGATTAAGGCACATGATGTGAACTCAGAGAAGGAGGCCTTGCCCACAATCTCCGAGGACTCGGAGTCCCGTCCAACAGGAGCTATTGATGCGGAAGCTAAGGATGAGGACGAAGAAGATGAGGATGTGCCAATGCCACCTGGATTTCCCGGAGAAGATGATTTCGAAGCCTTTCTCTGCTATAAGTGCGTCAATGCCAACCCATGGATCAAGAAATACGCGGGTGCCAAGGGATTCTTGCCCCCAGTCTTCTCGAGTCAGGGCAACGGAGGCGCAGCGACTACGGAGGAAACGTCTAAAAAACGGAAAGTGGAAGATGATGGTGTTGAAACACACGCTAAGCGACTGAAGAGCGATCTTGAGGCGTCTCAAAGCCATCCTGATATCAGTGAGTCAAAAGCCATTCCAGAGGTCACAGAGGAAGCCTCTGCGTGCAAGTGGGCTGCACTCCCCATGCCACCGGACGAAGACTTTTCTCTCTTTCTGAAGGAGGACTTCCGCAATCATATTTGCCGATGTTCGTCATGCTACCCCAACTTGGATCCGCACCCTCAACTACTTGAAGAGGAAGAAACGTACGAGCCGCCGCTATCCGATGGAGGCGACTCTGAGCATGGTGGCTCAACCAACGGAAGTGGAAGTCTTTTGGAGCGAGGCGAGAGCGCGCTGCGCAATGTTGACCGTGTCCGGGCGATCGAGGGCGTTATGGCTTACAATCATCTCAAGGATCAGCTGAAACCCTTCTTCCAGAAATTTGCTGAGAGCGGGCAGGCTATTGGCGCTGAGGACATCAAGTCTTATTTCGCCAAACTTAGAGGCGATGAGCAGGCCATCAAGGATGCTGGAGATGCAGCCAGCAACTCGAAGGATGATGAGGACGGTCACCGCCGAGAGCAAAGCGGATACTGACCTCTGGTCAGCCACCCTTTCTAAACAACTTTGATGTTCGTTTGGGGCACAGATTCGGTTTTGCATGTATTGTAATGATTGCCTAGTAAAGCTGGCAGGGTTGGGATCTACTATTTGATGCAAAAGTGGGAGATACCGGGGATATTCAAGTAAGGGATGTATAACTATGGCTTGTTGTTTTTGTTGAGCCACTCTGGCTTCAAAACTTGGGTACGATGTTGGAACATATGCCTTTTGTGTGAAACTTCTGGCTACATGTGAAAGCACAGTCGTCGATGTATATGTATATGCTGTATGAAAGCGAGCTTGGTAATTGGTAACTTGCGCCGTCTACCTTGCTGAGCACACAACAGTGACCTTCTGAATTCAGTATCCCACAAGCCAGTGATCAAAATAGTTCAATGGATGCCGAGAAAACATTGAAGAAACGCTCAAAAAGGAAATTGGTTTCCTTGATATAATAGCCACAACTGCACCTATTGAACAGAGTTCGGCGCCTAAGTCATGAACTAACTTTGTTCACGCCATCAAGGTCGTGGAAAAGTAGGGAGGACGATAGGTTCAAAAACAAATGCGGAAATGCCAGAGGCTGTGTAGGTGAGCAGTCGGATGAGCAGCAATCGAGGTCAGTACTAATGTCATAAGTGCAATGTTGGCCTCGAAGTATAGATCGTGGCAGGAACCACATGTTGTCGACCTGCGCGGTGGGAAATGGTAAAGTCGATCTTGTTTAGTCTCCACGACCTTGTAGAATGATGAATGCGCACAAGCAATGGGGATATTACAAGAGATGGCAGAACGAAAGCCTAAAAGTTCATTTTCCATTCACGCAGATAGATAGTCGAACTCCGTGTCTTGTAAGCCTTGGAGTTAACAAACTAAACCATCTATGATGTCTATGATATTGAAAAGACATGCCACATTGGGTTTTGACCTTACTTCAACAGGACAGAGGCTGCTTGTCCCCCCCCCCCAACATTGGCAAAGCTGCGTAGGAGATCTAGGTCTCGGCCATCGAAACCCTATATTGCCATGGCATGGAATGTGTGAGGCGTCACTCCTGTGCGCTTACGATGAGCATATGATGGATATGTCCCGGCCCTGGCGTCTTCCCCCTCCAGAAACATCATGCTACCCAGAGCATTTCCCCCTCAGAAAGCCACGATAATTATTATCATCATGTATATATAAACCTACGTCCTCTGTTTGCCGGCCAGGTAGATGCCTTTCACGAACCCTTCTCTATATGTCTTTCTTTCTAAAAAGACTCCCGCTATCACTAGTTCTAAGCCACTCCCACTCTTCGAGCCTTTTCAACTCTTTTACATTCGTTAGCCAAGATCCGCCCATATTACACTAACAGTGTTCTTCTGTTGCCACTTGGTGCGGTGCCATGTCTTCAGCAGGCTTCAATTTGCCCTCTAAGACGGCCACTGAGATTGAAAATGTTGTAGAGGCTTCCCGCACGCCCAGCGGACACGCTAGCAATGATCAGTTCGTGTCTGAGGCTGACAAGCTGGAGCGGCATATCAGTATTCGGCATATGATCTTCATGGCTTTAGGCGGCTCAATTGGTGCCGGCCTTTTCGTGGGCTCCGGTGCTGCTTTGGGATCCGGCGGCCCTCTTAATCTGGTCCTCAACTTCGCCTTGGTTGGTCTCGGTGTCGGTTGTACAATGGGCTGCCTTGGAGAACTTGCAGGTAAGTAGAATTATAACCGTTGCTCCATTACGTTTCTTTGTGCTAACTGTGGATGAAAGCTTCGTATCCGGTCGCAGGTGCGTTCTACGATTACTCAAGACGCATGATATCGGAAGCGTGGGGCTTTGCGATGGGCTGGAACTTCGTATTCAACTGGCTCATTGTCTTCCCCTTTGAGCTTACCACCATTGCTGCTCAAATGAAGTACTGGGTTCCCGACCTGCAACCAGCTTATATAATAACACCCATTCTACTTGCTCTAACGGGTTCATCGTTCCTCGGTTCTCGCTGGTTCGGTGAGCTCGAGCATGCCTTTGGAATCGGAAAGGCCGTGGCCATCACCGTCTTCATCTTTACCGCAGTCTTCATCATCTCCGGGGCTGTGCCCACGGATCCTAGGTTAGTAGATGATCTCAGTGATCCGAAGTTCAAGGTATTGACAAGTCTCAGGCGTGGAACCGGAGCCGAGTACTGGCAGAATCCAGGTGCCGTGAAGAACGGCATTTCCGGGTTTCTCTTAGTCTTTCGAACAGCAGGCATGTCGTACGGAGGCACAGAGCTTCTCGGCCTAACGGCAGCTGAATGCAAGAATCCCCAGAAGGCCTTGCCTTTGGCGACCAAGATCGTCTTCGCACGCATCTTATTCTTCTACATCGTCTCTCTCCTTCTTCTCGGTTTTGTTGTCCCATCCAACCATCCTGGCCTGGCTTCCACTGGCCATGGGGCCAAGTATAGTCCTTTTACGCTAGCTGCTCAAATCGCCAACATCAAGCATCTCCCAAGCTTCTTCAACGCCCTGATCGTAGTAGCGCTCGTTTCGATGGCCAACGCCAGTATCTTTGCCGCCAGTCGCGCCTTCCAGGCTCTGTGTGAGAAGGGCATGGGCCCCCGCTGGGGTGCCAAGGTCAAGTGGGGTGTGCCGGTGTATGCATTCTTGGTAACGTTCGTTGTTGGTTTACTCGCGTTCGTCAACATGGTAGAGGGCGGCGCCGCTATCTTCGACTGGTTGTTGAGTCTTTCAGGGGCGAGCAATTACTACACCTGGGCCTCGATCTGCATCAGTTACATCCGCTTCCGCAAGGCATGGGCTGCCCAGGGGCATGATCACAGGACGCTGTTGTGGAACAGCCCTTTCGGCACCTGGGGCGCCATTGTTGGTTTGACAATCTGCATTGTAGGATTGCTTGCGAATGTCCTGACAGCCATTATGCCCGTAAGCGGACATTATTCGGTTCAGGATATTTTTCGTGACAACATCGGAACATTTATTCCCCCAGCTTTGTACTTGGGCTACATCTTGTATGAACGTATGATCAACAAGATCAAAAACCCGGCCCTTATTCCTCTTGAAAAGGTGGACGTGCAAACGGGAATCCGCCTTCAGCCTGAAACCTCCAGCTCGGATCTAGGGCGACCGACAGTTGTGCATATCATAACACAGGGATCGTCGTCGGGGGACTTATCGGCAGTTGAGAAATCGTGAAGCGCTTCAGAGATATTGAGATCACCCTTTGGGTATATTGGCGTATAGAATACTTTGTTGGCTGTTCGTGTTTTTGAGCTGATACCATCCGGCGTCGTGTTTTTTACGAGTAAAACAAAACTAAAAGTGTTTGTGTTGTGTAGCATGATCGCCACAGACATGTCTTCTGCGTAGAGACTCATCAGAAATATGTCGTTTCATTTCAATAATTCTAACAATCACCCATTAACGTATTCGTGACATTGGCAGCCAGAGGCAAACCACAGCATGGCAAATGTAATAAGAGGTATAATGCGATCGCCCACCCTTGAGCTTTTCTGCCTCCCAGATCCGATCCCCAACGCCGTTGCCGCTTAAACAGGGTAGTCCCTGCGCCGTATTATCAATTAAGCATCTCGAAAATATCATGTCCTGGCTGGCATCACTGGCCAGATGAGCCAGTACTCGACGTCGCGCTTGAAGGCCGTGGTGGCGGCACAGGCATGCCCATTGGGATTCCCAGATCTCTTTGCATCGGTACGCCACCCATCATACCAGAATCAGGTGACTGAGGGCGCGAATACTCGTCGCCCATCTGCTGGCTGCCGGCAAGTTGTTCCTGGGCGGCCCTCTGCTCCAGCTCCTTTAAACGTTCCTTCTCGGCAGGGTCGATGAGGTCATCGTCATCGCTCCAGGAGGGATCTTCGTCGCTGACTTCGGGCATGGCCATCCTCTTCCAAAACCGCAGCTCTTGTCGCGCGGCAACTTCTTCGACACGGCGATCCCATCTTGCCTCGTCCTCGTCATACTTGCGGCGAAAAGTTCGAAGCAGCTCGTTAGCCTTGCCGGCACGCTCTTGCATTTCCCAAATTTGCTCTCTTAGTCTGCTATTCTCAGCGCGTGCCTCTGCCAACTGTGAGCGGTAGGATCGGTGCCAAGAGGCAACATCTGTGACGTGTTTTGCCTTGTATTCGTGAAATTGCTTCAACATCGCGGCCAAGACGGTTGCGTATTGCGTGAGGAGGGTTGCGTTAGCGTCGCGGCTGTACTTGGCCTTTTCAAGTGACTCGGAAAGAATCGAGATTAGAGTGTCGAGGTTCTGGTCCTGGGCTGCGAGAGGTCTAGTTAGTAACAGGACCGAGGAACTTCTTGGGCTTCCCCACGACGCACCATTAATGTCTTCAGCAGCACTGTGAATTAATTCCTCATTGCTCATTCCCTGAGTCCTTGCGCGACTGCGCACCCTGCCAAGACCGGATACAATGTCTTCGGTAACGCGCCGATTTTCAGCAAGCTGTCGACTCAGTTCCTCGACCATGCCGTAAATGTAGTTAAGCTCAGCCTGCTGACCAGCCGGGGTAGGCACGCCGCCCATGCCCGCAGGCATATTACCGCCATTCATTCCGTTCATGAGGACGAGCTGCTGGTATTGTGCGTGGGCGAGAGCTTGCTGAGCGGGTGAAAGAGGACCGGCCGTAGTAGACGGTGGAGGGGGAGGCGGTAAGGGGTGCTGTTGCTGTCGCAAAGGGGGAAATTGGAGCTGTGGCTGTGGCTGCTGTTGGGGGTAATACTGCTGCTGATTGATGTTGTGGGCAACAGCGTTGGTCGCGTTGGAGTTGGGGTTGAGGGGGGAATCGCCGGCGCTTGGTGAAGGAGCGGGTATGTTCATGGCCTTGGGTCTGGTGGTTGCAACTGGCGGGCAGCTGTGAGATGCTCCGGATGTGAGCCGGAGACAAAAGAAGCGATGGACTGGCCTCTAGAGGTGGAGCTTATCTGAGATGGGTGAAGCGCTCCTCGTGGAAAGTACCTTAACTACTCTGAGATATCCGCTTTGGGTTTGGAGGTGTGGAGGGCGAATGGGTGGTGTCTTGCCCAAGAATCACTTCGCAAATACAATATCATTGTAACGGGGTTTATTTTTCGGAGACTGATAGATCTAGGGCACTTGCTGATATATGCATAATTCTGCCCTGAGAAATGCTGATCTCCTCCATTCCAACTATTTACTGTCATGATTGCGATAATAGCAGTCTGGGTTACTTTTTAGGAAACGGTAGGCTAAAGCGCATTTCTGTAATCAACGTCATGGAAAGACTACTTTAGTAATAGTCAGAATCGAGATACCGCCAATAATAATAATCATACAATTGAAAGAACCGATGGCGTGTAAAACGAGCAACCCCACAAAATCCAGACTCGCCCTCTTGAACTCCAAGACCGGCTACAATGAAGTTTCTTGCTGGGTTTTTTCCAAATGCCGGTTCAGGATTGACGCCTTGGGTGTCTCTTCGTCATCCTCCTCATCCTCATCTTCTTCATCTTCTCCCATCAAGGCAGTGGCGGCAAACTGCGAAAGAATCTCGCGCTCCCGCGCCACGTCTCTCCCAGACAATGACGTCGTGTTCTCAAACTCTCTGCGGGCCCTTTTCCCTCTGATGGTCTGCTTGGTAGGAGTCTGTGGAGGGCCACTGTACCCAATGAAGGGGCGGGGGCCGACAGGATGATGAACGGGGCGCTCGAGTGAGCGTGAGGCGACATCGAGATTCGCCATGTGGCGACGGAGAGGCCTGACCGAAGGTGAATCGTCCCAATTCATAAACTCATAAGCCTTATACTGTTCATTGTCTTCAGGAGTGGTTGGAGTGGCAGTCTCCATAGCGCAAGGGCGAGGGGGGACACTTGTATCCTTGTACTCAGCGAATGAATTGCTGAGATCACGCGGCGTGGCAGTGACGGTCCCCGACTGGCAATTTGTAGATTTTTTGGACGACTTTCCCTTTACGCCGAGAGCTAAGTAGTGCTTCGGGCTAGGGTCGAAGTCGAGTCTGTGGACAAATCCTGGACCAGGCTTGTTACCGTCAGCATCACAGAGGTTGGTCTCGGGGGTGCTGAGTCGTAAAGCCTTCAGGTTACGCAGGAGCTCGCCGGCTAACTGAACAGTCGGTCCTTCAGTGGTAAAGGGGTCATCAAAACTGCCAGATGTGGCGAATGAACCGAGTGTATCATGCATGTTCTCCGAGAGGCCAGTGGGAACGAAAGGCTTTTTCGAAAGGCCAAGGTCGGACATGGCACTAGAGCTCTTGACACCGGCTCGGCCCATACGAGAGATAGGTTTGAGAATTCTTCGTCCATTGTCAACAAAGTAGTTGTTGTCTTGCAGGTCGAAGTTGGCAGGCTGATGGCTGCCAGATGAAAGCGATTCGACAGACTTCTGAAAAGCTTGAGCCGCGGCTATCTCGTCTTTTTTCTTCCCATCGATCACACTTTCCATGGAGTCGACGGTAGTCCAAAGGAAATTGCGGGCACTATCGTGCTTGTTGTCTTCACCAGATGCCATTTTAGTGATCTGTGTTACGAGTAAAGTAAGTCGGAATGAAGTCGGAATGAAGTCGAAAATCCAAGGCCAGCTCTGACCAAAGTGTCAGTTAAGGGACAATAAAGGTTTTTTCTCGAATAGCTCACATATCAAAGGCTTTTTAGAAGACAGAGAGTATCGAGGCAAGCTCGAAGTCCAAAATGAAGAAGAAAATCAGCGAAGCTCATAAAGACTGTATGGAATTGTGGTTGACAAAGCAGCCCATATCTAGCCTGTGAGTCCTTTGGGCTGATATCAGGAGTGAAAGAAGCAGGTGAAATAGCAGTGGTCCTTGGTTAGAAAAAGCACTTTGGAGTTTGTTTAAATCCATCGTGTCGTGGGCCTACTGCCCTCCTTCGTTCAAGTTGGTAGTGTGTCTTGAAGTAAAAGAGCACTCAGCCATGGCCACATCGCAAGGTGCGCGTGATCGCACGATATCAAAGAGCATGAAAAATGCCTAGTAACGGATATCAGTATCACAGCAAGCCTGGTAAACATGCTGGCGGGTAAATATCTGCGTTTCAAATCACAATGAGAACCCGTCTACTTCAACTTCTTCAAGAATTCGACATTGATGTGTTAAATGTAGCGATAATGGCTGATGCCCTTCGTTTCAAGCCCCTTATTCTCGCCCATTTCACTGTGAAGGTTACAACAATATACCGAAGTAAGACAGGCCCCATTTCAATGTTTTATGATCCCATAACTTGCTGCACAAGAATCTCAGACACTTCTCGATGTCTCTACACATGTTACTATTCTCGTGAATGCATAAATTCTGATCACGAATTTACCACTGCTCCATGCCCTTATTTTCCTCTTTATGCCAAGGCTCTTTTTTGTATCTCGAAGCTACAAACATGGGGGGGGGGGGGGTGCACAGATTCATATATCAATAGCTTAACACATAGTTTTCAACCATCATGAATTTGTCTACGCTTCGCTAATAAAGCTTGTCAGGGGAACTCTCAAGGGCATCACATAAACCCTGGTCTAAGAGACTGATATCCCTTAAGCTTTGTTTAGTTGTATGGGGGTTACCTTGTTGTTTCCTGACTGGTCCTTGCAACCAACGGTTGGCGGTATGTTTGGCGACTTTATGTTAATGTTTACTCTAGCCCTTTTGAGTAGCTTGACCGGCGGGTGCAGCTGATCCTCCCGACATTTAGGCCGATGACATCCTAGACTCGGCGTATTACAGCATAACACTTGTCTGGGGAAGGACGTTGCCAACAGCAGGTTCAGATCGTCGAGACAGAGGAAACTTGCGGAGTCTCCGCAAAGGGACGAAGGTCTTTCTTGAATGCGGGGTGATGCGGGGCAGATGAGCTGTTGTCCTTCTCTCAGTGGTTCCCCCATCATCTAGTCAAGCCACCAGTCGGGCCGTTGGCTGCAGCCGAGCAGGGCCATGCATCTAGACCGCAGGAAGTGAACGTCCGTTAATAAACAATGCCTATTCTCCGCCTGACATCACCAATGACGGCCCGCTCAGCTACCCCAGCACATCATAGACATGGTCTTCTCTGCACATCATCGTCACGCTTTCTGATTTCTCCTACTAGTAGTGTTGGGCTACGCGTGCGGGGAAGCGCGTGAGAGCTTGCTTTTCGATTTGAATTCTGACGACAGCGGGCTTACCTCGCTCCATTACTCGCTCACACCACTCGAGAATTAAACCTTTTCACCAATTAACTTTGATGTCCTGGACACTACCTTCTCAACCAGGGAGTCCCGGCCTTCGCACACGAGAGACCGGATGACGTTCCCCTGGCCACCCCGCCCTTATCACACAGACAGTTTACGAAATTTGGACCATTATTTACAAATGTTGTACTAAATATGGAAAGGCATTGAGCTCTGTGTCCAACACGCCCTCGGGATGGACGGCTAGAAATGGCGTTGCCTCCACAGCGGGGGCTCGCTTTCTTCCGCTACCAACGTAGTGTAACTGTGAATTTTGGGATCTGCTGGTAGGCGCGACTATAAGAACCTCCTGCCAGTCGTGATTTTATGGTCATCTGCCCTTTTGTCAAGCTCGCCAGCGACACTCTTACAGCTGAAGAGTCACCATGGCGAGAACCATCTTTGTACTGGGGTTACTTGCGTCGACGGTCTCAGCTGCTGTCATTCGTAGGGACTATCCGAGCGACGATGCTCTCTCAAAATGCCCCGGCTACAAGGCCTCACAAGTCCAGACATCTTCGACTGGCTTGACTGCTGAGCTGTCTCTTGCTGGAGAGCCATGCGATGCTTATGGTATTGACCTGAAGGATCTGACTTTGACCGTCGAGTACCAGACTGGTAAGACTTGAGACCAGCTCTCGTCGATGTTTGGTTTTGCCAGGTGCTTATTAACCAATACCTCAGATACTCGCCTTCACGTCAAGATACAGGATGCCAACAACACCGTGTATCAAGTCCCTGAATATGTGTTCCCCCGTCCTGAGGCTTCCGGTGTCAATGTGGCAGAGTCTAAGCTGCAATTCAACTACACCGAGAATCCTTTTACATTTACAGTAAGCCGAACAGATACCGGCGAGGTTCTCTTCGATACGTCTGGCGCCAGCATCGTTTTTGAGAGCCAGTATCTTCGTCTGAGAACCAAGCTGCCCGATAATCCCAACCTTTACGGTCTGGGCGAGCATTCAGACCCCTTCCGGCTAAACACAACCGACTACATCCGCACTCTCTGGTCCCAGGATTCGTACGGCATTCCGTCAGGTGCGAACCTCTACGGCAACCATCCCGTCTACTACGAGCACCGCAAAACCGGCACACATGGAGTATTCTTTCTGAATTCCAATGGAATGGATGTCTTCATCAACAAGACAGAGAAGTCTGGCCAGTATTTGCAGTACAACACCCTTGGAGGAGTCCTCGACTTCTACTTCGTGTCTGGTCCCTCTCCCGTCGAAGTGACGCAGCAATACGCTGAGATTGCAGGACTCCCAGCCATGATGCCATACTGGGGCTTGGGATTTCATCAGTGCCGATATGGATACCAGGATGTCTTCAACGTCGCTGAAGTTGTACATAACTACAGCGTCGCTGAAATCCCGCTAGAGACTATGTGGACCGACATCGACTATATGGACAGGCGCCGGTAAGTCAACCTGGCATATGTTTTCACTTCCTGAGCATCTAATAATGTCAAAATTGTAGAGTCTTTTCTTTGGACCCCGAGCGCTATCCTCTTGAAAAGGTACGACAGCTGGTCGACAAACTCCATGAGAATGACCAGCATTATATCGTGATGGTGGACCCTGCCGTGGCCTACCAGCAGTACCCGCCCATGTTGCGAGGAATTGAGGATAACATCTGGCTCCTCCGCAACAACGGTTCTGTCTGGATTGGAGTCGTTTGGCCTGGTGTGACCGTCTTCCCCGACTGGTTTGCTGAGAACATCACAAAGTATTGGAACAATGAATTCGCCACGTTTTTCTCGGCCGAGAGTGGTGTTGACATTGACGCCCTCTGGATCGACATGAACGAGCCATCCAACTTCCCATGCTACTTCCCATGCGACGATCCGTACGGTTCCTCTAAAGGCTTCCCACCTGACCCGCCACCGGTACGAGAAAACCCTCGACCCTTGCCTGGCTGGCCATGTGATTTCCAGCCTCCAGGTACGGATTGTAAGACCCAGTCCAAACGCTCAGACCTTGTCCAAAAGGAATCGCCAAGAACGCTGCCTCTTGACAAGAAGTTCGATAACCTAGTCCTCGCCGAAAGACAGACTGCCGGTCAACGACAGGGCCTCCCCGGGAGAGACCTCTTGTTCCCCAAGTACGCCATTCACAACAAAGCTGCCTGGGATACTGAGTCCAATGCGGCAGGTGGCGGCATCTCTAACAAGACGGTGAACACGGACGTTATCCACCAAAACGGCCTGACCATGTACGATACTCACAACCTCTATGGCTCCATGATGTCCACGGCCTCCAGAGTTGCCATGGAAGCCCGCCGACCTGGTCTCCGGCCGCTGATCATTACCCGTTCGACCTTCGCCGGTGCCGGCGCAACTGTTGGACACTGGCTCGGTGACAACCTATCAAATTGGTCGCAGTATCGTATTTCCATCTCACAACTTCTGCAGTTCGCCTCCGTTTATCAGGTGCCTATGGTCGGATCTGATGCTTGTGGCTTCGGAAGCGACACTAATGAGCAGCTTTGCGCCCGTTGGGCTGCCCTCGCCGCGTTTTCGACCTTCTATCGTAACCACAATTCTCTCGATAGCATTTCGCAAGAGTTTTACCTCTGGCCGACTGTCACCGAAAGCGCCAAAAAGGCAATCGCCATCCGTTACCGACTGCTGGATTACATATACACTGCGATATATCAGCAGACCATTGACGGCACTCCGGTCATCAGCCCGCTCTTCTATCTGTATCCGCAGGATGAGAAAACCTTCGGCCTCGACCTGCAATACTTCTACGGCGACGGCATTCTTGTGGCACCTGTGACAGAAGAAAACTCCACATCCGTTGACGTATACTTGCCCGACGATGTGTTTTACGACTGGTACACCCACGAGACCATCCAGGGCAAGGGTGAGACCGTTTTCCTGGCGGATCAAGATTACACCACCATTCCCCTCTTCATCCGCGGTGGAACGGTACTTCCCCTGCGTGCGAACAGCGCCATGACCACCAAGAAACTCAGAGAGGAGGACTTTGAGCTCTTGATCGCGGTCAACAGAAATGGTACCGCTAAGGGCCAACTGTACCTCGACGACGGTGTTAGCTTGGAGCAAGCTGGCGTCACACACGTCACATTCGAGTACAAGGACGGCAAGGTCGCAGTTGACGGTGAATTTGGCTACAAAACGCCACTCAAGGTATCCAAGATTACGCTTTTGAGCGGTGGACACCAAGGTGGAAAGAGACAAGAGACGTCCAAGACGATCGAGGTCGACAAACCCTTGACTGGGCCCTTTGTTGTCGATATTGCTTAAACTGCGGAAACGAACCTTCAAGCGGCTCTGTATATATATATATATATATATATATATATATATTTCCTCTCTTCTTAATGTATATACTTAATGAAGATAATTATTGCCGTGGCTTGTACCGCCCACGTATCTCCACCAAGGCTTTGGGTGTGAGTGAGACCCTCAGATGCTAAAGAAACCCCTCTTCAGTTGACGGGCACAAAGATCCTATCTATATCAGCAACCCAAGATGAATCACTGCTGGCGATCTTAATGGTATTGCTCGAGCCGGCGTTGAGGTTGCAGAACAAGGAGCTGCTGCCCGGGGTCCCACCGACGGTAGGCAAGAACGAGACCGTCTGCGAAACACCGTTGCATGTCACCGTCGCCCACCGCTGGCTCGAGTCTCCGTTGACGTGCTTGATCCTCACGGTCGTGCGGCCGGATGACTGCACGCTCACATTGGAAAACTGCACCGCACCGGCAGCTGACCCGCCAAGGTATCCCGCCGCGGAACCGCCGCTGCATCCCGTGCAAGAGATGGTCTTGGCGCCGCCCGAGAGCGTCGCAGACTCGCCCTCGTACGAAGTCTCCGTCGGCCCGGGCGCCCAGGTTCCGGCCCCGACGTTGGGAACCCAGTTCACGTGGTCAGAGAGGGTGACGGTCGTGCCGGAGATGGTGAGCGGGAGCCAGACGTAGGTGCTCCGCATCAGCAGTTTGCTCACCCAGCGGTCGCCCATGTAAATCGCCATGTCACCGACAGGGAGAACGAAAGTGGTCTGGCTAGTGAATGTCTTGGAACCAACGGGTGCGAAAGTTTTCCAGGCGGACCACGGGCCGGCGAGAGAGGTTGCGTAGCTGTAGACCTAAATCGAGGGTTAGATGCACTGCGGGGAGAAAGACGGGTGAAAGTAGGGGAAGGACAAACATTGTCGTTGGGGTCCCAGCCAGTAAGCTTGCTTCCGAACATGAAATAATATCCGTTACGCTTGAGAATGGCCGGAGCCTCAATCCTGTCCGGCCAGAGATGAACAGTGTGCGTGACGTTGAGGTAGTCGGACGTGAGAGCATCAATACGAAGACCGTTGGCTCGCTGCGTATCGTGTTAGACCGGACTTCTACCCTGAGAAGAAGGCGGAAGATTAGAGAACGGGACGGAAAACTCACATCCTCACTCAAGAGGTAGGCGGACCCATCGTCATCCTTGTACAGCCCGATATCTCGACTCTGGAAGCCGAGTGGACGCCAACTGGCAAGATACGTGTACTTGCCGCACACGGTGTCCGAAGTAGCAACACCAACCTCGGCCTCGCCGTAATTGCTGCTGTCAATGTGCATGTACAAGACATACTTGCGCGTAGACTCGTTGTAGATGACCTTCGGCCGCTCGACGACTCGGCTGGGGCCGAGGTCGCCGCTGTTAGTACGCGAGAGAAGAGCTCCGACGTACGCCCACTCCACCAAGTTAGTAGACGAATAACAGTTAATGTTCTGGAACGCCGAGCCTTCGGTCTTGTCCTCGCCGATCATGTAATACGTCGACCCGACCTTGATGATGCCAGCGCCGTGCGCCTGGATGTGGCGGCCAGTGTTGGTCTGCCAGTTTCGTTCGGGTCAGTTCCAGCCAAACAAGATGGGAAGTGGCTTGACTCCTTACCGCCGTCCACGTGCCACCTGAAATGATTTGGAGCGTGGCCTCGACGAGGCCAGCCCCGGCTAGGAGGGAAGCTAGGCCGTTAAGCAGACGCATGATGGGCAAGTAACCGTTGTGTAAGCCCAGCTATGTCAATTGACCTCGCTGAAACACTGTCAGCCGTACCAAAGGTAGCAGAGGCTGTGAATCTCCAGAGCAACGAGCACCAAACTGAGCTCACATTAGAGGATATGCTGCGGTAGTTATAAGACTCCAACGCCAACCGCAATTTACCAACAACCGTGGACAGCGAGACACTAGAGTTCTCCGTTCCGGGATCCCCCTCCCCCCCTCTTATTCATACCTCTACGTCCGCCTCGTGTTCCATCAATAATCATTTGTCCATCTGTCTTCAGCCTGAGGACTAATATCAATCGGCTCTGTCGGGCGGATAATTTATGGTTCCTTCAATTGGAACCTTTACGCTTCATTTTCTTCCTGGACGGTGAGTGGCCAGCCAATATGGAGGTGGAGGTTGTGGGTGGCCCATGTGCTCGCCGTCAAAAGCTTCTCGGGGGTCTCAAAGCCGCCAGAGATTGCAACTAGCAAATAGAGTTACCATAAATAGAGATGGGCTGAATTCAAGTTGACAAGCAAGACATTAGACGAACACAATAGGCAGGTCATCTCATTTCCCCTCATCATGGGTATAGTGTGGACGTGTTGAAGCCATGCTTGAACCGACGACTCTCGAGCCCACCGGGCATCGGCTGATCTGCCGGGAGAGAACCACCGGGGTCTATTTGCCGAGGCCGCGCCAGGTAATCGAAGCTTGATTAACATATGCTCCCAGACAAATGCACAATGACATGGTAAAGGATCTTCTGGATGGCTCGTGATTCTTGCTGTAACTTTTCTTGCCCAGTTTTTAGTTCCTTTCCTAATCTTCTCCTTGAAAAAGACGCCCTTTCTTTTCTGTTTCGCACAGTTCCAATGATGCCTATCGCGACAAGCCAAACCGGCCGGTTTGGGAATCTCAGACTAGCTGCAACCCATAGTACCAAGAAGCGAGCTTTTTTTTTCTCGAGTAGAGTGAAAGTCATTCATATGTCTCATGTCAGTCGTTCCCGGATAACTCCTGCCAATCGTTGAAAACACGCCGTAGTATATAGGGTCGCGAAAAGTTCATAGCGCCGCGCCAACCTCCATCCAGAGCTGCGCCTCATGCTTCTTCCGTGGTACGGGCGCTAACTGTCCACTTCCATCTTGTCCTCTGTGGTGTCCCTTATTTCGGCCGCTATCTCTTCGGTTTCCTGTTTTGAATCTGAGAACGCCATTGACGTAGAATCTTTCGGGTCTCCTCCACTGACCGGACCGCCCACGCCGGTGCCGTTGCCAGCGCAAAGACGGTACTCGCCATCTTCTTTCCGCTCAATGATGCCTTCGTCAAGAGCCCACTTTGCTAGCAAACGATCCACGCCAAGCCGCTGGCCTTCGCCCTTTTCCATGTGCCTGCCAACATGTTCTGTCCACTCGTCCCATGAACCGGGTCCCTCGAAAACACTCTGGCAGTCGGGTTTCGGGCATGCGGACTTTTGAGGCGGTGACCGACGTGTGACCAGGCAAGTTGTCTGCATTTCCTTGACGTGACCCTCCCACTCGACCTGTAATTTGCTGTCACCTTTGGCAATTGCTTTCTTGATCGCAAATGGTGCGTGCATACGACGGAGATGCTGAGTGAAGAGGTCTTTTCGGTTGAACTCGTTTCCCTTGCCCTCGATCGTGCTCTGCGGACAAGATGAGCAGCGGTAATACTGTAAACAAAGATGCTGAGAGGCAATATGCCGTTTCCACTCGTTTTTCGAGCCAAATGTACTGGTGCAGCCCGCAAAAGAGAAGGCACAAGGGAACGGCCTGGTATGTGCAGCCGCAATATGCTTGCGCAGCGATGAGGAGTCTTTGAAGGGAGCATGGCTACACAGGGTACACCTGGTTTCTTGTTTCGGCGTTGCTTTCTGTATTGTTCTCCGCTGTTTAGGCTTTGCATTAGGGGTGCTCATATCAATGGAATGCATGGTGTCATCGGCTCCAGATTCGTTGGCGTCATGAGAAGAGCCTGTGTCCTCATGATTCGCAGGTATCACTCCGTCTGGCAGAGTTGTACGTTGTCGTTCTACAGCAGGCGGGGCCTCATCGCTAAGGTGGCGTACATGGCTCAAGGCCTTAAGCTGTTCGGCAGCCTCTTGCATCTCAGCCGAATCTTCGACATCATCTTTGCTATCAATTGCAGCTGCGACTGCTGCAGTGGCATATGATATGCCGGAGGGGGTGGTGTCTGAGCGACTGACTGCCTCATGATAGGCAGCGTCTTTGCTGTCAAGTGAATGTCGGTGGATAGCCGGTGTGCTTGCTGCCAATTCCCTTGCCTCCAACAAGATGCGGCCGTCTTCCACCTCTTTTGCTGTAGCCTTGATGCCGGAAGACCCCTTCAACTTTTGATACAAATGAATCATATTGTGTGATGTGATGTAGCCCAGGAAACAGCAAACCTTATCATGTTGTACAACATTCCAAATTGAGTGTGGCATCGATATCAGAAGCATGGTGGGCGGGCCAAGAAACATGCCCTCAACTTCGATCTTGGCAGCCAGGGGAGGCGTATTGTGCAGCCAGCCGTTGAAGAAGGACATATCTGGACTGGCATCCCCCACGAAAGTCGTGCATACCAGCACTCTCGCCTCATCGAATCGCAAATCAGTAACAGATTCAGGGTCAATAAGCTGGTCCTCTCTCGCTGTCCTTGACTGGGCTTCCCCGTCAGCTCCGTTACGCGGCGATTGCTGGGCCGTCCGAGCAGGCAAGGGGGCCAAGCTCAAACTTTGCCCCTTGCCAGGTGTGAGAGTAAAAAATATAGGAAGCTGAGATGCTGGAGGTGGAGTCTTGCTGGCACCATTGGTAAGTTTTGCGGACTGAGTATTTTCCTGCTGTCTCAGCAATACAATTTCCTCGTGTAATCGCGGAACACTGAAGGGTCTCCCAAGAGTGCTCAATTTATGCAACGCCTCAATTAAGTGATATGTGAAAGATTTGCCTGTGCTCTCTCGTGCAGTCAGTTCGGAGCCGCAAGCTGCAATGGCCTGCTTCACTCCATGACTGCCGGACACGGGAATATCGCGGGCGGTGCATGTGTCGAGCAAGAGAAGAATGTCAGATTGTGCATCTTCGAACAGGCAGCGGACACCGTCCCACTTGAGCTTTGCTGCGTCTTCTCGGTTGTTGCTATGGAGGAGCGGTCAGAATCCTGCAAGGGGGGGTTGCTCACAGCAGGTCCTCGACTCACCAGGCCCAGTAGAGCTGATTGTCTGCCCCAACATAGCCGTAACCAGCATAGTATATAATCAACAGATGGTTGTTGCGGGCTTGTTCAAGAAAAGAGGCCATTTGCACACCAAGCTTGATGCTGGGATTCGGTACAGTAGGAATATTCCATCGGTCGGTTCGATAGTTGTAGCGGTCTCTCAAGATGTTCTCCAGAGCTGTCAGATCAGCTTCGGTCGAGGTATCCTCCTCCCATCGTAACATTAGAACGGAGACGCTGTCATAGGGCGGGCGTTCGGTCTGACGCTGTATTAACATGGCGGCATCCTGGAGATGCCTCGCAAACGACTCGAAATCATGGCGCTCTGCTGGTGGGGCCTCCTGGACCTGGTGTTGCTGAGGCTGAGGGCTCAAGAGGTTAATTCAGGGGCAATTCGAGGAGAGTCGCACAAGGACGAGCTCACCGATTCGTGCGGGAAAGTTGTTTGGTCGGATTGCGATTGCTTCGGCATAAGGCGCCGCCTTTTGGACGGCTGAGATGGCTGCTCCATCTACAGTTGGGGTCAACGGGGCGACAGTTTGAACGGAGACTGGCTGGAATTGAGATTCTGTGCGATCATGGAAGGCACTCAATTATTAGGGACGGTTTGGGGATGTCTCAGAGATCGGGATTGGGGGCACGAGGAAGGGTTAGACGAGGCGAAAGATTGAGGTGGGAAGGCTTCCATCATTACCCAGCCTTTCCTCCCAGAGCTCTTGCGGCGAGGCTGCTGTCAAGACTGTTCTGGAACGTCGCTCTGATTGGTTGTGTATCACGCACGGACCTCTGTTCAGAATGGGGCTTTCTCTGCCTCTGGCGTCTGTCGCCCGGCCTGGCCGTTTCCCTCCTTCCTTCCTCCTCTCTTGAATGTCCCCCCCTTTCAGCACATACAATATAACCGGCCGACGAGCTTATCCTTAACGGCCTGCTGGCTGGCTATTTCTCTCACCCTCTGCAGTCCCCTCCTCGGGGCTAAGGTAGGCTGGGCTGGGCTTGCCCCTCCGTCCCACGCCTTGCCCTCCTCGGCGCCAACCGCCTTGTTCATTGCCTTCCACTGGTGCCACATGTCGAGCTTCTCCAAGTCATGCGGCAAGGTAGCTTCTTAGCTCCATTGGGCATGCGCTTGGGGGTCAGGCCATGACGGCTTCTTTTTTTTTTTTTTTTTTCCTCCCCTCGGTCAACTGACAGAATAGTGTAGACGAATGGGTTGAGGCATTCATAGACAAACAGATGGATGATTTGGACTGTTGTCATTATCTTCCAGGTGATTGACTTGAACGACAACACTATCTTTCTTGTCACCTATCACTCAATCTCACTGGCCGACCGACCGCCTTGGTCGCAGTGCCACACCGTGCCATGCTGGTATTATGCCATGCCAACCAATCTTGCCGCCGCCACGCACCACACACACATGCACGCAAGGTATCTTCGCCTTGTCGGTCTGACGATAGACCGGGGAAGGTTGTCGCCAATTTGTGAACGAAATGCCTAATCTGACCAGCTGGAAGAAAAGACAATCAACTAACAATGGTGATATGAGACTCCTGCTGCAAGGCCGACGACTTACACTCTCAACCTACATCAGCAAAGCATTACTGCATGTATCAAGTTCCCCACCCACCCAACACCTCATCACTCCCTTTTCTTTGGCCGCTGGCCAATTGACAGAGGGCAGTCACCGTCTCGCCAGTTTCCAGTCTCTCCGCCTTCCCATCGTTGTTGCTGTTCAGTTGCAGCCTCCCCAACTCCTAGCCGAAGGGAACAGATACGCGTCGTATGTGGTAGATCAATTTTCGTTCCGTGGACCGGTGTACACCATCAGACCGTTGATGTCTTTATCTAGTACGAGAATGTCAAACATGTGTATGCCTATTGAGGCTTCTGGATCGCCAAAAAAAAAAGAAAAAAAAAGTGAGACACCACAACGCACTTTGATTGGGTTCCCTGTCATCGCACGTAACAAAAACCCAGTGCACGAGCCCTAGGGGACTTTACTGATCGCTACAACCATTGTAGCTCCCCTCAATTGGGACAATCTTAACTTCTCGGTGCGGGCGCTGACGGCAGAGATCAAGGACCTTTCCCGGCAACAGGGGACATAGCTCCGAGAGCTTTGGCATAAGCTGAGCAGTTACCTGTAGAGTGCCATGCACAGCTGGGTCAGAAGTCATGCATCTCTCTTAAAACAATGCCACAGAAGGTCCGCAGAGCAAGAAAATCCTCTCGAATGGCGACCCATGTATCTAGCTTCAAAAAGGGCTTTTCTTCTTCTCCAAAGTTAGTGTCTCAAAAAGATAGACTCCCGTCAAGCAAGACACCCAAGCTTACCAGTTATGGCATCCAACTGTAGCAAATACTACTGTGACTGTTGAGTGGTACTACATCAATAGTAACAAACGACGCCACAAAATGGCCATAGGTGTTTCCAGTATAAGTTTTTGCAGATTATGTCTTTATAAACGTGATTACACCTTGTTGGAACGGCTTAGAATATGAGAGGTATTGTAGCACACGCCGATTGCCTTCCAACCCCGAGTCGGGTGTGGGTCGCCGGCAAAAGAGGGGTCAGTCCGATCCGCCGATTCCGCGTCTACTGAGCCGATGTGCTGCTTCTTACGATGTCACAGCTTCCAGTTCTGTCAGACCGAGGACCAAAATTGACGTCTCATCCATCAGAAGCTTAGCGGCCAAAACAAAGGGTGCCCGTTTCTATCACAGCTATCATTTTCATCGGTTACTTCCGGAGGGAGGCCTCAATCATGTGAGGCTTCTACAATACATCTGTCACTTCACCATTCCACAAATGTTTGCTGGAGCGCCAAACCGCTTGCTCGGCCAAGCTTACGGCTCCAATTTATCAAAAACCATATTCCAGGAAACTGGTTGCCGAATCAAACCATACCGGGGATATCCCATGGTAACAGGAGGCTATTGAGTAACAAAGTCCTCGATGTGGCGCAAGGCTCAGCCCAAAGTGAGTCGCATCACGAAGTTGGGCGTGTTGTGGGCCTCTGAGTCGGTCACCAAAAAACCTCGGGTACCGTCAGGGCTATTACTTAGTAATAATGCCCGGAATACTTGCTTACCTTTTTTTTCCCTTGCTTGGTGTGGAGTTATCCACCTTCACTTTTTGGAAACATGATAACAGAAGCAGGTTAAGACCCTCTTGCCAAGGGGACACATACGGAAGACGATGCAAGGCAAGTAATCACAGGAGGCAAGGGAACGTACTCCTGTCACACGAGCGCATGCAAGTGGCGACTTGAATGCCGGGAACAAGCCGCAAGGTGTATCTGTTATCGATGGTTTGGCTTGAGCGATCCCTTCAGGGCCATCCACGTCCAAGCCTTGCACAGCCACGCTGGTCAGAAGTTTCCAACGTCTCGCTCAATACCAAGTGCGCTCCGTAGCCAATCAACCCTCCAAAGAGGAGCTTTTTTCTACGGAGAAGGTGGGAGCTAACGCGGCCGGACGGCACAACAGCTGAATGATGATGGATGGCACTGCTGACGTGCGGGTATGGTCACGAGAAGGGGGTCTTTGGCGGCAGCCGCTAGGCGTGCGAAACGGTCAATAGGATATCTGTACTGTACCTCGTCTAGTGCACTGCAGCCCTGGAAAACAGCTGCTTCTTTTGGGAGAAACCACAGAAAAGCATGCCGACCAGAACCAACTACAGTGTAGGCATCGTATGGGAAGACATTCACCGGCGGCGGGGTCGTTCGCACCAAGCTAAGGGTTGCAGGTGCCAAGCAGCGCTTTTGCTGCCCCTGGAAGAGATATGGGGAAAATCCACTGCAGCTATCCTGTGCGTTTGGTCTGCTGAGGACACAAAGAGACAATGCAGCCGGCAATAGTCATCACGGACCCCGATGGCTAAGGATCTGTTGGGGTATCCTTGCCTGACGTATCCCTGTGTTATCTCTCTCTTTTTTTCTAAACCGCTTTTCGGAGTTTATGGAAAAAGTTTGGAGGTAAGACAAAGATGCCGAGCGTCTCTTGGCCTCGGAGCACAGGACAAGTTTCGCTACGCTTGACAGTGACTGCTCCATCGTTGATGAGAACACACGGAAGACTGCGGGGCGGTACTTCGATATGGTACTGGTTGGTCACCATGGAAGAGAGAAGAAAAGCTTATGGTTTAGCGACGTGTAGCAATCCTGTTAGGACTAATAATCCAACAGAAAGGACCGTTCTAGTGCAGGTCCCGGAGATCCCACAGCAAGGAACAAGGCCCCCGAACTTTCATCAGTGGGCGGGGTGTTCACAAGCTGCGATTGGGCTAAATTGCAATGGTCATTCAAGAGAAACTTTCTTCCCGGCGTCGTCTGGTCTCCATTTCGAGGTCCAGTTTCGGGTAAGGCGTTGCCAGATTGCCGTAAGATATAGCCTAAGCATCAACCGTCGCTCTGCCTTGCAGCGTGCCTTGTGTCTCTATACAGTGTCCGAGAGCTCTGTATGGATAGCACACGAGAGAAAGCGCGGGACGATCTTGCGTCTGGGCTAGGGCCCTGCAGGCTGCTGATTCGTGCGGCAAACCAAATGTTGGGCGCCGCTCGGGAGGCCTACGATGGGGTGCTCCATGTGTTGATTCATGTGGGAGGATAGCTGATGAAGTGCAATTGGTGTTGAGTCAACGAAGATTCTGGAGGAACCATATGGTGATCTGACAGGGTAGAGCGGGTATACATATTAGTGTGTAAGAAGCTGAGCTTACCTTGCTTCGTTTGCTTGCTTGCTAAGGCTGCAGGTGAGGAATTTGTGACCGCAGAATGCAGGTCTGCACCGTTCTTTCCTGGGCCGTCGAACAAGGGAGGCCGTTGGAAGCTACAAACTGAACGGGGCCCAGCAGGTGCCGTGACAGGGAAGGAACGTGCAAAAGTGACAGCTCTATGGCGTAGGTGCCTTACAGATCTACCTAGATAGAAGGTACCTGAGATACAGCGGATAGTGGAGGCAGGTGCCCAGTCTGCCAATGTTCCTTCCTGGGAAAAAACTACTCATGGAATGCGAGAATGCCTTTCGCTACTTCCGAGCAGGCTGCGCATCCATTACATACAACGGATACGCAATCCATAAACCAAGTCCGCCCGAAACTCCCGACTCCATAAACTCTGCCGGTGCCCTCACTTGCTAATCACGACCTCGAAAATTGTCAATTCGTCTTCTCGCCTTCGTCGCGTTACAACCTATTTTTACCAGGACTTCGTTAGCCCCTACCCTCAACACCTTCTCTCTACTAGTGGGGGGACGACCTGAAGATCCTCTCCGTGTTAGACTCGATTCCCGCCTCCCACTCACTCCAACTACACCATAGAGGGAGCCAAGACGTCGGGCCTGGTGTAAAAGGCGGCCTGCTATTCGCGCACTTTCATCGTCGCTTAAACAAACCCAGGTCATAACTAAATTAGCACATTGGCCGCTGTGGCGTCACACGCATTTACCCGTCGCAACTCACTGGCTTTGTCATAGTTGCCTTGCCGCGCTCTCTCTCTCTTTCTCTATCTTGTTGCCTTTACTTCGCCAGTCAGTACGAGAGCACAGCTTCAGTCAGCAGCTCTATACGCCCAACACCCGACACGCGGTAACCTGGATGAGACTGACCGACGCTAGAAAAAAGAAGAAGGGGAAAAAAAATGTAAGCGTCCCCAAGTGGGCAAGTGACAGGGTCGACAGGCTCCATTCACGATTGGGCGGGCATGGCAGGGTACTTCTGTCCAAGGCGCAAACCGTTCCTTGCGTCACCCTCCCACTCGTGATCAGACCTTACCTTGCCGCCTGCCACACCCTTACCTCTCCTCCCACTACCATTTACTTACACACTTGCACCTGCTAGTCTGCTTTCCTCGCACTGCACCGATTTTATAATACTCTCCATCTTGCAAAAACCAACGCCCCCCTTCGAAGCGGCTCCTTGCGACTGCCAAACAAAAGTCCTTGAGCGCAATCCCGAATTCGCAAAGTTACAAAGTATCCACCGGTCGATCGCAGCTAAGCTGGCGTACTCACGGGAGCCCGCGCAAGTCATGGACCTAAATGGGGTCAGGAGGAGGGATACCACCAAAGGGCCCCCCCTCCGCATCTTATCGCTAGGTAAGTCTGCTCGCCAGCACAATCCCTCGTTCTGGCGCATACTGCGAGCGGCGGTGCGAGACAACCAAAATAAACCGATGCAGTTGACTGACATACTTTGCGACAGATGGTGGAGGAGTCCGTGGTTACTCGATGCTTATCATTATCCAAGAGCTCATGCACCGTACCTACGTCGAGATCGAAGGAAGAGCCCCGCACCGAAACGAAATCCCCAAACCTTGCGACCACTTCGACCTCATTGTTGGAACGGGGACTGGCGGCCTCATCGCGCTGATGCTCGGTCGATTACGTCTAGACTTGGAGACGTGCAAACAGCTCTACGTGAGGCTTACACGTATGGTGTTTGAAACCGACAAGACTATCGCTGGGATCCCCTACCGATCAACTCTGTTCAAGGCTTCGAAGCTAGAGGAGGCCATCAGGGAAGCAGTCAGGGAGCACACCATTAATGAGAAAGAGGGCAACGATGGGACCGAGAACGATATGATTAGCCCTCTCAACTCGGCTGCTTATTCTAGCGCAGCCTCGGGCCCTCGGAGGCACAGTAGTAACGCGAGTACTGTTAGCTTTAGTGCACGCAGCCCACAGGCTCAGATGTCAAGGCCTGCATTCAACTCGCGTTATGGAAACCCCAATGCTAGGCTATACGACGCAAGAGAAAACAGGACCAAGACGTAAGTTGTCAAGATGTGCACACTTGCGATTTAGGTACAAGTCCATGGCCGACTGACATTCTTGTAGCGCTGTACTAGCAATGTACAAAGGTTCTCGCAGAGGGAGTCCCCCAGCTATTCTGCGATCCTACGACTCGAGGAGAGAACCCCCGCCAGAGTTCGACTGCAAAATTTGGCAGGCAGGTCGGGCAACTTGCGCCATCGGCCTCGCTTTCAAGCCGATTCAAATTGGTCAATCTGTTTTTCATGACGACGGCGCCGGCACCTTCAACCCTGCCCCGGAAGCTTTGGACGAGGCGGTAGTGAATGAATGGCCTGGCCGTGAGGTCGGCGTCTTCGTCAGCGTTGGGACCGGTAGACGACCGAAGGGTAGTGATGCAAACCAGCAAGTGTGGTACGAGGGCTTCATGGGAGAGTTTGCCGAGGCGCGTCGAAAGCTCATCTCTAAAATCGAGGGGTGTGAGGTGATCCACGAGCAGATGAGGAAGGACTATCTCTCAAAGAGGAACGTCAGTGTTGACAACTACTACCGTCTTAATGTGGAGGTTGGCGTTGGCGAGTTTGGTATGAACGAATGGCACCGCTTGGCCGACATCAGCACTGGTACACGGCAATATCTTCGGCGGGAAGCCGAGCAGAAAATGGTCCAAGGTGCGTCTGCGAAACTGGCCAAGATCCATAGGGCAAATATACGGTTTGCCCGTTTACCAGATGTTCCGGAGCTGGTCAAGTCCACTTCGGATGCTAGCGAGCCGTTTGCTGTAGAGCTGCCAGCCGAGATCCCTTCATCGTGGCCACCGCATAACACACCACCCAGCCGTCAGTCATATGAATCCGGCATGGAGAATTTGCATGTTCCTTCGCCTCTCAGCCCTTCACCGAGGAGCTCTGGCGAAAGACTGCATGCACCGGTCGCTGCACACACAGGAACACCCCCCGTCGGGCAACGACCGCCGCCACCACCAAGTACACATTCAGTGGGCACAAACGAAGACGAAGTCGACAGACTAGTTGTTACAGCGCCTACACCATCACAATACAGATATGCGGCCGGTGCGGATAAAATTGCTATCATGAGCCCAGACGAGTATCCCAGATGGCAAAGCCCACCACCAAACGGGCATGTACAACAACAATCACTGCAGCCACAGCGCATTCCACCACCACTGCCTCCTAAGACACCACTTCCAGAACATCAAACGGGCGGAAACCGTCGTCCAATTGGCGCTACCCCACTGCCTTACCCTCTTGATGATGAGCCTCCACCAGTAAATATGGCAAGGAAGCCAGACTACCGTGGGCGGTAGGTGGAAGGAGTCGCCCGACTGGCATATGACGACAGACTCCTCCCGTATAAGCATACAACCAGAAGAATCACCGGTCCGTATCTAATTATGAGACAATGAAAAGAAATGCATATCAGAAATATGCCAGTCACGCAGAATTACGAATTGGAGCAATGCGACAACAGGCGGTGTTTTATTTTCTTCTTTTTTTTCTATTTTTGGTCTCTTGGTTATGTGGACGTTGGTATCAGGACTTGGGATTTGTAGTAAAGATACCATTCTTAGCATACTGGATAAGCTCAGGGTGTCCTGCAGCGACACACAAAAGCTGGTCAAACTAATGAGATAATGTCGTTCCCCCCCCCCTTGTTTGGGCCGTCATTCGTGACTTCATCGTCTGATAGTCTCCCGGCGTTACTGCTTCTTAAACGGTGGCGAATCCCGAACACTCGGGAGCTAGTGGAACACTACGTCACGGCAATGTGGGCCTCGCTGATCAGCTGCCGGCCAAACTTCTATGTAAGGCATGTAAGCTTAAACCGCTTATCCTTCCAGTGCCAGAGTTCTTCCACGTCCATGATATTTCCGGCTTGCCCAGTTTAATGTACTGACGTTTCTTCCCCTAACCTCGGTTCCTTTCTACTTCACCATCTCGACTCCTCATCATCATACCGAATCTGTTGACCAGACTCGTGACTCCTCTGTCAATGACGTTTGATCCTACCAGACACTCAGCTGGTCAACGTGGCAGAATATAGCGCCCAGCCCCGAGGCGCCACTCGAAATCGCTCAAAGAAAATTACGTGAGCCCCGCGAATTGGCATTCGTTCTAAGGGCTTCCTACGTACACTTGACTCCCCAGGTGTTCAAGGATTGGATCGAGCAACGAGAGAGCGTTACAAGGCTGAGCAGCAGGAATACGTTTCCTAACCAGAAACATCGGACAGCGAACGGCGCTTACATGGCATGGTTTACGACCCAAGTCTCATCGTTTCTTATTCATGCGCTATAATACGGGCTGACGAGCTCAGCAAGACATTATCACTCTCCTGACTGGCACTTCACTATAAGCATGTACCCATAGGTCAAAGAGATTCAGCTGTCCCCTGGCTGTACAAAACTACATATCAGTAGCTGACTGCTGTGTCACGAATTCAGATGATAGGTTCGCAAGCTTTTGTTTCTTTATCTTTGTTGTCACCCCTGTTAAAGCTTTTTTTTCGTGGGGAAAGGGAATAGGCATGTGCCACTGTTCCGTTGCCAGTAACTACAGTTCAAGGGGTACTGCATGCATTCTTGATCCAGAACATGCTTCTCGATACGATTGATTCGAGTTGGAATTCTTGAGGCCATCATCGTTTACAATTTGACAAACTATTGACGCGGCCTTCACTGGTTCGTGGGCCTTGGAATCCTAGTCGGTGTTCGCCGGCGGTAGAATGTGACAAGGTCGCAGGCTTATTAGGCTGGATGAGACATGCCTGTCTCTATCAGCTGGGTGAGAAAGAGCCAAACCAAAAGCTCGATCTGCTAATGGACGACTAGAATTTTCAAGCTGGGCTCTTGTTGCCGTTTTGAGAAAGAAACGGTCATTCGACGTTGCGCGGCGGTGAGCTTCAGGTGTCCCTGATTGACATTTACAGCTAATTCAGCCTCCTTACGGGCTGGCGACGCCAGTCTCCTGAAGTTAGGCGCAACGCAAGGCAACAGTTGGTGATACACTGCCTGTGGCTGAATCTTAATGCGAAGGAGATGGTGTCCCAGCGACTGGTAGCCTTAAATCATATTCGCGGGCTAGTTCAGTACCTCGTTCTCTAACCCATGCTATCGCACACATTTGTCAACTCAGGTTTCTGATTAGCAAATTTGTCCTGAAACCCCTTCTCAGTCGACATAATCTGACGCGACTGGCTCTCATACGTCTTAGCATTATGATGGAACCATTCAGGCGTCTTCGCACTAGCGAATCAAGCTAATGCAGATTGACCAAACCACCACCCCGGAAGATGCCACTTGTGGCTTTTCCTCAGCTCCGCTAATCCAACGCTAGACTAAACGTGTCAAAATCCGACGACTTGCAGGCAAGCCTCCTTTTCTTGTTCGGCGACCATAGAGGCACCTTCTGCTCAGGGCCCGCCCCTGACCCTTTCAAGTCCTTATAAGTCAGCCCTACGGTCGAAGGTCCCAACGTCATGGATGTGGTTCCTCAAGGTGGAACAGGACCAGGTGCCCCGAGGATAGGGGAAGGTCGCCGCATTCAGAACATGTCCGAAGGGTCGCAGCAACAGCGGCGGGCATCGCGCAATATGCGTGCCGAGAGAACCACAACGTCTTGCGGAGAGTGTAGGAGGCGGAAGCAGAAGGCATGTACACCACGTTAGCCACTTTCCTGTCTTGGACGGGTCCTTACGTCCTTGTTTTTTGTCCAACTATCGAGGCCTAAGCTGTGGGATGAGACCAATTGTTCTTGGTGATCCCAGTAATCCTCGAGATTGCAAGAATCGTATGACTGACAGCCAGCCAGTGCGATCAACAACAGCCATGCGGCAACTGCCAGCGGCGGTTCCCTCAGCCAGTATGCGAATACCGCATAGGGAAGTGAGTATCACAAAACAATGGCCCATTCCCTTACCGAAGCTTCGTGTTGTCTTGGGTATGGTCTAACATTGCGTGGTCCCAGCCGGATACCTGGGACATCAACTTTTCCGGCACCAGCAAGAGCTGGCGGACGAGGCCTAGCTCGCGATCTCTCAGATTTAAACAGTCCTCTAATAGAAATATCGCGACTCCAGGGAACGTCTAGGCCTGCCAACGCACGTTGGCCAGGGGCCGCTGTTACGGGATCTCTCTCGGGGTTCGATGCGAATTTAACGACTACCGACCTCTTTCAAGGCAGCAAGCTAGCATGGATCGCGGACAGGAGCATCGGGTTGACAACACCTCCATCACGGCTTAAACTGATACTGGGCGATTCTAGCTGCATGCTTGATTTAGATCCCTTCCAAGCCTCCCAACAGGTCCTTACGTACCGCCGTGCATTCCCAAACCTAGTTCTTGGAGCTGAAAATGACGACAAGAGAGAAGAATGGACTACTGACGACGATGTAATACAAATAGTCTGGGCCCATTCCGCGCAGACAAGGCCTCAACGGCAAATAGGGGACATGGAAGATCAGTTTGGGCATCTGCCGATAGCTCAGACACCGCTCAATAAGAAGCTTCTGAGAATTTGTGAGCCGCCTTCTTTCTTCACTTATTCATACGCTGGCCTCCAGGATAAGTCAACAAGACTCAACGAAGCTAATGACATTCCCTGATACAGACTTCACCATACTCTCCCGCTTCAAGGCGTCTCTGATCGGAGACCCAGACCCCAACAACCCATTTGTAAAGGTTTATGCCCCATTTTGTGTCCAGGACCCCCTCGTCGTACAAATCATCATGTACGCCTCAGCCTGCTACCTACATGAGACTGGCCACCTCCCGCGGACGGCCCTAATGGCCAATAAGGGCCGCGCCATCCATATGCTGAACCAGCGGATCAGTTTTGGCCAGGCCACCACCTCCGGCAGTAGCAGCGAAAACGCCGGCAGAGGAGGCGGAAGGACAGGAGACGCGGCCGTTGCAAGCGTCATTCAGCTCACCGCCGCCGAGTGGTACTGGGGCGAGGCTGAAGAGGACGTCCGGCATCATTTCTCCGGCTTACGGGACATGATTCGAATCCGCGGCGGTTTTGATCACCTAGGGATGAATGGCATCTTGGCGAAAAACGCAATATGGTACGTTAAGCTTGGAACATTCATATTTACTGCCCTGGGCTCTTTTCTTTTACTTTTGGTCTATTCCCTTCCTAGGTTTTGCTCAATTCTTATTTTTATTCGTCTCTTTATTTTGCTTTTTTTCTCTTCATTTTTCTTTTTTCTTCATTACCCCCGGCCCCTCGCCTTGGTATTACGAACCGTTCGTTCGTCTGACCCTCTTTCGTCTCTTGACTCGTAAATGGGTCTTTTCTTTGCATTCGACATGCCGGCGGACTTTTGAATGTCTTGGAAGTGCGCTGACTGACTCATTTGTAGTCACGATGTCTCCATAGCACTCGCGCACGAAAACAGCCCACTGTTGCTGTCCCAGCCCCATGAAGGCGGCGGAGGCCCAAGTCAGCCGTGGGCGGCGGACTACGCCTTCGCCGACCCTATAAAAGACGTGCCCTTTCGCATGTCACACTGCACACCTTTCGTTCACAAGCTAACTTCCGTGGGGACGTTACCGACATTTGCCGAGTGCGCGCAGTCCCTTGGAGTCCACCGGGCGACGGCATCCATACTTGACAATGTGAGGTTCCTCTTTCGGGCCGTAGAGGCAGCGTACGCGACGACAGAAAAGACGACTACCGATCCGGCTGGCGAGCGAACGACGAGAGCGCCGACCAAAGCGGCATCGCGCAAAGTGCAACTCACGGGAAAGTACATTCATGAACACATTCTGAGTTTGCATCCTACGATACCGGGACATCGACAGTCTTCGCCAGGCGTATCGACACAGGGAGGGAATTCCCCAGGGAGCAATTATTTTGCTGGCACAGATGAGGAATCTATTCGAAGCGGCAGCATATCGAGCACCGGCACAGCCGGACCTGGTTCCGGCGGCCTAGGCCGCTCACCACCGGCGGCGGGGTCAGACTCCACTACGACACCGGACACTAGCAACTCGCCGACAAGCCCTCGATCGATAGCGGCGCCATATCAACAACACCAGCACCAGCAAAGCCCTGACTACATGTACCAGGTGATTCGAGCCGCTGCCATTGTCTACAGTCGGGCTATTATGGACCGGGTACCGCTGAGCGTCGCATGCACAAATACTGAATTTCTGCATATTTGGACAACGACGTGGCGTGTACCGCTGCTGACATGGAACGGCGCGGTGAGTATCTTTCAATGGATCATGCTAGTCATTGCACCTGCTTGCCACAAGACACCGCATGCGCGGTTCGTCAAGAATATGCTCATGGTCAGCACGCTCACACTCGGGGTGGACAACTGGGCGGTGACTATCGACGCCGCGAGAGCCGCCATTAAACTGCAGCACTGGCTCAAGGGCGAAGACACGGAAGAGGAAGAAGGCGAGGATGAAATGGGAGAAGGAGAGGGAGAGACAGAGAGGGGGGGAGCAGGGCGGCGATTCCCCGGACGCGAAGAGCGGTGAACGGGCGTGGGCCATGGCCCCCCTCTCTCTTTTTCTCTCTTTGGCGACCTGTAAGGACTATTTCTCTGGGCAATTTGGTGTCCCGACTGCAAAACGAGAACGAGGACGCTCGATGCTTGCAACGCGCAGAACGACCGACAGACAAATACAGCGAGGCGTAAGAGATTTCAGAAGTGGGACAATCCACTGACGAGCGGGTTTTACTACATACAGCATGACGTTTTCCAGCATAAAGGTCCAGAAAGTATCTGCAAACCAATATAGGGACTTGTGCTCTAGGGTGCCCGGGTGTTACAACTAGCCACGAGGTATTGAAGACAAATACCTACTACGGCAATATGTCTTGCCGGCGGCAACACACGTAAGAAGGCGTGGTTGTCCGTGGACCAGCTGGCTAGCTTATGCAGCTGGCGGGGATACTACGATGGACTTGCATAAGATGACATGAGGGAAAAAAAGAACGAGAGGGCAGGGTAGAGAACAGGGCAGGGTACAAGGAAGTTCGTTTGGGATCACGATGGCTACAACGGAAGGCTACCTTGCCATAACGTCGTCATTTCACCCCATCACACATCCCTACACGATCCGACTTCCGAAATTACTCCTGGGGAAGCGCTTGCACCTTCCGCGGACAAGGTGAAGGGGTGGTAGTCGAGGAGAGAGATGTGAACGTGAGTGCGTGGAAAGGAAAAGGGAGGGTGGTTGGAGGGTACGAACAGCGTAAAGGGGGAGGGTGGAAAAGGGGAGGAACAGGGGAAAGACTGGTCGGTGAGATTGCTGCGGCTCTGAACTCTAAAGAGTGGGTGATGATACCAGACCCCCCTCCCTCCTCACTGTCTTCCTCTTCTTACCCCCCCTCCCCCTGGGTGCACGAGAAGTACACGGAGAGTTCCAGTGTGGTAAAGTAATCCGGGAGGGTTGGTGGGCACCCAGGAAACGAGCTTCTCCCTTGACAGTTCAAGCCGATGCGACGCTGTCCACGTTTTTGACGGCAACATGTAACTCGCCGAAGCTTGGACGAGTAACGTTCAGTATCCCGCGAAACGGATGACCGCCCTGCCCGGGGCCCATGGCGAAGGACATGCAACGCCGTTGTCGTTCTTCCGCCTGCGGGAGCCACGTGGGCTGTCCCAGAAGCTGTACTGAAGAACCTAAACCGTCTGGCGCCGTTTCCAGTTACCACTCCGCTGGGGACCGCACAGAACGAGATTGACCGAATCCGGTTGGGGATTGGTTGTGCGGCATTGGTGGCGTATGAGTTTGTGCAAGGCGACGACGACGCGACAACGGTCGATGGTACGGTAATGTTGGCGGAGACAGCGGGGACACAGCGTCGCCATCTTCATGTTGCTGGCCTCATCGGGACGGTCATGGGCAGAGGCATTATCCGCACCGGCCTAGACAATGCCGGCCCGTCTCGCACCCACAAACCGACTTGACCTGGTCACGAACTTCGCTTTCTGCCTGGCCTTCCAGTCTTTTCGGTTGTTGGTTGCCATCTATAGCCCGGGGCACCTTCAAAGCTTGATGTCAGAGGCGCCAGGCTCTAATGTCTGGCGGCGTCGATCCCGACCGGTTTGCTAGGTAACCTTGCCATGGAAGGCCTGCCGGTACAGGAGATCCGCAGATAGCGCTTCCGGACTGAGCAGGAAGGGTAGATAGAGTACGGGGCGGCATAACGAGCAGATGCCGCTGTAGTTGTGTATGCCTTGGAGCTATCGTGCCGCGAATGCGGTGAGTGTGTCAGAAAAAGTGAAAGTGTATGTATGCGTACCACACTTGGCAAAGTCACGCAAGCGTTGCGTTTTGAGATGGCAACCACAGCGAAGCGAGGCGGGTTTCTGCAGCATAGCGTGTGATATGGGTAGCTGCACGCTTGTTTGTACACTCGCAAAGGGACATGTGTGTCAGTGTGACAATCCTTTGTTTTTCTCCCCTGGTCTGGGTACAAAAAGTAGCGACGATGAGAAAGGTGGTGTTCGTCAAGGCCCAGTCCCAGATGGGGGGTGAGGGGGCCCCCCAGATGGTGAAATAGAGTTTAGAATCACGTTCCACAGCACGTTTCGAACGAATCCCTTTCCCAATCAGAGGTGACGGCGACTCCACGCAGAAGGACCGCCACGTCCTATGTACATGTCAGGATATCCTTTATCCTTCTTTTTTTGTGTTGTACCTTGCGGTTTGCGCAAGGTAACTTCCTTGTGTGTCTGTCACCACCCACCATGATCGCAGTGTTGTGACGAAAAAGAGAAAAAGACCAACAAAGATGAGAGCTGCCACCCCCCTCCCTACCTTTTCCCCCCTCTTCCCGCCTCTTTTTGCCGCTCAATGGATGGGGCCAGGGTTCCCGCGTACCATTGTGGACGGCAAGTACGCTTGATATTTTGGCTTCTGCCCTGCAGTTTTCTCGTCTAGCTTACCAACGAAAGATGAAGAAGATGAGATCCATATGACGATGCCATGCATGCCAACAGAAGTACATGCTTTTCACTTACAGCTGGCCACCTTGTCTCGTACTTGACGCGACTCGGTATCCCTCCAGTTATGATGAAATCAAATCTCATGCCGTAAGCCAAAAAGGAAAAGAAAGTGAATTGAGCCCATCCCCAATTCGTCTCGTATCATATTGGACTAAGCCGGTGTTCCTGGCACCTCATCAACGACCCGACTCAGGAAAGCCACCTTACTCCGTCATTTGTTAGTCGTGCCACCTCTACTGATTGGTTGCTCCCTTGCATTGCACATGTTTTGGATGCTGCTTTTGCCCTCCAACGGGGTTCCTAGCTCTTTTTCGAGAACTTTTTGCACCCGAAACTTAGTTTCCTTCTACAACAATCTTTTTTAGTTTGGGCGACTTGTTCGCCTCTTGTAACAAGAGATGATAACACACAAATGATCCATGACCATAGAAAAGTAGTGTCGTCCACATGCTATGCCCATCCAATAAACTCCGCCTCCCTCCCCCTCCCCCTCCCCCCATTACGCTATGATGTCCCGCCGCTACCCCCCCTTCTCTGCCCTCTTTCGGCTAAGGTTCTTCTACAGGGGCTTCTGGTGCTCTTCCATTTGTTCCATGACCACCGCTCAACCTGATGCAAGTTGACGGTTTATTTTCGAATCTTTTGTCCTTCTCATGTGCTTGCCTCTCTTGTCTTCTTTCGCGGTGATCACTTCTTCGAGATGAGCTCAGTGTGGGTCCGGTACTTGGACACCTAGACGTCAGCAAGTCCCTCCTGTAGTGAGAGTACATGGCTCGTCAAGGTTTGCTGTGAGCGCGGTACGTATTACTACGCAATATTGCTCAACGCAATGTGACTGGCTGATAAGACGACACCCCCCATCTCCCTACTGGTACTGCATCCCCAATGCATACTTTCTTCCTGCACTTCTCTCTCTCCCCCTCTGACCCTGTCCACTCGGCCGGCGGGCTGGACCCGACATCGGTGTCGGCCATTGGCCGCAAGGTCACCGATCCCTTGGACGCCGGTGCCGCTGCTTCGGTGCCAGCTGGTCTCGGCTCACGGATTAGAGATAAGGAAACATGAGGTGAGATAAGGATTCTGCATCCATTGTTTGTTCGCTCCTTGTCTTGGTTTAGCGCTATCGACCCCCCAAGCACCCGAGATTAGTATTTCCGGAATCTTTGCGGCTCTCTGACGCAACTCTTCCTTTATCTTTAAAAAGTCGCCGCAATGGAAGTAAAAGCTTGAGGCCATGGAACGGTAGATTGGCAGCAACTGCGCAAGATGCCGACCACTTGCTTCTTCGAGGTATCCTACCTCAAGCACTGCATCAGTTTAGACTGGGCCGTTTGTCCTCCGCCACATGAACCAGCCACTCAGAGCCATAGATCTGATGGCCGTTGCGTTTTTTTATTCCCTCTTATTTCTCTTTCTTCTTCTTTTGCATGTGTAGACCCTCGCAAGCGTTCAAATTAAAACATGTCTATCGGGAATGCATACTTATCGCTGTCCAATCTTGGGCCGCTGATTGAGGGGCAGGAGAGGGGGTCTCCCCGCGCAGCATGAGCCTGTCATGTCTCGTCTGAGGCGACGAAAGTCAATTGTTGGCCATTGAACGGTCGAGTTGCTGGGTTACATGTGCCAATTGGCTCTTGTCAGCTATCTCTTGTCTCGAGACTTGAGACGAGCAGGGAGATACGGTGTCGGGGATGAAGTTTTGAAAAAGTGCCGTCTACAATTAATGCTAATACTTCTCTCGTCGACGCTCTTCTCTGATATTTGACTTGACCGTCTGAACATCTGTTCACTCTTATTCTTTCATGAGCCATTTTAGATTTGCAAGCAACACGTTGGTACTTCGATTGAACAACAAGCCTCTGTCCGTCTCATCTGTTTCGTGCGAGGCTTGCCTCGATTCATGCTCTTCATCAGTTTGATTACCCTTCGGAAAAGTATTTCGACGCTTGCTACCCCTTTTATCCAATCCGATTCCCTCGACGAATACGAGACGCTACGGTTTTAATCGAGCAGTGGATAAAATGCTAACCTTGTCGTCTTCCGACACGTCGACGGGGATGGCAATGCCACCTCCGTCCGAGACCACGGCCTTGCTTCCGAAGCCCCCGGGCCCCGCCTCCGAGGAACCCTCCCCAACTCGCCAATGGCTGGCCGAGATCTGGCTGCTGACCAAGGCCGCCGTCCCGGTCATACTGGCTTACACGCTGCAAAACAGTCTGCAGACCCTTAGCGTGCTCATTGTCGGAAGATTGAGCCCAGAAGCGCTCGCCACCGCTGCATTTAGTTACATGTTCGCCATGGCGACTGCATGGCTCATTGCTCTGGGCGGCACAACAGCACTGGATACGCTGGCATCGAGCAGCTTTACTGGATCAACGAACAAGCACGATTTGGGTATTTTGTTACAGAGAGGCATACTCGTCCTGTCTGCGTTTTATACAGTGGTGGCGTTTTTGTGGTGGTTCTCCGAGCCAGTCTTCCGGGCGTTGGGGCAGGAGGAGTTCGTTTGCGTGCAAAGCTCGGCCTTTCTGCGATGTCTAATCCCGGGCGGGCTGGGATACGTCTGGTTTGAGGCCATGAAGAAGTACTTACAGGCACAAGGTGAGTAGAGGTCCCTGCATGCAAGCACCAGCATCCCCACTAATACCTTGGGCGTAGGCATTTACCGCCCAGGAACATATGTGCTCTTGATTACATCCCCAATGAATGCTGGTCTGAACTACCTTTTCATCCACACGTTCGGCCTTGGATTGTACGGCGCCCCTCTTGCCACGGGAATCTCATATTGGGTTTCTTTCTTATTACTCGTGGCATATGCAGCATTCGTGCGCGGCAAAGAGTGTTGGGGTGGACTGCAGCCACGAAGGGCCCTCAAGAACCTTGGGCCATTTGCAAAGCTGGCCATTCTGGGTGTCATTCACGTCGGTACAGAGTGGTGGGCGTTTGAAATTGTGGCCTTGGCCGCCGGAAGGCTCGGTACTATCCCTCTTGCGGCGCAGTCGGTTATCATGACTGCGGACCAAATTATCAATACTATACCCTTCGGCCTTGGGGTGGCGGCTTCGACAAGACTCGGAAACTTGTTGGGTGCGCAGAAACCCCGGGATGCAGCGAGGGCAGCGCATGCTGCAGCTGTGCTGTCTGTGATCCTTGGGACCCTTGTTCTCATTATCCTGATGGCGACCAAGGATGTATTCGGCCGCATCTTCAACGACGACGATCAAGTGGTCCGGCTCGTAGGTGAAGTGATGCCGTACGTAGCTCTGTTCCAGATTGCCGACGGCCTCAATGGATCGTGCGGCGGAGCGCTCCGTGGAATGGGCCGCCAGTGGGTCGGAGCAGTGGTGAACCTGGTCAGCTATTACGGCGGGGCACTTCCGGCTGGAATATACCTCGCCTTCCACGGCTGGGGCCTCGCCGGCTTGTGGATTGGACAGTGTGTTGCTCTATATCTCGTCGGTGCTCTGGAATGGGCCATCGTTGGATTCAGCAAATGGGACAAAGAGTGCCAGCGAGCATTGGACCGGCTAGATGACGACAGCTGTGGCCAGGGGCAGGAAGCTCCCACTGGTGGTGTGGTTTAACGAACTATAAACGGCCTTAGTGCTGGGTTGCATATGAGGGGATATGTACGAGGTTAGAGCCACGCGGCCTGTAATGTCTCGACTGGCCCGGCTATGGGACGGATTTTGGCTTGTTGGTAGTAAGGCGCATGAGATGTCTCTTCTTTCCTTTTCCTACTGTCTGGTGGAAGGAACCGTCTAAAACATGTTGAGTCATTCGGTCCCTCAAGTTTAAATAAAGTAAAACAGGGCCACTACTGGATATATGATACTAGTACAAAAAATGAAAAGAGAGTAAGGAAACGCTGCTAGGGTCGCATGGCCCTGGTTCTGAACATCCCAACTGTTAGACTTTCTTAGAATAGTTAGGCACCTCTGGAGAACAGCAGTTTGGCACCACTTTCGCTCGACCATTCCCTTAACAGTATCCTCTACAACCGCCACACATCTGTGTTAGTGTCTTCCAATCATCCAATCTCTCGGTTTTCTGGGTGGGGAGCAGTTGTGTCACTGTTGGCTAGACCCCGCCATTGACCCCACTCTCACTGAGAAGCTCCTCAAGTATTGGAGGAGAGTGACGATGATGGCATCGAATTTCGGCCTGGCTACTGCAGCATGGAGCATACCAAGGCACCCAGAAACGAAGGAAACGGCTGCTTCAATGCCATCGACTGCGTGAGAAATCTGCAAGTGAACTTGACGGAGCTTTCTGGTTGCCAATAAAAAAGTATCAAACCCGCGCCTCCCTTGCCAGCGTTGAACACTTCATCCCATCCCTTGTTCCAGAAAATAAAATAACGAGCACACAAGTCGAGTGCCCGAGACTTTCTCGCCCATACATTTCCAGCCCACCTGCTGCTAAAGGACGACATATCACCATCACAGATCAAAGTGCCCAGCAATACGCAATCAAATCCATAACCATGGCCCCCATCGGAGTCGCTATCGTCGGAGGTGGCATTTTCGCCAAGGAGCAGCATCTGGTATGTAGCTAACCCCAGCATCTATGCGTGCAGGTACCTTTGCTCACCAACATGGCATATGTAGCCTGCCGTTGAGGCAAGCGATCAATTGGTACTCAAGGCCATCTACTCTCGGTCCCGCAAGTCGGCTGAGGATACAGCAAGTCTAGTCACCAAATCCGGAGCTGCGCCTGACCTGTATTCCGATGACTCGGGAGCCGGTAATTCATTCAAGGACCTCCTTGCTCGCGACGACATCAAAGCCCTTATCCTAGCTTTGCCCATCATGAGCCAGCCCGAATATATCGAGCAGGCTCTCGCCGCTGGGAAGCACGTCCTGGCCGAGAAGCCCATTGCCGCCGACGTTGCACGGGCCCGCAAGCTGATCGATTATTACAAAAAGGTATCCGCCGAGAAAGGAGTGACATTCGCGGTGGCCGAGAACTACCGTTTTCAGCCCCGCTTCACCGCGGCACGAGACGAGGTGCAGAAGCTTGGGAAGGTCATCGGCTTTAACGCAAGAATTTTCTTCTTCGTGGCGTTGGGCGGCAAGTACATCGAGACGGCGTGGCGCAAGAAGCCTGACTACCAGGGTGGTTTTCTCCTTGATGGTGGCGTCCACTTTGCCGCCGCCCTCCGGCTGCTTCTCGGCAGAGAGGCAGCCCCGGGTTCAGTAGCGGCATTCTCGGACTTGACCCGGGAGCATCTTCCTCCTATTGACACCGTCAACGCTATAGTGAAGACCAAGTCGGGCGCCACAGGTTTCTTTGCCGTCAGCGTCGGCTCTTCGCTAAAAAGTTTTGACTTCCAGGTTGCGTGTGAGAATGGAAGCGTCACTGTGTCCAGCCACGACCTCACTGTCGCACCTATGGATGGCGAAGCACGGACAACTCACTTTGAGGAGACGACTGGTGTGAAGGAAGAGGTCAAGGCATGGGCCGAAGCCCTGTCTACAGGAAAGCAAAACCCGCTGCAATCGCCTCAGGAGGCACTGGCTGATCTTGAGTTCCTGGAGAAGATATTCAAGAGTGGTGAGCAGGATGGTGCGCTTCTCGATTTGGAGCTTCAGCAGTAAGATAGGGTACATTAGGGGCGGGCAATCTCAGATAAGCTCTGGGGACTGGTGGGTGGGCGTGGACGATAGAGTTCAATTTTAGAGCTTGTTTTCCCTGTCCACTACAAGAATTCGCTCCAATCCCCTCCGCAATTCATCGCTCATTCCAGATACGGTTGGACGGCCGGTAGATCTTTCAACAAAAACATGGACAAACTCTCCGACTGCTCTCACCTCGCTTATACCCTTTTCAAAGAGAGCAATCTCATATGTCACGCTAGACTTGCCCAACTTGTTGACGCGGAGCGCTAGTTCAGCAACAGCGGGGAACGAGATGGAAGCAAAGTAGTCGCTATGTGAGTGTACCACAAGGCCGTACTGCTTAGACTCTGAGGGCGACAGATTACAGTGCTCAATCAGGTACGTGTTGACTACCGAGTCATATCTGCAGCCTTTAGTCTGGATACCTTAGAAGCAATGGTGCTTGGTTCAGAGTCATACAGAAAACTGTAGATACTATTATTCATGTGTTGATACATGTCATTATCGGCCCTGTAAGACATCATTATTGACTGTTCAGGCAGCATGGAAGTAGTGAACCCAAGATGTGATGAGAGAATGACGAAGGACGGCCTACTACCATTACTGGTAGTCTTCTAGAGAGGGAGGGGACGCGCTGGTAACAGTGCAGGGCATTAAAAAAAAGAAAAGAAAAAACGGTAGTCTGAATTTAGTGACGCTGGTCTTGAAGAAGTATTGTTGAAGGCGAACCGAATCCAACCAATAAATCATTCATCTCATCATTTCAACCATTTGCATACCGTCAGACAGGATGGTAATGAGAACGGCAACGGTGGTGGTACTTGAAGCACCGGCAGTGATCAAGTTCAAAGAAAACATGCTTACCATCGCGTCCGGTAGTCTAAAATGTAGCGGTAATCCTCCCTCCGACGGTCCTTGAGCTTCGCGTTGCCGGTCATGATGACCAACTGAAGGAACAAAAACGAGAGAGTGGATGTAGATGCTAGAAGATTGCACTAAAGGATGGACAGGGACATCCACAATGCTGACGACATAGAATCTCCTAGCAGTAAATAGAGAATGGCTGTTGATCGGCAAACTTTTGGATTTTGAATTCCGGTCAAACTTGTTCTTATTCAAACCTTAAGTGGAAGGGTGAGGAGAAGGACTTCAAGAAGCTCTTTCAAAGCTTTGTACCAAGATGTGTGGGGAAACCGAGGATCTACTCCAGGCTCCTTACCCCAGGCCGAGGCAGCACCCCAAGAGACGACGTAGTGAATCACAACGGAGTCGGCATTGTTTGATAGGTGGATCGTAGACCCTAGATATTACATAATCAACCACATAGAACTACAGTGTGAGGATAGTACCATCAGCCAATCACGCTGTTGCCGGCCCACCGAAGCCCAACCGCGAAAACACAAAGTATGGCAAAGTTCTGCCAAATCTGACCGCCAGTAACGATGTGACTTTTTCCATCAGATGCATCACGTCAACGTTCTCAGATTTCGATATACTTTGGGACATAGCGAGTTGTGCGGGGAACGCCAGTAAGTAGTTTGCAAAGATATGAGTATTCCTTGCAAACCAGTATAGCGTCGTTGACGACGGTACACCCCTCTCGCATCTCCTGCCACGCCATACCCCGCTGCACCTTGCAATCTATCGACTTGTTCGTCAACCCTGGCTTCCCTCCGGCGAAGTATCGGCAACACGCCTTTGATAAGGCTCTTACCCCGGTTGGAGTTCTTCACACCTACCATGGCTGCTAAGAAAGAAGCAACCGAGCCGACCTTGCTGGCGTCACCACTTTCAACCCCTGACGTTGTTGACCAGCCCAGCGGCACCAAATCGTCTGAAGCTTCGGAGACAGACAAGCTGCCTGATGTGCTGACAACTCCCACGGGCGACATGTGGCCCCGGCCGTACTACTTCGAGGACGGCTTGCGGAGAGTTGCACCTTACCACTTCACCTACCACACATGGGCCAAGGAACGGTGGCGCGGCCGAAAGCTAATCGAGATCTTTGAAAGTGAATTCAGAGACCGCTCGATAGAGTACTATCGATATGCCATGGAGACCGGAGCAATCGTCGTCAATGGCAAGGTTGTCGGTCCGGATCATGTGGTAAAGAATGGGGACTTGGTGAACCACACCATCCATCGACATGAGCCCCCCGTTACGGCTGAGCCAATCCGCGTTGTTCATGAGGACGATGAAATGGTCGTCGTCAATAAACCCTCCGGCGTCCCGGTGCACCCTGCCGGTAGATACAAGTACAACTCACTTATTGAGATTATGAAGTCGGAGAGGGGTGAGCACTTCATGACCTACCCATGCCATCGTCTGGACCGCCTTACCAGCGGACTTCTGTTCATTGGGAAGACGCCGCAAGCTGCTGTCAAGCTCACCGACCAGATCAGGGCTCGCACCGTGCGCAAGGAGTACCTGGCACGTGTGATTGGCAAATTTCCAGACGGCGATGTGGTTTGCGACCAGCCCATTCTCCAGATATCTCCCAGATTGGGACTCAACCGAGTTCGTGCCAATGGCAAATCGGCTCGGACTGTCTTTAAGCGTCTTGCCTATTACCCTCCAGCAAGCCGGAATTGTGCAGATTCGGAGCGGCCCAAGACCACTGAGGAGATTGAAGATGAAGAACGCCGACCTTGGCTCAGGAAGGAGGGCTACTCTATTGTCCGTTGCTTGCCATTGACAGGTAGAACGCACCAGATTCGAGTGCATTTGCAGTTCGTCGGACATCCCATTCAGAACGATCCTCTATACGCAAATCAACGAGTATGGGGTATCAACCTCGGATACAATGACACGGATGGACTTGATAACCCGGACGAAGACATCATGTCGCGGTTAGAAAGAATGGGCAAGGAAGATATAGCCGATGCGGTGGCTTATCACGATGAAATGGTGGATTTGTATCAAAAGAGACGAGCAGAGAAACTATCTGGTGAGCATTGCTCGGTATGCGACACTCCCCTGTACACGGATCCTGGAGAACATGAGCTTTCGCTCTGGCTTCACAGCCTGCGATATGAGGATGCCGGAGGTGCATGGAGTTATGTCAGTCCGATGCCCGAATGGGCCCTCCCTCCGGAGGGCACCAGCGGGCCAACGGAGGTCGGAGGAATGGCGGAGTTGGTGGAGGCAGTCAAAGGTGAAGAGCCAGAGCTACCTTGAGGCCTGCGGGCGGCAGCGATGATACAAATCCACTACGGCCCTGGAGGGATCGATTGACCCCACTGACTTTTGTAATTGGATCAAGCTTGGACAGCGTGATATGATACCCAAGATAATTGTGGGATTGTGGATTGCGATATTTTAAAGTCCAAATGTCGAACTTGTGCTATTGCAGGATTGTTGTTCAGAATTATCATATCCAACCTGCATGGCCATTTGATTGCACAGGTATACTTCGATTACGGGATGGCCGTCTGCAGTCCCCAATCTCGTTGTGGAAGGATTCGCATTAGACCAGGGAAACATGCTCTGCTGCTGTCGACATCACTAAAACCACAGCCCCGGGATATGCTAAGAATCGGACCCTACCTTTGTTTTTTCTCGGAGCGAGATCCGCTATTACCGGAACAGCTTGAGATTGGTCGGTTCGTATGAAAAGCGGCGACCGCTGTGCTGTCGGCGTGCCTGAAAATGGAAATAATCGTACCAGGATTCAGAACGGTTCGGTTGGGGGGGACACAAGAGAGTACTTCGACAGCCTGGGTGCTTGTCGGGGGAGGCTGCTGCATCCACCCACCACTGCCAGACCGCTCCTCTGTTCCCTCCCATCGCTAAAACTTGATATGCGCAGTAGGGGCCTTGCAACACAACAGACTATGTGACGTGCCCTGTTGCTGGCCTTGAACCTACGGGGCAGCTGGCCCTGCTGGCCCTGCTCGCCCTACTGGGCTCCCTGAACCTGGGGGGCACGGAATACGAGGGGAAACGAAACAGACAGTGGCCAGCTTTCTGAGTCAGAAGTGACAAAACAGAAATCCGAACTGGATAATGCGCCGACAAGCGGTCTCCAACGGGGGGGTACATAACCCCGGGCCGGCAGTGCTCAGCCCTCCCCGAAATAACTAAAATGCTCGCTGATTCCGGATGCCCTCTTTGTCGATGATCTCGACGCCTTTCGCCGAGTCCGAAACCCTCGTCGACCAGATCGAACGCCTATGACATAGCACCAACCGATCACAACCCCTGATAACATGCGTGCAGCTTCGGGACGCCGGGACGAGGCGCAAAATACGACTAGAATGCCGGAGATGATGATGATGTTCTGGATGATCTGTCGCGGGGACACCAGCGGCAAGGACTGAAGCGAGCGAGGGCGGGGAAGATGCAATGTTAGGGCTGGGGAACGACGCTTTACCTCACACGATCGGGAGGAACGAGACTACCCGACAGCTGGGAACACTCGTTGCCAGTCGCCCAGGCGATCATGGGAAGACAGCAGCACCTCGTGCGCCTGGCCGGCAGTATGCAAGAGAACGAGACAGAAAGTGAGGGAGCCACGGAACGCCACAGTCCCGCCAATTCGGAAGTGCAGCAAATCACTTTCAGCCCAGCGAAATACTTCGTTTTCCCTCATCGCCTTCTTGCCTCATTCCCTCGACACGACTAACCAGGTTTCCCAATGCACGCCATTGTGTGATGTCCCCCTAAGACAATGACAGGATATATGCGGATGGCCCATGCAACGCAGAATGCACGGAGAAAGCCATGGAACTTCGAGAAGCTCGCAAGGGTGTCAGAGAACTACCGACGCACAGTCGTCCAGCGCCAGTGCAAGCGACACTCAGACCCAGCCCTGAACGAAACAGCAAATACAGTAAGGGGGTAGAAGCGCACCACAGCACACATGCAATTTCTGGCCTAGCTAGTGTTGACAGCAATGATCTCGCGCTGAATGCCAGGATGTGCACTCGATTGCGATACTGCAGACTCACCAGACGGTGCGCTAATTCCACAGCCAGCCAGAGCGAATGTTTCTGCGAGCCGCAGGTCACGCCCAAGCGATGGTAGGTTGGGTGGGATATGCCGTTAAGCTCAAATGTGAGACAGGCTGTGGTGTGCATACGCGACAGTGAAATATATCGATGGCAGCGCCAAAGCCATCTGGAAACTCGTCAGGTGAGAGGGAAAATGGTGAGCCAGGCAAGGCTAAGGGCGATACGCAGCGCTCATCATAAGCATGCAATCCGACACGCATAAAGGGGGGGGAAATAGCGATTGGGGAGGATGGCATCGACATTATTGTGGCGGCTTCGCGTAGAATTGGGACCACCGGAACCAGGTCCGATCGTTGCTACTACTTTGACGCCATCAAGTCACGCTGACGGCGCATTACACTCTTGTTCATTCCCGCCACTCATCGAAAGCAGGATGTTTTATCTTATTTCTTTTTTTTTAAAAAAATTCTTTATTTTTTGGTGGTGGGTGACTTTCCAGATCTCGCATGTTCTACGTACACCGGTCTCCGATGCTGCCGTTTGGGTGGCCGGTTTTCAATGGAGAAATGGACTGAGCGAGGCATTGGCGGCGAGCAGTCCGTCGCGAAGTCTAGACCCGGTGTAGATTGGGTTAGATCACTAAGAGTTTCTAGCTGCAAAAGCCGGCTTGGCCGTTGATGAATTGTCATCATGGCGTGGCTCACGGGGAACTTAGCAGTCTCAACAGAGGAGGCGGGTGAGCTATGTAGTTCCTGACAATGGCTCCGGCGTTGGAACCAACATGTGGTATTTCAATGTTTCTGGAGGGCGACTAGAAGGCCTCTTTTGCGCATAGCTAGCTGGGTGTACGTGCCATTGAAACCGCGGCCGCCGCCATTCGAAGGCCTCAGAATGGAAGACACGAAGAGTCCCCTTAGCCTCTGCCCATTCCTTCTCGAGTCCCTCACAATCTCGACCGCGGTGGCTGTTTGGCTTAGAGTAATTTGGCAGAGTTTCCGAGCCCCTCGAATTGGCTGGATTGTCCTCGCCGCACATCATTGAATTTCATGACACCACCACCCACCCACCCGCCCACCTTATTTGGTGATGGGAGCGGGGCTGCCGGTGGACTGCTGTATTCTCATACTACATCATACGAAGACAATCTCCTGCGGGATGAGCACCCGTTCTGGTTAATCTTTGGAGGGCGGGATAGAGGAGCAAATTGAGAGCGTGCCTCCCCTTCTCTTCCCCTCAAACTGTTCCGACACTTGTCCGCTGCTGTTGTGGGTGTTCTACGGGTAGGTACCCGTCGGGCTGGCCGCCACCGGAGCAGCAGGTGGGAGCAGGTTTCCGTGCATGGGGCTAAGCAGATGGTTCACGGCAGTCGGTTACGTACCGCAGGGAAATATCCCAGTAGAGCTTACCTTAGCCTAGCGGTCTCCCTGGTCTCTACATGACCACTTTTATTTTATTTCTTTTCTTGCTGCTGGGCCGCGTATCGGCACCCACCAGGCTAACACAAAATAAGCACTAGCGTAAAGTTTATTTTTGCTGTGGAAGCAGAATCCGTCCTGCGTACTTCCCCACCCTTTTCCTCCTCTCACTGGGCTCCAATTCGCGGTGTTCACTTCGCCTCGTCCACCTTAATGCTCTCTCAAGGATTGTGTGAGAGAGAGAGAGCGTGGGTGTGTGGTGTGTGTGTGAGTGTGTGTCCGTGTCTGAGTATCTTTTGCGAAGGCGTTGTGCACAAAATCTCTTCTTAGTTTTCTCACGACTCTCTTGTATATATGCCTACAAGCTACGTACATAGTAGTAGATTTCGGATTATGCGTGGTGCTCGCTCCAGCATCCCCGTTCCTGGGTGTGCAAGACCCCCGCCGCTGGCCACAATTGTGAAAAGAAAAAAAAAAAAAAAACCACCGCCCCCCTTTACCCCTCGGGCGTTTTAGCTGCACTTACTGGGCAAGGGCAACAGAGTAGGCATTCCGTCATATTCTAGCCCCCCGGTCATCGGAGGGTGGCCGAGCGGTTCCTGGGCATGCAGCTGCAAGAGCATTGCAGTGCGGTACGGTGCGGCGATGAGCTCTGAGCGAAGTTGAGGCTTATGGCGCTACACCTTGCAAGCATTCTATGGCGCATTCGCTCGCGACCGGGCTATTAGCTGGAATAGACGAGGGACTGACTAAACCACACCACATAAGGCATACCCTTTTCCGTTCCGCAGTCTACACGCAAAACGAAAACAAGAGTAAGGAAGTAAATGCTCTACCATAACTGGCCTGGGCGCCTCATGGGCCGTGAGCCAAGGGTCAAGGTTAGGCAAGGGTGTAGCTATTCCGAGCAAAGACCGGATTCTCACTGCTGTTTAACCCAGGCTTGCATGCCCCCAGTTCCATGCCATAACCTATGCTATGGCTAGTCTGTCTTTGACAACCTCATACACTCCCATTGATAAGGCGAACAAGACATGGGGAAAGGCAGACAAGGTCAAGTAAAGGAGGGGCAGAAGAGGTTTGATTTGGTGGTGTACACCACTTCACAAAACAGCGGATCATTGGACAGGGCAAGGCAGGGCACCTGGGTACATCTACCTTTCGAATAAACCTTACCTTGCCTTGCCTTGCCTTGCCCTGCCTTGCCTTACGGTTTACGACACCACCAGCCGATTTCCCTTGTGCTGTCATCATGCCTTTTTGCAACTCTGCACCACCAGCCCTCCCCCCTCCCTCTCATACTCATTCATCCATCACCTTGCGAGACCAGATAGAAGACGTTGCGACGTATGAAGCATAGTAAAGTCACTCTTATGGTAGGGATAATACACACTACCTGCTACTAAGCAGTACCCTTCACCATACAATCCAACCAGCCAAAGTCCACAACCATAAAACAGGACACCGTCCACCGGGTTGCGTTCCCACTATAGCAAAGAAAAGCACCGCTACCCATCTCGAGCAGTTAGGAAGCCCCAGGCTCAGGCTTGGACTCGGTAGCAGGCATCTGCTTACTACCGCCTCTTGATTTCTTTTTACTTTATTTTTTTATTTTGGGAGGGGATTTGGCGTATATGCCTTCGTGTGTAGTCTTCAGACACTAAAACGCAGTGCCCATTTCATTACCTAAGGCACTCTTCACATCCCATACCTTTCCTGACCTTGGACGTGCCTTAGTGGCCATACTAGTAGTCGACGCACCTCACTTGCATCTCTTGCATTCTCTCAATCCCTCCTTCGTGACACGCCCCTCACCTCCCCACCCCCTCTTGGTCGCATCTTCCTGGCCCTCACCCCAGTCGAAGTGGGAGCCACGGTAGGGTCCCTTCCTTCTGTACGTATCGCTTCGAAAAGAAGAGCCAAGAGTACGTACCACACTCTTTGGTAACACGCCCCCCCCCCATATCCGACCGACGTCCTTGCCTGTCCTGGCCATGTTCTCTCTCCCCTCTCCATGCCCACGTCCTTCTCTAGCCTCCCCTGCCCGTCCTATCCTCTTTCACTCTGGACCCCTGCACCCCCATCAAACCCCAGCTCATCCATGAGAGATCTGAGTTATTCTGGAAGTGGGCTAGCAATTTGCGCCATGTCTGTGCCTAACATCAACTGTCATGTGCCAAGTTGCGTCTCTTCACCGATACTTGCCCCATCTCTGACCCAAAAGTACTCGAGTACATGGATACTTTCACCCTGCTACTGTACCTGGCCCTGCCCTACCTTTCCTCAAGACTGGGCTGCTTTAGCCCGGATGCATCCCTCAAACCCCTGCTCCAGACCTGCCCAACCCTTCCCATGCGCGCGGTACGTATCGTTCTTCCTCCCCCTTCCTCGCCGTCGTCCTCCGCTCCTCTCTTCCCAACCTAGTGTAGTCCGTCCTGCCCAGTAGCCATCTCACACCCCCCAGTCCCCTCCTCATGTACGTACCCCCTCGTACTCTTTCTTCCCATCACTCCCAGGTGCCCTGAAACCCTTTGCCGCCGGCACTGGGGGCCCTGTTGTTGCGTCTGCTCTTGTCGTCAATAGATCTTATAACTCCAGATGCTGCTGCCAGTTGATCCTCTTCATTTGATCCCTGCCTCGTAACACAAACAACACAAACACACAACACACTTCGACGTCCTCTCCTCTTCTCTTCTTCTAGAGCATGGCCCATACTGCCGTCGCCAACACTCGAACAACACCTGTCACCACTATCGTAGTTGCACAACAGGACACCAAACCCGCCGCCGATATGACGCGATCAGCTTCAGCAGAGCCCACGAAGCCAGCCAAGCGCAAGGGTACGCAATATCAGCATCACCGACGGCCATGTTGACGGATGTGTGTCTCTTGTGTGTCTTTGACCATGATACGGCGCCTCCGTCGACGTTGCTTGTTGTCACCCGCCCTTTCCTGTCCCGCCCCATCAAAACACTATCCCTCACCCTCACCCTCCTCATCCCCGTCCCTTCACGCCCTTTTGTTCAGCGCAGTTTCGGAGACAGCATATTGACTTGATCGTCTCTCTTCCTACTACAGGCACCAGAAGCGTTTCAACCTTGACGCCGTCTCAGCTGGCACGCAAGCGTGCCAATGACAGAGAAGCCCAGCGGGCCATCAGGGCCAGGACGAAGGAGCACATCGAGAGACTCGAGCGGGAGCTCGAGGAGCTCAAGAGCGAACGCAACCGCGACCAGAGTCAGACCGTCCAGGAGCTCTTGCGCAAGAACAAGGCCCTTGAAGAGGAACTGTTCAAGCTCCGTGAGAGCATGGGCATTCCCAACGGGCAGTCCTACCCAAATTCAGGTACGGCTGCCGCTGCTGCCTCGTCCTCTGCGTGGGTGTCTCTGGCTCGTGCTGACTCTGCTCCAGTTTACGACGACAATCTGAGTTCCATTAGCGGGGCGGTTCCAAGCCCCAGATCTTCGCCCTTTCCTTCGAACGGTGACTACAACGTGATGCAAGAACTCGGCCCCTCGTACGTTCCCATGCCGGATGCGTCAGAGTCATGGGGCCCAGGCATCCCCGTTTCCGTGCCCTCGACCGTTTCGAGCCCGTCGTCTTCCGCTAACACGGACGAGTACGGTGCTGGTTATATTCCAACCAGTGTTCCCGCCCCGATGATGGACGCCCGTAGCATCCCGGCGAAGATGGAGTACGACGACGTCGACTCTGGTGGGTGGTCTTTCCGCATGCGGTGGTTGGGTTGTAACGCAATTCTGAGACGCTAACCACTCAGTTTCTAGACGCTGGATATCCTCACAACCATCACCCAATGGGCCACCAACAAGTGCCCATGGCCCATCAGTCATATCTTCATCACCAGCAATCGTGGAATACGTATCCAACCCCGGTGTACTACCAACAACCGTCGGCTCATTGATCCGACAGCCCGGTACCACCCTCTGGGAGATTCCGACACTCATTGTACCGCCCACATGTCGAATCGACCAGCTGTTGGTTGGCTTCATTCAGGACTGCCGCCGACTGTCCCAACTGAAGTCACTTGACACGCTTCTTCGACCTACCAGGGTCAATATGAAGAACTTTCTTGAGTACCATCCGGCCTCACCTACCAACTCACCCCCGCGATGCCAATTAACCGACCTTGACCGAGCTGCTTCTACAACCACTACAAGCCCCGGCGTCAACCACCCAATCGCCGAGCTCATCACCGCCATCGTCAACAAGGCAGGCGTCACCAACGTAATTGAGCGCCTAGCGCTTTTCGCCGTTATCCAGCGAGCCATCGCCTGGCTGGTGCATCCCACACGGGAGGCCTACATGGCGATTGTGCCAGAGCTCGCACCAAAGCCAATTCAGACAAGCATTCCGCATCCCCTCTGGATCGATCTTGTTCTGTGGGGCTCTCTACGTGCCGCCGTCATTGAGCGGCAGGAGCTGTACGCAAACGAAGAGTTTCAGGCCATTTACTGGTCCAGCTTGAGGCTAATCAATTGGCCTTGTCGACCCATTGATGCTCTGGTTGTTGACCCGCAATCCGGAGAGATGTGGCTGAGCGACACGTTTACGGCACACGCCATGCGCATCGAAAACTGGCGCCTCAATGAGAATTTTGCTCGACGTTACCCCGAACTTCGTGGCTGTGTTGCTATTGAATGATCTGGAGACAAGTGCGACCTTTGCCGTCACATGTCTGTGCTCGCAACCAATACCTGTTCATATTTCCCCCCCCCCCCCCCCCCGTTACACTTACTGCTTCGTTTCTTGGCTCTTTCATTCTTATATCCCCTTATGTGCGAAATTGGAGTTCCGTTCTAGCTGGAATGGGATGGGACGTTGGGAAAACCACACACTTTGCCTGAATGGTCTTTGTAGTAGATAAAAAAAAACATAACCGGGTTGGTTTGTCGTCGGGGCATTTCAAGACGACTGGGGAGAAGCACGTCTGATTGGCTCGTTTTGTTTTTCTCTTCACCCTTCTTGTTAACCAAAATGGCCGGTGTATCGGGCTCAGGATGGATGACCATTTGCGATGATCTTTTTCTTCTTTTTTTTCTTTGCTCTTTTCTATTTATTTGGCTTCATTTGGGAAACATGGAGAAAGAAGGCGCTTTAGAGGATTTGGAGGTTGTTTTCTACTTTGTTATTTCAACGGGATATATCAACCATTGGGCGGTTTTAGACTCAGGGGAGGGGGCGAAAGTTATACACACATTCTGGGCTGGAATTAAAAGAATGTGAATATCGAAATCTGATGTTTAACCAATAGTCAGTGGATAGGAAATTTCATCTTACCACACAAATGTAACAAGAAACACAAAACACATTCCCACAAAGCGAGAAGAGTGACAAAGTTTTGACTCAAAAGACGTGAGGGAAACTTTAGTCCTGTTGCATTGGACGTCAATCATGAGTTTACGAGTTCAGTCGAGTAGGGGAGGGGAAATGAGAGAAATGACAACATTGGGCCGCCGATCAGTCATGTCATGCTGGCACCCACACTCAGAAGAAAAGACAGTTTGGCTGTGTCAACGATTTTCCTGTCACCAACCAACCTAAGACAAAACATCCACCACAGCTTTGCAGGCTTTATTTACTTTGACTTTTGTTTCTCTTTGGGTTTTTCTCCCCGCCTTCTTCTTCTTCTTCCACCACTTCCTCTTCGTCTTCTGTCCCGCCCTCTGCCTTTCTTCTGGTACTCACTTGGGTTCACTTGACAAACCGATCTAACCGAGTACATTGTCCCTCCCATCAACGATGACCCCGGTCACCTCCTCTCACCCCTTGCTCACCCTCCATGTCATAACTTTGGGAGATGTAAGATGCAGGGCCCCAAGCAAATCGACGGAAAGTGCCATTGTCTTGTGTCTGAGCCAATGGAAAGGGTCGGAATTAGTACCATTTCCATCGTTTGTAGCTAGGTAGGTCAAGGCGAGACCTGAAGCCCACCTATGAAAAACATACACACACTGAGAGAAATATGCACCATGAGCAAGAGACAATTGAGACATGAGATCACAGACCAGGGCAGACGGGCAGATGGAAGGATCCGGAGCGGGATCACATCACCATGTTCGTGAAGGGTAGAGGCGGACAAGACAAGACAAGTCAATGTAAGACAAGACCAAGACCAAGACAAGGCAGGGGCCGCTGGAGGTCAAGGATTGAAGAGCAGAACGGGCCAGGGGAGGCGCCCTTGCCGCATGGTAGACGCACATACCGCGCGAGAGTCCCGCCACCGGCCAACCATCGCAATTAACATCCGCCTGCCCGCCTTGGTTTCGTCAAACAATCTCTCTGTGTGACTGTCAAAGACGCCAGACACGACGATGTGAAATGAGGGTGTATCCACTCACACTCTTACACGGCTCTGACCCCCCTCCCCTCCTCTCTAACTCTCTTACTCTCTTTTTCTGTCGCTCTCACAACTTACGCCAATCCGAGCGCACCTGCCCGGGAACAGAAGGTGACAGCATAGTTCCCTTTTTTTTTTTTTTCCTTCCCCTCTCCCTCTTAATGTTCAGGCCCTGCTTAGACCCGTTCTGCGTCAACCAAATTGGACTTATGAGCTGGGGTGTGTGCAAGAGCTGTTTTCCCGAACATTGCTGCATGGAGACGAAGAGGGAAATACCCCTTGAACTCCCAATTGTAAGTTTGTGGCATTGTTGCCGACCATCCTCTTCCCTTTTCGCAAATTTGTCACTTGATTTCACCCATGGTTATCAATCCATCTGCCCCAAATTACAAGATTTGGCCCTGTTGTCGTATCCTAGTATTCGTGCGGCTTCATCTGAAAGGAGCGAAGAGAAGAAGACAAAGAAAACTGTCGCATAAGTTCCGACCAGGCTCTAGAGCCTCACCTCGTTGACTGGCTCGGGAATTCCTTTAGCGCATGCTGCTATCTTAAGCGATGGATAGCCGATGGGGAGGGAGGAAGCGAGAGGAGTCCCCCCTCCCCGTCTTGGCAAGAGCATTATCGGTTGAAAATTGGCCAACCCCATGCCATTTAAACATGGAGGTTTTCTATGGGGGATTTCATGAGGGGTGGTGTAAGGGAGCTTCTGCGACACTAGAGGCATTCTTATTCTAATTTGAGAGTGATAAAAACATGGGACCGTTATTAGTGAATTACGGACGGGTAGGAAGATGGGCAGACGCACACACACTCTCCCGCTCTTCATGAGTAAAGACATGAAGAAGGGGTGTTACCCAAGGAGGCCCTCTTCGACGCCGATCTGAATATGGGCCATCCCACTGACGCCCCATCTTGGTCCCTTGCCCCTTGCTTGACATATCCAGATGAGGGTGTTTTGGACTCGAGTGTCGAGGAGAGAGAATGACATGGGACATGCCGTGACGTTGAGTGGGTTCACCATTTCAAAAGCACGCCTCCACTTGGACGAGTTAAGCCTCTCTCTCGCACCACGTCTGGGCCCCTCCGTATCTGGGCGTGCCCCAGTGCTCCAGCTCCATTTTGCACGTCTCCATTGCAGAAAGTGGATTGTGCCAGGAGTACGGAGTAAGCGTGACTTTGAAAAGTGTAGCGGGGATTTGGTTCAATGTAAGGTCGTAACAACGACAAATTGGCCGCCATTTCTGGACTGGCGTCTGCTCGGTCAGGCCCCATCAGCAACCATTTTGGATACCTGGGGCTGATGAGGAGCCACAGTTCCTCGTTTGACCAACAATGCGCGATGGACATTGTGATTGCAGTATATAGAAGGGTCTACAAACGTGCGCAGTTCCTCACAGGCCACCAAGACGAAAACGAGGTCGAAATGGATTTGTAGGCGCAGGGCGAAGCTGGCCACTCAGAATGGGGCCGCCGCCAATCAGTAATTAGACCATAAGTGAGGGGGAAAAGAGGAGAACTCGTCAATTCATTGAAAGTCCTAGCCTTTTAAGATACGGAGTACTCTTTTTGGAATTAGACCCAGAGTCTCCTTCAAGTGTACCATACGTTCGGACTATGGAGAAGCAATGCAGGTGTTTCCAAGTCGAGATATGTCCAGTGGCTCTACTATGTCTTGCACGGGCTCTGAACTGCGACCCGCCCCTCCACAGGTTCTGCCCAAATCGGTTTTTGAGGGGCCGCCGCCTTGGCCGAAGGACTTGCGCGGCGAACGGCGCCGGATACAGAGTGGTACTCCTGGGGATAAGGTCTAGTGTCTTCAAAGTCTCAGCTTGTCGCAAGACTGACATAAGGATTGTTTAGACGATCGGCTAGACCATTAACTCCGAACTCGACATGAAGTAAGTTGAGGGATGATGCAAAGTGTCAGCGTACAGGTCGTCGCACATGTGCACCCCCTAGTACCCCCTAATTGGAAATTTGTGGACGAGACGCATAAGACCATCAACAAAAACCTGATGGATAATATAGAGTTTGACGTGTTCCAAGGCGACTGTATGGGCATACGTAAGAGGTTTTTTCGCAACAACGCTAAACATGGATTAAAGGCAGACAGATTCGGTCAACTGTTGAGTGGGTATCGTACAGAGAGGGAGAACAGCAAGAGCCTTACCGCATTGAGGTAGACAGATGCCTCTGGGACGAGTAGGTACGTACATAACCTCAGGAAGACCTTTTCTGGCTGCTGCTTTAAGTCTTTTCTGGTGGCTCACTTGGAGCTTGTCTAGAAGCATGAGTGAACCAACAACACTTCACGGTACCGAAGGCTGATGCGGCGTTGAGGAGAGCAGTACTGAAGACAAGCCGGAGCTCGAGGGCGGGAGAGGCCCAGCAGGGCAACACAAGGCCCTGGTTCGAACCAGGGACACACCAATGCAACAGAGCGAACGGCACCAGGACGCCCCGTGGGCTCGGGAAGAGTGGACGCGGGCGGACCATTTGGCCGCTTGCTCTTCCCTACAAGGAAGACAAGGTTAGCATCGTGTGCAGGGGTTCGCTGTGTTTGACGGTTCATTGACAGGTGATTTATTTGGGTTTTACTACGGAGCAACCCCAACCCCCGTTGAACTGGGCGTCTTGAGCGCCTTAGTGTCTGGGCGCCTGGGAGTGATGGGGAAGAATAGATTTGAGGATATTGCCGGAGGGTTGATGCGTCGCCCACTTTGTCCCGCGCGAGACGAAGTGAAATGCAACCTTGAGAACCGGGGGAGAGGTTGAGTTGTCCCGAGCGAAGTGGTGCGGTGGTGCTGATGCTAGACAAAATGGAGACGATAAAGCACCTCCGGCTGTCAGGCTTCCAGATTTTGTGGGTGAAGGTGTCGTTGTAGACCATGTTCAGGTGAGCTTTCCTGCGTTGGGAGCTGCTCTAAGAGCTTGAATTGACCCCCACCCCTGACCCTGGAACTGGCTCGCCCCTGCACAATTGGCTGGGGCACTTGAAGGAATGACGAACGAGCCTGGCGCTGGAGCCCATAGTGTCTCTGTCGTCTCTGGTAACTGCCCGCTTCATGGCCAATCCCCTCAAGTCCCAATACTGCCGCAGCGTCGTTTCTGTCCCCGCTGTCGGACTGCTCTTTTCGTCGAATTGCTTGAGCTGGGCTGGGGTTGGCTTGGGGGTGGAGCAGGAGGGCCAGAAGCGGAGGCTTTTAGGATCCGAACGTATGTATTTGGTGCGTGTGCGTTTTGTTTTTCCTTTTCGATGATGTAAAACCGCGGCGGAGAGTCTCTGAAAGGAAAAGGGGCCGGACAAGGCCGGAAAGTGCCGAGTAACTGCCAGCACGGAGCACCTTAGTGGGAGATCATGGGTGCAGCTCCGGTGCTGAGTACTGGGAATATCTCCACCAAAATGCAGATGTCCACTCACACCCATACCTGCCTTCACTTTTCAGGTGTCGCAATGCCGTGAGCCCTTGACGGCCGTTTATCCTTCTTACCCGCACCCAACTTCCCGTGCCAAGTGGTTCACTCCCATGTTGGACGGTATTTTGACTTTGGCTTTGCCTTGGGAGAGGGCCTTTGGCGGGGACAGGGGCTTTGCGCTTGCAGGCGTCTGTGACGGTTCCCAGGCTTGCCAGGTGCTTCAGTGTTCGCCTATTAGGTAAGGCGCTCGCTCGCTAGACGCTGGCAAAAGGAAGGCTTTCTGAATTATATGGATGTAGAAAGAGTCCGAAGAAGGGCCAGCTTCGTCTTGGACGGGAATTGTAGGCGAAATGCGAAATTGAGCCTGGGAGGGGTGGCAGATGATGGCAAGGTAGACAGAGGGGACGAGATGGGTACATAACAGGACTTCAGATTGTGGAAGAGAGCTGTAGGGCACAGACCAGAATGTATTCCGAGAGTACATATGCTCAAAAGTGCATTGCCCGCCCACTCCAGTACTCATCCTTTGAAGAATCAAAGCAAACAGGTAAGAAGGCCAACCTCCAATCACCTCATATCGGACTGCCCAAAAAGGATACCAGCAAAATTATAACCCCGCCTGCAGACGTCGGTGAGGTGGGGGGGAGGTGAGGAAAAGACGCAAGGGTTAAAAAAAAAAAAAAAAAAAAAAGGGAATGGTAAAAGGGCCGGCTGCTGCAGGCCAAGAGAATGGTAGCCTCCTGGACATTGCAGGCCTGGTTGATGCAGGAGAAGTGTTCTAGCGCCGAGGATGGAATTTTCTGTGAGGTGAGGCGCAAACTAATTACCCAGCACGGGTACAGCTGGAGGGCTACCTTACTGGGCACCCGCTAAGCCCTTAGTCTCTGATGCCGGGGCGCGCCCTAAGGTACATTCTGCCTCAGGTACATCTGGGCGGCAGGCAAGCAGGGGGGTGTCAAGTACTCGAGGCCCTGGAAGTACCTGCCTCTGTCTGCTTGCCTGCCTGATATGTTTACCAGGCCTGCCTGCCCATTGCGCCTGAACCGCAGCCCAGGCTTGGTACGTACCTCGCAATCGTTAGCTTGCACCAAGCCTAGTCGATCCCACCATATCCTTCCTCCCTAACGACGCTGCCTACTATACCAACTGTTCTTACTCAACCATGCACTCCCGTTCCCATTTCCAATCACTTGCTTGTCCCCCGTCCTAAGCACACCACTGCCATGTTGCGTTTCGGCGGCAATGAAATCAACATTGCCTGGCCATGGACGGAGCAAGCTCGGATACCTCGCCGACCTCATCTATCCCGTCATCCGCAATCCGCCCTTCTACCCGGCCTTTCCATCCATCTCTTTTGCTACCCTGGGAGCAGGCTTCAATATCAAACCTGGGCCCAGCCTCGGATCTGGTGGACCTGGGTCATTAAGTCAGCGAGAGCAACGGAACCTCCGCAGTCTAACGGGGACGCTCAGGGCAAAACATATCGACTCGGCAGGCTTCAATTGCAATGGTAAACATGGGGGGAGCCGTCTGAACAAGCATCGGAAATCTGCAGCCAGCGCCTCCACCGCTTTACCAAGAGTTACTGTGTTCGCAGCCAATGCCAATGCGAGTGCCTCACCGCGTCCATGCTATTGGTTCTCGGCTCCTGCCCCTCCTCCTCTTCTTCGCCTCAACCTGCCTATCAGAGTTGCTATGCACACTTCGACACATTCGACCATCGTCTCGCCTGAACCATCTCAAGCACGGCAGGTCCGTTGTCCAGCAACAACAACAACCGCAGCAGCAATGACGGACACTCTTCATTACACACCGCTTATGATCGGTCTACACATGAGTTTGTTTTCGGTAACCTGTTGCGAAAGCTCGAGGGAAGCATCGTGGAATATCGGCAGACTGGGACATATGTGACCAAAGGTGTCAAGCCCAACGGGCGGTGGAAATCACATGTCCCCTAGATGCTGCTGCTCACCCAGATTTTGTGCTCTGTGGCCCACTTGCAAGTACCATGCCGGCGGCAGAGGAGGCGCAGAGGGCAGGAAACAATCAAGAAACAGGAACCGAGCACCTTAGGGCAAAGATGAGGAGAACCAGCTGAGCCGGCCTCACTTCATGCCGTTCTCCTGTCTGTCTACAATTGCTCTTCCTCGCTCGTCCTTGCTCACTCGTTGTCTCGGCATGTCAATGTCCCGTCGTCATCCAAACGCTCACCGCACTCGGAACTGGTCCAAATCGAGCTTAGTTTGAAGGAGTGATAGAGATAAGGGGGGTGAGGGCAGAGTCGTGTAGGTCAAACTCGGACTGGGAAAACAGAGAAGTGATCTTCATGTCGTACGCAGTACTAAGGCGAGTTTTGCAACTGGTGGTGACTCGTTATCGTGTTGTACGAGTGATAGCAAGAGCCTCCCCTCCAGGACGATTTCTCGCTGATACTCAACTAGAAGGGCGCGGGCGTAGGCGTGGGCGCGGGCGCGGTCTTTCTGTTGTAGTATAACGAAACCTGAGGCGGGGTCCAATCGTCAGGCGCGCAACGCCAAAACGGGGGGGAGGGGCACACGAGCGCACAAACGGACAGGGGCCACGTCCATCCCGCCGTTTTTTGAGATCCTGTCGAAAAAGGCAAGAAAAAGGGTCTCCCCTGTCCTGGCGTCGCTGCACGGTCGATCACCACATGCTTACAGGGATTCTACCTTTCAGGGTCTTGGCTGACGGTTTGACCAGCAGAAAACAACACCTCGGGCAGGGGAGGGGTTTGCACTAGTGAGAAGCAGTTGCCGGAGTTTCTAAGGGGGTGGGGTGCGTAAAGTACAGGTACGTACCGAAAATTTCATGGGGCCTGTACCTTGCCCAAAACTGAAGCTGAAGTGTATTGAAATGGTTAGCATTGGAGGCTGATGGCCGCACCTGGTGCCAGGCGAAAGCCGGACGCGCCCACCAGTGCCAGGGCTGACAATTGAAAATATGGGGAATATGAGCTCAGGTGGGGCATATCGGATTGGTGAGAACGTATCCGTACCTCAGGCACAAGATGAAGTGCAGACAGACAGACGTGCAGGCAATTACTGGTTCGCATTGCCTCAAAGACTAGTAGACGACTGATCTCTCAGCTCTAGCTCAAGGGTTTTTTGTTTTTGTTTTTTCTTTTCCCTTCATGGAATAGCAATGTTAGCAAATGTGTTTGCTTCTTGTATGCTCATAGAACGCCCTTAGGCTCATCCCAGCCAACCGCCCAATAACCTTTCGTTAGCAAGGCATCAACACCTGAATACCGCCGCACAGCTTACTTGTTTGGATATTGATATTGATATGCACCTAGTTGAAGCAGACAAGAGGGGACATGTCTGCATTCCGGCAGCATTGAACAGGAGGTAGATCCTGACCGCGCACCTCTCTGGCCCGACATGTTGGCCAGACCCCGGTTCTGGCAATCGCAACCGTCTTTTCGCCAGTATCCGCCGCACATCCATCCGTACGCAAAAACCGTTGCCCGTGGAAAACCCCCCTGTCAGTCTAATCTCACAGTACGGATACCAACCCAAAGGTTCTTGGGAGAGTAATGTGGACAGGACAGCTTCACCCTCGTCCCTTTCTCCCCCACCTTCCACTGGCCCTCCTGGTGGTGGTGGTGGTGGTGGTGGAGGCGACGAGGGCAGTAATACATCCATCGATTTGTACCTTTCTTGGGCTACCCTGTCTGTGATGCTTCTGCCAGTCGTGTTGCAGCATGATGGTTTTCGTTGCAGCATCAGTAACCTTGGGTCGCGAGCAAGGAAACGCTTGTGCCGAGGGAATGTGGGATGCGACGCGACGAGATAGATTCAAGCCACATTTAGGGCATTTTTCTCTTTTCACTCACACACACACACACACACACACTCTCTCTCTCTCTCTCTCTCTCTCTCTCTCTCTCTCTCTCCTCTCTCTCCCACTACGCGCCTGCGTGTATTTGTGTGTGCTTGTCTTCACAATCCGATGTTTCTCTTTGCCTTCCCAGCCCAAGGAGATCATGGAAGATTGTCGGTACTGCTCTGCGTTTGCCTACCTAGTCCCAGGTCATTTATCAAGCGCCTGATCTCCTTGCTATTCCTGCTGGATCAGCCAGCCTAGTCGCCCTATCTCTCTAGCTTGGATCATCCCTACCTTGGACTAAGAACCACCTCATCTTGATCAAAACTTGGTGCATCGGCCTGGATATTCCCTGCCTTGAGCTGTGCTTCCTCAGCTCACTTTTCCTCAGCTCACCTTACTCTTTCCCTCTAGTCTAGCTTTCACTGCAACTCTAAGGGAAGGAAGCTTCTTCTTCCACCTGACGCCACTAGGTTGCTCATCGCTGGAATTCACCCGCTTCTCCCGTCCCGTCTTCCGCTAAGGCATCCATCCGTTCGTTAGCGGCAGGTGCCCGGCAAAACGCCTCCCTTCCGTCTTCGTACACCTAGTGCTACTATGTAGTAATTGGCAACTACATTGCGGCTGGCCTTTCTCGCATCGCGCCCCGTTGCATCTCGCCTACTATGCACTTCCTCTAATCCCTCATCCCAACTCGCCCCTGAGGCACTTATTGCTACGCTATGCTATATTCTTTCTAATATGATGGTTGCATCTCCGCAGTCTCCATTCGGGCATGCTCGGGATCTGCTCTTCCTCGAACCCTGGACGCGGCCGCGAACGTTTTGTCGAAGCGCCTTAACGTGTTACTCTTTGATCAACTACCACCCGCCACACCCGACGCTCAACTCCAACACGTGCGTTTTTATCTTTGCAGTTCCTCTGCGCCTCTGCCTGCTCTGCCACGCCTAACCACTGACTGTTTTAGCTACTGTTCTTAGCCTCCGTTGCTCTGTCGCCGACATTCATCTCCTCGGACGTCTAAACATAGACGGCCATACCAAAAACGACCATTAGCGAAGACCAATAGAGCTTCAACTTCCATTCTGCCGGCACATTTGCCCCGGACTGCTCGCACGGCCTTGTTCAGCAATCCCTTAGCGTTACGCTACTGATTCTCAATGCCACCTGCCCAAACGTCCTCAATTCTCACGCCCACTATCTAACCTGCCACCCTCGGCCTCGTTAACGCCAAGTTCACTCACAACACCTCTTCTCATAGCCAAATGTCAAATTCGAGCGATGTTCTGCCACTCTTCACTAAAATAGCGTCTATCCAATGAAAATGGTGGCAGAAGCTTTCACGTTTAGTTCATGCCGACGAATAATCTTGAAGAAGTCACATTATGCTTTTCCGCTGCGCCGTCCCTTGATTTACACCCCATCAGCCGCTGAGTTATCCCTATAACAAGGGTTTGGATTATCACCCAACATGCCCGGTACGGCAAAGTGGCCATGTGGATTGATCGTGCTCTGCCCGAGCACGTGCTATATATATCAAAGCTCGCGATATGGGTGTGTTATAGTCCTGGTAGTTGATTGATGCTGGATCGTCTTGACGCCAGCAACGCCGATAAGTACAGAAATGAGGTGTATAGGTAAACTTCCCGTCTTGGATATGCCTGACATGACTAGTGAACACATGTAGGTAGCCGATATTGTCCTTGGGCAACATGGGAATGTTGCTCTTGTCTTTGATTGCTTGGTTCATGGGGACAACACAAACGAACAAAGACATAACTCGCTACTACTCAGCTTGGTGTCGTGTACAAAGCAGAATAACCACTTCCCCGAGTCAGCCTCGCGCAGAATCTGATGCATGGAAACTTCTGAGACAGGCGGCTCGGGTTGTGTTATGGCCTCAATATAGAGTTTTGGCGGACATCGTTGCCCGCGACACGTGGCTATGATGCACGTCTCATGTCAAGGCAAAAGCGTATTTCAAAGCCCTACAACGCTGCCATGCGCTGGACCGCTTCTTCGCACGCCTCGCCAATTGGAATGAGGTTATCTCGGAAGCATTATAGGACATCCGAACAACCTTTTATCTGCCACATGTTTGGTAAAGGTGTATTTGTTTCCGTCGGCACCATTAGTCGCCACCAATTCGACGTCGCTGGTGCTACGTTATGCATATGGCACATGGCATCGGTATCGATGGAAAAGAAGGCAACCTGATACGTGGTCCGGCATTCGTGTCTTTCCCTTCAAGTTGAAAAGGCGGTGCTTCTAGAACTATACCACCACACCACTATCATAAGCCCCCAACGTGCATTGTCATGGTGCCTTGCCATGCGATGTGCTTCACCGGAACAACGCTCCTTGTGCAACCGTCTGACGCTACGAAGATGGTGTGGGGATGCAAAACGTGGCAACCTGGAGGGCTCTGGGTTTTTCTCTTTGTTTTTTCCCCTTGTATTCTTCTCTTCCTCCCGAACTGTTCTCTATCCGATATGGCGGCCTGATTACCTTTCGTCTTAATACTGTCGTTAAAGCAGCTGAAGCATCGTGGAACAAGCTACACTTTACGCCATCATTCCACCCTTGATTGAGCCTATCCTAGGACAGAAAAGTCGGCCCAACAGGCCCCCTCCTGTGCACTACTAACCAATCCCTAACTACGCCATGGGCTGGCTGGTTGGCTTACCCCGCCGATCGCGGAGGTGGGCAACGTGGTGGAACGACTTTAGTTCCTCCAAGCGCAATCTCTCGTACTCAATAGGAAAACGCCCGGCGGATTTTCTAGCGTCTGCACTCTGGCGCCTCGTTTGACAGGAAAAAAGATACACTGTGGATGAGATCGAGGGCGTGTAGAGAAGCGGACTTCATGAGCTGAACTGTCAGCCCCCCCTTAATGGAAGTCGAGGAACAAAGGAGAGTGGCTTGCTTGTCTCTATACTTGGTCTCTGGCCTAGCGGCTACATGCTTAGCTTTGCCTTAACCAATTCACGTCTACTGTACTCTTGTCTTTTTTTCTCTCTTCCTGCGTGAACCGGACAGCGACCGCCGCTCCTGCCGCCCACCCACGGGGGTGCACCGTTCCACACCGCACTCGGCTTTCTCCCCTTCCGTTCGTACCATTTTTGCTCGGTCATCTCCCCGGCGGAACACATCCCCCGGCCCTCCTTCGGGAACCCCTCCCTCTCTAGCCACTTGCCGCTAACTATCTAGGCTTGGCTAAGCATTTCCGTGGAAGAAAATGGTACTAGTGATGGCCCTAATCCTGCTTTGTGCGTCGGCGTTGCCTTGCAGGAAATCGATTATTAGTACAGCCGGATCTCAAGGGAGCGGAATGTCGCGGAACAACGGCTTTGCAATCGTTTGGCTTGTTCGGGTAGTCCGATGTTCTTTGCCCAAAAAGACTTTTTCCGCGATCAGCTTTCCTATGGGGTGTAAGGTAATGAATGGCATTACTGATAGCTAGGCTAGAACCCTAGTGAGGCCGAGCACAAACCCGTTTGGACATCCTAGTCATCAGAAGATGGCAAGACGCCAAACTGGATAACGGTTCATCAAACGCCAATGCTCACTGTAGCTCGCATGCGCTTACAAGCCATAAAGTAAGCGCTTCCACTTGTTAGCATAAATAGCACATCTTTTTCTATGTCTCTCCTTAACATGGACGACACTTTGAAGTGATATCTAGTGTTAAAATAATGCGCGAGCCAGTTGACGCTTGTGGGCGCGGTGATCTTGCAAAACTCCTATACCCCTAGAGCCTCGACAATGGCATGCCGGGCTGCAGGGCTTGGAGCCTCGTGTTTCCCTAAAGCCACTGTCGTGGGCCCAACACCATCAAGGCGCACTGAATCCTGCGCCCCCAGCAGGTGGCCCTTTGAATAACTAGCATCTCAAGTTCCTTGACCTGGCTCTTCCTCCTTCTTACGGATGAGCGTGGCATTGGCTGTGTGTTAAGTCCGCCTCCCTGTGACTAGCACAGAGACACAAACATAGAACGGACCAAGAGCACTCGGTTCCATACTCTTTGCAGTATAATCGACCGATCAGCAGCGGTGGACATTTAGGCAAATGAGACTGGAAATTTGGTTGTTTTCGGGTGTGTTGATTCTGAATGAAGTCGAAATTTGGGATTACCTCGGTGGCCTACCGCTTCTGTAGACATTGCCCGGTACCAGTTGCGGAACCCTGTCGAGGATCATGGTTGATCACCGTACGGTGGGTGCTACGGCAATCACCGAGCCGCTGCCTTGGTATTCTTCAACCAAGGCATGCTTCACATAAGACAATGACCATCAGGAACCGCTCCAGTCTTGACAGCGGCCGGGCGAATGAACATCTAAGTGGCAGCCACTAGTACCAACTTCACGTGTGATATTCCCCCCGGAAGCCTGTTGTGACAAAGCAGCGAAGAACTTCCATCCTCTCTCTTCCAGCCATCCTATGCCTACAATCATACCGGTGAAGACACTACCTGGACGGGATTTATGGGTATGGCGATGAAGACGCTTCGGTTGTCTCGGCCGGTATAGATCGCTGTCGCTGACCCAGATGGAGCTTATGGATCATGCGGAGTCTGGGGATGGCGGGGCCTCCCAACGGTACGGTGAAGGAGTTCTTCATAGGTGGTTAACGACAGTGTCACAATACAGACATTGCTGCTGCCATGTTAGTGACTCGGTACGCCGGTGAGCTGACTCTCCTCCCCTTGGGTAATTCGCAGGCCGGCTACACGAATGCCGACATGTTGGAACGATCCGCTTCAGCATCTTCAGCGGAGACTCAGGGGCATGTTCATCGGGTGAGTGTGATCCCGCATTCCCTGCCTTAGCCGATTGTTGCCATATGGCGATTGTCCGACCTCCTGCCAATACTTTTAAGTGAACTGTAGCCGCACAACTTGTCGCACACTTGCCTGCCATGAATGAATATGAGCGTCTGATTCATGGGCTAACCACACCGGCTTGTGTTTATTCTTTACTTTCCAGCGTGGGCAGCTTGTCATCGCCACAATGATTTTCTCTTTTTGCTCTGGCTTTACGCGAGTTAGCATCTACCAAGCCCTCGTTCATCCATCAGAGTGCGGGCATGCAATACGCCAAGGCTTACGGATCCCATTGCGGTAATTCTTCGGCAGGAAAACTACAAACATTGTCTCAGGTATCTGCCACTATCCGGGATCAAGATGTCGGCTTTCATGGTTCGTTGGGTGCATGATTGTGTCGTCGTGGAACACCTATGGAGGAGATGGGACAACCGGCCCCTCCTTCGGTTTAACGTCGCTACAGCTTCGTGCAAACTACGGGAAAATCCTCGGCTGATGTGTTACTGGCGACGCTAGTGGAAAGTTATCCGACTTTCAGCCGCCGCTAACTTGTCTGCGGAATATCGGGACGACGTCCAGCATCATGTTGAAAAGGAATTGTCCAATCTGATGCTTACGGATGGGGCCAAAAACCGGGGCTTGACGCCAAAAGAAGGCCGAACTGCAAGTGGATGAGGGGCAGTGCCTCTTCAACGTGGGGTAATTGGTAAATATGCTGGACTGTCAACGCACCTGACCGCGTCTTGGAAGCATCTGTCTGGGGCAGCGGGAATACGCTGGTTGCTAATGAATTCTGCGCCTCGACATGCCTTGTTTGCCTGCCGCTTCCCGGTAGTGATGCATGTCCGGCTCCCCTTAGCTACAAGACCTGCTAGATTGTACCAAAGAAGGAAGTTTAACGTAGAGTAACGCCTCATAGCATGGGACCATATTAGAGACTGGGGCTGCTGGCAGCTCTTACCGATACTCCGTCGCCTCCGGAGATGGCCCGCTTCTGAAATCGTCACAAATCTATTTAACAGCTTGATCCTGCAGGAAACCTGATCACTGCCTGTCCTCAATCAGCTTATCAACTCTTGCTCGTTTCTCACTTCCCGTGCCCTGCTTAGGCCGAAGCGGTTCTCGTTCTGTCAAACTGCTCCTTCCTCTTCTTCTCATTCGTCTTTAGAGATACCCAACCCACTGCTATCACCGAATTGAGAGCTCACAATGGCCGACTTCGACGTAGAGGATGTGCTGAAGAAGCTCACCATCGCCGAGAAGGTTGACCTTCTGGCAGGTAAGACAACCGCTCATCCGAAACTCGTGCTCTCCCCATGGCATTCCGCCGATCTTATGAAGAAGCCCACGAGCTAATGATATTCAATGACTCAAGGTATCGACTTCTGGCACACCAAGGCACTCCCCAAGCACAACGTCCCTTCTGTGCGGCTTTCCGACGGTCCCAATGGTGTTCGCGGCACCAAGTTCTTCAATGGCGTCAAGGCCGCCTGCTTCCCTTGCGGAACAGCACTTGGCGCCACTTTCAACACCGCGCTTCTCGAGGAGGCTGGCAAGAAGATGGGTGAGGAGGCTAAGCTTAAGGGAGCTCACTGCATTCTCGGCCCCACCATCAACATGCAGCGATCTCCTCTGGGTGGCAGAGGCTTCGAGTCCCTGGGCGAGGACCCCATCCTGGCTGGTCTCGGTTCCGCTGCCATCGTGAACGGCATTCAAAGCACCGGTATCCAGGCGACGCCGAAGCATTTTGTCTGCAATGACCAGGAGCACAGACGCAATGCTGTCCAAAGCATTGTGACTGAGCGAGCTCTGCGCGAGATCTATGCCCTCCCATTTCAGTTGACTTTCCGCGACTCTCAGCCCGGTGCCCTCATGACAGCCTACAACGGCGTCAACGGCACGTACTGCAGTGAGAACGAGGAGCTCCTCAACGGCCTGCTCCGCAAGGAGTGGGGCTGGGACGGCATGATCATGAGCGATTGGTACGGCACCTACAGTACCACGGAAGCGGCCAACGCCGGTCTCGACCTCGAGATGCCCGGCCCCCCTCGCTTCCGCGGCGAGCCACTTAAGTTCAACGTCTCAACCGACAAGGTTCGCCAGCACGTTGTTGACGAGAGAGCTCGTGCCATGCTCAAATTCATCAAGAAGTGCGTGGCCTCCGGTGTCCCCGAGGGCGCACCTGAGAAGACTGGTGACACCCCGGAGACGGCCGAGCTGCTGAGGCGCATTGGCGGTGAAAGTCTTGTCCTCCTCAAGAACGAGAACAACGTATTGCCCCTGAAAAAGGAGAAGAAGGTTAGCAATTGAGCACTTGCAGCAATCGAATGTGTGTACTGACTGTGGTGCCCGTAGACCGTCGTCATCGGCCCCAACGCCAAAATCTGCACCTACCACGGCGGTGGCTCCGCCTCTTTGGCTGCTTACTACGCCGTTACCCCCTACGACGGCATCAGCAAGAAGCTTGATTCTCCTCCCGAGTACACTGAGGGTGCCTACTCACACAAGCTTCTGCCCCTTCTCGGCAACGTGGTTAAGTCGGCCAACGGCCAACCCGGCATGACCATGAAGGTGTACAATGAGCCTCCTACCGACCATGATCGTCAGTCGCTTGATGAGGTTATCCTTACCAAGACGGAGCTTCTTCTCGTCGACTACTACAACACCAAGTTAAAGTCTGCCCTTTGGTACGCCGACTTTGAGGGTTCTTTTGTCGCCGAGGAGGACTGCACGTACGAGCTAGGTCTCATTGTCTGCGGCACAGCCAACCTATTCGTCAATGACAAGCTTGTCATTGACAACACTAGCAAGCAGCGCCAGGGTGATGCTTTCTTCGGTGCTGCAACGGTTGAAGAGAAGGGCCGTGTCGAGCTCAAGAAGGGCGAGACATACAAGTTCAAGGTTGAGTTCGCCTCTGCCCCCTCATCCAAGCTTCAGGGCGACAATGTTGTCTTCGGCGGTGGTGCCCTCCGCATCGGTGGCTGCAAGGTTATCGACGATAAGGCTGAGATTGCCAAGGCTGCTGCCCTCGCCAAGGACGCCGACCAAGTCATCATCTGCTCCGGTCTTAACGCTGACTGGGAAACTGAGGGCAACGACCGTGCCGACATGGAGCTTCCCGGGTACCTCAACGACCTCATCTCTGCTGTTGGCAAGGCCAACCCTAATACCGTCGTTGTTAACCAGTCCGGTACTCCCGTGCGCATGCCGTGGATCAACGACATTGCCGGTCTTGTGCAGGCCTGGTATGGCGGCAACGAGACGGGTAACGCCATCGCCGACGTTCTCTTTGGTGACGTGAACCCCTCGGGTAAGTTGTCTCTCAGCTTCCCTGAGCGCGTCCAGGACAACCCGGCCTTCCTCAACTACCGCGCCGAGGCCAGCCGCACTTTGTACGGCGAGGACATCTACATCGGCTACCGTTACTACGAGTATATTGACCGCCCCGTGCTCTTCCCCTTTGGCCACGGTCTGTCCTATACGAGCTTTGAGTTCAGTGACCTTGCCGTCAGCGATAGGGATGGTAAGCTTACCGTTGATGTCACCGTTAAGAACACTGGTTCTGTGCAGGGAGCCGAGGTTGTTCAAGTGTACGTCGCTCCCAAGCAGAAAGCCAAGATCAACCGTCCGCTCAAGGAGCTCAAGGGCTTCGCCAAGGTGGCGCTCAAGGCGGGCGAGAGCAAGAAGATTACAGTCAACGTCGAGACCAAGTACGCAGCCAGCTACTTTGACGAGGAGCGACATCAATGGTGCGCCGAGCAGGGCGATTACGAGGTCATCGTCAGCAATAGCAGTGTTGTCACGGACAAGGCACTCAAGGGATCATTCAGCGTCGGTGAGACTTTCTGGTGGTCTGGTTTGTAAAAAGGCTCCCAAGACAATTTCTTCCTTCATGGGGGGAGATGGGGAGACATTATGATGGTGCTTTGTTTCTAGTCATGGGCATGATATGAATGATGATTTACATTTACTTGTTTTCCGCCATCGGCCACGCAAATGATAAACCCCTATATGCAGCAAAAATCCCCCCCGCTCATGTCGTAGCACATCATATCCGTCGTGTTATATATTCATGGTCGTAAATGTAGTAAAGGAAACTCTTTGTTTGACCGTTAACTTTCTCTCTCTTCCTTTCCCGTCGAAATGCCTGTTCCAAGGGGAACCGAGCAAATGACCCCCTTTCTCTCAAGGTGACATGGCAATCTTTTCTCGCAAGTCGCCATCAGAACTTGGAGTCCTGTTATCTTCCGTTCTTTGAAGCTCGTTAGGCGGCAGCCAAGGCTCTGCATCTCCCAGCCGCTGCACCGTTAGGCCAGCGTTGCCAGCGTTCTTCATTCCTGCTTCGAGTTGACGGTGGTAAGAGATCCGGCGTAGACGCTCTGCTTCCGAAGGGGTCAAGTGGAGCTAAAACATCTCATCAACGTGGTGCTCAATTACAGTGGATTGAGTTGGATAACTTACGTAGAGCTCGACGAGGATAGCATGGATGGCTAAGGCCAACCAAGACCCCGCGCCAAACACAGCTGTGAAGCCTGCTGCGATTTCGGCAGGTTGGTGGGCGTTGACGTTGGCGTGGATAAGTACATTTAGGCCTGGATTTTCACCCGAGTAGAAAGCATTGCAGTCCGGGTAGTAACCGAGGACTTTTGTCTGGTTACCACGGAAGATGAAATCCAGCACTGCACACTGCTTGACTTCGTAATAGGTCGGGTCGGTATTAGCCATGATCCTGGCGCCCAAGAAGCTGATTATACGCATTGTGATAATAAATCCAGCCTGGCAGTTGTACTTTGTCAGTCTAACTACTCAGAAAGTAAAAGTAGGAAAGAGCAGTAGCTTCTTACATATACCCAGGCCCTGAGCATCCATGCGCGATGTTGCTCGATCTGGAGCTGCTTGACATTGTATATGGCAAGACCCAGCGCTCCGAGAAACATAATGCTGCCCGCACCCGCCGCCGTCTGCATGCTAATGCCGCCACCAAAGGTCCGCCGGGCAATCATGAAGACACCAATAATGCCGACGATGCTCAGGAGAAGGACGAGGTATCCGTTAAGGCGGTGGAACAGGATAGCCTTGTGACGAATGACGGGGACAAATTGAATGCAGGCCAGGAAGCCACCTGGCAATACGCCGGCGAGATGCATGATAATTCCGATCCGACCCGTGCCAGACTGGTAGAAATAGCATTCTCCGGGAAGGCTTCGTGAGCTGTGGTCGGGGTTGCAAAGAATGCCATCAATGTTCATATACATCATACGGGCAAGGATAAAGCCTATCATGGCACCGGCTGTAATGAAGAAGAGGGTAAAATTATAGCCCTTCTTGAAGCCGAGCGGATTGTAAATCTTCCGTGCAAATGCAACAAAGCCATTGGCAGGGGGTTTTGGTAGAGGAGGCATGGTGGACAGGCTTGCTCCGTGGACTATTAAACCATTGAGTGAGCAGGATGTATAGGATGAATAGACCAGAGTGAGACAGTATACCGCCACTTTTCACTTTCTTATTGTTAAAGAATAGAAAGAAAGAAAAGTGAGTTGCGAGGTCGATGGTAAGAGGATAAGCTAATCCCAGGGACGAGGCAAAGGGCCTCATATACGTCAAAAGCAACGCATCAGGCCATGGAAGCAACCCAGGAGGTCGGACACCTGCCTCAAACTAGTAACAAGCCTTAACAAGGGGATAAAGAGGGGATGAGGGGGCAACGGGCGATAGCTACCACCCAGCAGGGTCAGACAGGGTAAGAGGGCTGGGCTGGGCTAGGCGGCGACATATCCGGTACCTCCGAGAGACGCATCATTGAAGCTGAGCATCGCAACATAGCCGTTCAGCGGCGCATTGAAGCCATGTTTCACGGGTCGCATGGCACCATGGAACGCTAGATAGAGGAGCTTGGCATGCCTTCTTTTCAACAGCATAACGCAAGGCCTCGGCCGAGAAGGTGGCGATGCCACATCCAAACTTTGACTGGGGGAGGAAGGCAAGCTTGTCTCCCGACTAGGCGGCTAAAACAGCGTGAATTCTCGAGCAGGTATCCAGATGGGGAACACATATCCGTGTTAAGCAGGAGAAGGAGAGAAAGTGTGGCACCGGGGAATCTTTTGCAGGACGAACGATGCATGGTCACCGGTCCTGCCACCGGCCGGACTGGCGGCAAGGAAAGAGAGAAAGGGGGAACCAGCCAGTCAGAAGCAGAGATGGTACATGTCTACCTTGCGAAGCACTCAATTGAAAGAACTTTTCCAGTTCCCAGGCGAGGGAATTACCTGACGTGCATATGGCGTGTGCACCAGAACCACGCGATGCGGCCGTACGGGCGGGATCGAATGCAAGCGGGCCGCATTAGTGTCGATTTCGGGGGGCGGGGCGGGCAAGGAAAGATGAGATGTTTGACAAGATGATGGGCTTATGGCGGTGTGTGCGGTGCGTCTCGACCCAACCTCATCACATCACATTATGTGCCTTGATTTTCAACCCCGCCACAGCGAATGGGATGTCTACCAAACCGCATCTTGCAGCATCGCCTTGCTCGTTCTTCGCTTTCGTCCTGAATCACTAAACACCACCCGTAAGAAATTGGGGTCATGCGGGACGGAGAGCCAAGAACTTTATGGCACACCTACGTCTATGTTGGTCTCGGCTTGTCTACTGGAGAATGGGCTGCGTTTAGCTGGAGGACACGAATGGATAATAAATACTCCGTACATGGAAAGCAGATTGGGAGGCTAGATGAGAGGCAGGGCTTGATGCTGACCTTACTGCACCGCCCCGTTGAGAAAGCGAGAACCTGAGTGCAGAACGGTGGTTCAAGGCTGGTAACTGCGAGGCAAGGGACTTCGTCTCTCAGAGCTAGCACATCACAGACTGCCTGTCCTGTTGGTGGAGCTGGAGTTAAGCTAGTCAGTGTAGACCGTTGGAAGCTTTGGCCCCCTTTGACGTGTAAGGGCAAAAAAAAAAGAAAAGAAAAAGAAAAAAAGAAAAGACCGACCCCAGCACCGTCACATGATGTGATACGTACTGTTCCTTTTAGGTTGGTGCGTGTCCCTCTGCCCCACCATCACCATCACCATCGCCGTCCCGTGTCCGGCCGCGTCTCCGTCGTGCCCCCGCTGTTATCCTCTGCCGCTCTCAAACCCTTCTTTCATACTACCTCTGTCTTATATGCTTCTTGTATAGCAAACGTTTTGGCATTGATTTTGCCTCAAAATGTCTTCAGATCCAGCCGCCCCGCCAACAATAATAGCCCAGAAGCAAGCCTTTCTTACCAACCAGACTCGTCTGCTTTCGCAGCCCTTACATCCGTCCAAGGCCTGGCTCGTCGCAAATGAGACCTCGGAATCCCCAGTTACTGACCCGGTTATTGAGCATGTCGTCGCCCGTTTAAACCATATTGTCACCCAGCACTCTCGACGTGCCTATTCCCATCAGGCAAGCCGTCATGTTGCTGAACAGATTGACGCCCTTTACCTATCACATCCGACAACCATTCAGAAAGACGAGCCTTCTGAAGGTCTCTCCGTCTCTTTGGACTTGAGTAAGTGCCACCTTCCATGTTGCATCGACACTCGTGTTACTTGGTGCACAAGTTGACGCAGCCTGAGCGAAGCCGACGATGCTGCCGTGAAGTCGCTTCCCGCAACATGGCCGGCTGAAGAGATTTCAACTAGGTATCCCATGGAAGCGAGGCGGTATTCTGAGCAGCTTGAGCGTCTTAAATCGCTCGCTGAGAAGAGACAGCAGGTAAAAGACCGTATTGATCGGCTCCGGCACATGAAAACTCTGCTGGACCATTTTCGCTCAGACGAGTCCGGTGCAGGCGTCCAGGAGAACCTCGTCACCCGCGGCGGCGATGTCGAAAGGGAAATGGAAAAGATGCGCGTCTTGCTGGCCCGCGTGGGAGGCCGCGTCAACCTCCTGCCGGAGTCTACTGAGTCCGGAAGTCTCTTCAGGGAGGAAGACTCCCTCGTTGTTGAGCCTGTGTTCACGGGGGAGAAGCGGAAACTCGACGACCTACTAGACAGGTTTTGAGGGACTGTATGGTGTTCTTCGAGCATCAAAATGAATGGAGCAGCTGTAGACAGTTTCATTGTCTGCATTGCATAACTGGACAGGGAGAGCATTTGATCTAGGTTTAAGGATACCCCCAACGTTGTGAATAAGTAACTACTTTCTTCCACCAGCGGACTTAACAGTCGTTCCTTTCCTTTCAATCTTAATACCTTTATCTCAACATTCCCAAGGCATTCGCACGCGGTTGCCTTGTGTTCTTCTGTCTGAGTCTAACATAGCAAGCATCGGCGCGTTACAGAGATCCTCGCTAGTGGGCGCAATGCTTTTTTTCCTCTGCTTTATTTCGCCCTCCAGCGTAGCATCCTTGGCACTGTCATCAACATCCAGGCCCTTTGGTTTCTTGTCGCGTGGTTCAACATCCTTGGATACTATGTTTTCTTCAGCAAACGGGTTCGGCCGCACGACTCGCAACTCGACGATGGCCTCATCCTTGTGCTCACTTGAAACTTTGTAGTACACCCGCAACCCTACTACAGCAACAGCATTCCACGGATCTCTTTCAAGCTCGTCCTGGTCGTCCAGATGGACAGGAGGACTCGACGCTGGCAGCACACGCCCAGCAGGCATGCATTCCCGTGCTTCAACCGCCTCGATTTCTATTTCCAACTCCCGTTCAGACAGTTCAGACAAGGAGGAAACGCTGGTTGAGTCATCTTCAGACTCACACAGCACTTGTTCCGAAACGTCTGACGGTGGTGATGATTCTTTTCGTGTCTCTTCGCTCTCGTCGGGGGTAGTATGACGGCTCTCGCTCTTCATGCTGCTAGCACTTTGGGGCATTTCCAAATTTGATATTTCTGCATGCCTCGTGATATTTTGCGTAGCATTCGGTGGCTCATATAACAACTTGTCTGTTTTCTCTGCTTGCATTCCCACGAACAGCGTTGCTCTGTCTCCGTGCGACGCGGGTTGCAAGGGCATTTTCGGTGTTTGCGTGGAACCACTGTCTGCTGAGTTGCCCTTCCCTACTTCATTTGCTCCCGGTGTATTTAGAACACCGGGGTTCAACTTGATTTGCTGGGATTGGGCGTGATTCTGGTTCATGGGCTGGAGTTGTGTTGGATGTGCGTGAGATGTTCCCGTATCTGGGCGCTTTTCTGGTTTGCTGTGGGTTATGACTTGGCCAGCTCTCATACTTTCAACCCGAGACTTTTGTCTGGCATTGCGTTTGGCCATTTGCTTCTGATTTCTCTTCAAAGCCTTGATTCGCAAATAGTGTTCCTGTTCTCGTTCCACTTGGATTCTGTGTTTGATCTCGGCACGTTTCTTCTCACGTTCTTGTTTCTCGTGAGTTTCCCTCGCTGCCTTCTCCTCGGGCGATTCGATTACCTTTCCCTTGCTGTGAGCAAGGTCGTAGGCTAGCCCAATGCGAATCAATTTCTCACGACGGCTTTTGGCGTTATTCCTAACAACCTGTTCCACCGGAAGAATGTGATCATTTCGCACGGCATCGAGTCTGACCAAAACTTCGTACATGCCAGCCTCTAATTCAAGTTCCACATTGACAGACCTATTCATACGGTAAGAAGCCTGACTCCGTACGACATAGTCCTCCTGGCCGGCTTTGTGTACGCGGAATTGCAAGTCAAACCTGTATTGGCCTTCCAAGCCACGGAAGTAGCGGTCATCAAGTTGTGCCAAGACCAAGACTATGGGGCCAGGCCTGGACAGCGTGAATGCGAAATGAGTATCATGATAGTCGAGAGTCCATGGAACCGAGAGCGTTGTCCATATAGACGTGACTTTCCAGTCGGCACCAAACAAGCGCGTTACGTCAAAAATGCTGTATTTTTTGAGTAAATCTTGGTAAGAAATCCAGAAGGCGCCGTCATCGCCGAACTTGTGGTTTAGTTTCTGCAGCCACTCGGGAGTCCATTCTTTAGAGCCATCGCCTGTTGTTGTTAGCGTGGGAAAGAGGTGTCACATTATGTCAATCGCGTCACTTACTCCAGGCACCTTTCCACTCTCCTTTACCCCAGGGATTTTTTAGCAAAACGAGTCGTTCATTGTTCATCTCAATAGCTTTCATCACGCTGTAGGCATGCATCTCGATGATACCTTTACGTTCGCCCCATCCTCTCGACGCAAACCCAGTGGAGCATCCAAGAAGGCACTCCTGATTGACTTTGAGAAGTTTCTCTTTCCAAAAGAACTCCTTGTCCAGTATGTCTGTGGTGTAGATTTCCGAGGTAACACCGCCAGTAAGGTCTTCAATAGCCTCGCCTGTAAACCCTCCCTCGATTGAGGCGTAGTCCCCATGTGCCTTGGCGAAGGCTTTCTCGAGGAGCGGAAGCCATGTTTCGTTAGGATTCTCACACTGGGCGAAATAAAGAGCGCCGCTGTTTGATTGATAGATGCGCCTATATGCCTCTTCTGAATTTACGCGCTCCCGGTCCTCCCAGAGGATACGTTCCAGGTAGCCCTCATCGTAGTCGGGCTTCGTAAGATACAGCTATAACAAGCGTTAGCACAAATGTTTACTCATATACCAAACCACTTCAGTCAGTTGAAACGACTACCATGATCAATAGTCTGTGTATGGGCATGTTCGCAATCGGCGTACCTTGTCGTCGATGATTTCGCTGAACCACTCCCCATCTCGATGAAATACAAAGCCGTAAACACCAACGTCTTGGTCGTGTGCGACGCAAACCTTCTCAATAAGGCCAGGCTTGTTGCTCAGATTACAAAGCGCAGCCATAAGCCAGCAATCCCCGTCTCGACCTTGGCGCACATCATTAGCTGTTGGGCCATCAATGTAGAACTGCGGGTTGTCGAATATGTCGACAACTCTCTTGACTGACTTCGGCATAAACGACGGCTGGCGGTTGTCCTTGTCTTTAGTATTCCAAAGGGACTCCAAACAGTCTCGTCTTCCAAATTTGAGATCAAACTCAAGATCGAAATGAGGATCCCGATACTTCTGGTTCACCCTTCGACACTCCTGCACAATCTTGTCGACCTTGGCTCTGCAGACGGTAGCGGCCTCGACATATGACGTCTGAGTGTATACGCCTGTAGCCGTGGTAGGTCGCCTGGCGATTTTTTCGGTGTACTCATTCTGAGGAATGATGGTGGTCGCTGCTAAAGTCAATGCCAGCTGTTCTCAATCTGACCGCCAAGTATCGCAGAGGGATGTGGCTAACCTTTTCCTGGAGTCTTGGTGGTAAAATTCGCCCAGAACTCGTCAATTATGTCTTGAGGGGATTGCTGCTTCGCTCTTCGGGGTTTGCTAATAGTAAGGGGCATTCTGGTTAAGTATGTTTGACGATGTGTCTGATCGAGCCCAGGCTGGATTACTGGCAATGAACCAGAACTGGAGCCAGAGCTGGGGCTGTAGGCCATATTGGGTGAGGCCCTTAAGGCAACTATTAGACAGAAATTGCCAACAACGTCTCGTTGGTGCAACTTCTAACGCAAACACGTAAACGAGACGAGGGCACTTGCAGGCGAACACTTGCTATGGAAGGAAAGTAATCCCCTCAACTGGAATGGAGAAGAGGATACATAGAAAGACAGCAACAAGGCGTAACAGTTGACAGACTGAAATTGAAAAGAATTTGAGAGGAGGAACGATGACAATTTAAGGTCAGGCTCTGGCTGCACGGCATGGACTTAGGCGCAGACTTGCAATGTGGTGTTGGAGGGCGGCAGATCTTATACCAGGGTGGCTGAAGTGCTCCATGATAATGAGGTACTGGTTTGTGTTCGAACTAAAGCAAGCCGGCTGACGACGGTAACCCCAGCCTAAGGCGCCCTTACACCGACCTACAGGCCAGCCGCACGAAAAACATACAGAACGTGACTGCAAGCCTGGCTGGGCTGACGCTTGCCAGGGGGCAAGTAGAACGCCCGTAACGAAGCAATTTGCTCGAACGTTTCTTTCTAGGTAGCGAACTAGCTTGAGGCAGGCAGGTAGGCAGAAAAGGAACGGGGGGTGGCGCTTACTGCCTTACCAGCGTCTGTGGGACGACAATCCATACATTTAGTAGGTACTGGTAGCAGAAGAAGTCGGCATGTAACTCATGCGGGCTGCATGCAAGAATACCGCATCAATATAATCACACTCCAGTCACTGTATGTGGGCTCCCTGTTGTCGATTTACCCCGCTGCAACTTGGTGTGGTGGCTAACTCCCGACGCCAACAAGGCAGCAGAAGCCACCTAGCAAATTATCGCCGACCGCCAACGAAGGTGGGCTGTTCTGCAATGAGACGCAAAATAGTCGCATGTTCCGGTGCGACTGGGATCGAAAACGTTCCGAGAGGCCAGAGAGAGAATTGTAACGCTCTTGAACAACATACCGATGGCCAAAGCTTATCGGCACCGCTGGCCTCCGCAACAGATCGGTAAGCTTCAAGGACGAGAGCCCAGCTTAGGCTACACAGCATACACTCTACAACACGCATTCATTTGTAAGTCATGATCTTACTCGCGAGGGTAGAGGCGACAGACCAGAAAGTCTGGCTGGCGAGTAAGGACAGAGTTTCAACGAGCTTCAAAGAAGCTCGTCTGTTGCCTGTGACTGAGGCAAATTCCGGGCTGACGTCCCTTAGGAGACCTATATCGTCTCAAGGAAACCTCGGCCCAACCATTGCAGGGCAGCTTCTTGCCCTCAACCCTGCCTCAACGTCGTTCCCCAGCTCTGTCTCGGTCTTCTACCTGAGGAAGGCAAATGCAGTAAAGTCCGTTACATCGTTTCCATCCCAAACTCTAGCAGGATCGACCACAGCTGCCGACTGTGAGGCCTAGCGGCAGCGCGACTTCATCCGACATCCCCTACGCATTACGACGTCCTTTCCCAGTGACAATATCGACCAGTTCAAATCATCTCGAAGAGCCCATCACAATATCATCTCCTTCCTCCATGGAAACTCGGACAGCTCAATCAACAGCTTCTTTTTTTTTTTTGTGCGTCACACCACAACAGCTTTGCCGGGGTGTCCACCATTTCTCCCTTCGAAAGGGTCTTCTACTCAACAACCACTTCCACCGCCCCAAAACTTCTTCTTCTTCTTCTTCTTCACAAGAAACTCGGATCTCTCACCTCCCCCTTAGCCCCGTCTTCCATTCCAATAATCCCAGTCCGACATGCTTGATCAGCCATGGCCTAGAGGCAGTTTGAACTGCCATCCAGGCGCTGCGGACCAATACAAGGCGGCAGTTCAAATCCCCAGCTGCAAGCCGCCTCGACACCGCTGTCTGTTATGTGGAGTGCTTTCGTTGCCGTCGTCGTTCGCGTTCCATCTTGTATCGCGCGCCAACGGTAACCAACGTCTGTACTAGCCAAAGGGCATGTCCGATCAACTAGGCAGGCCGAGCCAGACAAACTGTAGATGGCCGTGAGGGTCATGAACTTTTCTTTCCAAATGCTGGAATGAAGATGCATACAAATACGTTGAGACCGTCCGTCGTGAGAGTCGTTGCAAAGAACCAAGGGTACTATGAAGAAAGGAAGCCTTTCCCGTTTTGTTCCAGAAAATGAATCGTGTTGACGAAGGGGAATCCCAGTAGACGCCGTGTAAAGCAAAGGATGTCGGCTGGAGACAAGCCAATTTTATGCAGAAAATAAATGTAGTAACCAGAATGAAAAGGGTAAGGTGCAGCAGTAGTGGTAAGTAGGTGCGAGAGGCGTAAATGGTCGTACTGGAACATGAAAGAGACGACGTTGCTGAAACGATGTCACCGGAGGGTGCAGGCGAAACACCTCCGAGTTGTGCAAGACATTCCGCCTGCCTAGGCCTGGAATCGCCTCACTGAGGAGGCGCGGCCGCGGACTACCATTTAAGCGACCGGAGCGATGGGCGCAACGGCGGGCGCGGCAATGCCGGTAGTAGCGGTGATGTCAACGTCGTTGGGAATTTCGCCAGTCGCGTTCTTCTGGGGGCAATCGCGGGAAATGTGGCCAGCTTCACCGCACTGGTAGCAGGTCTTGCCAGCAGTGTTGAGAGGGCCACCGTTAGGAGCAGTGCAATCACGAGAGATGTGGCCGAGCTTGCCGCAAGCGTAGCACTTCATGGCTTGAGCCTGGCAGTCTCTTGCGAAGTGGTTGGGGCCGCCGCACTTATAACAGGTAGCGGGGCGGGGACCACCAGCAAAGCCGCCGCGGCCGTAACCACCGTATCCGCCACGGGGGACCGGGGCTCCGCGGCCAATACCGACGCCGGCAGGGTTGGGACAAGCGCGCTTTTCAAAACGTTAGAAAAGTGCTAATGTTAACATTCTGGGGGTGCTCACAGCAAGGTGGCCAGGTTGGCCGCAGTTATAGCAACGGCCACTAGTGCCAGCGCCGCTCAAGCGCAGAGTAGGGCAGTCAGCCTGAACGTGGCCCAGGCCCTGGCAGTGGTAGCACTGCTTGGCCTCGGTAGTGCGGGGCAGGGGGCAGCCGTTAGATTCATGGCCAGGCTGCTTGCCTAATTTGTAGAGTCAGTAGAGGCTTCTAATCGAAGGTTTGAAGGAGCGTAAACTCACAGTTGTAGCAAAGACGCTCGGCAGAAGAGCAGACCTCAGCGTAGTGGCCAACATTGCCACACTTGTAGCAGGCGCGACGGGAGAGAGAAGACATTTTGTTTGTTGTAAGCTACAAGAGTGTCTAGTTAGTTAAATCATCATCAACAGCAAGCCTCATGTCTCTATCCCCTAGTAAGTACATCAAAGCCTCGCCAGCCTGGTGGTTTTCGTGGTGTGACATGTTATTGCTCCCATACGCAATTCGACTTCTAGATACTGTCTTGTTGGATTTGGTCGGTGGCACATCATGTTCAATAATGACGTGTTTTCCAGTACCGCATCGAATAAAATGCACTTAGGGCGACTTCCGAATAAGCGGATACTCGGATCCCGTCACACAGGCAGTTGGAGGCACAGCTAAGAAGTAACATCCTGAACCTGGTAGAGGCCGTGGATAATGTGGGCGATGTGCTCAATAGTAAAAGAGGCCCCCGAGGCGTGCGGCATGGCTGTAATGGCAGCGAATGATGAGGATAGCAATCGTCGCCTGGCCTTGGCCTTTCCGATGCACAAGTGCGGCTGAGGGATTATCAAAGATGATCCACCGAGGGCTTTTCGAGAGCGCGGCGCATCGGGGCGAGATCGAGGCGCGGGGCCGAGTTATTAGGCGGGGATAGCGCAAGCGAAGCAGCCGTACTGTGCGACAACGGATACTGTTCAGGAAGGCCGGGGTCGGTCGTCGGGTGCTTGAGGTTTGATGCGGACAGAGGAGGCTTGAGGCAAGCTGCTAGTCGATTGTGGGATCGGAACAAATCGTTGCTGTTGGTAGGAGAGTAGGCGATTGCGGTGCGCAGATTTCGATGGTGTATTTATGGCGACTCAACCAACAGGCGGGGTTTGTGCACTTGAGCCGAGGGAAATGCGCAATGCGAGCAACGGCGGCGATGTCGTCGTCGCCTGCTGCAATGATGAACGGCCCATTTTCGCGACGATGATGGCTCAATGCGCTCAAGAAGCCGCGCAGGTTCGTGTTGCTTTGGGTGGGCGCAGTGTGGTGTCGATTGAAGGTATGCGTAGCTGGGCGGCGCAGCTTGGTGGTGTCGCACAAGTGAGAGTTATGCGACGAGGAGAGCAAAAAGGTCGCGCGGTACACCAGGCCAGGAGAGAAGACAAGGAGAGGGGTAGAGATAGAATACTGGGAGACCCTCATGCAATGGATGAGGGTACAGTCAAGGGCGAAACTCACCTTTTTGCGAAAAAATTGCCTTTGGAGAAATGGGAAACCAGAGTTCGTTGCCACAAAAGTTGCGTTTGCTATCTTTACACGGGCAAAAAATAAATAATGTGTGAAGAAAGAGGGGTCCGGTCCGATTCTAGTAGCGAGGAGGGGGGAAAAATGGACGGCGGGCGACGGGAACTTGCTTCCGGAAACTGATCTTCAGCGAAGAATAAGAGCTGGCTGACGGGAACCCAGGGCAACCTTTCTCAACGAGGGAGAATTTTTTTGAGAGTTTTAGTGATGATGTTAAGTGGAAGAAACACGAAGAAGGATGGAAGGGAAAACCACAGGAAGGTATTAGTTCGAAGGAAGTCGGGCGGATGCCCTGGGTCGGGGAGGGGGTTCTGGGTCAGTCATAGTCACTTCCGAGTCTCTTGCGGGTTGTCGCAGTCACCAAAGGTCACTTTGCCTTAATGCTTAGTCCTCCAGTCAGTGACTGCAGTAGTGCCGGATAGAAGAGAGGGGGAGCTCAAGTCCAGAACTCCGACCAGAAGGGAAGGGACACACGCCATGGGCAGGGCGGGGACAGCCTGGGCTCACTTGAACTGAACGGGCTGATTTTAAAAAGCACCTGCAGGTGCACCTTCTCCATCTGTCATCCATCTGCACCTATTACATAGTACACCTACACCTGCTGAATCTCATCCAGCCACCTGCTTCTGTTCGCACGGCTGCTTTCATCCCCCATTGCCTTGTTATGTAGGAAACACTGGCAATTGGGGGGCCAGAGTGAGCAAAGTTTCTGTCTCAGCCTTCTTTCCCTTGATGGTTGAAGTCCAAGGTCCAGCCAGGTCAAGGTCTAGGGGAGATACATGAGAGGGACCTCGGGAGAACGGACCAACTGGGGCCATCACGACGTCAAAGGTGGAAGGGCGGGGGAGAAACATGGCGCCAGGGGCAGCGGACCCAAGTATCGCAACGGTACCCCCGACTCTCCCGCTTTCCATCTTCCTCCTTCCACTATACTGTGCCTCCTGCTTCGTATCCGCCACCCATAGAACCTAACTGAGAAGGTAACGAGAACAGGACTCAAACTCACGGTCTGTTCCTGTTCCTACTGCCCTTTTCTGTTCGTGTCGATAACCACCTTTCTTGGAGTAGGTGGGGCGGGTCAAGTTTCATGGCATATCTCACTCATCCTACCATGTACATTCCAAAGCATTATAAGGCACCCTGGCCATCACTCTTCTCTCATACCATCATAAATCGTGGAAGCGCACAGAGAAATAGCACTCCCAATACAAAAACTAGGAGCCCTTTTCCCTCTGAGCCAGTCAACAAATTATAGACGAGAACAGGAACACCTATCACATCTTGTGACGCCCTAGCTCTTCTGATACGAAGAGATGCGAAAAGCGGGTGGTGGGATCTCACCCCCTGGTCTTGTCATGGCGCTCTCTTGCCGCGAGAGCCACACCAATCTATCGTTTCCCCCTCTTCTACCATCAAATCAACCCCTCCTCGAAACACAGCGCGCTAAATTCCATCTAAGCGAACTATCCGGGCCAAATACCTCACCTTGGTTAAAGCCCATTTTCCCTTGCCCAGTCTGCATACTGCAGTAGCTTAGTCCGTGTCCATGTGCTGTGCCTGACCCAAGTCCACGTCCGTGTACCTCCCGCATACTCGGACGTTTGCCTCAATTCTGTCCATCTTGCTTGGCCTCTTGTCTTCCATATTGCAGCTCTTCACCCCGCTGCGAAGCGCAACTAGGGTGAGAAGCACAAATTCGTAACCCGCAAATCCTTTCTCTGCCCGTTCCTTCTCAAGCACAAAGGCTACATGTAGCCAGAAGATGCTTGCCTGTCGAGCCTTTGTGGCGCGGGTACAACGAGTTTTCCTCTGCAGCTGCGAGCGAATATGACTCGAACATTAGAAGCATGTCAATAAACCTTCTCGCGCTACCAGCCAATCGGCCATTCGGCATCGGCATGGCAGCATCTACCTGTGGGCTGAAAGAACGTGTAACCAACATCGCTTCCCAAAAGCAATCTGTAGGGCTGCTCAACCTTATTCACCATCCGCCGTTGTATCTTACATACTTTGCACACGTTCCAGCCTGCTTCAAAGGATACATCATATCTTCAGCCACAAAAAAGCCACCCAATGCAAGCGCCATCTGTCCAGGACGAATACTGGCATATTGTGGAACCATCTTCGTAGTACTCCCAAAAGCATGCCCTCTTCACGTTTGATGCTTCTGTTTGTACTGTCTTGTATATCATGCATGTTCTCTCCCGATTCACCCGAGGCCCTTGGATACCGTCTATACTATACATAATGCGCGCTACCATCAAGTCATGGAATGGTACTCTGATCCAGGCCAACTAGGCACATATAGAAAATTGAGACGTCCACTAGATCACAAAGCCAACCAGACTTATCAGCCAATGCAGCTACAAGAAGCTGTCCCACCTTCCCGCGATAACGCTGCCAGTTGCACGCCTCAATTACCCTTCACCATCTCACCAAATGTGCCGCCAATCTCATGTTCATCACATTACTATACCAAGTCTGTTCTCCTAGCAAATTCGAACGCACACCCGAGTTGCATCACCACGGAGCTCGCCGATCATTCATTCTCCCGACTTCGGAAGGATGCGGCGGGAGTGGGACTTCCGTCACCACAGGCGCAACTGACCGGGGTCGAGCGTCAACGACGTAACTTACTCCGTCTTCAGATGCGTATGACGGCGGCCGTGGCCCACTACTGGCCTCTCTGGACCTTGAAGGTCCCTCATTCGATACTGCGTTTGGATTCCGCTGCCAGTATATTCTGTTAGGGTCGACCCGCTAGTTCACAACCGTCAGTTTCCACATCGTGCATGATATCTCCAAGGACGATACATACCACACTTTCTCTCCAGAGGCCATAGGCCGGTGGTTGAGCCTTGATTGCTTCATTCACTTCGCTTTGATCTTCTTCATCGCGCGCCAGCACGACTCTGATAGGCTCCCGAGGCACCGCATAACCGCCAGGGGCTATAAGTTGGGGCATCGATGGTCTGGCTTCCTCGTCGGGGCGTGGTCGGATGATGAGCATACAAAGCCGAATCAAGCCATGGCAGAAAAATATTGTGGTGAACAAAATGATAAGTATCAGAAGCACCGTAAATTCGCTGCTTCGAATGTTTTGCGTGAGAGAAAGTGCGAGGTCTGCCATCGTAGATGCTAGGTTAATAACGACTGAGCTGCCGGTCGAGCTGGGTTTACTTACAAACAGCCAACAACAGTGCTAAGAAACTTCCTGAGATTAAGCATCTAAAAATTTGCGATCGCATGCGTCGCGATTTTACCCAGGGGAGACAAAGTAGGAACCTTTTCGGGTGCCCCTCATCACCATCATCTTGATGATTGCGCTGCCCTTGTCGTCTTCGTCTGCGTCCTTCTTGGGCCATTTGTGCCAAATGCATCTCTGCTGGATCCGGCCCTGTGAATCTCCTTGTCCGTCTGTGCGATTCTGATCGGGCACGCTGAGCTATGGGTGGGGGGATAGCGACTGAAGCATCCTGCGATCCACCTGCTCTCATCAGGTACGGTTCGGGAAGCGGTTCGGTCACTGATCGGCTGGGAGCTGGTTGTTCTGGGTTAGGACGCGAGTCTGAGCCGGTGGAACCACTCGTCCAAGTCCTTGTCAGATGTGGAAGATTCAACCGGGTGCCTGGTAGTGTCGGCAAACCCAAGTTAAACTGTGGGGTTTTTGGGCTGTCGGCCTCGCCATCATCGAGTCGCTGCATCCTGCCGCCAGGATGTCTTCTCGTAGACGAGGCAGGCCGTGTTCCAGGCAGACGCCTTGGTCGAGATCGAGAATCTTCCCGCATTTCCGGTTGCGCGGATGGTCCAGCCAACGCCTGCTGCTCAATATCCGGCCCATTTGAGAACCGTCCTCGTCGAAGAAAGTCCATGCTGGCGGGTTCGGATTGGGATGTCACCCCTAATCTTGGTCTGAAAAGTGTGTCTGTAATTATTACCGTCGAGAGTTCGTCATGCTTTGATATATGACAACGGGGAGGGGCATGCGAGTCACCGATGTATGTTTCGTAGCCACCGTGCGGACACCGTCGACACCGCCGACGGCGTAGGCGTGGCGAGGGATCCCCTTCAGTCGATTAGAAGGGCGAGGCGAGTCAGCGTAACTAGGAGAAACAAAGGTTGTTATCCGTTTCGTTGGGTACGCCTGGTAGAACGCCAACAACGGCCCAGATAACGGTCTGGAGACTTGGAGGCGGGGAAAAGGGGAGGAACAATGAATTGCAGGTAGGCTTTAAGCTAGGGCTCAGAAGGAAGAAAGGCATCAACGGCGTATGAAAAAAAGGGGTTTGAAAGTTCAAGATAAGGATACTCGCGACGCAGTGCAAGAGATTGAAAGGGTATCAAGAAAAACAACGATGGCGATGCCCTTGGCTCTCAGAGCCGGCAAAGCAACTGGAAGTTTGTATGAGCGCCGGGGACTGTAAAATGTCAAGGGTAAAGAGATACAGGACTAATCAATGAGAATCAGAATGGGGGAAAGAAGCCAGAAAGGCGCCTGGCGCCATCAACATGACGCTGGGGAAAGAGATCGGTGAAGGAAAGCGAAATGCTTGAAAGAAGAAGGAAATTGGAGAGAACAATAAGGTAAAGTCAGGTTCGGCACGGCGAGGTACCGACAGCTATGCGTCTCTCCTAGTGTCTCCCGTCCATCCATACAGACTCCATGCGAACGCCTACTGCTACGTAGCAATTTGGTTCGCTAAGACTGGTCGAGGCGAGGCAGGGCAGGGCAGGGTAAGGCAAAACAAGTTTGCAAGCCTGGAGATATTGGTAGGGTATGGAGACTAAGGAACGGAGGCCAAGTCTACGCGAAGGGAGTGGGCAAAAGTGCCATGTACACCGAGTGTGTGGGAAGGTGTCCCATTACTGGACGAGACGGAAGAAAAACAAGTGCGTTCGCGAACCTGACCACACAGACACCAGTCTCATCCCAGCGCATTTGGGAACCTGCGACTTTACGACGCTGGAGGTGACGAGGAGCTTGACAGCAAGAGGCGGAAACGTGCAGTTTCTGCGGCGTGGAGAACAGGAGCCTGTTGCTTCGGATTTGGACCCTTGCGCTAAGAGAGACCAGCTGATCCAATAAAACCATCAAGAAGACAGCGGGGGTGAGCAGGAGGCTCATTCTCGTCTGTGCCACGGGGAGGAGGGGTGGGGAGGAGAAAGATGGCACTAAAGGTGGATGGATTAACCATCTCTTGTTGACTTCTGTGACAGCTCAAGTGTTGCATGATGGTCCAGGGGCTTCTAACTACCATCTCAAAGAAGCGGTTGGCCAATAGAGCGCACACAGGGGGGCTCATTGGATAGCAGCAACTGTTTCGGATTCGACATCTGCGAAGCGCTAATCCTACTTTGGCTACCGCCGTCGCTACTGAAGATCGACGGCCTGGGGTGGAAGTCGCCTGCTGTTTGGTGTGGAAAACCCAGAGGCCAACCACAACCACTTGCAAAGAACATTCCGGTACTACGGTAGGCGACAAAATTAGCAGCCACGCGCGCTTCAATAGACCCGGTTTGAGGGTCTATTTCTAGGTGGTGGGTTGTTTCTTTCACCCTTTTTTCTTCTTCCTTACATGCGGCAGACGATGGCTTTATCCTTCAGACGTCCGCGCGTACGAACTACCAAAACTACTGTGACCCAACTCCTATACGGCTTCTGACGGGTGAGCCGTTGCTTTTATTGCCTCAACACTGTGATCGCATTTTCTCTTTATCAAAAACCGTATGGGGCCAGGACTAATAAATACCTTTCAAATAAGGTACAGTCATGGATACTTGAAACCTCCACACTGTTCTTACCTAAGTCAGCCACGAGACGTTCGAATTTAGCTCGAATACTCATTTCACTACCCACAAAGCCTGGGAATGGCTGCCACTTCACTTCACAAAGGAAGTACCATACAAGCCAGCCGTACGTCGTAAGACCTTGCCGTAGCTTTATTACTGTCCTTAATCCATTATTGTCAACGGAGCTTTAGGGCATCCGGGCTGTCGGAGAGGATGCGGTCTGTCTCATTGTCCAAAGTGACGGCCCCCTTAACATGTTGTTTCTGCTGTCACACCCTGTTCCCAGTCCATAAATAGTTCTCGAGTCGCCAGTTGGCATTGCTTCCGGTCTCCAAGAGTCCTCCAAACTCTCTGCGAGCCGATAGAGTTTACTGAGCGTCACCCCTCTCAATCATCACTCGGCAAGAGGCCAAAAGCGGGCGCTCAGAGTCCTGATTGATAGGTTTTCGCGCCATTCTACTACGTAGCAGCCCATCTCATCTCAGACATGTTCTGCCTACATTCGCGATACATTGGGCACGGTCTACTACCTCACTGGATTTCTTCTTTGGTTCGTGATCGCGCCCCGCCCGCTGCTTGCCATTCCTCTGGAAAGCAAAGCAGTACCAGCGAAGTTACCCCAGATTGTCTGGATCTCGCTCCGAGGCAGCGGTTATCAGATGTCAAATGTTGGCCAGGCGGACCTGGCTTGTAGAGACTGGACTGGTCCTCAGCGAGGTCACAAGTACCGCTTTTTAAGGCTCCGTTTCTCGCAACACACGGGGAACCTTGCGAGACTGTCTCAGGGTTGTTCCCAAACCCTATTACGTAGTGGAGCAGATACACTGGACGAATGTTCACTGTCTGGGTCACTGGGCGAGAGAGGTGCCCAGTTGAGACTACGTCTACTAGGCCGCAATGGCATACTTCGAAATACCGAAATCAGCATTTCTTTTTCGGGGTATCAAAGCCACCGTTATTCGTGTCGATTTGACACGCCGCCAGTTGATTCTATTGCTGAGCCTGTCCCTTTCCCAGCCTTAACTCATGCCTCCCCGTTTATACCATAGTATCGAATTAGGCTGTTGGTGTACAAATATGAAAGGGGGAAAAAGCCGTCCTTTCACTTCAACTAATCGTCACTCCATTAGGATTTCGCTTTAAAGTCGCGAGTATCCGTAGTTGATAACAGCATTCGCATCTCTGGTGACTGAAATATAACTCTTCGTTGGCGAAAGGACCTGACGTCGTGAATCAGTGAAAAAGCAAGTTTGCTATCGTCAAGCTGCTCATGATACACCAGACTTTGACAGTCAATATTTTCTTTCAACGTAACTCCCCTAGAAGCATGTTTCGATCAGATGACGCGGATAACACTATAAAATAATTAGCAACCAATGATCGAGGGTAAACAGCCGAATAACGTACCAATTGGCTCTGTGCCAGGTGCAAACTCAACACAATTGACAGTTCCCTTATGCCCGGGTAGTTTGTACATCAGCTTACCAGTCTCGCTGGACCAGATTGTAGCGGTACCGTCACCAGAACCGACTGCTACCTTCTTGCCTTCCGAATCCCAGCTTGCACGAATAAGGTTCTTTTCCAGGCCCACAGAAGCACCGTCAAAAGTTCTGATATGCCTTTCGGTCGGCGCGAACGGCCGAATGTCCCATGTCCGTACCGTGGAATCCATAGCAAATGAAAGGAGTGATTGTGAATCTGGGGAAACGCTGAGCGAGGTCACCGTATCCTGGTGCCCAAGCATAGAGTAGACCACCGACTTTTTACGCAAATCCCACACTTTTATGTCGTTGTCAATGCCTCCTGAGTAAACTTCATTGCCAGCCTCCGACATGGCAATGGCCGTAATCGGAAACTCCGTTTGAATATAATCCACAGCGTTCTTTGTTCTCGGATCCCACAATCCTATTGAACCATCGTCGCTGCCGCTGACCAAAAGTTCTTCGCCTCTCTTGCTGATGTCCATGGTATTGACGATTTCTTCGTGGCCAACATATCTCCGTATCCTGGTGCCATTTTCCAGATCCCAGCTCGCCAAATGCATATCCGCCGATGCAGAAAAGACGATCTTCGAGTCCCTAGACCATTGTAGGTCAAGAATGGCGCCGCGATGGCCGTTAAGGATGCCGTAGTTCTCACAGTCGCCGTACGTTCGCCACAACACTTTTTCTGGTAAGCAATAGCCTTAACATCGTGTACAGCACGGAGCACTAACATATACTCCTATCCATAGAGCCCGAGGCAATGAAGTTGCCTGTCGGATCAAACTTGGCGGCGAAAATCTCGCCCGAATGACCGGAGAGCTCCATGACTGGTGCTTGTAAGTTGCTTGTGCGAGGTGCCTAGCAGTTCGACATTAGACATGTTGGTTAATTGGCGAATCCAGCACTTACAGTCTGTACCAATGCGCTGCTCTTTCCAGAGCCATTTAGCCTTGCCAGCGCTCCTGTTGATGAGCCTACGTTTTGTCGCTTCACGATCATATGGCCCGAGCCAGGCTCATCGGAGGCCGGCCTCTTTTCGGCAGACATTTTGGCAAGGTTCTTGTTTTAATTCCTAGAGATTGAATTGTTCGGTTTCGTAGGATGAAATTTGTGGTGAAGAGTGCGCGTGTCGAGGCTCTCGTTCAATGTCTTGTTGACCAACAAAATGTGCTGGTGCTGAGATCCTTGGCCCACGCGAGGCCACAGCGCGGAACGGAGCTTGCTTATGCCGCCCCCGACCTCCAATTGCATGTACTTGTACTTTATGGGAGGTGCAATTGTGGAGTGCATGGTTGGCACCACCGCTTGCAACGTATCCACCAGTTTTAGGAACACATTTAAACGTGCTTACTACATATGCCAATAGATGCAACGACCCTTGCCTTCCACCCTCCGAATACCCACCTGCCGCGGCCAACTGTCAACGACCAACGTCAGAACAGAATTGCCGACAGCTAGGATAGACAACAGCAACGTCAAGTCGACACTTGCAACTCACGCGGTGCAAGACCCCTAAGGTAGCAGCAACAATAGGGATAGCTCCATCGATACGTTGAACCAGCTCCCTGTCGATCATCAGAGCTGCAAACCCTCAAGTCACCGAATCAAGCCGGGCCTGTCTATCTATCCTATCCGTAAGGTCTGCATAGGCAGACAGATTTAGCTGCAGCAAGCTCCTTTGCAACTATGGCTGCAAGTAAGGCGACTCGTCTAGGCGAGGAGTGCGTGTCCCCTCCATGCGCATTCAGATGACGGGAGCTAACTGCCCAACAGGATTTGGAAGTACGTATTGTACCATCATCTCAACGAGAAACAGACCTAACATCTTTGTTTTCAGAACGCGCATCGATAAGGTGAATGCTGAGCTCGTCACCCTTACTTACGGAACGATCGTGGCGCAGCTATGCAAGGACTACGACAGTGACTACGCCGAGGTCAATAAGCAACTAGACAAGATGGGATACAACATCGGCCTCCGACTGATCGAAGACTACTTGGCCAAGTCTAATACGATGAAGAGGTGCTCCAACTTCCGCGAGACGGCAGACATGATTGCAAGGGTAACCATTTTCATTTCTGAAGGAAAGCGTATGCATGCTAACTCGTGCCATGAAATCAGGTCGGCTTTAAGATATTCCTCAACATCACGCCGCAGGTAACCAATTGGACGACGGACAGCAAACAGTTTTCGCTGGTATTTGACGAAAATCCCTTGGCGGACTTCGTGGAATTGCCAGATGATGGACGAGCCCAGGACGAGCTGTGGTACTCCAATATATTTTGTGGAGTGTTGAGAGGAGCTCTGGAGATGGTGCAGATGCAGGTGGAAGCACACTTTATCAGCGATGTTTTGAGAGGCCACGACACGACGGAAATGAGGGTGTCACTGGTACGATACATTGACGATGAATTGCCGCCAGAAGACGACTGAGCGTGACTGCATCTTTTATCGGACGATATGACTACCTTTCTTCCTTATCATTGGGAGGATACGAACCCAGTGGGCCTCGGTTGTCACAATATCTGCTGGCTCCTTTGTGGAGTAGGCCGCGGCATCATATTCTGAAGAGGCGTTACACCTTAAACCCCGTTGCGCTGTGCGTCTAGCAGGAATATCGACCTCAAGGGCCTTGAAAGAAGCCCGCTTGAATTGGCTGACGCGGGTTACGGGCCATATGCATGACTAGGATAAGAATTACGACAATGCGACAGAAGCGCTGGCCATTATGACAATCATGTCTTCTTCTGTGGCCTATTTCTCGGCCTTTAATTGGGCATGTTACTTGTGTATGCAATTATGGGGTGACTCCAAACAAGGCGGGAATATTAGCTGAAAGATGATTTGGGAGCTGAGAGTATGTTGGCGTCTTTTTTGAGCTACATTTTTGTTTGTTTGCGGCTGCATGGCAGAGCCAACGTCAGATCTGGACTGGCCCTGGTCCGTATCCACGTTGGTGGCAGGCGACGGGAGTTAATTTTGACGACATGCACAGCCAACAGCCATTGTTCAAGCACCCAGCGCTTCCGAGGCAAGAATGAAGCCCGGTTTCTATCTACTGTACGGAGCCGGCAAAATCGCCTAGAGGAGTAACCACCAATAAAACCAGAGTGCCAGACACCGGAAGATCGAGAGAGAGAGAGGATATCGACCTGTTTGAGCAGAGGTGGGGAGACGGAATTCGGAGGCCCGGGGTGTACTTCGCCTGTGAGGCGAGACATGTTGTGAGTGCCTCAGGGGCACATGATCCGCCAGAAAAATGCGCTTATAAAGGCTTAAGGAAAATCGCATGGCTTCAATTGTCAAAGAAAGTTACACCACATGGTTATGATGGTTTGGGGATCGGCCAATGGCACGGTATCGGAATCTCAAAGTTGGTTAATGCAATAAAATACGGGGGCTGTTTTCCGGTCCTTGGGGTAATTTTTAATTTAACAAGGGGAGAGCAAAGATTAAGTAGTTTGAAGCAAGCAATATAGCAAGTCTGGATGAGAAACGAGGTATCGATTTAGTAGAGGCGAGATAGTCTCAGAGCGTCCCTCGAACGAAAGTAGAATTGGTGTACGCCTTCGGAAATAGGCTTTGCACCATACGATCTGGATGGGTTTGTCGTGCCTGTTCCACAGCAAGGCCAGGGTTACAAGAGAGCTTCTTTTGCGGTCGGCTGGTACGTGAGGTGGAGCAAGCTCACCGAAGGGTCATCAGCTCATCTATGCGGTGCAAAGTGACTGGGAAAGCGACTATGCAAAATGGTGCCGGAGTTTTGATTTAGGGTGTGGCCTGGGATTGTGTACTTGTACCAGTATCTACCATGACATTGTATCGTCTTTCTTGGAACGACCTCTCCAAGATTGGCTTCATGACAGGGAACCAGTCAACACAGAGAGTGATGTGCCGTACACCAAGTAGGCGTTGGTTGCGCTAGCTTCCCGAGAGGAGCACACCGTGGATCTCACACAGCTTGGGTACCTGGGCAGGGCTCAGGTGTCCGGCGGTTCGAAGCGCCCTCCTTGACCACCAGACCAGAGCAAACCGCACCGAAAAAAACGCGCTGAAAGGCACAATGCGCCACTGCAACAATTGGCGCTGAATCATGAGAAGATGCTCCAAGCTCTTTTGGTTTCCCTTCTATCGCCGCTGGCACGCGTCGGCAACACACGTGTAGCGCGTCTTTTATGCCTGTGGCGGGTATTGTGGCGACTGGAGTATCAACCGCATTGCGACGTTGAACAATGAGTACGTGGGTCGGCGCGGAGACACCCCGTTTGAGCGAGGTGCTGCCAGTGGTCATAAGCTCATGCCTGCGAGGAGAAAGGTAAGGAGCAGTCCCCCGGGAAGGACGGTTTCCACAGGTGAGTTGGTGCTGGCCTGACGTAAGACGACACCACAATGCCACTGAGACGACGGCAAACTGGCCCCCTGGAATGCCTCCCCTTACAGCGCGCCTGTAGCATCAACTCAGCAATCGACTGGCACCTATTAAGTACCTAAGACGCCTATACGGATGTCCTTATACAACCCCCCCTTCTTTGAAGCCTCATTTTGCCTTTGACATAACGTGCTTCATGCCTCAGGCAGCAACGTTCTCAGAAGTTCGCGCCTCATTCTCAGGTATACCCGCATTATTTCGCCCCCAAGCTGCTGTGACGGCCACCCAGCTCTCAGTTCCAGGTCTCCAGACTTCCCCCCAAATCTGCCCAAGCGTCCCAGGCGAAAATTAGGAAAATCCCAACCCCATCCTTTCCACCCTTTCCTCTCTGCCTCTCTCTCCTCCCACTGCCTTGTCCCATCTCCCTCGTCCGTCGACCCAAGCGCCCCTCTCTTTCTCTCCTTCTCGCACTCCTCTCCTCTCCCCTTCCCTTCATCAACAGCACCCCCCCTGGTGGCCTCGCATGCCGAACACTTACAACTTGGTCTCGAACACGCGTCACTTGCTCCGTTGATGGTTTCGCCGTCCGCCCCCGAGACAATTGTCGATTTCGCTGTTCGATTTCGCCTTATCGGCCTAGCGTTGCGGGAGAGGGACAACTGCTTGTAGACCCGGTCTGGCAGGATCGACGACGCCAGAAAGACGTGGAGGAACCCAAAAGATCCTCCCCCCCAAAAAGCCAAAACGCCAGACCCAGAGAGACCCTCAACCAAGAGCTAAAGCCCAAGAAACCCCAAAGAGTGTCCTTGTCCGACCTGCTCTACCTAACCCTCCATTTTACCACTTCCATTTCCACTCTCAACCCAGCTGCATCTCTTCTCTGCAACTGTCCTTCTCTTTCTCTCTCATACATACTCACCTTCGCCTTCCTTTTCGCCATCGCCGTCGTCATCGCCATTGCTCAAAGTACCAGTCACCACTGCGCTGCACACCCTTTCGACCATTATTAACACCTCTTCCTTTTGTGTATTTCTAATCGCGCACGCATCCGTCTTCGTCGCGACCATTATTCAACTCTATCCATTCTCTCCAATCCACCGCTCCATCCCAAGCCAACCCCCCTGGTGCTCTACCGCTGAATCCGACACGCCTTTCCGCCAGTCGGCTTTTAGCGCACCGCGTGCCACGCTTCAGCAATACTGAGGTGGCTGAACGAAACTTTTTCGACAACCGCGACTCTCCTTTCTACGGACCACAGCGCTCCATCTTTTCATCAACATACATTTCCCTTTCCACATACCGTATCGACTCTTCCCCGTCTAGCTGGGCAGACAATTGTCTGCAGCCCGGCCCACATTCACCACCATGAACGTCAACGTCAATCCTAACATGGCTAACATGAACGCCATGGGTGGCCCTGTTGGCGCACCTGTTCCCATGATGAACAACGGTGCAGTCGCTCCTCAGGTTGCCGGTCCTCGACAAATGCCTGTTCCTACCGAGAGCCAGCGGACCCTACTCAACACGTACATTTATGAATACTTCCTCCGCCACCAAATGTTTGACTGCGCGCGGTCGCTCGTCAATGGAGATCATCAAATAAACGTCACCAAGGACGGCCCAAACCGACGGAGGGATGAAAATGGCAATCTCCTCGGCAACGGTCTTGGTGACGATCCTATGGATACTGACTCCAAGGATGACATCGACGCGAAGCTTCCAGATGATCTTCCCGCCCCGAAATTGCCCATGCCTGCCTCTGAATCATCCTTCTTGTATGAATGGTTCTGCTTGTTCTGGGACATTTTCAACGCGCAACGCACCAAAGGCGGCAATGGTCCTGTCAACCAATACGTCAGCCACACTCAGGTACGTCGTCTTCTATCGTTGCACTTCTGCCAGCTGTACACTTCCCGTTTCTTGTTCATTGCTAAATGAAGCCGCAGCAGCAATCTCGCATGCGACAAAACCAGCAGCAAGAGCTTCTGCGTCAGATGCGCCCTGACGGCCTAGCTGCTCAGCAGCAATACCACACGCAAATGATGCGCAACATGCAGAATGGCGGTATGGGAATGAACATGAAGCAGGGCAACCTTGTGCGTACGGCTATGGCAAACAACCAAAATAAGTACGTATACGGTCAAAATGCATGCCTCTACACCGTCCGAACACCACTTGCTAACAAGTTGTCACCTTAGTCCCCAGGCTATGCAAATGCTTCATCAGGCGAAGCAAACCCAAATGCAGCGCGACCCCTCTGACATGGATGGAAACCGCCAACGCCCATCATCTCCTGGATCCGGGGAAAACGCGCCATCGCCCTCCAAGAGACCTCGCCTGGACGGAACGCCCTACAACCCGAGTCAGCCTGGGATGATGCCGAACGGAAGACCACAGCAGGGCATGCCAGGCCAGCAGGTGGGGACCACCCCAAACGTAGCTCAAGCCCAGCAGATGCTCATCACCAACGGCATTAACCCGGCATCGCTGACCCAACAGCAGTTTACGACATTCTCAAATCAACCCCCTGCTGTGCAAGCCAAGTCTATCGCTACATATGCTGCAAACCTCCAACAGCACCAGGCTAGTCAGATGCCCAATAAGCCCATGCCCAACGCCTCTGGCCCTCAGGGTCAGGGATCGCCAATGATGGCTCAGGGACCGGACCAGGCCGGTTTAGCTGCTTACTATAACGCCGGGGAGATGGGCCCCGGTGGTATTCGGCCTGGCCCTGGCGGTGCCCAAGCCGGCGGTGGAAGTAACCACGCTCTGCAAGACTATCAAATGCAGCTAATGCTTCTGGAGCAGCAGAACAAGAAGAGACTCATGATGGCTCGGCAGGAACAGGATAGCATGGGCGGTGCCATGCCAAGAGGAGACGGGCCTGCGGGCCCTGGCGGCCCTGGCGCCCCCCCCGGCCCCAACGGTCAGCCATTCCCAGAAACATCTGCCCAAGGGGCTAGGACCGGAGCCTCACCCAACCCGACTGAGCAGATGAAGCGCGGCACGCCACAGATGAACAACGCGGGCATTCCGTCGCCTTTACCCGAAGGCGCGCAGTCTCGTGGCTCACCTAACCCTATGAACTTCATGCAGAGCCAAATGGATCCCAACATGGCACCTCACTTTTTTAAGGGTATGAACAATATGGACGGAAACATGGTCGCCAACCCTCAGATGAATGGTGGCATGCGCCCACCAAGCTCGCATCCTGGACAGCCCTTCAATGGGCAGATGAATCCCCAGCAGCTTATGGCTGCTAGACAGCAGCAACAGCAGCAGCAACAGCAGCAAGGTCAGCCCCCACAACAGCAGCAACAACCTCAGCAGGCAGGCCAGAACAACCAGCCAGTGCAATGGCAAGGTGGCCCGAACGGTAACCAAATGATACCTCAAGGCCCGCAGGGTCCGGTTCAAGGTACGCCGCAGCAACGTTCAATGCCGCCGCCGTCTGCCCCTACTGCTGCCAATGCAAACCGGACAAACACCTCGTCGCCACAGCAGGCAACTGCCGCGCCGCCTACTCCCTCGCAGGCGAACAAGGCCGCACCGAAGAAGAAAGATAACAAGAATACTAAGGCCAAGGTTAGTCAATTCAAGCAAAGATCAATAAGTGAGGCAGCAGCTAAAACTATTCAGGGCGCTACTCAAAAGAAGTCGAATCCCAACCTTAACAGCGGAGCCACCCCGGCCGCCGATGGTTCCCAAGATCAGGAGCCGCCCACGCCAGCTACTCCCATTACCCCGGTCAACCCTGCCAGCTTCACCAAGGCTGGCCAGAACGCGGCTGTTCCCGCTGTTCCTAATGGACAACCTGCTGCTCCCGCGCCTGCTCCCGCAGCTCAGGTCGCCCCCCCAGCCCACTCGGATGCCAATCAGAACACATTCTCAATGGATAACCCAGGCGGTTTCGACATAAATCAAATTGATTTTGTTAATCCTCTTGTGTCTGATAACGTGCTCAACGACTTTGACTTCGACTCCTTCCTCCATGAAGATGGCGACAATCAGGCCTTTGACTTCAATGGCTCTTTTGGAATGGAGGGCACTAATGAAATTGGTGCTGACTAGATAGTCTGTGGGACTGCCTCTAGCGTTGACGCTTGTCGTCTTGCAAATTCTCTTGGGGTGGCTGTCGCGCGCCAAGACTCGGTTATTGTCTGAGTTCTTTCTCTTTATCTTCCGCACACGATGTTGTGTGTTCGGCAGATATATTGTGAATAATGGACTCCTTCACACAGTCTACGGTTGCGACCAGAACGCCCCAACAAAACAAAAGGAAAGAAAAAAAATTAAGCTTTCACTCGATTATCTTGCACTTGAGTGGGCTCTGCAAAAGCGGTGATCTATCACTGCGAGCTACTCGTCCTGGAGGCTCTTACGGATATCTGCGGACTGGATATACCAGACCCTGTTGTTCTCTCTGTTGCAGAGCTTGCTGTTTTCTTATTTGCTACGCTTGCTCCACTTGTTACCCTGCTGTTGGCATTGGTAGAATCTTCTCTGGTGCTTCTCGGGTGGACGCACGTTGGGCGGATCGTGTCAACGTTCCTCGTCGCCTTGTATTTCCAAGGCAATTTAATTTTATGCGTGCATCTGCCTGGTGTAACGCGCATACAACCCTCACCGGTACCAATCATGTTGGTCGTCACATGACAATCCACTTGGCGGGTGCCCCTGAATCATTGGTTCTGGAGTTTTACGGGCTGGTTTCGCAAGTCTTTCCCGGGTATCTTCTTCCTACACCTCAAACAGTTGGGCGAAATCATTGATTATATGCGGCATACGATTTGAGATTGCGGAGCCCGGATTTTATTTGGAGTGGGAAGTTCGCCGACCCACGATTGCCAAGTTACGCAAAAGAGGCGAAGGTTTCCAAAAGGGGGCCGAGGTGATGTTGGTAGTTGAATGTGAGGAGGGAGCATTGTATTTATTAGAGGATTTGGGGCACTTTTTTCCTGTGTCTCACCATCGTCGTTTATCTTAGGTCTTTGTCAGATTACTGTGGCGTGTGGAACGGTATTGGCTCACGAGGATCAATTCATATTTTCCATATTGTTCGTCTGCAGTGTACTACTTTGTTAAGCATGCAAATAGCCCCTGAATGAAGCCCACTTTTTGGCAGCCAAGACCGTAACTCCCGTAGGCCTAGCCAAGGTCGTTGAGTGAACGGAAGGGCGACTGAAGCCTAGGATCTGGGGCCAGGGGTTTTATGGCAAAGAAAGTATCTTGACCCCCGGGGTCGCGGCGTCTTGAACTCCATCCGGTAAAAGAGGTGGGTGTTACTAATCTGCGACCATGTGCCGGGGCCGCCTCCCAGGTGATCAACCAACAGCGTCCAACGCAGAGTAAATGGGATGGGCAGTTCGAAAACCAACCTCACAACAACTACATTGCCGTCCAGGTCTGTCCAACGCCAACACTTTATTTTCACTTTGGGCAGAGAGGGAATCCGATCTCATCGTAATCCTGGTTATTATCTTTTGCCATATCCTGTTAGTCTGTCCCCATAAGCCAGACTCCAGAGCCACGGTGTTGCATCATGTACTGCATGTGATATGAATCAGATGGAGGTTCACAAAACTGCCGGTACCACTAATCATACAAGTATATAATTTTAATGGCCTCTAAAGAAATCGCTGTTAGAAAGGGTATCTACGAGAAAATTTTGGAATGCTTTCTCAAGTCTTGGATGGAATAACAAGCGTCTTCTCCGGTACGCTACGTTCTCGCCGGTCCATACCACACCCCAATACACCATGCGGAAAAGTGTTTGGTCAAAGCCACGATATCTCATTTTCCGTTGCGATCAACATGCGCCTGCGAGAGCCGGTAAACTCAGGTGATCCATGCGCTCTCGAGGGTTATCGTCACGTTGAACGATGGCTGATACTTGATCAGCAGTTGATTTGCGATGCATTCTACGCCGTCTCATAGACAGCGAGATATGCAACCTCCATCATGCTACCGTAGCCATCTTGTGTGGCATCCGTGGGAGGACCCGGTAATGTGCCACCTATGAAACGTTAGTTCATTTCTTAATATTTCCAAGAAGAATCATTGGATGCGCTCACCAACTGCTACGTTGAGGAGTACGTAGTAAGGCATGTGTGCGAGCGTAGCCCAGATACCCTCATCCCCAATATCCGCTCCAGTCAGCTGGTTGAAGGGGGTTCCATCACGCATCCATGTGATGGATTCTGTGAGCCAATTGCCTGAAGTGCGGTCCCATTGAAGGCTCCATGTATGCCAACCGTTATCCGGAATCGAAGTTGAAGACCCACGTCCGCTGGGTTCGTTGCAAATACCACCGATCTCTTGCTGGCAGTGGACGGTACCGGTGGCAGACAGTTGTCCATTGACCTGTTCAAAAATATCGAGTTCGCCGCATAGCGGCCATTCAACTCCATTGCGGACCGCATCACCCATCATCCAGAAGGCAGGCCAAATTCCTTGTTTGTTCGTGTTTTCACCCATCCTGAACGAGGCTTGTATTCTCAGTTTCTTTCCTGGCTGAGGCGTCCAGGCGGCCTTGGTCTCGATGCGTGCAGAGGTCCACACTCCGTTGGAGGATCTGCGTGGGATGAGTTGAATTGTTTCCCCACCCGATATCTGAAGATTCCATGACGAGTCGGTGTAAGTTTGAACTTCATTGTTGGTGTCGATGGCCAAAGCTATGCCCCAGGTGTCGCGTCTGGGTGGGGAACCGGCGTTTCCCTGGAAAGTCTCTGACCAGATAATGGCCATGCCGTCCACGACAGGAGGTGTGACGGCCATGGCAAACGGCATAAGAGCCAAGAGCAGGTTACTTGAACTCGCAAGCATGGTAATGAAGGTGGGTCTAGTGAAAACTAGCACAGTTGTTGAAGTAGTGATCTTGGGAGAATGACTGGGAATTATTGGGTATTGTTGAGTTTGTTATTATGGATTTGCTGCTTGAAGGTGTTCAAGGGAGGGAGTAACTGAACAATACTTGAATACTTAATGAGAGTGAGGTGTTCACCAGGAAAGGAGTGTAAGCGGCGCAGCTGGCCAAGTCAGAGAATGTGGGAGTGAAGGCAAGGAGGCGATAACCACATTCTGATCACCAGGACTGGAGGTTGGGCTCAAACATATATACAAATATGAGAGATCCAGAATCAAACGGCCAGGCTAGAGTAAGTCTGGCACAAGGCCCTTGTCACCAGTCTGGACGATGTGGGCAACCAGGGATATCTGCCGAGCGCCCAGGCGGGCTGCAGAGAGCAGGGAAGAGAGCTCACTCAAGCTCATGACAATCCTCGAAGGCGGTGTCTGAAAGTCGTAAGGCACAGGAGGGAAATTAACGTGGATCGTAAGGATGAAACGCCCAGAGCTCCTTAGGAATACCCAAGGCAGTGGCGATGATAGTCCACTTTGCTTGGGGGGGGTCCGACTAATCATGGTCCTAGCCGTGACAGATGGACACCGAAGAATGGCTGCTAAGAGGCGTACACTAACTAAGTGGACAGTGGGTAATATAACGGCAGGTGGGCAGAACATGTACGAATGCGCAGTGATATATCTAGCTAGCCAGGCGCACAGGGTATCATGCGCATGTTGCTCGATGGGGGCTGGATCAAGTGGTGACAAGGGGCAGCCCATAACTGGAGGTGGCTGATGGAACCAAGGGAGCCCTGATCTGCGTAAGGTCTAACATCATGACAACGAAAATGAAAGGCCACTAGGTAGTTAGCCAAGGATCAGAGCCAAGAACAAACGGGGAATTTCGACTCGCATGTAAATAGAAATGCTGGTGCAACGAGAATGCATAAGCAGGTAGTAGTATAGAGATGTAGGCCAGGGCAGGTGAAAGGTGCAGGGGTTCGACGCTCACGGATGCATGACATCGAAATGGGGTATGAACAAAAGACAGGATGACAGATGATAGGGGGCGCCCAAGCTTACCGTGTTGTGTATATGGCAAAGGTGACCAGGGACCTTCATTGAGCGGGCGGCACATCCGACTCCGGGCCAAGGATCGACTCCCGCTGCAGCATTGACCATTCAAGGCCGTTGGCGGTTCATCTGGAAAGAAAAGGGCGCATAAGCTTCGTACCCACCAACAGCTGGGAGATTTAGAGTGATCCATCTATCTACAGAAGGAAAATTTCTGAAAAGGAGGCTGTAGTTCATCCCGCAGCCCCGGAAAGGGGTCACTTGGCGATGAAGCATCCACCGTCAAGCCTCCCAAGGCTTGTGACTGTTACTGATTCCACCAAGATCTGTTGAGTACTCAGTGGCACACATAATTCAAAGTGTAGAGTTTTTTTTTTTTTTTTTTTTTTTTTTTCCGTTACAGGCGCGCCCTGGGATGCCAGAACCGGGCATTCTTATCAACAACAGCATGAGACATGCCTTCTACAACAGATTCAAATGCATAGCAAAAACAATATTCTTCTCCTTTTTCCCCTTCATTTTTGAGTTGGCTCTCTTTCCCCTCGGCGTAGGGATGCTCAAAGGTCGAATCGTCAAATGCCCCTGATGTGCCGCAGTCTAGCAATGCATGCTCTGAGACAAGTAATGACAGGGTTTCTCCGACGGGGATAGGCTGGTGGCACAAACGATTTAGAAGCAGACAAGGATACTGGGAAAAGGTACAGATAGCAGCACAGCACAATACACCGCCCTAACTCGTAGCAGCTCCACATCTGTATCGTAGTGTAGTGGATGTGGTCAGCCTTCCACTGCGTCCTTTGGAGTGAATCGGAGGCCGTCCAGCCGCGATTAGATCATATGTAACTGAGATGAAGGATCACAATTAGATATGATATTGTCCGGAGATGGGTGAGCTGCCTCCACCGAGACATACCGAGACATTCCGATATCACAGACTGGGAGCCGGCGCGTGCTAAAACATCGAGGCATCACTCCCATAACTGAAGTTGTGCACACCTGTCGTACCTGGAAGAGCCGCCTAGACTCGGCGTGTATTGTGTTTTTCCCCGGCGAATGTTCTGTTTTCTACTCGTTCCGGTGTTTGCTCAGTGCAAGCTGAAATTTGATCAAACCTTTCCATCTCCCAATTCGCAGTAAACACACCTAGCCACTAGTTGCAAGTTGTACTACGACTCGCAAATCCAATTGCCACGGTATATTACGATTTTCCATAAACTACTGCTTCACCAATTTGTCTGTAGTCAACAAAGAAATTCGAGGGCGCGTCCAGAGTGAACAGCCAGATGGTAAGGCGCTCCAAAATCGAAGCATGAGTCGGCAATACACTCCTCTTCTTCATGCTCTCCTAAGTGGTAGCGGTTTGCTTCAATTGCGCCTCCCTGTGGCTATTGGGCATTCGGAGTTGACGGGAACCTTCTTCGTGTTCCTAAGCCGGCAGTAGTACTACTGCTTCGCCGTTCAACATTAAATCTCAAAAGCGCAACATGAGGCAGGCTCAGCTTTGGCCACCATCCAACTTTGGGAAAGAAGGTGTGGTTGTGGCCTGTGGCAATGCACCGAAGACGTCGCCTAGTCTCTCCCCCAGCCGAACAATGGTATGTTCGTATACTCGCGCCACGTCCATATAAAGCCTTTCGTCGTCTTCGTCGTCCCAAGCCGAACCGAATGTCTCGTCGTTATCGGGATCAGTGTCCGTCATCACTTCTGCCTCCGTGTCTACTTCTTCCGCCTCATCATCCTCATTTGGCTCCTTACTAAGGACTTCTACAATGACAAGCCGGGTCTGCTCTACAGAGCTGCGACAACGAACCATATCTGTTGTGGTCATTCCTGCCCTCATGCCATTCTCAAACCCAGGCAAGGGCTCTTTAGTGTCAATATCCATCCCGGTGAGAAGGCTGGCGAAGCAGTGGTCCAGTTTGGTCAGGACAGAGAAAGTTGCTTTTGGAGAGGGTGGGAAGGCGGTAATCCACTGAGTAAAGTCGCTGGCAATGTTGAGAAGAAACGGGATTTGTAGGCTCGCTGTAAAGACAGGTCAGAAATGTTAGGTTGCTCACAGATAGGTAGTGACTGGGAGCATGAATCCTCACGGGTTCCAGATAACCACAGAACATCGATGACGTTGTGTAGGTCTTTGCACAACTCTGTGAAGCTCTTGTAACCGATGACCTCATCGCCAGGTTCAGCGTTGCCGTGCTTCTTAACATAACGACGAGACACTATTGCCAGTCGTCCTTCCACATATCTACGCACTGTATCTTCTTTGCTTGATCCAGGCCGCAATGACTTGGCGCGAGGATGGGGCAGTGCTGCATTGGAGCGGGCAGAAGAGCTGCTGGGGGCTGGTGAAGGGAGAGTCTGCGATGGGAAGAAACCGCCCGGTCCGGATGGTTGCGAGGGGTCAGCCATTTTTACAGGATGAATGTGCCAGCTGCTCCAACGAAAATGGGCTTCGGTGCATCGTCAGCGCAGTGTTACCTCATGAAGTCACGTTATGCTGATGCAGCAACATGGTGTTTGAGAGGGCCTCTGCCCCTCCAAAACTCGGCCGAGGTACACTACTGAAGCTACCTGGTAGGTATCTCACACCAGGATGGATAGCTCTTAGTGGGGCTACTTCAAGCCCTTAGTAAGCACATTGCTCCAAGCGCCAGGTTGTGGCGCATACAGAGTGGCTTGAGTGGGTGACGTTCAATCAAAAATTTCGGCCGCCCGAGCTTCGTCGCGCACCCAAAGCCGGAACTCGACTTCGAACCTCACGACGCGACCAAGTCCGGAATAGCCAGCTATCGCCTTCCATCAACGAAACAACCTTATTGAGCAATTGTTAAAATCAGAATCTCCATACAAAACCACAATTAGTTCTTAAGATGCCTCCCAAGAGAATCGTTGTCGAGAGAGCCGGCGGCCCCCGATCCCGCCAGCCCAAGGGTTACTTCAGATCAACCTACGACGCCCTGACCTCCGCTGAGAATGCGCCCATCGTCCGCAGCATCGCCATCTTTGGTGTTCGTTCTTTTTTCCCTTATCTCTTGCAATTCTCTTAGTTCTCTGTGAAACATGATGCTGACTTAAGCTACAGGCAGCCGTGACTTTTCTCTCAAGCTCCTGGGGCGAGTTCCTTCTTCCTCCGTTAGTAGCCCTCTTACCCCTCCATCTGTTCACTTTGTCGCTGTTCTGACCTCTTTCCTAGTCAATAATCGAATCCTTGGCCACCGAATATCGGTTCATGTATAATCACATATCCTTGTTGCCGCGAAGAAAGCGGGCTGTACACTAGTTCGGGGACGAGTAGCATCGAGGCTACAGGGAATGGCATACGAGGTTTGGCGTTGCCCTCAAATCTACGACTTGCACCTTTTGGTTTAATGAATCTCACTCTTACGCTCAATTCTACTTCCAATATAAAGAGCCAATCTTCGCGTGATAAACCTGAGCTGGCGCACAAAATTGCCGATTTGCCAGTGACCAGCAACCATACCTTGACATTGATACGATTTTCATGCCGCAGATATGTTGCATAGCTACTTGTCCACCTTGTGCGTATGTGTGTTGCGCGTAAGGCCCCGTCAGCTGGCATATTTTCGTGCATTGTTGCTTGACAGTCATAGAGATACACATAATGAGCAAGCCGCAGATAGACAAAGTTGATATTGAGCGAGCCACGCAACGTAATCAACACAAGAGAAGAGCGAATGAGGCATGCTCATTGTATGAATTGCCGTATGCGGCATTGACTAAATTAACTTGTACAGTTACCACCCTAGCTGGGGCTAAGACCTGCCCGCCTCTTACATCAACGCCGCATTCTCGCAAGCCCCGTCACATTTTTGATAGAGTGAAAGCAGAGCATACCCACCACATATCTGTGTCGAGTTACCAGCACAGGGCATTTCGCAGCTACCAAGAACACCTTTCTTAGGCATTCGGTCCTCTGCTACTGTGTTACCGCACCAGCACTCCTTGGCATACTCCAGGCCGGCATATTGATACCCTTGATCACTGCAGTGCTTTATACAGAAGTCGACAGTCATGAAATCTCCTGACTTCCGGGGGCTTGGAAGTGTCCGACCTTGGCCGGATGGGTCCCGAGCGCAGCCAAGATATTTGAAGTTCTGCGTACTCGTCACATCTGTGAAGCCCCATTGGGGTTGCGAGATCTGCGTCGCTGCACCACAGTTGGCCTGCGGCTGGGCATTCTGCGGACCGGGTTGAACAGGGTTGCAGCCAGGTAGAGCGTCCAGTTCGCCAAAGACCGGCTCGTTGACCTTGACAGGAACCCGACAGCCTTTTCTTGTCTCGTCGTCGAAAAATTGGAAGACGGTGCATTTTTCCAGCGCACCACTGTTGTCTGTGCATTGTTTAATGGCGGTTTGCAGCACATCTATGTCCCATCCGTTGAGAAAGTCACCATGAAGTCCATATCCGGTTGGATCACTAGGGCCTATCAGCAAAGCTAGTTACCAACTGCAAGGGATCAATGATTACCCATTAGAAAGAACGAATGGTTGGCTGTCTCCATACCACCTGTCTTTGAAGTCATTGACTTGGAAGATAACTTCATAAAACAGACTATTTCAGAACATTAGCAGCTGTGGGATAACTGACTGGACGGTAAAGGCCATACGTTACGAATCTCTTGGGATGGGATGCCGGGCATTTGCCGGTGCTGACACCGCTGGGATAGGCCATGTGACTTCTATGATCTAGAGAGTCAACATTCACGCCATCCCAGCATGACGGAAACACAACTTGCACACGAAGGCCATCTGGACAGTTGCGATTTGGAAACTCGTTTGTTTGAGGGCCTCCATTGCCTAGGCAGACGTATGAAATGGCCCGCTGCTCAAGGCTGTTGTTGTTAAAGCTTCTCAACTTTGGGTCTCCAGCCAACATACGAAAGCCCTTGGGGAATGCAAGGAGGCCATTACTGTATTCTGGGTCCTTAGGATCCGACCGTAATCTAGTGGAGCAAGTGGTGAGTTTTTCCTCTTTCCATACTTGATACCGTTGCCGCACTTACAGATAATATATTAGCATACCCCCGGCCTGGGGGACGCTTGTGAATTTGCCGTCCTGCCCTCTGTAATAGAGATTTGGAATCCAGTAGTTGCTCAAGTCCGCAGTCACCTTGCATGTGGAGCAAGACGAGGCGCGAGCTTGTTCATAAGTCATGCTGAAATCGAAGCCGTTGCCACCCATGATGTTATGGACATGTCCGGATAGCGTTCCAGGGTTAACGATAGGGTCAGCCCGTTCTACGACCACGGGACGCGAACATGGTATCTTGAAGAAAGCGGCTGCATGGCCAGCCACCCACAGCCCAGAGAAAAGCCCTCTGGTAACTTTCATCATGTGCTATGGCCAAGGGCAGTCAGAATGGTAGGGCGGGATAGAGCGAGTAGCGACCTCGCGTAATATGCAAAGAGTGATACTAGCCCAAGGGGCCCAAACAGGTGAAAGAAGTAGGACGAGGACAAGACAGTAATGGAGTAGATGACCTGTGCGAATGTGGATGCTTTGGGGACAAGCGAAGTGGCAGGAGCTGCGAGTTTCTCCAGTGAAGTGGCGATGTCGATGATGGTCAGGCAGAAAGTACGTGGACATGATGAGGCCTTTTATCTCTAAACTCTCTCCCCTCAATGTTTTCATCGGTTGATATGAATTTCTATTAGGATCGCGGAGCATGCACGACCTCATGCGTAGGGCCCTGACCATAGCTACAGCGTAGTCAGTCCATTGTCCTGGCCTTGAGCCACAAGAGAACAAGGAAGCAGTGACACATGACGATTCGGTTCAACTTAGTCTGCAAGCGTTCCTAGGTTGGCTGAACAATTGGCGGTGCCCACGGCTTGGAAAGCTGGGCTGAGCGGCGGCGTTTTTCGGAGGCGGCTCCGGGAGACCGCACAATAGGAGGGCGGTCGCTAGTACAGCGGCCCATCATTATCACAACTTATCTCCGTTTCAGCCTCACGCCAATGGTATGACATACTTGTCTGTCAGCTGTATGTCTCTTCCCATAGCGCTGGTAACACAGAAGTACCCGAAGGACGGGAACTCGGGGTCTTGCAAGATCTGACGAATTTCCAGATCCTGCACGAAGAGCAAGAAACGCTATAATCGTTTTGGGCTGGTCCAGATGTCGAGACCAAGGACCAGACCTGGAATTCAGATAATTCCTGTCTTAGACACCAGTTTCATTTGGAGTTAAGAAGGGTCTATTTGACTCGGCATCATCCTCACCATGCAAGCATCCGTCATCCGTCAGGGTCTCGGTCGGCAGACACAATTACGTTTGAGAGCTGTCAACTTGATTTCGCCGGATTAGTTTTAGGGGGACAGTTTGACAGTCAAACGGAGAGCTGCCGGATTGTTCCTATGCCAAGGTAGTCAGTCATAGGCTAATCAGAAAGCAGATAAACAAAATATGAGTTGGTCACAAGGGCCATGGATAGGCGTATGCCCAGCATGTAAGGAAGGCTTTTTAGGTCTCGGTGAGACAGGTAGTGGACCAGGCCAGACGCTACAGTACCCGCCTGGCAGGTTAATTCTACGGTCTCGGTGAGTTGTCTCCTTGTCTCACTAAACTGATCAACCCAGACCTGTCACCTGTTCCCGGAAGAAAATAGGCAAAGGTCAGGATCGTTTTCGTACAGTTTGTTCCTTATCCCCGAGAGGATAAAAGAAAAAGAAGAAAAAGCTGGGCAGAAGGGAGGCTGGAAAAGAACACGAGTCTAGACTTTCTTTTCTTACCCCGTGGCCGTATTCCCGGCAATCATGCTACTAGCATCGCCATGGCATGCCACATGGTGCAAAGTATAGCTCCCGCGCCTTGGGGCCGACTTTACTGAGATAATAACAATCTATATATCAAGGAGTAACCTCACCCTCCGTGCCGGAAGTTGGAGGGAGCACTGGAAGCCTTGGCCACCGGTATGAGTGACGGCATGAGCGGGTCATGGTGGGGCCGCAACGGGTGCCGCCCATACGGTCCTTTCGAGGTGTATTTTAGGCCAACTAACTAGGGTCCTCGGTGCGAATTGGTATTGGACGGGTAAGACAAGATACCTCATTGCCTCATGGGCAGGGAGCCGACTTAACCTTCTTTATTCATTGTTACTTGTGCGCCTCGTCCGTCAGTATGACACCCGTTCTCACACAATGACGGACCAGGTTCAAGCCACATAATAAGAATGAGTATCATCAAAGTCAATTTTCAGTTCATGGAGGGCTGGGTTCTCATGAACTCTGTCGCTCTTCACGCTTGATGGCTTTCTTTACCGCTCCCTACGAATGACCGACCTATCGGGCGTTGAATAGGCTTGGCATGCTCTCTGACCCAGCTGCTGATCGCGCCGCGTAAAGTGTTTGCAACATCATCAGATAAGAAACCCTCATGGGTCACTAGTGCACGTACCTGGTTTTTCAATCTAGGGTCGCCTCCGACGACACCGACTCTTCTCGAGGAAATGAGCTCTGGCCGTATACTGCGTTTGGATACAAACCAAACCAAGAACATAGTCAGGGGCCGCATCTTCCGTAAACATCCATTACAAGTTCCGAGACCTTTGCAGGGCCTATATAAATACATGCACTCGGCTTTTGACTGGGACGTCATGTTCAGCCACGGGCTGACTGAGGCATAGAAAATTTACATTTAGTTGAGCAATCTGACTCAGCCTTTAATGATAAATATTTGCCGGGAATGAATCTTTTAGGCTGCATTCTCAAAGTAGCATTCGTGAGATTATCATGATGTAGCTCAGGCCGGGAACTTATTAAATCCTTGCTGACTGAGTAGCTCATGTCTAGTGTGAGTCGTGATCAGGTGACATCAATAGGCAATAACAAAAAATATATTATCTGATTATTTTAATGTTATATACCATATACCTCACCAGTATTCTCATGATACATGGTGACATGTCTTCCCTGCGGTAGCCGGGTTTGGCTGAGACACTTCACGTTTTGGACACACTACTTATCAGAATATTGTTTGTCGAAGCAATGCATAGCTTTGGTCTTGATGTAGTGAGGCGGCACAGATCGATATGATTTATACTTAGCAGTATCATTGCTAGACACTTAAACGCTGACTAGTGTGACCTACTTTTATTCTTATGCTCATTCGACCACTCTTGAACAAGGTGAAGCCAGGAACAGAATATACCTAGACCTCATCTACAAACTCTTCAGATTGCGGGGCTATATGGCGAAGCCGTAACTGCGGACGTTGAGGCTGTCAACACTACCGCCAGGTACACTTGTGCACATACATCAATTGCAGATCACAGGTTAGTCAGTACATGCTTTGACACTTTCAATGCTCATTATCAAAGAATCCGCGGCCAAGTTTGCCAAGGTTTGTCCACGAGCTGATCTAGTAGCAACTCTTGCCAACAGCATTATGTGCATGCAAGAATTTTGCAGGTTGGTTCACATCCACATAGATCAACGTCTATTCCAATTGGACAAGATGTTACTAACAGAGGACTTTCTTCGTAGCTTCAGCAGAAACCTAACGATAATCACCTTTGTTCATATGTCACTAGGCATATAGACCTAGACTTCCAGGAGCTCATTGCCAGGACGTTGTAAACCGTTGTTTACAGGGCTGACTTGCCGTGCTCACAACCCCTTACCGCCAAGCATACCTTCTTTGGCGTCGTGCAGTTGAAATTCATCTTGTTTGTCTTCTTCCCCGGTCGATATCGCCAAACACATGACATTGCCACTGTTAAAGCGGCCCATTTCATGGCTATAATCTATTTGATGGCAAGCCTATTCCATATTCAATTACCCCGTGGGTAATTCTCACCCAAATAACTGACAAGCGTGATCAAAACTCGATGGTAGTAGCTGGCTCTTCAATGATGATTTCTGGTGCGCATCCCTGGCGATTACATCTTTATGTCTGACTGGTAAGGCTGAACTAAGTGACCTGATTTCACTTTCTCTATCCGCTGTTGGCCTTGTGTGTATGGTATTTGGGTTGCACTTCAACCAGGAGACAAGCCTGTCTTCATTTTTCATACCTCTCGAATTCGGCAGTAATGCCAAACAGAGCCTCTATGTTGAAACGGACTCAAGCCGCCCCCATACTAAGATAAATGGCGAGACCTTGCCAAATCCATTTTTCTCTTGAGGCTCGGTCTGAATTGGATATGCACAGAGCCTCGGACAGGCGAGATTTGACAGATGAGCGCACTGAGGCCCAAAGTTCCAAGCCGCAGAAGTCGTGCTGAGGACGGTTTTTAACTGGTCAGAAGTCCCGAGCCAAAATATGTGTCGAAATCTACGTTGTCTAGGTTCGAGAAAACGGCGTATCTGATGTGCGTCGCACGGTGACTGACCGGAACCCAAGTGGGGGTCGTTGTTAGAGTCGGGGTCTTCCAGGTGTAGGGAAAATGAATCCTTATTTGTAGTAAGGTGTTTTTATTTTCTACAAACACATTCCCAGCATCTCGATTTCGAAAACGTAGACATGAAAACGAGCACGGTGAGCAGGCGAGGCAAATTGTTGAATTAGCATGGTCTTCATATAGAAAAAACCCCACAGGAGTCAGCGTAGAAACCATTCCCGGACGGACATGATGAGAGTGGCAGGGTTTCTCGATTTGGCTTGTACACATGGCACCTCTACAGGCGGCCAAGTAGAAGCAGAACATTGGCCATCGTAGCATGTATGTCGCGTTTTCCGTGGGCGTGGTTATGCATACCGGGGCTTTCTAGCACTGATTCAGTTCATCACCAAAGTAAGCCTAAACACGGTTTAGTCCTCATATAGGCTAAGCCTCGAACCGGCGGAGTTTAGACTGTTGACATAGATTCCCGCATGTTTCTTCCCATAACGACTATTCAACCACCGAAAACAGGTAAAACCAACTCTCTCCTTGCTAATAACTTTACTGTACCGGCACATTAGGTATGAAAGTGTGGCAGTCTTGGCATAATGCAGCCGGGCAATAGCAAGTTTCAGTAATGTACAAAACAGAATATTTGGCATTGGGCTGATTGGAAAGTGAAGAGTACCAACTGCAAGTACGTCAATGTATGAGTGTAAGCCGTGACTATAGCCATATGGCCCTAACCCAAGCGGATGGTAGCATGTAAAACATCCAACCCGCTTCCGCAGATTGGATGTGCGGGTTCCTGTAAGGAAATATGTGAGCCCTATCGCCGGTTACAAAGACGTCGATTTAGGGGGGCGAAAGAGGGCAGCTGACGTCGACGGCGTCAGCAGGGGTATCTTTTTGGGAATGTTGCCTCCAAGCGCCACGGGGCCAGTTTTCAAAACCATTTATTTCGAATGAGCCAGCATATTGGCCAAATGACGGCAAGTTACAACATGGTATTTTATTGGGTGACATAGAATGACCGATCTGGGACAAATGGCGCATGATAGAGCAAGACAACTTCGGTGGCGATAACTGGATGCAGGATGGGCCATCTTCAACCCTTTCTGTCGAATTGAGGGGACCGTCAGCTTCAACTTGAAACTGATGAGATACCTGTAATCGGGGCCGTGATTGCACATACTCTCTGAAGATAGCAATTTGGAACTGGCAAGTCACTTTTTGTGGCCATATCAGCTTATACCAATTCACAAAAGGGGGCGAGCATTGTGCAAGATTACATCAACTCCCGATATGATCGCAAAAGCACTATGCCGGTCACTCTACACTCCGTAAATCTCACAGCTAACGAGAAAATTGTCATTGTAGTCGTATAGAATTATCCATGCAATGCCTCCAGGAGCACATCGAGGCTACATTTGGACCGTGCGAACAGCAATTTGGCTGACCTACGCTGCAAGTCCCATTCCTTTTCCTATCTTGCGAACCAAGGCTTTTTTCAAATACCACTCTCTAGCTAAAGAGCGAGTAGTCTTGGCAAAGACAGCTGGTGATATTCGACCTCGCTCGACAGCCCGCCCCAAGACGAAGATTGTATCGCCAATGGCCTTCTCTTCGGCTACGAGGTTGTACAGTTGATTGGCCACAACCGTGGGCGCTACTAGAAGTTCGTCAATGTCCGGGGCAGTTTGACGGGAAGACCCTTCAATGACTGTATCTGCCTTCCGAAGAGCATCGACAAGGATGCTTGCGTTTGATTGAAGCAAGGCAGATGTTTGACTGAGGGTGCCCATTTCGGACTGCAAGGTTGAGAAGGCGGACAGCATGGCCGTGCGCTGCGCCTGCAGACCAGCCATGCTGGACTCGTTTTGTTGTCGACTCCGCTGGCGTAAGTTGTAAAGCGTTTGTGCTAGCTGATGTAGTAAAGCATCCTTTTCAGGGTTCGGAGGGATTGGTGGCGCGGGCATGGAAGACGGTGACGGGATACTAAGTGTGAGAGGCTCATCGAGTAGATCTGGGGGCGGGGCTGGCTTCGACGCTTGTTGAACATGTGGTGCTAGCTGTTGAGAATGTGATTGATGGTGTTGAAAGGGTGGCTGGTACTGTTCAGGAGCTTGCTGCCAACCAGAAGCACCATTATACTGCTGGGGAAGTCTTTGGGAAGGCGGGCTATATTGAAGTTCTACAAACGGCGTCGAGTGCGGAGGGGTAGCCTCGGGACGGACTTGTTGCAGTGGTTTTTGCCCAAATTCATCCGCGAGGCGTGGGGGCAGCGTTGACGACTTCTGTTGAGTGGCGGCAGTCGGGGGAAGAGGAGGAGCGGAGTCATAGCGGGAGTAGTTTTGGTCCTGAAATTGTGGTGGCTGCTGCAGGGAAGGGTCTCCACGAGAGCCTCCGCGGTTAATGCTCGGAGGCAATGGTGGGAGAGGGGGGCCACTTCTACCATCGGCAGGAAGAGGAGGAGGAGTTCGGTAGGATGGCTCCGTATTAGATGCCTTAGGCGGGGGAGGCGGAGGCCGAGACTGATCTACCGGCGTCTGGACTGACTGACGGCTGATCGCTCGAGGAACCAAATCGGGCGGTAGAGGAGGGACGGGTGGAGGTGTCTGGCCAGGAGGTTGCGTAGGGGTAGAAGGCTGTTGTTTTCCTTGTGGTCGGGCAACGACAGGTGGCTCTTTAGCAAAGACATCTCTCAAAATCGCTAGGAAGTCGAGTATGGTGGATTTCTAGAGCAAACATTGTCAATTAAACCCCAACCCAGAGAAGCAGAGGCGGACGAGCTGGATACATACATCCCAGAAAGCAGACCAGCCTACTAGGTACGGGTGATAGACCTGCCCTTGGGGATCTACATGCTGGCCAGGGCGGACCATCATGGATTCAGTGGGAGTGACGTAGACCAAAGGAGCCTCTCGGGGATAGGCATGAGGAACCCATACAGAGATGGGAAATCGGTAGGTTGTTCCTCTAAAGATTACGGGTATTGTACCGGAAAGATGGAGGAGAAGGGCAGACGCGCCATTATCAAATGCTTTAATAAGTATCAGCACTGGTTTTTCGAACAGAAAATAGCTGTTGAAGGGAGATAAGCAGTGGCGTACTATGAACATCGGTACGTGGAGATAGCGAGGGGTACTGGGCTAGGGCTTGCGCTACGTCGTTGTATGTGCGGTTCACATCGTGGTATTCCTGGCATCGATAATATGGTCAGCGATGAGGAGAAATCCCAGGGATTGCAAGGGGCCTATGTACACTTGTAAGGATGCTATAAAGCCAGTTCAGGACGTGTTGCTGGACAGGCATAGTGGTGCTGTAAAACGTTCGGGGGTTAAAGGGCTGAGGTCGAGGTAAGGATGGAAGAGGGATATGACGCCGCGGTCAAGTCACAGTTCTGAAGGGCAGTAGAAACATTTCGGGAACGCAGAGCTCGATGTGATGGGTGATAGTACGCCGGGGGGCAGGTGGTCGGGCGGCCGGTAGAGTCGGTCGGAGTCGGGAGCCGCAGGTGAGGTGGAGGGGCGATTGAGTGGTGGCCGTGGAGCGGATGATTGAGCTTGAGGAATCGGGAGGGGAATGACGCAGCTTGACTGGGGCAGGACGGAGCGGAAGGTGGGCGTGGGGTGCTGAGCTCAGTAGTGGGTCGGTAACTGACTTCGGAACGCATGGACCCCCATGATTTAGCGGGAGGAACTGAACGAACTACTACAGAAAGAAATATCCTAATCGTTATTAACGGCTCAAAACTCCTACTTTTGGGTTTCTTGTTTTCCCAGCTGAAATTGTTCCATAGATAGTGCCATGTTCCTACTCTTTCGATTTTACCATGTAAACCGATATACTTGGCCCTTACTATGCTTGGCTCTCTCCAAGACTATTATCTTTGCCTTTCAATTCTTAAGTGCGTGATTAGCAGTCAGCTTCACATTTATTTACTTGAGTTGTTTCAATCGAAGAACTGGCCCTGTGCGGTAACTCACAGTCATAAATAGTGAGGGCCATATTCGATAACAGTAACAGACAGCAAATGAAACTTACAAATCAGGTGATGGTAAGGGTGGATAAGCTCTTGAGTATTGCATATGACATTGGAAGGTTGGACATCAGAGGTACGTACATTATTGGGGCAGTAGGCATTTGGTATCAAGTTTCATTGATGATGTAGACGGAACACCCCGCTGAGCCGGCCGGCGTCGGAGGTCCAACCCACTTGCCATAATAAGTTGAGATACATCGTCTTGACAGATCTGAGGTGAAGGGCGGACTTGACAGGACAGCACTGCAGTTATCAGCCCATGCCATGCAAATATCGGCTGACGGGAACCCGGATAGCAAGCCATTACTCGCCACGACTTTTTCTTTGCCCCCCTTTGACTGACTGTACGAGTGCCTTTATCTTCTTTTCTTTTTCGGTTCTGAGTGGCTTGCCCTAGCATCCAGCTTCCCTCAAGGTCAGCATGCCATAGATTATACGATTGATTCCAAGCCTATTTCGACCGGCTTAATAACTATTATCCCACGCAAACCAGTGCCTTATGGAGAGCAACATGAGCCATTATCTTGGCCCGAAATATCCACAACGGTGTTGCCTTTTCGATTCCCAGACGTCTACATGGCGCCCGCAGCAAGCCTGTCAGATGTTCCCCGCTAATCCAAACATGTACCGCCCACGTTTCACCTCGTACACGCCAACCCCTCTTGAAGAATAACTCACCAAAAGTAAACCAAAAAAATTAGTGAAAAACTGGTCGTGCGCAAAACGACATAGTTCTTGCTAGTATTTGACTAACTTTACGGAGCAGTACGTACCGCATTGCCTCAAGTTCTTAGTACAAGGATTGGTTCAACGAAGACCCTGTAGCTTTTTTTTTTCCCTTCCATGTCCGATCCCACCGAAACAACGGGGGCCGTTGCGCATATTAATAAAGGCCTCTAGCGGCCAGTTCTTTTTGTTTCCTACATCCTCCGTTATCCAAGCCTTTCAATGCCACTCTGCCCAAGTCTCCCTAACTCTACCACAGTGTCCCTTTTGAATGCTCGCAACTGAAAGGATATTTCGCACGGCTGAGGAGTATTCCAGAGCCACCATCTGGATACTCCTTGCGTCAGACTTACCTTGTTGACAAACTATCTTTTACGTTTCATTAGTTTCGCCTCGGTTATCACCAGCAACCTGCGCTTAAAGCATTCACCATGCTTCCTCCTATTCCCGTCTTGTCCGATTATGGAATCTCGCCTAATCATGGATTTCTGCCCGACGTACTCCCGTTGACTCGACTTCCGGACCCCTACTATAATAAGTGGGAGGCAGTCGTCGCCAACCTTCAGGCACTGGTTCTCAGTCGTCGACTTCGCCCAGTTGTCGACCGCTTGCCAGTCCTCTCTACCATCGGTCTGGAACACGACGCAGAATGGCGGAGAGCCTACTCTCTGCTGTGCTTCATGGCACATGCCTACGTATGGGGCGGCGATGAACCGTGCGATCAGCTGCCGCCAGCCATCACTATTCCCCTCCTCGAGGTTTCTGGTCACTTGGAGCTGCCCCCGGTTGCCACCTACGCCGCTCTGTGTCTCTGGAACTTCAAGCCTCTTTTTGTTGATGAGGACATCGATAATCTTGAAAACCTCGCCACACTCAACACATTCACCGGTTCTCTCGATGAGTCATGGTTCTACCTCGTCTCCGTTGCCATCGAGGCACGCGGCGCTCCCATCATTCCACTCATGCTTACCGCAGTAGCTGCCGCTCGCCAAGGAGATGGCGCTACTGTGGCTCGTTGCCTGCGTACCTTTGCGGAGCGTTTGACCGACCTCACCAACATCTTGCAGCGTATGCACGAAAGTTGCGACCCAAACATATTTTACAACCGCATCCGCACCTTCCTTGCTGGTAGCAAGAATATGGCTGAAGCCGGCCTCCCCAACGGAGTCAATTATGATGACGGCTCTGGTAAGGAAGACTATCGCCAGTACAGTGGCGGTAGCAACGCTCAGAGCAGCTTGATTCAGTTTTTTGACATCATTCTTGGAGTCGACCACCGCCCGACTGGCGAAAAGCGTGATCCCTTTTCCGAATCGGAGCGTGAGTCTCGGGCTCCCATCCCAAGGCACAACTTTATCATGGAGATGCGCCGCTATATGCCTGGGCCTCATGCTCGTTTTCTTAAGGATGTCTCAGGCGTTGCCAATATCCGTGAGTTTGTAGAATCTCATAAGCAGGACAGGCAGCTATGCTTGGCGTACGATGCCTGCCTCGCCATGCTGAGTGCTTTTCGCGACAAACATATCACCATCGTCACTCGGTACATTATCTTGCCCTCACGAGAGGTACGCGCCCGTAGCAGGTCGAGAAGCCCCGAAGCCGCACGACAACGCATCAATTTGGCCACCGCCTCCCGCCAGCGCCAGTCAAATGCCCAGGGCAATAATTTGGACACCAACGGAAGTAACAAAAAGCTCAAGGGTACCGGCGGAACCGCTTTGATTCCCTTCTTGAAACAGGCGCGAGATGAAACAGGTGAACCAGCCATCGAGGAATGGACTCGCCGATTCATGAGTAGGGCAAACAAGTCGGAAGGCAAGGGAGACTTCTTCTTAGGCAAACCTGAGCTGCCTGCCCCCGGCGTTGAGGTCGGGGTCAGTGGCTTGGCTGGCACGTGGACGGTTGATGACGATGTTGGCGGTATATGTCACTATTGAAGTGGCCGTAAAGGTCAATTTCCTTTGCTACGTGGATGCATTGTTGGTGTGAAATCCAACCTGCTACCGTAGAGAGGGGATCATGTAGTGCCCGCTACAAATATTTGATTTAATAAAAAACTCAACCCCATGCTCGTTGGTGAACATATTGTGATGTAGGCTGCTACAATGCTATCTACTTCGTGTTTATTTTATTTTATTTTTTTATAAATATTCTGGCAATGTAAACTCATAGGGAGTTCCCTATGCAAAGGTGGTGAAGAATGCTGTTCATATTCCCGTGGGTTGACATTGCCAATAGAATGGGTTGAGTGAAACACACGCAGCTCCAATGGCACATCCCGATGGCGTAGGCCAGGCGTCAGCATTGCATTGAGCCCAAACAGGCACCGTTCCCCTAACTAACCCCGATGTTGTCGCAACACTAGTAGGTATTGACAGAGTAGAGCTTGACGGACTTGATGTTGGCGGAAGAGTGGTGAGAGCGCGGAAGCTTGTGCTCAGGGTGGGTGAGGGTCGTGGACTAGACAGAGACGGCAATGACGGCAATGACGACGAAACTGTCGGGTTAGTGCCTTGAGTGCACTGCCAGTAGTCTGAACAAAGGCCGTCAGTAATAAAATACGATTGAAAACACAACAAAAAGACATACAATCCGTAACATATCTACAGTAATAGTTAGAAGGGCACTGTTTCGTTGTCAGCCTCATACTCTTGCCAACAACATTTGTAGCAAACATGCCAGACCTTTTTCTGAGCATCCCATGTAATGCTATCGCACTGTTCATTCGGCCCGGCCGTTTCCGTTGACTCTGGGGGCTGCCAAGTTGTATTGGTTGGCATCTGAAAAGGAGGGAAGCTGTTGTCATCGGTTCGTCGACAGCCAGATCGGGCTACAAGCTCTGCCGGGCATTGAACTTGAGTGAAGGATAAATTTGGGTTGTCCGCGTTCATGAACCAGTCAAATCTCCATTGGCAACCTGTCTGGAGTTTGATAGGCAGGGCCGAGCATTCGCTGCGAACGGAAACACCGCCGTAGCGAGCACCAGGAAACTGGAACCCGAACTGACTGGTGCAGCCATCAAAGATCCCCAAACCACCACCCGGCATCATAATATCGAAGTGGTTGCTGCCCAAATCACCGCCTCATTGCGTCAATAGGGGCTATCAAGAAGTGACGAGCAAGCAGCATGGAGTTTATACCTGTATTGGTCGACTGCACCACCATGATTTTGCCTTTGTTCTTGCCCGAGGTAAACGTGATGCTGTCCTCTTGATGTGAGCTATGGGAATAGTTCTCTGCTAGGGAAATCGAGCTCACGCGTAGCAACCACAGCACCATGAGGCCTCAGTACCGCCGCTAATTGCTGTTGCTGCAAATCCAAATGAGACCAAGTCATTGATAGCCCAAGGTATCTGGTTGGTGCAAGTATAGGCTGAGCCTCCGCTCTCGCAGCCACTTTTAACGCTGGGGCTCAAGGGAGTGTCGTTCTTATCACAAGTGAGGGCAGGCTGGTTGACAGAGGCTTTCTCAGGCCAAGCACAAGATGGCTTGCAACAGTCCCAATACCTGTGTACGGAGTGAGTTCTAAAGAATTCATCATATGCTGACAACAACTGACCTAGTGGACTTTCCATTGCCCGATGCGGCCTGAGCCACTTGAGGCAATATGATAGCCGCGACAAGATCAGCTACAAGAACCGGCCGCATGGCAGCGACAGTAGAAGAACAAATGCACAAGTAAACTAGGGTATATGACAGTGGCTGCGCGGAGTGATGAGTGTACGCTGGGGTTTGCAAGCAGCCACGACGCAGCCTTGAGAGCAATCAGCTGGCTTATATGTACAATCCTTTAGAACGTCCAGCTGAGCACCACGATACCAACATCGACACACAAAAGGATTGTGACGGTATAGCATGACACTGCACGGCACGGCACCACAATCTTGAACATGTGGAATAGGAAAGACGGTAGCACCGCTCCGTGAAGTAAAGAAACCCCACTAATCAGACTGTGTGACCCGTGGCGTATGATAGACAGCACGATACTGCTCGAGTCACGCGTCGGTTGTTGTTCTCCAATCATCGGGCGACTCAAGAGAGCGCATCAGTCGAGGTAATTCGGCGCGAAAGCCCTTGAGTACGTGAGAACCAGCATAAGAGCCCGCAAAGCCTGGATCCAGTGTAGAACGGCTGGCCGCAAACATTTTTCACCGACATCCGTGCTACCGGAACCGCTGCCGAATTAATTCGACTTTTCAGTGTGGGTGTTGCAAGGTTTCGGTCGAGACTAAGAATATTTTCGGTCGTCCTAGCCATCGTTTGACCACTTGATCGTTGGAACCTTGTCGGCTTAGACAACCAGTACTCAGGTACCGCATAAAAGGCCCATAACGGGGACGGAGTGAACAACTTTATGATTCCGTAGTACTCAAAAGAGACAAGGTCTGATCTTGGCCGGAGGATGGCAATGCCGCAGCTTCCAGTTGTAGAAAGAAAGCGGCTGTATAAACAGTGGCTTACGACGAATCGTGTTTAGTTTCTAACTTTATGATTCCAAGTTTGTTAAACCTGCTTTCTCGGTTGAATTGAAGTGCGAGATAGTGGTAGATACCAGCTGCACCAGTACAAGGACTGTTGTATTTCCCACTGCCACACATAAATCAGGACGAAGGAACTTGTTTTAACACTAGGAATTAATAGGTTGAGGCTGTATGGCCGGCACCCACGTGACCATGAAGCTGTTGTGGATACCTGCAAGTCTCAGGCCCAACCCCCCATTGGCAAATGTGCCTGCCCCATGTAGCAGACGCGACCAGGCCAGAATTGGCTAGCGTATGTGCCCCATGCCGCGTTCTGAGCAGTTGGAGGCTGCCCCTTCTCCTGCGACTTCTGCCTTCAGTCGGGATTGGAAAAAAACACCATCGAGCGAGACTGATTTTCTGGCTCGTCAACTGCAACAGCTGAATACCGTCTGCTCTGTCGCAATCCATCCTCAATTTGCGCGTACACTTCTACTCGAGCAACCATCGGACTACTTTTTCCAGACCCTGCGGATGCCCCGACTGAGCTAAGAAGGCAAATTCGCCTGGGCTCTGCGTCGTGGTTAGTAATCACCGTCGTCTCCCACTTGCCACCTAGGTTTGATAGATTGCAACCCCGGCACTCAGTTGTGCCTCGATTCAGCCACTTCCCCTCGCATCAGTGGAAAGTCTGAAGGGCCTCACTTCCACGCAACCATTACTCTCGTCTTGTTCTTCTACGCGGGAGGTCGCCGGTAGCACGCCTGCCTACGATAGCAACCTCGAATCCCAGTTGCACTTTATCATCCTCGCGTGCTTCTACTTCTACCGTCAACATGGCCGATGTCTACGACGACTATGATTACGACGGATACGTCGATGAAGATGATACCAGCATCACTCCCGAGGACTGTTGGACAGTAATATCGTCCTTCTTCGAGTCCAAAGGCCTGGTTTCGCAGCAGGTGGACTCTTTCGATGAGTTCACGTCTTCTACTGTCCAAGAACTCATCGACGAGTACTCCCAGATCACGCTTGACCAGCCGAACCCGATGTCCGATAGCGACAAGATTATTGCTCTGCGTCGGTATGAAGTCAAATTCGGCACTGTCATGGTTTCCCGCCCATCCATTACCGAAGCCGATGGAAAAGTCACGACGCTCCTCCCCTACGAATGTCGAGATCGAAATCTTACTTATGCCAGCCCACTGTACGTTAAGATTACGAAAAAGGTTTCTATTGCTGTGGAAAAGCCGATTCCCTTGAACGAGCTCGATGACGAACAGCAAGAGGAACTGGCCAATACGGGCGAACATCCCACGAAGCTCGAATGGGAAGAGGAAGAGAGTGGAGAGGACTACGGTGCCGACAAGAACAAGTCTGACGACATGAAAGACATGATTTTCATTGGCCGAATGCCCATTATGGTCAAGTCGAAGATCTGTCACCTAAGCAGTGAGCAGGAGGACGATTTGTTCATGTTGAATGAATGTCCATACGACCAAGGAGGTTACTTCATCATCAACGGCAGTGAAAAGGTCCTCATTGCCCAAGAACGATCCGCGGCAAATATCGTGCAGGTTTTCAAGAAGGCTCAGCCGAGTCCTTACTCGTATACAGCTGAGATCCGTAGTGCTCTTGAAAAGGGTTCCCGACTCATTTCGAGCATGATGTTGAAGCTTTACAGCAAGGGTGATGCCGCAAAGGGCGGATATGGCCAGACCATTCACTGCAGCCTCCCCTACGTCAAGTCCGATTTGCCCATTGCCATCGTTTTTCGAGCTTTGGGAGTAGTGTCCGACGAGGACATCTTGAATCACATTTGCTACGATCGAAACGACAGTCAGATGCTCGAAATGTTACGACCATGTATCGAGGAGGCGTTTTGTATCCAGGACAGAGAAGTTGCTCTTGACTTCATCGGCAAACGAGGTAGTAACCACAACATTCCAAGAGAAAAGCGTGTGAGAACCGCCAAGGACATCTTACAGAAGGAGACACTGCCGCACATTTCTCAGAGCGAAGGCAGTGAGACTCGCAAGGCCTTTTTCTTGGGATACATGGTTCACAAGCTGCTCCAGTGCGCTCTAGGTCGACGCGATACCGACGATCGTGACCACTTCGGTAAAAAGCGTCTTGACCTTGCTGGACCTTTGCTTGCGAAGCTATTCCGCAATATTGTTCGCCGCATGAATCAGGAACTGTCCGGTCATCTTAAGCGCTGTGTTGAATCTAACCGGCAGTTCAGTCTGACACTCGGCGTTAAGCCGCAGACCCTTTCCAACGGATTGAAATATTCATTGGCTACCGGTAACTGGGGAGACCAAAAGAAGGCCATGAGTTCGACTGCTGGAGTGTCTCAGGTGCTCAACCGTTACACCTTTGCATCTACACTTTCCCATCTCCGGCGCACTAACACGCCCATTGGCCGTGATGGCAAGCTCGCGAAACCCCGTCAACTTCACAATACTCACTGGGGCTTGGTCTGCCCCGCTGAAACTCCAGAAGGACAAGCTTGCGGTCTCGTCAAGAACCTGTCTCTGATGTGCTACGTCAGTGTCGGCACACCTGCTGAACCGATCATTGATTACATGATTCAACGAGGCATGGAGGTACTTGAGGAATACGAGCCACTAAGATATCCCAATGCCACCAAGGTATTTCTTAATGGAGTCTGGGTAGGTGTTCATCAAGATCCGAGAATCTTGGTGCCTGATGTACAGGGTACTCGTCGGCGCAACGTCATCTCTCATGAGGTTTCCCTTGTTCGTGATATTCGAGATCGCGAGTTCAAGATCTTTTCCGACGCTGGAAGAGTCATGAGACCTGTCTTTGTGGTAGAACAAAGTCCAACTGGTATCGTCCCACAGGGTTCCTTAGTCCTGCAAAAGGCCACCGTCAATGAGATGCGTGACCAACAGGAAAACCCTCCTGACAACCCGGCTGACAAGATTACGTGGGAATCGCTGGCTCATAGCGGAGTTATCGAATACCTCGATGCCGAAGAAGAAGAGACAGCTATGATATGTATGACGCCGGAGGATCTGGAGATTTACCGGCTGCAAAAGCAAGGACAAGTCATCGAGGAGGACAACACAGAAGATCGGAACCGCCGGTTGAAGACCAAGATCAATCCAACAACGCACATGTACACCCACTGCGAAATTCATCCTAGTATGCTACTGGGTATTTGCGCCAGTATCATTCCCTTCCCTGACCACAACCAGGTATGTGAATTGCACCACATTTGTTTTTTAGTGCTAACGACTTCCGCAGTCTCCTCGTAACACGTATCAGTCTGCCATGGGCAAGCAAGCCATGGGCTTTTTCTTGACAAACTACTCCCGCAGAATGGATACAATGGCCAACATTCTTTACTACCCGCAGAAGCCGCTTGCAACAACCCGATCTATGGAGTTCCTCAAGTTCAGAGAGCTGCCGGCTGGTCAGAATGCGATTGTCGCCATTGCCTGCTACTCGGGATACAACCAGGAGGATTCCGTGATTATGAATCAGAGTAGTATTGATCGAGGCCTTTTCAGGAGTCTTTTCTTCCGGTCCTACACCGACTGTGAGAAGCGCGTGGGCATCAACCTAGTGGAGCAGTTCGAGAAGCCGTTCAGGAGCGATACACTCCGTTTGAAACATGGCACTTACGATAAGCTTGACGATGATGGTATTGTTGCTCCTGGTGTCCGTGTTTCGGGTGAGGATATCATCATCGGTAAGACGTCTCCGATCAATCCTGACAATCAGGAACTGGGCCAGAAGACAACACAGCATGTCAAACGCGACGCCTCTACACCTCTTCGGAGTACTGAGAACGGCATTGTGGACTCGGTCATTGTCACAACTAATCAAGACGGCCTGCGCTATGTTAAGGTTCGTGTCAGGACAACGAAAATTCCGCAGATTGGCGACAAGTTTGCCTCCCGTCACGGTCAGAAGGGTACTATTGGTGTTACATACCGGCAAGAGGATATGCCCTTCACCTGCGAGGGTATTACTCCCGACATCATCATCAATCCTCACGCCATTCCATCTCGTATGACAATTGCGCATTTGATTGAGTGTCTGCTTAGTAAAGTTTCAACCTTGAAGGGTATGGAGGGCGATGCCACGCCGTTCACGGATGTAACTGTCGATTCGGTTTCCCAGCTTCTTCGCGATCAAGGTTACCAATCGAGAGGATTTGAGATCATGTATAATGGTCACACCGGCAGAAAATTGCGGGCTCAAGTATTTTTTGGGCCTACCTACTACCAGCGTTTGCGTCATATGGTCGACGACAAGATCCATGCTCGTGCGCGTGGTCCTGTACAGATCATGACCAGACAACCTGTTGAGGGTCGTGCTCGTGATGGTGGTCTTCGTTTCGGAGAGATGGAACGTGATTGCATGATCGCTCACGGCGCAGCTTCGTTCCTCAAGGAGAGGTTATTCGAAGTTTCAGATGCATTCCGAGTTCACGTTTGCGAGATTTGCGGGTTGATGACACCCATCGCGTAAGTTACCTTAATTTCATGAGCGATACTGAATTTTCAATGCTAACATAATGAAGAAACCTCTCAAAGCAGTCTTTTGAGTGCCGTCCCTGCAAGAATAAGACGAAGATTGCACAGATCCATATCCCCTACGCTGCTAAGCTGCTGTTCCAGGAGCTGCAATCTATGAATATCGCAGCGCGCATGTTCACCAACAGATCTGGAGTGTCAATTCGATAAAAAGAGGAAGCCACTTGAGGAATCAGGAGAAGGCGCTGTGGAAGAATGAGACTTGTGAGGACGAATGGTGTGCGATGACCCCGACGAAGGAGCATGGTGGGTTGTTGCGTTAGGCGTCTTGGATGGGAACATTTGAGGCCCCTGGAATCGCATTCTTCGAGGGCAGTAGACTGGCAAAGGAAGCCTTTATGTGTTTTGATACTAATGATATGTACCATCAAAGGGCACGCCCAAAAAAAAGTAACTTGCAATAAACAATCAATACGAATGGATTAACGCCTCAGCCTTTAAGGAGAGCCTTTACGATTGGTAAAATAAATTTATTAGGTACCCAGCTAAACGAAACGGACCGCAATGCAATCAAATTTCAAATTTGAAATGGGTGGTCGAGTTTTTCTCCGATGTGCTACTGGTGATTGCTTGGCTGCGTTTCGGTGCTGACGAGCACCGAGTATAAACCGATGAAGACTATGCTTTAAGAATTTATAATACCGGTGCGGAACATCACCGTAGTATATTTACACGTGGGATATACTGAATCCCTGGGGTATCTTTTATGCCTTTCCTTTCTCTGTTCTCAATGTTTTTTATCTGAAGCGTTTTTTTGCCGAAACCGAAGTTGTCTGCTGAACGCACCTGGCTGCTCTGCTGATGGCCATGCAGCCGGTAAGCCAACCTGCCAGACGTATTCAGCACTGAATTCGGCAGTATCAAGTCTGCTGTTGTAGAGACCATTATCGTAAACTCCGACCCCCGCCGCTAGTGCCAGAAATTGTTGCTGTTGAGTCCTGAACTGTCTGCTCTCGCTTGTACTCTTCCTCGAGGGCACGCTGCATCTCAAAGTCCAGCTGTCGCTCTCTCTTGACGCGCTGTAGTTCTATGTCACGCACTACGCCCTGGTGCATGGCCTGCATAATTATTCAGTCAGCCAACGGGTTCTTTTTGGTTATGGAAAGATTTGAGAGCCTTGAAGGGTGAGACGTGCCTCTTTCTCGAACTTTTGCTGGAAATGCACAATGACAATAGTGCTAGCAGCGAACAAAGATGTCGCCGCAAGTGTGAGTTTAGACGCTCGAGACATAATTGTGAGTGGCAATTGTGACTCTAATTTGTAGCCTTGGAACAGGGAGGAGACTCTAACTTAGGTGGAAAGCGTAGAACACCGCAAATATTTAACGAAAGTGGTCTTATGATCGGGATTTGAGCCTCGTTCCTGGCGCATCCGGGGGGTTAATGTCGGTTGTTCACGGTCAAAGATAAGATAAGTCGGCGAAGAACACTGATAAGTGCATATGCTCAAGCTTATTAAATCGCAAGGGCCTCCTCTAACTGTGGAGCCGCCAGCTATCACCTGCGCTGCTACGCATTGTGGCGGTGCAATGCGACTTGGCTACGTACCTGGCTCACCATCCTTGCTGCTGCTGCTTGTTGCAAGATCACTTCCAGCCGGCGTGCTTCCAGCGTCAACCACTTAAACCTCCGCAACTCAGCCATTGCGACTTCATTCATCCGACTTCCCTACGCCTAGCCATCGGTTTCTGATAACGCAGCAGCCAACTGCTCTTTTTATATCTCTTGTTTTCAGCTCATTTATTGTGTTCATCCGTCACGATTCTGTACAATGGTAAGGGCGCCTGCCACCACGGACGCCGTTTGTTTAGCGGCTAGTATGCTAACTTCAAGCACTCGCAGTCAGCCCAAAACTCAGCCGGTATCCAAACCCTCCTAGACGTATGCGCACTCCGCTGGTAGCCCTCGGGTTGCATCTCGTGGCTAATAAGGTCGACACAGGCGGAACGGGAAGCTTCCAAAATTGTTCAGAAAGGTACGTCATATCAGTATCCTCCGCATAATACGTTATTACTAACTAGTATGCTGCGTACAGCCCGCGAGTGTAGGTTCTCCATTCTTTCGAAATAAATATCGCTTGCTCACGCTGCGTTATAACAGTCCGAACGAAGCGAGTGAAGGAAGCTCGTGATGAGGCAAAGAAGGAGATTGAGGCTTACCGTAATTCCAAGGAGGACGAATTCAAGAAGTTTGAGTCCGAGGTAAGGTTCAATACCAGTTACGGAAGCATGCTGCTCATATATTAATGTTCTTCAGCACACCCAAGGCAATAAACAAGCTGAAGACGAGGCAAACAAAGAAGCTGAGGGGAAGATCAAGGAAATCAAAGATGCTGGGAAGAAGAGCCAGGACAAGGTTGTTACTGACCTCTTGAAAGCTGTGTTTGATGTCAAGCCTGTTCCCCCAAGCGTGGCATGAAGAAACACTAGCTTGCCGCGAGGCTTATAGATAGATATACTGACATCGATGGGGACTGACGAGTTCAAACGGGATGCTAGATTCACAGCCTTGCACAGAAGGGGTCTGTACAAGTATGTAGGACCTGGCACAGGCGAAAGAACGCCGAGGAGGAAACCCATTTGGAAGCCCAACGACGGATCGTTTTAGACACTTTGGAGAAACGTCCCACGTCATACGCAGTCAAAATTTACACCTAGTACTCCTGCTCTCATTCTAATGACATCTCACCTCAAAAAGTCCATTAGCGTTGTGAGCATCTCCTCCAGGTCTTGATGTTCGGGCTTCTCAAGGTCTAGATCATCCCGATATTCGCTCAGCGTTGCTTTGATGGCCGCCAGATCCTGGCCGTCCGTGGCCAGCAGTTCTTGTATCCGTCTTTTGGCACCAGCGTCCTCAGCAACGAGCCATGCCAGAATCACATCAATGGCCCAGACGCTGTAAAGACCTTCGTCGATCCTCTTCAGAAACCACTGCCCTTCTGGGAGCTCTGTGGATCCAACACTCATTTGGCTTCGTTCCTTTTGTATCTCCTTGTCCACTCTTTCGAGCATTGACTTGTAGATCCTCCTGTAGTCATAAAGACGGTTCAACTTCTCGTAATTCTTCTCCACAAACTTCGCCAACGTTCTTATCCTCTCGGCCGAATTCGCAGGAAGAAACCGAAGGAGAGATCTGAATATGTCGAATAAGCTCTCTGTAATAACTCGGTGCTGTGCCGTCTTCATGAATAGAGTAAAGAGGACTTTGAGACCACCAGCTTCAACTACTTTTTGACAGAGCTCTCCGTTCATATCCCCACTGACACTGTGCACAAGAAGTCGCATCGCGGGTTGCTTGCTCATCTTTCCTTCCTTGAGCATGATCAGGCACAGCTCGACACCCTCAGCCTCAAGAAACTTGGTCTTGCCTTCTGTCTCATCGACAATGCAAACAAGCGCATTAAAGAGATTCTCCATGTACTCTTCCTCGTCGCCTCCTTTCTCAGGATCACGTTTCCGATAAGCTGAAACTAGCTGGAGCAGGACATCGACCGCGTCTAACTCTGCCAGTCTGCATCGCGTTAATGACGATGTGTGCGCAATGATGTCCAAGAGCTCTGTAGCGTATTGTTTGTTTTGGGATACCGGCGATTCCTTTTGCTGTGCTCGCTTCAAAAGCCACTTGATCAATGCCGTATCCTGTCCAACCCTCTCAGCGTTTGCCTTCTTCGAGAGGAGATTCTCTATAACACTTAGAGCGTGATATACTCCGCTGCGATCAGACTCGTCATCCTCGTTCAAGCGCGAGAAGTTGGACACAAGCAAACTAATGAGGTCTGCATTTAAGAGCGCATCGGCCAGCTTCTCCCAGTCGTCATCGGACGCATACACATCTTCGTCGGTGAGCTCGCCAATGATCTCAACAGCGTCAATAGCAATATCTGTGTTCTCATGGGCCAACAGACCGACAAGGCTGTCAATGCAGCCCAACTTGACAAAGTGAGGGTATAGGTCAGAATGTTCTGCCAGGATGGAAAGATCTTTAATAGCGGCGTCGAGGTCTGCCTCGCTCTCGATAAACTTCTGCGGGTCGCTGGCAAATTTTGCTCGCAGCTCGGCGTTTCTGGTAATGCGTTTTTCGAAGCTGAGAGCTGTTTTTCTAAGCCACGTCGCGTCGATCTTTTCAGGCGCAGCAGAGTCTTCGCCACGACCATCTACATAGTCGAGTATCTCAGACTCTTGTTTTGTGATTCCACCACCAAAAAAACGGCCCTCTTCATCATCGTCAGGGGGCATCTCCGGTCCGTAGTCGTCATCCTCTCCATCCACAGTTGAGAATGTCGGCCCCGCAGCAACATGGTCGTCGTTTTCCGTTTCGTTTTCGATTTGCGCATGCCGACCAGAAGCGTCGCCGTCGTTCAGTTTAGCTGATTTGTAGATTTCATCTATCCTCTGTTAATTGCGTCTGAGAAGACATGGAGGTTCAGTGGCAGCAGCACTTACTAGGATCTCGCACAGTGTCTAACTTCCTTTTACTACCACCGCCAGATCTCTGCTTCCTGGTCAGCATTCGGTGTCAATGCAGACGAATGATAATTGCACCTTAAACAGATCATTGACGTCCGTCATTTTGTGCCTGGAGATGAATTGATGCGCTTGTTAATGTAGCCGCCTGTGGAAGCTTCTCTTTGGTCAAGGATAATAACTGCCAGCTCAGCCGGTATTAGGCAGTGAGGTGCAAGGCTAGGTACTTTTGAAGCTCTGTTGCAATCACCTTGCATCTGCAGCTCAGTGGGGCAACAGGGGCAAGCGCGCAGTACTTCCAGGTACCTAGGTCTGTTGGTTAGTGAAAGTGTGTGGCTAGTGTCCCCACCCGTGGCGGGTCTTGCGCTTGGAAAGAACGGCTGGGGGATTCATAGCCAACTTCGGGCTACGAATACTCTGTCTCCTGTCTGTTGTACTGCATCTGTTCAAGTTGGTATTTCAAAATGGCGCCGACTGCAGTGCTCATTCGCCATGCCCAGGCTCTGCACAACGTTGATCATAAGTCATCCCTGTTCAGCAGCCCCTGGGCGCGCCGTGCCCTAACCTTCATTTACAGAACTACCAGATCCACGATCCAGAGCTTTCGTCACTAGGTCTAGCCCAATGTCAGGAACTGCGCCAGAGTCTTTCCCAGAGGTTTTCTGAAGAGACAGATGCCGTCATTGTTGTTAGTCCTATGAGGCGGACTATTCAGACGGCTTTACTATCTCTCGACTGGTTGATCGAGAAGGGCGTGCCCATTCAGGCCGACGCCCGCTGGCAAGGTAACGCGAAGTTTCTAGCTGGGAAGACCAATCTTCAGTCGACCTGTAAAAGCCTCGAGACTAGTGTCACTAATTTTGGACAGAAAACTCGGCAAAGCCATGCGACACTGGAACTTCCATTGCCGAACTAGCCGCCGAGTTTCCTGGCGTCGACTTCTCAACAGTCGATCCAGTGTATCCGGACAAGACGTCCCCTGCGGGTGCCAAGTATGCTTTTACAAAAGAGGCAATTCTTGGAAGAGCTCGGTCATCAATTAACAGTATCTATGAGCGGAAAGAGAAGTTTGTTTTTGTGGTTTCCCACTCCGGGTTCTTACGCCTTGGTGTTACAGGATACTGGTTCTTTAATGGCGACTACAGAATGTTCGATCTCAGTCAAAGTGAAGACCCTGGCAGCGTGCCTCAGTTGAGGCAACTTGAATCAACGCTCAGTGGAGGTCTTGGCAAATCATGGACAGATCCTGTCTTAATCGGCTCCGATCTGCCGGCCTCGGAGAAACCTGCTATTGAAGTTCAAAGTACCTAGCTCCGTAAGATAGGGTGGGCTGATACTGCTAGTCTATGTTGAATCCATTTGCCAGGGGTGAGCTGTCAAGAAAGAGAACAGAAATGAAAGAGCAACAGCGCAGGCTCAGTTGCAGTATACACAGAACAGTCGTTCTCATGACTTCGAAACTTTGTGGATAAAAAGATTATCTGTAGCAGGATATTAGTGCACCTTGCACATAGAGCAATATTTGGCTGGCGACGCGCTAATTGTGGCTCTCAAACGGATGGCACCACGCGTAGCGAATGAGAGTCACTTAATATATGCATTCTTGCTGATGTCGGTAGCAGGTATGCAAACGCAACATTATTACACTTGTGAGTTAAGGTTTCCTGCTTGGGACATAGTCTTACAGTATTATACATCAGATAAACAGAGGGCGTGACCAGCTCACGCTCCTGGTGGCGAAAACCATATTCCCCCTCTAGCAATGGGATCCTATTATTTGGCAAGGAAGCTCTGAAAGGCCGACTGGTCAATGACGACGTTGCCCACAGCGCGCAGACGCTTGCGACCTGCTTTTTGCTTTTCCAACAGCTTCTTTCGGCGAGTAATGTCACTGGCGTGGAGTTTTGCAAGCACATCTTTTCGAAATGGCTTGATAGTCTCACGGGCAACTATGCGTTTGCCAGCGACCGCTTGAATGACAACCTCTATAAGTGATTTAAGTTAGAACAGCTAGGTGCCCGTTTGGGTAGTCAAGTCCTGCTTACCAAACATCTGTCTGTCAACATGCTCCTTGAACTTTGTCACCCATTGTCGACCAAGGCGCTCAGCCTGGGAAGTATGGATAACACGACAGATAGCATCGACAGGCTGCTTGTTGACGAGAAGCTGCAGCTTCGTGAGCTGACTTGCGCGCCAACCAGACTCCTCATAGTCCAAGCTCGCGTATCCCTTGCTAATTTTCATGTGAGCATGCCATTCTTGACTTGAGGAAGTGCAGGATGACATACGTTACCCCTTTCAGTTTACCGAATAGATCGTCAACAAGCTGAGCAGCAGGTATCTCATACTTAAGGATAACCTGCGTAGCGTGGAAGAATTCGAGACTCTTTTGCTCACCACGTTGACTCTCGCAGAGTTCTATAACGCGACCTAAATACTCCTCTGGGAGAGTGATTGTGGCTGTAACAAATCTGTACAGTCTTAGGTCAGGCAAAAGTAGCAGAGAAGGTAAGGTATGCATGTCAGGGGTCGGAGACATACGGTTCATATGCGGTTGCGGCACGCATTCGGTGCTCATCTTGGCTGGGAAATTCAGCAGGGTTCTGGTATATTGTCTCGGACCCATCCGCCCACTCAACCTTAGTTGGCACAGTTGGATCAGTGATGATGATACTGGCGCCGTGTTCCTGCTTCAGTCGATCCTGAAAGACGGAGCAATGCAAGCTACCAAGAAACCCCAACCGCCAACCTGCTCCGAGTGCCTCAGAATAATCTTTCTGCAATGTCACACTTCTGTCGTTTAGTACTAATTGGCTAATGCTGTCTGCAAGACGGGTGTAGTCACTCTGATCGGTAGGGAATGCAGCAACGAAGACCATTGGTTTAGGCTCTTCAAAACCAGGATACGGCTTTACAACATCCTCAGAGCCAACCGTTGTAAATGTGTCACCCAGCTTAGCATCCTGGATACGCTTCATGCCTGGGTTGAAGTAAATGTAGCCGACTTGACCCGCGCGGAGAACGCTTTGAGGGACAGCGTTCGGGTACTGTATGCCAACTTCACCAACAGTATATCGTTGGCCAGTTCCGAATGACACAAGGTTGTCGCCGGCTTTGACCTGGCCATCGAAGACCCGGACTAGAAGGATAACGCCTCGGAAGTTGTCGTACCAAGAATCCACCAGTAAGATGCGCAGCGGCTTCGAAGTATCACCCAATGGGTGCGGCATTCTTTCCACAACAGCGGGCAAAATATTTGCCACGTTCTTACCAGTCTTAGCCGACACGAGGACAGCGGAAGCAGGATCTAGCTCGAACGAACTTTGCATCTGATCCAGTACACGGGGCACGTCCGCAGACGGCATATCAATCTTATTGACGACAGGAATGAGGGCCAGATCCTGGGCGAATGCGAGGTGAAAATTAGAAACGGTTTGCGCCTGAATACCCTGGCTGGCGTCGACGAGGAGAAGAGCACCACCACAACTGGCGTAGGATCGCGTCACTTCTGCGCGGAAGTCGACATGTCCAGGCGTATCTACCAGGTGTAGTAGGTAGTCATCACCTTTATGGTTGTATATCATGGTACAGGTCTGGGCTTTTACAGTAATACCTCGTTCTCGTTCTACGTCAAGCTTGTCCTGAAAGCGACAGGAGGCTGGATTAGCCAGTTGTTATAGTATACAGGATCTGAGCACAGTTGCAGATAGCGACTCACCAGAATCTGCTTATTCGCATCGCTGGCGGAGATAGTCCCCGTGAGCTCCAACAAACGGTCGCTAAGCGTGCTCTTCCCATGGTCGATATGAGCTACTATGCAGAAGTTCCGATACCGTTCGATCGGAATCGCAAGAATACGATCCTCCAAAGAGGAACGAGAAGGCTGCGCAGGTCTTGCAGAAGTCGCGGTGGTACAATGAAAACCTTGCCTATGAGCCGGGCTCCATGGTGAGCTAAGAGACCGCAACAGTGACGTATTCGTTATCTGGGCGAAGGCAGAACAGCGCGACAGACCCGGCAAGGTCAATGTTGAGCTTGAGAAACAACGCCGTCGTAATTGACGTGGAACACCGACCAGTCGGTCCCGCATAAAGCGTACGCTTATCACTGAGGGGCCACGCATCAAAGTGTAGGTTCCAGCATTGAGCAAATTGAAACTCAATGTTCGAATAGCACAATGGCAACAAAAGTTGGCTGTAATGGTGTTTGTTTGGTCTGCACAATACAAAGGTAAAGGTGCTGGCTGAACACAGACACACAGTAAAACTTCAGCACTGAAAGCTCCTGTGGGTCTCCACATGAATGTGGCCAACACCCAATTGGTCATAAAAAAAACACCTCGTGCGCCAGGAAGTTCTTTGAACTGCAGCACTCAAGTCTTTTTCAACGGAAGGTACCGAAAAGCTGAAATCTCCCGTCTAGTTCGTTTTCACTTCACAGTCACATTGCATGTCAAGCTTACCAAAACACACAAGAATGGTAACCTGTTAGGTAAAGATGGTTAGAAAAGGGTTATGCACGTGGCATGGCCCTTTCCCGCTAATCATCATCGTCTTCAATATTTGCTGGCCTACTCAGATGAGGTTCACACTTTCTCGCCCATAGGACTGATTTAGTTCCTAGTATTTCACAGGTTTCATACACCGTGTGAGTTGATCGCAGCAGTACTTGGAATCGCTCCACGTCACGTTTAAGTCATGCGATCTCAATCCCTGACCAGGGAGTTCATATTGCAGCTCATGCCTCATCATTTCATGCGAGAACCCACTCGCTACCCCTTTTGATAAACTTGTCCAACAATGCGCTGAGATCGGACAGAACAAATCGACAGATGAAGAAGCCAAAAAACTCTGCAGCGTGTCGGGTACAAAGCTCCAGACCGACTTGCGTTTTGTCTGCGTGCCGGAGTCCGGGATCCTCCACTTGACGAGCGATTTGATCTGAGAGTTTGATGGTAAGTACATTGTGTTTCACGGGAATGGATAATCTTCCGAGGAATAAAAGAATCTTACCAATAGCCTGGGCGGCGTCAAACAAGCGGGCTAGTGATCCCATGTAGTTCGCATTCGGCCCAGTGAATTGTGTGTTGCTCAAGTCGCGTTTCGTCGGGCGACTAGTTGGATGATCCGTCATCGGCAATGTCTCCAAGCCCGGCGATTCCTTGCCGCTGTCCAGCCCATTGCTCTTTGCGTTGAAGGAGTTATTTAGGCCTGCAGCTGAGCCCTTGGATCTCAGCCTTCGCCACGAGAAGGATGATTTTCCTGACACGCTCGCAGAGCGTGGAACACTGATTGCTGCTTCAATCTCCGCAGAGTTCGAGGCATCTCGAAAGATTATAGCTGAACTCTGTACTCCAACATCTGTCCCCAACTTCCGGGTCAGGCCAGCCTGGACCTGCTCCAAGATATTCTCCAGCGACTGCATTTCTTCGAGGACAGCATCGGCATCGCAAGTATCCACTTTGGCCAACTTAAGAAGCGCTGCGGTAAGATAGTCGCACGTCGCCACTTTATCCTCAACGTTCCGAATCTTCACACCTTTCACCTTCCACACATCACGAGGAACGAAGAGTTTGTTGCTTAAATAGCCCCCTCGGGGATGAGCAAGTGTTTGGTATAGGCATCGCATAAGCCAAAAAGGCCTCAACAAGTAGTCTGTTGGGCAAGGTTCTAGAGGTGCTGGTGCCTCTACTTGAAGCGGATTCGGCGAGCCCGGACTTTGTGGGGAATAAAGGGTATCATCAAACAGATAGAGGCCAGCAGCGGAACCTGATCTGAATTTGTCCCTGAATGCTGCAGCTAAAGGTGTCGGAAGTGTCGGCATTGCTGGATGCCTTCCGTTAAGCCCAAACCCGGTGCTCAGTGGGGTACCCGGTGACATGTCCGAGGCATCATCTAGATTCGACAGCGACATATTCCGAGTTTTCATACTTCGCAGACTTGAAGACGAGAAGTTCTTTCTCAAAGGAGGACGGAAAGACGGAGAACCCGAGTGGCTACCTGTGAAGTCTTCGCTATCCCGGTTTGGGGCATGACTAAATGGCGGGGTTGGAGGCACCGGCTGGGTTGGACTGATCCCTTCCAGAGGCGAGTACGGTCTTCCCATTGTTCCATTCATATTCGTAGGAACACTAGAATCTTGGGGCTCAAAATCCACCATTTGACCATTGTCATTGGCTTGGGTAACACTATATTGTCGAGTGGGATCACTGAACTTCGAAAGCTTCGTGGTTTCGATCTTAAGCTGCTTAGGGTTTTGGCCTGACATTCGTCTATTCCGCACAGTTTGGCCGGGCCCAGCTGCCGTTCCTGAAAAAGAGGACTTAATGGGTAACTCGGGTAGAGATTGAACCGGAGGAGGCGCGATTGGGCTTCCAGCACGGGGGAAATTGGAACTAGGAACAGCATCTGCCGGTGATAAGGATGCTTCGCCGCCAGTTGGGTTGGCGGACATCGCAGACGCCTGCCAGGAAGGCTGGACAAATTCACTGGAGCCAGAATGACGAACTGCGGCTTGACGAGATGCCTGGTTAAATGAGAAATCATCGATGGAATAGCCGCGAGTCATTTCTTCCAAGATGCGCTCTTCTTCATCGGAGGATCCGTCATCATAAAAATCTTCATGCAAGTCGTCTTCTCCGTACTGCTGTCGTACTTGAGATGTTCGGTCGCGCCCGTGAGATTGCTCAAAAACCTCTCTTTCTGTTTGTCGGACGCGCTCTTTGGCCAGCTCTACCTTCCGTAAAGCCTCAGCAACAACCTGGTCGTCCGAGTTGTACGGTTCTGGGTCTGAAAAGCCCATGGGTTCGTAACCATCATCGTAGGCTGCTTCAACCGCTGCGTCTAATGCGGCGTCGAATTCAGCCTCAGTAGCACCACTTGGTGCGCGGATATGTTTCCGCCGCACGTTCATGGAGGATGACCGGGAGTGAGCGGACGATGTCGCCGAGCCACCTGATTCATCAATAGGGTCCAGCCAGGAATTGGACTCGCGGCTGGAGTCTCGGACATGTTTAGGACTCTGTCTCGCAATAGAAACGGAGAAATCAGATCTGACAGGTCCATCAGGGCTGTTTTGTCCGTCAAGACTGGGAGAAATCGGTCTACGAGGTGAGAGCGGCGGGGGTAGGTAGCCGTCATCTTGGGGTAGTTGAAAAATGAGATTGTCGTCTGAGTTGCGCTCCCGAAGAGGCGAACGAGAGAAGGAGGATTGCAGTGGATATTGCTCAGGGGTCCTTCCAGAGGTGATCTTGGTTGGCTCGCTCAACTCCTGCTTCCGTGATATCGATGAGCTTGAGCCAGCTTGGCCGGGCAAGCCCCGATTATCATCTCTGAGGATCCTGGTCAAGGCTGCAGTCTCTAGGCCGCTTGATGCCTCAAACTCATCATAATCATTGTCAAAGTGCAGACTAGGATTCAGCCGCAGACCTAAACTTTCAGGTCTTGCCGGAAGAGCCTTTCCCTCCTGCGCTTGTACAGGAGCCATTTGGTCCAGTTCCTCGATTCGACTGGTATACGTGCGGCGCTAGTGTTACTTAGCTCTCGAGTATGCTATGTTATGGATGAGAATTACTCACAATTGCCTCAAGTTTTCTTCTGTCTTCCTCCGTCGATGTCCTTGCTAGTACTTGATGCAGTAACTCGCATGCCTCGGCATAGGCCTGCCTAGCACCTTCAAAGTTTTGCGCATTGTCCAGCTGGACCGCGGTGTTTGCTTTCTGAAGAGCTCTTGACAGCATTGCCTTTTGGGAGGGCGGCTTGTTACCTCTATCTCGACCCCGTGACGACGTCGTGGTGTCGGTACTGCCTTTCGCGGCTTGTGAGCGGTGGCGTGAATGGCCCCTCATGTCGTAGGACCCTCCATTGCGGTCAGAAGGCATCATTGCACGAGGCGACTGCTGCGAGCCTGGTTCAACTGATCCTCTCCGGCCAGGGCCGGAGAATGCATCCCAGAAATGGTACTGTTCGATAATGCGGCCACTGCTGAGCGCGTGAGATGCACCCAACAGTTCGCTCTGGCCGTCTGTGAAGGCCGTCGATTCAGTTGCAGAAATATAGTTCAATGGATGCGGCGCAAAGACTGTCGACAAATTGCCGGCCCGATGAGGCCCTGGGGAAGGGGAGCTACGCAATTTACTTCCACTGCTGAAGAGGCCCCTAGAAGCCTCGCTGGAATTGGATCGCCGGCGATTTCTCGAATGTCTCTCGGACAACTGTTTCGATGTGACAAGTGAGCCAACGGCATCCGCACTCAAGCGGCGCGCATGAGAGCTAAAAGATACACGTTGGTTGGAACCAGATGCTCGACTAGATATCGTAGACGCTGACCAACGATTGAGATTCCTGATCCCCTCAGTCGACAAGCCAGCACTGCTAGATCGCGAGTGTGAGGTCCTCGGCCTCTGCAGTGACAAGGGATAGGTTTGGGGTGCGGGAATGGTGGTAGCAATATCTGTATGCAAAATATTGTCCTGGGTCGTCGAGAGTGGTAATGGTGCAGATTGCGGGGGTGGACGAAGCGACGAGTTTCGAGGGAGTGGTGACGGGGTCTTTCGTGAGAGCGTGCCAGTA